AAACCCAGACATCCCTAAGAAAAAACCCAGACATCCCTAAGAAAAAACCCAGACATCCCTAAGAAAAAACCCAGACATCCCTAAGAAAAAAACCCAGACATCCCTAAGAAAAAAAACCCAGACATCCCTAAGAAAAAACCCAGACATCCCTAAGAAAAAACCCAGACATCCCTAAGAAAAAACCCAGACATCCCTAAGAATAAACCCAGACATCCCTAAGAAAAAACCCAGACATCCCTAAGAAAAACCCAGACATCCCTAAGATAAACCCAGACATCCCTAAGAAAACCCAGACATCCCTAAGAAAACCCAGACATCCCTAAGAAAAAACCCAGACATCCCTAAGAAGTGGGTGGTGGCAAGCCAAGGCCCAGGGGAGCAAAGTTGGCGCCGAAACCAGGGTCAGAGATGGAGGATTGACCAAAGTTGGCGCCGGGTTCGGGGCCAAGTGGACGTAGATTTCGTGAAGTCGGCGCCGAAACCAAGGACGTAGAGTAGATTTACTAAAGTTGGCGCCAAAGTCGAGGAAGGTGGACGTAGAAGTGGTCGCAGTAGAGTGTAAGTACTGGAAGAGCAGTGTCGAGTAGTTGGGCCAAAAAGTAGGGCCAAAGAGTGCCGGTGGGCCAAAAAGAATCAAAATCGGGGCCAAGTGTGATTATTGCTGGGCGCAAGAGTTCACAGAATTGTGCGCCCGGGCGAAAATCTACGGCAGAAGTGAGAATAGTGCACTGGATCCAGGCGGGAGGGCCTGAAAAAAGAAGTGCCTCGCTGGCGCGAGCAAAAAGAATACAGCACCCCAATTTCACACATGGTCTCCCACTGTATTACTCACTGAGGCTCTTGGCAGCTTGACGCTCGTTGATCGGACGGGAAACAGTATTTTCTACCAAATTTGGCCGTATCCGATATAACAGAAGGGAGCGATGCGCTATATGGCACCGGGCGGGGGTGCAGTTAGCACTGAAGAGAAAGGATTCGGGTGGGGGAGGGTAGCCCAGGGAAGGCGGGCATTGGGCGGGGGAGAGGGCCGGGGACGGGAGGGATATATATCCAAGGAAGGGGATGGGGGACGTGCCGCCGCCCCAAACCGTGCCTATCCCAGCCCCCTACGGAGCGTAGCGTAGTAGCGCCGCCTGCGGCGGGCGCCAGCTTCGTGGTGGGGTCGTTGGGGTTGTGTGGGTGCTGTATTGGTGACTTTGGGTTCTGGATAGGCATCAGCGTGGCTACAGCGTTTGGAAAGGGCGGAGGTTGGGCTTGAAACAATGCTGCGGGCTCTAATGGAACGCCCCGTGCTTTTGCGTAGCTTCATTTCGGTGTAGAATGATAGATTATGCTATCTATGTTGGATGGTATGAATGACTCCATAGGCAGCATTTATGCAACCTGAAGAGCCCCAAACAACTTCAAGTAGCACCCATCAACACCAGTTGATGTCCATCTAAAGTAGAATGACATTCTCCCTGACGTTAGTGTGACATTTGACCGAAATAGCACCACATCCTTGCTCCCTCCACTATGTAGCCGTGATTGAATTAAAGCAACAGTTTAACGACTTGCCATTTGTACCCATGACATAGCGTTACTTACTAAAGCCTTTCATCTTGCCCTATCTCACCAGCTTCATCCATCTAGCTTGATATCTGATTGTTCATCACCCCCTTTTCTTGACTCCTCAAATCCTTTTATCCGTAACCCTATCTCACTCCCCATCCTTTTGTTCTCCACACCTCAATGCCATATTTTCATATCTGTTCGGGCGAACTTTGATTATGGCAAGTAGTTGATACTTCTCTCAATTCTGGGGTGTAAGATTGCAGTAATTGCTGGTGGCTACGCGACTTTTTGGGGGTGACACGTGTCAGCAGAGAAGTGGCTCACTTATTTGATTAAATAACCAACACAAATTAGTTACACTTGATGTCGTAGTTACAAAATTAATTTGTTTTGTATCTTTGACGTTCTTCACAATTTGGTGAGATGTCAGAAATTTGGGTACTCATTTTGTATATGTGGTGCGACTTTGAGTAGACATCAGAAAGGTTACTTTTAAAAACTATGCTAAAAATCAAAAAGTGAATAAAAGGTGAAGTGAAGCTATCCAAACGCTTGGGATAAATGCTGTAAATTTCTCCTGAGAGTCTCATTGCTTAGCTTTGATACCTAAATGAGATGTGACGTTTGCAGGAAAAGTAAGATGTAAATCGCATCTTATCAATCGAAATTGTCCAAGGGATTTATAATTAGCTAATTTTTTTGCATTTTGACACCTTTGTAGATCGTCAGGATACCTAAATAGACGGTTCTCGCCATAGTTTGATGTTATTAACTGTGATTGAGCTATAACGTCAGTATCTCTCAACTTATCGTCTACAATTTGAACTTTGGACAAAAAACGGGTGTTCTTCAATTCTCTTTTAAAAAAATAAAGCAGGGTTATATCAATTTGATAATGCATAACACGCACCTGTTCCCTTGCTGCTCCTAAAGATGAGAATATTGAATGATGGATTTCAATTTGAGTTCTCAATATTTTGCTCAAATGACTACATTTGTGAGATAAGAGGAGAGTCAGGGTTTCTAATGTGGAAGAATTAGTTTAATGTTTGCATCGAAGTAGGCTACTTTAATAGCAACAAGTGCAATGATGAATAGTGGGTACCCCAATTCTGACATTGTCAACGCACAGCAAATAGAGCATACCAAGGATATCCCACAACTGAGAGAGCAGTGATAATAATGACAAGAAAAAATCTAGTATCATTTTCATCTAAAGCTTATGACTTGTAATCATAAGCTACTAACTAGTGGCTCACCTGAGACGCATCTCCGCTATTAGCGGAAAGATGTCTGGGTTTTGAGGAAGCTCTGAGCTGCAAAGAGCCTGCTATTGCAACGATTGTTAACCTCATAATAGCCAACAACATAAGTGCAACTGATAGGGTTTATGAAATAGCCAAAATCTTGAGCTCAGAAAGATGCCTTCTATTAGTTTAGGAAGGATATGATCTCACATTGTGAACCCTATAACTTCTCCTTCGCTTCACAACGGTAGTTTTTAACGTCCACAATGTATCAAAAGATTCTTTGAAGTGAGTAGTATATTTAGGCAGCTCTAAGTAGTTTTATCTCTACCTGACATCCAAAGTCTAAAGCGTTTGACGTCGATATCGTAATTCACATTTAACACCTTGGGAACCATATAAAAAATTATAATAAAATTCAGAATAGTGTTGGGTGTCTGTGAGTGAACAAATATAGCTACTTGGGGGCTCTTCATGCCTATTCGTAGCTTCATGATGACACCTTTGCGCCATTTGCATATGGAAAGTAACATTACCTGCTACTTGATTAGCACCATCAAGATTACTCAGGTTTTAATCAAATGGGAAGATAAATGGCTTCCGTACCGAGTTGAGTTGTTTCTTAACTCGTACTGATCTTTGTTAATCAGTCCCCTGATATAATAAAATTCAGTACTTCTAAGCTCACAACCAAAGAACAAAATAAAAAGAGAACTCGAAACGAGGAAGAAGAAAAGGAGGCAAATCTTTCAGGAATAATATCGCTTGTTGCCTGGAAGAGATAATTTATTGGTCCTTTTAATCATAATTCCACCTTAATCCATTGCCACGCCGAATAGGGAAATGTCGTGAAACACCAAGTCATTGAGAACCCCAAAGTAGAAGTCTAATGAGACTCCAAAGCCTCAAAGATACGAGACACCTGAGAGGTGTTTTGGATTATAAATAAGAGGTGATTTCTTCCCCTAACCATCATAAAACAAAGAAATCAATATGGCTGCTCAAACTACCCAGAACAAGAACAACGCTCCAAAGGACAACAACTTGAACAAGCACGCTGGTCGTGGTGCCGTACCATTCATGTGCACCATTGTCTAGATAATTAGCTCAATTTATCTCATTCAAATCAAATTGTAGGTTTTTGACTGAACAGATCAAATGAGAATCGGCTACTCCATATACAATATATAGAACTTTCATTAAATTAGATATCTATAGGGGTCGTATTGATCTCCTCATGTATGAAAATAGGGAATTTTCCCTTAAACAAGAATCTGAATCAACGTCAAGAAAATAGCAAAGAGTCCAGATACCTGAAGGCTCGAAGCGGAGCCTTCGTATGTGAGTACAGCTGGGGATCCAGTGGCAGAAGAGGCCAGTGGCTTACCGTTTTGGGAACTGCTTGGTTGGAAAGCGATCGATGGGTTAGGCTTACCGGTGCCTGTAGGACCGGTGGTACTTTCGGCCGAAATGGTAGCACACTTGCCCTTATGACAGATTGTTGTGGCAGTAGCTGAGGAGGAAGATTCGACAGCGGCATCGCCATAAGGTCCATTTTCAGCATCTGGGCTGTTCTCAGAGGGCTTCTCAGTAGAAGGCTGCTCAGTAGAAGGCTGCTCAGTAGAAGGCTGCTCAGTAGAAGGCTGCTCAGAATCGGATGGAACAGAATGAACTGGGATGTCTCCCACAGGCAGCTCCACAGGCTCACCAGCAATTGTAGTTGGGGAATGGGTGGCATCTTGGACCTTGTTTGAGGAGGTCAGGGAGCCGGTAGTAATAGCGGGTATATCATTAGTCGTCACGGTACTTCTGGAGGAGTCGGTCACATCTGAATCCTTTGTTGTGTGTGAATCATCCGTGGTGTAAGCTTTGGTGGTCACAGAGGTGAAACCAGAGTTGATCAGTGCTGATGGAACGTAAGACGAGTTCCAGTTCCAGGAACCTGGGTTGAGTGGGGTGGAAGCAGGAACCTTGATCACAACAGTACCGACAGTGTCAGAACCCGAAGGTGGCTGTGTCTCTGTGGTAATAACGCTTCCTGTCCAGGTGGAAGTCACGGTTGAGAAATCAGCAGTAAAAGATGGAACCTCAACAATAACGGTTCCGACAGAGCCAGATTCACCTGGACCATTGGTGACTGTGCGTGTGGTTGAACCAGTCCAAACGGAGGTCAAGGTGGTGTAGTCATCGGAAGTTGTTGGTACTTCGACAATGACGGTACCGATGTCTGAGCCAGAGCCTGGAACGGTGGTTGTTCTTGTTGTAGATCCAGTCCAAGCAGAAGTCACTGTTGGGTAGTCCGTGGATGCAGCTGGAACCTCGACAATGACAGTTCCAACAGGGTCAGTTCCAGATGGAGACATTGTGGTTGTTCTCGTGGTGGAGCCGGTCCATGTGGAAGTCACGGTAGGGAAGTCGGTTTCTGGAGTTTCCACAATGACAGTGCCAACAGTAGCGCTTCCAGATGGAGGCATGGTGGTAGTTCTCGTGGTCGATCCAGTCCAAGAAGAAGTCAACGTGGTGTAGTCAAGCGACGTTTCCGGGACTTCAACAATCACAGTTCCCACGCTACCGGAGCCCGAAGGAAGAGCGGTAGTTGTTCTGGTGGTGCTTCCGGTCCAAGTGGAGGTCAAAGTGTCAAAGTCTGAAACAGGTACCTCGGCATAATCAGTTTCACCCACGGCAGTTGGTGGAACCTCAACGACAGCAGTTCCTATGGTATCGGAGCCAGAAGGTGGCTGGGTGATCGTTCTAGTGGTCGAACCGGTCCAGATTGAGGTCACAGTGGAGTACTCCAAGGATGTTTCAGGAACCAAAACGATAACAGTACCTGTGGTATCAGAAGCGGCAGGTGGCTCAGTCACAGTCTCGGTGGTGGTTCCAGTCCAAGTGGAAGTCAATGTGTCAAATGGAGGAGGAACCTCAACAACCACAGTCACTACACCATCTGAACCAGCAGGAGAAGTCTGAGTTTCAGTGTTCGAGCCAGTGCCAGTCTTGGTGATGGTAGTTGTAGGTGTTGGGACCTGGACAACGATGGTTTGAGTACCAGATGCAGCAGACTCGGTGATCACAGAAGTCTCGGTACCAGTCCAGGTAGAAGTCACCACAGTGATGGGTGTAGGAACCTCAACGACAACGGTGTCGGTGCCTCCGGATTGAGCTGGAACGGTACGAGTAGTGATGGTGCTACCAGTCCAGGTGGAGAAGATGGTGGTGGTTGGGGTTGGCACATTCACGACAATGGTCTCGGTTCCGCCAGATTGAGCTGGAATTGTAACAGTGGTAGTTTCAGAACCGGTCCATGTGTTGGTGGACGTGGTAACTGGAGTGGGGACGTTGACAATAATTGTCTCGGTACCTCCAGAAGCAGCAGGGATTGTTTCAGTAGATGTTTCAGAACCAGTCCAGGTGTTAGTCAAGGTTGTAATAGGAGTAGGAACATTCACAATCACAGTCTCAGTTCCGCCTGAAGCGGCTGGGACAGTTTCAGTCGAAGTTTCAGTTCCAGTCCAGGTTCTGGTCACAACAGTGGTTGGGGTAGGAACCTCAATAAAGACAGTTCCAGTTTCTCCAGATTGAGCAGGGTCAGTGGTGGTTTGAGTCTCGGAGCCGGTCCACGTTCTAGTCAAGGTGGTGTATGGAGTAGGCACATCAACAACCACAGTTATAACACCGTCAGAACCAGCGGGGAAAGTCTGAGTAGTGGTTTCAGATCCGGTCCAGGTTCTGGTGATAGAGGTCGTTGGAGTAGGCACCTGAATGATGATGGTTTGCGTTCCGGATTCAAATGGCTGTGTAACGACAGAAGTCTCACTACCAGTCCATGTGGAGGTGAGAACGGTAACTGGAGTAGGAACCTCAACAACCACAGTGTGTGTACCGCCTTCCAGAGCTGGAATAGTACGGGTGCTGGTTTCAGTACCAGTCCAGGTCGACCACACAGTAGTCACTGGGGTAGGAACATTGACCACAACGGTTTGGGTTCCACCAGACGCATATGGCTCAGTATGAGTGGTGGTCACATCGCCACTCCAGGTGTTTGTCAAGGTGGTCATTGGAGGAGGCACACCCACAACCACAGTCACAGTTCCTCCAGAAGGAGCGGGAATAGTTTCCGTGGTAGCAGTAGTGCCAGTGTAGGTTCTGGTGATCGTGGTGGTAGGAGTTGGAACATCGATGAAAACAGACTCGGTGCCTCCAGAAGCAGCAGGAACAGTCTCGGTTGTTGTTTCACTACCTGTCCATGTTCTGGTGATGATGGTAACTGGGGTGGGAACATTCACAATCAAGGTTTCGGTGCCGCCAGAAGCGGCAGGGATTGTTTCAGTGGAGGTTTCAGATCCGGTCCAGGTTCTCGTGATAGAGGTCGTTGGAGTGGGGACGTTGACGACCAAAGTCTGAGTTCCTCCTGAAGCCACAGGAAGGGTCTCTGTTTCAGTGACGGAGCCTGTCCAGGTTCTAGTCAAAGTGGTGGAAGGAGTAGGCACATCAATGAAGACTGTGTCGGTACCGCCAGATGCAGCAGGGATAGTCTGGGTGGTGGTTTCAGATCCTGTCCATGTTCTGGTGATCACAGTGGTAGGAGTAGGGACGTTGATGACAATGGTTTGGGTTCCAGAAACGAATGGCTCAGTCACCACCTCGGTGTCCAGACCGGTCCAAGTTGAAGTGATGACAGTGACGGGAGTGGGAACTTCCACAATGACAGTGTCTGTGCCACCTGAAGCAGCAGGAATGGTACGGGTGGTGATGGTGCTTCCAGACCAAGTGGAAAAGATCGTGGTGGTGGGCGTTGGAACGTCGATGAAGACGGTTCTGGTATCGCCAGGAGTAGCAGTGCCAGTAACACTGGAAGTCTCGGAACCAGTCCACGTTCTCGTCACTGTGGTGACTGGAATAGGCACATTCACAATAACGCTTCCTGTCTCGCCCTCAGTGGCTGGAACAGTCTCGGTAGTAGTCTCGTTTCCAGTCCATGTTCTGGACAAGGTTGTGGTGGGGATTGGAACATCAATGATGATACTACCAGTCTCTCCCTCGGTAGCAGGAACAGTGTGGGTTGTAGTGTTGACTCCGGTCCATGTTCTGGTGATGACAGTGGTTGGAACGGGCACTTTGACAATCACACTTCCGGTTTCTCCCTCGGTGGCTGGGACTGTTTCAGTGGTTTCACTTCCAGTCCAGGTGCTCGTGAAGGTGGTTGTTGGGATAGGAACATCGATGATCACGCTGCCGGTTTCACCTTCACTGGCAGTCACAGTTCTGGTGACTGGCTCCGTTCCAGTCCAGGTATTGGTCAATGTCGTGGTTGGGATAGGAACATTGATGATAATGCTACCGGTCTCGCCCTCAGTAGCGGGAACGGTTTCAGTCGATGTTTCAGATCCAGTCCAGGTGTTGGTCACAGTAGTAGTTGGGATTGGAACATTTACGATGATACTGCCTGTTTCACCTTCGGTAGCAGGAACTGTCTCAGTGCTAGTTTCAGATCCGGTCCATGTCTTGGTGAGAACGGTGGTAGGCACTGGAACTCTGATAATGACGCTTCCCGTTTCACCCTCAGTAGCAGGAATGGTTTCGGTGGTTGCCTCCGATCCCGTCCAAGTGTTCGTCAAAGTAGTTGTAGGAATTGGAACCTTCACGATAACACTTCCAGTCTCGCCCTCGGTAGCAGGAACGGTCTCGGTGGTGGTCTCATTTCCAGTCCATGTCAGAACAACAGTAGTGGTTGGAATAGGAATGTTGACGATGATGCTCTCGGTTTCACCTTCAGCAGCAGGGACGGTTTCAGTGGAGGTTTCAGATCCGGTCCACGTTCTACTGACGGTGGTGGTTGGAGTGGGAACGTTGACAATGATACTTTGGGTACCTCCGACCAGAGCAGGAATTGTCTGAGTGGAAGTCTCAGAACCAGTCCAGGTATTTGTCACTGTGGTGGTGGGAGTGGGCACATTGACGATAATGCTTTCAGTGCCACCTTCACTTGCTGGAACAGTCTCGGTAGAAGTTTCAGTGCCTGTCCACGTTCTGGTGACAATGGTTGTTGGAGTTGGAACATCAATGAACACAGATCCCGTACCACCAGTTGGTGCAGTGACAGTCTCGGTTCTGCTAGTTGATCCCGTCCAAGTCCTGGTGATAGTGGTAGTTGGTGTAGGAACATCGATAGACACAATTCTGGTACCACCCGAGGTAGCACTGTGAGTAGTGGACTCAGTGTTGGTTCCCGTGACAATGACAGTGGTCACGGGCATAGGAACATTAACGATGACAGTTTTGGCAGTGCTACCAGTAATGGTGGACAATTGCGTGTTGGTGGCCGTAGGATCGGTATGGGTGGTGATGACAAGAGGCAAGTTGTTTCCATCAGACTCGGAATCGGTGGTAGCGTAGTTGGTCCAGCGAACGCCAAGCGTTCCAACCAACTGTTTTCTGTTACAAACCATATTGTAAGTGTAAGTGGCAGCCGAGGATGTAGTGGTCGTAATCATTTGGGTAAGGATATTCATGTATGGTCTGTTGCCTGCTGGAATATAGGAGAAGGACACCACCGCCTCAGTAGACGAACACTTGGTGAGTTGAACGCCGTTTGTGTTGGCTGATTCAGGATAATACCATGCATTCACAGTGTTGGCAATGGCACCTGCAAGTGTGTTACAGTCAAGAGGCATTTCTCTGCCCACCTTGATGCTTAAGGTACCATACATGTCATCAACCAGACACCTTGGTCCCAAAAGGTAGTGCTGCTTGGTATTGCTGTTGACTAAGGCTCTCAATCCATAAACACCGTTCTCAGCGGAACCCTCGATAACACCAGTGTTACCGCCTTCGAAGGTAACATCTTTAGTCAAAACATTGGGGCCATCAGTCCACCGTATGGTGTTGGTTCCAGTGCTCCAGACGGAGGCAGCCTCGAGGTTGACTTCGTCGGATGAGTAGCCGGAATTGAAGGTAAATGCAAATGTGATAGTGCCGGAAGCTGTTCCGACATTCGCAACCTCGGCTGTAGCAGTGCATTGAACCTCGGAGTATCCCACAATGTTGTCTCCAGAGAACAAGTCACAATTGGCCAACACCAGGGAACCAGCTTTAATTTGCAAAGTTTGAGCGGAACTGGTGAACTTGTAAACGTTGGGCATATGCAAAGTGAAGGTATCGCCTTCTTTCATTTCCATGTCGCTGGTGATTTTCCAATTCACAGCGGCTCTCCAATTAACGCTTCCTGGTCGGGTATTACCAGGGTCCGTAATTGACAGAATGGAGTTGAAAACACCCTCCACCGTAGCCGCCATAGTCATGGAGACATGGAGAAGAATGCTTATCCAAAGCATAAGGAAATTCATTGTGGAATGCAGCTGCCGGGAAAACACGAGGAAATGAACTATTTATATAGGCAACGTTTTTTTGATGTTGCACACTCGTAAGTATGCCCCATTTTGCCAAGCCAGACTTCCAAGACATGCTAAAAAATACGTTTCGAAGCGATGCTTCCTTGCATTTTTGCAACCTAATTTCAGCCTCACACACCTTCCATGCTGCATGTTGCGAACGCACATCGCTGCAATATCGCTCACTCAAATTTACCGAGGGTAATTCTAGTTGAATAAAACTCAAAGATCTAAGCAAGGATTGCCCAACCAATTTCTGAATTAAAATTGGACAATGCTCATCTTGATTCAAGATGCTCACATAGCGGAAAAGTGGCCTGCCTGCCTCACCCCACACTATACCTCAATCTCAAAGCACCTTGTCTCGAGCAAAGATTCACCTGCAGGTTTAAAACGGCTTGCTAAAGGGAAGGAAGCGCATATTGGCCTCATTTCATTCGCTAAGGCCGATCAGTTTTTTTGAGGCTGCATCAAAGAGGAAGCTCCAAAAATATCTTCGTGACTTGTCCGTATGCAGAAAGTGGAAGTACGTAGACGCATGGAAGTGTTCTTTGTGATGAGGTACTTGCAGGAAAAGCGGCAAAAGCATCCAAATATTATTTAAATTGCGTTTGGCGCCAATTTCACCGAGGTTTATTTCAAAAATTTATCACCTCGTGCATTGGATATGCCCCCTTGCCCTTGTTGAACAATGTTACAATTTCAGCCTTGCTTTAGATGGAGAGCGGCCGGCTTTATATATTTTAGGACCGAGAAAAGCCACTTGAGATAGCAGATCCACTAAAAATTGTTTTGTTAAATGGTGACGCTCTAAAACCTTGAAAGCCTGCTTCAACGATCATGCATCCTTCGCCACAGCATGCGGCACATTCTTGATTCTGTAGAACCTCCGCTCTCCCCGGGGTAAACATCCTACATCGATTGGACGAGGCGGGTATACGTGCTTTTACGGCAGATCAAGACATTCTTTCGCCTTTTCAACATCTGCAACGTACACCTTCGTGCCAAAGTTAGCATTAGGGTTCGGTTCGAAAGAAGTGTTGAATTGCCTGGGAATGTGCATAAATATCTAGAAACTGAATTGAGTGGTCTCAGCTGGCGTGCAATTGTCGTTGGTCTGGATTTTTCGACATTTATACTAGGTAAACTACAAATACAGGGGCGGTGCAATTGACGTTTGATTGTGAGGCTCTCGACACTAGCCAAGACTGTAACACTTTGGGAGCTTGGGTTGCCCACCCTTTCGGATGCCTAAATGTCGAAAGACTTTTTTCAAAACTATTTACTGAATTCGAAGATATATTTTCTCGGGTAAGAAATTTGAACCTCGGGTGTGACTTTGCCAATTCATCAATTTTTCGCCTTGAAGGTCCATGTTGCATGGAATAAACTATATCAGCCTGAATTCTATACATCAGAATTTCTCAAAGGACTATTCAAGTAAGGAAAATGCAACTTTTTGTCGACTTAAAAGCAAGTAGCCTACAAGTAACATTTGTGCATTAGATGAATTGACACTATGCAATCAGTTTCAATACTTGATTCAAAGCTCCGAACATTTCTCTTGTCAAATATTTAAAATTACACTGTAAAAGGGCTATTTTGCGATGGACTCTTCAGCTCTTTTAGCCACCATCTTAGGGATATTGGGAAGGGTAAGTATGAAAAATCGTAAAATTGGATAAATCGGTTGACGTATGCACAAGTTTTGATCGATTTTGCCGTATCCATTGAACGAGCTCAAAATGTGCTAATTGTTTGAATAAACCACTCGTTTTGTCTAAAAGAACTATGAACTAGCCAAGCCTGTGTAGGTGAATCGTCCAATTGGTTACTTTAAGCATGGTCAATGAAGCAAGAGAAGAGTCGGTAGTTCGGATTTTTATAGAGGTGATGTAATAGATGCTAGATCGTGCTTATTGTTTTAAACAATGAATTACGAAATCATCAAGTCTGAAATTCTGTCGTTTGGCCGTTGAGATTATAACAATACAAAAGGTGCCTGAAACGCACATCGAGGCCAATAAGGTTTAAGCCATTTTCGATGCATTAAGAAGGTATGAACTTCAGATAGAGATTTTTCCGAAATGTTTCCCACTTAATGATTTTAAAGTGAATGGTCAATATTGAGGGGGATGAAAAGTGAGACATGATCGATTTAACCCATTGCGCATACAACATAAGCGTTCGGGCAGATTGCGACATCGTGGGTGTAGTTTACTGTTTGTTGCGTGTTATGTGAAGGATATTCAGCGACACTGGAGGGGGCGATATCTCCAGAGGTGCATGAGCCGAGGTACAAAGCCTGTGATGCCGACTTCCTGAAAATTATAAATGGCGGCAGACAAAGCTCATCTCTTTGATCAAATCTTTTAAAAACGTCATCACCTCCTCCAAGTTGCTGTTGAAAGCTACTACTATCTCCCTCAAGATTCCTAATTTCGTAGTATATCTTCTGGTATTCCGAGCGTTACTAGGTTCCTGAAGTCTCGAATGAGATCCGATAACAATGTAGCTAAGCTGGCGTGCTGAAAAAAAAAGGCCATAGTTTCAAAGCGTATAAGAGTAAGGCGAAGAATATCTGTCCTACAAATCAACTAATGAGCACAGCAAAGAAAGACAAAGCTGAATCTTCTGACTTCAGCATCAACACAGCATCAACTCTGGGATCTCTCACGAAGAATTGGAGTCTGACTTAAAAATTTAAGGGAAGGAGGCGAGAAGCTCTGACAGCCATGAACTGCTGTAAATAGGTTTCAAGGAAACCCTTGATCTGAAGAACCCATTTTTAGATCACTTTTTACGCAAAAGGTTATGAAGAGAGTAAGTACGAATGCCGCGTAGCCTGCGATCCTCTTATGGAATGAGAGGAAGATAAAAAGATGATGCGAAAGGTGGACTCACGAGTCGTCTTCAGTGCATGTATCTGGTTTGCAGCTTTACAAGTCAATAGAGGAAACTTATACGAAGCTGTTGCTGACACATTGGAAGATATGAATACGCCGACGATTGCAATTTGGGAAACACCATAAACTTTGTGTTCTTCTTAGCCGCTGAGCTTCCACCCAGATAATTTTGAAGGTTATCGGTCCTGATATCTTTATTTCCATTCAATTTTCTTATGATTTATTATCAGCATGTGATGCTATGCATAATCGAACGGGATTTTTGATTTGTAGGGCATTGATCGGTATGTTTCAAGGTGGTTTTATTCCAGACATTGTGCTTTGGTTTTCTTACCTCTACAAATATGGAGAGTTTCCGCTTTGATTGTCCTACTTTTGGACCTCATTAGCTCTGACCCAAGTGGCAACTTCCTTGCTTGCATCTCTTGGAATGAGAGGCATCGGTGGATTGACCGCCTGGAAATGGCTCTTCATATTAGAAGGTGCTGGAACTTTTCTCATTGGTTTCTGGTCTTTTACATGATGGTACCTTCGGCGGTTCAGACGAGAAATTAATTGCATCCCAAAGGGTGGTTCACGGAGAGGGAGGAGAAGATCGTAGTCAACAGAATTCTCAGAGACGATCCCTCTAAAGGCGGTATGCAAGCCTTGTCTTTGAAAATGATTATACGCTTCCTTTTTGACTATAACTGGTGGCTCCTCTACCTCATCGGTCTCTTTGCTTTTATTCCGCAGCGGACAGTGAAGCCATACATGGTATTGGCAATGAGAAATCATGGGTTCAATGCTTTCGATCCCAATTTGTTGACCATCCGGCTGCACATCATGCAAATCATCTTCATGCTTGCAGCGAAGTGGTTTTCTGAGCATGTGGGCAAAAGGAGCTATATATTTCTATCATCTTCAGGAATGACAGAACCATTCTCGGCAGCTATGAGGTGGTGGGAAGGTACCATGGAGAATGCGTGGGTCACCTGGTTTTTGGTCACAATGGTGCTTTTGGCTCCTTACATCCATACTATCGGGGTCTTTTGGGAGTCAAGAAATGCCAATTACATCAACTTTGTTCTGTCTGTTCCGCCTTGTACAGCATGTTTGTTCAGGCTGGAAGTACCATTGGTTCCAACATGTATCGTGAGGATGACTTGCCCAAGTATAGGAGAGGCAACATGCAGCTTTTCTTCATGATTGTGAGCGTTTTTCTGATTACACCTGGCGCAAAGTTCTAGAACAGACAGTGGGACAAAATTTGGCAAACCATGTCAGGAGGAGCAGACCCACATCTCGGAAACTACTGACATTTTTAACGATTTATAAAGGCAACAGACGTCTTGACTTCCGCTTTGATCATGATATGATGTGAAAAAGGTTGGCAAAGTGTCTACCAATCCAGCTTTGAAATGCATTTATTATATTGGCGGAGCGTCAAGATTGTGTCTCCTTTGGCAGACCGGCTAAGCCGCATACAGAGATTAGAGGCGGAGATAATCTTAAATCCAGCCCAATCCTTGCAGTAGCAATAAATACAAGCAAGAGGAGTACCATCATCCACTCGGAATTAAACTGTGTAAACTCCATTCTTTTATAAGCGAGAAAACGAGACCCATGGTGGTTTCCCCACATCCCCGCTTTCGCTGCGAAAGTTGATTCCAGTCGGTACTGTGAAAAATAAAACCTTGAGACGAAATTGGTGATTATCCATAGTCTGAAAAGGTATAGAGCATCCAAAACGTAGCAAATCGTAGAACTTTTAACTCCGAAGTACGTAGCTGTCGGAGAAACATCTACGATGCCGAGCACATGTTGTAAACAATGATCGGCCATTGTGAAGAGAAGTCCCGCTCCGCATATAAGGGGACTGTTCAGCCGATATCTGATAATCAACAACTATTCTTTATGGTACTTCTCAACTACGAAAATATTCCATGGTGGGCCTGGTTTCCCATCGTCGTGGTGGCCTATAGCGTTATTTCGGCTCTCAGTTACTACGTTCGGTACTATAAGCTGGGTGCTTCATCTGCACCACACTTCAATGACCACACCTTTGGGTTCTGGTTTACTCGTGAGGTTTTACGGAGACGTAAGAATGGGGAACTCCCTAATCTTTTTCTCGAATTGTACAACAAAATGAAGGCTGATACATTCTCCTTGCGTGCCACTGGTACTAGGAGAATTTGCACCCGTGATCCAGAGAACATCAAAGCCGTTTTGGGAACTCAGTTCAACGACTTTTCTTTGGGACTTCGTCACAAGCAGTTCTGGGTTGTTCTTGGTGACGGAATCTTCACATTGGATGGTCCCGGTTGGAAGCACTCTAGGGCTATGCTCAGACCTCAGTTTGCAAGAGAGCAGGTCTCTCATGTTATGATGTTGGAGCCACACGTTCAGCAGGTAATTCGTCGGGCAAAGGCTACAAACGGGAACAGATTTGATCTTCAGACACTCTTCTTCAAATTGACAATCGACTCTGGAACTCAATTCTTGTTTGGTGAATCCTGTGCCTCACTTCGTGATGATATTGCAGATTATGCTGATCTCCCTGGCCCTGCTGAGATGGAGCTGTTCCCCAAGGCTTTCAATACCTCTCAGGCGCACCTCCTTATGAGAATGGGTCTCCAAAACTTTTACTTCCTCCTCAACACGAAAGAGTTCAAGGAGAGCAACAAGATCGTGCACAAATTCGCTGACTACTATGTTGAAAAGGCTCTTGCTGCTTCTCCAGAGGAGGTTGAGAAACACTCCGAGGGTGGATACGTGTTTTTGTATGAGTTAGTCAAGCAGACCAGAGACCCTAAGGTTTTGAGAGATCAGTGCTTGAACATTCTCGTCGCAGCCAGAGATACAACTGCTGGTCTTTTGTCGTTCGTATTCTTTGAGCTTGCCAGAAATCCAGAAGTGTTTATGAAGCTTCGTGAGGAAGTAGTCCAGGCATTCGGTGAAGGTGATGATGCGGACTTGAGCAGAATGACCTTTGAGTCTCTCAAGAAGCTCGAGTATCTCAAATGGGTTCTCAATGAGACTCTCAGAATGTATCCTTCTGTTCCTCAAAACTCCAGATTGGCTACTCGTGACACTACTTTGCCAAGAGGTGGCGGACCAAACAGAACAGAGCCGGTGTTTGTTCCAAAGGGCTCTGTTGTTGTGTACAACGTCTACGCAACTCACAGGAACCCAGAAATCTACGGAAAGGATGCTAATGTTTGGAGACCAGAAAGGTGGGGTGAGCCTGATCTCAAGAAAGTCGGATGGGGCTTCCTTCCTTTCAATGGTGGTCCACGTATTTGCTTGGGTCAGCAATTTGCCTTGACCGAGGCATCCTATGTTACCGTGAGGCTTTTGCAGAACTTCTCCAACATCGGCTCATTTGCTGAAGAAGGAGATCCAAAAAAGAATACCCATTTGACCATGTCTCTACTCGATGGCTGCAACATCAAATTATATTAACACACATATGCTTGAATATTATGGGAAACTACCGACACGAGGGCCAAAGTAGCCTTCTGGAGCATGTTCTGTAGCATTGTACAAGGTTTGCTGTCCTGCGCCACCTTCAATTCCTTGATAGGAGACGGTGTTGCCCCACCAATTGATGTCCTTTTCATCATACTGAACTGCGAAGAAGATGATGATACTGCTGAATGCAACGCCCGCGTCCAAAGCACCAGACAACACATAGTTATATTTCTCCCACCACGCCTGATACCTCTTTCTGATAATAAGCATAAATGCGATAGAGGCGTACACACCAGAAGTGTAGTATGATAAGTTGTATGGGGCGTAGATCAACATTCCCCCAATGATCAAAGATGGCTGGAAGTATTTGGTTAACTTCTTAGGAGCGTACTTCTTAAATAAGATACAAGGAATAGCAAGAAGAGCTCCAAGCAAGAAACACCATTGCAAAATTGGGTAGAGACCACCGAACACTCTTCTTGGACCAATGACACCCCACAACACCGAAGCTGAGAAGAAGACATTCGACTGTGGACACAAGAATTTCTGTCTGCTCTCAGGAGTACAATAGTTTTCGACGTTGTCAATCATAAAGTTCATGACAGCCAAAGATATGAAGGATGAGATGAAAACAGAGAGCATCTGACAACGGAAAAGAGCTCTTGGTGGGATCTTCACGTAGTGACCCATCTTTTGATCGGTGATATAGTTTTGTGCTTGACCGTTGATGTTGAAACCCAAAGCTTTAATGAAGTTCAAGGCAAGACCGTTACCTGGAATAGCGTAACCAACAATAATCTGGACCAAAACGTTAAGACCGAATTGGAAACCGGTAGTGGAGTAGATGGCAGTGAGCGGAATCAAAAAGACAAAGTTTATGCCGAGGGCAAAGAAAATACCCCAGACAGGAGTTTCTGCTGGATATACTTGAACACAGATTATGGCAAGAACAATGGAAACAACCAACACAAGGAGGAACACCCAGTCGGCGACTTCCCCGTACTTTTTCATCATGATAGTGTGTGGGTCACTGAATCCTTCGAAAGTGGACTTTCTGAAGTTCTTGAAAGAGCCTCCCAAGTGCTTTAAAGCATGCCACATGGGCTTGTAGTTCAAAGTCACTTCGTAAATGAAAGCAAATGGGTACAAAGAAATGAAAGCCCCGTACACAAGCAAGTTGGCAGCAGAGTAGAATGGTGGTCCAATCTCCTCATATTTCTCCTTCACGAACAAAGACCTTTCATTGACAACATCCTCAACCTCGTAACGGAAGCCTTTGTTGTTGTACAAAGTAGAAGTGTTAATTGGAAGATAGGCAGTCCAGTGGAAGTTTGTGTAGTACATGGCAATGATAATGAAGAAACCAAGGAGGGTTCCAATGTACTGGTTGATCTGTGAATAGAAAGGAATGGTCAAAGCAAGGTTCCAGTTGATGATGTTCCAGTCGAAAGTAGGAAGAGGGTTCATTCCAAGACCTGAGATAAAACCAGTAACCAAGTTCAAGGTGAAGTTCTCTGGTGCAATCCAACTCAACCAGTTGAAGTAAGACAAAGCCTCGAAAAGGTAGTTGGGGAACCAGAAGTAGAAGAACGAGGCAAGGAAAAAGATGAAGAAGAATTTGTATCTCGAGAGTGTCCACCCGTTAATATTCGACTTCTTCTCGGGCATCAACAAAGCTCTGTTCAAGGCAAGCGTGGGCAAGATGGTTGGCCACATAGCTCTGACCGGGTAGACGGCAAATTTTCTGATAATACCAGCGAATCCGAAACCCATGAAATTTGTAGCAAGAATAAGCAAAATCTGGTAGCCCCAGTCAGCCCACTGGTTGTTGTAGTAGTGAGAAAGTCTCTGGACGTGAATGTTGAAAGAGACATAGGGGGTACCAGCGGAGACGGAGAAGAAAATCGTGGCCAACATCTGTTCCTTGTAGTTCCAAGGACCTGGGTTCAAGTTGATTGACCACTTCCAGAATCTGAGAGTCTTGTGAGGAAGCACACGGGCCATCAACATACCAGAGGGATAAAGTAAAAGTTGGACGACAGAGGCTCTCAAAGAAATACCTGGCTGTCTTTCAGCGAAAAACTGGTTGACAAAGGCACCAAGGGCTGTCCAGATGATACCCAAAAAGTACACTCTGAATGTCTCCACTGGAAGGTGGAAGTCATCGTAGGGGTTGGTGACGGATCTGACCTCAGGGTAAGGGGAGTGGTAGGCGATCATGACAGCCTCGGTACGAATCTGCAAGTTCCAGTCGTGGATTTCAAACACGTTGGCCTCCTCATCGGTGGAAGTGGTTTCACAGTCTGAAGTCGATTCCTTCTCCTTTGTTGTAACGTTAACCTTCTTTTCGTCGAGGTCCAGGGTAGAATCTTTAGCGACAAAGTCAGGGTTTGCAAGGTAATCAGGCGCAAGGTTGTAGAGCTTCTCGATAAAGTCATACTCGTCAGTGGGAATATTCACATCCTCGTCGTGCTCCTTCAAGTAAAGCTTCAACACTTCCAAGGCCTCCTCCACCAGCATGGAAGCAATCTTCTCCAACATGAACGTCGCCGCAATAGGCAACTTCTCAAGGGTCTCCAAGCCCTCGAAGTGAAGACGCTTCAAGATATAGAACTTCTGCTCGGCAGAAAGACTGGAAGCAACATCCTCAATAGCGGCGTCTTGCGCCTGGTCAACATCAACCTCGTGAGCTGCAATCTCACCATGGCTACCAGCACTCACAATGTTGGACAAGACCGGAGCGACCTTCTCCTGCTCAGGCTGTGGTTGGGTGCTCATGATTAGGAAAGTAGTTTTGCAGCATGCCAGGGCATCGTGTATTTATGTCTCCTGCCATAAGCCGCTGGGCAAAATCAAATACCAAGAACTCTCCTCCACTTCGATAGCTTTGTAGCGAAGCTCTGTGGCTCACGGTGGTGCCGTGCGCTCTTGTCGGCCCGAACCAAGACCCCATATTTCTTGGTGTTTTGCAAGCACTATGTGACAAGGCGGGTTTTCTCCCCAGCTGCCAAATGCATGTGCATGCGTGCCACACGGCTGGCAGGGCCTCCCTGGCGAAATTCCAGAGTTATTTAAACCTGACGCACTGCGCTGCTCTGGATCGTGGGAGGTTTGGCTCTGGTGCGTTTGGCTGTTTCACCCACCAGTATCTTTCTAAACCTCGTCCGCTGCACCGCTGGCTTGCATTGTTGAGTCGTCACTTTTCTTGTAGCGGTATTGATAAGCGGCTCCACCGTACGGCTCCAATGGAGTCTTATCAGCTGGAAGGTCTTGGCGGTAGCAGGAGGGGCACCCACCAACGCGGTTTCACAAAATTTCCGGGGCTAAGAGCACAGTGGAGTATCTCACGGCAATCTGGCGTTTTGAGCTGTGCTTCTTGTTTTCCTGAATTCGCCTAGGGCAGGCTATCAGGCCGATTTTGCAGCCATTAGCAGTGCACCACCTTCGCGGGACCATGCAAGCCAAGCCAGAGGGGCATAAACGAAACGCAATCTCAGGCTCGTTCCTTGTTGCAAATGAGCGATTTCCCCCCATGATTGCCTTCTCTGGAGAAAGGGCCCCGTGTGGACAAAGGCACGAAGGAGGAGGTCCACAGATGTGGGCCTCACGCTGCGATAAAACGCAATGGTGTTCAACCTCTGGGTCGTCTGCGAAACGCCGCATCCTCGTATTGTGGTCTACCAACGTCCTCGGCTTGAGAGCTTATCAAGGTTGGTTTCTGGGCTATTTGGGCGTCCAAGACACCAGACGCAAGGCGCCCGTTATCGGCGACTGTGACTTACAAAAGGCTGATTTTTCTAAATCTCATCCCGATAGCAGTCGGAGTGCCCGGGATTACGATCCCCGGAATCGGTCCGGAATGATGCCACAAGCCTCCCACACGCCATGCATGGAATCAGTAGCCTGGCAATGTGGCCAAGATCATTGGACAGGACTTGGTAGCCGGTGCTCCGCGGGATCTGAAAACACAATTTTTTTTCCGCCTTGGGCTGACGTTTCAGATATGCCTTGGCGGGGCAGCAAAGAACGTTCTGCTGAATTTGAGTTTTTTTTTCTCTTCTTCACTCTCAGTGGTCTGGGTCGTACTATGACTCCCCTTCTCTCCACCTCCATCGCCTGACTCAGTGCGACTCATCTCTGCCCCACTGGGCCCGCTCTATTGTGTTCAGACACATAGCAAGACGTCGAGTTTGCGGCGAAGGGCCTGTGACACATTGGCTTGGGCATTGCGGATTGAGAGGGTCCTAATGGCGACGCTCACAGCCTCAGTGTGCATTTTCGCCAGGGTCCAATTGGCCAGGGCCTTGGCACTACCACAGCGCCGCATAGGCAAAGATACCATGGAGGCCACAAAATTTCCAACCTTGAGCCGTACGTGGATGCAGCTGGGAAATGCATTTCCATGGTGGAGTCGTTGGTGATGTTGTTTGGATCACAGCTTGGCAGATGAAGCTGCACCAACGTCCAAGGACAAGCGGAGGTGATGCCAACGACCCGAACGGCTCCATAGTGAAGGCCTTCTCGTATCCGCCAAAAACGGGTGATGCCGTTCACTGAAGGGCCCTTTTTGCGATTGTGTATTGTGATCTGACGCTGACATTCAGGGTCCATGTCACCTAATCGTAGACTTTCAAAGTACCAGGATGCGAAGATCAGAAGATTTAGCAGCCACCGGGGTAGATTATATCGCTTGCCGCCTACGTAAATGGAATTTTGCCACCATTTGTTCTCTTCCATCAAAGCGCCAAGTGCCCCGCTCGTAAATCGAGTTGCCTGGTTCTGGGCGCTTGTCCAGGGTTTTATTGAATTTACAAGGTTTCCGATTTTTGTCGATTGTTGGAGTCCTCAGTTCGCCTCCAGTTCGCAGCTGCAATTCGACAACGTACTGCGATAGTGCGCGGTGATTAGAAACTGAAAAATGGAAAGCCCTGCCAAAAATCAGAAACGGCTGCAATTTCTATGAAATTTGGATTGACGTGATTTGACGACGATCCGGTTATGGCGTGCCTATTTCTACGACCATTGCCCGTTGGTGGCTTGTATTATCACTAGGTGAGATAGAGGCCAATTGCGCGATAGACTACTTTCCCCACCAGTAATAACCTAGTTGCCCAGCTTTTTGCCGCCACTTCCAAAAATTCGCCATACTTCGTCACCGTCGATTTCCAATCGGAATGGCAACCAACCTTTTCTCGATAGTGGCACAAAAATGGTTCCCAAGATTCCGAAATCGGACACCGAGACCTCATCTAGACCAATCTCAGGTTGAGCTTTTCCAGAACCCCTTAGAATTTCCAGAGGTAATTTGCTCGTTGTTATGCGAGCCGGGAGTCATTGTTCCCAAAGTTTTTCAACATGTTACACAAACAGCGCGGTTTATTGTAATTAGCACATTTCTTAGCATTACTCGACTTTAGGGTCGCTTGGTTTTCTTGGATTTCTTCGGCAGCATCCTTTAAGCGTGGCCATGCAAGCTTGACCTGAAAAAAGTCGCTTCAAACTGCTACCAAATCTGCTGAGTTTATTTGGCACTGTTAAGATAGCGCCTTGGCCAGGGGGAAGCTTCTTTTATAATGAAGTTTTTAACCATGGTCTGGTATAGTGGTTAGGCTTTGGAGGGGCCCTGGCACAAAACGAGAGGCAAGCCTGTGCAAAAGCATGATAAGTATGTGCTTTGTTCCCAAGCCACAAACGACATGCACGAGGAGTAAAGCTATAGAGGCTTAGCGGCTCGATGACGAAAAAAATTTTCAATTTAGACGAGGCGAATGAAAACGGTGAAGTCATCAAGGCTGGAGCAATTTGGCCATGTAGGAGAGCAGCCTACAACCTAGTTCACGAAATAGTATTTCATATATCTCTAAAATATTAATAATTAGCTTATGCCCACTTACCGAGGAAACTCATCAAGGCCATACCGGCCACCAAACCGAACATGCCAACGGCAACCTTGAACCATCTGGCCTTCATAAGTCCACCCAGAAGCCAGTCGTGGTTCAACATCTCAATGAGACCGACCCACAAAAGAACACCGGCGGACAAGGAGTTCAAGGTTCCCAAAGCAACAATGGTGTCTGGGTCGTTACCGTTAAACTGGTTCAACACACCGATACCAATGGCCATACCCACAGGGGTGGTGACGGCGAAACCAGCGCCCATGGCGAGCTTGGTCCAGATGGAGATTGTGTTCAACTCGGCGATTCTGGTACCCAACGCAACACCCTCGAAGATCTGGTGGAACAAAATGACAATGAAAAGAGTGATGAAAGATCCGTTGTCGTCTGGGTTGACCACCAACGTGATACCAATAAGAACCGAGTGGAAAACGATACCAGCCTCCAAGAGACCCACAGCAACCTTGTCCTGCTTGGCCACAGCGTCAAGGTGGTGATGGCCGTGCTCCTCGTGGTCGTGGTCGTGGTCGTCGTTCAGGGATTTACCGTTGATCTTGTCCTTTTCGTCGTCAGAAGATCTGCCCTCCTCCTCGGAGCCAGCGATACCGCTAGCAGCCTTGAGAGTGTTGATTCTGGACTGCAACCATCTGCCCAAGAAGAACTCAATGCAGAAGGCAATGAAGATACCGGCCATGGCGATGGACGTGGCGGTGGCCTCGTAATCAGTGTGCAAACAGTCACTCTCAAACAACATCTGGGCGTGAGTCAACAAGTGCACAAGGGCGGTGGAGAGAACCACACCGGTACCAAACTGTCTGAACAAGGTGACAAGAATGCCGTCCATGTGGTCGGAGAACCATCTCTTGACAATGAGCGGAGCGTAGACACCAATGAAGTCACCGGCCAAAATGGCAAAGATGAGACCGATTCTCAAGGGAATGTTGTATTCGTTGTCAGGAACGTCACAGGAGGTGGCCTCGTGAGAGTGGGAGGAGCTGCCGCTCTTGGGCACACAGTGGGGCACACCGGCGTGGTAGTGGCAGTCCATTTCCTCATCGTCCTCGCCACCGTCACCGCTGGAAGCCTCCTCGGCGACAAACTGGAACTCGTTTCCAGAGCTGTCCAAACAGAAAGTTTCAGTTGCGTGAGCGTGGCAGCCAGTGAAGGATTCAGGAGCAGCAGATCCAGATGGAGCAGGCGTAATGACACCCTCGTTGCCGGCACCGTCGATACAGAAAAGGTCGTCGCCGTGATTATGACAGCCTGTCACAGCGGTGGTTTGGGCATCCACACTGCTGGCACTGCTGGCACTGCTGGCAGCGCTGCCACCTTCAACAGCGAACAACACCTCGGAGGAGCCGTCCATGCAATAAGTGTCAGCGCCGTGAGCATGGCAGGAAGTGTAGGAGCTGGGGCCTGAGCCTGTAGGAGCAGGCAGCACCTGGCCTTCATCGCCGTCGGTGTTGATACAGAAGTAGTCAGAACCGTGGGCGTGGCATCCAGTGATGGAGTCGGCTTGAGCAGTGGCCACTAGGGCAGCAATGGCATACAAGGACTTCCAGAGCATCAGAAAAAAACGTGGTTGAGAAGAAGAGTTTGCAACCGTTGCGGGCTCTATAAGTGCTGCCGTGAGATGGCATGCCAAGACTTTTTTTGCAACCACCGGGGTGTTATTTCTGCCACGACAATGGAGTGCCAAGCTTCGACGAACAGGTGGCTGCTTGTGCGCCGCATGCGCTACATTAGGGGGACTCCCCGCGAGCCTGGCATAGTGGGCCTGGCATAGTAGGCTTGAAGCGGTGTGCAGAGCACCCTGGAGAAAGGGAAGCGACCTCGAGGCACGGAGATGCGGGTGGATCTTCGATCTTGTGGCCGCGCCTATCGTGCAGAGGCTGGCGCTACTGACGATGATACTGCATACATGCAATCGTCGGTGACGCAAAGATGGCATGCAGCGCAGCCGTGCAGAGGCTTTGCAGATCAGGACCTCAAGCCGCTCGCCTAGGCATAAATGGCTGCAACGGCGGGACCATGGTGGTTAGGGCGGCTTAGGGAGGCCTTGGCGCTAATTAATGGAAAATCCAGAGGTGCTGATAAATACTGGCGACTCTGCACGCATTGCCAAATTTCCCCTAACCCTCGCTCCATGTTGTTCAGACAAATTGCCCTCTTTTCTGGTGTTTCTGCCGCTGCCTCCGTCACTGGCTGCCATTTCCACGGCTCCGACTACTTTTGCAACGACGAGGATGGAAACCACGGTTTGGTGACTCCAGCTCCATCCGCCACCGCAGATGCCCCTTCGTCGTACACCTCGTGTCACGCCCACGGCACCGACACCTTCTGTATGGTTGGAAGCGACGAGGTTCAGTTTGTAGCTGAGACTGCCACTGGTTCTGAGGCTCTGGGCTCTGCTGCCGCTCACGACCATGACCACGATCACGATGACCATGATCACGATCACGATGAAGACGACCACGACCATTCCCACGGCTCTGGTTCTGGCGACGACGACGAGATCACCGGCTGCCACTACCACGGCTCCGACTTGTTCTGCAACGACGCTGACGGAAACCACGGCTCCATCACCCCAGCTCCTTCTGCTACTGGTGACGCCCAGCTGAGCTACTCTGGCTGCCACGCCCACGGCACTGCTACGTTCTGCTTCGACTCTGCTTCTTCCGAGGTGCAATTCGTGCCAGACTCCAACGGCCACTCTCACGCTCACGCCGGCTCCAACGTTTCCAACGGCTCTAACACTACAACCACCGGCACTGGAAGCACCTCTGGCACCACCACTGGCACCGCCACTGGCACCGGAGCTACTACCTCCTCCGACAACGGCGCCGTCAAGGCTGGTGCTTTTGGCGCTGCTGGTGCTGCTCTTCTCCTTGCTGGTTTGTTCTAAACCGAAAGCGGCAGTGACTGGCTGCGAAAAAAAAAAAATCTTAATATATGCTGTTTAATTGCATGCGCCGCCGCGTGGCCGTAAAAAAAATTCTGTAGGCTCAATTGCATAAGATGAGCAAATTTCCGAAAAACTTCCTCTTCGGTGCTCGAGGCAGCATAACCCCAGCTTCGATAAAGTGCTATTGTCGGTGGAATTTGCGCTCAGCGGCTCATGTTTTAGAAGCGCATGGCTCAGAATGGAACGCCGCACGCCGCACGCCATGCGTGAAAAAATTTGTTTCTCATTCTTTTTCCCGCATTGTTGACTCTCTCAATATAGGCCAGTAGCCCTGTGATGGAGACAAGCCACTGACAGGGGACCCAAAAAGCTTTTGTTTTCCAATGAGCATTTCATCTCCGCTCTTGAGCAACCAATTGCCGTGATCTTCGGGATCTTCCGCTGTGACTTTCTTACCCCGGAATTCACATGCTGGGCCAATCACAGCGCACCCAGCAAGTCCACCTACATACTTCGTTGCACGGTTCTTTTCCAGGGTCCAGCGTTGAGAAGGCTTGTTCTGCTTTGTGTAACATTTTCCAATGAGCTCGATGAGCTGCTGCCGTGAATGGAGTGGTACCCTCTTTGTCACGCTAAAGTACATGGCATAACGTCATGATGCAAGCCACGCGGCTGCGTTGAGTGGTAAATCCGAGCCAGACATGGTTGCAAAAGGCCTGCTCTAGCAACCTGAAAGCTTTGGTTCATGGAAATATCCTCCTCTGCCAATTAATTCTGACGGAATTATAAGCAAAACCCCTGAAGCTTCTCGATCATTGTCAGGCATTCAGGGGTTCCCCTCACGCCCAACTCCATAAAAGAGGCAAGCAAGGAGCCCTCGAGCTCCATAACCAATGTTGTTTCTTCCCATTTTTGCACTTCTTGGCACGCCAGTCCTTGGCGAAGACGCCAGAACTTACGAATATTCGGACGATCGTCTCTTTACTGTGGTTTTTTCTGGGTCCAATGTCGAGGACTTGGCGACTACAACGACCACCATTGCTAAAGATTCTTCAACCAGAGTGAGGACTTTTCTCACCTACACGGGTGAAGGGGCCCGCCCTACAGGGGAAGCTTCTTTGAACGATACGGATGAGAGCGACCCGGAGCTGGATGCCGAAGACTTGTACTCGTCTGATGACGATGGAATTTTCATTGACATGCACGAGGACGACGAGGCTGGTTCGGCAAGCAGTGAAGCCTCGTCTGGAGCCTCTGCAAGCGACTCCGGAGCCCTGGCTTCTCCACTGGGCTCAGGAACTTCAGCCTCTGGTTCGGGATCTGAGACATCGGGTGCTTCAGGATCTGAGACATCGGGTGCTTCAGGATCTGAAACATCGGGTGCTTCAGGATCTGAAACATCAGGGTCAGGAGTCACCGTTTCCAGTTTTGAGACATCTGGAAACAACGGCGCTGCTCTTAGCAACGGTCTTGGAGCGTTGTTCGCAGCAGTTGCCTTGGCTCTCTTGTGAGACCGTTTGTTTGTTTTTTATGTACGAATCCATGTTTCAATGGTGCCAAGCCTGTTTGTTCTGTAAGGTCTATCTTCTTGTGTTCCACGTAAATGTGTCTACGTAAATGTATCTACTTTGGACCTTTGTGGCTCCGAACGTTAATGCCCAACACCGGAGATAGCTAGCATCTGGGCACCAAACCACGCATGGCATGTCCAGCAGGGTTACAGAAACGAGCAGTCACGGAGACATGTATTTGATGTGGGATGTTTTGAGGGAGTTTTTTGCTGATTGGCTGGTTACAATTAGCCGAGGTAAGGAGAGCAAGAAAGGCACTTCTACAAGACGAAATAGATGGATTGCTTGAGCTGGCTGACTTCTTGTGAAAAGTGAATATTTCTGGATATCAGGAAGAGATCACATCTTTTTTTTGTTTTTTTGACTTCGTTGCTGGCACCCAAGGGATGTTGAGATGCTGATTATGACAGTAAGCCTTGGGAAGGAAAACAAAGAGTTTCCAATGGAGATACCCAAAACAGTTGTTTACAATACTTAATTTCAAGCTCTGCGGACGTTGGTCCCTTGGCTTATCCAGTTGGTTGGATTGGTCAGATTAGACTAATGGTGATAATCGGAGTCAGGAATCCATCTATGCCCCACCGCTCAGCATCTCTCCTGATAATCACATTTTGATTAAATTAAGTACATTGAACTCACCAATAACCATTTGAGCTGTCAACTGTTCATTTTCAGCGCATGTCTCCTATGACGAAGGCTGCACCTCTCTGGTCAAACGCACTGTCTAAAAGGTACCGTAATTCCGAAATCCGAGAATGCTTAGCCTAAAAGCAGTTGACCTAAGCTCATCATCAAATCACACAGAGATCAGGATTTTCGAACTTGATCTGGCGAAGCGATAACGGTTGAAGCGCTTTGCTATAAATAGACAGCATACCCGGAGATACCACTCGCATTCAAAGGTGTTCTGATATCAACGGTTTTCGGACTTATGACCACCATAGCCTTCACATTTCGTACATACCACCGACCCAGCCGCTCTTCAAGCAAAATAAAACACCGGCGAGTGCTTAAAATAGAATATCAACACCTCCATAGCGCACCCCAAAACACTTTAACCCTTTTGCAGCCATGTGTAGCGGCACTTAATCAAATGCCTTCTGTGGTCGAATCTAGACTAGACCGGCAAAAGCGTTGAAATCACTGAGTGTCTCGGGAAAGAAGATAAAAGTTACAGAGGCTCGAAAGAAAAATCGATGTCCTGATCTATTGCTGCACAACAAAGCTTAAAGGCTTCCACACATATAGACACTTATAGAGGCATCACAAAACAAGAACACCAAGACGTGGTCCAGACCCTTCCCCAGACCATCATAACCCATTCCTTGCTGTTGCTCCACAACTCTCCGATCCCGGTCCAGGTGTGGTTGCGAGCAAAGCGTCACACGACCAGTTGCCCAAACGCCTCAAATTCTGCTTTTGTAAGCGGCCGTGACAAAAATAGACATATTTGGTCCTTGAGCCTCATTAGGCTGCCTGAAGGAGGCATAGCAAGGTTTGGGGATGCACTGTGTCTTAACTCGACTGCCACAGCCGTACACAGTTTGACAAGGGTCCTCAGGGGCTTTGCTGCCAGAGAACCTCGCTAGAAGCTTTGCGTAATAGTAAGAAAAATCAAAGAATAGATTATGACTTTCGTGATTTGGGCGATTTTTGGTGAGCCTAGGTAGATCAAAACGTCAATGAGAACGGCATCAACAATAGTGGAGCCATTTGCAACCTCGCAGAAGACTTGATTAAACCCGTATTCCGAGTGACAAGAAAACAATGGATGCAAAACTGGCTAAACCGGAGCAAACAGTATACATGGGACAGCGGCGGCGTCCGAGCTCACGCTGTTGGATCCACACCGCCATTGGAAAAAATTATAAATATCCGACCATTTCTCCCATTTCTCTCTCTTCATCACATAAATCAAACATCATCATGATCTTCGCTCCAGCTGTTCTCGCTCTTATTGCAGTGCCTGCCATGGCCGAGGAAACCCAGTCTTACGTCTACTCTGACGACGGTAAGGTCTTCACTGTTACCTTCTCTGGTGACGAGGTCAGCAGCATTGCTACCAAGACCAACACCATCACCGAGTCCGACTCCACCCGTACCAGAACCTTCATCACCTGGATTGGCGAGGGTCCTCGTCCTACAGGTGCTTCTACCTTGGACCACGGTAACGAGCTGGACTCAGACGAGGAGGACTTGTGGTCTTCTGACGACGAGGGTGTTTTCCTTGAGTGGCCTAGTGGCACCTCTGTTTCTGCCGATGACGATGGAAACAACACCGACAATGACCCAGACAGTGACTCTGACGACGAGTCTCCTTCTGGAAGCGTTGCTCCAGCTGCTTACCAGAGCACTTCTCAAGAAGCTGCTGAAACCAATGGTGAAGCCAGAACCTACACCTACTCAGACGATTCTATCTTCACTGTGACTTTCCAGGGTGCTGGTGTTGAGGACATTGCCACCACTTTGAAAACCATCACTGGAAGTGACTCCACCCGTGAGAGAACCTACCTTACCTACACTGGACAAGGTGCTCGTCCTACTGGTGAGACCTCCTATGGAGGTGCTGATGACTCTGATGCTGAGGACTTGTACTCTTCTGATGATGATGGAGAATTCCTTTCTTTGCACGAGGCCGAGGAGGAGGTTGCTTCCAGCTCTGCTGCTCCAGCTGCTTCTGGAGCTCCGGTTGTTTCTTCGTTTGACAATGCCGGTGAGGCTGCTTCCTTTGGAGTCAAGGCCGTTTTGGCCGGTCTTGCCATGGCTCTTTTGTAGGTGCCGACACCAAGCAAAATTGATTTCGAGTTGAGTTTTAGTTCTTTTTAGTTGTTTTATAAATCATGCCGCATGAAGTAACTTGTAGAATGGTAGTAGGCTCGTCAGACATTGTCGCATTTGCAGCCATTTTCCGCGACCTCGACCCCAGACTTCTCTGTGCAGCACCGTTGCTGCCAAAGCGTTGTATACACTACACCGGTGTCAACCGGCAGTGAAAGTTGCCGTGATCGAGACCATTTTATTAGAAAAGTTCTGGAAACGATTCATTTATCTGAGTATTCTCCTGAGTGATGTTATTTTCTCAAAAACCGTCCTCGTCTGGGGATTATTCATTCGCCATTGGCGAGACCCCATGCTCTCTACGCACTCCACACAGTACTATCTAAATTTTGGAAATCTCCATACGAATCAATTCACCCCATCAGCCCTTTTTCGTCATGGATACTCAAAAATTACACGAGGAAGGCCTCAAGGAGGTCCAGCCCAAGCTCGTTGGACCCGAAAACTACTCGCTCTGGAAAAACAACCTCTTCATGGACCTCCACTACGCTTACCCTTACTTGTGGAAGTTGGTCAGTGAAGGCGACGAGAAGGTCAAGCTGGAGGTTCAGGATTTCGACAAAATCAAAAAGGAGGCCGATGACGTGCTCAGCGAGAGAATCAAGAACGGAATCGACGAATCGCTCAAGGGCAAGAAGCCATTCGACAAGACCATCACCACCGACAACTTCAGCCAATTGGACGAGGAGTTCGACGACAGCACCCCTGAAAACAGAGCCAAGGCGTTGATCTACTGGTTTTCCGGTATGACAGGCCAGACCAGAAAGGTGGAATCCCAAGCACAGGACACAACGCTGAAGTGGGTGTTGCTCGTGGACGACTTTGAGGAGCTCCTCTTGAATGTCTACTTCCACTACGAGATTTCTTTCGAGGATTTTGTGAAAATGTTGATCCAAGGCCTGAAGCTCCATGCGCAACATAAAGAGGCAACCTTCATCTCCCAGGCTGTGGTTATCGCATACGAAGAGAACCACACACTAAAGAAGAGAACGACACCTATAAAAGCTGTACGCTGGGTCGCTTGTACCACGCCGTTTGGCGAGGCCGGTGGAGCGGTGGAGTTCATGTCTCATAGCAGGATGCTGTTTGAAGAAAACGCCGTTGAAAATTTGGGGAACTACGAGCAGAAAATGCCCTACAGACTCAAGTTCAACGACGAAGGCTTGTAAGGCCAGACGCCTCCTTCGGATGAATTCGGCCGGATATTAGCCAGCCACCGTCTGATCTCGATTTGCACCCGACGATGCCTGGATTTTCACTAAAGCCTAGCTAGTCTCTAGACTATCCTGTCTCGAGATGCCTCGGATGTGCCTCGAGCCGTCTGCTGGGTGGCTGCAACAGAGATAAGTCGGACTTGATTGGTCTACATATTGGTATTATTTCATGTGCTTGGCGACGGATGCCATTTTGGGCAAAAGTGAAGCCACTATAGCGCTGTGCACACTTCCACAATAGCTATGTAGTGCACGCTGATCTCTATCAATGAAAAGTAATGAGAGCACCTACGCACACAATTGGATAATCGTCCGATTGTTCATTATTTGTACAATGTTAATTACATCGCTTGTCTCCTCGTCAAGGACTACGCGACCAACTCTGAAAGCTCCTGGCGATCATTATGCCGAAGCGAACAGATCGCATAAGCATGGTTGATCGTGTGGTCTAGAGTCCCCCCTCACTGTATCCCAAAGGTTCTAGTAGTACAACACAAGACTGCTGCAGCCCCGGCCAGCGGTGACGGCAGCGGCCAAAAAAAAAAGATTAGTAGCTGATGCTGAGGATTTCTCCGTTTCTGTCATGGGGTCCTCTCATTCTGAGGTAGGGGTCCAAGAAGACGTAGTTCTGTGCTCTGGCCTTCGAGAGACGGATTTTCTCGTCGAGGTAGCCCTTGGACTCTTCTGGTGTGGTGGATTCGATCCACTTGATGGTGGCCTCGATGAACTTGATGGTCAATTCGTCTCGCTGTCTCAAGAGGTTCCCTAGCAACGCATCGGGGTCCTTCTTTCTCGAATTGAACTCGGTGGGCTCAATGTACGTGGGAATGTGCTTATCCTTGCCGCCCAAGGACTTGGGAATGTACTTCGACTCGATGTACTTCCTCAACTCCTCGTAGGTGTGGGTGAAGACAAGCTTCTCCCTCAAGTGGGGCCTCATCCACTTGACGATGATGTTCCACATGACGCTGAAAATCTTGGGGGCCTTGTGGATATACACCTTTTCCACACAGTCGGGGTAGATTCGCTGGAAGAGCTTGACTGCCATTTTGACGGCGTGGAAGTCGGCGTTCTTGAGCGTGAAACCGGTCAAGTCGAAAAGCACATGGGCCTGGTCCACGCCTTTCTTGAACTCTTGCATGGCGAGGTTCTGCCACTCGAAGTTCATGATGATGAGCTTTTCGTAGTCGCCGTCCGGACAGTTCAGGCGGAAATGCTCCTTGGCACGTACCACGACCAAGGGGCAGCCAGTACGCGAGTTTCCACGAACGTACACTTCGTTTCTTCTGAAAGCCTCGATAAGCTGCGGCTTCTTCCCTTCGAAATACGGCATGGCGTCGCCGTCAAACACAATATCCGTGATGGGGTACTTGTTGATGCGCCAGTCCAACACCTCGGCAATCCATTTGAGCGAAGCCTTCCGGTCATTGTGGGAGAGCCGAACGAACCTGAGGAGGTAATTATCGGCACTGCTGTTCTTCACGCTGCTCCACAAGCTTCTGTGGAGATCCTCGGGATGTACCTCGACAACGCTGGATGCTCCTCCTGGTGGTATAACGAGAACGCACCGCTGCTGGCGTCATCTAGCCCTCCTGTTTCTAACGAGTAGTAGACGCTTTTGATGTTTGTATTGGAGGACTGGAACGCAAACGAAGAACCTCCAGAGCTCACCAGCAAGGAGTCCTTCAGCACCAGCAGAACAGAGTCGGCTCTTCTGCCGTGGAGGCCTGGTTTCGAATTAACCAAAGACTTGCCCAGCTCCAACTCGTCAAGCTTGAGCGAAAGCTCGTACCCAAAGAACTTGAGCAAAATGCCCCACGCCTGCTTGAGCACGATCTCCTGCGCAGGGTCCATCGACCACACACGGCCCTGTTGTATACGAGTAGTCATTAGATAAAAAAAGACGGCGGCTCTTGGATCTTATAAGGATCTCTACCGCTGCGAGGGTGCTGCAGTACTGCACAGAGCAGGCCGCCCTGCGGGTGCGACGCGAGTCATCACTTGTCCTCATCATTTAATGCCGTGGGTTCCAGAGGGGAGTACCCAACGGGGCAGGAGAAATTCTGCTTTAAAAGAGGAAGTACGAGAAAATTATGGAGCGTGTGGATCTGTATTTATAATGAGGGACTGGCCGCCCTCGCTTAGTGCAAGATTCACATTTCTCGCTTACTTCGCTTCGAGCCCTTTGTGCTCTTCTCCCGAGACCCTGCCTGATTAGGCAATGCCAGGTTGCCCACTCGGGCGCGGCATGTGACTGCGGGTGATTCTTTAGAAGCAGCTCGGCTTTAGTTGAGGAAACCAGAAGAAAAAAAAAAAAAAAAAAAAGATGAGTCCTTCAAATCATCTTCAATTAAATCAATCGCTCTTTCCTGGCCAGGCAGCATCGGCATACGAAGAATTCCGGGCCTCACATTCCCCTGTGAAACTCCGCCCTGCAAGCCTCCAGCTAGTGCGCAAGGGATCGCCAGTCTAGCAGCCCCATTAGGCCAAATAATTAGAGTTGGCTTGCATCGCGACGCCAGAAAATCATTGTGTGCTCAAGAGAATCCTTCTCTTCGCTATGGTTGTTCTTTGTTTCGTGAAGAGCCGCTTCCTGGGCATTTCGCAGCCGTCTACGGACCATGATGCTCCGGGGGGCTCAAGCAGAAAAAGCGGCAGATCAGGGGGGCTGGTCCAGGCATTGAGGCAGTGATCTAAGGCAGTAGACTTTCGAGAGGTCGGGTCCAGGCAGCACTGTACTACCGGGATCTTGGCGTTTCTCCTGATCCTGCTGAAGCGAGTCCGCTAATCCATGTATGCTCATGTCGAGAAAAGCGACCTTGAAATGACAAGGCCAGAAGGGGCGGTACCCACGGGGCTGAAGAGCAAATGCAACGTAGCTGTCATTTTCACAAGGCTGGCGTCTTTAAAATCACAGGGATCGGTTTGTTGCCCTTTTAGTCCGCCTGCTGGCCGTGACGCAGGGCTGCTAAACCAGCATCCACACAAGCGCAGGGGACAGCTTCCACTGCTTGGCTTGATTTCTGGAAAACCCTTACCATCCGAATGACTCGGTGTGGAGGCAGATTTCCTCGATGAACGGCTGGTTTTTGTCGGACGAGACGATGGCCGTTTGGTACCCTGCGACAGCCTGGCTGACTGTACGTTTCATGAGGTCACTGCCCGAACTCACCACGAGATTGCGGCGTAGCATCGTCTGGCTGTAGTCTGCCATGATATTGTGCACATCGGGGCGGCCGTAGTGGGTGTTGAAGCCAGAGGGTACGCTCTCTTCCTCGAAGGTTGGGGTAACCTCTTTTTCCTTGCTGCTCCATGAATCTTTGTGAATCGAGGCAGCGTCGGAACCGCTTTCTCCGGCAACATAAATATTTATATTAAGCTTGCTGCCGGCCTGGGCCATGGCCTCGTTCAATTCGTGTCTGATCCAGCCAATGTCGCTCTCACGACGGATAATCCACCTAAAGTCGATTCTCTGCACCACCAGCTTGGTCTCCTTGACAAGGGATAAAAGATAAGGCAAGGTGACGGTGACGCCAGAGCCTGTAGCCACGAGAAGCACGGAATCGAAGGCGTGGTGGTTTCTGGTGGTACCACCGTATGGACCGTCCAAAATGACTTTTTTCTTGATTGCAACAGCATGGTCCAACTCGTCGTGAAGCTTTCTTGTGAGACCGGCTTTGGGGACGATGATGAAACGCAACTTCTCCTCCTCCTTGATCGTGGCAATCGAAAACGGATGGCTATCCACAATTCTCTTACCCACAAACCTCAAGAAACAGTGCTGGCCCGGACGCCACGAGAGCCCATCAATACGGTCAATGGAAACCTCAAAAGTGTTGCCGTCCAACTTTCTGATGTCGGCTTCCTTGAACTTCAAGAAGCCAGAGCCAGGCTTGCAGAAAGTCTTGACGACTATACGACAGATCCACTGGGCACCCCAAAATGCAGTAGTTACCCAGATCCACTTCTCCTGCTCCAATTGGTCGTATACGTGAACACCAAGGGAAGCCACATACCCAAGACCAAGAAGCCAGTGGAGATGGAACGAGAGCTCGTACATCTTTTCACGAACCTGCTTTTTGAAAAGAGCACACAACAAGATGAGAAAGATGGTAGGTGGCCAGCCGGTAACGTAGAGGTAGTCCTTGTTCACCTTGGCGAGATTCTCCACACCTCCCTCCTGCAATGGCTGGTAGATGAAGGGAATAGTGTGAACAAGTCCAAGTACCAAAGCAGCAACACCCACAAACTGGTGAATCCAGTTCAATTTCTCGTAGCTGATGCCGGTGAGAATGGTGATGGCATTAACCTTGCCGGCAAGAATAAGAATGAATGGCGTCAATGCCGTACCCATGATGCCTGCTCTCACTGCCAATGGAGGAGAACCGAATCCTCTGCATCCTCTGTACCAGAAATGGGGAATGAAGCAGAAACAGAGGAGGTATCCCGATGCAATGAACGAATAGATCACCGATCCGAGCGAGGATGGCAAGCTAAGGTACCTTACAAAGATCTCAGGCACCTGTTGGTAACCGAAAAGACGGCAGTAAGCAGTAATGACATTCGTGAAGGAGGAAAGAATGGATGGCATTTTCCTGCCACTGGAGATGTAGCGATAGTCTCTCCACATGTACCAAAACGACTTCACCATTGCCACAAAGATGGTCGCCACACCAAAGTAGATGGTGACATTCCCATACCAAGGCTGGTCCAACCAAGGCACCTGCTCCTGCGAGAGAGTATGGTACTTCTCGTACATGGGGTCCTTTTTATCAGCGAGGCAGTCGAGGCCATTGTAGGTAACTCCCATGGTAAGATGCTAGAGAAGAAAGAATTTTTCAAAAGAGTGCAAACATCTGGAATTTAAGGCATGCATTTATTTGCCGATAGCCCCTCTCTGTGGAGAGCTGGGCTGGCGAATGAACGCCTTTGTGTTGCACATCGCTTCAGTGAGCATATTGATGAGCATTTTTCCTTACTCAATTCGACGGTTATTTGTCCCGAGAAAGCCTATCGGGCGCCGGCCGTTGGATGCCACACTCAACAATGCAACGGCACTTCCGGGATGTCGAAAATCTAGTTTTTTGACTAATCATGCTTCAAATTCTAGTTTAGCTGTATGATAGGCTTGTAATTCAGCATTCGCAGCCATACTGACACATGCGTCAACATGCTGGCCAAAATGCTCGGCAGGGGTACACCTCAGCCAATTTTTTTTTTTTTTTTTTTTTTTTTTTTTTTTTTTTTTCAGTGCTCGATGGCTCTGAATATGCAATGCAAGAGTCCGTAGACAAAAAACACTAAAGCTCCTCGGCAGAAAGGTCTTGCTTGATGCGGAAGGGCCGCCCACGCCAGCTTACCTCATGGCCCACCATGGCGGTGATCCAAATAGGAAGAGCAAATACCTCTCTCATAACCCAAAATCGGCACCACTGCCACACAGACCTTCTCTTACTGTCCATATGGGCAAACCAGTAGGGCGGTCTCACCACCAGGTCGAGATGGCGCATCCAGATATTGTATTGAACGAAATCACAGATGAGCCAGCACACCATGTGGAAGATGAAAAACTTCCATTTGAAGAGACAGTCCCAGTAGAGCACCGAGAGGCCGAACGTGCCCATGCAGCCACACACAATCAGCTCTGTAGTGGGTTCCACGAGCGTCGCCGCCAACACCATGTACTTACGCACTCTGAGCCAGCGGACCCGTCGGCTGAAGTACTCTTGGATCGAGTCTGTCAGTGAAATGAGTGGCTGCAAAACGACATCGCCCGTGAGAGCCGTACGCCCAAAACAGTACACCCACAAGGCAATTCCGATCATATTGTCTTCGCCAATGTACTTTGCGAAGAAGCCGATGGAGTGGCCTGGGCCTCGTGCCGCTACACGAGCAGCATCGGACACCACAGATTGTTCGTGGAAGAACTCACAGCGTTGTTGCGGGATCAGAGCCACGGCCCGGTCCAAGTCTGACCTTCTATACATGTTTGACTTGCCGTTCACGCAGGGCGCTATCGACAAGTTGTTGAGACTAACGTAGAATTTGGAGTGAGATGTGAACAAGAACATCTCGTCTAGGGAAGAGCCGGCACCAGAGGCGTCTAAAGATACAGCCAACGGCACGTGGTGAACAAGACGGACGGTACGGCCTCTATGGTTGATGCTGGTGCCGCAATTCGTGTTGTTCATCATAGCAGAGACTCCGTTGGCGACGATATTCGGCAGTGCCCACACGTTCAGGTCCAAGATCCACACCAAATCGTACTTGGCCTGTCTGAAGCCCTTGGCCAAGTTGTTCACCTTGGGATTGGGGCCGAAGTAGTCCTGCCCTGGCTCTGAAACGAGAATGCTGGCGTCTATATGTGGGTATTTGGCTATGAGCAGCTGGAGAATCGGCATCGCCGGGTCAGACTCCTCGTACACGCAGAACAAGATCTGGAGTCTCTCCTGGGGGTAATTCTGAAGGAACGACGACTCTAAGCACAGGGAGAGCTCGGGATCAATGCCCTTGATGGGTCTGACGATCGTGACGGGTTCGAGGATATCTAGGTCATGGGACGGCGGCAGCGGTTTTTTGAACACCACGGCAATGCAGAGGAAGCCTGCCAATGCCACCGCCAAAATCACACTGTACCATAATAGCACAAAGGCCGCTAATGCCAGAAGAAGGCCCATTGGTGTTACCGTTGAGAAAAAAGATCAACGCGCAGGCGTAGCGCTTAAGACGTGGAACCGTCGGGCGATGCAGAGGCAGAGGCGATGAGATTGCGGGAAGAAAGAGTGTGAAGTGTTGAGATGAATTTGAAAATTTTGGAAATTGTAGATGTGGGTTCTGGCGAGGTGAAGAGATGCTTTGGAGGTTTGGCTGCAAAACGCGGTGCCGAGTGCCCGAAACTGTCCGGAGAGGGTATAGTGAAAAATGATGAAAAGAGGGGGAACTGAATTTGGGGATCAGTTTTGGATTCAAGGGTTTTGAAGGTGTGTGAGGAAGTTTTGAATAACGGGACGGATTTGGGCATGCGGCGAGGTTACTTCGGTTTGTTGTATGATAATGGTGAGGAACAACAAGCAGCCTTTCACTGAGTCTGTCATTGGTTTTCGAGGCTGGTGGGTTGTGAAAGTTAAGGAGCTGGAATGGGAGAAGGGGCGCTATTTATGCTTTTTTGTGAACTCAAATGTAGTGTTGTGGGACTTACCATTCTTGATGTCTGTCACCTTCGGAAGTAAGCCATCGGTAGTTTCACACACGCTCTGCATTTTTATTGTCATTCAGCGTCGTTTTTCACTCAAATATTTCAATGTGACCCCCATTGAATACCAATTCTCGATCTCTAGTCCTTAATGTATGGTACAATTGCAACAAATGTAAACTCTCCAGGTGGACAGAATTTTCACATTTGCTGCGGTTTTGTGGCATTTTTCATGCCCTCGAGAAGTCCCCGTGTTTCATGAAAACAACACAGTACTTCAATCAAATTCCAACTCAGCCTGGCACTTTCCAAAACCGCCCAATTAAACACATTTGCCCTGTAGCCGTCCCAGAAATTCTCGTGAATTTACAGAACCGTCAATTGATGGACAAACCGAGGATGCAACCCATGTGTTACGCCAACGGCGTGCTATCTCAAACTCCGAGGGTCCCATTTTGTGGGGCTGTCTGGGGCAGCTTCGGATCTCTTCCCCCGGATAACTCCTACGGTCGCCAGGCAAATAAAGCTACTATTAGCGAAAACATGCTGCAGATACGCTTGTTTTCAGGAGAGTCTGTCTGAAGCGGCTTTTCATTGGACCGGCCAAACCACATTTTGCTCAGATAACATGAACAAAGTCTTGTGAAAGATGGCTTACATTTGCTCGAGAGTGAATGAGACTGCTTAGAAGGGGCCAGAGACTGCTTAGAAGAGGCCAGAAAATGCTTAGAAGAGGCCAGAAAATGCTTAGAATCATCTCGTAAATGGCGAATGGCAGGCTGCGAATTCAGCCCGAAAGACCAAGAAATGTGTAGCCTCGGCTGCACCGCCGCTGCTCCGACCAATGAGGATTTCTACAAGTGTTTTTGTCAATTGCAGAGCCTCATCAAGGAAAGGCTCGATATTTTTTAGCAGATCCGTTTTTGTCTTGATTAAACAAATGCGGCGGCAGAAGCCCCACAGACGTCAACCGGAGTCGCTCCGAGGATAATCAGCGCATGCCAGGTCTGTAGAGGGCTCACCAACCAATGAAAAACCGCCGTGCACCTCGTAAATCCTACTTTTGTCGTGACAATGGCTTGGTCGCTGAAACAATCAGGCACAAAACTCTTGTTTTTGTATTGGTGCTGGGCTCCATGACGTAACTGGAATTACGAGGTCCGCGGACGTGAGGATTTGCGCATACCGTGGTGGTGGAAAATTCATCTCAATTGTAGTGGGTTTTGCAATTGCGCACCGACACTTTTGCCTCACTTGAGACTGTCTATCAGTGTTTTTCGGAGCTTCCAGTCTACCCAGGTACCGTTTCAGTGTGGCGGACCGAAATACCCAAACCCCAACAAACAGAACAAAATTCTGGGTTTTCCGTAAACAATTGCCAAAACCATGGCCCATTCTACCTGTTTCATCCGTAAAAAATTCCCTTTCACGCCCGGTTTTGTTTACCATTGATCTCTCTCATTTTTCCGGTTTTTCGGTTTTCGCAGCCACGCTGGACGGTTTTGCCCTCCGCGCAGGATGCCAATGTGAATTTTGCACCCGAGGGAACCGCCAAAGAGGCCCCAAAAAGCTGCCAAACTCAACCTTTTTGTGCCAACGGCTATCGGTAAGGGTGAAACGGCCCCACGTGACCTTGGTGACTCCGAAAAGTCCCCTGACTCCGACCGCCCCCGACACTCAATCATCTCCATCTTTGCGCCCAATGCAGGCTTCCTCGGTTCGCGGCCACCCCCACAATTCACATCCTCCCGCCATATAAAGTCCCCGGATCTCGCCCATTGAATTCGGTACCTTTCTCCCCTCGTACCTTTCTTCCATCAAATGCTAAGAACCGCAGCTAACATGACCAGAAAGTTTTCTTCGTCGGTGCCAAAGGGCGACTTGTTCAAGTACCAGTCGCAGCTCCCCAAATTGCCTGTTCCCACTTTGCAAGAAACTTGCAAAAAGTACTTGAGAACCGTGGAGCCATTTTTGTCTGAGGCCCAGTTGAAGTCCACCACTGCCATTGTGGAGGAGTTCGCCCGTCCTGGCGGCCAGGGTGAGGCTCTCCAGCTGAGATTGGAGGAGTTCGCCCAGGGCAAGGACAACTGGTTGGCTGAGTACTGGGACGACTACGCTTACATGTCCTACAGAGACCCCGTGGTGCCTTACGTTTCCTACTTCTTCAACCACAAGGACGTCAACAACGCCATTGGCAAGAACCAGTTGTACAAGGCTTCTTTGATTGCCTACTACACCACCCAGTTCGCTGGTACCGTTGAGAACGAGACCTTGGAGCCTGAGATCATCAAGGGCAACCCTTACTGTATGAACGCTTTCAAGTACATGTTCAACAACTCCAGAGTCCCAGCTGCCGGCAGTGACGTCACCAAGTTGTACGACCCAGCCGAGCACCGTTACTTCATCGTGGCTTTGAACAACAACTTCTACAAGGTGTACCACCACGACAAGAACGGCCAGCCTTTGTCCAAGGTTGCCATCTACAAGCAGTTGGACTACTTGGTCAACGTTGTCAACCCTAAGGTTCCACGTGGTGTCGGCATTGGTGCTCTTACCTCTTTGAACAGAGACGAGTACTTGAGCACCTACGAGCACTTGACCGGCGCCTCTCCAGTCAACGACGACTCTTTCGAGACCATCTTCGCCTCTTCTTTCGTGCTCTGTCTTGACGACAACTACCCTGTCACCATTGAGGAGAAGTCCAAGAACAACTGGCACGGTGACGGCCAGAACAGATTCTTCGACAAGCCTTTGGAGTTTTTCGTTGCCAAGAACGGTAACTCCGGTTTCTTGGGTGAGCACTCTAGAATGGACGCCACTCCAACCGTCCAGATGAACAACTTTGTTTTGCAGCAGATTGCCAAGGAGGACCCAGCCGCTTTCATCCAGGAGATCGCCAACGACACTACTATTGCCCCAGAGGTTGTTCCTGAGGCTCCTTCTGTCTTGCCATTCGACATCACCGTTAAGGGCAGAGCCGACATTGAGGCTGCCAAGGTGAAGTTTGACGAGACCATTGCTGCTCACGATGAGGAGGTCTTCCAGTACTACGGCTACGGTAAGAACTTGATCAAGCAGTTCAAGGTTTCCCCAGATGCCTACGTCCAGATGTTGATCCAGTTGGCCTACTACAAGTTGACCGGTAAGGTTAGACCAACCTACGAGTCTGCTGCTACCCGTAAGTACTTGAAGGGTAGAACCGAGACTGGAAGATCTGCTTCTGTTGAGGCCAAGAAGTTCGTCGAGACCTTCACTGACTTCAACGCTACCAACGAGGCCAAGATTGCCGCTTTCAACGAGGCTTGCAAGCAGCACGTGAAGTACCTTGTTGAGGCCGCCGATGGTAAGGGTGTTGACCGTCACTTGTTCGGTTTGCTGCAGATGATTAAGCAGGGTGAGGAGGTTCCAGGTATCTTCAAGGACCCAATCTACAAGTACTCCAGCACATGGTACCTTTCTTCTTCCCAGGTCCCATCCGAGTACTTCCAGTCTTGGGGTTGGTCTCAGGTCATTGACGAGGGATTCGGTTTGGCCTACTTGGTCAACAGTGACTGGTTGCATGTGCACATCTCGTGTAAGAAGGGTTTCGGTTTGAGATCCGACTACATGAAATACTACTTGACCGAGGCTGCCAACGAGATGAAGCAGGTCTTGTCCACCCAGTTGCCCGCCAAGTCCAAGCTCTAAGCGCCACTCTGTTCATATGATAGAACTTATCAAAAGTATTTATGTTAAATGTTGTAGAATGACTAGACTGATATTCTCATGTGAGTAACCTGACCGGTTCGCATTATACAGCCTCTACATACTAACGATCCTTATCACATAGTGTGCATACACCGTCTATCAGTGCCTCCACACTATTTCTACTACTCCGTCTCTTCCACATCTACTGCGTTCTTTTGCATATGACTAACCAACTCACCATCTACAATGCCCACAATGGTGAAAGTGTGGTTTTGAGTAAACCAGTACGCTACCACACGCTACAAAGTTTCAAGGATTTCCTCCTAGAGTCCTTCACGAAGTATACAATTGCCTCCCATGAGAATATCTTCCTTCTCACGTCTTTTGGCATGAAGCTCAACTATTCCATGATAAACGAGATGACAGATATTTACGTGTACGACAAGCGCCTATTTGCTGCGTCCAGGGACCCCAGTTTGGGACCACGGTACCTACTGGATAGTGAGGACGATAACTACATGTTACTAAAACCCACAACATTTGGCGTGACAGAGGTCCCCTCAAATGTCAAGATGCTTTCATCGACCCTCCGAAACTATGAGTCGTGGGTCAATGCTCGTTTGTTGGGAGCTTCTCGAGTGCAAGACCAAATGGAGCGGGTGATTCGCCACATCAACGTCATCTTTAAGTCGCTTAGCGTGATATTCCAGTTTGCTGCTAGTTTCGTGAGCGGGATGGAAAAGAGCTTCGACGGTTTCTATAGCTATCTCGCTACATTAAACAAGAAGTCTTTGCATAAGGTCTGGGAGGACCGCTACTCGCAGCTCAAGGAATACCCTCGGATTTCGTTTAAACTGGATCCCAGTAAGTCCATTGCACTTGCTGATTATCTAGATTACGAGTCATTGAAGTCCGCAGCGAAATTCGTGGACCAAAACTTACCCCAGATTCGAGATACCTTCAACGACTTTTCCGCCTCGGTGAACAAAATCAATGCTGAGAAGCTACAGGTGGATACCAAAATTGAAGAGCTACGGAAAGAATCCATTTCCAATTTCAAGACCTGCGATACGTCTAGGAAGTCATATTCTGACGACTTGTCCTACTTGGGTAAGAGGATCCATTCGGAGTTGGAAAATACCACAAGCTCAAACACCCTGGACCTTCAACAAGTATACTCCCGCCAGATGGAAACTGCATCAGAGGTGTTCTCACACTCGGAATCACTATTTGAGCTCTTAGAATCGTTATACTCCTTTAAAAAGAAGCTTACCAATCAAAGCTTGTCCATATTTGAGAGCATCGCCTCTCTACAAATGAAGACGGTTAGCTTAAAGGGAGAAATGAAGCTGTTGCTTACACCTACCGAGAAACATGAAGATGAATCACAAGGCGACCTTCCTGTTCATAAAATCATCGACAGGATTCGAGAAGCTGGCGATCTTCTCTCATTGACGGTTGACCTACCTCTCCTATTTGGCTTTCTTCTTATTGAGAAGCGACGCCAGTTTGAATGGCACGACTTCTATTCTAAGGGTATCGTGAAAAATGTTTCCGAGCAACTTTCCGTACTCATTGATCATGAGAAGGCTTTTCAGAAGTTGTGGTTGAAAAAGTTTGGAGTATTTTTGAAGTTGCTCGGGAATGACAAAAACTTTCGTGTGCAACTCCCTACTATAGATGTTACACTCGTGAATGGGGAAGTCGCTAAAAGGCAAGATTCGGTGGTTGAGATCATAGATGATGTTGTGGTGGAACGTGAGGACATCACAAATTTCATCAACTTGGTGAAAAACCACCTGTCTAGTAATGGTCTGAGCTTTGCAGGCCTCCTCGAGAAAAATTTCAAGGATTTAATCACTTCTACCGACGGCTTGAAAAGAGTTACTCGTGTCGTCAGTTCATTGGGGTCATTGTCGCCCGAACAGCTGCAAATCATTACACGCTCTCAAGTTCTTAATAGTCACGACCAGAAGCCAGGTAATGTTGTCGATGACTTTGATTTGAATCTCATTAGGGGCTTGAGATCCAGAATCTCCAAGCTTGAAGGTCTACTTCACCAGCAGCAGTATGCAAACATATCCAACTGGCCTGTGGTGAAGTCTAACGATCGAAAATTATCCCAAGGTAAAGAAAGCATGCTAGTCGAAAACAATACAAGACCGGTGAGAAGTCCTTCCACTGGTGATCCGACTAGTCTTCTTATGAGAAACCCAAGCAGCCGAAAGACATCCACTAGCAGCGCTAGTGTCAAAGCAATGGATGCATCGACAACAATCGACAAGCATGTTGACAACATTAGGTTGAGGAAAGAAGTCAACGAGCTTAAGATATCTCAACTGTCTATCTATCAAGAAAACGACTCTCTTCGCAAGGCGCTTGATGAGGTGAGACGGGAATCTCAAGAAAAGGATTTCCAAATGAGACAGATGCAGCAGGATTATGAGGAGAAGCTTCAGATTTCAGAGAACGTCATCAAGGATCTTGGTAACAAGCATTCAGAAGAAATGAAGGCCTTGATTGCACAGAATGCTTCTGAAGTTGAGCAGTTGGAACAGAAACACAAGGGCCTTGACCAGAAGGTTATCAACCATGAGGCTATTGTGCGTGAAAATGAAGATTTGAAGAAGAAGTTGACCACACTCGAGGATGAATTGAAGCAGAAAGCCAGCCAGGCGGACGAGGCTACCGATTATAAGGTCCGGTTTGAGAGTCTCAAAGACGAATTCAAAGATGTTCAAGATCTCAAACAAGAGCTTCTTTCAAATATGCATGCCAAAGAAGCAGAGTATGCAACCGAGAGAAGTCACCTCGAGACTGAGTTGAAGGAGTTGAACCAGAAATTTGACGAAAGGACTGAGGATTATGAGAACTTGATGGAAGTCACTCAAACAAAGCATCATAAGCTGGAGGATATAATTGGACAGCTCAACAGAGTTGTCAGAGAGCTTTTTGCCGTAATCCTCGAGACTACCCAGAAGAATTTTGAAGACTTCAAAGAGTTCTGTTACATCTTGGAATCTATGGGCTTACTACTTGTCAAAGAGGCAGATTCAAAGTCCGACGTCAACAAGTTTGAATATAAAGTTCGCAGAGTCAAAGGCTTGAGATCCAAGAAGAGTAATGGGGAGGAAGCCCTAGACTCACTCATCATTCCAGATAAGAACTTCCACACCAACGTGGTTTCTGAAGTCGAAAGTAGTATGGCTTGGCGAGAAACCTTGGGTACTTTGGTCCCATCTTCAAAAGTCGATTTGGAGGCTGAGAGTGCTGACGATGTCAAGAGTACTGGTGAAGCCGACAAGGAAGAAGCTGAAGCTGCAAAACTCATTGAAACATACTACAATGCTTTTGGCGACTCGGATGAGAAGAATAAGTCTGACTTCTCCAAGTTTCTTAAGCTCATCTCCTTTTCTGAAGATATTCAACTACAATTGCAAGATGAGAAGAATGCTATTGTGAACCAAAAGTTCTTCCTTAACGGCATATTTAAGCGTTTCAAGGACGTTGAGGGTTTTGCCAAGAAGCTTTCCAAGGAGAACAAGACTATGAATCAGGAGGTATCGAAGCTCCGTAAGCTGGTGGCCAGCAAGATCACTGTCAACAACTTCAAGGCCGGTGACTTGGTGTTATTTCTCCCAACCCACGTTGATAGAGTGGACGGGCAAACCAGCTCCAAGCCGCCTTGGACAGCTTTCAATATCGAGGCACCTAATTACTTCCTTGATGAAAGCAAAGCGGAGAACGGCAGTAGCCGTGATTGGATAGTGAGTCGCATTGGATCTATTACACAGCATGAAGTGACAGATTCTAATGTTAATAATGTGGCAGAAAATCCATTTCTGCTCAATGTCGGCATTATCTGGTATATGATACAGGCTGAATAGGTAAATACAACTATTCGGGGACGTGGTTGAACAAGTAGGACACACTCTCACCGTTGTGCAATCTTCTGATAGCCTCTGCAATAGTGGGGCTGATGTCTAATATTTCAATTCTGGAGCATCTCTCCAACTTGTCTTCTAAAGGCAAGGAGTTTGTGCATATGATCTTGTCTAGCTTGGAGTTGTTGAGTTTCTCAATTGCGTTCTTAGAGAAGATACCATGAGTAACCATAGCGATCACCTTATTGGCTCCATTTTCCAAAAGCACTTCAGCTGCTTTGCAAAGCGTGCCGCAGGTGTCAGCGATATCATCGATAAGGATACAAGTCTTCTTGTCAACATCACCGACAAGGACCATCTTGGAAACCTCATTCGCCTTTTGCCTCTCCTTGTGGATCAAAGCAAATGGAGTATCTAGCTTGTCGGCAATGGATGCAACTCTTTTGGCTCCACCTGCGTCGGGTGAAACAATGGTCAAGTCCTCGGGATTATAGTGTTCCTTGATGAACCTCAATGTGGATGGTTCAGCGTACAAATTGTCCACTGGAGCTCTGAAGAAACCCTGAATTTGTGAAGCGTGCAAATCGAGAGTAATGACGTGATGGCAGCCCGCCGTTTGTAACAAGTTGGCGATCAACTTTGCCGTGATAGGCGCTCTAGACTTGTCTTTCTTATCTTGTCTAGCATAGAAGAAATTGGGGATGACAGCCGTGATTCTTCTGGCTCCTCCCACACGACAAGCATTGATGAGGAAGAGAAGCTCCATCAAATAGTCATTAATCTTGGTCTCGCCGTAACCGGTCTGAATGATATAGACGTCCTCATCTCTCATTGATTCACCCACGGCCACAGCGGTTTCCTTATTGGAAAACTGAAAGGCCCCCACTTTGGAGACCTTCATGCCTAGCTTGGCGGCAACCTTCTCAGCAAGAGCTCTGTGAGAGTTGCCTGTGATGATTTTTATCAGATTTGGCGTGGAAGGCATTCTGCGGTTGTAGTAGTGAAGAGAAACTGGAGATGAGAGGCTAATGCAGTCACGTGGTGCCCTGGGCGATTCCGAGCTAATTCGGTCAAAGAGTCAAGAATCTTTTATTTCCCTGAATATAATGAATATTTCGCCTGTAAAATAGTATAATTTCCAGGTTTTGGTGGCATTGGTGAAGTGGGGCAGTGGTATGGTGACCCACCTTCAACCCACAATTTCGCAGCCATTACAGTTCATGAATGCAAATCCGTTCATTAGGATAGTGTGATGCGAATAACTTATGTAGAAATGAAGCGGGGGCGAGTCTGTTCAAAGACATTTGCTCCCTGAAGAGATTTTGGCGCTTACAAGTCGGTGACACAGCCCTTGGAGGCATCGCTCACCAAAAGAGAGTACTTGCGCAAGGTACCTCTCTTGTATCTTGGCTCTGGAGCCAGCCACTTCTTCTTTCTCTCGGCCAACTCGGCCTCGTCGACCAACAAGTCGATTCTGTTGTTTTCAGCGTCGATGACGATCTCGTCACCATCGTACACCAAGGCAATTGGACCACCCACAGCGGCCTCTGGGACAATGTGGCCAATCAAGAAACCGTGGGATCCACCAGAGAATCTTCCGTCAGTCAAAAGTGCAACGTCCTGGCCCAAACCGTAACCCATAAGTGCAGAAGAAGGCTTCAACATCTCAGGCATACCTGGACCACCCTTAGGTCCCTCGTATCTGATCACACAGACGGTCTTCTCGCCCTTCTTGATCTCTCCAGCCTGCAAGGCCTCAATGAAAAGGTCCTCGGCATCGAAAACTCTAGCCTTACCCTTAAAGTAGGTACCCTCCTTACCGGTGATCTTACCCACAGCAGAACCTGGAGCCAAAGTACCCTTGAGAATCTGCAAATGGCCGCTTGGCTTCAATGGGTTCGACAAAGGTCTGACAATGTCCTGGCCCTCGGGCAAACCTGGCAATTTGTCCAAGTTCTCCTTGAGCGTGAAGCCGGTAACGGTCATCTGATCACCATCAAGCAAGCCCTCTTCCATCAACATCTTGGCCACAGCCGGGGTCCCGCCTCTGGCTTGCAAATCAGCCATGACGTATTTGCCGGAAGGTCTGAAGTCAGCCAACAATGGAGTGCTGTCAGAAAGTCTCTGGAAGTCATCCACGGTGATTTCCACACCGACAGAGGAAGCAATGGCGATAAGGTGCAACACGGCGTTGGTGGAGCCACCGGTGGCGATGATATAGGTGATGGCGTTTTCAAAAGATTTCTTGGTCATGATGTCTCTGGGTTTCAAGTCGATTTCCATCAAGTGCTTGATGGCATAGCCAATGTTGGCGCACTCTTCAGCCTTTTCCTTGGAAACAGCTGGAGCAGAAGAGGAGTATGGCAAAGACATACCCAAAACCTCGGCGGCTGAAGCCATGGTGTTGGCAGTGTACATACCACCACAGGCACCGGGACCAGGACAGGCATGACGAACCACATCTTTTCTCTCTTCATTGGTGATCAATTTGGACAAGTACTGACCGTAGGACTGGAAAGCGGAAATGATGTCGATTTTCTCACCCACCTCGGGAGAAGAGCAAGAAGGCGATCCAGGCATGATAGTACCACCGTAGACCATGATAGAAGGTCTGTTGTGTCTACCCATGGCCATAAGCACACCGGGCATGTTCTTGTCACAAGATGGGATGGCGATGTTACCGTCGTACAACTGGGCCATCATCATGGTCTCGAAGGAGTCGGCGATAATCTCTCTGGACTGCAAAGAGTACTTCATACCCTCGGTACCGTTGGTGATACCATCAGAAACACCGATAGAGTTGAACTGCATGCCTTTGAGACCAGCCTTGTTGACAGACTCGGTACACTGGTCATTGAGGTCCATCAAGTGCATATTGCAGGGGTTTCCTCCCCACCAGACGGATCCAACACCAACCTGGCCCTTGTGGAAGTCCTCATCCGAGAAACCAGTAGCGTACAACATGGCCTGGGATGCACCTTGAGAAACATCTTCGGTGACAATAGACGAGTACTTGTTCAATTTCTTTGCGTAGGCGACAGCAGAGCGCGAGAAGCCCCGCAGCTGTATGAAATGTGCCCTGCTAACAAAAGACATGTTTAGCTAGACGAAAAAGACGTATTACTCTCGAACTTGTAGTTGCAGAATTTTCATGAGTCAGTTCCGGTACCGGCGCGGTTTAGGTGGGGCCGGAAGTGCGCATGCCCCCGGATCTCTCGACCAATGACCGTGGACCTAGAGGTCAGAAGTCGATGGCCTACAGAAACTGGAGGTGGACTTTCGGGAAAGACTTTGATTGTTGAGAGTTGTTTGTAGTGGTGTTTTGGTGAAATTGATGAGGTATACGGGTAAATTTTTGCGGACAGAGGCATCGAAGCCAGTGCACTTGACACATTGCTAAATCCGAGGAGACGCACTACAAGGATCTCATGGGGAGGACTGAATCGCCTCATCGAGTAGTGCCAAAATGATTCTGAAGATTTTAGCGGTATCAAGGCGTGGATTTGATACTTTATGTTCTAGTGCAATGAAAAATTTGGAGATGTTTAGGGCTTGGCCACAAGTAGGTAGTTGGTTGTTGTTGGACCCCGTTCATCATATCGAGTATGTCTCATCATTCACTTGATAGATTCTTTATAATATGAGGTTTAACAAGATTGTCGAGATTTCGTCAAACTACAGACACTCTTTTGATCTAAAAAAAAAGTAAAAAAAAAAAAAAAAAAAATCAATAAAATAAACCAGCCTGTCAGATGGGTTCAATGGGGCTCACGAAGCGCTTTCGCATGTCCACCTACTATCATTGAAGTCAGTGTATACGTCAATTCATTTCCAAACTACGTTTCGTACGTGAAATGGTTCATCTCAATTTACACTTCGCTGCTCGTAAGCATCCAACGCATTTTTTCTAAATCCCCTATTATGTGCAACTATATCATGATGTAGTGTTTTGCAGGTACCACCATAAAAGTGTGCTGAAATGGTTGGCATTCTTCACTTTTCTCATCAACCCATTTTAAATACTCCTATCTAGTCAGAAGGACCAAGTATTCGCGATAAGGAACTATATTGTGGCTTCGGTTATGCACGTCAGACCTTAAGCCGCGCACTCGGAGGACATACTTGATAAGCCCCTGATGACCCTGTCTCCTACTAAGCTCTCACTACAGATAAATCATTATGTTTCTGTCCAAAGGAGTTTGAGCTCCATTGAACAGTTAGTTCAATTCGGCTTCCTTTCGGCCATTTTGGTGGTGACTGTGGTCTACAGAAGAGCTTTCAGTGCTCCTCATTCAGGGCTCAATGGGGCCAGTAAATTGAGATTGGCATTGGCGATATCAATTGTTCTTATAGGTCTATCGCAGTCCCTGTCAGACCGGCTTTCAACTGTGACCAAGATCTCAGCTTTTCCGCTTCATTATATCGACTGCTACACAGGCGGATACTCACAGCCTATACTTACGCTCTTTTGGATCTACGAAGCAGCCAAAGGCTGGCTCTTTCAGACAGAAGATGGCTATCCTTCACAGTTGATGTTTATTATTGAACTCATTTTGATAGTTCTAGAGACTCTCGTCTGGTTTACACCGAGCGCGACCAAGTCGAAGAAACCCTGGTGGACATACTTAGAAAGCGCCAGATCTGATATCCTCTTGACAAAGATCAATCCAATCATTCAAGACTGTTGCACATCTGGACGCATTGAGCCTGATCATCTTGTCAGGATATATCAAGAGTTTGATGCAGCAGATGCTAGTGATTGTCTTGAAAGTAACATAACAGGTGTTTCAGATGTCCGATCACTTGTAATTTGCCTCCTATACTCATTTTATCCAAACTTGCTCAAGTCTTTGATTCTAGAAGCACTCAAATACCAACTGTATTTTTCTAAGAGCTTACTTGTTGAAAAGGCTTCTACAATTCATTGAACAGCGCTACCCTGGCAAAGAAGTTGCCTTGATTGATGGAATAATCCTTTCACTTTCACTATGTGTCAACGATATTATCGGAAAAGGGTTTTCCACCTACGAAAACTACATTGTCCAGATTTCATCTAAGGAAGCCTTCAATTTGTTATTTGAGCTGTTGTGGCTGCTACAGCCATTTCTTTTGTCCTTGACAACGTTTGCCTGCTACACCTACTTTCAAAACCGCCCCTTGCAGGCAGACATCATTTATCCGACCTTGCATTTGCTTGTCCTTCTCTCGATTCCAGTTCAGAAGATTCCTCAGTTGATATCTGCTACTGCCAATGCGAAAGTGTCTCTTGAGAAAGTAGCAGATTTCTTGAATTGCAAGGAGCTCAATCTTGAGGTTGAGTCAAATAACTCGAATAACGCAATAGAGATTGAAGGCAACTTTTCGTGGGATTCAACGTCCGAAAAGTGCATCTTGAAAGACATTGATTTCACTGTGGCAAAAGGTGAGTTTGTTTGCTTGTTCGGTAAAAGTGGGTCCGGCAAGACAGCTCTACTTTCTGCTATTTTAGGTGGGCTTGAATCTATGAGCACCGATAGCAAGGTGGTTGTCAATGGCACAATGGCCAATGTCGGCCAAACTCCATGGCTTTTGAACGAGACAATACTTGACAATATACTTTTTGGGAAGATTTACGACCAGGAAATGCATGAAAAGGTGCTCAACGTTTGTCAACTAATTACTGATATTGAGAGGTTTTCCCTCGGAGACAATACTGTTGTCGGTGACATGGGTTATACATTGTCTGGTGGTCAAAAGGCGAGAATCGCTTTAGCTAGGGCGGTCTATTCTGAGGCTGATGTTTACTACATTGATGATGTCCTCAGTGCTGTGGACAATCATGTCGGCAAAAAGCTATTTTCAGAGGTGTTTTCAGAAAGTGGAGTATTAGCGGGTAAAACTGTTCTTTTTGCAACGAATAATCAATTGATACGAGCTCACGCAGACCGTTCATACTACCTTGATAACGGGAAGATCATCGAGGATACTGGATTGGTGAAAGGTCATTCAGTTACTAAGCACTTGACTTCACAGGGGGATCTCCAAGCGGGTACTCCGAGAGCATCAAGTGTCGTCAGCATGATCCTTACAATCCTTTTCGAATGCATGTGAAGAAATATAAACAACTTCCAGCAAACGAGTCCAAGAAAATAAGGAGAGAAATGTATGTGAGGTATTTCAAAGCGTTTTCTCCAACAAAATTGATAATCATGGAGTATTATCCACCCTAGCCATTGCATTTCAGCTAACTACGGATATCTGGCTCAAGAAGTGGACTGAGAACGAAAATCAGGATGGCTTCTATTACCTTATTGGTTATGCTATTATTGGATTTACCAACGAGTTTATGAATGTCGTAAGAGGATGGTTTCTACTATGCAATTTGGGTCTCGAAAGTGCCAATAAAAATCTTATTGATATGACCCTTAGCCTCGTCGGTTCGAAAATCAGCTTCTTTGATGTAACGCCAAGAGGAAATATCCTCCAAATATTCATGACCCATATCAGCAATATTGAAGCGGCTCTTCCAAAGAATCTATATCAGTTGCTCAAAAACTCATCATCGGCTGCATTGTCGGTTCTACTGATCACTTATCAGTCTCCCTCTACCATACCCATCTTAGTCATCGTTGCTTCAGGGTTTTGCTATTACAACTGGGTATACATTGGTGCAGAAAGAGAGGCCAAGAGTTTTGGTATTATCACCAAAACTCCATTTTTTACACTTCTACAGGAAACACTAGATGGATCAGAGACTATCAGAGCCTTCCGTCAAACGGAAAGGTTCACCAGAAGAAGTATTTTGGATAGCAATTTTGAGGTCGGGTCTTCCCTCTTGAACCTCTATGTGTCAGAATGGCTCTATTTGAGGTTGAATTTGATCACATCAGCTCTTTCCTTTCTCACGTCGCTATTCTTTGTTCTCAGGAGTGGACAAGGCGTCATCTCAGGCGGAACTGTTGGTTTAAATTTAGGCTATGCATACAATTTCGGTATCATTTAAGCAAATAGTTGGTGCTTTTTCTAAATTAGAAGGTCATTTTACGTCTGTCGAAAGATGTTTAGAGTACACGGATTTGGAACAGGAGGAGGACGACGACCAAGAGGACATCAATAACACTTGGCATGCAAAAGGAAGAATTCAATTCGAAAATAATTCCGGGACCTATGATGGAACAGCAGAGCCGGCTCTACGAAAAATTTCATTTTCCGCCAATGAAGGTGAGAAGTTGGAGGTTGTTGGGAGAACTGGAGCAGGCAAGAGTTCACTCATTCTTGCGCTATTCAGAATGTTACCCTCAACTGGAGGCAGAATTACAATTGACGGTACTGATATCAGCAAAATCAAGCTATCAACTTTGAGAAAAGGACTCAGCATTATTTCGCAAGACGCCTATATTCTTCCAGGTTCAATAAGATTTAATCTTGACCCATTTGATGAGTACCCGGATAATTATCTTTGGGAAGCATTAAAAGATGTGCAACTCGTTGATGCTGTTAAAGAGCTTCCTCAAGGATTGCGATGCGAAGTCAGTGAAAACGGCTCTAAGTTCTCTGCCGGAGAGAAGCAGCTACTCTGCTTAGCAAGAGCTCTTTTGAAGAATCCTAATATTCTCATTTTGGATGAAGCTACAGCCTCCGTTGATTTTGAAACGGATAAAGTCATTCAAGAGGTGGTGAGGAAGAAGGCAAATGGCAAAACAGTGATAACCATTGCCCACCGAATAGACACAATTTTGGACTCGGACAAAATCTTGGGTCTTGATAATGGAAAAGTTGTTGAGTTTGATACTCCGCAATCTTTATTGGGGATCCAAAAAGTCTATTACTGGGAATAGTGAATGCCGGTTCTTTATAGCCTTTCTAAAAGCACTCATAATTTAGATAAAGCACTCATAGTATAGATTATTGGAACCAGGGTCATTTTTGAGTAGGCATTTGAAGCCTCTGAACCCTGAAATGTATTCAAAAAGCACTGCTTTGGGTGCCCTTTCGAGAATTTGCATTAGAACGGGGTGAAGTACTTCGTCAGAAAAACTACACATCAACTCCAGCAGTTGACTCAGCTGTAGGTACTAGCTGTTCGAAACAAGCAATTGAGCCTCTAGTCTATTTTTGTCTTTCGGACTTGGTTGCCCAAGTCGGCTTAGAGCTGTGCGGTAGTATTGAACTACGCAGGGAGGTCTCAAAATTGCTTTCCCCAGAAAGGGCGCCTCGGGTTGCTTAGCTATGGCGCATAAATCCATTTCAATGTTAGGCTTCCTCACCAATCTTAGGTCCATATAATTGCTGAAGAATCACTTCATCGTCTTCTCTACTTCGCTGCTTTCCTGAAACCTTATTTCCGCACTATTATAGAATTCCATCATTGTTAAAGGGGTTTCGGGGACATTCTTCCAAAAGCCACCCAAGTGATCTCGTATTACATTACACAAAATAGGAGTATGGACCTAGTCTCGCCGCAGGAGCCAGGTCCGCGGCTCATGCCTAAGCGAACGTCAATCTCAAAAAGAAGCATCACAAGCCCCCGAGCTATTATTTTGAGTTCGGGCTTCTTCCAATACAGGCGCTATAGACATTGAAATCACGCTTCAAAGTTTCTTAAAATTTTAGGTGGTTTTCGATTTTTGGCAAGTGGTACACTTTTGCAGTGAGAGAGCCTTTCGCAGCCAGATTATGCAAACTAGGAGATGCTTGCTGCTTTCTGGAAATACACAATCCTTACCAAAATCCAAAGCAACAGACCAGACAATTTGGCCCCCTCAGCAATAAACCGGAACCCAAAAAGAACTACACTCACTAAGTGAAACTTGCAGAAGTCACCATACGCTCATCTGCCGGGCAGTCGTCTTCCGATGAGACCCTAGGTGTAGTGGACTTACAAAATGCGTAATGTACGGAATGTGAGTCCGCTACGCAAAAAGGCACCAACGCGTCTTCAAATTTCACCAAAGACCATGAAAGACGATTTAGCCGATGGCCATCGAGATTTCTTTTTTCTTGGATTTTTTTTTCTGCTCTTCCTCATCGATTTCTCCTAACCGTAGCGCATTAGCAAGAGCGTCTCACAGTGCTGCTTGACGGCAGTTCCTGCAGGCCATTGTTTTCCGAATACGGAGGGTTATTATATTCCTCCATTGCCAAAAATACAGACGTGCAAAAAAACCAGATCGCCTTCTGACAAAACCACCAGAGTTTGCTAGGATGGTGCTTTTGTGGAAGAAGAACCCAGGACCCTCGGGTGAGGAGTCCAGCTTCGAGTACACAGACAGCGACTCCTCAGACGACAACAGACCTTTGAAAGCGAAGAGGAAGCTGCCTCCTATCTCACCTGAGATGGACAACAGTCACAAGAGTCCGCTGACATCGCCAGAAATCTACCAGAGCAGCCAAATGGACCACTCTGAGGCCGGGAAAAGGCTGGCTCGTTACGCCACAGACCCTATAATTGTAAACTGGTCCGAGCTCTTACTGAAACGAGCCGCAAATGTCTTTGATCCAGACTTTGGAAGAGTCGAGTTTCAGGGATTTGAAGGCACCAGCGCCATGAGAAAAGCGCAGCTACATACATTTGACCACAGCACGGAGCCTGCTGATGGGACTAAGGAGGACATACAGGGGGATATTGATCCCGTAGAGGCCGAGGCAAGAATGGTCAGGCAGCAGGAGCTCCAGCGGCAGAACAACGAACTCAACCGCCGCCGTAGCCTTGAACGGCACCAGGAGCGTAAAGCTAAGAAAAAAAACAAAAGCACGAGTCCAGAGATGGAGGAGGCTCTCAAGGAAATACGCCACGCTGAGCGTCGGCATCGCAAGCTTGAAAGAAGAAAAAAGAAGGAGGCAGCCAGGGAGCGCCAGACCCAGGAGCAGTGGTACATTGAGGAGCAGGAGTTTCTCAAGCTGGAGCGTGAGAAGGAAGCTGCCAGGGAAGCGGCCCGCGAGGCGTCCAGGGAAGAGAAGCGTTTGCGTAAAGAAGCAAAGCGGGCTGAAAAAGAAAAGCGTCGTCAGGAACGAGAGCGAGAGCGTGAGGAGGAGCGTGAACGGGAACGGGAACGGGAACGTGAGCGTGAGAAGGAACGGGAGAAAAAGAGAAGAGAGGAGGAGAAAGCCAGAGAGCGCAGGGAGCGTCAACGGCAGAGAGAGGAGGCTGAAAGAGAGAGAGTTCGCCAGGAGGAAGAGGCAGAGCGTGAGCGGGTCCGGCAAGAAGAAGAGGCCGAGAGAAGGCGTCAAGAGGAGGAAGCCGAGCGAACTCGTCGGGAAGAAAGACGTGAGCGTCGTCGGGAACGTCGCAACAAAAGCAGAGGCCGTGAGCTTGATGAAAATAGTCCCGAGGCTCAGGAAAGAAACCGTCGTCGTCGTGAGGCCAGAGAAGAACGGGCTCGCCAGCGTGAGGAAAGGGCAACAGAACGAGCAATCAGGCAAGTTCAGGCGGCCGAGAGAGCAGCAGAAAGAAGAGCAGAACGGCGCCGGCGCCGTGCTCTTGATGCTCAGGCCACGGCAGCCATGGGACCGCCTCCCAGAGACGAATACAGCACCATCGACGAAGACATTCCTCCATACCGTGAACGCCTACACAAGTACCTTGATTTGGTGGCCTACGACGAGCGTTTTGCACCTATCCTTCGTGTGAACCGATACTTGGTTTGCGGCGACGATGAGTTGATTGCAGCGATCAACCAATTTTCAAGCCTGAACCTCTTGCCAAAAAAGACAGACCTCTGGAACATCTCTCATGTGGACGACACGGAGTACGAAAACATGATCCCGGTACTTATCCCTGAGAACTCCTACTACGAAAACGAAATCTTGGGCCTCGTGACCCCAGACACCCGGAGCCTAGTGAGCTAGGCGATTGTATTATAGAACTGGAAACAACACATGATGTTTTGGAAGCTAGAATGTAGTGAGCATCAGACTGCTGTGAGACTTAGAGATACTGAAATATTCAACCTTGCTGCCCATGATGTCTAAACAAAGGGTCCACTGAGAAAGTGGAAAAAAGGCTCATGCCGGTGTCAAAGACCAAGTCAGCATTAAAAGAATATCAGCTTCTTTTCGAATGGCCATACTTGAGGTATTTGGGCAATTTCTCAATCCAAATAATATCTCCGCCGCAGCTAAATAAGCACCAGACTATTGGCTGCGAAAACGTCACCCTGATAAGGCCATCAGGCCAAACAAATGCGATAATCCTTCTTGCTTCTCTATATGATTCACCCAAAAGAGTATAAACTAAGAGTAGCTACCTTGAAATCTAAACTTTCTTTTGTAAGAACTAAATCTGAGATGTTCGGCCGTTATGATACTGGCTGACTTCTTCCGCACCCGTACAATCGAGATAGCACAAAAAAATACCGTTTTCAACTCATCGCCCTGATAACGTTAGAACATGCCTGGCCCAGAGGGATTCACCAAGGTAACAGAAGACGCCCACAGGTCGTCTGATGCCATCATGCAAAATCCTTACGGCCCCAACCCGGCTGATTTCCTTTCGAATGTCTCCAGTTTTGAGTTGATTGAATCCACTCTCAGAGAAGGAGAGCAGTTCGCCAATGCCTTTTTTTCCACAGAGACCAAGATCGAAATCGCCAAGGCTCTTGACGATTTTGGTGTTGACTACATCGAGTTGACTTCTCCAGTTGCCTCTGAACAATCGAGAAAGGACTGTGAGGCTATCTGTAAGTTGGGCTTGAAGTCTAAGATCTTGACCCATATCCGTTGTCATATGGACGATGCTAAGGTAGCTGTCGAGACTGGTGTTGATGGTGTTGATGTTGTTATTGGTACCTCCCAGTTCTTGAGACAGTACTCTCACGGTAAAGATATGTCTTACATTGCCCAGAGTGCAGTTGAGGTTATTGAGTTTGTCAAGTCCAAGGGTATCGAGATCAGATTCTCTTCCGAAGACTCCTTCAGATCCGATTTGGTGGACTTGTTAAACATCTACAAAACCGTCGACAAGATCGGCGTCAACAGAGTCGGTATTGCCGATACTGTTGGCTGTGCCAACCCCAGACAGGTCTACGAGTTGGTCAGAACCTTGAAATCAGTTGTTTCTTGTGACATCGAATGTCATTTCCATAACGACACTGGTTGTGCTATTGCCAACGCTTACACGGCTTTGGAGGGTGGTGCCAAGTTGATCGATGTCTCCGTTTTGGGTATTGGTGAGAGAAATGGTATCACTCCCCTCGGAGGCCTCATGTCGAGAATGATTGCTGCTGACAGAGATTACGTGCTTTCCAAGTACAAGTTGCACAAGTTGAGAGATCTCGAGAACCTCGTTGCCGAGGCTGTCCAGGTTAACATTCCTTTCAACAACCCCGTCACTGGTTTCTGTGCTTTCACCCACAAGGCCGGTATCCACGCCAAGGCTATCTTGGCCAACCCTTCTACTTACGAGATTTTGAGTCCTTCGGATTTCGGTCTTACCAGATACATTCACTTTGCTAATAGATTGACCGGATGGAATGCCATCAAGTCGAGAGTCGACCAGTTGAACTTGCAATTAACAGACGAGCAGTGCAAGGAGGTCACCAACAAGATCAAGAAGTTAGGTGATGTGAGACAGTTGAACATCGATGACGTCGACTCGATCATCAAGGACTTCCATGCGGACCTCTCCGTTCCCGGTACTCCCGTGCCCGAGGCAAAGAAACAGAAAATCTAAGCTATACTGGATATACAAATGACGTTTGCACTCACGTAGATTAAATTTAATTAAATGGTTGTTATCATATGCTATATGCTACCAGTTGTGGGTAGCAATGTCGTACATCATCAACAGCACAGCGATGCCGCCAAAAACGAGACACATTGTGGTGCAGGCCATGATGGCCTTTCTCCTGGAAGCGGTCTTAATTGTGATTCCGTCCTTGTGTTCCTGAGAATACAAAAAGATGCCAGTGACGATGTTCAAGCTGGCAATGAGCGAACACACGAGTTCAGTGACTCCATGTCTGAGCATCGTGAAAAAAACTAACAGTGGTTCAAGCAATCTCTCTCCATTTAGCTCATAGGGATGATAAACAAACTTTGACTTAGCGCTGTTGTGGCATTCAGCTTGCGCAAACTATTCGAGCCAGGGTAGGGAGAACAGATAACTTAGTTCAAGAAATTTATGGGCTAATTCTTGACCATCATGGCTCGGAGTGCACAGGACATTGTAGCAGCTATTGTTGGTTCACGTGAGCAAAGCTCGCCCATTTCCGCTTGCCGATGCGAAAAGGCTAATAGAGAAGCGCTGCAGCGCCCTCATTCTCTACCTTGAAGATTGACGATTATTTGAAGTTCCAACCTTCTTTTGATCTTCGTCATCGTCATCCTCTTCGTCACTGTCGTCAACGGGAACGGTGTACGTCTTTCTTTGGAAATCCTTGATATGGGCCTTGTTCAAGGCATTCAGAATAGCATTAATAGTAGAACGCCTGCGTAACGCCTCGCCTATTTTGGCAGGTCCGTGGACATCGGATTTATGCGAGTCAATGCTTGCCTCTTCGTCGAAAAGCTGGTCAGATTTTGCCAGTCTGCGGCTAAGTGCAGTGGTTCTTGCAGCCAGTTTTCTGCTACTTGAATGAGGAACACCTGCGGCTGGTTCCTCGCTTCCTTCGGAATCTGGAGAGTAGTCATCATCGGAAGACTTGAAATCGTCATATTTCATGTCCACCAAGCGCTTGATAGCCGACTCTACCCTCGACAGAATCATATATGGCAATGGGGAGTCTCTGGAAGCTCTGAAAAGAATCACATTGGTGCAGTGTTCATTCTCCATACGGAAGAACATCCAAACGAAACGACGGAAAATCTCAGCGAGAGCGATGCAGAAACTGGTCACAGCCAGCTGCTGGATTTGACTCGAGAAAAATGCGTAGAAGATCCATTGGAAACGAAGAATGACATTCATAACCGTGGCAATATAGTAGTAATACTTCTTCTTGTAGAACAAGTGGTCCCGAAGAAGGAAGTTTTTGGATGTAGTCAGGCCCAACGACCAGTCCATCACGATATCCCACGCCGATGTATAGATAGAATTGATGCAAGCGAAAGTGATAAAAGCAGCTCTGTTCAGGCTTGTACGATCGATACGCCAAACACTGAGCAAACAGTAGTAAACTGCACCAATCATGTATTTCACCATGTTCGCCAAATGAGGGAATGCATCACCGGAGTCCATGAAACGACGAAGACATTGCAAGAAACGGAATATGGATGGAAGCGACTGAAGAAATCCCATAGGCCTCGAGTAGCCGGAACCGCATCTTACCGACAGGGAAGGAACCTCGCCTCCACCGAGAACGTTTCTCCATTTGTCTGCGTAAAGGCAGAAGAAGAAGGATATGTTACCCATGGGATACGTCAATGAGCAGAGAATATCTCCCAAGTAGAAATCTCTGAACTCGACAGGGTATAGACCAGACCACAAGATTCTCCAAAGTGCTATCTGAAGCCATTGTCTGCTTGCTCCGTAAAGCAGGGTTCCCGGCCAAAGAAAGATGATGAGCATGATGCCCAAATAAATAAGTGGGAATGTTCTGCCAGGAAAGGTTTCAGGCCAAAAATCTTTGAACGAAAACCAGCCAATAAGCCCAAGTAAAGAAAAGCTTAGCGAGGGGAGTAGCCAGAACTGCTTGAAGTCTAGAGCATTCGCCAAATTAAACTCAAAGATAAACTTGTAACTGATTTTGAAGTGATCGTAGACAATCAAGTTAATTCCCACAAAGAAAAATGCCAAGTTAATGAGAAGAAAACCTCCCCAAAGTTGGAGAAGAAATCTTCCCTCAGACATTTGATTGCTCAATGTTTTGTCCAATGCCACAACCAAACCGATAATAAATAAGGGGAGCCCAATGCCTAGGAAGGCACCAGACAAGAAGGTGCTTAAATAATGCTGCGGTTGCCTAATCTCGGCACTTGTATAAGCGTATGTTGTACTTTTAAGCTTCTCCAATCCCAGCTTCTTGTCGTGCTGATCATGATCAAAGTAAGTCATGAAGAGATCCTCTACACGACTCAGTATCTTGTCCAAGACAACGCTAGAAAGGAAGTACGACTGCTTGTCAATCCGCTTCAAAAACTCCTCACAGGTGCTCGTGCCGATGGCTTTGTCGAACTTCTTTGTGATTTTTCTGAAGGCTGTTCTGTTCATCACTCTGTAGGACTTGAGCAAGGCGATGAGTCTATAATGCTCCACCAAGGCGCCCTTCAATTGTCTCTTTGCGTAGAGGTAAGGCACACCGAAGCTCTTTTTCTTTGTGTAGTCACGTCTATTTTGTTGCTTTGTCTGAGCAGGTGTGTTCTCAGGTACCTGAGTCATCCTCTCGTCCTCGGATGGGTTGATCAGCTCGTCGTCAACGTCTGAATCGAGGAATCCAATTACACCGTTTCTTATTTGATTCTCAATGTAGTTAGGGTCATAATCGTCTTTCTTGTCCTGATCGGTGAGGCGGAAGCTCGTATCTTTCAGCTTTCTCTTCCTCCATTTGTTGAGAAATGCCGTGGATGGAAGTGAAGGGAACTCATATTTCTGCAAACGCAGCATCCAGGCCCTGAACTTAATGGCAAGACTATCAACAGTAGCCACAGCAGGTACCTTGGACGACGCAATAGACAATACACGTTTTTGCATGTGTCCCCTGTGGTCTTTCAAGTGGAAGAACTGGTCTTCAAGGATGAGGAATCTTTCATACACTTCTTTCTCTTTCAGCTTATAAAACGTATCTACTTTCTCCAACTCAGCGTCGAGCCACTTGTAAAATGCTGTCTTGTCTTCGTTGAACTGGTCTCTCTTGTCTTTGTTGGACTTGTTCGAGAAGTTGAAGAGCGAGCCTCTTCTTTTGGAAGTATCATCAGGACCCTGAGACGCGGCTGGTGGAAGTTGTGGGACATTGGAGACATAAGGACGGCCATCGTCACGAGTATGTAGCAAAGGCGTGGTGTCTGTTGACCTCAGGTCCTCGGCCGCCAGTCGACTAGCAGAGGCCTTGCGGACATACTTCTTCCCCGCCTTGTAGTCCACATACTGCTCCTTCCACTCAGGCACCAAACCCTGACTTAAGGCTTCGCCAAACTTCATTCTTGGGGCTGACTTGCGGGATTGTGGAGAGAAGTGGGATGCTGATCTACCTCTAGTATAATAGTGGGTAGATAGTGCCGCACCTCATCCTTGCCTGCCGTACAGGACCACCTGGGTTTGCAACCGTTTTCTATCTTTCATACCTGACATAGAGAGCGTCCACAAAGTGCGGGTGCTTTATGCCTGGGGATTTGGCGCTTTTATACCCTTCCACAGCCTCCCTCACGGACCAGCCACAACGTTCTATGAGATAGCAACAAATGAAGAAACCAGTGCGATTGAACCCATAGTGGCAGTGCACGGCTATGAGCGGCTCAGGCTCGCTCGTAGAGCCAAGGATATCATCAATGAGCTGTATGAATCGCCTGATAGCCACGTGGTCAGGCACCACCTTCGACACAGTGGCACACTTGTAGTACTGTATTTTCTCAAACGTTTTGGGGCTATAGGGTGGTATATCTGCGGAGATGTCAACGATGGCTATTAATTTGCCCTTGATTGGGTTTTTGTTCTGAGCGTCCCCGTAGAACTTGTTCTCAACAACCAGCGGCGAGTGGTTTTCGTCACCTTCTCTGAGAGTCTTCATTCCAAGCAATTTAGCCACATCCTTTCCGTTGCGTCTTGTTATATTGTAAGAGATGGCCTGTGTTTGCAGCCACTTGATTTCATTCTTCAAACCCCACTTGTCACCTGAGATTTCGGCCTTAAGCTTGAGTACCCAAGCAGGCAGTAGATGTAGACGCTCTGGGAAGCGCAGTTCGAAGTGATTAAGGACAAGTCCGCTGATGAACTCAGGCTTCGATAGGAGCAAAGAATGACCCGCATTCTTCACCTCCACGACGTTGCATACCTTCTTCTGCCAATATTCCGTGAGGAAATCGTTCAAATCGTGAATGATCTTCACAGACGTGACCTTGTCGTCAATGCCTCCAACGAGCAACGTCTTCTCGTAAGTCTTTGGATCCTTGACGTTATTGTTGAGTCTAGAGATAGCGTTGACTAGTTCCAGATAGCCAGCACGGTTGAAGCCACTGATGTAGCGGAGTAGTATCCTCGTGTCTATGTCAAGGTTCCACCTGAATTGGCGTGCTCGTTGGTGTAGACTGCTCTGGTGGGTCAATTGTCTGTACACGCTCTTGCTGATGAGACCCGGAAGTCTGTCCCAGACTCTGAACAAGTTAAATATCCACGCGAACTTCATCAAGTAGCCAGAGAAACCAAGGGAGTGCTTTGATTCGGTTTTTTGGTGAACATCATCGACGAAAGGCGGAGGAGATAACAACACGAGGCCTTCTACTTTGCCCTTCTCAAGCACATTAGCGGTCTTCGTGACTAAGTGAGTACCCATGGAGTGGCCCACAAGTATAACCTTCTTTTCAGGAGCCACGGTCTGCTGGATGTACTGCTTGATTATGCTCACTAGGTTTTCTGTAGCGTAGTCGCCCCACAGCAAGGCCTTCACGCCCGAGGAGATGTCGGCTTTTTCCTCGGCGGAGATATCACTGACGATCTTGTGGCTATCTTTGAATTCGAGCTTGGAATTACCAAAGCCGGGCAAATCTAGGGCCACGACTTCCAGACACTGGGAAAGTAACGCCATCAACGGCTCAAACTGCGACATCTGCCCACCCAAACCATGGATAAACACAATCACAGGCAGCTCAGATACCTCCTGCAAGATGTTTGGCGCCAACGGCTCATCTTTGGCAAAATTGGTCAATGGATGTGGAGCATGTATGCTGTATAGGGATAGTCTGTTCACGGACAACTTGGGGTAGGAGGCTAGGTCTAACGAGACAGTTTTCCCGTATTTAGCCACGAAAGCACAGTCACTGGGTTCATGCTCGAGCACGAACTTCTCCAACACATTGGTTTGGCGAAATATGACTAGGCGAATAAATAACCACGTTCTTTTCCAAGAAGTGCTGGTGAGGGCGGCCTGCTGCGAGGATAACTGACTGAGCAGGAGCTCGGGAGCCTCAGAGTGCTGAAGCAAAACAACGTTTTCTTCGTCTTCTGACAGCATGTTGATAAGGAAAAAGAGGGGTGTCGGACAGCGCTTCTTGAGATAAGTAGTCACTGCGCAGGCCATGCGGTAGTTGCAAAATGACGCACTGATTACAGCCTTTCATAGCAAAGCGGGAGATGGTCAATTTGAGGCAGGGCATTGTTGATTATTAAAAATTGGCCTTTGAAAATGGTGAAAGTGGGGTACCGTTGTCTCTTGGCGTACCTCGGTTATGAGGGACAGGGTCCATGGAGCAGCCGTATCTACGGGTTTAGTGAGGGTGATGGGTGGGCTTCAACACAATGCAAGAAAAGAAGTAGGAGAAGGGTTTGTTAAAAGTTTAATTTCTTCAGTTCATTTGGATGTATCTCAAACCAACTGAGAAGAAAAAATTATGATCTTTCGATCCATCTTTGTTGCCACCTTCGTGCTCGTTTTGAGGCTTCTCACCCGCTCTTGTGCTACTGCCATGAGGTTTTCTCATACTGTTTGTCATGACGAACATTCCACTCAGAATTATGGGCCAACCAGGGCCAATGAAAGTCTCACCTTCATGCCAATTTGGAAGACATTGTAATAAAACATTGCAACATCATGCTCTTACAGGTCACTTCGTGAGTCACTCTACATGGCTGCAAATGGCACACGGTAGCTTGTGTTTCAAACGCAAACAGGACTTTCAAGAACTTTCAATCACATCGATAGAATCTTGATTTCAAAACGGTTTCATTGATCGAACTAACCCCAATTTCTTTCCGCACGCCATAATTAGTAGCAGCATCCCGGGTATGCCCAGACAGCTCTCCGTCACATAAATCGCGAATCAACATCAAGAAACATAACCGCTACTACTTGAGATCTACCAGTATGAGCGACACATGGCGCAACTCTGGACGGCTCGGCTCGCCGAGCCTCCATGATTCCATGGACGATTTTGAAAATTCCTTAGATCGAGCGCTAAACTCGGCGTCCAACAATTTCTTCGAATATCGATCCAACTCCAGACATGGCTCCCAGGGCTCTATAGCCATTCCCATGTCCGACCTCAATCCACAAGGCACCGTTGAACACGATGATGAAGGTGATTCTCATCCGCTCATGGCACAGCATGACTCTTCGATGACGCTTGATCCCTTACCGAGAGGTCCACCTCCAAGAAGACGATTCTGGGATAGAACCCTTGGATTGTTCAGGACCATCAAGGAAGAAGTTTCTAGAGAAATGTCCGACCGTTCGCTTCGAAATAATCCCGATCCTGACCTGGACTTGGGCTCAGAGAGATACGTCTCACCACGCAATACTTCCAAGAAGTTTCCGTCCAACGCCATCTCCAATGCGAAGTACAACCCAATCACATTCATTCCGCTCATCCTTTACGAGCAGTTCAAGTTCTTCTTCAACTTGTACTTCTTGCTTGTTGCGTTGTCACAGATCATCCCACAGCTACGAATTGGCTACTTGTCATCATACATTGTTCCCCTCGCATTCGTCCTCACCGTCACAATGATGAAGGAGGCAGGCGACGACATCGCCAGAAGAAAGAGAGATTCAGAACAGAATAATGAGCGCTACGAGGTTCTCAACCGCCAATCTCCCATCACCCAAGACGTCGCCATGGTGCAATCGAAGAACTTGAAAGTGGGCGACTTGGTGAGACTCCACAAGGACCGCAGGATACCGGCAGACATGATTTTGCTTCAGTCCTCCGATGCTAACGGCGAAGCATTCATTAAAACTGACCAGTTGGATGGTGAGACAGATTGGAAGCTAAGGGTAGCTTGCAGTCTAACGGACGCAATCACCGATATCAGCAAACTCGTCAACAACATTTCCCTCATTGTCGACAAGCCAACAAAATCTATTCACAAATTTGACGGCAAACTTATTTATCACCAAAGCTCAGGCAACAACAAGACCATACCCCTCACTGTTGACCAGACTTTATGGGCAAACACTGTTCTTGCATCCGGTACCGCCATTGGTGTCGTTGTATACACCGGCGTCGAGACTCGTCAGTCGATGAACACTACCATGTCTGGTGTTAAGACAGGGCTCTTGGAATTGGAAATCAACAGTTTGTCCAAAATTCTTTGCATTACGGTCTTCTTGTTGTCGGTGATTTTGGTCTTGGCTCACGGATTCCCATTGAAGAAAACTTGGTACATCGACATACTTCGATTCTTGATTCTTTTCTCAACTATCATCCCAGTGTCTCTTCGTGTGAATCTCGACTTGGCCAAATCAGTCTATGCATCTCATATTCAAAAGGACAGAGAGATTCCCAACACCATCGTCCGGACGTCCACAATTCCAGAGGATTTGGGCAGGGTTGAATACCTTTTGAGCGACAAAACTGGCACATTGACCCAAAATGACATGGAAATGAAAAAGCTTCATCTTGGTTCGATCTGCTACGCCGGTGATACATTCGACATTGTTGCCGACTATGTCAGCAAGCTTTTGTTCAACGAAGGCTTAGGTGGATTCGGCTCGAAGAGAAAGGACATGTCAACCAAAGTATGTGAATTGGCACTTGTTCTTGCCTTGTGCCACAATGTGACACCCACAGAAGAAGACGGTGAGCTCACATACCAAGCTGCATCGCCAGATGAAATTGCCATCGTGAGATTCTGTGAGCAAGTGGGTCTCCGTCTTTTCAAACGTGACAGAAACAACATATCCTTGTTGCACCTTGCCACAGGCAAAGAATTGAACTTTGAGATCTTGTACAACTTCCCTTTTAATTCCGATACGAAGAGAATGGGTATCATTGTCAAGGACTTGGAGCGTGATGAAATCACCTTCATGGAAAAAGGTGCCGACACAGTCATGGCAAATATCGTTATGGCAACCGAATGGCTTGACGAGGAAATCTCCAATATGGCTAGAGAAGGCTTGCGTACGCTTGTTATTGGTCGCAAAAGATTGAACGCTGGCTTATACCAACTCTTCAGTAAGGATTATGAGGAGGCATCGTTGTTGATGACATCGAGAGATGCTCAAATGCAGCGTGTGGTGAGCAAGTACCTTGAAACCGATGTTGAATTACTTGGTATCACTGGTGTGGAAGATAAGCTCCAAAAGGACGTCAAGACCTCAATTGAGCTTTTGAGAAATGCCGGTATCAAAATTTGGATGTTGACAGGTGATAAAGTGGAAACAGCCAAGTGTGTGGCCATCAGTGCCAAATTGGTTGCCAGGGGTCAGTACGTGCATCAGATAACCAAGGTCCACATTGCGGATACGGCAATGAGCCAACTTGACTATCTCGTCAACAACTTCAACTCCTGTCTTCTTATCGATGGCGAATCAATTGCATTCTACATGAAACACTTTCGCCGTGAATTCATGGAGATAGCACTTAGGCTCCCCGCAGTCATCGCATGCCGTTGTACTCCACAGCAAAAGGCTGATATCGCATTGGCTATCAAGGAGCTTACTGGCAAACGGGTATGCTGCATCGGTGATGGAGGTAATGACGTAAGCATGATCCAGTGTGCCGATGTAGGAGTCGGAATTGTTGGCAAAGAAGGCAAGCAGGCTTCGCTTTCAGCTGACTTCAGTATTGACCAATTCCACTTCTTGCTGAAACTTCTCCTTTGGCATGGCAGAAACTCTTACAAGAGATCGGCTAAACTTGGCCAATTTATTATCCACAGGGGTCTCATTATCTCGGTTGCACAGGCCATTTACTCCATCTCATCTAAATTCGAGCCCCTTGCATTGTATAAAGGGTGGCTTATGGTGGGATACAGTACATTGTACACTATGGCACCCGTCTTTTCCCTTACTTTGGACCGAGATATCGATGAAAGGTTGACAAAGATGTACCCAGAGTTATACAAGGAGCTCACGTTGGGCAAATCATTGTCGTACAAGACCTTTTTCATGTGGGTGGCCATTTCATTATACCAAGGAGCCATCATCCAACTGTTGGCGCAAATATTTCACACGGTTGCACCCGAGAAGTTCCTTCCCATGGTCACCCTCTCTTTCGGAGCATTGATCTACAATGAGCTTATAATGGTTGGCTTGACAATCAACACCTGGAACAAGACAATGGTGACCACCATTGTGGTGACGCTCATGATCTACATTGGACTGATTCCTTTCCTTCCCGATTACCTCGATCTAGACTACATTACGGACTTTTCTTATTACTGGCAGACAGTGGTGGTGTTGGCTGTGAGCTTGTTCCCAGTGTGGCTTACACAGACGGTGAACCGTAAGCTTAGACCACCAACGTATGCCAAGGTTCAGCAGGATTAGGTTCCGAATTAGAAGGAGCGAGGGGAAGAAATTCATTGTGCACAATAGAACTTTGTTCAGGGTCGATGTCTGTGTTCAGGTTGTTTGGATGCGATAACGAATGACAGCCGAGAAGGCATAGATGAAAGCGATAAACCGGAGTCTGGCACAAGAGATCGAGGCCGAGCAGACAGGTTGCATGGCCGCGCATGAACGAGGAACGAGGCCAGATCAGGAGACTAAACGAAACCCAGGGGATGATGCCTGACCGCATTGCCCAAAAACCACTAATTGGGTAATTCTGTTGATTTTGGCCCAGGCCTAATGCTTCTTTTGGGGTTTGAGGGAATCACATGACAACCTTACAAAGTTGACGGTATGTCGGTCAGGCATTCCGTTTGTGGAGGGGTGTCTACACTTCTGTTAGGATCATCATGAAACCCAATCTGGCAGTGAGCAAACAACAACAGGAGTTCAACACAGGCGGAGCCCGTTGCAGTGAGGCCGTTGCCAGAAGAAGGAATAAACAAACAGGCGAGCCCGAGCGCGTGTGTGCCGCGTGTGTGCCGCGTGTGTTTTTTGCCAACAAAAACAAAAAATAACACGCGTGCCGCGTAGCAATGAAGCCAGGAAAGGGAATCCGAGGTGAACCGATCAACGGTGATGTTGCGAAGCAGAATGGTATACGACGGTGTGCAGCCACAACAAACAACAGGCAGGCCAAGAGGGCAGTGGCCGGGATCATAACTGTTGAGGGGGGTTAATTGCAGGAACAAGATAAAGGAGCCGGTTATCGGCCAGCTCTCCTTTTTGATCTGTCCTCACTAAATCGGAAATAGCCCCGCAGGCGCTTGGTTGCTAACTGTGGCTGCGAACAACTCCCTGAGGTTATGAGGGAGGCTGCGAAACCTTGGGCAAAAGGTTAGTGCTACATGAGGCATGGACTGCATGCGCGCCACAAAAGTGGCCCAATTCTGCCATTTTCCGATCGCACCACCTTTGCAACTTTGATGCGCTTCACTAACCGCATACACAGTAGCTCTCCACCAGCCTTCCCGGTATAAATAGGACAGGTCTGCCCCACGGGTAGTCTCACATCAGCTTCTTTTTTTTTTTTCCAAGCTTTCATTTTCAACAAATCCCCTTCAAGCCTTCGCTAGCCTGCCTCAACAGCGTTTCCTCATTTAGCAGCCACAAATAATGCACACACTCAAAGCCGGTACTTCCATTCTCACCTTGGGCTATTTGGCAGTTTCCACCACTTTGCCTTTTATGTTGTCCTACAAGGAGACCAGAGTGAGTCCGACAAACTCCAAGGGTCACATCAACGCCAGAACGTTGTTTACCAAAATTTAATTCTGCACATGCCTGGATGGTTTAATTAATACATGAGTTACGAACAGCATTGTAGTGCTAATCAAGACCCCTTTCTTGATCAAGAACAGCCAGCAAAACTTATCAGCAACTGCTATCTGTAAAGTATCTGATGATGGTTGCATTGTGGAGCATGTGGAGATGCGTTAGTTCCCTTGCATAACCACCATAAATCCACGAATTGGGGACCGCCCAATTGTCACCTCAGGGGTGCAATAATGGTGCAATCTAGATGCAAATTTTATTATTTGTGCTTGAATAAGTTATAATGCAACAATCTGGAGTCAATCCACCCACTCATAGATCGATTTCGTGTAAAATTTATGGATTGTGATCCCGGAACATGCTTGCGGCATTGTCTACATTCGGCAAATCCCGTATGGATCACAAAGTCCAATGACCTGCCATTGTCAGTGATAAGAAAGACCTCCTGGTGATTTGAGTTTATGTTTTGTCTAGAGATAGAAGAATGTAGATCGAGGCTTTGAATTATGGCTTTAGGAATTTAACTAACCGAGGCTTCATACACAGTTGGTGGGGAATGAATGACTTTCAACGACTCCTTCAACACAAATCCCCACTTGATTCAAGGTAACTACTATCGAGATATAAACGTGGGCCAACTCCTTCAGCATTGGTCACGCAAGCGTCTCTCATCAAATGCCACCCACAAAACAGCCTCACTACTCCCCACATCTTCTAAAAAATATCACCGTTTATCCTTCTATTTACATGACCTACTTGACCCAGTGGGCGTTCTCAAGCAACTTCTTGGGTGAGGTGACCCCACTGGCGGTGTCTAAGACAATCTGCTTCTGAGCAACTGAGTAGTCTCCATTGGCCATCAAGACCTGTGCTGCGTCCTTAACAACAGGCAAGAGCAGCTTTGGCGTAGCCTTGTCTGGAGTCACCTGCTGTGCCTGTCCCTTGACGACTTCCTTCATTCTGTTTCCGAGCTGTTTGGCATCAACATTCAAGTTCCAGTCCTTCTGCAAAAGGAAACGGTTTCCGTGAATGCCAGGAGCAACGCTGTCGATTATCAGCTTGGGCAACTTGTATGGGTAATGCGATTTGAGAAGAGCCTCCTTGGCCACAGCAGATACTCTAGCTGTTGGACTGGCCAATGAACTGGTAGCCTTACCGTAGAAGAATGTGTCACCGTTGACAGCTGGCTTGTAAGGAAGAGGCTTGACCTCTTTGGTGGCAGCCTGAGATTCGATTTTAGTAGCCTTGATGTTATTGGCAAAACTTCTAGGTCTGCGGTCTCTTTGAGCACGACCAGCTCTTTTATCCTGTGGTCTGGCCTCTCTGGTGTTTCTCTGTCTTTGGCCTTGGTTCTGGTTTTCTCTGGGTCTCTGTGGACCTCTGTTCTGGCCTGAACTCTTGAAGTTTCCTTCGTCCATCATGCTAAAAGCGTTTTTGCTCAAGGGGTGATCGCTGACGCTGAGCTTGACATTTCTGGTTGGCTTCTTAGCAAGGTTTGGCTGCTGCTTCTTTGAAAACTCACCAGACTTCTTCTTTGGCTGGGTTTTCTGAGTCTCCTTGGCCTTTTCAGCGTTCTGCTTCTGGATCTCTCTGATCGAGTCGCTTCTGGCTGCGATGGCATCGACTCTTTTCATCAAATCCGATAAAAACAAAGCCAGGCCTTTCTGCTCTCCGGCAGTGGAGTACAGACGGACCCCATTTAGGATAGTTCTGGAGATCATGGCTTGTGCTGGGATTCTAATCGTGCACTGAATTTTCGCTTTTTTCAAGGTCCAGGATGCACGGGTGTATGTGGTGGTAGGTACCTGATACTCAGACATGGAGGGCGCCCATATGGACTCAATCAAATCGTGCCTTTAACCCTCTAGAAGCAATTTAGACCTTAATTCGACCTTACTTCCGTGAAATTGTTGGTGATAGAGATCCATGGAGTTGTGTTGTCAAAAGGCTACCCCAACTTAGCTTTGTGACCTAAAAGCGTGGATAAATTTTCTATTGTGAAGTAGGGATATTCCATTTATTGTGGATTATTAGTCTTGAGGAAGCTAGAAATGAAGTTAGCATCTGTCTGTCCGAAAGCTGTTGGTAAGTCTGGTAGCAAAGCCATTAGTTTTGCCTATCACTCGGCACTTTTCGCAGCCATTGAGATGTACCGGGGAAACCCGGCAGAAGTCAACGAGGAGGTCAAAAACAGTCCATCCTTGAATCCATTGTATCATTATAAATAACCAAATTTCGAATACATTTTCAGCTCTGGACAGCTCAATTGCTGACAAATTCTGCTGTTGTAGCTACTTTGAACCTCCATCACTTGATGGCACAGCGCCATGGCTTCAGTCAAAAACCGAATGATCTATAACGCCGATCGTACGTTGTTAAGACGACCCAAACGGTTTTTCAAGCCTACGAGCCGCAAGAATGTTCATTGACGCAGAACATAGCAAAAGGTTAGAATTGTGGTCAATGGTACCTCACTCGAATCTGCAACCTCAGTGGCCAATAGAATGAGGCGACTGGCTCGGGAGTACACCATTGGACTTTTCACTTCAGTCGACAAAATCGATTTTGAACGTCGTACAAGTTGAATTGTGTCGACCATAAGCCGATTGACATCCTTCAAAACCATAAACACTACGAAAAGACTCTAACGTGTTGCTGTGTCCTGGACACTGGTTTTGGGTGCAAAAAGCGGTCTGGAATTGGTTCACCAGCACCACCAGGCGTCCCCGAACTCAGTAAGCAAATTTGTATGAAACCGAACCAGCCAATTGTTACCAAATCACAATTTTTCAAAATCTATCAATCCCAAGCTACCCTTCGTCGTGTTCGCCAGTCCACGACTCTTGTTTCACGTGCGGAGCCAGCACGTCACTCCTATTGGTCAATTGGCGGCCCACGCATAAACCGACCCCAAATACCACCATTGAACGAATTATTAATTCGAAATTCACAAAACTTCACCGACTTACCCCCAAGATTGCCGTGCACTGGAGGTCTGGCGGACATTTTGCCTGCATATGAGCCGCCAAAAGCAGTCGTGCCGTGGCCAGAACACCTTGAGTGAGGGCCAATCAAAACGGTCCCTCGAAGGCTCCGGCCGAATGTGGTTGAGAATTTCGCGGTGCGATTTTCTGCCAATATATACTGGCACAAATTTCCTCCCATAGTCTTTTTTTCTTCTTCCACCAGACTTTTCAATCTACACATCTGGAATCAAAAAAGTCGCCATGTTGTCAGCTCGTTCTGCTTTGCGTACCGCTGCCCGTGCAGCCTCTGTTTCTAGAATGCGTGTCGTATGTACCAATTGGAAAACTTTCAGTGCCGAGTGGATCAGGCCAACAACGAAAGGGAATTGGCCACTCCAGGGCCTCAATTAATCTCGAAATCCATTGAAGAAGGACCGGGGACCCTAATTCCTTCGTCCCGAGCACCCGGGTTTGCTTTTGCCCCGGGTTCGTCGACCCTTTTTGACCACGTAAAAGTTTGCAAAATACTAACTGTCAGGCCCGTCCAGCTGCCAATGCTGCTGTGCGTTACGCTTCTGCCAAGGCTGCCCCAACTGAGGTCTCTTCCATCTTGGAGGAGAGAATTAAGGGCGTCTCTGACGAGGCTAACTTGAACGAAACCGGTAGAGTCTTGTCTGTCGGTGACGGTATTGCCCGTGTTTTCGGTTTGAACAACGTCCAGGCTGGTGAATTGGTTGAGTTCTCTTCCGGTGTCAAGGGTTTGGCCTTGAACTTGGAGGCCGGCCAGGTCGGTATTGTGTTGTTCGGTTCTGACGCTCTTGTCAAGGAGTCCGAGCCAGTCAAGAGAACTGGTAAGATTATTGACGTCCCAGTCGGTCCTGAGTTGTTGGGTCGTGTTGTCGACGGTTTGGGTAACCCAATCGACGGCAAGGGTCCATTGAACAACAAGGAGACCAGAAAGGCTGAGGTCAAGGCCCCAGGTATCTTGCCAAGAAGATCTGTCCACGAGCCAATGCAGACTGGTATGAAGTCTGTTGATGCTTTGGTGCCAATTGGTAGAGGTCAGAGAGAGTTGATTATCGGTGACCGTCAGACTGGTAAGACCGCTGTCGCTCTTGACACCATCTTGAACCAGAAGAAGTGGAACTCCGGTAACGACGAGAAGAAGAAGTTGTACTGTGTCTACGTCGCCGTCGGTCAGAAGAGATCTACCGTCGCCCAGTTGGTCAAGACCTTGGAGGAGAGAGACGCTTTGAAATACTCCATCATTGTTGCTGCCACTGCTTCTGAGGCCGCTCCATTGCAGTACATTGCTCCTTTCACCGGTTGCACCATTGGTGAGTGGTTCAGAGACAACGGTAGACACGCTTTGATGATCTACGATGACTTGTCCAAGCAGGCTGTCGCTTACCGTCAGTTGTCTTTGTTGTTGAGACGTCCACCAGGAAGAGAGGCTTACCCAGGTGATGTTTTCTACTTGCACTCCCGTTTGTTGGAGAGAGCCGCCAAGATGTCCGAGGCCAACGGTGCCGGTTCCTTGACTGCTTTGCCTATCATTGAGACCCAGGGTGGTGATGTCTCTGCTTACATTCCAACCAACGTCATTTCCATTACTGATGGTCAGATTTTCTTGGAGGCTGAATTGTTCTACAAGGGTATCAGACCAGCTATTAACGTCGGTTTGTCCGTCTCCCGTGTCGGTTCCGCCGCTCAGGTCAAGGCCATGAAACAAGTTGCTGGTTCTTTGAAATTGTTCTTGGCTCAGTACAGAGAGGTCGCTGCCTTCGCTCAGTTCGGTTCCGACTTGGACGCTTCCACCAAGCAGACCTTGTCCAGAGGTGAGAGATTGACCCAGATCTTGAAGCAGAAGCAGTACAGCCCATTGGGTGCTGAGGAGCAGGTTCCTATCATCTACGCCGGTGTTAACGGTTTCTTGGACAATGTCGATGTTTCCAGAGTCGGTGAGTTCGAGGAGGCTTTCTTGTCTTCTTTGAAGAGCAACAACCCTGAGATTCTTGATGCCATCAGGGAGAAGGGTGAGTTGTCTAAGGAGGACTTGGAGTCTTTGAAGAAGGCTACCGAGAGCTTCGCTGCTTCTTTCTAAGCGACACACTTTTCCCTGGTTAGACATGAAATGTGGTGACGTGAAAAAAGATACATTTTTATAAATCTCACAAATGAAAAGCTTTACGATGATATATATTCAATCACAAAGTATTCGATAATCTCTTTCTTGTGCCCTCCACATTTTCCGCCTAAGATCACGTGTATCAACTACATACCTCTTTGTTTTAGCGTGCTCTTCCAAGACTTAGGCCATGCCTGCAACCAAGAAAAAATATAAGAAGATAGATCTTAGCAGCGATTCGGCTTACGGCGAACGAACTGCGGATTTCAAAGTGCAGCAATACGACTATAACGATCTTCAAAGTGGAGTTCTGGAGGCTGAGGCCCAACTAGAGTCTGATCTCAAGTACCTATTGGCATCTCAAGAAGACGGAACCATTTCGAGAAAAGAGCTCAAGGAAGCGAGAAAACTCATCAACACGGAAGAGAATCAAAAGCGTATCAAGCGCAAGAATCTCTTCACGAAATTGGAGGAGATCACTGGTGATATGAATGAGATCGTGCTTTCCAGTGACGACGAGCTGGAAGCTACCAGTGAGAGGCCAGACAGAAGCAAGAAGAAGGAGAAGAAGGCTGAGCCTGCTAAGAATGATGTGAAAGCAAGTGAGCCGAAGCAAAATGGCAAGAAACAGAAATCGGTGACTCCAGATCTCGAGAATAACCACAATGAGAAGAATGGAGGGGATTCCAGCTCTTTGAACAGGGAAAGCTCCGCTGCAGCAGAGGCTGCTGTACCTGAGACGATTCCAAAGAAGAAGAGAAATAGAAAGAAGAAGAGCTCATCTGTGGAGCCTGAAGATCAGGCCAAGAATAGAGAGAAGCAGGGCCCAAGAAGATCTCACCTGCGCAAGTATCCTCGACCATTTTACCAGAGAAAGAGCCTGTGAGTACCATCATCGGTCTATCTCCGGAACAGATTGTCAACATGAAGCTCACCGACGTGAAGTTCAAGATCATCTCGACCAATCCTGGCATTCTGAAGATTTGTCGTAATGTTCTTGATTTCGTCAAAAGAGAGAGCGAGGGTCTCTTTGTCGACGAAAAGCTCCGGGATAACTTTTTGGAACTCTGTGTTCATGTGGCCATGCGTGAATCCAATGGTTTCAACGACGTGAGCAAGAAGTATCCAAAGCTTATGGCTCGTCTCGCAGCAATGAGAGAGCTTACACTAGAACACACTAGGACCACTATAACTGAGTCAAGCAGAAGGGCACATCAGAACAACTTCGACTACACTGTCTTCTCCTACATCGGGCACATCATCATTTGGGCATCATACCTCCAACAGAAAGCCAAGAAACCTGTTTTGCTAGAGAACTTTGGTTTCTCGAAGAAAGATGTTCTTGCCTCTATGGGTGGTTGTCATTTGTGGGACCGGATCAGAAGGGATCCTGGCACAATCAATATGAAGCGATGGAAGCATATCCAGAAGTTTCGTCAAAACTTTGCCTTTGAAGAGCACCAATTCGTGGTGATTCTTCGATTCATGCATCTTGGCACTGGTCTTTGTTGAGTGTGGTGGACCTGGAAGAAATGGCTGCAATCTCCGTATCCGGCACGCAGCAAATTAAGCGATATACGCCATCATTATTTAGCATCATATAGCATCTTTTCCTATTCATGGGGTACGACGTAATAGTTCTCCCCAAAAGCTGGTTTTTTGAAGACGTCTTCTCGGGTAAGTTCGACACCTTAGCGGAAATTATCAACATCGCGTATGATAAGCCTAAGAACAAGTATGGTATTATCAAGACCAGCCGGATCAAGAATCCCCAAAACTTGCCTGGTGACTTACAATATTCCGAGGATAAGGATGTCTTTTTAACGTTGTTGCTTGGATCGAAGGAGGGATTCCTGAAGTTTGAACCAAGATCTTTTTCGGAGAACCCTTTTCTCTCGCTGCAGTATGGAAGCTACTTCGGAAACCTCACGAGTAACAACATCAACATTCATTTGGTTGATTCAAAATTTGTACTTGACGATGAAGTGAAAAATAGAGTTTTATCAACTGTGGGATTCAAAACTTACAATGGTTCGGACAAGGAGACAACGGTAGAATACGAAATGACTGCCTTCACGTCGTTCCTTCTGGGAATTGCACCCAAACTTCTCGAATTCGTCATTCAAAATACATTCAAAGATGTCGATACGCGCTACTTCGACTCTTCAAATGTATCTACGGTTCACCTCCATGCCGTGGTGATTCGGGATCACGACTTAGTTCCTTACTATGAAAAATATTGCGGCTTCCACAGATTTGGACAGCCCGATTTGACAATTACCGCCAACAATGAAGAATCTCCATTGGAAGAGGGAATTGAGGCATCAAGAGATTTTCATTTAGCGTTTCTACGCAGAACCATAGAGCTTAAATAACGGTATAGATATTAGATGCTTTGATATTACTGTCTTGGATTAGTGCTTCTCTGTCAATGCTTGTCTGTAGAAGCTCAGAGCTTAGAAGAGTAGTCGTTCTTCTTGAGCCACTGGGCAATCACATCACCGTCACGCGTAGACCAGTTAGACTTGGCAGTGATGATATCAAGAGTCTGGGCAACACTCTGGTCGAAACCCTTGGTGTTCTTGTCCTTGAAGAATTGTTCAACCTGCTGCTTCTGCTCCTGCTTTGTGAAACCAGAGGAGGCAAGGGTCACAACAGAGCCCAACATGGAGAGACCTGGAGGCAACAACTTGTAGATAGCATCCCAGTTCTCGGTGAGCCATTTCCACAAGCGCTCGATACCCTTTCTGTGGGCTCTCATTCCCTGCATTGGGATGTAGATATCCTGGGCCTTGACAATGTCAGTCTTCATCAACAAACCAGCCACCTTGTCGAGAACAGCATCGTCCTCAAATCTACCAAAAGATCTCAAGGCAGCGATCTTCTCCTCGACAGACAGTGGGTTGGTGTAGATGGAGTAGAGCTGGTCGAACACCTTCTCGTCACCGAGCTTGGCGTTGACGTTGAAGATGGAGCTCCTCAAGTTAGGGTTGATGGCCTTCTTGTCACCGGCAACAAACTTCTTGAAAGAATCCACAGCGTAGTCAACGACCTCCTTGTGACCGGTTGCAGCAGCGGCACCGAACAAAGAGGACTTCAACTGCTGGTCAGCGAAGGAGTCGGAGTCAGAGAACTCATAGCCGACCTCCTTAAGCTTCTTCGAGATCAAGTCAGCAACGAAAAGGTTGAGGGCTTCCTTGACAGACTCATCCTCAAAGATCATGGCACCTCTGACTTGCGAGGTGGAAGTCAAAATCTGGTCCCAGACCACGTAGTTAGCCTCGTTGGACCAGGACTTGACCAAGTCCAAAAGAGCAGTGGTGCTGATGAAGCCAGAGGAGGCCAAGGAGGAAGCATCGGCAACCAAACCAATACGGTCCTCCACAGTCAACTTACCGGCAACACCAGCGTTACCCAACTTGGTCCAACGCTCAGGTGAGTAAGCGGTACGGTAAATACCTGATTGATCACCATTGACCTTGAAGAAGTCGTCAGAAGTGTTGAGGGTGATGGTCTTGTTTCTGGTCTCCAAGACAGCAGCCTCGTCGGTACCCTCAGAAGTCTTCAAGCCCAAGAACACTGGGTACAAGACCTTGTCCTCTTCAGGCTTGACATCAGCAGTAGCAAGGAATCTGTTCTGTGTGAGCGAAAGCTCGCCCTTGCCAGTCTCTTCAACATGGACAATTGGGAAACCAACGTTCTTGGTCCAGATATCCATGACCTTGACAACGTCCTTACCACTGGCCTCGCTCAAGGCCTCCCACAAGTCAGTAGTCTTGGTGTTGCCCCACTTGTGCTTCTTCAAGTAGTTGGACACACCTTTGACGAAGGTCTCTTCACCCAACCAGCGGGAGATCATCTTCAACAAGGAGGAGCCCTTGGAGTAGGAGATGGCGTCGAAGATCTGGTTGATCTCGTCGGCTCTCTTGACTGGCACCTCAATTGGGTGAGAAGATCTCAAGGCGTCCAAGGTCAAGGCGTGCTGAAGAGAGTCAGCGACGTAAGACTCCCAAACCTTCCAGTCAGGGTACAAAGAGTCACAGGCGTACCACGACATCCAAGTAGCGAAACCCTCGTTGAGCCACAAGCCATCCCAGAAGTCCATGGTGACCAAGTTACCGAACCACTGGTGAGCCAACTCGTGCATCACCACCTCGGTGACTCTCTGCATGGTGTTGACGTTGGTGTTCTTTGGGTCCAAGAGCAAGTCGACGGTTCTGTAGGTGATAAGACCGAAGTTCTCCATGGCACCGGCACTGAAATCATGGATGGCGACCATGTCCAACTTGGGCAATGGGTATGGAATGTCGAACTTCTTGTCGAAGAAAGCCAAAGTTTTGGCGGCAATGTCGGCAGAGTACTGACCCAAGTGCTCCAGGCCGGGAGTGGCCCAGACCTTGATCGGCTTCTCGTAGTCCTTGTTCTCCACATACTTCAAGTCACCGACGATGAAGGCCACCAAGTAGGTGGACATCAATGGGGTGGTGTTGAAGACGGTCTTTTTCTTGTCGCCCAAAGCAACCTCCTCCTTGATGTCCATGTTGGACAAGTGGACCAACTCCTTGGCCGAGATCAAGGAGATGTCGAACTTGGCCTTCAACGCTGGCTCGTCAAAGGAGGGGAACGCTCTCCTACAGTCGGTGGGCTCCATCTGCGTGGTGGCCAAGTACCTGGTCTTGCCGTCGGCGTCGGTGTACGACGATCTGTAGAAACCAGCCATCTTGTCGTTCAAGATACCGGTGAACTTGATGTTCAAAGCGGCGGTGGAGCCGGCCTCCAAGGATTTGGCCAAGGCAAAAGTAACCGTCTGTTTGTCTTCGTCGAAAGTCACATCCTTGACTTTCTCGCCGTCGACGTCGGCGTGCTGGACCTCAATCTCCAACAGGTTGACGGTGACGGAGTCTGACTTGTCCCTGACCTCCAAGTCGATGGTCAATTCACCATTGAAAGTGAAGGAGTCAAAGAGCGGCTCGAGAGTCAAGTCGTAGCGCAAAGGCTTGACGTTCGTGGGCAAAACTTCTCTCTGGGGCGTAGAAGAACACATGTTGTTTCGAGTTGAGCAGGACCGGAGGCTCACTATTTGTGGGGCCAGGATGTGCCGTACCGAAATGCGAGAGCCATATGGTCCAGTGGCAAGGCGGTTGAGAAAAGGAGCAAAAGCCGTTTTGGAGGCCGTGGCGGTGGCGAGGCCCGAGAGTGTTTTGGAAATTTGTAGGCCCCGGGGTGCCAATTGGAGGAACTTCATGAAGAACCGGCTGGTTTGGAAGATTCACTTTTTCGCGTGGGCCGATGGGACCCTGCCCAGTTGAGTATTTCAGGCAGGCCAGAGGGGAGCTACATGAATTGGCTTGAAGACTATGCTTGTAGAAATTTGATATTTTTTGTTTGACTTCGATTTCAACGGCGTGGCACGCTCGTCGGCTTTTTCAACGGCGGTTTTCGCTTGGATGAATTGCCGTTTTGTGTACCCAGACGGCGCTGAACGGCACTAAAGTCGGACGGCTGCGCGGCGCTGTCAAGCTATTTTAGTTTTCCAGCCTGTGCCCAAGCGGCCGTCCCCAAAGTCCAATTTGATTTTTTTAATAAACATGAGGGGAATTTTTAAAATGGTTTAGGCATTCTAGAACTTTAGGCTTTCCATTTTGATCTAGATCCAGTCTTGGCCGTCGTGGCCTCGGCTTGGAGCAAGTCCGAAATCCTGAGGACTACGGCTGCATATACAATAGGCATGGCTGAAGTGCATCGCCTGGGATCATTGTGGGTATATAGGCTTGGAGGCAAGCCACTGGGATATTTATTGGACAGACCAAAATGGGATGTAAACGTGGGAAACGTGCTGTGGAGTTGTTGGTTTAGGTGTGAGTTTGGATTATTGGAGGGAAGAAAATCTTTTGGTAATTGTTCACGTATTGATAGAGGAAGAGTATAGGGCAAAGAGGATGCCAATTGGCATTGGTAGGCTGTTGATGAGTTAAATTGAGGGCAAAGTCTGTCTCAGTTTTGGTTCCCTAAAAATGAATAGACTTCAGCTTTTCAACTCTCTTCTTTAAAATGGTTGCAAAATGCTGGACCGTTGGTCTGAGAAAAAGAGGTATATTGTTCTGACAGCGACTTTGGGAATCTGCAAAAATCCCAGATCGATGCCATTCAAGGAGCTGTAATACCATCTTGAAATGAAAACGTAGTCCCTCAATTGAAAGTACACATTTTCTTCGTGTCAATTTGGGGGGTTTCAACAATCAATGCCTGGGTCGTCGCTTTCAGCACATCTCACCCAGACCACCCATTCACCTGTACTGCCCTTCTTCTACAACAACAGTGCCATTGACCACACCTACCCCGGTCTATGCTTCTCACGCACAATTCCTACAAATCCTTGTCAAATTAATCAGTACAATTGCATTCAATTAACGCCGTAACTACACCTTGGTCACAATCGAATCATAAGGTTCACCAGCAGCAAGCCAGCCCTTGATACCCTCGTGCAAAATCGTCACCTTCACACGCGTATTGTGCTCTCTCGAGTAATCCTCGAGCCAGCCGCCCACCTTACTGGCTCTTCTGCCAGAACTGTTACAGTGGACCACAACGAGCCTCGTTTTGGGGAATTGCTGGGCAACGGGCAACAAGACCTTCTCCTTGATTTCTTCATAGCCACCAATATCTGTGGCAGGCACGTGGAGAGACCGTGTAATGTAGCCTGGTTCTCTGTCGTTTCTCAAATCAAGAATCAAGGTCTCCTCTCCATCCTGGAGAAGTTTGAAAACCTCCTCTCTGGATGTGCGAGATGGTTCATTTTTAGGATCTGGGTACTTTTCAAGCCATTCGGGTACGGAGGCGGACATTTTTTTACAAAAGTGGTGTTGATGTTCGAGTATATTATGTGCTTATGTGTGGCGGGCCTTCATGTACTCCCACCAGTCTGGGGTCTCATCACCGTTTCTCACGTGCCACCGGGCAACAGGGCCAAGGAGATTTGGATTTGCAAAGATTTTGGAATTATGTCGAGATATATGACTCAACTACGATGAAACCGTGGTTCTTCGCGAGTGCTTTTGAGTCCACGTCCTCGGTCAGGCCATCTCCGACGGAACGCAATTCACAGTTACGGTTTAACCAGTTCTCTGAAGGATGTGAATTCCGCTGTCGGTCTCGATTATGTCACTGAATTCGCCTACATTGAGGGCGAAAGCGGCCTGCTCGAATGCTGGTTGCATCTGGCCTCTTCCAAAGAAACCAAGATCACCACCGTTAGCATGGGACGAACAATCACTCTCCGTCTGAGCCAACTCAGATAATTTGATCTCCCCATTAAGAATTCTCTTCTGGTGACCTCTCATGATGGCAATCGCCTGGTCTCTGGAGATATCGATGCCATCAGGACTCTTCCAAGACTTTGGCTTTCTGGACGTGTTATTTTTTACAAGCAAATGAGCTGCTCTAACCTTACCGTCACCGTTCACGAGCGGCTTGTTGCCGTTGGCCTTGAACTTCTTGATGTACTCATCAAGCTTGCTATTATCGGTGCCATATGGGGCCTCCCACGAAGACTCCTGTGTAGCCTGGTTGAGGAAGTAAGGCTCGTTGTGAGTTTTTGACACTTTGATGGACCAACTTGGGGGCAATCCTGTTTCCATTGTGGTGTTGATGAAGAAGAAGAGTTGTAGAGTGTGAGTTATGATGAATATTCTACACCGGACAGGCACAATAGATGGATGAGTCGTAGTCTTTCATTCCCTCGTCGGTCAAAAAAGGAAGAAGGAGATGAATAGAAATATATTGATGAATGAGTGTTTTTAAGCCATTTCCGTTCCGACAGACGTTTATTCTTTTTTTTTGGTCCTTTCACTTCGTCTATATTTCGCAGCCATTTCAACAATTTCACCACATTGAACAACTTTAGCGTAAAATTCAAAGCAAGTTTTATTCCCTTGAATCTTTAAAAGCCTACTTCTATCTCTTCTATTAAAATAAAAGACTTTTGATGGGAGCGGCGTGCTTTGATATGTGTTCCTGTTGCTTCACAATCGACCTCAAGCGTAGACATTCTCAATCATATCAATCCCTACGAACCTTAACCCTCTCTACATGTGTATCACCGCATCCTCAACGAAATTCACATTATAATATTAAACGCCAACCTTGACGTCCTATCTGACATGTCTTTTAATCTGTAAATGGGAATCTCTCCCTCTAATAATGCTAGTTGATGCCTCTCTTGACAAGCGCCTCCTTGACTCTGTTACCGACAGTGTCCACGGGCTCGTCACAGCGAAGCTTCACGACCTTGCCCTGCTTGTCGAAGTAGTCGACCACAGGCATGGATGTCTCGATAAAGGTTCTGAATCTCTTCTTGATACTCTCGATGTTGTCATCGGCTCTGCCGGAGGTCTTGCCTCTCTCCAAGAGTCTGTCAAGCATAACCTGCTCAGGACACTCGAAGAAAAGGGTGAACGCAGACTTGACGATTTCGTCCTCAAAGGTCAAGGCCTGGTCCATCTTTCTTGGGAAACCGTCCACCAAGAACTTGTTCTTGCCCTTGGCCACGTTGTCAGCAACAGCGTTTCTCAACAAACGAACGGTCACCTCCTGAGGCACAATCGTGCCTTCTTTGATGCACTGAGCGATCAAGGCTCCATCCAGAGAACCCTCTCTGACCTGCTCAGCTCTCAAGAGATCTCCAGCAGACAAGTGCACGAAACCTTTCTCGTTGACAAGCTTGCCACACTGAGTACCTTTTCCAGAACCAGGACCTCCTAGAACGAAAACCACAGACACGTCTTTGTCGCTGAAAGCTGGACCTTTCTTGGGCTCTGGGGCCAGTTTAGGTTCGTGCTTGGTGTAAACAGAAGCCAAGACGGTAGAGCCAACAGCAAGAATGCCTAGAGCACCAAGAACGTAGCCCTTGGAAAATGGAGACTTCTTCTGTTCCTTGGAGTTCTTCTGATCATTGGAGTTCTGGTTGGACTTATCCTCGCTCTTTTTTTTATCTGAGCTGGGGAATTTGGAGTAGGCTCTAAGACCAATAGGAGCCTTCAATAGCTGACCTCTGGGGCCTTTAGACTGGCGGTTCTGAGCGATCTGGTGAACATCGGTGAAAAAAGTTCTCCAGGTTTTGAGAAGATAGGTGTTTTGGCGCGAGATAGTCGTGTATTACCGACGTACTCGGCAGCTTTGGCTGCGAAAAGAGTAGGATCTGATCAACTGTGAAGAGGGGAGGTAAGATTTTTTGATCTGAATGATCGAATTTACGGATACTTGTTTCTGAACGATTGGGGATGCTTTCGTTTGGTGATTGAGGTATGCATAGATGGCGGTTCGGTCGACTCTGGAGTGTGCTGCAAGATAAGCTTCTATATCTGTATCTAGGTTTTCAACAGCCTTGTGTAGAGTAAGTGCAGATACATATATATTGTCGAGCTTTTTGAAGGCACTTGCGATTCTTTTCACCAAAAGCCCAAGAACACCTGCAATTGTCGTCAACAAAGTAGAACTTGATTTGAAGGCTAGCAGTCCTTTTACACCAAAAGACATTACATCTACAATTATCCGAGCCAATTCTCCAAAATCACCCGACACTTGAGCTATCACCGGTCATCTATTCGTCTATTCACAGAAACTCCTTGAGAGCATCCTGGCCGATTCTGTAGTAACCACCGTTGAGGTCCAGACCCCAACCCTTGACAGCCAAGTTAACGAGCAAACTGGCAGGCACCTCGGCAGGCAACAATCCCTTGTTCTTATGCAAATCAATGAACTTTTGCAAGCTCTCAGGCGTCATGTTGGCTCCGAACTTGTTACGAATGTCCTCTTGCATGTTGGTATCCACCACACCTGGGGCAATCGAGATAGCATTGACCTCCTTGTCCTCAGCAACCAAGGTTTGAATGAGATGGTTCAAGGCAGATTTGGAAGCACCGTAGGCGCCCCAGCCGTAGTAGGAACTGGTCAGAGCTCCAGACAGCACGGCGACAAAACGGCCGTTTGACTTCTTAAGGTGAGGCAATGTTTTAGTGGCAAGGTCAACCACCGAAAAGAAGTTGATATCGAACAAATTCTTCCACTTGGCAATGTCAGCCTTGGCCACAGTGTCGACTGGATCAAGCACACCGGCATTAGCGACAACCGAGTCAATTGAGCCAAATTCGAGGGCTTTTTCGACAGCTTCCAGAACAATTTTTTCGTCAGTAATGTCGCCTGCAACCGTCTTGACTCTATCGCCATACTTCTCCTTCAAAGCATTCAAAGCCAGCTCGGATCTGGCGATTGCTACAAGGTTGTGGGAAGGCGATTTGGCAAGGTAGATTTCTGCTACAGCAGCACCAATACCTGTTGTTAGCGGGATACTTTAAAATTTCAGCTTAAACACATACCTCTAGAGGCACCGGTCAAAATCATAGTTTGGGTCATGGCTGGTACTGAAGAGTAATAAAGCGAATACTAAGTATTGCCAGGCGGTGCACGTGATTGGGAGCAGGACTTTCCGTTTTTGTTGCCAGTGGGGACTTTTCAAATAAATGTGACTAAATAATCGTGAAAATTGGGTCAATTTGTATAATTCAAACCCCCTTCTACTTTGTCCACACCCTGTTCATCACATCATTCGTGACCCCCACATCAACATATATCGCACCAACCAAAAACACAATCACCAGTCCCTAAGGCTTCTACAATCCAGGCCGGCTCTATCAGTGCACTACCGCCGCTCAGCTTCAAGTGAGAGCAAACTCAGGCCTGGTACAGTATGAACATTAACCCGGACTCAGCCAAGGAAATCCCTTGTAAGAACGTTACCATCTACGGGTTTTGCAAATACGAGAAGAAAGGTTGTGTGTTTAGCCACGACAACTCCACTCTGGGCTCTCTGAAGACTTTGACACCAAAGGCGTCGTCCTCAAAGCTTAATAGCGCCGAATCTCAAAGTATGGCTCGGAACAACGGAGCTGCTGGGGAATCTACCTCCAAGAAGAAGTTCAACGCCAGCACACCTTCATTCCAGCCGTCGGTGCAGAGCATCACCAATAAGTTCTCGTCGTTGTCGCCCAAATTGAAAGACCTTCCGCTGTTTGTGCCTGCTAGTCTCGAAAAAGAAGACACGGTTTCCACTCCGACGCAAACAAAGAAGTTCAATGCCTCCACCCCTTCTTTCACCCCATCGTATGAAAGCTCGAACCATTTCAATAATTCAGCGTTGGGAAGCGACACGCTGCAACTGGTGTTTTCACCACTGATCCACGCACAGCTGTCGATGTTGGGAGGCTCTGGAATATCTGGGCAGCAACAGCTGCAAACCCAGCAGAATCCGTATCTCGCAGGTCCCACACCACCTCCTCTTGGAGGATTGGGCAGCATGGGCTCGAGCCAGGCTTCTGACTTTATGTTTTCAGGCGGCCAGTCATCATCGACCTACACCCTAAACAACCACTTGTACGCCCCAGCGCCACCACCTCGGTTGGCGATGTCCTTGAACGACCACCAAACTAATGTTAATGACATGTTTATTCCCAACAACTTGCGAGAAGAGCTCATGAAGAAGAACGAAGCCACATTACAGACCCTTCCTCTGCTGACATTACCAGACCACGTTGGCGAGTACCACTCGTTGGTGCCAATGGACGTAACTTTCACCCAACCTTCCAAGATTTACGACTTGCCAAGCTATGTCTATAAAGCAACATCCAACGTGAACGGTCTCCCGTATGCTATACGCCGCATAGACTTCAATAGCAAGGCACAGTTCTCGCAGGAAATCGACCTCCGTCCCTTTGTGAAATGGAAAAAGATCAAGAACCCAAATGTGGCTCGTGTGCTTGACGCCTTCACTACGGTTGCTTTCGGCACTTATGAGCCCGTTTTGAGCGTGGTTTACGATTATTTCCCGCTCGCCAACACTTTACAGGAACAACATATCACCAGGAAACTCGGAAGCAAACTAGAACCCATCACAGAAGACATCCTCTGGTCATACTTCACCCAAATCACCAACGCACTCATTCACATCCACACTCATACATTAACGGCAGGGTCGTCCTTGTCATTATCGAAGATTTTGGTCACCAACAAAGGCAGAATAAGGCTTGCAGCTGTTGGTATAGATGACGTTTTAAACAACGAAGAAGAGATTGCATTCGAGCAGGCTCAGCAGAAGGATTATGAACTCTTCAAACAGACTATACTTGAGCTAGTAAAGACCACTGTTCCTCAGAGTTGGCGCCAGGATGATTACGATACAGTTGTTTCGAAGTTGTCGAGTTTATCTACAGTGACTTATAGTGAGGAGCTTATTGAAACGCTTAAGGCCTTCTCCAAGCTTGGCGAGGTGTCCTTGAAAGACTTCTTCAGGAAGCACCTTGCGCTTCGGTCGCTCAGGGTACTCAGCGGCTTCGAGGATCTGTCCGACTACATGGAGAGCCAACTCACCTCCGAGATCGAGAACGGCCGTCTTTTCCGTTTGATGGCCAAGCTTGACTTGTTGGTGAACCTACCAGAGAAGGACAAGGCCGACAATGGCAGTTTTTACGTTATAAAACTCTTCCACCAGTTTGTGTTCAACTCCTACGACGAGTTTGGCAAACCCGTGGTGGATCTTTCTAGGATACTTGTCAACTTGAACAAGCTAGATGCTGGAGTTGATGAGAAGATCTTGCTCATATCTGCCGAGGAAGACAGCTGTATTATAGTGAGTTATAAGGAGGTGAAGAACATTATAGAGCTGACGTTCAGAGGGTTTTCCGCTAGAGGCGAGAACCGGCGAAAAACAGAAAAGATAAAAAAGAAAAAAACAACAACAACAAAAAAAAAAAAAATACTAACATAACACGAATAAAGAAATAAGCTATCTAGTGTAGATTGGCCTAGGTCGTTGAAATAGGGGTAACTGTAAAGAAGCTTCCAAAGCCCATTTCATGGACAGATATGGCCAAATTAAGGTAAGTTTTCATCCTTGAGCCACTTCCACATGATTGATTTCTGAATTACTTTCGATGTAGAGCACATTCGGTGTCTAGATTGCCTTTGATGCGTACTGACTATCTGAGCATCACAAAAGCCATGTGGACCAAAAAATGACATATTTTGACTCATAGGCAAAAAAGCGTCACATTACGAAATATTCCTATTTTGATGAAATCACGCCTGACTGATGACAAGGTAGTTTGCCAAGGTGGTGCCACACCGGTTCCACGGCTGCAACTCGCAATCAGTCATAGCGATCTGGCAAAAGAAATTCACCAATTCCAGGCAAAACGCCGATGCCGGGACACCAAAAACCCCTAAGTAAAAGAGGCAGAATTTACATCCAAATTCATCTACAAAATCCTCTTTCATTGATTCCAAAGAACTTTTGTGGTTTCTGAGTCATACCGAAAACGGCCCGGTCCGACGCACGGAACACCGCTGGAAGCGCCCACTCGACCCTGATAAGCATGGAAAAATGTAACCTACGATTCAGTCACCCCAGTCTCGCAGTGACTGCGCCGCACGTGACCATGACTAACTCTGTGAGTAATCTTCCGCGCATCCCACTATATAAACCGCTCGGTGCCACAGCTTCAATCGATACGGGTTTCACGGCTCAACACAAGACACAATCCAAAACACAACAGCTCCCCAAGAAAACAACATCTTTTTATTATCCTTTTTTTATTTTTCAAGAAAAACACAGCAGCTTTTTGTTTCATAGAATAGCTGTCTCACGAATTACGCATTTTGGTTTAGATATCGGTTAGTTCAGCTGCTGGTCACTGACAGGTTGGTTTACGGTATAGGTTGCATGGCAAGTTGCAAACAGGCATAGATTTTTGACTTTATTTTCCACATTTACATTTTATTTTCATTTACTGCACGCTCAAGATGGTTAAGATTATCATTTCCTTGCAATAGACGCTGTCGTTGCAGGAAAGAAGTACGAAATGTTATCATCGAGAGCGACCCCGGAGAGTTCTGTCTCCCCATACGCTAAGCGTGAAACCCCCTCCACCCCTCCATCGGAGAGCTTTGCTCCCAACAACTCCAAATATTACAATGACCACCTCAACAAGTCGCAGTTCAACCTCATTCTTACGAACTGCGCTGTTAACTTGATGAAGATGCTCTACCCGGCCTCTGCGGTCCAGGTGGATGACGTCAAGCTCAGATTTTTCATCATTGAGATCTTGAGGAGATCCAAGGCTCTGACTCAGACTTTGCAGATTTGCTGCTTTTACATGTACAAGCTCATCAACAAGAAGCCTGAGGAGTTGCCCAATTGCCCCAAGAAGTTGTTCTTGGCTTTGATTATCCTTCTGTCCAAGTTCAACCAGGACCACAACTACTCTTTCAAACTGTGGCTCAAGATCTGTGGGTGCAAAGGAACGGACGACTCGAGCTTGAATCTCCAGAAATTGCGTCAAACGGAAACACAGTGTCTCCAGCTTCTCAACTACGACCTTTACATAAACGGGGCTAAGTACGAGAACTGGTGCAATGTGCTTTTGATTTTTGGCTACGACTTTATTCTGATGCACCATGTGCATCTGGGAATGCTTAATTGGTGTAGCGAAGCCGACTGTCAGAAGAAGCTTTTCCGTTGGACCCTGTTCTTACACAAAATGGACGAGCGCCGCCTTGGAAAAGTGAGTGTGAATTTTAAACACTATTATGCTGGTCAGATGGGCACTAAAGTTGTCACCAGCGATGTCAAGCCTAATTCGCTCTTTGGCAAGCGTACCTTGGATGACGCTGCCCCTTCTTCAAAAAGAGTCTGCCCCTAAGCGTCTTCACATGAAAATATGTCAAGCTGCATCGCGAGATAAGCTTTCGAGTATATAGAATTGGTCAGACCCTGGAATGGGCTCCACTGACGTAATCGAGGGATTTTTCATCAGCGCACGCACCTCTGTAATAATTTTTCTTTTTTTTTGTTTTCCTTGCCTGAGGGATAATAGAACCCTGTGGCTCGGCTAAGTTTAGCAAGCAAGCCTTTCCGCAGGTCTTGATAACAACAAAACAAGCTGTGCTTGTGTTCAATGGGGGCGAACTAAAGAAGCAACAGAATAGCCTGGACAGGAACAACAACCTGATACAAAGTAAGTCAAGATTTTTGTCCGAAACGAACACAAAACAAGCACAGATAAGCGCCCCATGGCTGCGGCTAACAAGTAGCATTGTTCCCTCAAGGCGGGAGCAGACCATTGTGTTAGTGGAATTGAAGATGCTTAGCATCCCGACCTCGGCCAGCGCACTACGGGCTTTGAAAATTATTGTAATGAGAATTATTGTACTGATTTATACATTCAACCTACCAGTACTAAACAATACCGAATGAGCCGGCCACCGGCGAGATTCGAAAACAAACAAGGCAGCAAGAGCCACCTGCAATGAGTGCGCAGGTAGGATTAAGCACCTGGCTTAGGCAGAGGTGGGCACAGCAATGTTAGTCTGCTCGGCGGTACCGTTAATAGTCTTCTTGACCTCGGCAACACCGTTGCTCACGACATCGTCAGCCCTCTTTTGGGTCTGCAGCGCAACATCGGTCACGTAGCTCTGGGTAGTGGACTTTAATGGCTGGATGTAGTCGGAGTTCACGCTCTTCAACAACTTGACGCCAGTGGTGACTGAAGCCGAGGCAACCTTCACGTAGTAGTTCTTCTCCTTGGACGAGTCGAACTCCTTGTTGTAGGTGCTGAGCACGGTGTTGGAGATGTCCAGGGACTTGGTGGACAACAAGTCCTTGGAGCGGGAGTAGGTATCGTTGACAATCTCAATGGACTTGGAAATTTCGTTTTCAGCCTGCTTCTCCTTCTTCTCGGCCTTCTTAGTGGCGTTCTTCACCTTGGGCAACACCTTGTCCACAGTAGAGGAAGCGTAGTCATTCACAGGCTTGAGGTACACGCCAACAGCGTTCTCACCCTTCTTCTTGTAGGCAGAAAGAGTGTCCTCACCCTTCTTCTTGTAGGCAGAAAGAGTGTCCTCACCCTTCTTCTTGTAAGAGATGGCCAAGTCCTCGCCCTGCTTGGCCTTCTGGGAAGCCACAGCCAATGCCTTATCAAAGTTGCCCAAAACGACACCATCAAGGGTTTCGTCAGCGAAGCTCAATTGACGCACAACAAAGGGGAAACGGGAGATAACCTGGTCGTTGAAGTAGTTGCTCAAGGCAATCACGTAGGTGGTGACGGCCTGAACAAGCTGAAAGCTCAAAAGGTAGCTATGCAACTTCTTGACAACGGAGTAGGACTCCAAGTGAGCCTTGGTCTTTGAGGTGAAGGCTTTCGACATGCTAATAAATAGAAAAGATGGGAAAAATGTGGTGTGGAAAATTTCACAAACGTGGCTGGGGATGCGACCTTATATAGTGGGCCTTGGCCCGTTCCACATTTATTTTTTCCCCTGGAGAGTCTATCTGTACCCTTGCCAAAAAGGACATGCAGCGACCATGCGACCCCGAAAGGTCTATCTGCAGTCCATACAGATAAAGGCAGAGATGGCGCGCCTTGCGATGGCGAGCATGTGAAAGTTGCTCTTTTTTCGCTCACCGTGCTGTGCCGAAACAAGCTTTAAAGGGACGCTTTTTTAAAAAAACTAAATACACAGAAACGCGCTTGAAGAATCTTAAAACATCGGGCAATCGGTTTTTTATTGGCTCAAATCGCTGCTGTGACAACTTTTTACGGAAGATCTTACCGATGAACCCTCGGGCAGGCGCGGCGTAATGGTTGCAAAATCTCCCGAGAAGCTCCGCATATAGATGGAACAAAAATGCATGGGGCGCTGACATTTTCAGGTGAGAAAAAACAAAGCGAGATGTATTCTAAACTAAGCAGTGGACTTCCATATGCCTGGCGGCATCTTTCATAACCGTGTCCAAAAATATAGTCATCACACTAGCGACAAGGGAGCCTCCTTGGACATGCTGAAACGGCTCAGTCGCCCGACTCCCGAATATTATTTTACTGTAAATCGGATTATCTACGAGATGGCGATTCGGCTTTTCCTTGTCCTGGTATGTGGCAACCTGTGCGCCACATGGCCTGATGATCGCCTGCCGAGGACCGATGCATCGGTCTGACGCTAGATCCTCTCGGACACTGGGACCACCTCGCTGGTTGCGAACGTGATAATTCGCTAACTTTTTCGTAAACATGCATTGTCCATGTACCACAGACCCTCAGTGCTTGGCTCGGAACCATGCCACATCGCCATAGCTCTTCTTCTGCTTCACCTTCTTCTTTACTGCTGTTTGCACTCTGGTGGGTTCTCCTTGGGGCCAGTCTCGTCAATGCCCTCCTCCTCATCCTCATCGCTGTCAACCTCGCTGTCAAACTCATCCTCATCTTCCTCGCCGTCTTCAAGATCTTCAGGGAATCCATAGTCAACAGCGTCGCCTGTGAACCAGTCCACCGCACGAGGAATCAAACGGTCCTTGATTTCCTCACCTAATTGATAGTCCAACTCGAGACGCGCCTCCAAGTCAGCCTCCTGCTCCTCGTCCTCCTCTTCTTCCTCATCCAGCTCTTCGGCCTTTGGTGGCTTAGGTGGGTCAAAGAAGTTGAAAAACGACTCTGTGGGCGTCAACTTCTCAATGGTTCTCGTCTGCTTGGTGTTCTTGTTACGCTGCTTTCTTCTCTCAATGTTGATTGTCACATTGTTCTCCTTGGACTTCCAGTTGATCTCACAGCCGTCGGCGTGGTCATACACAAAGTCACCAGAGTAACCCAATTCAGCCTGGTAATGATAGGTCTTTGTCAACACCTGGTTGCTAAAGAAAGAGTTCTGGTCAAACTCAAAGATCAACTCAAAGCCGGGCGTCTCCAAGTACTCCATACGGATGTCCTTCAAGTGCAGCAAGACTTCGCTGTCTCTCTCGGTGATAGTCTCGCTGACGGTGGTCAAGTTCTCCAAAGCCGTCAACCAGAAGTTTGGAATACCCTTGGTATCGTCTTCGGCATCCTCCTCCTCTTCTTCCTCCTCCTCATCCTCTTCCTTCTCCTCCAAGGACTCACCCACCTCAACCTCATCGGCAGTGGGTTCCTGGACACCGTTGATGATGTCCTTTCTTCTCTCGTACAATGGCTCGTACTTCTTGAAGTATTTCTTCTCCAACTCTAACAAGTCTCTCTGGAACTCGGCCTCCAACTTCATTTGCTGCAGCTGGACAGCCTTCAAGCCCATGACACGCTTCTTAACAACAGCAGGCAATCCTTCAATGTACCCACTCTGCTGACCCACAAGCGAGCCGAGCTTGCCCTGGATCATCAGCAAAAGTGCAGGGTTGTTAGCTAATTGTTTGCTCAAGTTGTTCTCATCCTCTTCGCTAATGGTAGAGACGGATGGTGGCTGCTGCTTCAAATATGAGTTAGCCACGCTCGATGGAGTATTCTGCGGGGTTGGTGCTTTGGAGATATCACCCTGTTTTCTGATACCCGACATTCTTTGATGTTTTGGTGGCGATTGGGTAGGAAGAGATTAGATGTTGGTCCCAGATCGCCAAAATTAAAGAAATTGATGAATGGCGCACCGGTCACGTGTCCACAACCGCCCTGCTACCTCGTTAAACTACGCGTCCCATCGGCACCGGTTTCTGCGTATAACCGTAAAAATTCATGGATTCTAAATCTCAAATGACGCAGATGCCGTCATTGCTGTGCTAGCTTCCTCCTCGATATCGTCGTACTTACCGTCCAAGTACTTCTCGATATCGGCCTTTCTCTTTTCCCACTCCTCGACCTGGTCCAATTTAGATTCGATATCTTTGATCTCATTATCGATAGTCTTCAAGTTCTCCTCAGAGGTCAAGTCGTGGAAGATCCACTTGTCTGGCTCACCCTTCTCGTTCTTGATTTCCAAGATGAAATCATGGTACTTCATTAAGAGCGGTCTGTGGGAGAGGGTAATGAACGTTATCTTCTTTCTCTGCAACAATTCAAACAAGTAGTCCTCAACATCAGTCGAAACAGCATTGGTGGACTCATCCAAAACCACGAACTTGGGGTTCTTGAACAACACACGAGCAATGCTCATTCTCTGCTTCTCGCCACCACTGAAGACATCCTTCCAGTCCTTCTTCACGTTGAAGTTGCCCTCTCTTGTCAACAAGTAGTCCAACTTAACTTCACGCAAAATGTGGTACAAATGGTCATCATTGTAGCCCATTTCGAGCATATCGTCATAAGAAGATGGGTATATAATTTGGTCTCTCAAATTGCCGTTGGTGAAGTAAGACTTTTGAGGCAAGTAGAAAATCTCATCGTCGCTAGGTTTAGACATCAAACCGTAGTACAATGGCCACAAGCCAGCCATAATACGGGCGATAGAGGTCTTACCGCAACCGTTAGAGCCCAAAACCAAAAGGTTCTTGTGCGCCAGGATGTGAACGTTAAGGTTGTCAATAAGCTTGGTACCCTCGCTACCGTTACTTCCAGGAATGATAACAGGGAAGTGCTCAAAACGAACACCACCGCTGTAGTTGTGTTGAATAGTACCGTGGATGTCAGCAATGCCATATCTGGAGCCAAAGTCGAACTTAGGGGAGTGAGCCTTGTGCAACTCGGTAAGCAACTTGAAAACTCTGTCGGTGTAACCTGTGAGCTCAGAAATATCCTTAAGAGAGTACATCAATCTCGAGCCGGCATCAGCCAACGACAACATCAATCTCTTGTTGATGATGAACTGTCTCATGTTACCCTTGTCATCAACCTTGCTCTTGCTTGCTGGAGCGGGAGCGGATTCGCCCTCATCAACATGCTGCTGTGCCTTTGGCCACAAGTCCTCCAAAAAGACTGGCAAACCTGCAAAGACGTAACCCCAAGCAGACCAAGTGTACTTCAAGACATAGTCTTCAAGGATGGAATACCAGAAGGAGATGTTGATTTCCTTGGAGACATGGCCCATCAAACCTTCGAAGGTTTCCTTCAACTTGGCCTTCTCGATGATAGAACCCTTGTAGAAACCAATCTCTTCCGAGTTGGTGATAAGGTTCAAGTGCTCGTTGTAGTAACGACCCTCCAAATGGGTTCTCTGGGCAGATAACTTACCGAACGATGGGGTATACTGTTTCAAGAGGAATGCCGTGGCAAAGTAGTTGGCGAAGATACCAACAATAGCACCGGTTCCCAAGTTGTCTCTCAAGTAGACCGAGAAGAAAAACAAGTCAATGAGGGGCTTACCCATGCTGGAAAACAAGCCACAGATGGAGTCACAGAACTTGGAGATATCGTTCGTGATGTACTGGTCGATGTTTTCGAGATCGCTTTGACTAAGCGAGATCTTGTAGTAGGTCATGACCTTGTCCAAGTACATGTCGTGGATGTATCTGATCAAGTTTGTTCTGAAACTCAACGACAAGCGGTTGGTCAAGTATTTGATGGCGGCATTTGTGTAGGACGCTGGGAAGGCGATCAAGATCCAGTAGATCAAGTCACGCACAAACTTCTTGCCGTTGGCGGAAATCAAGTTCTTGACGATCTGACCGTCCAACTTGGCAATGATCAAGGACAACCACGTACGCAAGACCAAGAAGAAGCACTGAGAGAGCAATAAATAAGTGTTCTTTGAGTAGAACCGTGGGATGAGGATACGCCAGATGATGATGATCTGGTTCAAGAATTTCAGGTTGAAGATGTTATTCTGCTGTTTCAAACGCTGATCAATGTAGAAATTCTTGTAAAGATACTTGTCAGCGGCGTATCTGTCCAAACTGGGCTTGGGAATGATGATTCTGGTGGAGGAGTTCTTACCCTTGGGTACAAAGATCTCTCTGGCGCCATTCTTCAAAATCGTGGACAGCTGGCGGATCAAGCGGGGTCTATTCTGAGATCTCTTGTAAGCGTACTCATTATACCTCAAGATCAACGACTTGATGGTAAAGAAAGCCCCCACGCCAAACGTAGCAATGAGCGTGCCAAAGAAAAGAACAACAGGTCTGCTCTGGTAGTTGATGGTGACCTTATTGTCCTTATAGACTAGCACAAACTCCTTTAGTATAAGGAGGAACTTGCGCACGTCCTCCCGGTTGTAACTAGAAAGACGAGATATGTGAACCATGGCGACAACCTTGAAAAAACAGTGGTTGTTTCAAACGGTGTACCAAGCAAAAGTCTCCCCACAGTACAGATGCCGAGGGTAGGAGGGGTGGTGTGTGCAAGCCTGGGCACGACTGGGGTAGTCACGTGGGGAGTCCAAGCCCTTGTTTTTTTGCAATGTTTCCAATGGAATTGGCTGGTTTAGTTTACTTTTTATTCATTGTTTTTATATGTTGACCAATGGTCTGATTTGTGGCCGTGTTGCGTGGCTTCTTGCGTACGGCTGCGAAAAAGGGTCCTTGCGGCTCCCACTTAACGGCCGGACGGAGCAGCACTGGGTGCAAAAAGTAAAGTCTGGAAATTGAATTTTTTTGTCAAATACAAATTGTATTACGGTCAGGCCAGATTTGGCGTTAAACGAGGAGTTGGATCTTAAACACGAAGGACAATGGGCACTGAAACAATGGCGACTAGTTAGTCAACGGTCCAGGCAGCCAGCCAATGAGAAGTGGACCCCGGTGGTTCTGGTTTAAGAATTTTACGGGAGGGGACCAGCACGACAAGAGCCTGGGAGTTGAGGTGAAGAATCTGATTTGGTGATTAATTTGTGCCTTTTTTGTCCTTTAGTTTCTGATCTCATTGGATCTTGTAGGCTTTCCACCAGGCAAGAGGGTAGGCGACGAGTCAGGTATATTGAGTGGAAGGCATAGACAATTTCCACAAACTTTCTTTTGCCCGGATCTCGTATAAGCTGCATTGGTAAAGTCGCTTGAAGAGCTAACCCAACTTTGTTCCTGCCAACCCGGTCTCAAAGCAAGTAGTATCAGATATTGGGCGTTTGTCGCTTGCCATAGTTCCTTGTCTATAACTTTTCACCCTTTCATTGCCTGGAATCTTATTCCACTGAATTGGGACACCCAACCAAATCGGGGCACTCAAAGTCGAAAATAGCGTTTCTGGAATTATCTCTCTGAACCTCTTCAACTCATCACTAAATCAAATTGCGTCGCCATAGGAGTCAATCATATTCCAAACAGCCGAATTTCAGTCACCTGTCCACCAACAATTCCACCATCACCTTGGCCAACTCTCATCCTCCTAAGCGCAGCGTGCTCTACCGCATTGGGTGCAAAACAGCCAAAGCGCCATTCACAAACCATACCTCCAAACGATCCAATGCGCTCTTGGCATTCGGAAAAACCTGGATTGTCGATTTTCTCGACACACCATTATCTTCCACTATCTTATCTTGCAGAACGCAAACGCAACCTCTTTATCTCTGCTTCCTCGGCAAACCCACCTACACCCATCCTGCTGCTCATCCAGCAAAACCAACGCTACAAGACCATCATCAGTAGTGCACGATCTCGTTCGTTGCACTAAATCTGAGCTCTTTGGATCTCTGTCTCAAAACGGCCATTTCAACGCTCAAGGCTTATGGCGGATTTCAGTCGCACCTTATCGCAAGATAAGCGATGGTGCAGAAACTTGTGATTGGCCCACAACCGCCGCCAGCGCCGTTAGCAAGCGATGAATTAGACGCTCTTACACTGGAGATAGCGCCAGTACGTACAGCGTCAGTTTTCGGTGCGAGAAGAGAAGCAAAAAAATAAAAAAAAAAAAGTGACCGCTGGTAAGGCGGGCCCAGAAGTCGTGGTGGCCCGGTGCCATGAGGAATTTGAAAAGTTGAGGATTCCATCTCTGCGAATCGGGCCGCAAAGGCCAAGATCAAACCGAACAAGAAGTCGGCCAAACTTCTCACGGGAATCCTATTTCCGCAAAGAATGGCATTTACGAGTGAGAGTTCCAGCAAGGCGATCCTTCACTTACAGCCGCGACAATCCCTCGAAAAAAGTAACAAAGGCGGGCCAAAGCTTAAACAAGACGGAGCCTTGTCCCCAAGAAGTTTCTTCAAAAACCTCACCAATCCCCCATCTTTCACCCTCTACCGCCTTAACTCCCGTTTCCTCTTATCACGGGGGAAGTCACTGCGTCCTCGGATTTGCAGCCATTTTCCCCACGAAGTTCCGCGATCGGGAACATGGCTGTTCGGACTCGCTGTGCGCATTGGGTAAGGCGCCGCTCCAATTCCGCCCCAGGCGATATCGACCCACCTCTTGGCCTGGGAGCCTCGGGGCCTCCACAAATAGGGATTTACGTTACCGCAAAAAAACGCTGCTCCTTGTAGCAAAAAGCTGTTGGCCGTCGAGTAAAAAATATTTTAAACTTTGGTGGAGATTCCTCGCATTTGCAGCCATTGAACCCCCTGTCACGACAATACGAGCAGTCCCCTCTTATGTCACTGTGTCAAAGCTCGCCTGCCCAGCGTCTCGAGATCTCAGCATCTCTGCGATTGTGCATGCCCTCCCACCACCTTATCCTAGGGCGAAATGGCCGATTCGCACCGCGATAAAGCCTGCTGCAAGCTGGTAAACAGCAGTGTTCGCTGAGACGATAAAACCTTCTTTGCAAATTCCCACCGTTCGAATAAAAACCACCTCTGGCAAGCTGGAGCTCGGACTTTTGGAGCTGCCGAATTCCACACATCCTGCCTGTTTCGTGCTCTCCGCAATCGGAGTGGGCTTTTTTTTCCCTGAGACTGGTGGCCTGCGGCTGCCCCACTTAAAAAAACAATTGACTCTATCGTCACAGCGCCTATTTTGCAACCTTCAGTACAGGCGCTCGGTTCAACATTGCATCATCATCGCCTGTGCTTATCAGTTCCACATTCCATTATAAAAAAGCATCCATGCCCCAGTAAAATTTTTTTTCCTCTCCATCTCTAATCATGGGTAGCGACGAAAAACTGAAGACCTCCGTGTCTATCGCCCCGGCTGATGTCGAAAGCCAGAAGAACGAAATCACCACCATCGTATCTCCCCACACTGGCAAGCCCATTCATTTGACCACCACTGGCGACGATGCCATGGAGTATGTCATGTCCCACGATGGCGACAAGGTCGAGCTCGACCCAGAGACAGACCGCAAGTTGGTCCGCAAAATCGACTTGTACCTCTTGCCGCTCATTTGTCTCTTGTACTCGGTCCAGTTCATGGACAAGATGTCCAACTCCTACGCCGCCGTCATGGGCTTGAGAGAGGACTTGAAAATGGAAGGTGACATGTACGCGTGGACTGGTTCTGCGTTTTATCTTGGTTACTTGGCCCTTGAATTCCCCTGTGCATACACTTTGCAAAGGTTCCCTGTCATCACCACCGTTTCTATCTATATTATCATCTGGGGTATCATTTTGATGTTGCATGCCGTTCCCAACTACGCCGGTTTCGTAGCCTTGAGAACGCTTCTTGGTGCCTTTGAGTCCTCCGTTACCCCAGCTTTCGTCATTGTCACTTCTCAGTGGTACAGAAAAGACGAAGTCTTCTTGAGAACTGCCTTGTGGTTCTCCTTCAACGGTCTCGGTCTTGTCATCGGTTCTGGTGCCGTCGCTTACAATCTTCACGCCAACATGGACAGCTACTCGATCGATGCCTGGAAGTTGATCTTCATAATCACCGGTGCCATCACCATCGCCTTGGGTGTCGTTATTTTCTTCCATATCCCCAACAAGCCCACCGAGGCCTGGTTCCTTAACGACAAGGAGAAGAGCCAGGTTGTCGAGAGAATCAGAGTCAACCAGCAGGGTTTCGGTAACAAGCACTTCAAAAAATACCAGCTCATTGAGGCTCTCACTGACGTCAAGACATGGCTTTATTTCTTCCTCGCCGTTGCCAACAACATCCCCAACGGTGGTCTTACAAACTTTGGGTCCATTTTGCTTAACGAGGACTTTGGCTACGGTGTGGGTAAAACTCTTCAAATGCAGATGATACCCGGTGCTGTGGAGGTGGTGGGCTGTATTGGTTTTGCATACTTGTACAAGTACTACCCCAACAGATTGTTCTGGGCTACCGCTGTGTCGGTGATTGTCATCATGGCTCTTTGCTTGGTTGCGTTTGTGGAGAACAGACAAGCCCAGTTGGCCGGTTACTGTTTGTTCTACTTGTGTCCACTTGTGATGATTTGCGGTTTGTCGTCCTGTGCTTCGAACGTGGCTGGCCACACCAAGAAGGTTACCGTGAATGCCATTTTCTTGATTGGATACTGTGTGGGTAACTTGGTTGGACCTCAAACTTTCATTGACTCCCAGGCTCCCGGCTACTCTGGCGCCAAGATCGCCATGGTGGTAACCTCTGCCTGTGCAACCTTAATTATGATCGTCATCTGGATTCTCATGGCTCGCGAGAACAAGAGAAGAGACGAACGTGCCACTGACTATCTAGAATTCCAGCAGATCGAAAACCACGAGTTCGCCGACTTGACCGACATGGAGAACCCAATGTTCAGGTACACGATTTAATATCAAAAATATATGTATATGTATGGGAGTTGATGCAATTTTTATATCACTTTCTTTTTAGACTCTTTGACACACAGCTTCTGAAGGCATCGAACTCCTTTTTGCAAGAGTCCTTGTTCATGTTGTTGTATGTGGCGAGAACGCAATTTCCATAAGCAGCACCAAGCTCAGCGCATTGGGCACTAGCTTGCATCAACCTGGCGGCTGGTCTTGTTTTGGTCATGGGAAGAAAGTAGTAGGGATAGGTGAGATTGACTTCTCAATGCACATCGTAATGTACACACCGAAAGCACCAGCAGCTGCTTGGTGTCATGATAAAGTAACCTACATAATGCTGGAAGATGAGATTTGACGAATCCTTGGCCCATTTCGAAAATCAGATGTCGTGCTTGAATTGCTCAAATCGGGCCCTTCAAATGTTGCTGTGAAGTTGTCATCGATTTCGCAGCCATATTGTGGGCCTTGTCTATATAGCTCTAAACTATGTGTATGGTCACTTTCTATGTGTCTAATAAATATTATGTGAATCTACGCTCCACAGCGTAGACTAGTTTCATGGACTGCTCCATGAACATCAAGGTCAAGATCGAGTGGGGCCCCACTCTGAAAAGCTGCGCCCAGAAACCCTTGTATAAAGCTGTAGGGCCTTCGATTTTGATGGTCTTGGCGAAACAGTCGATTGGACCCTTGTAGAGGTCACCCTTTTGGTTATATAGTCTCGTCAACACCACATCCCATGGATTCATCACGATAGCCACACCCAAGCCTGCCATGGATGAAGCAGCAAAATGCAACCCAATAGTGCCATTGGCCATGAGATTGTGATCCAAAAGGTAATTCTTGGTAAAATTGTAAACCGGCAACTGGGCAGCGGAACCGGCACCGGTACGTAACACAGCAGCATCGGTTCCTCTGAAGAGACCCTTGACACCTTCTGTCCCGAAAATCTGCTTCAAGCCATCGTAGAGTCCTTTATAGTGAGTTTGCTCACCGACACTGACCTTGAGCGAAGCGCTTGCTTTGTTGAAAGACTGCATTCTTGTTTTGATAAGAAAGAACGGATTGGCCATCACTGCACCAGCAGAGCCCGAGATGAAACCTGCAAACACGTTGACTAAAAGATTTTGAGGCACATCACTGTAATGATCGCCGGTGAGAGAGCCAGGGTTGAACAACTTGGTCAAGTAGAATCTGCTGGGTTCGTAAAGTCCAATACGGCATCCGTTGAGCCCAAGTTGGTAGACATAACCACATAAAAGACCCTGTTGTAAACCACGCAAACCCTCGTTTCTGAAGATGACCACCAGAGCCTGCAAAGGGTTCGTGTAGAGCTTCTGAGCGTTCTGTTTACTGGTGAGTTCACCTTGAAGCTGCATTCTGGTCTTGATCAACTCGATAGGATTGGTGAAAGTCACGGCGCCACAAGCGGCAATGCCGCCAGCTATGAAGCCGCCTAGCGTGGATACCTCCTGTGCTATGGACTTTTCCCTCTGGCTCATGGAGTGAGTGTGAAAGAAGGTTGGATAAGAGTTTGGAGTGTCGCGGAGGTGAAAAATTTGTGATCCACCGGGTCCGAACAAAGAGAGGTGAGTTCTTGTTGAGTTTGCAAATTTGGCGAGTTATATGGGATATGAAATGAACTGCTTTACCAGCTTGATCTTTTAGAGGCTTTCAGAAGGCGTTCAGAGGGTGTTACTGAACTGACTCTGACGTAATAGGAAGTGGATGAAGAGGTAGATAGAGTGCGTTTTTGATATATCCTTCACAACGATAGTGTTTTTCAGAGAACTCCAGTAGGTTTAAAAAACTTTATATTATCAGATGTCAAATGTCATGAAGTTTATCTTGCAAAAGAACCAATGTGTCAACGGTTAGTCGCATCGCCTATCGCAATGCCGGTACCGGTCGGCTAATCGCACGTGAGATCGGTACCTGGATTGACCGACGACCACCCCAAGAAATGGACGCAATTGTCTCCGAAAATGAAAAAAATGTTGAAACTAGAAGATTACAGAATGATACAGAAAATCGGTCTGCTTTTGGCAACAGATGCTTATTCCGACTATATGTCTACGGCTTTCGAATATTAAACTCAATTGTTACGTGCAGCAGGTAGCACTGAATAGTTGCACCTGAGGATTTCGAGATAGAGCTTTGTGTCACCATCAAAAGCATCACTCGATTACTCAGCTCTCGGCAAATATAGCTAGGCTATTGATGAAATATTTAGCAATCAGTCTAACTTCTTCGGCCTTTTCAAACCTCAATTGAGTGCATCTGCATCCAGAAAGTCTCTTTTGTGCAAATAAAGCAAGAATGAATATTCATATTGTCTAAATTCCAACAGTACCAAGCTCGTTGTGTCTGGCTTAGTTCTCGAGGCACGCGCGGCCGCTAAAACCCTGCGCAGAATACACGAAGAACTGGGGTGTGCAGGAGGATATGGTGGAGTGTGCCTTAGACAGGGGCGATACAACAATCAAATACAAATAAGCTTAACATGGGTTATCCCAAAGATTTGAAACCTTCGATCAAAAAGGTCGCTCATAATGTGGTCACCTTGGCTGTTCCGTTCGCAATGGTCAATGTGGCCAATATTGGTAACAGAATGTCTATACTCCGCTACGGCAACGAGATTATCCTATGGTCGCCAATTCCTTACGGCGACTACATTGACGAGGCCATAGACCTTTTAGTGAGAAGGAAAGACAACCTCAAAGTGACACATCTCTTTGTGGTGAACAAAGAACACAATTTGGTGGCAGAGTCGTACTTGGAGAAGTTCCCTGATATCAAGATAGTCGGGGGTGAGGGCGTATTGGGCAAGGATTCGATAATCCACCACGAGTTCACCGCCGAAGACAGTAACAAGGTGATCAAGGGTGAAGACGCTAAAGCCAAGTTTGGAGCGACTGGCGATTTTTGGGGCAATTTGGAGTTCGTCTACATGGCAGAACATAAAAACCGGGAGGTCGTCATTTACGAAAAGAATCTCCACATGCTTTTCGAGGGTGACCTCATCATGGACTGTGGCAGACCAGACAACGAAGGAAATTACGAGTGTTACTCTCCTGCAACAGGATACCCTCACCAATACAACCCATTCACAGGACTTTCATGGGCTATTGGTGAGATTAAAGCAGGAGGCTGGCTCGGTTGGTTCATACACTTTGTTTTTGCCCGTACATGGACAGCTGCAGGTGAGCAGTCAATCAGGTTGGTCTATGATGCCTTTGACTTCGACACCATCGTTCAGTGTCATGGCAATATCATCAGTGGAAACGCCAAAGAAATCTACGCAGAGATTTATCCGTGGTTGAAAAAGGAGCAATAAAGAAGGGGGTTAGTTAAGGAGTTTTTGGGGATGTATATGGTTTTGTTTATCAGTATGCTCATCAGTTCTAGATGGTAGCCTCTTAGTATGCGCGCACTTAAGTATTTGCCATTAGCTTACTCTATTTTGCAAAGACCATGTTAACAAGCAAGGTCGGCTCCATATTTCGCCGGTCCATCCAGCTGCGATGCCTAGCAACGGCAGCAGCTGGAGAATCATCAAACATTTACCAGATGGGTGAAAAGCTCCATGGTTATACTATCAAGGAAGTCCAGAAGGTGCCGGAGTTCTCTTTGACCGCCGTGAGGTTGGAACATCAGAGAACAGGGCTGGAGCATTTACATTTGGATGCTCCCGCTGACAAGAACAATGTGTTTTCCGTTGCCTTAAAGACTAACCCCTTAGATGCTAAAGGAACTCCCCATATCTTGGAGCATATCACACTCTGTGGCTCCAGAAAGTACCCAGTGAACGATCCGTTCTTCAAAATGCTAAACAGGTCTTTAAACAACTTCATGAATGCCATGACGGGCCATGACTACACATTCTATCCCTTTGCAACCACTAACAAGACCGACTTCTACAATTTGATGGACGTCTACTTGTCTTTGGTCTTTGATCCGCTCTTGAACCACCAAGACTTTTTACAAGAGGCCTGGAGAATGGAGCAGCTGGATATGACGGATAAGGCGAGCCCCATGGAATATAAAGGTGTGGTGTTCAACGAGATGAAGGGCCAGTACTCAAACTCTGCGTATCTCTTCTGGATCAAGTTCCAAGAGGCCATCTATGGAAGTTTGAATAATTCAGGAGGCGATCCAAGCAAAATCCTCGATCTCAAATTTCAGGAACTCCAAGCTTTCCACAAGCAAAACTACAATCCCTCCTACGGTAGGACCTTCACCTACGGTAACCTTCCACTTGAAGCCCATTTGAAGAAGCTCGATGACTTTTTTGCGGACTTTGGCAGAAGCAAGTCAAATGGTCATCGAGAAGTGAAGAAACCAATCTTTGAACTTGATAAGTCAAAGCAATTCGACGTTGAAGTTCCTGGTGTGGTTGATCCCATGACCACCAAGCCCATAGAGGAACAGTTAAAGTCTTCCATTACGTGGTATCTCGGCAACCCTCTCGATGAGTCTATGAGATACGATGTTTTCAAATGGAGGATTTTAAGTACTCTTCTCCTCGATGGCCACAACGCCCCATTCTACCAGGAGTTGATCGAGACTGGTTTTGGTGAGGACTTCTCTCCAAATACCGGCTTCGACTCTATGACAGCAATGATGAGTTTCACATTGGGTCTCAGTAATCTTTCAAAAGAAAAAGTCAAGGAACTCGGTCCAAAGATTCGCAACATATTGATCGACAGAGTTATTCCCGAGCTTGCGCGTGGCAAGGAAAGCTCGTATCACGAGAGGGTTGAAGCAATGATTCATCAAATTGAATTGGGGTTCAAGAAACACAAACCTGATTTCGGTGTGGGCTTGTTGTCTTCACTCGTGCCTCTGTGGACGAACGGTGCCAATCCAATCAATGCTTTGAAGATTGACCACATTCTCAATACTTTTAAGAAAGATTATGAAGAGAATGGCCTAAAAATATTCTCGAACATCATTGAAAAAACAATTTTGAATGAAGATTCGCCGCAGTTCAGATTCACAATGATCCCGGATGAGAACTTTAATCAAAGATTAACGCAAGAGGAGAAGAAAAGACTTTCGCTGGAAGAGAAAAAACTCGATGACAATTCCAGAGAGAGCATTCATAAAAGAGGCGAAGACTTACTCGAGAAACAAAAGAAGAGTGACTCTGGTGTCGAAGTTTTACCTTCGCTTACCGTTGATGACATCCCTCGCAAAGGCGACTTCCATGAAATCACATTTAGTCAATTGGCTGGTGGAAATGGAAAAATCCAAAAGAGGATCACCAACACCAATGATCTTGTTTACGTCACAGCCACCAAGGACTTGTCTTATCTTCCGGTTGAGCTTTACAAGTACTTGCCTCTTTTCAACCTGTGCTTGACGAACTTGGCTGGAACATCGCAGTTGTCAATCTTGGAGTTGGAGAACAAGATCCAGAGATATACAGGTGGAGTGACGTTTACTACATTTGCTAAAGCGGATCCCTTTAACATTAACAAGTTGAACTTCAAGTATCTGATGTCGGGAATGGCATTGAAGGAGAACACGGGTCATTTGTACGAGATATGGGAAGATGTTTTAAGCAATACTAAGCTTGATGGGAACGACAAGGAGGTTGTCGAAAAGCTCAATGTTTTGATCAAGAATCTCGGACAGAACCAGCTCAACAACATCTCTGACAGAGGCCATGTTTTTGCCAACTCTTACAGCAACGCTCAATTAACACCCACAAAGTATGTCAACGATCTTTTTGGAGGAATTGAGCAGGTCAAATTTATACTGGAACTCAACAAGAGGTTGGATACCGAAGGAAAGGAGTATCTTTCGAGAGAAATCATGCCAATTCTCAAAAAGATTCAACAGTACCTTTTACATAAGCATACGGAGGATGGTATTTCTGGCTTCAATTACAACATTGTGTCTGATGCAGCATCTGTTGCTGAAAATGAGAAGTTGATCGAGAAGTTTGACGAAAAGCTTGTGTCCAACGAGCTGGTACTGCAACGAAACGTTTTACAGGATCTTACCGCAGGCTTTAGCCCAGCTAACGGCTCGAATACAGTTCTCAAATTGCCGTTGCAAGTGAGTTACGCTTCTCTTGCTCACTTAGGTGCCGCTTTCACCTCAAAGGACGGAGCTGCATTGCAAGTTCTCTCACAGATCCTTACATTCAAGCACTTGCATTCTGTCATCAGGGAATCCAACGGTGCTTACGGTGGAGGACTCAGCTACGATGGCTTGGGAGGAACCCTCAACTTTTACTCCTACAGAGATCCTCATGGTTTGAAGTCTGTCAAGTCATTCACGGAGGCTGCTTCTATTGCTAAAGACAACCTTGCCAACGCTAAGTGGGGCGATAAAGATTTGCAAGAGGCAAAGCTCGCGATTTTCCAAAGCGTTGATGCCCCTAGCCATATCTCGAGCCAAGGGTCTGATCTTTTCTTGGAGGGCATCACGGATGAAATGAAGCAGGAAAGAAGAGAGAGATTTTTAGATGTCGGTCTCAGCGATTTGCAAGACGTTAACGAGAAGTATCTCTTGAAGCCCGATATCTCTATCAAGACCGTCATCGGTGATGTCGAAGCTCCAAGCCAAGAGTGGAAGCTGGTACTGTTCTGATAATTAGATTGTACATAGACCAGGATAGATAACCATTATATTAGCGGATGCTGCTATGTACATGACGACGTAAGGATATTGTGAAATCTTCTAGCGATGTCTTCCCAAGAAGTCTCTGTCTAGAGGGTTGGCGAGCTTTCTCTTCTTCGCCTCGGTGAAAAGACAATGTCTTTTAGCTCTTGGATCATATAGGATGAGATTAAGCTTGGGCGAACCTTTGCGTATTCTGAAGAACTTCTCATAGCCGGTTTTGGCGGCAGAGATGAGCTTCACCACCGAGAAGTTAGCGTTCTTGGCCATGGTCTCTTGAAGGTGTGAATCTTAGGATCGCTATAGAGATTTTTCGCATAATGTATACTTGACACCCGTACATCCGTGATGCCACTAACTGGTTTAGTAGATGGGAAAAAGAGCTGAAGCGGTCTATCCAGACTCTCAAAAAGAAATTTAAGGGTACTACATTTTATTTCATTTATTTTGCTAGGTGCAAGGTCATGACATTGATTTGAAGTAACGCGAAAATCTACAAGAGTTGGGATTTGTTTCCGCATTTCGCAGCCAAATGGTGTATGCCCTGATGGATCAAAAACAAATGACAAATAAAATACCAAGACTGAATTTGAGGTACTTCCTTCAAGTGTAAAGCAAGGCATAAAAGGGCTTGACTCTTATGCCAATACAAATCGATCGTTGATAGCCTTTCCTAGAGCATACCTACTGGTGCGATACCTGTTAATACGAGAACTCCATCGAGATAAGCAGACAAGAAATTAATCAAAAGAGTAAGCTACGACAAAACTATTCAAACAGATGTCTGGAAGGTATTTTTCAGTAAGAAGCGATTTCGGAGAGGACTTCCGAACGTATGTTTTTTTTTTTTTTTTTTTTTTTTTTTTGAGTAGGGGCGCGCGTAGTGATCTTGACACGGTTTTTCAATCCTCAGTTGTCCAAAGCTACATCTAAAAAACCATGTTGATGCCCAATATCTGGCTCGCAGTCACGTTCCTTGTGTCCCTTGTACTGGCTTTACAGGTGGAGTTGCCTGCCATGCAAGACCCAACTCCAACGTGTATTCGTGATTTCGTTGGCAGAGATCAGATGGTCGTTGTCAACCTCAAGACCACTGGATACCGTGGAGATGGCCAGCAATTGCTGTTGACCGTTCATGACACACTTGGAAACAGATTTTACAAAAAAGATGACATCAGTGGTGAGGTCAGAGCCGTTTTTACCACACAAGATGCCGCTGCCATTGACATCTGTCTCACTAATCGCGTTGAGCCCGGCCGTAACAGAGTATACTTGACCAGAGAAATCGAGATTGACGTGGAGAGCGGTGCTGCTGCCAGAGACTGGAATGCTGTCCAGGCTGCCGAGAAGTTGCAACCTGCCGAGGTTGAATTGAGAAGAATCGCTGAAATGACCAGCGAGATTGCACACCAATTGCTGTATTTGAAAAACAGAGAGGCGAGAATGAGAGACACCAACGAGAGCACGAACTCCAGAGTCAAATGGTTCTCTGTGCTCATTGTCCTTGCCTTGATCGGCTTGGGCGGCTGGCAAATCCAGTACTTGAGGCATTACTTCAAGGTTAAGCATATCATTTAGATTTACTAAGAGGTCTAAACATCGAAATCCACGACAAATACTTGTCATGTTTGCATTCCTTGCAAAATTGTAGTCTGCTGGACTCGATCTCCTCGTCCTCGAGAATAAAATTAATTTCGTCGTCCAAACCTGACGCATTCCATGACCTTGATTCGAGAAATTCAATGTAGTGACGCTCACTCATGTCTTTGAATGTGTGGAGCGCAGACAAGATATCTTCGTAAACCTTTAAGTCTAGTTGATGCTCCTTCAAAACTTCGCTAGTGACAATAAACTTAATCATTTCATAGCAAAGACCAATGCAAATGTCCCAACAACGCTTGAAATCATTGAAGTCTTTATAGGTTGAGTCGTGCACAAGGCCGTCGTATAATTCACTTGATTTGAATAGCCTTGTCAATTTTTCGATCCTTGTGGATGTAGGGTCCAGGTACCCTATTAAATTGTACGCTAGATCCTCTGAGCCGACAATGGTGATGACAAGTTTATTATACACCATGAGAATGAATTTATCTAGCACCTGTTTTGGAACAAACAGTTGCGTGTTAAGTCGCTGAAGAAATGCAAATATTGTATCTTTGTCAAACATGAGAAGTTTGTTGGACAATTGTGTCACAAGATCAACCTTATGAAATCTGTTCGTTTCTTGGTAGAGGAATAGAGCCACCAAATGGGCTCTCAAATGCAATGACTCAATGTTATCGTCGTAGTCAACCTTAGATCGTAGGCCTACTGAGCCATTCGTATTAACGTCATTCTTAATGAGACTTCTCTCTCTAGGATAGCATGGAAATGGTCTATCTTGAGTCAGCAAACCCAATCCAGTAAAAGCAACGTCGACAAGACGTTCATACCAATCCTGGTTTCTCCCAAGCTGAGTAAGAAGGCAACCCAAAAATGAACGCTTTTGTCTTTTTTGAGAGACATCATGCTGAATCTTGAGAAACTTCAATATAATCCGAAGGGTCAGACTATAAGTTTCCCAAATATGGTGTAGCGAAGTGTTGCTCGAATTAAATAGAAACTTCTGGTACTGACTTGAGTCGCCGCAACAAGTGAAAGCCCATCGTAGGAGATCCCAGAGGTTGTAGTCTTTCAGATTCATCAACCTGCTGACTATAAGGTGGTCATCGAAAAGCTTTACGAACTCTAATGGATTTCTCTCGACCTTTTGCTTCTTTGGTCGCCCCTCTGGAGAGAGTTGCTCAGGTTCAGGAGTAGCTTGGGCCAGAAGATGTGGCATATTTTGAAAAAGGGATGTCGCCTCACCCAAGCCTGTCGTTTTACTACCAATGTCAGACAACGAGATCACATTCTTCTGCGGTAGACCAAATTGATGGTATTTCAGGGACGTTTCAATTTCCATACCAGCTGAAAGGTCATCGTCCTCGACGTCGCTCTCTGAATCCTGAATGACTTCCACCACAGGGGTTTCCTCTTTCGACTCTGGCTTCGACCTAGGCCTGGAAAAGTGTATAGAGGCATTGCAGATTGGTCGTAGGACATCTTGAAAGTTTTGATATAGCTTCAAGGCGTGGTCACTTTCACTGGACTGTATGAGATCGACGTACTTATCTAGAATGTTAGCGCTTCTTCGTTGTAGCAGGTCCTTTGTTAGGTTATGCTCGTACTTGTCATTGATTTCTCTCATGTACAGCGACAGTACTTCAATGCCGTCATCACTGCTTACGGTGCCACGAGTTTTCGACGACTGGGGAGAACGGCATGCTAATGTCAATAGGATATGAATAACAATCTCAGATGGCACTGGTGTGAATTGAGACACATCTGAGTTCTCAAGGTAGGACAAAAGAGCATCCAATTGATTGGTGTTATTGAAGTTAATAGGCTCATCTGAAGTCTGTATTTGCTCAAGCTCCGCAAGGAACAGGTCTATTAATCGAGTCTGCACATCTGAGTGGCCCATTGACCGGTTGGAGTTTAGTTCGCGATATCAAATAGTTGCAGCCATCGCATTCTCTATATCTATGCTGAATGTGAAAAACCTGATTCCCTATATATTCGATGATTTTTTTCAATCAAGTTGTCCAATCTGACCTAAAATCTCGGCAAAATCTTTAATTCCGACAGCTAGCCCTGAAACGTTAGCATCATAGTTGAGGACTTCACCTTCCAACGTCGTAGTTCCACAACCTAGCATGTCAATAAGAATCAGATCACTGACATCACCGAGATCCAAATGTTCTTTGACCTTCTTGAGGTCCTGGAGTGAGAGTGTCTCATTGAGAAGTTTAGAGTCACTGACCTTGCTTCCACTGGATGCTTCAAGGAAAAGACGCCAGGCATTTTTGATCTCCGGAAAGTGATCTCTAAACTTTACAAGCCGATTGCCAACTATGATAAGCTTATCGATATCGATGATGTCGGAGACGTCTAGCTCGCCATGCCTGGTAGTTGAAATTGTCAATTGCTGTAACAACAGCCTGGTCTTCCTAGCCTTATTGCTATCGCCTGGGATTCCATTAAAGTGGGTGTCATAGAACCATTGGACACAATTGTCTATATCTCTGGTGAAGCAGTGTGGTATACTAAGCTTGTGGAAGATGATCGGTAGGTGCTTGAGATAGATATCTTCGACATTCGACTCGTCCAATGTCTCGGCATAGGCATCGAGGACTTGCCTTTCAGCGTCAGCGTCGATTTTCAAATACTCTTCTGATTTGGAAAACTTGAGTGGCGGCATGGAACCGAACGGAATATGTGAGGTGAGTGATGCAGTGCGATAGATTAGTTATCTACTGCTACATCAGTATGGTTCTTCCGAGCATCAAAACCCAATTAGTGGATGTCAGCAGCAAAGTCGAAGGTCCTTGCCGTTTCCTCTATAAACTAGAATTGGACCAGCCTTCTGGCAGTTTCAAACTCAGAGGCATGAGTAAGCTTATCGCTGATTCTATAGAGAAGGCCAAAGCTGAAGGTCAGAAACCACATATATTCTCCTCCTCAGGAGGAAACGCCGGTTTGGCTTCTGCATACGCTAGCAAGCACCACAACGTTCCTTGCACAGTGGTTTTGCCCGTTACCTCCCAACAGATCTCAATAGATAAGCTCAAAAACTACGGAGCCAATGTTGTGATCCATGGAGCCCACTGGGGCGAAGCCAATAGCTACCTCAGAGACACCGTTATTGGGGGAGCTCCTAAGGATGTTCATCCAGTATACTGCCACCCATTTGACAACCCGGTCCTTTGGGACGGTCACGGTGAAATGGTTGACGAGATAGCTGAACAACTCGGTGAGCATAACATCGAAGTTTCCAAGGTGAAGGGAATTGTTCTTAGCATTGGCGGAGGTGGGCTATTCAATGGTGTTATCGAGGGACTCAAGCGGAACAAGGGTCTTAACAACGTCCCCGTTATGGCAATTGAGACCTACCAAACACCGGCCTTTGGTGAGGCACTCAAGGCCGGCAGAGTCGTGACTTTAAGCAAGTTGGATACTATAGTCAACTGTCTTGCTGCTCCATCAGTTTCACAGACGAGCTTGGAAAATAGCAGAACATATCCTTCCTTTGGAAAACAAATCGACGATCTAGAGGCATTGGCGGGAACTGTCGACTATTATGACAAAGTTGGAGGGTTGGTTGAGCCCGCGTGCGGAGTCACTGTTGTTGCTTCTACAAGAAGACAAGACTTGCTCGAAGTTTTCGGTGAACTCAAGTCAGACGACGTTATCATCTTCATCATCTGTGGAGGATCCGGTGTTTCCGAGGATACCATCGCACAGTATAGGGAGCTTTTGGCAACTAAAAGTCACTGAGTAGCTTTCCAAAAAAATAGAAAACATAAAGAACGGAAGCACTTAGCTGAAAACGCATTCGTCCAGGTTAGACTTTAAGCATAATAAGAGACCAGGGCGCAAATCATGTATTCGAGATCCAAACAAAACACACATACACACACACACATCACGCATAAGACCAGCGTACATACACAAAATTTTTTCAAATCTTTAGAAAAAACCGTGGGCTCGATAAATTAATTTTTTTCATGGAATCAAAGCTTACAGCAAACCCAACGAAAGCGTCGTAGTTTCCTATCCTGCACTTCTCAAACCGCTGCACATGACATTTGCATAATCTATGGAGACATGTGGAGTACCAAAAAGGCACAACTACTTCTCAGTCTTTCCTTGAAGAAACACCACATCAAAGTATGAGCAGCTCGTGGCTCCCTAAGTGGAACAGCTCTTCATCAAGCCTTCCGGCAAAAGCCGAAGAGCATAATCCCACCTTGGAGCTGAATACTGACTCTCTGCTTGCTCGGCCAAACCCAGGCAGTGAGATCCACACATCTGCTTCTACTGGTGATTTAGAATCCAAAGGCCGGATAAAGAATCACAGTCCTCGGAAGAAGTCAAATCTTTCCAAACCTTTGAATCACAAGGCGTCAACATCGTCGCTTGCTTCTATGAGCAAAGGCAACTGGCTCAGTTGGGGTCCCAAAAATAGGTTGGGTTCTGAGAGCGATTCGAATGACGAGAAAAGGGATGGGGACGAGGACAACCACGATGATGAGGACCACCTGGCAGATACTGATGAGAATGAAAATGAGAGTAATAGCAATGACGAAATAGATGACCATGTGGGCCACTCGAATGGCAACCGCAAAAAGCTGTGGAGCTTTTGGAACGGCTCCAATACATCCAATGGAAGCAATGGGTCTGATGACAATTCAAAGGGCAAGAAAGAGCCAGAGAAACCACTTTCTGCAACCAATGCTATTGTCAGTTCCACACCTTCCATTCCTTCTAAGGACGACCTCTTTGGAGGCACTAACGAAAGCACCAAGGAGCAGGCTGCGTCTCAGGAGGAAGGAAATGCTGCTGTGACATCCCAGCCTGATCAATCAAAGCCTGAAGACGACGCCGTGTTGTATAAACCCCATGACTCAGCGAAGCAGTTTCAGAAAATCAACACCCATAAGAACGAGAACCTCAAAGAGAATATAATTGTTCCAGACTGGCGCTCCTGCTTGCATCACCAGAGCTCCGTGAGGCCTCGCTCGTCCCCTGACAACGTATCAAGTGTGCCCCAATCTTTTGATATCAAAAACTGGAAGGGCTTTTTGTCACATTTATCGTCTCGCTTTGGGTTTGGCAATCAAGCTCAAGGAGACGAGGAAGAGTCGGAAGACGGAGAGCACACCCAGTCAATTAAGGAGAGAGAATTTGTGTCTATCAGTGAAAGAAGTTATAAACTCTATGGAAGGTCTCTTTCAAAGCTTTCACATCACAAGTCCTCAAGTTTGCCTAGCTATGGCCAACATCAAGACATGGGTCAGGAGAATGCCCCTAAAAGACAGAAGAAGCTGTCTGGCGAGGATGACGACACGATTTCAATTACTAATGATGCCATGGGCAACCTTTTAATCAACAACCGTGGTCTGCTGTCCGCAAGAGCTACTTCAGGTCAACAAGAAGCCGCTTCATCGAGGGCAGGTCCTTCCAAGAAGATCAAGAAAATTCTTATCATTGGTGTACATGGCTTTTTCCCTACCCGAATGATTAGACCTCTTATTGGCTCGCCTACTGGTACATCTTTGAAGTTTGCCAACGAAGCAGAAAAAGCTGTTATTAGATACTGTGTTGAGAATGATCTTATCAACGAAAGGGAGGCGAATAGTGTCAGCATTCAAAAAATTGCTCTCGAGAAGGAAGGAAAGATCTTTGATAGAGTTGAGTTTTTCTTCGAAATTTTGAAGAAATGGGAAAGAGAGTTAAATGAGGCTGACTTCATCTACATCGCATCGCATTCACAAGGTTGCGTCGTTTCCATCATCCTCTTTGCCAAACTCATCAAACTGGGTGTCCTCAAAAATCCTAATTATAAAAGAATCGGTCTTCTTGGAATGGCTGGTATCAATAATGGTCCATTCTATGGAAGTGACAAGACGTTTTTTATGAAAGCTTATTCCGCTATCGAGCACAACTCCTTGAATGAGTTATTCGAATTGACAAAATTCGATAGCAAGCAGTCCATCACCTACAAGGAATCTATGCAAACGATAATTAATGCTAATGTCAAGCTATGTTTCATCGGCTCCATCAACGATCAGCTAGTTCCTTTATATTCAGCGCTTGCGTCTCACATTTTCCACCCCAATATTTACAGAGCTTGTTATATTGACCACTCATCGAAGACGCCAGCCTTTATTCAAAAGCTTGTCTCGCTTTGTTGCCAGTTGCAAAACCTCGGTTATTTTGACAATAATGTCATCAAGGAGGTCAGCACTGTTTTGGCAGGACCCCTTACAGGTGGAGGGCACTCCAAAATCTACAACGATGGTAAAGTATACGACTTGGGCATCAAGTTTGCATTATGCACTGACGACATCGTTGTTCCTCCTCACACGATTCTGACCCCATCAGAGAATGCTGTTACCATTGCGAAACCGCCAGTTACGAATCAGATCTACGTGAAAGAGTATAACATCAGCAAGATCGGTACCAACCCCTATTTATTGCCGTGGTGCTTGCGCGGTTTTATTTTCAATATTGAGAAAAATTGGCCTCTCTCTGATGGTGCAATCACCGTGGGACATGCACTGGAACTCAGAAAGAGTGGAGTCGAGGAGATTGACGAGCTTTACGACCTGTTTGATCGCTGGAAGCCAGACAGCAAAGTTCTTAAAGACCTCAAATTTAGACTCAATGGAATCCGGGCGAGCAAGCTTTAGAGCTATTAGACATCTTTATATAATCAATGCGAACACCGCTGATATAGGGTATCGTAGGTGCGAAAGCGCGTCTTTCTAAAAGTTGATCCGTATATCCCCACTACCGGTTAAAAAATATCTGACAACCACCTCCTCATCTAGAATAGAGCCGTGATCTAGATATGGAGTTTTCGGTTAGAATAAGCCCGCGGCAAGCTCAAAGGGGACATAATGGAGACTCAAAGACCGTTTCAGAAAAAAGCGTGTCTTCAGAAGCCCCAGACGGAAGGAACATGCCACTCAAACTAGCTCAACTTTTGAACTCAGAAAGTGAGGATCTGGAGCTGAAGATTTCCACCAGGGCAAGCTCCGTGGGCGTAGAGTCATCATCGCAGTTACCCCATGAACAAACTGAGTCGGTGTCTACAAACACAGCTCCCGGAAAAAGCATCATGAAAATCAGCTATGAACAAACATCAAGTGATCAGCATGGCCTCATGACACCAGAAAGTCTGGAGAACATGTCGCCTCTGGGCTTGACGGCTTTAAATGAGGAAAATGAGTTGAATCAGTGCCTAGAGTTTGATGCACGGAAATCCACCCTTCTTTCAAAACACCTACATCTTTCATGGAACGAGATCAAAAGAGAAGCTCTCGCTCGTCTGCAACCAGATGGCTTCACAAAGGGCGAAACCGACTTGATCGTGCATGAGTGGTTCAGCCCGGGTCCTATTGATTTTAGAAGACTCGAGGAAGAATGTTTCTCTCGCAGTGGGAAAGCCATTCAAGCACTCGTTGCTAACCTTTCAGACCACTATAGTGACTTGATCGAGCCAAATTTGCGAATAATATCTACACTTGAAACCTGTCTAGCTCGTCAAGAGTACATGAAAAGTGACGTGCTCAAATATCTCTCCGAAGATTCCATCCCAAACATGTGTGCTCTTCTCCCGAAAAGGCTGCCTATGAGGCCAAGATGGCTGGCTCGTGAAGTACATTACATCACTACGTGCATCGAAAATAGAATGGCCGAGGATGAAATAAGACCAGAATTGGTCTTTCGTACACCATCTCAAGTCAGATATAAGATCGCAGCATTGACCAAAAAGATACTCAAAACTAATCCCGACTTTTTGGTGGAGGAGAGAACTCATGACCCAGAGCATAATGAATTGATAGAGCGATTGTTGGAGAATGATCTCACGAAGAGTGGTATCTACAATGAATGTGGGAAAACGTTGGGTAAAAAGATCATACAAGGCTTGAATTCCATCATTGAGAAGAAGGGTGGCAGCCATCAAGTGCCTTTTAGTAAGGCTGAACTGGATTATCTAAGGAATATAATTCGATCCGAGTATTCCGTCAAGGAAATCCAGAACGAGCTTATTTTCAGAGGTGAGGACGAAGTTCAAGATAAGCTTAACTCTCTTCACATCATCTGCGTTCGCCAGAAAAAGTTTTCAAACAGAAATGAGCGACTTATGTATGAGGCTCAGTGGTACGCGTCACTTGCAGGTTCGAGTCAGGGAAGAAGAAGACGGGGTCGTGAAGATGACGGCAATAAAGAGTCCTCTCCACATGTCGATGATGGACGCAAAAGGAGGCAGAGTAATATGGACGAAGAGAGACGTCGTGACATGATCGAAAGGGCTGCGATGAAAAGAAGAGAAACATTACGTCTTAAGCGTGAAGCCAGAGAAAGGCGCTTAGAAGCGCAGCAAGCTCGTGTTAAGGCTAGAACGATGCTGACGAAATCGAAGCGACAACTAAGAAGTCAAGAGAGACCAAAGACTCCGGTAGACTCTCTCTTGGCCGACGCCTCTTGGTTTCAAAGTATCACAGGCGATGGTACGACAGTTCAACAAGGCCAGAAGCGTGCACGAAAGCAAGCTGTTCATTTTGTACCTGAGTTTGAATCCAGGCAAAAAATGAAGTTGGTGAAGAAGAAAATGGAAGAAAGAAAGCTAGAGAAGAAACGGCTTTTGAGGAAGAGAAAACACGAGAAGAAACGAAAGATGAAGCTTCGTCCTGGAAGAAGAGGGCGCGGTCGGCCAAAGGCAGAGGATTACACTGACGATTCAGAGAGTGAATCGGAGTCTGAATCAGAATCAGAGGAAGCTGAGACCACACCTGAGATCGATGTTGCGGATGTGTCAGACGAAGAGGATGAGCCAAGTCCCTATGACCCTACAAATGTCCTCAATGACACCCAAGTTCCTACGAAGGGCAGACAATGCTTCAATGACGCTATCACCGCGATTTCGACCGAGCCCGATACCATTTCCTTCTCTCCAGATACGCTGATGTTGGATCCCGAGGCTCAAGTACCTCTCATTGATAACACGGCTATTGATGTCATCGTCTCTCACAGTCGGAACTACAAGTCATTACCAAAGTCTTTTCCTCCATTTACCCTTCAAAAAGATGGCACCACCATTATTAATCCAAGAAATATTGTGAGAGTGCGGTATCTCCTCTACCCGGAACACTCTGATGCATACATTTTAGCACTTCCCAAGAGTAACGAGCTCAACCCAGTGTACGAAATTCTGAAGATGATGCAGATACAAAGTGCTCTTTATTTCGCACATTCTCCCGAGCTCCAGACTCATATTTATGAGGAATACTGCCAGAAACTCAAAGCGTGTGCCGAGCATGACAAATTCTATCAGTTCATGGTTATCATCGACAGATGGAATTTGTTGATGTTAGAGCTCACCCCCTACCGGTTGAGGATAGACCCGTCTTTTGATATCAACAACGAAATAAGGTATTACTTACCTTTCAACTATCGAAAAAATCACTCGATCGTTGATCTCAACTTGAACAAGTTTTTCTTCGACGTGGTCAATAACGGTAAGCCCAAACCACCTCGTGGTAGGAAGCCCAAAAAGGCTCGTGAACTAAAGCAAGATGTTCCATTGTCAAACCAAAACGGAACTGAAGGTGACTTTGCTTCGAATATGCAAAACGAGAGTACGAACACTGACACACTCAAGTCCAGATACCATAACATGCGTCCTGCGGAGTATCCAAAAAGCTTCTTGCGCATACTAGCGTACCAAAAGGATATCTCAAGATTTGCTGTTCAACAAATTTTGACCACAGCATATACAAGAATTGTCGGTCCAAACTCAAGGAAACTTCGTTCATATAAGGCCTTCACTGCTGAAGTCTATGGTGAATTACTCCCATCATTCATCTCCGAAGTGCTTACTAAGGTCGGACTTCAACCAACACACCTGTTTTATGATTTAGGTTCTGGTGTTGGAAACACCACTTTCCAGGCAGCTTTAGAATTTGGAGTCAAAGAGAGTGGTGGCTGTGAAATCATGTCACATGCATCAATGTTGACGAATCTTCAAAACTTATTTTTGCAAAGGAAAATTCAGGCATTGGGTCTTAATGCAATGAATGTGTCTTTTGCTCTATCGCAATCATTTGTCAATAACGAGGAGGTGAGAGAAAAATGCCTTAGATGCAATGTTATTCTTGTCAACAACTATCTCTTTGAATTCCCGCTCAATGTTGAGGTAGGGAAACTTTTATTTGGGCTTAAGCCTGGTTCTAAAATCATCAGTTTGAAAAATTTCATTCCACCAAGATATAAGGCAGGCCCAGAGAAAACAGTTCTCGATTATCTCAAAGTGGAAAAGTTCGAGATGAGTGACTTCTTCTCAGTAAGTTGGACAGCTAACAAGGTGCCCTACTACATATCCACAGTTATGAAGGAGGTTCGTCCCGAATATCTATAGGATGCTAATTAGTAAAAATACATATTGGGTAAGGTTACTTCAATTGTCGTTCTCAGTTTTGATCTTTTTCACTTCTTCAGCTGTTTGATCAACCTGCTTTCTCCTTTTGGCGCTTCCGTTGCCGTTTACATGACCTTCATCCGAGAGAGGGTCAACTGAAGCCTGCTTCAAGGCGCCGTTTGGTGTACTGCTGGCTTGCTTTCCTTTTTTCTTTCCCAGACCACCATCGTTCTCACGAGCAAGCGCAAGCATCAAAGTGTTCACTCTTCTACTTATCTCCTGTGGCGTTCTAGAGAGCATGTAGAAATCGAACTTGAAAAGATCACTTTCTTGGATCTCCTCCTTGATCTTTTCTCCTAGCCTGTCAGAAAATATGCCGTGCTTGTTGACGCAGAAAAGAATGAACCTGTCTTCGAGCTTTGAGTAGATGCGCTTCGAGTTGTTCGGAGGATACTGAATTTTGAGCTCTTCAAGCGGATCTTCAGCTTCCTCAATCTTGCTAGCGAGAATTCTTTGTTGATTTTGCATTTTGAAAGCCTTTCGTTCACTTGCCTCTATCTGCGCAACATACTTCTCATGTCCTTCAATTTCCTTGTGACACTCCCAGAACTTCTTTGCATATCTTTCAATTTCCTCGATGTCCCTAGAGAGGGAATTCGCAATGTCCTTGTAATTGTGTCTTCCGTAACGAGCGGACGAGTGAATAAAGTTGGTGAAATCCCTTCTGGACCAGGAGTGAAAGCTTTCAGCTAAGAGCTTTTCTTTTAGCTCGAGTTCTTCCTCTGTGAGTGGTTCAGCTTCCGCAATTCGCTTTTGCTCGAGCGCCAATCTCTCCTCTCGCTCTAGTCCTTCATTCTCATCATCTTCATTCAAGAATTCTTCATCACTATCGCCAAAGTCGTCGGCTGAATACTGATAATTCGTAGCCTTCTTGTAAGCAAGCTGTTCTCTCTCCAAAAGGTCACGAAGCTCAGGTGAGAAGAACTGATGGTCTTGATAGTGGTACACCTTTGGCTGTCTCATTTTGACTGGTGCACCCTGCTTGAGTCCACCCGGCGCTTTAAGCATATCTTTGTAGTAACTGTCAACTGAGTAAGTCTGTTCTTTTCTTTCACGCTTTGAAGGGTTGATCCATGAGAGACCCAAACCTTCATTGGCACGCTTGGCAAAATTTTCACCGTTCCACTCATAAACTGAGGCATCTGACGTGAAGTTTTGAAGATCGTCGAGCCCAAGCTTGTTGAACTTGGCATTGAGAGTTGCTGTTTTCTCTCTTCCTCTCGCTAAAATAGCGTCAACATCGTCATCAAGCATCGCGGACCCTTTGGATTCAAAGACTTCTTTGGCACCATGCTGAATCATGCCCAACAAATCATCAGTTGTGTTACCGATACTGTTACCTGAAGACTGTCTGCCTTGTTGAATGACCAACTGATCGAGTCTTAGTTTTTGAGCAGCTCTATCGAGGACCTTTTCCTCGATTGCGTTTTCAGTTACGAACCTGAAAACCTGGACTTGCTTTTTCTGACCAATTCTGTGCGCTCTATCCATAGCTTGGAGATCGGCCTGAGGATTCCAATCAGAATCGAAAAGAACCACGATGTCAGCGGATGTTAAGTTGATTCCCAATCCACCAGCTCTTGTAGTCAACAAGAAAATAAATTTGTCGGAATTGGGGGCATTATAGTCATCAATTGCCTCGATTCTATCTTCGTGGGAAGTAGAACCATCAATCCGACAGTACTCGTAGTCTCTGAAGAAACAGTAATCTTCCAAAATGTCTAATAAACGTGACATTTGTGAGAAGATCAAGACACGAGAACCAGCTGCTTTGAACTTTTTCAACATCTTGTCAAGAATGATCATTTTGCCCGCATTGAAAACCAAATGCTCGTCAGTCGTATAGGGAGGGCCTGGCTCTGCGCCGTCGAATAAGTAAGGATGGTTGCAACACTTTCTCAATTGCATGACAATGTTGAGCAATCTCGTTTTTCCTTCTCGTTTACCAACCACACCGTTCACAGCATCAATATCCTTCTCGAGAAGCTTCTTGTACCATTGAATCTGCATGTTGGTCATTCCGATGTAAACGTTTGTTTCTATCTTGGGTAACAACGACTTTTCAACATCGGCCTTTACACGTCTGAGAAGAAAGGGACTCAAAACCTTATGAAGTTGTTGAACAACCTTGTCTTGATCATTCTCATCCGAATCTTCCTGGTTGGTATTGAACCATTCATCGAACACATTTGAGTCTCCGAAAACATCGGGTAGAAGGAAATTAAGAAGGGCCCAAAGCTCGTGCAAGTTGTTTTGAAGTGGTGTTCCTGTGATGAGAAGACGATTTTTGGAGTAGAATAAACGAATAATCTGAGAAAGCGAACTGGACTCATTCTTGATTCTGTGAGCTTCGTCCACGACGACATATTGCCAGCGGAACTTCTTGAGTTGAGCCTTTTCTCTGATCACCATCTCAAAAGATGTGATCAAAACGTCGAATCTGGCAGTAAGGAGCCTCTCTTTGATGATCTTTTGACGTTCTTCCTTGTTGCCTTGTAGAACCAAGACATTGACTTCTGGCGTCCATTTCTGAAACTCACGTCTCCAATTATCAAGCGTGGACTTTGGCACGATAACAATGAAAGGGCCATCAATGTTCTTTATGTATCGAAGGTAGCCCAAGAAAGAAATCGTCTGAAGGGTCTTACCGAGGCCCATCTCGTCAGCCAATATACCACTGAGTCTATTCTCATAAAGCGATATGAGCCAGTTGAGACCTTGTATTTGGTACTCTCTCAACTTGCCGCTCTTGACATAGTTGGGAGATTCAGTGAGAACGGTCCTTTGTTCAGCATCGTCCCCCATATGTTCCTCGTCCTCAAGAAGTTCAGCGTCTTCCTCCTTTTCAGTCTTTCTGCGACCTTTCTTTTGCTTCTTTGCAGGCTGCTTGAAGTTGATCTGTCCGTCGATCAGCTTAATCAACTTCTTGAACTTGGGATCCTTGGACATGTTGATATCAATGAAATATCTGAAAAGGTCAGTGAGACCCAACAAGTACTTGAACCTCTTCGTTGAATCGTCAACATCATTCTCCTTGGCCACTTTTGGATCACAGTTAAGCAAAAACCTGTTCCGTCTTTCTAGCTCCTCTTTATTTAGCGAGGAAATGTCAACGGGTTCTTCGATCTGAGGTTTATCATCTTCACTATCACTGGACTCCGCGTAGTCGACGGAGTTGTTTTTTCTGCCGGCCATGGAGCTTGGATCTGGTGATGTAAAAAATAGGCGATTTGTAAAAATTGAAAATGTGTATGATTTTGTCTCTCGGTTTGTTGAGGTGGATTTCAACCTTGAAGGGTGTACGGGCTTTGGGGTTATTACCTGCGCTCATCTGTGTTTTTGCGGCTTGCGCAGGTATGCTTAACGCGCTACAAACGGGTGCGAAAAACTACAGGAGCTACAGAGGGGGAGCAAGGAGAATGAGGGAATTTTAAGTTGTTAGCAACAATCGAGCTTATTTGCCATGGATCGACGTCGCTTTCGTACTGTTGATATCCTGAGGCTAGCCTCATCGTTTTGGATCATTGTGCGGCTGCAGATCAGTATCTCTGACGGATAGAGTGTGCCATGTCAATTGTATAGACAATCCCAGGAGAGGTTCACCCTGGCATCGTTTTTTAAATAGTAAACACTTCAGATGTTTTGGTTTTACTCAGTGACGGAATTTCCCTCCAATAAGCCCCAATCGATTGGACGGAGCAGGTTCTTTGAGAGCCACTCGTTGCAGGTTTTGAACACTTTCAGATCAAAAAATCCCCTTGAAGCCGACAACGGGGAGGGATGCACTGTCCTCAAGACAAGAAATGGAACATCCGAGGAGTTCAATTGGGCGCCGAAATTGGCCACCCTCTTCTGAGCTGGTGAACCCCACGCCATGATCACAAAACCCTTTCCTCTTTCTTTCTTTGCGTAGTTAATCGCAACCTTGATAACCTCTTCTGTAAAGCTCTCCCAGCCCTGGTTGGCGTGACTATTAGCCTTGTGGGCCTCGACGGTCAAACAAGCATTAAGCATGAGAACACCTCTCTTGGCCCACTTGGTCAAGTCTCCTCCACCAGGCCTGCCCTGTTTGCTCAATTCCTTGTAGTCCGGTATCTGAAACAGGGGAAAATCAATTTTAAGGGTTTTGTAGATATTCAAAAGCGATGGTGGGGGCCTAGTGGGCTCCAAAACCAGAAATGCAAGGCCGTGGGCTTGATTGAAGTTGTGATATGGATCCTGGCCTAGAATAAGACATTTCACGTCAGGCAATGGAGTGAGATGAGACCACGAGTAAATGCTTTTGGGTGGAGGAAATACTGTCTTGTTTCCCATCTGCACTTGAAGAAAGCGCTTGAGTTTCAAGAAGTACGGTTTAGTGAGCTCTTTGTGAAGATATGCGAGCCATGTAATATGCAATGTTCTGATTTCAAGGTCAAGTAGCTGTCTCTGTTCCTCTGTAAGCGTGTTGATCCATTCATCTTTGTTGAAACCGGCTTCCTCGAGAAAGGCACTATAGTCAGGTTGGTCTGTTTTAAGGCCATTTTTAGCATGAGCATCTATAGTTTTACCATTTTCGGATGGAGCAGTCAAGGTAATTTCTTCTTTCACGACTTCTTCTTTTTGCTTCACTTCATCCTTCTTGAGATCGGCCTTTACCGTAGCTTTAGTCTTGGTTACTTTCGGCTTACGCGTCGGCTTGTTGTTGGCTTGAGCAAAGAATTCAGTAATGAGTTTTGGCTTCTTTGTGGAATCCGAAGCAGGCTCCAGCGGCCTTTTTTCTATGGACATGAGCCGTAAGGAAGGTGTTCTGTTAGATATCTATGTGCATCTTCTACGCGACGCGCAGTCTATGGGCCCGCAGGCATTATCTAAAAAAGCTTGGACAAGTGGTACGGATACCCCGGATCCTTCCTCAAAAACATGCTGGTGAGAGAGCTGTAGAACAAATAAAGCACGCCTGTGCCAATGATGGTAAGCACGAGTCTTGCTGGCTCGGAGGAGATCACCGTGTCGGGGCCTACTTCGTATCTACCTAAGTAGATCAAGAAGACGAGGGCTGCTCCTAGCAAGAAGTAATTACCACCCACGAGAACGATTTCGTCACCAAACTGCCAGTACAAGCTGCCACTAACGTACATTATGTTCCCCTTTGGGTCTCTGGCCAAGAAGGGAATCCCCTGAATGGCAGTGAAAGAATAGCCACCAAGAATGACAAGAAGCGTGGTAAGCGTTATAATCTTGTAAATGAGGGCTTTGCTGACCGAGCCGGTGATGAAGCCTGGTCCGCGTTTTTTGATGTAAAGAATGGCACCGAAGGTGAGACCAAATGTAGTCACAAACTTCATGAACGGGTGTTCTTGCCTGAGCATGATTTTCTTCTGGACCGTATGAGCAAGCCAGTCTGCAAGTTGGAAAGTCTGTGTATTAAGACTGGCATCAGGAATTTCAAAGTTGGCATGAGGTTCAAGGAGAATCTCATAGTTTCCATAGACAGTGTTACCATCGTCGTCCACAACTCGCTCTTTCTTGGTATGCATAGCAACAACCGATGAAGGTGGTACGAGCCAGACCTGTGGCACTGTTTTCAATTTAAGATAATCAAAGACCGGTTTGTTGGATGCATCTGCAAGGTCAATTGTTGCAAAGAAAAGGTAGTTGGACCACATGTAATCAGCAAACCAAGCCTTGGAAACTCCTGGAAGCATCGCCTTAAGATCACGACAGGACTCACAATTGTGTTTTGGATCAGTGGACGTAATTGCTATTAAGGTGTAGTGTTCTCTATCCGGTTGTGATATAGGAGAGAGGTCGCCATTAGTTATGGCGATAATGCCGTCAGGCAGGGCCAAAGAAAGCTCCGTAAGCTTAAGCGCTTGCTCTGTTTCTGCAGCCACTAAAGCCACCCATGCCAATAGAATATGCAAAAGCACTATCATCACTGTTATTATGATATCTTGGTTCGCGCTGAGATACTGGTGCACCAAGGTAGTCCTCCAGATGGGAAAGTTAATAAGCAGTTCGGAGCTAATTAAAGATTGAGTTCCGCGATTGGCCAAGGAAGTGATTCTATTAGATCGGCTGTTCATGTAATTTTGATTTGTAGTGCTACACTTGACTCATCTTGTCTCATCCATTTCATCGATTAGGAGGACTCCTCTGGGTCCTCTCCCACGAATTCCTCCTTTTCGTCTCTATTGATAACCATAAACCCGACGGTGACTACAGCAGCACCGAAGATGTACCACGCGTTCACATGGAAGCCTTTAATGAACCAGTCGCCAATCATCGCCAACGGAATTGTGAGCGAAAGACCGACTGTGACCGTCAAGGGACTGGTGAGAAGCACAGCTTTGCACCAGCAAAAGTCGGAAATAAACGTAATGAAGGCATTAGCACCTAGAAGCGCTAAAACGTACAGGCCTTTTGGTACTTCGAACTCCTCGAGGCCAGTGAAATGGAGAATGATGATCAAGGGCCAGAGGAACACAAGGCAGTAGAGCCCGACAAAGCCAAAGAAAAGATGGGTGTTCAAAATACGCTCCTTCCGCTTGTCGGGAACGGTAATCTTCTTTTTAAGGAGAATGGTGTACACACCATAGATGAGTGCTCCAGCTAGAGCCAAAAAGTTGCCCCATAGTATAAGCATTGGGGACGAGGCTGTTGGGGTCTGGTTGGAGTCTGAGGCATCAATCTTTGTTACAATGAGAACACCAGCAAAGGAAAGAAGAATCCCAATGATCTTGTTTCTGTTGATCGTCTCAACCAGGTAGAAGTGTCCCACGATAAGGGTGAAAAATGACGATGTCGAGGACAAAATCGTCTGAGACGCAACAGAAGTGTATGATAGCGACGAGTTGGTCACCAAATTCGCCAGAAACCAGAGCACGATGAACTGGAGGGAAAGTTTGATTGTTTCGATCATTGGCACCTCCTCATCAGCAGGCTTGACGACTTCCGGTGGGGGCTCTGCCGTAGATAGCTGCTCCATCAGCAGACCATATTCATTCGGCGTTTCAGGCAGCAGTTCCTGGTCTCTAAGACGTGTGTACCTTTGTTGATTCCAAGATCTGCGAATAACGGCAATAAAGCCATTCACCGAGAGACGTTCGTACTTCATGTACGGTATGAGGAACAAAGTGAAACAGGAGGTATTGATCCATGTTATGAAGAACGGTTTCCGATAGATCTTTGTCTCGAATAGATCGTTAACGAGGAACGAGGACAGGACCCAAAAAAGCACCACAGCAGCTAGATTAACCAAACCCAACACCCATTTTTGTGCCAGAGAGAGCTGACTCTCTTGAAGGAAGAAAGACTGGAAAAACGTCACTGTCGCCGTCAGTAGCCTTCTGAACATACGGGTTGGTTTTATCGACAAGAATGGCAGAGGTATAGATATGACTAAGTGCACTCCAAGTGGAACGGCTCACTGGCAACATAAAAGCGAATCCACAGACATGGGAAGCCACAGACGAGGTGATACCAATAACTTTATTAATTTACCTAAATATGACGAAACAAAACTAGTCGAGCCATCTTCTCTTCTTCTGTGCACTGAGAGTGGCCTGCTTAACCCGCGACGAGGCAGGGTAAAAGTACGTAGGGTAGCCAGCCACCGAGGCCGTGTTCACCTTCGAGGTGACAGAGTAGTCCCAGCCAGGAGTGATGGTGGACAATGCGTTGGGCGATGGGCTGATCGACTTGTATGGGGTGTATGCCGAGGTGGGGTGTCTCCTGGAGAATGTAGTAGCGGTGACAGTGGTGGCTGGTTGGGTTTGCATTGGAGCGTATTTGGTCTTACCGGTCTGCGAAGTGTAGGTGACTGAGAAAGACTTGGAGTTCACATCAGTGTTATCGCCTGCGGCCTGGAGCACGGGCGAAGGCTGGTCACCCGTCACGGAAAACAAACTAGCAGGGAATGTAAATGTGTTGGTCTCACCAGACATGCCAGTCAACTTGAATCTTGGAGTGTAGTGGATGGTGTAGCCGTCGTCAGGGAACACGGCGTACACCTGGATGAAGTACTGACCGTTTGGAGCAGCGTTTGATTTGATCTCAGCATCGTACGAGGTCAGCTTAGACAGCAAGGACTTCTCGAGCGTGGTAACAGTACCAATATTACTGTTAGAACCAGTGCACAAGACGATGGCGTAGGACTTGACCTTGGAAAGGGAGTCTGAGTCGTCCGAGTCGTCTGAGCTGTCCTTCCATTTGATGCTGACCTTGGCCACACCGCCCAGGACTTTGAAAGAGTCGCCTGAGGATGGATCCGAGATGTCGACGTCGGCCACAACGAACTTGAGGAAGAAAAGGGCAACAAGAATAAGGAGTTGCATGGTGTGATATGGTTTGCTCAAAGAGCTATGAAATGATCTTTAGGTTGCTGGGAGCGAGTGGATGCAAGCCGTGGTCTGCCGGGGAAATGGTTCCTGGAAAGTGCCAAAAATTCAACAAGAAACGTCACCTGGTTGACGTGAAAGACAAGAGTTTGCTTGGGTAAGAAGAAACAAAGAAGCCACGAAAATAAGGCTGTGTCAGGCAGGCTTCTCAGGCATATACTCGCGAGTTTTTTTTTTTTTTTATCCTCCAGCTGTTTTTGTTAGGCAACAGAAAAGCGCGGCCGTGATTGAGACGCCGGCTGTGCTAAATGCTAGGATATTGAGATCCAAACGGCAGGGTGCTTCGTGGGGGAAGACATTTCATAGTTGTCGTTTTTTAAAAAAGAAAAATTCATCAAATTTCTGTTACTTTGTGAGTCCCAAATTGGACTCACCCGACGTTATTGGCTGTGTTGCGCACTGGGTGCAAATTCAATAGTGCCAAGTCCAGTGAGTTGCTACCGCAAAAGGAACAAGATCTCCGGCACTAGCAAAAGTTAAAGCCAAAAATGAAATACCTGAGACACCATGGAGATACTTCTTCTGGAAAGTTTTTGTGAATGCTGTTTGGAGCAGGCCGTCTTTTCGGGCACTTCTATTTTTATCTCTGCCGATATTTTCTCACCACAACATGCTCAGCCCAACCCTTCAGTGCAACCTCTTACAACCACCTCTTTCTCCTGGCATCGGAAAGCGTAGCCAGACGGATTCTTGAAGATGCAGGGTACCAGTACGTAGGATAGGTATTCACCGGCTGGGTGTTTTCTCTCGATTTGATGGTGTATGTTCTAGAAGCCGTGGTGGTGGTCCAGGCGTCCGGGAAATGGCTGATGGTCGAGTACGCCGTGTAGTCGGACGTTTCGTATCTCGAGTTGTATGTTGTTTGTGTCACGGCACTCGTTGGGTTTTGCTGCATGGGAGCGTATCTGACCCATCCAGACTGTGCTGTGTATGTGAGCGAGAAGGACTCAGTCTCAACCTTCAAGGCGGTACCACCAGCGTTCCACTGAGGAGAAGGCTGGTCGCCAGTGTATGAGAAAAGGGAGTTGGCGTATGTGAACGACAGCTTTCCTCCCTCCATGCCTGTGAGTCGGAACCGGTTGGTGTAGTGGATGGTGTAGCCCTCGTTGGGGAACTGGGTGTAGATCTGGAAGAAGTAGTATCCGTTGGGACCAACGTCGTTGTCGATTTCGGCAGCAAACGAGCGGTCGGTGTTGGAGATACGAGTGCCAATCTGCTTGACAGTGCCTATATTTTCGTTATTTCCCGTCATGAGCACGATATCGTAGTGGTTGGCGTTGTCAAGGTCTGAGAAGTCAAACCCTTCAACATCGTCCTCCCACTCGATGTCGACCGTGACCAGGCCGCTGGAGGCATCAAAGGTTTGGCCAGACTCGGGTTTCTGGATATCCACGTCGGCGACGGCAAAGCTGGCCAGAAGAAGCGCTAGCAAGAAACGAGTGTATTTCATGTAAATGGTTGCAAAAAGACCGGGTGCTACTAGAACAACACCACGAGCGAGCGGGTGCTTAATAAAGTTCTACGGCGCCAAGAACATCGAAAGGAGTATCCCAGGTCCTCGCTCTCCCAGCGAGACAGGCATGTCTTGTGTGTGCTTTTAAAAAGCTTGGGCCTTACAAGACAATGTTGGTACTACAGTGCCCTGTATCTTTCCTGCCTTGTAGCGATCTTGGCCTGTGCGTAATTTCTTGACCAGCTTGGCCAACTGTGCCTCTCTGGGTAGCAAAGCAGCAATTTTGGAATGTCGTAGTTGATCCGATCAAATGAAAAGCGGGTAGAAACATGCTTTGTGTGGACTTTTTTGGCTTCTCAGCCGTGTGCTATATTCTCACATCTGGTGCACTCATGTGGCAGAATCCTGGCTGCGAAATGTTCACTAGCGTGTCGCATTGTGGATGCAAGCTAACCTACGTGCTTGACACGTTGAATAGGATTTCTTCTTGTCTGGTTATGTGATGCTGCTTTCTGCGGCGGAAATCACCACAGCCCGCGTCGGTGCATCGGAGCTACATGTTTTGTTGTGGGAATATATGACAGCTTTCCGAATCGATGGTGGTACTAGGTTGTCATTGTGCAGTTTTCTGTGGCAATTGGATATATTGCCCAGAAAGACATGTGCATCGAAAAGACTTTAACGTATATACGAGCCGCGAGTACGCCCGAAAGGTGTTTTTGAGCGATGAATAGTGCGCTAATTACATCAGCCACTAAAAATCAGGAGGGCTTCTAGCAGAAGAAGCTAATCTTTGAAACTATGGTCATGTGCATTACACGTGCCCAATATCCTGCACCTCAACTACCAGCCATATCAAGGCCATAACATTAGATACGCCATCATTGTAACAAAGTCAGCCATGTTTGCCTCCAATAGATACCTTCTCCGTGGCATAAGGCTGCTGCAGGTGCTAACCAGAAATTTCAACATGGTGCGTAAAGTCCTGCCTGTCAAAAAGACCGTTTCAACCGATGCCAAAAGTGAAGCTTCAGAGGAGAATAACGATGCATCGAAGTCTACCGGAGCTTTTGCCTTTCACGATAGCCCAATCGGCGGAGTTTCAACCAACCAGAATGGCCATATCGATTGGTCTGACTCGTTCCATGGCTTGGGACAGGCATCATTCTCGAAACAGACAAATGACATTTTACTTGCTCCTATCGAAGACGATGATATCGAAATCAAACCAGATGGACTCCTATATTTGCCTGAGATAAAATACAGAAGAATCTTGAACAAAGCTTTCGGTCCCGGTGGTTGGGGACTTGCACCCAGAACCGAGACATACATAACTCCGAAGCAGGTCAGCAGAGAATACGCCTTGATCTGTGAGGGCAGATTAGTCTCAGTAGCAAGAGGAGAACAAGACTATTTTGGTGGTGAAGAGAAGCTCACAACTGCGCTTGAGGGGTGTAAGAGTAATGCCTTGATGAGGTGTTGCAAGGATTTGGGTATTGCCAGTGAATTGTGGGACCCATCCTTCATCCGCAAATGGAAAAAGAAATACTGTGACGAGGTATTTGCCGAGCATGTTGTCACGAAGAAGAAGAAGAAGTTGTGGAAGCTCAAGACTAACAGCTTCGATTACCCTTACAAAGCATGCTAACTCCACCAACATTCGCTACTGTAAATAGTTTCGTTCCTAATGTATATTACGGCCCCGCAGAACATTATAAGTCCAGCGACACCTTGATGCTAACCTCTCTACTGCTTGAAAATACCTCTTCCTTCACCCAAAGCCTCCACAGTTTGCGACAAAGGTCTTCTCTTCCAGACGTCCCAGAACTGCTGTTGAGGAAGCTGGTCGCCAGTGTTGGCTTCAGCGTACTTTGTGTCTCTTCCAGCAAAGCTAGGAGACTGAGACCAGGAAATGTGGTCGACAGCGGCGGTGATGGCAGCACCAGCGATACCAGCCATGGCCTTGTGCTTCACTGGCATGCTCTTGAAACCAACCGTCAAACAGGCCAAGTTACCGGCACCAACGGCCCAGAAAGTGTTCCAGCCATCGTTCTTCTGTCTCAAGTTGGTGACAATACCCTTAGTGGCAGTGGCCACAGTGGCGAAACTAGACACAGCCAAAGGCAAGCCAATCTTGAACGTGGTTCTCTTCCACAAGTACAACCAGGCGTAGGCACCGACGGTGGTGTAGAAGGATAATCTAAACACTTGAAGAGTCTCCTTTCTGGTGTCAACAGGCTCCCATTTTGGGTAGCCAGCGGCATTGGTGAAGTTGACAAGGCCAGAAGGCAACTTGAATCTGGAGTCAGGGAAGACCCTCTTTTCTTCTTCAGACATTCTGCAAGGGAAAGGGAGTGTTCTGGTTATAGGCCAATCAATTCGATGGGAAAAAAAGCGAGCGTAAGTTGTAGGTCTGTGTGCACGCTTCACCATATTGCAACTAACGATAGCCACAAGGCATTCAAAAGAGAGCCAATGTTTAATGGTTCTGGAAATCTTTCGACTACCTTGAACAATGGTTCTGCCGAACAATCTTTGCAATCGAAGCCAAGATCTGTATGGTATCGTGTCTGCGATACGGCACAGCTATAGAGGGATTCATGACGGGGGTTTCGAAGAACTCCTCTTTCTAATTCACCAGCATACATTCACTAAGCATCATTGACGCCAAGAAGCTCCCTTGGCCTTTTGTTCGTTCCCTGAGTGCCAATTGTTGAGTTGAGACAAAGTCGCAAAAATGGCTGCGAAATGCTTTCTTCGAAGTGATTGACAAAGTTGTTCTTGACCAACTTTCCCTCTATTTGCCAGCTCTGAGGAATCATGCGTTCACATGAAAGAAAATAAAATTAAAATGATTCTATAATATTGGCTGAACATAGTGTTTGGTGCAATGGACTTTCAGGGGAGACCCGCATCAGTATGCCCATCAGGATTTTTATGGAGAGAACCGTAATTATCAAACAGAGAGGAGAAATAATAGTTTTTTATCAAAGAAGAACGAAATTTTCGGATAGCTTGCTCATAATATTTCGATCTGTAAAGCCTAAGGACAATGCAAGCCTTCACGATAAGTGTCCTATTTTCTCGGACCTCGCAGATCACCATGTTATTCAAGCAATCCATTCTCGAAATCAAACGAAATCATTAAACACCTCCAATTAGTAGAGAAATATTATTACTTCACTCCTCCCCGAATCCCCACCAGGACACCCCTACATATCCTACTGGCCTTGCTGCCTGGTGCGCACACACTGAAAAGTGTACCTCAAAAAATTTTCGAATCGGTGACCTCTGAGTTTCTTCCACTAAAGCACTGATTGTTATATTATGAACAGACCTTTGACGTTCATTTCCGTGGCTGCTGCCGGTCTCGTGGCCTACGCTGTGTACTTCGACTACACCCGTAGAAGCGACCCCAAATTCAGAAAGTCCTTGAAGAAGAGAGCCGCCAAGATGGAGAAGGAGAAGGAGATCGCTACTAAGATCGCCGACACCGTCAAGACCAAGGTCATCAAGGAGTACCTCATCAAGAACCTCGTTGCCAACCCACCTCCATCGGACGTTCAGCAAAAGGAGCTGTACTTCTTGGAACAGATCTCCATGGGTGAGCGTCTTTCGCCAGACCCAAGCCTGGAGCTCGAGGCCGCCATGTGCTTCTACAAGGCCTTGGCTGTTTACCCAAATCCTACCGACGTGCTCGGTGTTTACAAGAACTCCGTTCCTGCGAATGTGTTTGAGATCATTGAGCGTATGATCAAGATCCAGAACCCAGCCACTGTCGATAAGCTCACTGACGCCCTCGGCACCGAGGCCCAGGCTGACGACATCCCCAAACCACAAGCCGACTTGGACTAAGCTGATTTAAGCTTTGTATTGTATATACTGATAAAGACTGTAATGAGGCACCGAGGTGTAGATACTCAGCCCAGTAGTTACGCGGTCGCAGCTACCACTACAACATCATCCGACCGATGTATGTGAGTCTTTCGCTATTACTATTTAACTTTTGTGTGGTGTCGGCCTTCAACAATTCCTCGAGTTTTGGATATCTGAACCACACTAATGCGACTTACTACAACTACACCAATACTATTGCATCTGATGATTTTGTTTACCGTGGAGTGGCTTTGGGCGGCTGGCTTGTCCTAGAGCCGTATATCACGCCTTCACTTTTTCTATCATTCAATGAAACGTCTCGAAATTCCTCCGATATTCCGAAGGACGAATATCATTTTTGCAAAGAGCTTGGACATGAGGAAGCCTCGGCTCGGCTCAAGCAGCATTGGGACACCTTCTACAACGAACTGGATTTCGAGGATATCAAAAATTATGGCCTCAACATGGTCAGAATACCTGTTGGGTACTGGTCTTTCCAGGCCCTTGATGATGATCCATATGTTCAAGGAGCGCAGGAGTATCTAGACAAAGCTATAGAGTGGGCCTCCAACCACGATCTAAAGGTATGGATTGATCTACATGGAGCTCCCAATTCCCAAAATGGATTCGATAACTCTGGCTTGTTTCGTGCCAACGAGCCCGGCTGGCAGGATAAGACAAAGTATGTGAATTTGACAAGGCTGGTGTTGCAAGAGATTTATGCCAAATACGGCAGTGCTGAGTTTAGCGAGAAGTACAACGACACAATTCTTGGAATCGAGGTTCTTAACGAGCCGATGGGCCCAAAACTATCGATGCTGAAGCTCAAGGAGTTCTACAATCAGGCATACATTGATGCCAGAGAGATTCAAGATACCAATAATACCATCGTGTTTCATGACGCTTTCCAGGAAGCAGGCTATTGGAACCACTTCAGAAACAACAACTCCAACACTTCGTCAATCACGCGAAATTACAATATCCTTATAGATCACCATCACTACGAAGTCTTTGGTGCCGGGCAGCTCAATTCCTCTATCGCAGAGCATATTGAAAATATCAAAAACTACGCTTCGGGAATTGAAAAAGAGCTCAAGTACCACCCTGCTGTTGTGGGTGAGTGGTCTGCCGCATTGACTGACTGTACACCCTGGCTTAACAGTGTGAACTGGGGTACAAGATGGGAGGGTACCTCGCCTTATGACAACGACCCTATACAGCTGAAGGATGTGGACTGTCTGAACATCAACAACTATCAAAAATGGACGAAAAAGCACAAAAGAGATACGAGAAAATTCATCGAAATCCAGCTAGACCAATACGAGGCGAAGGCCAATGGCTGGATCTTTTGGTGCTACAAGACAGAAACCACCATTGAGTGGGATTTTAAGCGACTCGCGCAGTATGAACTTTTTCCGCAGCCACTAACGAATCGTCAGTATATCAAAAATGGCACCGACACTAAGCCAGACAAAAGCGAAGGAGCTAAAAAACCAGGACCAATACTGATTGGCCTTTTATTGGCAATCCTAATAGTTACTTTCATTTGATCGGCCAGATCTAGTGGAAAACTCGATACAGCTCACGTGCGCAGACACAATATTTTCCACTGCCTCAAAGCCAGGGTCTACTGAGATAACCACAAGAATGACCAAATCTGTTAACGTCGCTATCATCGGTGCCGGTGTCGTCGGTTCCGCTTTCATCAACCAATTGGCCAACTTGAAGGCTCCTGTTGCGCTTAATGTTGTCTACTTGGCTAGATCTTCCAAAGAGGCTATCTTCTCTAAGGACTACCAATCTGTCGATTTGAAGTCCTACAAGACCTCCCCAGCCCAGCCTGTCTTGCCTTTGGACGAATTGACTTCCTTCTTGGTTGGTGCTAAAAAACCCACCATCTTGGTTGACAACACTTCCAACACCACCCTCGCCGACTACTACCCCAAGTTTGTCGAGGCAGGTATTTCCATCGCTACTCCTAACAAGAAGGCTTTCTCTTCTGATTTGGCTACCTGGAACGACATTTTCAACAAGTCTGCTGCTCCTAACGGTGGCTTGGTTTATCATGAAGCCACAGTTGGCGCTGGTTTGCCAATCATTGGTCCATTGAGAGACTTGGTCCTCACCGGCGACAAGGTTGAGAAGATCGAGGGTATCTTGTCTGGCTCCTTGTCTTATGTCTTCAACACTCTTTCTACTAGCGAGAAGTCTGACAAGAAGTTCTCTGATGTCGTCAAGGTTGCCAAGGACTTGGGCTACCTTGAGCCCGATCCTAGAGATGACTTGAACGGTATGGACTTCGCCAGAAAGGTTACCATCTTGGCCCGTATTGCTGGCTTTGAGGTTGAGTCGCCATCTTCATTTGCTGTTGATTCTTTGGTTCCTCAGCCTTTGGAGTCCTTGGCCACAGGCGCAGAGTTCTTGGAGAAGTTGCCTGAGTACGACAGCGACTTCCAGAAGCGTAAGGATGACGCATTGGCTGAGAACAAGGTCTTGAGATACGTTGGTCAGGTTGACTTCAAGGCCAACAAGGTTTCTGTTGGAATTGCCAAGTACGACTTCGACCATCCTTTCGCTTCCTTGAAGGGCTCTGACAACGTTGTATCTATCAAGACTGAAAGATACCCCAACCCATTGATTATCCAAGGTGCCGGTGCTGGTGCTGAGGTAACTGCTCATGGTGTCTTGGCAGACGCCATCAAGATCGCCGAGAGAATCGCTAACTAAAAGCTATTACGCTAATTCTATGAGTTCGTGACATCGTTATTTGTCTGCTATGCTATATTGTAGTCGTAGTCCTCACGATCACCTTTCTTAGCTTCTCTGAAGATGTTTCGCAAGTATTCCTCGTCCTTGCACAGTTCACGGAAATCCATCATGACCTTTTGCGAATCGAAGCTGTAGTTCTTCAAATTATTGTTCTGTTCTGGGATTGCATTGACCAATGTGTTTACTCTGAGTATGTGGACGTTGTTAGGTGCCATGAAGAAATCTCCAGAGTCTCTCAACTCAACTATGTAAGCACCAGTTTTGTGAATAAACTGTGCGTACTTGAATAAAGGTAGACCCCAACTGTATTGGATTTCGATATTTTCTCTCAGGAAGAAATTTGAACCTCTGTTGTCAAGCAAAAAGCCGGCCTTTTTCAAAAGATAAAGATGGTAATAAAACCTGTTGTTCAAGAATTCCGGGGTTTCATTGAATTCAGCGTCATTGACAGGATTGACAACAAGCTTGAGGTCAACAAAAGAGTGGAAAGGATTCATCTTAGGAAGAGTACACAATTCCCGCCAAGGTGTTTCCACTAGCTTCAACCCGTATCGCTCGCACAATCTGGACCAGCTTATAATAGTCTCATCTATGAATTTGTTTGTCGTATTCAACCATTGAACTCGAATGTGGTAGCAATGCTCCGGATTATGCACAATGTCATAGTGGACGTCCAACAATTCCGAACGGAATGACTTTTTGAGTGGATCACAATCATATCTTACATGTTTGCTGATCATGAACTTGTTGAGCTTTCTCGCCTTCTGAGAATCAGTCAACGACAGACTTTCACTCTCATTGTTTGTGAACTGTGGAATCAACTTCCTGAGTGTTGACGTGTTTTCAATACCCGACAACGATGACATTGTGTCTGAGTTGTTGCGAGTGTGACCCAGCGTATTTGAGACTTGGGTTGTGAGCTTGGGACTCTGTTGGCCTGAGGTATCCGCCTTGTCTGTATTAATGCTAGTCTTCTTTCGGAACCAGCCGCTTGAAGTCTGTTTGCTATTCGAAGACAGCTTCGCATAACCTTCAGTCAACTCGTAAAAGTAGTGCCCGTCAAGGAAGCCATGTCGATTCTCAACATGAGTGAAGAGCCCCTCGTCCATAATTTTCTGTCCGTACGCTGTGGCTTCCTCTCGATTGTCAATGTCGTCAAAGAATTCAATAAGCCACGAAACAAGCTCTTGACCTAAGAAACACAGTGGATGTACCTTGAAATGCCAAGTTCTGTCCACAAGCTTGAGTCCTCCAGGAGATTGGAGTCGTTCCGCAAGTGTACTCAATTTAATATTGGTATTGAATTTGGCATCCGATACCATCAAGGAATTCGTTGGCTGCGTACCACTGCTAGCAAATATCTCTGCTTGTTCATTGAGAAAGTCAAAAAGATTTCCCGTATAGAAATTAATCTCCGGCAAGATTTCCTCTTTCTTTTTTGGTCTCTTCTCATCCAGGCGAACATACCTACCACGTTCTATCACAGATATCAATTTTCTTAAACCTTCAACTCTGATCTCCTCGTCTGAGAGACTATCATTGCTGATGTGGTGTGCATTTTGTGGCATATCTCCTGGCATGACAACAAACTTCATCTTGTGGAATTCTCTCGTCTCTCCAACGGCATCATCGTAACCGGCTAAAAGTTGATCGAACTGATTCCAATTGTAGGTATATGGTTTCGTTCCTTGCGCTGTGATAGAAGTTGGTGTGTACTCATCAGCATATCTTGTTCTTATCAAAGGTTTGGTTGCTTCGTCGTGTTTCTGGCGACCAAATGTATTCTTAGGGGTTTCCTGCGGTTGTGATCTTCGATACAATTGCACGTTCAATGTACCGTTATAGTCACAGAATATCCTGTGGATCTCATCATTCAACGACAAATATATGCGGGCACCGGTGCAATTGCCCTGTGGCATATACTTGATCAAGCTCTCCGGGCTTCCGCTGGGCTTTCGTTCAGCTTCTGCATTTCTTACTCTCTCGCCCTGACATATTTGAAACCCTGTAGCAAGCCGCAAGCGAATCATCTCACGCATAAGCTGATGAGTAGTCCGCAACTCCAACTTGTTTTCGAAGTTGAGGGAGACAACGTAGATTTGAAAGGTGTACTCAGATTCAAGCTCCTTCACAGTCGGAAATAGGGTTGTTGCAATGGGTAGAGCCGCTGGCGCCTTTAGAGATCTCCATTTGACTAGTTTTCTCTTGATTTTAGGTGGAAACACATCGGCCCATCTGCTGCATCGAATACTTTCTGAAGCCAACTCTCTTGATGGATTGGAGATCTTCATCCAGTAAGGGTTATTTTTTAGACGTTCTTCTCGCTCCTTCTCCTCGGTTGAGATTATTTTGCTTTTGCTCAATTTCTCCAATGTACCATCATTGGAGCTCCGTTTGCTTCTGCGCTTCTTGGTGTCAGGCGGTTTGAGAATCTTGGGTCTAATCACCTGTTCAAATCTTCTTGTAGGATGAGTTCTGATTGCCAGCGAAATACTCGCCTCGGATGGCGTGGTCGATCTTTTTCTTCCCAAGGCAGGACCACGATTTTGTGGCTCGTCAACTGTACGGTTCAAGGTATACAAAGTCGATAATGCGGAGGTGTCAGACGGTATGTTCAGAACTGTTCCGTGGACAGCCGATGTAGTTGTTGAGACATTAGACTTTGCAGACTCTGGCGCAAGTTGTGGAATATTAATGGTCGACAAGGGGAACTTACCCATAAGAGAGAGCGTGGCCGTGCTTCTTTTCTCTAGTAAAATGTTTCCTGAATTGGTCTTCTTCACGGGAATTGTTCGCTTTCTCGAAATAGGTTTGAATGCTTCTTCGTCATAAATGTCCATTGCTTCAACGACAGGCATGTCTCTTCGAAGAGTCAACCGGTCAATGAGTATCTCGTTGATCTCATTCTCCATCACACCCATCATCTGAAGCTCATAGATTTTGCAACGAGGGATCCATTGAGAAGACCATTCGTCAGTATCAGTGTAGAAAGATATATCACACCATTTCGGAACACAATGACCCACAAGACCTTTTGTATCTCGGAATCTCAACAATGGAACAGTGTGTAATGGAGGCTGACTCAAGGATATAACATCGAGCGCACAATCCAAGCTGAACATCTTTTTCGACGTTTCAAGCATAAGGTCGTAATCGACATCGTAAAGACCGGTACCTGAAGTGATGACGATCATGTGGTTAACTGTGTGTCGTAAATCTGTATTTCTGAATCTGTCACAAAAGAGACTGATCGTCAAGTTGACGGCCTCCAACAAGTCGCCTTTGACAGCAGGACATGGTTCACCAGAGATTTTGTAGTAGTTGTCGGTAAGGTGCACCAATACATCACGCTTGAAATTGGCAAATTCCAACCGCAAACTGGCCATGATCTTGTCCCAACTAAATACACTGACCTGGTCAACCACTACCCTATAATATTCTTGGGACTTTGATGGACGCTCGCCAGGTCCCAATGAAATCCAAGGTATTTGTGTAAGGTCAATGCTCGTGAAGAGCACAATTGTGATGGAATGGTGTGCGCTAGCAGAGAGCCACTTCTTAAAAATTTTAGGGAAGAGGGTGTTGACAAGCTTGTGGAACATTATCTCTCCGTTCTCCTCGAAATGCCACATTTCTCTGGACATCTGTACAAGGAACACTAATTTGGCACTCTCTGAACGGAAGATTATGTTTGTCTTTTCACCCACGTAGCCGCTGAAAAGCTTCTTTCCATCCTTGAATGTCAGTCGTATCTGACCCACCCTATTGCCCAAGTAGAGTACTCGCTGTTCCATATAGCAGCATTTCCCAACGAAAGCTGAAGCCAATCCCCATTGCGAGTCTCGAGGGAAATTGACATCCTTAAGGTATATTTCGACTGTGTCTAGCTCCACCTCAGAGGTGTCTCTGATACGTTGTAGCAGCACCGGAGACCGAGGAGGGATATCTAGAAGCTTCTGAAGTGGCGTCGATAGAAGCGAGATTTGAAGATTAGTCTTCGCTTTCGCATTCGAATCTCTGATGATGTTTTCTTTCAAAGCAGTGAAAACAAACCGCCTGGGCTTTGTTCTGCGCTGATCGTCCTTGAGTACCGGCTCTAGGCAGTAGATCCCTCCCTCCTTGACACCTGGCACAGCAGATGCATCAATGACTACATCTTCCGTATAAGACCGTGGTTCGTGAAACCACACTGTAAGCTGGATCGGGTCATCCAGGGTAGTATCATCCACCAGAGCGCTAGCACTTACCTGGCTGGAATTGATGTTCCTGGCGTTTTGCTTATTGTATGCAACGGGGTCAGTGAAACTTCGGAAGTTTTGTCCATGTCGAATACCTGTAGATGTAGTGACCTTGTGCTTGCCCACTGTAAGGGTGCTTCCTGGAGTGTTTAGAGACATGTTTCCCACAGTCAATGTGGAAGCCTTGGGCTGAAGGCTGCCCATTGGTACCTCTGGTGACTTTCGTAGATATTTTGTAAGGTCATCATTATCGGTGACTGAGGCTTTAGCCCTGCCGTTGGTCCATCTGGCATGCTGCATAGCAGAAGATGGAGTACTTGATCTATGTGAGAACAGATGCAGTAGTAGCGATATATCACCAAGCTGCCACGGTGAAGGTAGAACTACGAAGGGGGGGGGGGGGGGGGGGGGGGCGGACAAAATTGAATTTTGAGCAAATTGATTTGATCTTTATGAAAAATATTGTTTGTTCGGACAAAGTGATAGCCTTGCGGCGGAGTTCATGAGGAAGCCATCACGGTGATGGGCTTATCTGATGGAGGATTGAAAAACCGACAACCACATACCTACGTCTTATAGCTTTGAGCTCTGATATTTCATTAATTGCGGTAATTCTATATATGGCCGCTCGATATGTCTAAATCATCCTCTATCAGGCCTGAACCTCGCCAACCACAAACTCCTCTAAGAACCAAGCATGGAACAGAGCATCGTTGGCAAGCTCAGGATGGAATGAAGTGCCCAAATTCTTGCCCTGGCGCACAGCTACAACCAAGCCGTTGTCCAACTCGTGCAAAATCTCCACCGGAGCCTCGTTTTTGCATTCAGCCTCAACAACTGTGGCAGCCTCCAACAAAGCCTTGTGCTCAAGCTCGGGTCCAACTTCCTTCCATTGACCCTTGGAAGCCACCGCAGAAACCACAGGTCCTCTAATGAAGACGGTGTTGAAGGACTTGAGCAGCGGCGCAAAAGCTGAAAAGTCACTGTTGCACAGGAAGGAGCCAAGCTGTCTGCCGAAGGCATTACGAGCCACCTGAACGGCAAGACCACCCAAGGCGTGCTGGTGAGGTCTAGCGTTGGTGATGGAGGAGGCCATGAAGATTAGACCGGCACAGGTGCCCCAAACGGGCTTTTCAGCGACAAACTGCCGAAGAGGCTCGAGAATTTTGGCTCTTTCGGCAATCAAAGACATTGCTGTAGACTCGCCTCCGGGAATGACCAAGGCATGGCACTTGGCGAGCTCCTCTGGGGTTCTCACAGCGACGAACGAGAAGGTGTGTTTGTGAAGGATGGGAGACTCGTCAGCGGCACGAGCCAAATGAGCCAAATGTTCAGCGAAGGCTCCCTGTAGAGCCAACACCCCCACGGTAAATTGTTGTGTCATGAGATCAAGTAGGAAGAATAGACAATTGTGGGTCTTATCAGTGCGAGTGAAAAAAAAAGCTCACAAAGTCAGACAGAGTCAACGGATCAAGACAGAATGGGGCGATAGAAAAGAAAGGGTAAGCCGCTAATGGCATTCATCACCGCAAGCGGGATTATTTATATAAAACCATTTTTTGAGTTTTCCCCGGGACCCGGGAATCCTGTTAGGGGTCGTTACCCCAGTGCCGTAGGTACCCTTGCGGCAAGGAAGAGCGAGCAGAGCGGCTATCCAGCAGATGGTTTTGGGTGGATCGAAATGCCCAACCGGTTGCCAAGACAACGGAAAATGGAGGTTTTCAGCCCAAATTTCACCGAAAGATTGACCAATTAGTATTATTTTAAGAAAGTCAGCCCTTATTGCGGGGCATTTCATCACCAATTGCCCTCTCGGACTCCAGGGTTCTGCCCCACGTTTGACTAACGCCATGTATGCGCATACTCGCGCGCTGACTCTGATGAAAAAACGTTAGTCATTTTCCACACTTTTCACCCACCACTCTTTTCCTACCACTTACTCTTCTCATGTCTGAATCTGTTTTGAAGGGCGGTTTGTCCCAGATGCTTAAAGGCGGTGTTATTATGGACGTTGTCACGCCCGAGCAGGCCAAGATCGCCGAAAAGGCCGGTGCTTGTGCCGTCATGGCGTTGGAGAGAATCCCAGCTGACATGAGAAACTCCGGCCAGGTTTGCCGTATGAGTGACCCAAAGATGATCAAGTCCATCATTGAGTCCGTCTCGATCCCCGTGATGGCCAAGTGCCGTATTGGTCACATTGTCGAGGCCCAGGTCCTCCAAGCTTTGGAGGTGGACTACATCGACGAGTCGGAGGTCTTGACCCCAGCTGACTGGTCCCACCACATCCCAAAGAACGACTACAAGGTTCCATTTGTGTGTGGTGCCAAGGACCTCGGTGAGGCCTTGAGAAGAGTCAACGAGGGTGCCGCCATGTTGAGAACCAAGGGTGAGGCTGGTACCGGTGACATTTCTGAGGCCATCAAGCATATCCGCATTGTCACCAGCCAGATCAAGCACGTCTTGTCTTTGGCTGGCAACCACGACGCCTTGCAGAAGTTGGCTGACGAGTACAGAGTGCCAAAGAAGCTTTTGGACCAGCTCATTGATGCCGAGGGTAAGTTGCCAGTGGTGAACTTTGCCGCTGGTGGTGTTGCCACTCCTTCTGACGCTGCCTTGTGTATGCAATTGGGCTGCGATGGTGTTTTCGTGGGCTCTGGTATCTTCAAGTCCAAAAACCCGGAGAAGTTGGCCAAGGCCATTGTGGACGCTGTGACCCACTACAACGACCCCGCCAAGTTGTTGGAGGTGTCTACTGACTTGGGCGAGTTGATGTTCGGTGTTTCTATTGACCAGATCGCCAACAAGGACAGATTGGCTGGCCGTTAATTAGCTACGTTAGTATATGAATGAATATAGTGACCTATTTGCACCCGGCCGGGCCCGGCTCGGCTGTGCTGGTAAAATAATAAAAGGGCTATCTCAAAAACACCTTGGTCAAGATCGACAGAACCCGTTCCTTGTTCTGATCCAAAGTGACAACCTCAGGAACAAAGCGGGGCAAGTCCTTGGGCATCTTGTCATGAATGCCCAAGTCGTCCGCACACACGATTAGCGTGTCCGGCTTTAGGTTCTTGAGCATGTGGAAGTAGCCGTCCAAATTCAGGCACCTGAGTAGCTTGTAGTTGTTGAGAAGTGTCTGGGACAATCCGCTCTGCAGAGTGTCGATGTTCCCGGCCAAGTCGTCAACCAGGAGATGTGGAGGTAAAATGAAGGTGACGTTTTGCAGGTTCATGATGATTTCTTCTAGGGGCAAGTCGGAGCTGAGCACCGAATGCAGCAACGTCAATGCAATGGACTTGTTCGTGTACTTGGAGGCACTAATCGTTTGCTCCTCGTCCTTGGTAAGGTACTTATAAAACTCGTAACCAGCTGCTGCCACCGACGTAGCGACAACAGCCGAGATCCAAAGCGCTGGTGATTTTTTTCTTCCCATTTTGCCAAAAGATGGTGTTGAGATGAAGCGGATCTCGAGACTTGATAAAGCGTGCTATATAGAGCGTGGGGAAGGTTTTGTTGGTCTACTATTTTACCTGTGTCTGCTCCACCCTCGGAATATGGAGCAATGCGGTGTACGGGTCTTGTGGGGCAAACGGAACTGCCTCACCACCTTTGGGTCCCTGACTTGGAGCGGCTTGCTACCCTCGGCCAAGCCTCGGTCACCCTCGGTATGACCCTCGACGCAGACCTCGTAATTAGGCAAAAGACCCTCGGGTGTGCCCAACAAGATTCCTCCCCTCCTCTGTATTCACCTGCATTGTTCTATTTACTGATAACGATTAGGTGACCACATTCTTTACACAGTAGTTCATCTCCTCTTCGTCAAGTGACTTGATGTAGAGACACTTGCGGAGCAACTCCTCATCCACTGGATAGTCGTAATTTCTCGACCACTCAATGCTTTGCGAGAGTGACTTCACAATGTGCACCGAAGTTCTGAATCTAGAAAAGTTAATGAGCCTCTCAGACTCCAATTCCGCGTCCAGCCCCGTAGTCGAGTCCCCTATCGTGACACTCCTCTCGGAGGCACTTGCCGTTCCGCCCCTGGCTGGTGGATCTAGAGGCTTTTGTTGGCGCTTCACAAATTTAGGACGCTCGGCATTAAAGATCAAGTCCGAAAGATAAAGACCGACAAACGGAATGCACCCAATGGAGGGTCTTACCTGATTAGTGCAAAGACGAATATTGATGAAGTTCTTGAGCGGCGACGTCAATTCTTCCAAATTCTTCAATGTCAAGAGGTCACCAGGAGGAAGCTTCTTCCATGTCTCCTTCAACTTGCTGATCTTCTCGCTGGTCAAAGCCAATATTATTTGCATCAATGTGGAGAAGTTCTGCGTGATTTGCGAGTGTTGTGCAACATGAATAAATCTCGACATGATGGCTATGCGCTCGCTCTCCGCCTTCGTAAGCAAGATCTCAGATATAATCCAGTTCACCATCAAGTTGAAACGGGCAATCACCAAATTCACACCCTTGTTCTGTGTATAGTAATTGTCATTGACAATGATCTCTAACCAACTGTTGACCGGTGTGAGCTCTTTGTTCCAGTTCAATTCGATGAGCTCCTTCCAATCGATATCCTGAAGCATATCCTTTTCAATCATAGTGAAGTGCTCAGCCAAAGACTTGGAATCGTAGCTTAGAACAAAAGAAACGTGCGAGGAATGCTCCATGACGTTGTGGATCGTAAGATGCTCAGACCCAAGACAATAGCGATCCAAAACGGCTTTTGGCGAAAGTACTGAAAATGGACTAGCATTCTCACTGTTGGTTCCGCTCATCAAGAAGGTATTCATGTTGTGATTTGCGGATGGCATGTTAAGCGCAGATCTAACTCTTGTCTTGATAGGGGTAAGAGGCTTTTCCTCAAACTCTTTCTCGACATCTGAGGAATATTCAATTGCATCCTCAGTCACAGCATTGTTAATTTCAGCCAAGATATCCTCTGTGTTGTTATGAATGTCGTTTGCTTCACCCTCCTCGTCTTCTTCCATACTCTTATCATCCTCGAAAGTTATTCGGGTTCCCTCGTCCGCAGGTTGGGTACTTATTATACTTTGGTGTTTGCCGCCGTCTTTCCTTTCTATTGTATAGCCAGACTTTGATTTGACGAGTCTGACTCTTCCTTCCAATTTTGAAAGTGCGTTCTGGATTGGGTTGGTAGCGGAATTGAACGACTCGTCAGGAATAGCAGCAAGTTCTTTCAAAACGTAGCTGCTGATCCCTGGAATTGCAACGGAGTTCGATGAGGATTCATCACTGACGCTCTTATGGTCAGCCTTGGAAGTACGATCAACCTTCTCTTTTGCAGCGATGGAGAACACTGAGCTATCATCTATGGCAGACAGTTTGGCCGAATGGCTGTTTCTATCGAGCAAAGAGCCAGATTGATAGCTGTCACGGCAGTGATTGAAAGGCAACTCAGTTAATGCACAAAGGGTACTGAACCTCACACTTTTTCTGATGGATGATCTGGAAGAAAAGTGACTTGATCTCGTGCCTTTCCATTGTGAGAGCGATCCATTCTGAAATTCGCATGACTCCATGAAGCCTGCTTCGTTCCCATCATGCTGGGCGAGTCTTCTCAAATCCTGAATGGCGTGCTTCTTCTTCAAGTTGCCACCCTCCACGGGCTTAACTTCCGAGCCTGCGATTGAGTATGCTGAATCGTAACTGAGGTATGATTTTATCGATTCTCTTTTAAGCATGGACCCGCTGGAGTTTCTCAGCATCATTGAATAGCGCTTGCCCATCGAAATGCTCAGGGAATCACATCGGTTGATACGCTGCATTGTCACTTGTCTCTTCATGGATTGAGGACTCATGGCAATATTTAAGTCAACAACCTCGTCTTTGTAATTTGCGATATCACTTGGAGTCGAGATGGATGAGTTTGACTTGGCGTTGCTCTCATTATCGCTGGGAACATCGAAATATTGTGTCCCAGACTTGATCATCCGTTCTGCTCGAAGGGCGTCTTCTTTAAATACTTCATCATTCGTGAGGGATTCATCAAGCTCTTCAGAATGTTCCAAATTAAGATTGCCTTCATCGTTCCAATTGAGGCTGGCCACTCTCCCAAAAGACGAACTTCCAGACACATTCTGTCCAACATAGAAAGAACTTATTTTCGATCTATCATTCTTTTGCTCGGACAACCTATCGCCTTGACTAGTGCTGCTTTTGAAAAAGTTATCGATCCTGTCGATACTTAAATCGGGCATATCTTGCATCGATATGTCATCGTTGGTGACATCCTCTTGCACATCTGGTTTCGTTGGTGAAATATTACTCTTATCATCATCGACATTCACATTGACATCGACAAATGACTCCTTGGCCGGACTCTCAAATCTAATTTCAGATCGGCTTATGTCATCTCTATCCTCAGCCTCTGTTATGGCATTGCTCTGCTCAGCGATGTAATAGTGAATGAGATACTCAAGCTCATCGACAATCCTTGCGCTAAGAATATCCACACGGTTCCCAACTTGTAGCGTCTCTGGCATTGATTGCACGCTAGTCTTGAACGATGATGCATTAGAAGGCTTCGGACTCAGGAACGGAGATTCGGATTTAGTTTCGTTGAAAGACTTTTTCCATCCGTCAACGAATTTCTTGATGGAAGTCTTTCTATCCATCTCATTGAACACGGAGCCGTCTGAAAAGTTTGGCCTCCTTCTAGAATCTGAACGTGTTGGTGTGTGCTTCAATGTGATATCCATCTTCTTCACCGGTGTGGGCGGAAGTATCGTGGACACTCTTGATGATGGAAGCTTAACATGGCCATTAGTGGAAAAGCCAGAGGAAGTGAAAGGCGTCTCAGCTTCGTCTGCATCTGCGGACGTTTTCGAGGTCTTTTTCAATGCCAACGAAGAGTCCTTGAGACCCTTGTAATTATGCTTGGGATTATTATGATGCTGGATAGGAGCCAAGGGCTTGCGTGTCGCCTTGCGGTTTTTGCCTTGAAATTCTGAGAGTTTGTCGTTCAACGAAGATCTAGACGACTTGTGTTGGAACAATAGATTATTAATTGAAAGCTGGGGGTTTTCGTCATTAGTGGTTGACTCGTCATGGATGAGACATTTGTAGTGAGCTCGCTGGTCGTAAAGCGAGAGCATAGCAGACCGTCTGAACGATGGGTTTGTACGAAGCGATGTTTGCGTGCTCAGCTTGGGCAACTTCCTGAAGTTAGCCACCTCTGAGAGCAAGGGAAGGGTCATTTCAAAAACATTTTGGTCGGACAAGCCGGCGTTGTAGAATTCTTCAACCTGGGAAAGCCAATGGGTCTTCAAGTCAGAAATGATCTTGCGTTCGAAAACCATGTCGTCACGGACGAAAGCTGACTCGTTTGTGATCTGGTTCATGAAGAACACTAAGGTGTCACCGAGCTTGGGATCAGCGTCAAAGTCGTCAAGGAAGTAGTTCAACACCCAATGTCTCAACACAACAAACGTACGTAGCAAGACAAGCTGACCAATGTGCTGGGTGTCCTCTGTTTTGGAATTGATGTATTGGAGAGACCATATGAGCCTTGTAAGCAAGAGATTGAGCACGGTATGGCTATCAGTGAAGGTTCTGTAGGTCAAGAAGAAGTCACAAATTAGGTTGTAGTCAATCACCTCAGGAGACGTGAGCTGAACCACCAACGCCTTGAGGGTAGCGTGGTTGATAAACTCGTCATTGCTGGCATCAAACTTCACCACCGACTCATGATCCCGCTTGAGTCCTGGGAAGTATCGATAATCATCGAAAATGCTCTCGTTATGGTTGTTGTAGGCAAAGAGATCCAGCCTCGGCATGGTGGTATCCTCAGAGTCCAAGTTGAAGCTGTGCTCGCCACAGTCCCATTGGAGGAGCGCTTCACCCATGGCAGTGTCGTGGGGCCCTGGTGTGGAAAAAAGTGGTAATTCGGGAGCAGCACTATTTGCAAGCAAGTGCTGTGTTGTTTATGTTTACGCACAGACGGCTTTTTTTCTGTATCGCACTTTGTTTTGCTAGACGCCAGTGTGTTTATACTTCACTGCAGAAAGACACCATCTCGCAGAGGTGGGGCGCGCTTTTTCCGCCTAAAGGCACCAGGATACAGACGAAGCATGACAAGTTAGAGTTTGACAACAAGAGGGACACTAGAATTTGATGAGATTATTTTTTTTCATTAAGGTTTTTGCGAAGCCCACGTAACTCGATTTCAATCGTCGCTTTCCCAATTGGGCCAAACAGCCGCTGGGAATGTGCGGCAAGGGCAGGTCAAGGGCGCGAGCTGGTCTGGGGCTGACTTTGGCGAGCCCACCCACTACCATTGTGTAACGACAAATTCATGGGGGTTTCTGACATAAAATTAGACGACAATAAGCCCACGGTGTCTCATGTTTTGCAGGCAAAGGTCCAGATTGCTCCGTTGAAGGAGAGGTCAAAGACACACGAAGTGCCACTCACAAGCCCACGTTGTAAGCTGTAGCCATGGTAATTTGGGGTCAAGGACAAATCGGATCACGATTGATGACCGCCTTAAAGTTAATGGCAGATTGTTCGGCAGCCATGGGCTTGCTTCGGGCAACGATCGACAACGCAAGATATTTCTCCTGGCTGTTCTTAGGCGAGAGCTTGACGGAATGGCCAACCATGCATTCTCGGCTTCCTCGTGCAGCGAGCTCGTCTCGAGAGAATTCATTCTGTTGTGGGTTAAACAAAACAATTTTAAGGCTCACGTAAGAAATGGCCGTGATGGTAGAGAGTGCCCGCTGCCGGCGTTAAAATCAAACTCAGCATTTTGGGTCGATCTGCCATTAATGCGTGCGAGCAGGTGGTGTCTCACCTTTGATTGTTCTGGATAGCCTGCTTCAAAGCATCAAACGGAGAAGCCTTGAACTGCTTATCCGTGAGCACCTTATTGAATTGTCTGTTCTCCATCTGCAATAGTTTTGCGTGGCCGCCTTGCTTTTGAGGATTAGGCTTGTTGGCATCCTTGTTCTTTGCAGCAATGAAACCAGAACTCTGCTTGACGTCAACGAGATTAAGCGTTTCTGTTGGAAGACTCAGAAGCAAATCATCCATCTTAGGCTTGAGGTTCTCCTTAGCCTTTCTCTTCCTTCTTCTAGTTGCAGATTTGGAGATCCCACCGGAAAGATTGAATGTGGTCTTCGCCAAGATCCTCTCGTTAAAGTCGGAAGTCTTGTTCTTCTGCTTCTCCTTCTTTGTGGTTTGCAGCAATTTGAGAAGAGGATTCTCTTCGTAGTCGTTCTTGGGTTCCTGTTCCTCCCTAAACTCCTTGATCTTACTAGCAATCGAAGTCCTCTTGGACGACTTAGCTCTAAGTCCGGCTTTCTTTTTTATAGACTTTAATGTTAGTTGCTAGATGAAATCAGAGGTTTTAACGTCTTTACGTACCATTTTGATATAGGTCAATCAAATCAGATCTTGAACCTCTTCTGTACTCATCACTTTTCTGTACAGGTCTATCGAAGGGTAGCTCCAAAGGCTCCTCAAGAAACCTTGATACGAATAGGCGTTTCGATTATTTAAAAGGTCCTTTGGCTTAAACATGTTTGTTTAATCATGGAAATGAAGCCCATTTCTTTGAATTGGACGAACCGAATTGTTGCAATCGTTTTGCAGCCATTCACTAGCCCGCTTGTAGGCGACCCTGGATTAGCGATCTGAACCAGTGGCCCAACACTAGTCAACTTCATCATCCAATTATTCTAGAAATGATCTTTCTTGAATTTTGAATGAAACTTCCCTTGACTCTGTTTGTCTACATCAGACCAGTTGGCCCTAAATCTGTCGCATGCAAGCCAAATATAAATTCAATACCATGAAGCCGATCGGATGGCTAAGCTGACACTGAATTTTCAGTATTCTGCTTGTTTGCATTTTACACAAATTTTAGTTTTTGTTTGTTCTCTTATCTTGTGAGGCCTTCCCCCTTATCTTCTGAGTACTAGGTTCGCATTGTTCTTCTCTCTCACCTCATCTCGAACAAAATGAGAACTCAAAATGTGAAAAACAATAAAATTTAGTAGTACAAAGAAGAGTCGGCCCCTCTCTTTTAAGTAATCTCGACTGACATAAAAAGCCCCTCATTTTGAACCTACACCACGGAATTGAAGACCTCCAACCAAATCGACCAAGATGAGTCTCCTGTACGAACCTTGAGATGAGCGAGAAAACATACATACACCTTATACCACGTTCCATCGCTAACTGTTGAATCCTAAAACAGAACTTATACTGTCAAGGACCATTATATAAGATTGCAAGACTCCAAAATGAGCACGTGGCAAGCTCACACTGACCACTCTGCCACAAGCCCGCGGTCCACGCTACCTGCAACGAAACAGCTAGATTCCGATGCCACTCCAAGAATGTCTCATCTGCCTACTCCTCTGGGAGAGCTAAAACTGATTGTGAACAATGACCTACTACGAAAAAATCCGAACTTTGTAACATCGGAAGCGGCACTCAGCTCGACCATCGAACAACTGGATTCAGAGACACTGAAGATATCAGCCTATGCAAGACTCGACTTTGAAAACTACACCTTTTTCGTTCAGACACTCCAAGTGGTGTTAGGAAGAAAAGCCGTCGAAGACGCTGCACCTACCCATCACGCTGTGGATGTTCACTTGTCATCGAAGAAGGCCATCTCCAGGCGGCATGCTAAGATATTTTACAACTTCGGTACGCAGAGATTTGAGATCTCCATTCTAGGCCGGAACGGTGCTTTTGTAGATGACCAGTTCGTCGAAACAGGCATAACTGTGCCGCTTGTGGATAATACGAAAATTCAAATTGGTGATATTCCGTTCACCTTTGTGCTACCATCACTCGAACCTCCGGAAAAGAAGAATGCTACACCTGCCAAGCCCTTTAACCCAAGTGATGCCATCAACCTACGGTCCAACTTGTACCTGAACCCTGCTTCTCCAAATAGGAAAAAGAGTCTCACTGACGAGCAGAAAAAGGCTCGCAGGAACCTGAGAGCTGATATAGTCAGAAGGCTTTCTAACGCTAGACGCAAATCTCTTGCATCATCGACTAATGACGAGATTACTGCCCTTCTTAAAGAGCTTGAGGACATCGGGGATGACGACGAAAGTGACCCTATTGATAAAGAGGTCAATGAACTCCTCAAGCTGGGTAATCTTGAAGCAGAAGAAGATGAGCTTGATGAGCTAGTAAAACAGCATAATTTGCTGCAGGGAATTGGTGTTGAAGATAAGGACCGAAAGGACGTTGACGTCGATATGAGCGTCCTTGACCAAGAGATTGCATCTTTGGCCCCACTTATAGACGGCCAGCATCCAGAAAAGGATGCCATCGACAACAAACAGGGTGTTTACGGCAGGCACGGAACAACCCTCGCCACTGACACAGCAGATAATAAAAACGCCCCGCTCATGGGCCGTCCTGCTGGTCCTCGCATGGGCAAACCTGCTCAGATACAACCTCCTGCTAATAGGGCATATGGAAGACAACCTGTGGGTCCAATATACGGCTACCCAAATTCGGGTGCTTATCCACAAGGTTATAATTCGCCATACGGATCTCCTGCTGGATATCCTACAGGGGCAAGGAATTCAATGTACCACCCAATGATGATGCCAACACGGCCTCCACCACCTAAGCTAGAGGTCGAAGTGGAAACGATCAGCACAGTTCCAGTAAAAAGTGCTACAGTCCCATTCAAGGCGATTTCTACAGGGGTGGGAAATGTTCAGCGGCCACCTGTTTGCGTTTTCAAAACATTGGACATACCACTGAACAAGCCCAAGATCCCACTCAGGCGGAAGGATGCTCCTAGCATTAAGAGACCGAAGTCACAAAGCAACAAAGATATTCCAGATCAGTATAAATCGAAGCCAACGGTTAGCATCACGGCCATGATCACCAGTGTGTTGAGAGGACCCAATTCTCGCAAGTCAGGTTTCACTTTCAGTGAGATCTGTGACGGAATCAAGGAATTTTATCCTTACTACCAATACTGTCCTGACGGCTGGCAATCTATGATAACCCATAATTTGAAGACCCATAAAATGTTTAAGCGAGAGTACAAAGGAGGCCTTGATTCTGAACACTTGTGGGTGATCGACGATGATTACTTAGCCGAGAAAGAGCGTGTTAGAAAGAAACAGCAAGAGGTCGCAATGGCCAAGGCCAAGGAGGCTGCTTTGAAGGCAGTTGAACTTCGTCTGAAACAGCTGACTCCACAGTATGGCGCTGTTGGTCGACCATTCATGACCCCATATGCGTCTTCCTTTGGCCAGCCACGCTATCCGACATCCCGTGATCTGTCACCACCAATGCCAAATGGTGCTCCGGGACAGAAGCCCAAGTCCATTGCTGAACTTGCCAGCGAGATCAAACGAGACTCGCCAGGCGCCTTGAACCAGTCATCATACTTGCCACGTCTGAGTCTCTCACCTACTGTGAACTCAGCCGAACAAAGCAACAGCATAAAAGATCAGCTTGCTGCTAATAGATCAGCCACTAACTCACTGACCAACATCAACAGTGATGTAAAGACTGAAAGAAGCTCTCCTACACCTCAGCCCGTTGCCGCAGCTGCAGCTGCAGTTTCTGCTAACACGAATTCTGGTCTGGTTTCAAAACTGTTGCCGATGAATGCAGATACGAAGAAGTCTCTTGGCTATTTGCAGAAGGAGCTTTTCACTTTGTACAAAGCCAGAAAACTCTCCTACAATACTGCTACTACAACTAACATCATCACCAAGGCATTGGCTACTACCATTGCACAGGTCAATACCATTGGTGCTAAAGCTGGTTGTGGTGACAATGCATTGAGTTTCTTGGTTGAAAAGGCACCTCAGCAAGTCAGTAAGATTCTTGACATTGCATTGACCAAGTCCATCAAAGAGATTGAAGGTAAGCTGTCCAACCCCACTAGCAAAGAGTCTACGCCTGTGCCAACAGCATCGCCTGCTGCTTCTAACATTGGTCTGGTGCAAAAGCCTCCCGCATCTACAGACAGCACCAGCTCTGCTTCAAGACCGGCAACTCCTAATTCTCCAGCCGGTGGCACACCCAAGCCTAGTTACTCAGGAGGATTGAGTCGTCCACACTTTAGCGGGATGGCAAGACCACAGAACCCTAGCAAGCCTGGAGCGTTGCTGAAGGGGCCTCTGTTTTTGTCCAACAAACCCAGACAAGAGAAAAGGCCCGCTGAGGAAACTGGGGAGGATCCGCTGAAGTCGATCAAGCTTGAGTAATTTGCAGCCATTGCAACGCAAGGTAGGACAGACAGCAAAAACAAAAGAGAACCATAGAAGGAGATAAAAGCCCGTCATCTGTACAATAATCATAAGAAAGATCAAGAAATATGTAGTTTGACTCGAGTATGCCCAAGTAGGGCTTATCAAGGTGTTTCTACTGGTGCGACCTGCACATGCATCTGACCTCACTTCAAGAGAGTGGCAACAACTACACCAAACCCCAGATCTAGCTCATTTCGAAAGCACAACACATCAACCTAAAAGTACCTCGAAATCAGCATGAACTCAATCTCAAAGCAGTTCACGAATTCAAACGCCAATGCGCTTCGCAATGAATTCCATGGTGCTACAGATGGGTTGGCTCAACAAGAACAATTCGGCTTGGCTCCACAAATGCAATTGCCTCCTATTTCCAAGCCTACGGAATTCTTGAGAGCACACACAGATGACGCTTCCAACCCTGACTGTAAGATCAAGATTGCACACGGTACGACAACCTTGGCGTTTAGATTCCAAGGTGGTATTGTTGTCGCAGTCGATTCCAGAGCTACTGCTGGTGACTGGGTCGCCTCGCAGACTGTGAACAAGGTTATCAGAATCAACCCCTTCTTGTTGGGTACAATGGCCGGTGGTGCCGCCGACTGTCAGTATTGGGAGACTTGGTTGGGTACGCAGTGTAGACTACATGAGTTGCGTGAGAAGGAGCGTATATCAGTGGCTGCCGCTTCTAAGATCTTAGGAAACTTGGTGTATCAATATAAGGGCATGGGCTTGTCGATGGGTACCATGGTCTGTGGCTACACGAAGAAGGAGGGTCCAACCATCTACTACGTTGACTCTGATGGCACAAGATTGAAAGGTGACCTCTTCTGTGTCGGTTCCGGTCAGACATTCGCTTACGGTGTCTTGGATTCTGAGTACAAGTGGGAGTTGAGCGTCGAGGATGCATTGTACTTGGGTAAGAGAAGTATTTTGGCTGCCACACACAGAGACGCCTACTCCGGTGGCTCGATCAACCTATACCATGTCACCGAGGATGGATGGGTATACCACGGCAACCACAATGTGGGCGATATCTTTTACGACATCAAGGAGAAGGAGAAGTCCTTCAACAATGTTGACGGTTGAGGAAGCAGGCGATATGAGTAGACGCCATAAGGCGGGCAAGACACGAAGTATAAAACGAATAATACAGCATCATGCAGCAGATAAACCTTGTAAATCAAATTGTGGCAGTCTAAGTTGCAGTTTAAGAGCTACCATACCTTAGGGCTCGCACCCTAAACCGTACAGCTACACGTGATCACATCAACTTACGTGCACACCTCAATTCGCACCTTCGGTCTGCCTACACTGAAAATTTTAGTAGGGGAAAAAAAAAGCTCTTATCCAGAACTACAAACTAAAGCCAAAATGGTATGTCAAACGTCGTCGATAACGCTAAATGAACAGTGAAGGAAATGACAGATCGCAGATAGATCCACATAAAAAGTCCCACCCATTTACAAAGTCACATCGCTCCCTTCATTGTCGAAACGCAAGCCCTTGATCATGAATACTAACAGTCAGTCTGCTCAGAACCCTATGCGTGAGTTGCGTATCGAGAAGTTGGTCTTGAACATCTGTGTCGGTGAGTCCGGTGACAGATTGACCAGAGCCTCCAAGGTCTTGGAGCAGTTGTCCGGTCAGACCCCAGTCCAGTCTAAGGCCAGATACACCGTCAGAACCTTCGGTATCAGAAGAAACGAGAAGATCTCTGTCCACGTTACCGTCAGAGGTCCTAAGGCCGAGGAGATCTTGGAGAGAGGTTTGAGAGTCAAGGAGTTCCAGTTGAAGAAGAGAAACTTCTCTGCCACTGGTAACTTCGGTTTCGGTATTGACGAGCACATTGACTTGGGTATCAAGTACGACCCAGGTATCGGTATTTACGGTATGGACTTCTACGTTGTCATGGGTAGACACGGTGCCAGAGTTGCCAGAAGAAAGAGATGCAGAGCTGCAGTTGGTAACTCCCACAAGACCAACCAGGAGGAGTCCATCGCTTGGTTCAAGCAGAAGTACGACGCTGAGGTTTTGGAGAAATAAGCTTCAAGCTTCATGTATAAAATATTATAATTGGCGAAATCCAGTGTAGAGCATAGGCTGCTTTTTATGGGAGTCTAGAGTGAGGAGATGCCTTCGGAATCAAAGGATGGAGAGAAGAAGCCTTGGCGGGTTGTAATGTGGGCGATACATGTAGAAGATGTCCACCGTGTGTTAGCGGAAGAGTTTGAATTGCGTGAAAATGGATCACAAAGCCGGCTTCCGTAGGCTCATCTTTTGCTTAATCCCGTCAACAAGGGCACTCAACCACTTGAGCAACTAATTGATCTTCATTTAAATTGCATTCAGATACTTTTGGAAGTAGCTGGAATATAAAGTATACATTAGCACTACATTTTTGCGTGAGTGCCCTTGCGATCTCATACACAGCGGTATGGCTGACTCAGACGTCAACACGGCTTCGCCTCACTACAGGCATGAGTAGTCGGTCGACAAGACTAAATTTTTCTTTCAAATTAATCTGAAAGCTTTTTATATATTTTCAAATAGCCCGACGGAGCCGACCGCTTATGACCGACCAAGAGCCCGTATCTGTGTGGCAGCCCCTCATCTTATGCGCCGCGCCCACACAAATATCGATCATTTCTCCAACTAATCTTTTTTACCCATCAGGACATTAAAAGCGATTGACTAAGGCTACATTCACTTCCAGGAAGTCCCAAATAAGAGTCACTCCATCAATACAACACCAAGCTTGTTGACCAAGCCACTGCTATGCTTCCCACCAGCTTCACACACTTTGACAACCTTGACGGCTTACCATGTACGTATTGCTCCCTCATCACTTCTATGACTATATACTAACATCTAGACATCGACTATGACATAACACCGCAGGAAAGAAGAAGAGTGGAAGAGCTTGTCCAAAATGAAGTAGCTCAACTCGACACGACACAAGTACACCCAGCAGCAGGCCCCGTACTCCCGCTTTCCTCAAGCATGGACAGATTTCGCCGGCCCCAACAGGGTGAACAGGCTGACCAAAACGATCCAGAATATGATAATGCTGAGCCACCTGTCATCCAGGGTATCGATATGTCAAGGTACACGGATTTCCACGATGAGGATGACAATGATGCTGATAGCGATAACCCAGACCACACCAACCAGGACCGCATGTACACAGCCTTGGCTTATTCGATGCTACGGGAGCGCAACTCCCGCCTCGCTCTTCAAAACGACGGAAGCATGAGTAGCATTCGAGAAGCCCACCTCGAACTGCTCCTGAAAACGGAGCTGCTGTATCGCAACGAGTTGGAACGAAAACGCAGGCAAGTTGAAGATATCAATGATATTCGAAAGAAGCGTCAAATCGATTTCCAGCCGATTAACGAGCATCTCGAGGAGAAATGGCACGACGGTATTAACTCCATGATCGACATGGGTATTCAGCGACGCACACAATGAGCGCTGTTCTCTCTGTATATTTATTAGCATTTCAAGTGATGAGCCCCCGGTTGGGACGCTTGTTGAATACCATGTCTGCCTTGGAACTGCCCACATTGGTGATTCTAGGGCAACCTTCCCTATGTTTCTCCTGAACGACACACTCGTAGCAGTAGTAAGCCGGCGTTCCAGACTCGGCATTCTCTCCCAAATGGTGGCCACAAAGGATACATCTTTCACCTGCATTGCCTGAATGGCAGCTATCGCAGACTCTAACCTTTGCCTTTGGTTTGACCATCGAGTCACATATTGGGCATCTGCCATCACACAGTAGACATAGAAGACCTATGTGTGTTCCAGGTTGCTTCATGCACTGGACAAGATCAAACTGATGGCGAGACATGGTGCACTTAAGGAAGTAAACTTGTTGAAGTTAGATTAGATGTGCGCGATGCCATCTGGGGTATCAAGCAGATGCACGGATCATGTTGATACACCACAAGAAATGGTCAAGATTCAAAAAGAGGATTGGGTTTGTTTTGAGACAAAATAGATTTTCTGCTGATATTGAGACACATCGCCGGAAATGGGTTCTTGGTTCCCAGACTTGATACTAACAGTGATAAACTAATCCTTCGGGGTAAGGGATTTGGTTTCGAGTGTTTATAGATTGTTGATTTTTAAACGAAGTAGTATGTCAATAGGCTGAACCGATTGTACAGACTGACGACCTGACACCCAGTTTTTGATTCATGGAAATGGTTGCAAAACTTGAGTTTCCCTGAAGACATCGGGTCCACACACATTTCACAGCACATAAAAAGAGTCAATGATAGTAGTCTGTCAAATTGGCTCTACAACAAGATCCATGTATTGACATATCATACTCACCTTGCCTAATCGCATCTATCTTTGTGCAACTCTGGTTGTAAGCAATCCCCAAACAATCCAATACTTACTTATAATTAAATTCAAATACCGTATCACTCTTCTTTCAACTCTCAATTATTTCCATTTCTATTCACCTGGAAAGTTTCAGATAATCCCTGGTAGGACCCTTCCATCTTGCCATCATGCACTGCGAGAGGCTCACTGCACCCATCGAGACCGCCACTACACCATTTTCTACATATCCACCACAAATCAACACTTCAGCTATGGAAACGCTCGAATGCCCCATATGTCTTGAGGGAATAAAACCTCCAGACATAATAGGTATCGTGCAACCCTGCTCTCACCACTATCATGAGCAGTGTCTTTTACAGTGGAGCACCCAATCGAACTCGTGTCCTACGTGCCGAAAGCCGTTTCACAAAGTGAATATCGCTGTCAAAAGCAACCCTGAAGCGGTTTTAAGATCCTTCAACGTCCAGGATCGCCTTATGCCAAACGATGCCATCAACAATATCCCCACTGAGTTCGTGATTCCACCCAACGTGGTACCCCAGAGAGAACCTATCGAGCAGGATCGAGACATTCAGCCTGCTGGTGTATGCCAGATATGTTCAAGCGCAAGTTATGCTCTTCGTCAACGTGCCATGGCCAGCTGTGTGGCTTGTAATTCGTCCTTCCATGTCTCCTGCCTTGGTGCAGCTTCGCATGAGCCAGGCTCGACTGAATGGTTTTGCCCAAACTGTGACTGCTATCAAGAGCTTTATACTCCAGGCCCGAGCCGGTCTCGGACAAGGAGGCCCGCTCGAGCCATTCCAAGATCCAATACCCTTATCACAACCGACAGCGACCTAGCCCAGGCCGTGTTTGACGACAGCCTTGACTCGCTTGAAACGGGGCCGTCTCTGCGACGCTCTAGATCTCATGTGCTCAATGGCGGAGTGCTACTACGGAGAGAGGAAAGAGCCTTGAGGAATCTCACTCCAGAGGAAGCTCACCTGTGGGACATGTTCGAGCAAGCACGAACAGGTGGTCTGGGCACCGCTCCTACTACTCCTGTCGAGGACAAACCTAGAAGGAAACGGAGAAGGCGAGGAGAAGCCGCTGCTGAACCACTGTCTGTCCAATCTCCTCCAGAACCTTCACAATCCCCATCAGAGGCAGGTTCCTCTAGAATCAGCTCTCTTATGAGCCAGATAAGGCTGAGGCCGAGAAGTTCAGTTACTGACGAGAGACCCGCTGTCCAGGTGCCCTCTGCTCCGACAATGACTAGGATGTCCCCGTTGATCAGTCCGGTGACGAGTGACAGTGAGTCTGAACTTCGGAGACCGCCTTTTGAGCGCCCCGGTAGAGAGCTTACCCTCGAGCAAAAACGCATAATTCAAAAGCATGTTCGTGATAATCTTCGTCCATTGTATACTCCAAATGATCCGACGAAAACTGGAACCATTACTACAGAAGATGAATACATCCGAATCAACAAAAGCATTTCCCGCAAGATCTACTCGGCAATACTCTCGCTGGGAGAGGAAGAAGGACCGCAAATTTATGAAGATTACTTCGATAATCCCAGCTCTAAGCTAAGAGATTTGGTTGATTGCTGTGTCCAGCGAGAACTAGCAGGTGTTAGATATGGGTAACTAATTGATGAGAAACGACAATATTTATATTCATGTAGTCTATCTTCTTCTTGGTCCTTTGGGTTTGGAGAACCTCAAGTTATTGCTACTCTGTTGCGAGCTTTGGGAGTTCTCAGGCTCCAACCTGGAGATGTCAATTTCGTCTAAATCTCCCACCTCTAGCACAACATCAAGCTGAGAGTCTTTGAGGTGATCAGCTTTGAGATGTGTGAGGAAACCTTGTTTGTTGGCGGCATACAACATTCTATCTTTAACCTTTGACCCAGAAGGACACAGGTAGATGAAGGCAACCTTTTCGTCGTTGTAGCCAAACAAGGCGTAGACAGGAGAAGCCTCGGCACTGCCCACTGCCAGCTCTAAACTGCTTATAAGAGTCTTTGGAGTAACATCAGACACCGATTTGACCAATTCAAGCGTTTCAGCCTCTTTTTGAATCTTGATAACAACCAACTTTCCTGACAACAGGCCAGAAATTTCATTTTCAAGATCGGAGTCGACCTTGAAGAGCAAGTTTGAGCCAGAAGTGGTCAGCTTTTGAGTTGAGTGCATCGATGGCAATTCCCTCTTGAATGACTGGTCGCCAGACTGGCCCAAATTGAGGTTTTGAACAGAGTTTATCTGTGCTAGGATCTTTTCATCTGACGTCAAGAGCGCTTCATTGTCGCCATTGATCAAGTGTTCATAATGTGATAAAGACAACTCGTCAACGTCTGTGAGTGCCAAAATGTTTTTGGTTCCAAAGTTACTGGATCCTAACTGTTGAAGTACAGTGTTCTTGGTAGAAGCAAACAACATCTTCTGTCTTATAGGCGCAGAGTCAGGAATAAAGCTGACGAAGATGTTGTCACCACCCTCTTTTTGGATGATAGCATAACCTGGAGTGGGATATTGTGCTTCAAAGTACTCACTCAAGCTATTGAACACCAGTGATAGATCTGTTGAAGAAGGCAGGGTGTAGCCTGAGTCTGGGATCAATTGCGTTGAATCGTCATTTAAGGTGATCACAAGAGCACCGCTTTTCAATGCCTTGAAGCTGTCAAGTAGCTCTTCTGATGCAGTAATACCAGATTGCGTAGCCATGGTTGATATTGAGAACAGATACTATATCGTTACGTGTGCGACTATCGGATAGTGCGCTGTGAGATCAGACTATCGGCAACATCGAAAACTACGAAAGCCTCTTGATTTTTTGAAATTTTCATATCTTCTCAATTGGAAAAAGGCTCTGGCGTCTGGTTGGACTCTTTCTTGGTTGTAGCAGCAGTAGTACGATTGAATGGTGTATGCCACCTCTGTAGTAGCCTTTTACAACACGCATTCAGACGGACTATCTTAAATGGAAACACGGCAGAATCGTCGGATGACAACGAGTTTTGAGCTCGCTGTCTAGAAGAACTTTAGATTGCCGGTTCTGAGAAACCTGTCTGTCATCGGCTTCTGACTATTTCCCGGAGATATAAATCTGTGGAACAGCACTATAGAGATTCGATGCATCACTTTATTTTATTGAATTTGGAATTTACACCACTATTGTCCAGTGTGGTCCATAGTGCTCATGTATGCGATCTTTGCAGCCGATCTCACCTGTAGCCCCACACAAATATTGCATTTATCGGCATGCATTATTATTTTTTAGTTTTTTTTTTTTTTTTTTTCCTTACTTCTCATAAAAGGAATGCAATATTTCTAATCAGGAATAAATCATTAGTTTGTGCCGTGAATTGCACCAAATCAAAGATATATTCCTCTCAGAAAGCCTCTCAAAAAGGTACCGGACCATTTATGTCTGCTCGCTTGTGTTCTCATGCAGTAAAACATAAACTCTGAAACACCTCCATGGGTCTCTTTAGTTTCACGGGTCCCAGGCAGGGAGCCAAAATTCCGACTTTTGAATTGGCTCCACAACCTGACTCGACAGATTTGAGAATACGATCGCTTCTATATTTGTTCAAGAGGCTACGAATCAACAAGCTCGCTGCATTCCCTAGCTCGGACGGGTCGTTCAAATACACGGATAGCGTTACCCAAGACGACCCGTCACTTTCTCCCAAACTCGACAGCTTGTACAATTTGGAGAAATTTACCCTGATTCTCGTTTCTGACCCTCAAAGAGTGCTTATTGACTTCCCCAAGAACAAATTTCGAGCCTTTTGCATACTTTCCGAACTACCGAGCGCCAATTTCTCGAGGCCTCTGTCTCCTGTAAAGGGGATACTGTCAGATAGGAGTGATTTCGAAAATGGCTTTCCCATATTTGTCGACACTAGGGGGAGGAGGGTACAGAACTATGCTTTCTCACTACTTCCTTCGGGACATCAAGTCAGCATTCGTGAATTGTCAACAATGTTGGCCAATTCGTTGATCTACACAGAACACCACTCATACGTTCCATTTGCTGCCCGATTCTCTGCTGCCAAGAGCTCTATACAGAAAGTTTCAACTATGGAGCTCACAGACGATTCTGTTTGCCGCTTAAGCGAGGCATTCAAACATGCCATTGTATTTGAATACTTGAAGGAATTGGCGTTTTTGGTGCAATTGTTGCGAATTTATGATGAATACGTCAAGAAAAGTGCTTCTTCGACGCCGCCTTCGATACACACTAGTCTGACGCCTATGTCTCTGCCTCAGACATCTCCCAAAAAGGCGGCCCCCTCTTTGACTCCAAAAAAGTCCACCGCTAACCTCAAAGGAGAACGTACACTTAAAGCCCGTCCATCGATTTCCAACTTCAGATCAAATGAACTTTACAATCCTGTTACTTCGCCTCAAAAGAAGTCTTTGAAGGCCACATCCTACAGCTCCCCTCGTGACATATATGGCAGAGAGATTGTTCAAGACTTATGGGATAAGTGCAAAAACTCAATCCGCACAAAGCTTGAACATGAAAGACTGCGTATTGAAGCCAATGGAAAAGACTTTTGATTTTCTGGGCTTCTTTTGCAACTTTTATGGCGTTGGTCCGTCTCCTAGTAGTGCACACAGTTTGCCCCAGCTGCTCATAGTCCATCACAGTTGCAACCTCTAATCATCACCGACAATGATCCGTCAGTGCCGCATCCCCTTGCGCCGGTTTAGTACTACTCGTCTTTCATACAACTTATTTGGTGGAGGGAAATCTCCCCAAGATATGCTTGCTCCTTCGGGCAAATCAGAGACTACCGCTAATCCGGTTGATCTCTTCAAGAAGAACGATATCCTCATGTTCTCACAAAAGCCAATCAACTACATTGAATCTGTCAAAAAGGATGGCTATCACCTTGCAAACAGTGTGTTAATCACGTCACCAGACAAGCAGGACCGTGAAATTGGTACCCTTCTTCTAGATACAGAGAGCTTCGAAATCAACCTCTCTGAAGGGGGCTACAGCATCACAAACGGTTTTATCGTGCATTTCGATGAGCTGACACTCCTACTGATATTCGAAAAAGTTCATCCAAAGCCTGAGATTGTGGTCTTCGGTCTCGGCAAGAGATCCAGAGTGCTTTCTGAGCAGAACAAACGATTCATGAGTAACCTTGGCATTCAGTTGGAGCTTGGAGACTCCAAGAACGCTGCAAAGATATTTGACCTATTGGCCACCGAGAGACCTGGTGTTATCGGTGCCTTACTTTTACCACCTAATATTTAGTTTCCTGAATCATATGTGCATAAATTAAACCAGTATTTAACCATCACTGTCCTTTACCATTTAAGTTCTTTTAATGTCTCATTGTCCGTCTAGCCGTATCATTTTCGATAATATTTCAACTTCGGGCTTTACTTGTGTCCCGATTCACCTTCACCAGGTTGCATGACTGGTTCATACTGGTGAAGATGTTGATATAGAAGCGCCATGGGCTCTCTGTTGCTAGGAGATTCCTCGGCTATGAAGGCGTTGTTGTTTATGCTGGAGTGTTGTGGAGTGCTCATCACCATGTTCATCCCCATCTGCGGATTGTGAGACTGATCTGGGTGTCTGAGAGCTTGTTGAGCAGCATGTTGAAGCGTCAAGTGTTTTGGAGGAGGCATTCCATCCTGGTGATTGACGTGCACTTGATGGAAGGAAGAGGTCATCTGGTTGATGGCCTGCGGTGATGCCTTGTCGAAAGAGTTGTCTAAAAGATACTTTCGGTTCGGCGTTGATGCCATGCCTGCGTTATTGAGCTCAAAAGACGTGTGCTCCGTAGATGAGAAGTTGAGGTTTGCGCCTGTTGTGTTTTGTGAGGAGTTAACTCCTAGCATGCTAAATTCTCTTGACGAGTTCATTGTCGAGTTGTAGTCCTGCGACGCTGAGAGCGACGATGACGTGTGCTGAAACGCATAGGTCGGGGGAGGCTGCTGTTGTAGATGCTGGTGCTGTTGAATGGGCGGCAGACCCTGTTTGAACTGATGCTGATGAGCGTCTTGGCGAGTTGGCCTCTGGGATCTTTGGCTCAGCCTTTGAGATCCTGTTCTTTTGGGCTGATTTCTTTCCTGCTGTTGCTTTTTCGACCGCGTTTCTGGCTCCTTCTTCTTTTTGCTGTTCATCAATGTGTGGACGTCAGTGAAGACAATTTGGAACTTGCTGGTACCTGTCTGGTTCTTCTTAGTGTTCTTCTTCGCAGCGGGTTTAGATGCTTCAGCCTTTGGCTTTTGTTTTCTCTCTGAAAAGATGCCCATAACTGGCTCTGAATTGACGGCCGTAGTGCTCTCGACCCGCTCTTTGTTTGGAGTCGGACTAGGAGGCACAATACGCGCCTTGGAGCCATCTTCGTCGGGCAGCTTGTTCACACTCGACATAATTACTGTAGATGGAGAAGACATTTGAGTCGTCTTCGCTGGAGTATGGTAGGCGTTCTTGTTCTTCTTCGAGGCAAGAGGTGTTTGGTTCAAAGGTGTCTTATTCAACAAGTTCCCGCTTGTCTCCTTCAAGACATTCTTTTTTGAAGGGGTGACGAAGTTGTCCTCGTAAGGCTTGTCATCCTGATTCTCGTCCTCATTGTCAGTCTCAGAGTCGTTGTCGACCTGAGAGTCGTACTTCTTGAAAGGGTGTCTGGCAGGAGTATCGATCTGGCCAATGGAACGTTTAGTCGATGTAGCAGCATCCAATGTGGACGACAAGGATTTGCGCTCAGCGCTCATGGCGAACCGAGATGGAGTGATGGTCTCCACAGCCTTCAGCGGAGAAGGTCTCAAAGGAGAATCAATGAAGAAGTCGGTGAGATGCATGCTCTTGTCGTAGAATGGCGTGAAGTTGACGTTACTAGAAGGGTTTCCGGCCGAGTTCTGGTTGTTGAGGAAGTTCAAGTTGTGTGTGAGGAAAGGCGTCAAGTTCAACACGGGAAAATCCATGTCGTTGGACGGGGCGGAGCCACTGGCGGTGGCCTGACGGTAGAAGCCCGGGAGAACCTTTGTGTTGGGCGTAGAATTGTGGGAAATCATCTCCCCAGAAAGTGTCTTCAGCACCAAAGGAGTCCAGCCAGTGGTGGGAGGAGCTGTGGACTGAGCATTCAGAAGAAGCTTGGACGCTGGAGGTAGGGAGTCGTTGCTCTTCTTTTTCTCCAGTGAGCCGCTACTGTCTGGGTACGAGTATATCAACGGATCGATGACCAGGCGAGAAGGCGAGGACATGGTGGACAAGGAGTGTTGTTGTATGTGTTTTGTTTGACGATTGTTATGATTTGGAAACGGTGCGGGTTCCGCAGGAACGTAGCGTGAATGGGGCGGATCGGCAGGGTGCGCCCAGGAGACAGGTCAAGAAATGATGAAGATAAAACGGATGGGATATTTGACTTCGATCTGGAAGAGCAGATGTTGATAGATGATTCTAAGTTTTTTTTTTTTTTTTTGGCGCAGCGAATGTTTTGGTAAGCGCGACGGACGCAAAACGCAAACACCGGAGGCCAGTGAGATACGAGTGAGCAACGATAGTTTCAAGTTACGGAGTGGGGATAATATTTTGAGAGTGGAGGGAGAACGTCCTTTCTCACTCTCTACCCGTATCAAGTCCGTTTTTAAGTTTGATTCTATGGGTTTTTATTTCATGGAGTTGCCCTGCCGGTGGTTGTGGCACGGCAGTGGCTGGGGGAATGGTTGCAAAATGCGGGTCTGCTACACGCTCTGAGATTGTCCTGATTAGACTCTACAGGACAAGAGGTTTCTTATACATTGGTATTGTTTGTCCATTCACTCTGCTGAACAAGTCAACATTTTCTTTTAACCGACATTTTTCACTCGATATAAGCTCCTCTCATCTACCACTTCCACCCCTCATGGTCGCCAATTTCTGCCTTGGCCGCCTCGGTGTGCCTCGGGTGTCTTTGTTTACTGCTTAGTCTGCCTAACATGAGACCCGCCATGCCTTGGGTGCCTCCGCTTGCTGTCGATTCCAACCCCGAGTTTGCTCAGTCGGGCGGCTATTTTTGCAGCAACTCATCACGCCAGGGGTACTTACAAGCAAGGAGGCAATTCTACATTAATTGAACAATGATACACAACATAGTATTAATACAGGCGGGCCGACTCATGAGCGGGCGCCTGGTCTGGTGTCTGAGTAAGGCAAGGTAGGGCATGGGGTACGCTTAAGCGTGGGCCTTCTGCTCCTCCTCCCACTCGTTTTCGGTAACCTTCAAGTTCTCGGTCTCCTCAGCCAATTCATCGGCATCGTAGTCCTCGTGGGCAGCGAAAGACAAGGTTGGCTTGACAACGGCGGTGTCGAAAGTCCAGGCAGCCAAGGCGTTCTCGGCGTCGACAATGATCTGCTTGGAGGCCTCGTAGCCGTCGTAGGCAGGTCTGGTCTCACCTGGGGTGACTGGGGACTCGTCCAACAACTCCAAGAGGGCCTTACCGTAGCCGGCAATCAAGGCGATCTTCTCAGCGTGCTCTCTGGTGGAGTCAAACTGGTAGTTGAAGGCGGTCTTCAACTTCTCTCTGGTGATGTTAGACAACTGGGCCTCGGCAACAAGAGACTCGGCCTCGGCTCTGACCAACTCCTGCTCCAAGACGTTGATCTTTGGGATTGAGGGTCCTTGTACTTCAAGTAGGCAATGTTGTCGGTGATCTTCTGCTTTCTGTCTCTAGAAGGCTGCACGGAACCCTCAATGTCTCTGATGGACTTCAAGGTAATTCTGTACTGGTCGTATCTGTCGATGAACTGGTCCTCCAACTCACCAATCTCGTAAATCAAAACACCCAACTTGTCAGTGATGTCGGAAATGTCGTCGTCGTTGGCCTCACCCCACAAGGACAACTGCTTAGCGGTCTCCTTTCTCTCGTTGGAGGTGATTTCAATGGAACGCATCAAGTTCTTCTCCATCTTGACCAACTGGGCCAACTTTCTCAGCAACTCGGGGCCCCAGGCACCGGCGGTTTGCTTTCTGAAAGAAGAGGAAAGCGAGCCCTTGCCAAAGAACTTGGACTTGGTGGAAGAAGGAGGTGGAGGAGGAGCCTGCAATTGAGCAGCGGTAGGGGCTCTCAGGGATCTCAAGGAGTAGGTTCTGTGCATTGGAGGAAGAAGAAGTAGTTGGGGTGGTGAGAAAAACCAGTGAGGGAGGGAAAAAAATGTGATGGTCCGAAATTGTGATATGACCAGGCGGGCCAAAAAGATAGTACAAACGGCAGCGCCCACCAGATCTGCAATATTATGCCACGGGCAGGGCTTTTAATTTTTTTCTACGTGACGGTTTTACAAAAAATAAAAAATTACTTTGGTTCGTAATTTCGCCGTATTCAACTGGCTTCGATTCTATTCTCCCACGCTATTTTTTTTGCCCCAGCAACCTTCGGTTGCACCCCAGAACTCCTGCCTGAAGCCGCCCGGACTGCCTTATTCTCCATTCTGCAGGACAGCCAGCCACCTTTGTTGCCAACCACAAATGACAACGGGGTTTCTAGAAACAATAAAAAAAAAAAAAGCCCTTTCACAAACCCGCAGTGTCAATCGGCTCGCCCACCGTCCATCCATCGTCCACCGTGGGTAGGTGCTCTAAACTCTGTTTGGGCGCCGCAGACGTATCTGGCAATGTTTTCGCCCAATTAGGAAAGTCGCCTGTCATGGAATGTTTCTGGTGTCAAGCAAACAAGTTACCGCCAGGGCAAGGCTGAGGACGGCTGTTTTCTGGGCTTGTGATTGGCACGCTTTGTCTCGGAAAAAAAAAAAACCTCCTTCCACGCCGTTGGTACCTATGTTTACCTCGGTTTTGCTTGCTCTTATCTGCCGTTTTTCTTCGCTGCGCAAGAATGCTGCAGCAAGCCGCGCTGTCTTAGAAAACAATGTTTCTTTGCCTGGTTGCAACCGAGAGGTGTTTTTGTTGATGGTGTAGTGGGATCATTTTCGTGGATGCTGGGAAGTTCCACGAGCCTGGCCCCTCCATTGTTCTCCGCCTCGTCTCGCCTCGCCCGACTCTTTTTCTTCATTTCTGCCAACGTCTCTATTGTGGCGAGTGTGGCTGCAAAACAACGGCATTCTCGCCTCGACTAGTAACCAATTAGAATAATAGAGCAATCAAGGCTTGGGCTCGTACGGCCCTGGAAATGCCGTTTGACGGGTTGGGTCGATACTTGCCTTCATTCTAAATGTGCTGCATCGACAACAGCCGAGCCACCTGTGAACACATGACCACGGGGTGTGGAGGTAAACACTGAGCCTGTCAAGTTGAGAATTCGTGTTGTTTTTTTTGGTGAGAAGGTACCACCATTTGGCATCCACAGTTTATCCGTTTGGGACAATCGTTTAAACCATCTTCACGGAAGCTCGACTACTGCTTTCCGTGGTTATGATCAACGTCACTAGTCGACTACTCTTTCTTTATGCCGTATGTTTCTGCTTTCCTCTATCCACAGATTGGTCCGGTATGGGCCGGCGTGCCCGAGACCTGACGTCACAATCTTCATCATAAGGTTTGAAAATTTGTAAGGTCGATCATATATGGTCACTGAACGCACGGCCTGCTTCTATTGTGGAGAACTTCAAATGAAATGGGGTATGAACCCGCCAGTACAGGTCTGTCTAGATACGAGCGAGATTTTCACACCATCACCAAAATCACACCCTACGAAGTTTTTGAATTCCAACCACCAGCCTTCTATCTCTTGAAACCAAAATCCTTATCGGACTTTGCTTTTGTGCCACTTTGCCTTCCGACCATAGTGCTGTCACAGAAGCTTCTTCCATGCACCTCGAGCCGCTCCTTTGCCTTCTCTGCGGATCAAGATCTCGCCATCAGGAGACGATTTATGCTCTTAGTGGGAAATCGAGTAAAAAGCCTTCTATCATCACCTCTTCTTCCTTGAATACTCTGCTTTTACAATGCAAGTTTTCGGAAGCTTGTTTCTCCTGTCTCTAGCTGCAACCTGGAAATGCAGAATTTTTCACCTCTGATTCATCGTCTTTCACTAGTCCACTGCATGCCCTTTTTCCGTGCCTACAACAACCTCCTAAAGACCCACCCCTTTAAGACCAACATGGTCTCTACTGGGGTGTTTTTCGGCTTGGGAGACTGTTTGGCCCAGGCCTTGTTCCCACACCATATAGACGACGATGTCAACAAGGGAACCGAGTTCCACTATCAGCGAACCATCCGTGCCAGTATCTACGGCCTGCTTATTTTTGCCCCACTCAGTGTCAAGTGGCACCGTATGACGCTTCCCTACTTGAGGAGTCCGTTTATGCTGGCAGTTAGAAGAGCTCGTCTGACCCCTACTCACATAGATGTGCATGACAACTTGTTCAGACTTGCCCTAGATGCCTTGCTCATGCCTGGACTTGTGTGGATTCCCTTATACAACACAGCCATGTCGGCATTAGCGTTGCATGAGGATCCTTTCAAGGTGGCTACGGACAAGCTTCGAAACAACTGGTGGAACGTGCTTCGGGCAAGTTGGACGGTGTGGACGCCTTTGCAACTTGTGAACTTATTTTTTGTGCCAGTGCATCTAAGGATTGTGCTAGCCAACGTGTGGTCCATTGGCTGGAACTGCTTCTTGAGTTTCGTGCATAACACCAAGGGTCACGGTAAAGGCAGCGGCCTGTTGGTGGAGGAGTTGGTTGACATTGAATCTGCCGACGAGGAGCAGACAATGGTATACGCCTAGGCGTTTGAAGACTTTGGTGTGCCGTTTGATACGACCAGAGCAGGTGTTCTCAAGCTTATAGACATCATAGACTCGCTTGACAGAACTTACATATATATTCAAATTATAGATTAGTGATTGAGAGAGACAGATCAACTAGAATATTTTTCAAAATCGGCCATCGTACCCCAATTTGAAGGAGGATCACTTCAATGTTGCAGCCATTCCTGCGCGGTGCAGACTAGATCCATCGTCATCACCATGCTCTTCCAACTTTACAACCGTATGTTGGTCAGAAGGCCATATGCGACCAATGCCGTGACTACAGCCTTTCTCTTTGGTGCTGGAGATGTGTTGGCGCAAAAAGTCGGGTCGTCGAAGGACTACGACTTCTCCAGAACCGCCAGAGCAGTCATCTACGGTGGTGTGGTGTTTGCACCCTTGGGTGACCAATGGTATAAGTTTCTTGCCAGAACTGTTATTGGCAAGACCAATGTCACTCAAACCGCTGCTCGTGTCGTCGTGGATCAGGGCGTGTTTGCGCCATTCATAGGAATTCCGCTCTACTATCTGGCCATGGGGTTGATGGAAGGTAGAAGTGTGGAGGACACTCAGCAGAAGTTGTCGAGAAACTGGTGGCCTACTTTGGTCTCAAACTGGTCAGTTTGGCCGATTTTTCAGGCAGTCAACTTTGGTTTCGTGCCGGTGGCCTACAGACTCATGGCGGTGAATGTGGTGAGCATAGGCTGGAATTGTTTCTTGCTGATGAAGAACGCCGAGAGCTGAGTGGGTCCAGTGAACTATGTTGAGGATACTGGGCTTTTTAAATTAGCTGGCTTATTGAGCACCGCTACGAGACCAAAGCTGTACCGGGCTATACCGACCAACATCCGTACCAGCGGAATTCACCACACACGGACTACGAACAAGCTGGACTCCCTTTTCAGTCGGATATCTTTATTCGGAGGCCAAACCATCCCTCCACGTCGGCAGATCAGGTACATCTGATGACAAAATACATCTGGAGTGCGATCTAGTGCTCTCCAAACTCAGCATTCTCGAGAGATCCAAAGTACCTTCTAGTGCCACACCCTCTCTCGCATTCTAACTTCAAGTCATCCAGTGTCGCTTCCAAAGCCTAATTGAGGTGGCACTGGCCTGTCTAGACCTTTTCTCGAGGCTCAGACCATCATCATAAAAGACATTGTCAACAAAAAGTTTAGTGAACCAACGGAAAATTAGAGCGTCATTGAACCACTACTACAAACAATAAACACAACCAAAAATCCAATCCACTCCCTCCACATGCGACAAATCGTCTACTCCGCGCGACTGGCCGTTCTGGGTCGGGCCATGAAGCACTGCCTATCTAACCGCGCCCCTTACACTCAAAGATTAATAAATTTTATAGAAGGTCCCAATTTTCAGCCGAAGCCCGTAGTGGCATGTAAACTATTCTGTCCGGCGGTTTTGTGCACCCAGACAGTGCGTGCGTGCTTGTCAACACTCCCGCAAATAATCCTCCAACCTCCAACTTTCTCACCATTCTCGACTTCCTCCACGCTGGCTGTTCGTTTCTAGTACACACAGAAATCCAGACCGCCAGAGTTTTCGCCCCCAGCAATTTTGCCATCGTCAAAACACCTTGCGTTTTTATATACTGTCCAATTCTCCTTGACGCCCGCCTAGGATCCCACCCCCTCGGTCCGGTTGTTTTCTCTCCACACCGCTAACAGAAACGCCGACCCCAACAGCCCATCATGATGAAGGGCTTTAAGAATCGCCTTACGAGGAGCAAGAACCAGTCCTCGAGAAAAAGCGACAAGAAGGAGAAGGAGAAGGACGCGGCGAGCAAAGACCTTTCCCGTAAGTCCCTGCTGTCGTCGCTATCCAACTCCAACAGCCACAAACCAACGAGCTCGTCGTCATCCATCAACTCCGCGGGTTCCAGCAGCCCCAAAAAGGATTTCCTGCCGGCCCCTGACGCCAGCCTGCCTCCTCCGTCGTCCAGAGTAAACCAGGGCGCTGTAGAGCAGTTCAGTGTATCTGCCGCTGGTCCCCTGTCCTCGCTCACACCGGGCGCTGCTGTGCTGCCTCTGACGCCGCCTCCTGCCGGTGCTCTGAGTCCGGAGTCTCCTAAGATTGTGATTAACGAGCCCGTTCAAACTAACCTTGCGAACACCACGCCGATAACCCCAACCCCCAGCTCCCCGATAGCCGGCAGCTCTTATGCCAGTATCCCCCACGATAACCGCTTGGCCAGTCACTCGCAGCAGACGCATCCCACGGCGTTGAATCCGAATATCAGCTCGCCCAACAGAGACTCCTTCGATATTGACCTTATTGTCACGCCTAAGAGACATAGCTCCCTGCGCTTCGAGCCCACGACAAGTGATAACCGTGAGATCGTGAAGCTTCCCAACTTCGACGAGGTGTCTCCTGAGGAGCAAATTTCACTTTTCATCCAAAAGGTTGATCAGTGTAATATTATTTTCGACTTCAGTGATCCCACCCACGATATCCGGGGCAAAGAGTTTAAGCGTGTCACTTTGCAGGAGTTGATACAATTTATCATTGGAAACCGCTTCAACTACACCGATGAGATGTACAAACACGTTATTGATATGTTCAAGAAGAACTTGTTCCGTCCGATTCCGCCCCCAGTCAATCCTGTGGGGGAAATCTACGATCCGGATGAAGATGAGCCTGTAAGTGAGCTTGCCTGGCCACACATGCAGCTGGTCTATGAATTCTTCTTGCGTTTTGTCGAGAGCCCTGACTTCCACCATCAAGTTGCTAAACAGTACATTGATCACGACTTTATCTTGCGAATCTTGGAACTCTTCGATAGTGAAGATCCTAGAGAGCGTGATTGTTTGAAAACTACTTTGCACAGAATCTACGGTAAGTTTTTGAGTTTGCGGTCGTTTATAAGAAAGTCCATCAACAACGTCTTTTTGCAATTTGTTTATGAGACGGAGAGATTCAATGGTATTGGGGAGCTTTTGGAGATTTTGGGCTCCATCATCAATGGTTTCGCTCTACCCTTGAAGGAGGAACACAAAATTTTCTTGATACGAGTCTTGATGCCCCTTCATAAGGTCAAATCCTTGTCCTTGTACCACCCCCAGTTAGCATACTGCATTGTTCAATTCTTGGAGAAAGATCCAACCCTCACCGAGGACGTGATCATGGGCTTATTAAAATTCTGGCCCAAGATCAACTCGCCCAAGGAAGTGATGTTCTTGAATGAGATTGAGGACATCTTCGAAGTTATGGACCCAACAGAGTTTACCAAAATCCAGATACCTCTCTGTGCCCAGTTGCTGAAGTGCATTTCATCTTCGCATTTCCAAGTGAGCGAGAAGGTGTTGAGTTTCTGGCAAAACGACTTCTTCTTGACCCTTGTTTCTGAGAACGCAGAGGTTGTTCTTCCAATCATATTCTCTGCGTTGTATGAATTGACCAACGCTACTCAGCCGGGAAGCGCTAATGGTCAGCTTCAACAGAAGCTTCTTGAGAATCCAAACTCCCTTACTGACGCCAATGGCAACCTTGTCGATACAGGCTTGATGCTCAATGAAAATTATGAGAACAATGGTCACGGTCACCAAATTCATGAGGGAAGTAACATGGAGGAGTCTCAGATGATCAACGACATGACAGATGAAGAGTACTACGATTCCTTCTCAACCCCACAGCAGAACATGGACATGGATGAATACGGAGCCATTCCTCCACATAACCTGGCCACCTCGAATTGGAACAAGACTATCCATCTGCTAGTGTTCAGTGCCTTGAAAGTGTTCATGGACCATAATCCTATACTATACGATCATTGCACGATGCTATACCATCAGTCGCTCGAGGAGCTGAGAGCTCGTGAAGAGAGCAGAAAAGAAGGCTGGAGAAGAATTGAAGAATACGTGAAGAACTGCAAGCAGAATGGCCAGCAGCCTGGCCCCAAAGACTCGCAGGTAAACGCTCATTGATTTGGTGAGATGACAGCATAAGCGTGCAACGCACATTTAACATTGCAAGGCGAACAACGAGAAAAAAAAAAAAAAAAAACTTTTGCAACAATTTTTTTTTTTTCTTACTTCGAACAACGTTCAATAATGTTCGTTATATGTATGTTGGCCACAGTTTGTAGAATACAAGATGATTCTAGCTATGCTGTGTGTTTGTTGGCTCCGGTTGGCAGGCAGGCAGTCTCGATCTCCGCTGAAGACAAGATATAAAACCGCTACACTGATATCTACAAAATTTAGAATTTCAACTAACAAGCAGGGCAATGCTGAGTCGAAGATTGTGTGTAGCAACGTCATTCTTGATCCTTGCAGGCTACAATGTATTACAATGTGTACTCTGCGTGCCTTGGCCTTGCTATAGAGGCTTATTCTTTTTCTTTTTTGAGGTCACCAAGGGACTAGTCGTCTGAGTTGAACTCCGGTAACTCCGCCCAAATGCAATGTCTCATATAATTTCCTTCTTATCTGACATAGATTAGAATCGTTAACCCTAGTGTCTCCGCGGTAGATGCGCGGTGCCTCATCGATTCTGTCGTTTTTTTTTTTTCAATTTTTTTACTAAGATTCGCAGTGGTGGTCCTCTATAAATAAGCAGCCTCATCCTCATCGGTCCTACTTTTTTTTTTTTTTTCTGGCAACACTCTGCCCATCGATCAACACAATGGTTTTGGACCACAAAAACGCTACCGCTCACTTGGCTTCTTACTCTAAAAAAGACGGCTTGGATGTCCAGACTTTGATCGATTCCGCTAACTTTGGTGGTTTGACCTACAATGACTTCTTGGTTTTACCAGGCTTGATCAACTTCCCTGCTTCTGAGGTGAAGTTGGAGTCTAAATTGACCAAGAAGATCACCATGAAGAGCCCCTTCTTGTCTTCCCCTATGGATACCGTCACTGAGGAGAACATGGCTATCCACATGGCTCTCTTGGGTGGTATCGGTATTATTCACCACAACTGCTCTGCCGATGAGCAGGCTGAGATGGTGAGAAAGGTGAAGAAGTTCGAGAACGGTTTCATCAACGACCCCATCGTTATTTCCCCAAATATCACCGTGCGTGACATCAGAAGATTGAAGGAGACCATTGGTTTCTCTTCTTTCCCAGTTACTGGTATGTTTCATTCCCCGCTCCTATGTGTTTCATGATGAACAAAAAATACTGTATAACTTTCGTTCTACCGAATAGCATCAAACGATGTTGGGGACAACCTATCTTTCCCCTGAGAAACACTCAAGTTCAAAAAATTTGTTACTAACATTCAGAAAACGGTAAGCCAGGCGCTAAGCTTTTGGGTATCATCACTTCTCGTGATGTTCAGTTCTTGGATGATGACACTATCAAGGCTGAGGAAATCATGACCAAGGAACTTGTGACCGCTCAGAAGGGTATCACCTTGACTGAGGGTAACAACATCTTGAGGACCTCGAAGAAGGGTAAGTTGCCTATCGTGGATGCTCAGGGTAACTTGGTTGCCTTGATCTCTTTGACTGACTTGCAGAAGAACCAGGACTACCCTGACGCTTCCAAGTCTTTCGACTCTAAGCAGTTGTTGTGTGGTGCCGCCGTTGGTACTATTCCAGCTGACAGAGAGAGATTGGACAAGTTGGTTGAAGCTGGCTTGGATGTGGTTGTGTTGGACTCTTCCAACGGTTCTTCTGTTTTCCAGTTGGACATGATTAAGTGGATCAAGGAGAAGCACCCACACTTGCAGGTCATTGCTGGTAACGTTGTCACCAGAGACCAGGCCGCTTTGTTGATTGAGGCTGGTGCTGATGGTTTGAGAATCGGTATGGGTTCTGGTTCCATCTGTATCACTCAGGAGGTCATGGCCTGTGGTAGACCACAGGGTACCGCTGTTTACAATGTCTGCGAGTTCGCTCACCAATTCGGTGTTCCATGTATCGCCGATGGTGGTATTGGTAACATTGGACACATCACCAAGGCTCTCGCTTTGGGTGCTGACTGTGTTATGATGGGTGGTTTGTTGGCTGGTACCTCCGAGACTCCAGGTGACTACTTCTACCGTGACGGTAAGAGATTGAAGACTTACAGAGGTATGGGTTCTATCGATGCCATGCAGTCTACTGACACCAACGCCAACGCCTCGACTTCTCGTTACTTCTCTGAAGCTGACAAAGTCTTGGTTGCTCAGGGTGTGTCTGGTTCCGTTGTTGACAAGGGTTCGATCACCAAGTTCATTCCTTACTTGTTCAACGGTTTGCAGCACTCTTTGCAAGACATTGGTGTCAATTCTGTCACTGACTTGAAAGAGAAGGTTTACGGTGGTGATGTAAGATTCGAGTTCAGAACCGCCTCGGCTCAATTGGAGGGTGGTGTTCACGGCTTGCACTCTTACGAGAAGAAGTTGCACAACTAAAGATGAGATAGTGTTTTCATAGCCTAAGTCGTCAAAAACTTTTGTATTTATATGGGTAAATTAGAACGATTCAGTCAGGTAAAATACGGCCAGTAGAGAGCGCGAACTCATGATGAGGTGTAGAATTCAATGAGTTACTACACTAGGAAAGAGCCTTCAGCGTCAGGGCAGAATGCCTCAACCAATTTGGATCAAGACTTGCATCTTAGTAGAGATGCCAAGTATAAGAAGTCCGAGGCCGAGGTGAAGCAATGGATATTCACCACCTTAAATGTCGCAGACGACAAGGTCCATGAATTTGAACAGCACAACCAGGATCTCATTGACATCCTTAAGGACGGAGAATATTTATGTAAGCTAGGTGATCTTGCCTATCCAGAAGGCCCAACCAAGAAGTACAAAAACCTGAGAATGCCATTTGTGCAAATGGAGAACATCCTGTTCTTCCTCAAGACTTGCGAATATCTCGAAGTGGCGCATGACGAGATCTTTCAGACAATTGACTTATTCGAGAGAAGTGATCCCTATCAAGTCATTATAACGTTGATAGCGTTTTCGAGGAGGGCGAACGAAGAGAACCCAAAGGTGTCTGTGATTGGACCCAAAGTCGTCCGTGTCAAGCCACAAGTACCCAAGAAGCCAATTGGCCTCAGAAGCTGATACTGAAGCAATTCTTTAAGTCAGATTGGGCTTTTGGCGTAGCATTGGTGGGTACCAAGTACGGGTACCCTTATCAGTCATCGCTAGGAGCGCTCGAGTCAAGTAGCTTTCAAAAAATGCTACAGGTTGTAGAGTGCCATATGAAGATTAATTATTCTGGGCAACTTCCATGTTGAGCTTTGTTGCTTAGAAGATTGGGTGCATAGATTTGCAGCCAACATAGGAATTGCCATTGGAGTCGAATCCAACGAGGAATAAGACTAAAGGTTAAATAACAAAGGAGGCGATTACTTTGCCACTTATTTTAGAAAATGAATTTTTTTTTTTTCAGACGACCATCCATCCACCTGGTGTGTTTACAAGTTGTATGTAGGCTCATCTCAGGATCTATCTTTTTTTTTTTTTTTTTTTTCTGGCTCAGCTCTTCGCATTATTTTAACAGAATCACCTATTGGTTCCACAGCTCATCCCCTTAATATACCTACGCCAACTATAGCTTTTTAGCTTTCAAAGAGATACCTTTAGTTTCTCAGGCTGCATCTTTTCACCCCTCGCATCAAATTTTTAATCAGCATCTATCATGTCATCAGACGAGCTCATCTGGGACGTGATCAATAACCAGTTTTGTGCCTTCAAGATCAAAACAGGCAAAGGTCAGGACTTTTGCAGAAATGAATACAATGTCACGGGTTTGTGTGAACGAGCCTCGTGCCCGTTGGCTAACTCAAGATACGCCACAGTGAAGAACGTGGAGGGTAAATTGTACCTCTACATGAAGACTGCTGAGAGAGCCCACATGCCCAAGAACCTTTGGGAAAGGGTCAGATTGCTGAAAAACTTCGCAAAAGCTATGGAGCAAATCGATGAGAACCTCATTTACTGGAACAAGTTCTTGATTAACAAGTGCAAACAGAGGTTGACCAGGTTGACCCAGGTCGCCATGACAGAAAGAAGACTTGCATTGACTGAAGAGGAGAGACACTACGTGGGAATCAAGCCAAAGATCAAGAGAAGAGAGGAAAACAGAGAAAGAAAGGCTTTGGCCGCTGCCAAGATCGAGAAGAATATCGAGAAGGAGTTGTTGGAGAGATTGAAGAGTGGTGCCTATGGCGACAAACCATTGAATGTGGACGAGAAGATATGGAGGAAAGTCCTCGGAAAGGTCGACGAGGTGGAAGACGAAGAGGAGTTTGATGAAGATGACGATGTCGTGTTGGAGAGTGGTGATGAGGACGACGGAGGAGAGGTTGAGTTTGTTGAGGACGATGGCGATGATGAGTTGGTTGACATGGAGGATCTTGAAAGATGGCTTGGCGACGGGTCCGCCAGCGAGTCCGAGGACGATGATGAAGAAGACGAAGACAAGGAAGACAAGGCTGACAGCTCCAACAAGCGTGCAGCACCACAGGAGAAGGCCGCCAAGAGAAGAAGACCTAAGGTGGAGATTGAGTACGAACAAGAAGACAACCTTCAAACCAACATTGCCGTTTGAGCACCCAGCATACCAAATTAATAGCATAAGACCAATGTACACTAGTCCATGGCTGTGATGTAGCAGGCCTCACGGGGTTCCCATACATGCAGCCAAATGGTTGCAAAATAGCCTACCCACTGTGCGGGACTCCATGGAGCGTGAAGAAAGAATCACCCCGCTATCCTCAAAAAAAATTGAATATATGGCGGTGGGGCGGTAATCCCCGATTCCACCGTTTCCGCCTCCGTATTTCATGTAGTCTCAATCTTGACCGCTTGCATGAGCACGTAACGTTTCTTGCAGTATATTGCCCCACTACAATCACTTTGATACTACCCCTATAGCTGATGAATTTCGAGAGTATCAGCTCGAGGCTACAGTGGACCCCTTCCAGCGGGTACCCAAGCTCGACCACCACTCTAAATTCTATTGCTACTGAAAACATTCCTGATTTGACTCACCTGCTTGCCAACGCTGTTTCTAGCTTGGTCACACAGACCTACCATCTTGATCTCATATCCTTATCTGAGGCAGCCAGAGGTGCACAAGCTTCTTTATCTGCCATCAGTGCCCAGCAGGTCTTGGCAACGGCTACAGAGGAGCTGGTTTTGGCTCAAGCTACCGAAGCGCTTTTTCACGCAACATGGAATTTGAAGGTGTTGAAGGACGAAAGAAACAACTACCACTATGAGCTCAACAGAGGCGGCAACATCTTCTTCTTTGTCATATTTTGCTTGGTCTTCGGATACACCACCGTTATGTTGATTTGGTCCCGGTACCATTGGTACAACATTACCTTCTTTTGTGGCTTCGCTTTGCAGGTATTAGGATTTTTGGGCAGAATTCTTGCATTCTCCGACACTGCCAACCTAGACTACTACTTGTTACAGTTTGTCTCACTCACGCTTTCTCCTGCCTTCATCATGGCAGGAGTGTACTTCCTATTTGCACAAGCAGTCATCCTATACGGAAGATCATACTCGGTTTTGAAACCAATGTGGTACTCATACTTTTTCATCACCACGGATTTCTTGTCTCTTGTTGTGCAAGGCGGAGGGGGTGGTGCAGCTTCAATGGCCACCAAAGAACAAAGAGATCCTTCTCCCGGCACATGGACAATGTTTGGAGGTATATTGTTTCAGGTCGTTGCCATGTCAATCTTCCTTATCTTCTGGTTTGAATTTCTACACCGCTTGTATTACAAAGATGCTTCCCAAATAGAGGTTGATCATCCCATGAAAAAATGGAATCTCACAAACACCTTCAGGTTTCTTTTCAACACAAGATCTGCTCGAGAATATAGAATGGCCTATTTGGAGCCTTTCTATAATCCAAAGTATAAGAATATCCGCGTCCGGCCTTTGGTGCCTTACCTTCCCCTAGCCATGACTACAGCAGTCATCACGATCTACATCAGATGTATTTATAGAGTTGTGGAATTGAAGCAGGGATTCAAGGGTTACCTCATTAAGCATGAAGTATTCCTCATGACGCTCGATGCCACAATGGTCGCCATTGCTGGGCTAATCTTCATTCCTTTCCATCCTGTCAACGTTTTTGGTAAAAAGAATGTTCTTAGATTGGCCACTATTAAGAGAAACAGAGATGAAGAAGACGAAGATATCAAAGAGGCGGGTGTCAACTCCGAGACCACTGAGTTCGAACGAAAAGTAGGGGAAGAATCATCGTGAACCGGGGAAAGGTCACACAAAGTAGATCATCACACTTCAAAGCTTGGATCACATCACATGAGGAAGATCTTTCGGTAAGTTTTTCAGATTCCCTCTCCTGCGACTTCTCATAATGACCTGCTCGGTACTCGTCTCATCAAAGACACCCCCAGATCGCATTCAAAGCTTCCACGTGTTCTATATAGAAAAGACCTATCAATTTTAATTACCTGAGCGAAGACAAATTGTAAAATGAGAAAAGTATATATTTATTCGACCAATTCAAATTGCGAAGGAATGTGCGTCTTTCGCATGAATTTTGGGAAAAGAAGTTGAACTTGTCAGTCTTTGAGAATCAAAATCATATCAGTGAAGGGTATAAATTGAAATTGATAAAGATCTAACCGTTTTTTTTTTTTTTTTGTTGTTGTCTTGATTCTTGAATTTTCCTATTGATCAGAACACAGATCATCATCATCCATCTCCTGGCGGAGTTTTTGGCCCTTCTCCTTGTAGAAGCTATAGATGTCCTCCACAAACAATGGATACAAAAGATCCTTAATCCCTTCATTTCTGGCGATTTCCAAAGCTCGATCATAAGGAATCCAAACCCCTTTTAAATTCATTGAGCCGTTTCGAATAACTCTTCTGCCCTTCTCCACCTTTAGGATTCCATCACGACGACCCCGAGACATTCCAGTGACATTGAGTAATTTTGTCCCGTTAACAAAATCATCTTTTCCTTTTCGAGAAACAACAATCCCATTTGCTTTCACTTGGTAGCACACGGATTTCTCTTCTTCCCAAAAAACAGTAGCCACTAAAGGTTTAATGATCTTCCTGCTCACACGAGAACTATTGGAGCTCACTTTAGTTAGAGAACTAGCTGACCTGAGAGAGGAAGCACTGTGAACATAATTTTGAGACTGATGATCGTAGTTTGATACTGGTGTTTCAGGTAATTGTTCTTGTGTAGGTCGTTTGGCAAAAGGTGTGCTTATAGCTGATGATTTCTCATCAGAGCTCCAAGGACTTTCTTGCTTCACCAGGTTGCAAACACTATTAGAAAAATAACCCTCACTATATGACTCGGGTATTGCATTGGTGAAATCGTATGTCTCAGGCTGAAACGGTGAACCAAGTTCCCCATTATTTGTTGGTGGTACAAAGGAGTTTTCCACTTGGAAATGTCTTATATCTGGAAACTGACTCATCAGCTTTTGAAACAAACTTTCGAAGACCATAGGTTCTCTCGGAATAAAATTCTTAAGGTCTTAGTGGTCCTATGAAACTAAATGGACAATCTCAAAAATTGCAGACTTGCTCAAGTTTTAGCTAGCGAGGGCCGTCTTTATATTCCCAGTGACGATGGAATAAACTGATATAGCAGGAGGAAGAAAAAAGAAAAAAAAGGAAACCCGGCCACGACGATATTTTATAGGTCCCTAACGGGATACATCGGATGCACAAAAGAGGCATCGCTCTATAAAAGTCATGTGTCATGGGATATGAAGCCTGTGGTCCCAGACCATAAGAAAGAACAATCCCAGTAAACAATGATTCTAGGCACGGTGTTAAAGATCGACACACCACTAACGAGATCAATGGATGGGGCTGTGATCGAGCGACAACGCATGCGGGAGGTGCATCTATAGAGATGTGAAGGAGGCCTAGTAGAAGGACAGAGGTCCACAATGAAGAGTGATCCATGGAAAGGAAAAACTAAGGCATACCAACCTTTACTGCCAATCTTATCCAATGAAGTAGAGTGACAAGATCATGCTAGTATCATGTGGACAATTCCCAGATCACCATCTCCGGAAACTATAAAACAGTGAGCGATGTAGAATGAAAGAAGTATGCTTGAATCTAGCCGGCCAGGCCTTCACTGAGCATCTGATATTCCTTTCCGTCCAATGAGTGCTTTAAGCCTGGGGTAGGTACATATCATGGCGCATATTCGAAACCAGGAAGCAACCTTCGGCGGCGGAAACTCGCCGCTCAAATAATATTTGAAAAGAAGACAACGAAGTAGCAAAAAGCATATCTTCACCCGTGTGTTGAAGTAATCAACACTGAAAATCTATCTCCTGAAGAAGGTCAAAAGAGAAAACAGTCAAAAAAGAAAACAGTCAAGAAACAAAACAGTCAAAGAAGAAAACCAGTACGGGAGCTTTTACTTCTATAAGCTTGATTTGATTTTATTAATTTCGATTCATGGATAAAAAACTAAATTTTACAACACTATGGATAAAACAGTTTGAAAAATGAATCATTAATTTTGAATCTGGAAATAAAAACAGTCACAATGAACGAGGCACATGAAGTTGACAATTAAAGCAATAAAAACAGGTCTTGCTTGGGCTTCTAGATTCCCGGACTTGGAAGTCTTTGAAAGGCAGTACTCCAACTTTGCAAAATATCACTGTGCGTTCATCGAATAATAAAATGAGGGTGGCATTGCTTCCTATAGAGATTTGCGATTGAGGATGTGACCTTCGGTACATGTACAGAGAAAGAAAGAGGATTCACGTAACAGACAATGAAAGAGGCGCTTCCGATAAGTACATGGTCTCTACGTGAATAAGTGGGGGAGGACAACACACGGCGAAGGAGAGAATAATTGTAAAAGAGGAGGTCGGGCGTCAAATATTTCAGACTATCTCATTGGTCGGGGATGCCACAAATTATTTCCTTCTGTAGAGTATTAACCATAAAGTTATCTCTCGAACAAGGATAGACCTAGCTTGTACGTTGTTCAGAGTACTTGCAGCGGCCGAATATACCGTCGCAATAGAGGTCTGGATGAGGATGATCAAGATTGAAACACAAACACAAACTATTCTTTCAAAGCTTGAGAGTGAGATACGACCGTAATCATCTGATTCTTCGGTGCATTTGCATAACAAGGGTTCTGATGTGCGCGACATACTATTGATGTACCCATTTTTCCCCGAATCTCATCAGTCATTAACCTGAACAGTCATTTCGACCGTAAGATCATCAAAAATCGTCGGAGGAAATACCATATTCTTTCGCAAAGCCGTTATCTCTCGGTGTTGTCCATTTGAGGAGCTGCTATTGCTGCATCTATTGTTGCGATAAGAGCCGAAATGTCATCGCCAGCTCCCATTCAAAAACCACGAAGGCGTTCGTTTCTAGATCATGGTGGTGCAAACTCGATCAATAACTTTGCATCTTCCTACACGCGTGCCCAGTCCTACGCTGGTCTGTCTTTGTTCGAGGACACTGACCTTCAAGAAGATTTATCCCCTTGCCTGTCTCCAGCACCCCCACCTGATCAATTGGAGTCAGCCATAGGCCTGGGCGGCCATCGGTCAAACAGGACCAGCCAGGGTTATGACCGCATTGATACGTTTGATTTTCCTCGAGGTGATGAGACCACTCCCTTGAATCATAGAGAATCGAGCGTTAGGAGCAGCACTTCAGGCAGCGTCTTTTCATTGCCAGATGGAAACTCCACTGGACCTCAAACTGTTTTTAATTCTGTCAACACACTTATGGGGATTGCGGTATTTTCGCTTTCATTCGGATTCAGGCTTTCGGGATGGGTTCTCGGCCTGATAATCCTCGTTGCTTGCGCAGCCACTACAAATGTTACAGCCAAGGTTCTCGGTGCCGTCTTGAACCGGAATCCTCAACTTCTGACTTACAGTGACATTGCTTACCTATACGGAGGGAGCCGCATGCAGCTTTTTGCAACTATAACATTCACTTTGGATTTGACTGGTGCCGCCCTTTCGTTAATATTGTTGTTTGCCGATTCATTTCATCTCCTTTTACCGGATGTTGATGCACGTGTTTTCAAGGTGATCATTGTGTTGATTACTCTCTTTATGAGCTTCATGCCGCTCACAGTGTTGTCGATGGTTAGTTTGACTGGTATTATGAGCACCATGAGCATTCTCGTCCTTGCCATCATCAGTGGTCTTATTGTGAAAAAAGGGGAGGAAGGCTCTCTCTTGGATCCATCATCCACTAGCCTCTGGCCAAGTTCATTGTTGGAGGTCTTGCTAAGTATTGGTATATTCATGGCTCCGTGGGGTGGACATCCAGTTTTTCCCGAACTTTATAAAGACATGAGACATCCAAAGAAGTACAACAGTTGCTGCAACATCACTTTTTTGTCTTGCTTGAACATGGACTTTTTGGTCGCTGTCGTGGGCTACCTCATGTTTGGCAACAAGGTTAAAGATTCTCTAACAAAGAGCTTGATGGGCAACACAAGCCTACCGTCCTTCATCAACCCATTGCTTTGCGTATTCTTGGGATTACTCCCAATATCAAAATTATCACTTGTGGTTCGTCCAATCATCTCTGTCTACGAGAAGCATTTCCACATGAATGATTCTAGCGTGTTAACATACAAGGACGGTAAGAGATACCACCCTATCACCATAAAGAAGGTGTTGGCTAGAATACTATTCTTGGGACTACTCTTCATACTGTCTTTGGTATTCACATCATTCGGAAAAGTCGTGGCGTTTTTGGGAAGTGCAATCTGCTGCACAATCTGCATCAGTTTACCCTTGATGTTTTACCTTAAATTCTTTGCCGACGAGTTGTCAGGTGCGCAAAAGATCTTTATACGGGTTGGCATTGTTATAGGATTTGCAGGAGCAATCCTTGGAACATACGCATCCTTCGTTTATGAGACGACTTGATGATGGTCGGCCCGCCTTGTTTCAAGGCTCAGGACACACCAACTTACAGCCTACAGACAGTACGTATCATCGTAGAGTGTGAACAGTCTCGACCTCGCTCACATCAATATTTATTATATTTAATTTTTGCAATTGAACCTAATTGTCAATGTTTTTGTTCTCAGTTTCATTTTTGCGAGCACCCTTTTTTTGTGTCCGCTTCGACAGGTACTCTCTCATTTCTTCAGGTGTAACATCATTAGCTAAGATGCTTGTTGCATAAATAAAATTGTCATGTTGCGACTTCGCCAAGTACTGAGCCATAACTTGGGAGCCCGAGAATGAGGAATGGCTGCGATTGGCCGAAGGCATCGTACTTCCAGAGTACGAATTGTGATGGACAAGTTGCGGCATCGAGCCATTCATGGAGCCACCATAAAAGCTGTTCGACCTTGAAGAGCCTGGAATGGACGGTGGATGATAAGGGCCCATATACATTGGCTGAGGCATGGGGCTGAATGCTGGAGGGTGGTAGCCCAGGTAATTTCTGTGGCTGGAATTGAGGGACAAGGTCGAAGAGTTTTTTGATGCATACCAATGCTGCTGCGAGTAAGCATCACTATGGTCGCGATAGCCTGATTTGCTAAAGCGCCTTTGCTTGGGAGGCGTGATGTTTTTGTTAGAAGATGTCGTCACATCCGATCCGATAATGATCGATATGTCATCGTCATCTTCGTCATCGTCTTCTTCATTTGCATCCGCCACACCATTGTTGTCTTTTTCGCTGGCGCCATCAGGCTTTGTCTCAGACTTTAAGCCTCCATTTACGCCGTTGCTTGCTGCAGGCTCTGGCTGGGATGCCACAACGTCTTTGGCGAGACCTTCGGGTTCGTCATCAGAATCCACAGATGCTGCAGACTTTCTTGGAGGAGATGTACTAATACCAAAAACCATTGCTGCCTCCTCTGTGATCAATGAGTCGTCTTCAACCGACGGTTTCTCTTTCAGTGTCAATGGACTTCCTTCGCGTGATTCCCTCTCATGCCCATTCTCTGTTCTTGAAAGATCAAATTCACTTGGGTTGAAATACTCGAAGCTAGTGTTCTTTTTCTTGAAGCTGAATTTTGGTGGATTACCGCATCTGTCCTTACCAAAACTGATCTTGAAATTCTTATACTTCTCATAGAATTCCCCGTTGTCACCAACGATTGCCTTGATCTTGGTAACATTGTGCGTTTCCATCAACTCGACAAGACGAATCGCATTTGTTATATTCGTGAAGTTGATGAAACCGCAGTCCTTATTGTGGTAAAAGTTAATTTGCTCCAAATCACCAAAGTTCGAGAAATCTTGGCGCAATGTCTGCTCATCAGGAAGCTGAAGCAGTTCATCAGATCCGCTCTTTGCGCCCTTTACACCGATATAGACGTTACGAGAAGCGCCAGCTGTAACAGCCAAAGAAATATCTCTGCTTACGGGACCAGAATGATTCTTGCCCCAACTGACTTTAACATCGTTCCCATGAATGATCAATTGGTGTAACACTTGGTGATTAAGGTAGAATTTGAGAGCAACAGCGGGATCAACAAAGGTGATGAAACACATGCGCTTTGCTTTGATGAAGTTGATGCTTTCCACGAGACCACCTGCCCTAACGTTATTAGCAATCTCTTCAATCTGAGTATATGGGTGCAAATTACCCAAGAATATCGTTCTATTGCCCACATTGAATGGATCTGGGTTGTACTGATAAGGATGAACGTGGTTCACAGGAAGAGAGTTTGGCGGCATGGGTGGGGATACATGGGGTGAGCCAGTTGCATCAGCGTATCGGAAATGTTAGGAGCATACGGATAGTGATGTTTCCCGTTGAGGTGACTAGGCAGTAGAGGTACTCCTGCTGGCGAAGGGGTGTGACTATCCACCGCGCTGACACTTTCCAATGAGGCACTGTCATCTTTACCGACAATTACCCCCTCAACAACAGAGCCCAAATTGGGTTCATCCTTGCTGAGCTCAGTCTCAGTTGTCAAGACAGGGACCATGTTATCCGATGAGTGCTGAGGGCTTGATAGAGGACTCACAACAGCTGGGTTATCGATATCGGTGAATCCCTCTGCGGGCGACTCTTCATGCTCGGGAATGTTTTGGATCATGCTATTGAGGGGACGCTTACCGACCTTAGGAGAGGACGACAAAGACGCTTGTGAGCCATTTGTTGGGGCCTGGGGAAATGAGACGTCAGCGAGTGAGGCGATGGTTGTAGTTCTGTGCGGTCGCAACGGTCACGGTGGAATTTGACGAGTAAGCACTTTGTGGCCATCTTTTCGGAACCGCCAAGATCAAGTTGGCGAGCATGGTCACGGCGGACCTGCTTAGAGTAATGTTCGTAGACCTTGATAGCAGCATCAATAGACGTGAAGTGGACAAGAAGCTTGACGGTAAGATTTGGTTCGCTTGTGGAAGACTTGAAATCTTCAATAACGCCAAACTTAGCGCACTGGGCGCGGAACTTCTCTTTGGTAGGAACGAAAAGATCAGGCGACGCAGTTTCGAACTTAATGGTGATGCATCGTGTAGCGTTGTACTCCAAAATGTAGTTGAGTGTCTTAAGCTTGATGAAATCCTGCTTGGAAAGATTGTTCAGACCCACCGGGGGCTGCGCGTTGAGGGACATGGAAGAGCAAGGTTCGTTGAGCAGAAGCTTCATGTACTTGGAACCCTTGAGACGTTCCTTGAGAGAGCGCAAGTTTTGGGTGCTTTTCGTGTACTTGTGGAAGAAAGCCACGGAGACCTTGGTGTTGACGAAGGAGATGTAGCAAGTCTTGACCTCCTCCACGTCTTTAATGTGAGCAGGGGGAGTCGACACAAACATCTTACAGTACTCGATAGGACCGTGGTCGATCTCGGACAAGAGCTCGTTGAGCGAGAGGTCGGCGCTAAGGTTTTTGAGGATCACCGTGCGAGAAAGATTGAGGTGGTCCAAGCCCAGCTTTGCGTGGGGGTGGGTCAAGTAGGGCACGATGGGCAGCAGCAGCAGTTGCATATTCCGCTGGTGGTAGGCGTGCTGGCCCTGGGGCAGCTGAGGCTGGGACGGGAAGTAGGACAGGCGACCGATATAAGGGGGTGTCTGAAGCAAATTCGCTGGAAGCATCAGCAGGTAGTAAGGGCTTTCAGGCGGGTAGGAAAGGCCGTGTTGTAGATGGGCGGCTGGCAGCAGGACGTAGCCCTGGAACGGGGAGCTTTGTAGGTTTGGGTCTGAGTAGAGGTAGCCCGAGTACATAGCGAGTGTTCTTTTGTTTTGGAAATTAAAAAAAAAAAAGGGCGTTTAGCGACGGTGGGGGTTAACAGCGGCAGTCGGGGTGCCTTTGCTAGGATAAGTGTTTGTTTGCGGTGGTTGTGGGCGGTGCAAGGGGACGGGTTGCTTTTTTTAGTAGTTGTAGGGAGTTATGTATTTTCGAGGTTGGCGATCTCAGAAAAAGTGGTGAGAACGGGCCAATGTGGAGAACGGCGAGCCAGAACGAGGGAGGACGAGCGGGAGGCACGAGGCGAGTTGAAAAAAAAAAAAAAAAAAAATAAATTAAATAGATATCGCCAGCAGTCAGTAGATCTGATGAAAAAAACGAACTTTCTCCAGAAAACGAAAAGAACGGTGAATGTTGATGGGTATGAGCCGCGTCGAGCAAGGAAAAACCCAGCACCGACTGGGAAAAAGCGGCGGCCCTGGCACCAGTGTGCAGCGGAAGATGCAGCACCGGGCCCGCACGGGAGACAGGCGCTGGGCAGAAAGGGTGTCTCAGGCCCAACTCGGCGCGCAGCTCGAGGCACCGTGTATGCTTGCTGAAGCACCAGGCTGAGGACGGCTTTAGGGAGGCGGTAGAGGCAGAGGTGGAGGGGCAAGACGTTGCAAAAGAGAGTTGGCTGGCGGCGGCTGGCGGTGACGCTGGTGCCGGTTTAGCGGCTGTTTTAGCAGAATTGGCGGTGGTGGCAGCTACAATATGGGACTGGAGGAAACTTTGGGCGGTGGGGCCTCAGGCGATGGCTGGGCGGTTGCGAACGGTGGTCCAGTACGGCTGGGCTCAGGCGGGCCAGGGGTGCTAGGATCTTCTGTCGCGTGGGCTGGCGCCTGCAAACGGATAATTGGGCGGACGTGGAAGGAATTAGGTTTTGGGGTGTCTGGGTTTGTCGGGGTGTGGTGAACGGAAGTTTTGTAGAGCTTTGTGGAGACCTTGTGGACGGTTCTTGGGAGGTTTAAAGAGGGTATGTGGTGAGGCCCTGGTGGGTCGAGAAGTGGCCCGTGGACCACGCACTGTGTTGGCCCAGGTGGACACAAAACAACCACTGCTTCAGTCGACGGACATATAACCCCGGTTTCCGTCGATTCGCTGACATTATTTTTCCAAATCCAATATTCAGATCGCCTCGGTGGCTGGCCATGGTGCCTGGTGGGTTGGCTGCGAAAAAGTAAGCCACAGGCTGGGGCCGCAAACCGTCCTGCGGGAACATCCAATCGGGAGATAGGGGCAAACCCGCAGGGTGCCCTGTTTGGCAGCCACAAGCGGCCATCAATAAAATGAACCAATTTCTTCCGAGACTTTTTGTTTGGATATTTAACTCGATGTCGTTGGAATTCTACATTTTTCAAAAAGCACCCCTGCCGAAGGGGCTGTCCGCGTGGTTCAAGGAGTTCCCAGCATTCCACGCCAGGCAGCTCGCTTTGCAACAATGGCCATGGTCGGACGAGGTGAAGCCACTGGTTCTTCCAGCGTCGTGATTCTTGACGAGTTAGGCACGACTGGAGCGTGCGACGTGCCGGTTTTTTTTTTTCTTCTGTGAAATTGGTGTTTCCAGCAATCCACGCACGGCTGCCTATTTGACCAATTCTTTACTCCCAGGCCAAGGCCTCTGTGGCCGGATTGCAAACGAACGATAATTGCGAAAAACGTGCGTGGAAAGGTGCCTGGAGCCGCACTCTGCCCACCCTGCCAGATCAGGCAATAGTCTTGATATTCATACCGAACCTTGGGGACCCCACTCCGCACTGGCCTACCAACGAAACCCACCACCCACTAGTCGTAAACTACGAGATCGGTGCTGGGTGGGTCAGAAATAGCAACGGGATCCGCCAGATCAAGTCACGTGACCAGTAACACGTGACGAAGATTGTCATTTCGGTCAACTTGACCGTGTCTGTCTAGCGGAGCAGAGATTCTCATCTTGTTTTCTCTTCCCTCAATTTCTACCTTGGTCTATTTCTTGTCTGCCACCCCTCGAGGCTCTCGCATCGTCATCACCACCATCCAATCGACTCCTCTTTAAGGTGGAAGAGAGCGCAGCCTGCAGGTCATCGCACACAGGTTTTTTCGACCCTGTTCCCTTGTTTTCTTTCTCTTTTCTCTTCTTCCCACTCGATTCTCTTCACGAAACGGATCAATCCATCCTCGCGCTCGTCAGAATCACATCATCCAGATAAAATGGCTACTCAAGAGGTCCCCACTTTCAAGTTGGTGCTCGTCGGTGACGGTGGTACTGGTAAAACCACCTTCGTCAAGAGACACTTGACCGGTGAGTTTGAGAAAAAGTACATTGCTACCTTGGGTGTCGAAGTCCACCCATTGGGCTTCCACACCAACTACGGTGAGTTGAAGTTCGACGTGTGGGACACTGCGGGTCAGGAAAAGTTCGGTGGCTTGAGAGACGGTTACTACATCAACGGCCAGTGTGGTATCATCATGTTTGACGTTACCTCTAGAATCACCTATAAGAACGTTCCAAACTGGCACAGAGACTTGGTCAGAGTCTGTGAGAACATCCCAATCGTCTTGTGTGGTAACAAGGTCGATGTCAAGGAGCGTAAGGTGAAGGCCAGAACCATCACCTTCCACAGAAAGAAGAACTTGCAGTACTACGACATCTCCGCCAAGTCCAACTACAACTTCGAGAAGCCTTTCCTTTGGTTGGCCAGAAAGTTGGTTGGTAACCCTCAATTGGAGTTCGTCGCCTCCCCAGCCTTGGCTCCTCCTGAGGTCCAGGTTGACGCCGACTTGATGCAGAAATACCAGCAGGAGATGGAGCAGGCCACTGCCTTGCCATTGCCTGATGAGGATGATGCCGACTTGTAAGTATAGCCGCAGCCTTAATAAACGTCGGTCCAGTATTGTTACAAAAGTAATGGCCCAGTGCCGTGTGTGTGTAAGATTTATGAAAAATAGACAGATTCTATAAACTGGGTGCTTCCCGTGCCATGTGCACTGCAATAGCCTTTTGATCTTCTTCAGCGTATCGAAGAACTGATGGTGGTAATGTCTCTCCTGCTGGCACTGGCGGAGGCGGAAGACACAAAGGTTCATCTTCCTCTATAGGTTTGCCGGTTCTTTCCAGTTCTTCTTTTCGAAGTTTGTACTTTATGAAGTTCGCTCGTGAAGGCATCCTGCTGTATATATAATCTAGATCGATATCGTATTGGTTTTCACTGAGATCCCAGATGCCTAGCTGCTTGGCCTTCTCTTCATAATATGCACAGTATTTCTTGATGTGTGTCTTTCCTTGTAGATGTGATTTTCTGACACTCATAGTGTCATGCGTAAGATAAATCTTACAATAGTCACAATAGTATTTTGGCATGTTGTTGGTGTATTAATGATGATGCTGTAGTTACTGGGGTTGTTTGAATAGGACTCAAATGCAGGCACGATGGTTGCAAAATTGAAATCGATCAACCTAACACAATGAATGAACACTTTTATGCGATACCAAAATCAGACCAATCAAGACTTTAAGTCTGTGAATGTTTGAGCCTTTTTTCTGTAAATAATTGTGCCACTGCTTATACATTATTCATGCTGCTTAGGGGTGACTACCTCGCCTACAGAAGAGCTCATGACTCGCCAGCTACACAGTTCCATAGCTTGATTTGGCTTTTGGTATACCACGCTTTTTAGTTTAAATCAAAGCACTTTGAATACCTTTGATGGTTTCTTTCCAGTATTTAGTCACGTGCCCGACTTTGCCATACTCGACCAATAAAATTCACGGCACATCTTTTGAGGCCTTTCGGTGCGCACACGTACCCGAGACTCGGTGAAGATTGAGTAGTACTTTCAAGCCAAACGCACTTAGAACTCGTATACAACTAGCATATATCACCATGTTCAAGCAATCGATCGTATGTTTATTCAGATTGACCATTCAAAATTGCAGGAGACTTTATTTCGAACCGCTAATTCCGGACAATTCGTTGACATTTTCCAATATTCAGAACATAGAATTTTCCGACACCATGGCCAATCCATCCCCGCTACAAAGATTAGAGAAAGCAAATCCGTGTTCACAGAACAATTTCCACTCAATTCCCATTCCGAAAGCTCCGCATTTGGCTGGTCATCTCGGTTCTTCACCATAGTTTTTCGATGACCCGAACATCAACACTTCTCCAAGTTTCGAATCATGTACTAACATTTAGCGTGCTGTGTCTTCCAGAAGATTGTTGTCTGTTACCCCAAGAGCTCACAATGCTGTGAGCGAGTTGTACATTCAGCAGATCAAGCAGTTCAAGCCCACTCCTGTGAATGCTGACTCTGAGGGTATCAAGCACTTTCAGTTGCCAAGCAAGCCATCGATTCCTTCTGACGAGGTTTCTGCTGACGCTGTGAACGCTTACGAGTCTTCTGAGGTCGAGACCGAGTCTGCTCCTGCTGCTGGTTCTGTTCCAGCTGGTGAGGAGGACTGGTTCGTGTTCCCAGAGGAGGGAGAACACCACTAAGCATAGCAAGGCGGCTTCGGCGGCATTGTGGCCATATGTTCTTACGAATAAAACTAGTTTCATGAATAGAGTTCACTCACTAGCTTGCTCAGGCGATGCCAGACGGAGCGAGTTTTTGTCTCGGCATCAATAAACAAAAGATGAAAACCATTGTAGAATTGAAGGGAAGCCCTTTTAATAAACGCTTCAGCCGAACGATGGCTAGCTATCATTTTGCATGGTTGTGAAACAATCGTTAGGTATGGTTGCAAATCGCATCGAAAAAAGCTATGGGGAAGTGAGTATCAAAACAATAACATCATCAGTGTTAGTACAACCAGTCCTTTTTAATTTTATGTCCGAAGCACGAAACATCGAGCCGATTGAGAGTGCCTCAGAGCTCCTCAATACAACACTTCGCTCGAAAGGTTATATCAAAGAGACACTCAGATTCCCCAGTATAGATTGGAATGATCTCATCCGAGACCAACCTGACCGCAAAGCCCTCCGTAATCTTGAGGTCACGGACACCATTTTTGACAATGACAAAAACATCATCAACATTATTTATTCACTTCTTAGAGCAATTGACCGACACAATGATCAGCAGAAAGCGTTGTACCACAGTTTAAGTGTGAAGAACAAGACAATCGAGGAACTTGAGAAGAAGGTGGAACATCTAGAATCTGTCAATAAGACGCAAGAGAAAAAACTTGACCGGTTGGTGCTGGTGGATCAGACGCTAGCAGAGAAACGTAACACTGAGTTGATGAGGACGATAAGGAAACAGAGTACCGAGTTGGCTCGTCTCAAAAGCTGGACTGGCGAGATTCAAACAAAATATGACATTGAGGTGAGGAAGAGAAATATCGAGATTTCACAACTTAAAGATAAGGTGTTGGATCTGAGGGATTTATCCTACCGCTTATCGTATGGAAGAGCTGCACCATCGTCGACCAGAGCCCTACGGGAGATCAACCCAAGCGTTCTTCACAACAACATACACACGATTGACAATGACGTGCTACCGAATAGTGAACCCGATCAAAACCAAGCAAACGCTCTCAAATCTGAATATGACGAAATGACGAACCAACTCTCAGAGCTAAGCGAAAACTTGATCAAAGAAAACTCTAAGTATGCTCATTTCGTCGAAGAGCTTAATACCTACTTTGACAAGCTCAACCTCCAATTATCAACACTGAACTACAAGAATCTACCGAATGAGCATCTCGTCAATCCCTCGGACGAGATTGACTTGGCTCGTATCCTCGAGGCTACAAACACTGAAGTTGATCCATTTGATCATGTATCAAGCCCCTTGTTGTCGAACGTATACAAGAACAACCACTACGTTTCCGCTTTAGTCGAGTTAGCAGTCACAGGTGGTCGCCTGTCCAAAAAGAACGAGGAGGACGAGATCGAAAGATTAAGAATTGAAAATGCACAGTTGTATGAGAACTTGGACGAAGCAGTGCAAACACTTGAAAGATGGCAAAAATATGCGCCAGAAAAGAGCTGAATCATTCATCCTGTTTAGAAATAGACTCCAGCTGGTGCATCCCCTTCGTATGTTCACAGAGATCTGCCATGGTCTCTTCACTGGATATGTAAAGCTCGTCAGGCTCATGAAACTCTAAGCTATCATGGTATAGTACTTCGTCGGATTCGGTAGACTCATGGTTGAGAAAATTGCTCTCCAAAGTCACGCATGAGATCGGAAAATCTCTTACCATCTGATACTTCGAGGTCTCGTCAGATCTATATTTGAGTTGAACTATGCCTGTGGCTTTGTCATGATGCAAGTATGTTCTGAAGAGGGCACCAGAGCACCATATATGCGGATAGTTAGGGTCCTCTAATTCCAAAACTTCAGGCTCAATTGTAGGACAGGGTGAGATAAGACCAGCTTCCTTGAGATCTCTTTCTGTGCTGATCTGTCTATCCAATGCAGCTCGGTATGACAAGTCTGAGGTTCGTTGGTAGGAGGATCTATGGCAAGAATGATACAAGCTTGACCTGTCGTCGACATTATCCATGACTTGATTCTTCACAAAGAATTTTACCACCTTCAAAATCTGCCCCGGTTCCAAGGACTCGAACTCGAGGTTACGTTTTGTCCCAGTGAAGGGAGTCTTCACTATCACCATACTTCCCACCTTGATGACGCCAGAAGAGTGCTGGTCTCTTATTTCCGTGACAGCTTTTGGCCCGTTGAGCACCTCCTGAGCCATATTCTGAACAACAAGCGAGCGGTCGTATAATGAAAAGTAATGGGCATAGACGCTTCTTGCGTTCTTGTCAATTTGGTTCAGAGTCGAAATGCTGCAGCCACAATAATTGACGAGCTTGATCGCCGAAAGTCGATCAACCCTTCTGCCCGTAAGATTCATTCTCTCATATCTTTGTTCATCATCTCCAAGCCCATCAGTCTGTCTATCGAAACTCTCCAACTCAATGGGGTCGAACTCGAGAACAGTCAGGCCCAAATCGGGCTCCTGCTCGAGGGGGTTTCGTGCTGGCCGACCTCATCCGTTGTCTCTGAAAACTCCTTCAGTGACTGTTTCTTCCCATTGAGTGCCAATTCGAGATCTCTAAAGTCGATTTCAGACTGATCTGATCTGAGACGGACGACACAGCACTTGACAACAACAACGGCAACAAGGAAAAAAACAAAAACGACAGCACTAGCAGTCCCAGCTACAGCAATTCCAACGGCACTGGAAAGCTTCATCTTCTGACTGTGGAAAGCTGGATATTAACCATCGGCATGATGCGGGTCTATATATGGTGGCTGCGAAAAGCCCTATGATCCGCCAGGAGGCGTATATGAAACTAGGTGAGACATGAGGCCTATACGGCAGCGCAAAGGGGTTGATTTTGAAACAACCCTCATTTCATGCTCCGTTTATTGTTATTTCGATTCGGGTTGCCAAGCATTATTGTTTCTGATCATTGGTCGTTGCAATGGTGGAGAATAAAAAGACTGGTGGGTTCCAGGTAGATGCGGCTCATCGCTGGCCGAGTATACATAAACAGTGCACAAAACAGGAGGAGCCGGTTGGTTTATTATATAGCTTTGAAGAGAGGTATACAGCTTTGAAGAGGAAAGTGGCTGAAGTAATTGGTCATATGGGATTTTAGGATTGCCACATGTGTGTGAATTGATGTGACAGTTCGCTTTGCTTGTTCGACCGCGACAGCTAAAGCAGATTCAGAGAGACTTCACCACTTGAAGTTTGTGGAATTCATTAATTCTCCAGCTGCAATATTACAGTCTAGACGACGAACATAGCTTTGAGGCTCTAAAAGAGATCTTATGACTCAGATCAATTATTACATGAAAAAACCATGGAGAATCTCAAAAAGTCTCGACAATTCTGTCTGAAATTCTAAAATTTCAGTCTATTCCCCAGAAGGGATGCCTTTATATCCTACTAAAACATCTATCGCACTTACATGAGACGCCGTAGAAATACGCATCACCACATACAAAAGAGGCATTTGAAAAGAGAAAAGAGCAAGATCTTTCTCGAAAGCCTCGAGAAAAACCTTCTTATTTCATCCTATCTTTCAGCAAATAGGCATCATCCAATTCAATTCACACCATTTGAGGACTCCAGGTGTCCTGCCTGCGGCTAGTGATTTACGCGTCTCATTAATATTCCCGTTTCGGCGCGCCATCTTCACCGTGCACCTACTATTTTTCTTTCAATCGTTACCAGCTTTCTTCCCCAATGTCGTACCTGAGGGCAGAAATTTACTCGGCTCAGGTCTTACCGGGCGAGCAGCCCGAGGATAACTCGTTTAACGAAATCACGAAAGCGTTCCGGTCTTTCATTATGGAGTTTCGCCTCAACAACTCCTTCATCTACAGAGACCAATTGAGAGAGAACTTGCTCATCAACAACTTCTACCTCAAGGTTAACTCAGAACACTTGATCGGATTCAATGAGGAGCTCAACAAAAAGCTTTCTGATGAGCCCAGTGAAATGGTGCCACTTTTCGAAAACGCCATCACCGACATCGCCAAGAGAATCGCTTTCCTATCCAACGACGAGGTCCCCCGTGATTTCCCACACTGTCAGTTGATCTTGTACTCGAACTCATCCACCATTTCCATCAGAAACTTGGATTCCGACCACATCTCAAAGATTGTGAGAGTAAGCGGTATCATCATCTCGGCCTCAGTGCTCTCCTCCAGAGCCACCAACGTCCAATTGGTTTGCCGTAACTGTAAGCATACATTGAAGATCAAGGTTGGCTCTGGCTTCGGCCCATTGAACCTCCCCTCAAAATGTTTGGCTACTCACAACCACGACGAGTCCATGTCGCAGCAAAAGTGTCCTCCTGACCCATACGTCGTTGTGCATGACAAGTCCACTTTCATTGACCAACAAGTCTTGAAGTTGCAGGAGGCCCCGACGCTGTTCCCGTCGGTGAGATGCCTCGTCATATTTTGGTCCAGGTTGATCGTTACTTAACCAACCAAGTTGTGCCTGGTACGCGTGTTACCTTGGTCGGGACTTACTCCATTTACCAGTCCAAACAAAGATCTTCGGGCTCCTCCAACACAGTTGCCATCAGAAATCCGTATTTGAAAGTATTGGGAATTCAAACTGACGTCGATACTGCCGCCCAGGGTCTTTCCTTTACCGAGGAAGAAGAAGAGGAGTTCCTTCGTATCTCTCGTTTACCAAACTTGTACGAGGTATTCTCTCGTTCCATTGCTCCCTCTATTTATGGAAACAACGATATTAAGAAGGCCATTACTTGTTTGTTGATGGGTGGTTCGAAGAAGATCTTGCCTGATGGCATGAGATTACGTGGTGACATCAATGTCTTGCTCCTAGGTGACCCTGGTACTGCGAAGTCTCAGTTATTGAAATTCGTCGAAAAGATTTCTCCTATTGCCGTCTACACTTCTGGTAAAGGTTCTTCTGCCGCTGGTTTGACGGCTTCGGTTCAAAGAGACAGTCAGACCAGAGACTTCTACTTGGAGGGTGGTGCCATGGTTCTAGCAGATGGTGGTGTCGTGTGTATCGATGAGTTTGACAAGATGAGAGATGAAGATAGAGTCGCTATTCACGAAGCCATGGAACAGCAAACCATCTCTATCGCTAAAGCTGGTATCACCACGGTGCTTAATTCGAGAACGTCCGTTTTAGCCGCTGCAAACCCTATTTTTGGTCGTTACGATGACTTGAAAAGTCCCGGCGAAAACATTGATTTCCAAACTACAATTCTTTCTCGTTTTGATATGATCTTTATTGTGAAGGATGACCACAATGAATCCAGAGACAAGCTGATTGCTCAGCACGTTATGAATGTTCACACTGGAAACAGCAACAACAACGACAACCAGGAGGGCGAGATTCCTATTGACACAATGAAACGTTACATTCAATATGTGAAGACAAAGTGTGCCCAAGACTTAGTCCTGAAGCGCTGGAGAAATTGCTGTCGCATTTCGTGGCCATCAGACGTCGTTTGCAAGTCAATGAAGCCGATATGAATGAAAGATCCTCAATTCCAATTACAGTTCGTCAATTGGAGGCCATCATCCGTATCACTGAATCTTTAGCCAAGCTTACCTTGCTGCCAGTCGCCACACTGGACCATGTCGATGAGGCAATCCGCTTGTTCACTGCATCCACGATGAACGCCGTGGATCAGGGTATTCAAAGCGGTAACTTAATGGCTTCGGGCAAGTTTGCCGAGGAGATCAAGATCGTTGAGCACGAATTGAGGAGAAGATTGCCAATTGGCTGGTCCACGGCTTACAGAACTCTTCGTAGAGAGATTGTTGATGCTGGAAGAGCTACGCCCGAAGCTTTGGACAAGGCTCTACATATTATGGAGAGACACGAGGTGATCCGTTTCCGTCACCAGAGACAGAATATCTTGCGTGTGGGTGTCTAACGGTTGTAATTTGTATGTTGTAATTTAATAAAGGGATAATATAAATCACGAGGACAGCTGTTGAATCTGATTTTTAATCGACTTATCCTAATTCGAAAAATTAAACCAATTCGAAAATCAGTTGGCTAAGTATGTGCCTCTTTGTTAAGTAGTGCACGTATGGAGCTCTATGCGTGAAGTTCTTCCTCAGTGCACCTCGTTGATTTCACATTAACTATGACCGACTTTCTAAAGTATGTACGAACTGAATAAAGAATAAGGCCATTCTAACATCAGACCTAAAGAGACAAACCCACGTGGTATCCCCAAAGCACCTTTCATTGAGAAGGTTGAAGCTGTTGTCACCGATCCTTCCAACTATGAGACGATCTTCAGCGCTTTCTCTGATAGATTACAGCAATACAAATACATGGAGCTTTCCAAGAAGCAGCAACTCGCAGACCTCAACATAAAAATTCCTGATGCTGAGAAGAACCTACAAGTGATTGACCTTCTCAAACAAAAGAAGGAAAATGAAGAAGAAGACGACGACAAAGACAATGCCATCGAAACAAACTACGAATTGGACAGCACGCTATACACAAAAGCTACAATTGATGCCAAAAATCTTAATTCGGTGTACTTGTGGCTTGGTGCTGAAGTCATGTTAGAATACCCCTTGGATGAGGCTGTTGAGCTCTTAAACTCTAGATTGGAGAGTCACAAAAAACAGTTGCAGACAGTCGAGGAGGACCTTGAGTTTTTGAGAGAGAGTATTACTACCATGGAGGTGAATACTTCTCGACTTTACAACTGGGACGTTAAGAGAAGGAGGGAGGAGAAGAAATAGGTTAATAGAACTTGAACAACGTATCCTATGTGAAGCTCATGCATTTATGTACGGAAGGTATCGAGGAACTGCCTGCCTAGTGGTCTTACTGGCGTCTCGGATCTATTTTCAGGTTCCTCCGTGTTTCTGATATCATCAATCGTTTCCTCGTGTTCTTCTTCTCTTTCTGGGGTAGGCTCAACATCTGCTGGAGGTGCCCGTGGAAGCGGCTGAAAGCCCCGAACCCTCTGTCTCAACAGTCTGAACACCGTGACATCTATTTTACGTGGATTGACGAAAAGCCTGAACACGACATTAGGAAGATAGCAATTCTTGGAACCAGCCAAGAGGTCGTTGGTGTAAAGACGCCCAACTATAAGCCCTATTAAACAAGGGAGTATCGATCCTATGCCATTGTTGAGCATAAGTAATGTAAAAAGTATGTGGATCTGGAAATGGTCATTCAACGTAATTTGCTTCGGTAAGAAGCTATTGGAGCCTGTAACACTGGGCAGTTCCTCGGTGTCGGCCTCTGATTCGGAAGATACGGTCGGTTTCCGGAAAAGAATCTTAAAGTGGTAAGAAACGGGTATGTATGAGCCATAACACATGTATAGCGATGCAATGATTCCGAAGGGCCCCAGGGCGACGGAGTTGAAAAACGTATCTCTGTAGACAAACTGGTAGTTCGAATGAGTGATCAACATATTGACAAGACTCACCAAAGCATTGAATGTAAGCTGGCCCACGGATAGCACGAGAAAGGTGATAACGGCATTGTAGAAAGCGAATATGGCAATTAAGGATAAATATTTGCGGGGACCAAAGAAACGCTCTAGGGTTTTAAAATGAAACCATAGAATTGTACTTAGCATGAAGTCGCTCTCATTGATCACCGCAAGCTGAAATGTGGCAATACGCCAGTACTGTGAGTACTGTACTATGAGTGGATCGATGGCAAGTCTGACATAATGCTTTACTTGTAGCGTCAGTAGAGCTAATGCTAGTAAGAAGCCAATGAGTATAACCGACTTTGTGACTGGAGTGTTTGTGAACCCTCGGATCGGCGTTAGTTGGGTCATTTGCGGTTAAATAGAAGCAGCTGCTTGATGTATCACGATAATGAAGGCGTGGTTCGGGGTGAGGTGCAGGAGGACCGACTGGCTGCAAAAGGGAAGAATATTGAAGACCCCACTGGGCAAGCAAAAAGGCTGAGATAGTTAATTTCAATAATAGATACTTATATACAAAATAGAATTTATAGATGACCCGAGTAAATACGAATCGAAGTCTCATTGTGCTATCAGGCGGGAGTGAGACACTGTTTAAGATACAACAAGATTACCGTAATTTTTGGGGATATTAACAAAATGTTCAAAGTCAGGCATTGCTTTAGATGCTGGTTTTGAAGGGATTTTATTTGTTCAGCCAATTGGTTGACCAAATAGTTAGGTATCAGCTGAGTGTTTCTGGTGATTATATCTACACAAGACAACAATACCTCAGTTGACTAAGGGTACATTGTGATGAATATTTACCTAGAACTTCTATTTAAGTACCCAAAGCCAGTTTTTCTTTTGATGATCCCTTCGAATCGCCAGATGACGACTCGCAAAGTGATGCCAGCCATGTATGTTGCACACAACAGCAGTATATGAACACAGAGCTAGACTTCAAACACATTCATATTCTATATTCTCAGGTGAAAGCTTCCGAAGATCCAAAATATTGTTTCTGATGGTTTCACCCTTCTTAGTCCGATCAAGATCACGTGCGAGGGCTCAGCCCTAAACCTCTCACTCGCCTGCACGTAATTTCCAGGTGCACCGCACCATCTAAAGAAAAAATTTCCACTTCTCAATCCATCGGTTTCTTCCTACTACAACAAACATGGGTAAAGATCACGTCACCAAGCAGCACGTCAAGAGATCCCAGAGATCCGCTCCTAAGTCTGACAACGCCTACTTGAAGGTCTTGGTTAGATTGTACACCTACCTTGCTCGTATGTATCACACTTAAGAAACCGCCTCTAGAGGCCAATAACACACAGCTTGTTGATGGAGATCACAGACATAGTCTACCACTGACTATTATCTGCCACCGCTTCAGGTTCTGATCTCGTACCTCAGTGTCCATGAAGATATGGAAGTATCGCTTTGGTACGCCCATCAACGTTTCCCAATCTGGTGATTCAGAAGCCCAAGCAAAATGCTTGTTGAGCACGGGGAAACATTCTGCGAGTGCATCTTTCTCTGTTACTATGAAGGCCACGATGAAAGAGCTTTGTTTTTTCACCTTGGCAATCATGGTAGCATCGAGAAGGAGATTTATTGTGCGTCTAGTGAGCAGAAACCATAGCTTAAATACTAACAGTTCAGGTCGTACCGACGCTCCATTCAACAAGGTTGTGTTGAGATCTTTGTTCTTGTCTAAGATCAACAGACCTCCAGTGTCTCTTTCCAGAGTCAACAACACCTTGCAGCAGAAGGGTGCCGCTGACAAGACTGTCGTTGTTGTTGGTACCGTCACCGACGACGTCAGATTGTTGGATGTTCCAAAGGCCACCGTTGCCGCTTTGAGATTCACTGCCTCTGCCAAGGCTAGAATCATCAAGGCTGGTGGTGAGGCTATCACCTTGGACCAGTTGGCTGTCAGAGCTCCAAAGGGCCAGAACACCGTCCTCATCAGAGGTCCAAGAAACGCCAGAGAGGCTGTCAGACACTTCGGTTTCGGTCCTCACAAGAACAAGGCCCCAAGAATCTTGTCTAACGGTAGAAAGTTCGAGAGAGCCAGAGGTAGAAGAAGATCTAGAGGTTTCAAGGTCTAAGTTAGTCTTGAATCTCTTGGGCTTCTTTATCACGGTTTTCTCTTCTCTGTATCTAATGTAATAATAACGGAAATATAAGTTGAGGAACTAGTAATTTGTAGTGCAATTTACACAAGGTGACACGCACGATTGAGGAGTTTTCACCATGTGCGGTTCACGTTATCGATTATAGTGCACCGTTAAACACGTCAAATTATATGTAGTCGGATAAGACAATCGACTTCTTCTCCTCAAAAGCTTCAGTGCGTCTCCCAATTTCTGCAAACATCGTTGATGGATACTTTACCAGAGCAGATCATTCACGAAGTTGTATTTTGGCTCACTAATTCACTGTTAGTTTTGGAAGCCTCTGCTGATGATAAAAGGTTCCCTTCAAACGAGCGTCCGCCTCTTCTGTTCACACCTAATTGTTGCAAGTTTAACAACTATTCATCTGTGCTTCAGCTATCCACAACTTGTAAGCGATTTCGACGTCTTCTAGCCCCAGCATTGTTTGGATTTCTTAGTTTGGTAAGAACATCGGAGATCGATTCGATTCTCAAGTACGCGACTGATAAAGCGAATGGTGCCCAACAGAGCCAAAGTATTGGGAAAGATTATGCTAGAATTATCGAAAGTTCTGAATTTTCCGCTAAGAATGCTACCTCTAAACGGATTCCTGATCCGCATTGGAGCATGAATAATTATGTGACGCACCTAGAGGCTACTCAAGATGTTTTAACCATAGGGTCTCCAATCTCTGTCTCTATGTTCCCCATGCTCAAACACCTCAAGATTCTAGATAAAAGACCGCTCTCGAATGCACTTAACCTGCTCGGAGACGTTCAATTAATTTCGTTAGCGATACATCTGGCTTGTTTGTGTTCATGTGGCGCTCTTATCTCTGGACTACCCAAGCTACAGAGATTGGACCTTATACTTGATATGAGCACCATGTATCCGAAACGATCAGAGAACGAGTTGCTTGGCCCGCTAGGACTACTCGACATCGGTAATGAAATCTCGAAGTCCAAGTTGATACAACTTGACTTATTCATCATGAGTCCGGAAGTCCTTTTCTTAAACGATTTCCTAACATTCTTGACCCATATAGCTGGCGGGTCTTCAATTGAATCATTGACAATACGCACGTTTAAATCTCGAAAGACCGTTGGCTCACAATGGGAAGTAATTGAAATCCCCAATGGCCCAAAATTCCTAGCAGTTCTCAAAAGTGCAAAACTGTTAGTCAACCTAACTTTGGACTATGCTTTCATGAAGTACTTGCAATTCCCTCGAGACTACGCCACTACAAATGAAGTAGAGAGGTCCGCTCCAATTTCCTTGAATTTAGTGGATGAGAGCTTTGGATTACCGACTTTGCTTCCAATCGAGAGAGAAGTTGTAACTTACATAATAGCAACAATTAAGGCAACCCATGTGGGCCTTATATACGGTAGGGTACAAGAAGGTTCTCATTTAAATGCTCTCAGCTTCATGAATAACCTCCTTGCTCATCTCGGAAGCTTTCCTTTTTCCAATCAGATCCAGCTCGTTAGTCTATATGAGGCATGGTCTTACTCTGACGACGGCATGATGAGAGATTACTATCAAAAAATTATAAATGCCATCGAGGCAGCTTCGAAAGATTCTGAGGCACGCAAACTAAAAATGACTTTGGTAAAGGCGTCCAGAATATCTAGATTCGACTTTAATTCTCCTCGATATCAGAAACAGGAGTTCTATAGTGTTCTTCAGCAGGAAGGACTGCTATCTATGGACACCAAACCAGTACATCGATCCAAATTACCTATCGATATCTTCAATGCCGCTGAAGCATCTTTGAGAGATTTAGAATACTACTCTTGTCCCAATAAAGAGCTCAGCGCCATCTGGTTCTAAACCAAGAGGTTCATTTTGCAGCCATTCATGAGATAACGTGACTTTTGTGACTGCGAGAAGTCAAGTCTATTATACTGCATATGCTCCCCATATTTGCACTAGGCTTCATAGTTAACGCTCTCATACCCGCGGTGGCTGGAGTGTACGGATCTTAAAGGCTCTCATACTAACGAACTCGTGAGGCCTACCTGCAGTTCTGAAAACTTTCTCACCCACCAAAAAAAAAGAAAATTTCTCCAAGTTTCGCCCATCACAGTCCTTGAATATCATCAACATGCCAGGTGTTTCCGTTAGGTATGTTTCTTGTCGAGTTAATGAGCCAGCGTTTTAAAGCAAATATTGTTTATGCCAACAGCCCCACGTTTCCCACGATGTCAGATTGACAATCCCATCTGGAGTCCGACTCCATTCATGAATCCACATCCTATGCCCAAGATCTAAAGTCCCATTCATCATCACAACGAGCTTCTTCAAAGCGCTTGCCATAATTGCTAAGCTTTTTACTAACAATTCAGAGACGTTCCAGCTCAAGACTTTATCAACGCCTACGCTCAGTTCTTGCAGCGTCAGGGTAAGTTGGAGGTTCCAGGTTACGTTGAACTTGTGAAGACCTCCGCTGGCAATGAGTTGCCTCCCCAGGAGTCCGAGACCTGGTTCTACAAGAGAGCTGCTTCTGCTGCCAGACACATCTACTTGAGAAAGCACGTTGGTGTCGGTAAGTTGAACAAGTTGTACGGTGGCTCTATCAACAGAGGTTTCAGACCACACAAGCACGCTGACGCTTCCGGCTCTGTCAACAGAAAGGTTGTTCAGGCTTTGGAGAAGATTGGCGTTGTTGAGATTTCTCCAAAGGGTGGCAGAAAGATCTCCGAGAACGGTCAGAGAGACTTGGACCGTATTGCTGCTCAGACTTTGGAAGAAGATGACGAGTAAGCCGAGGGCTCGTTCGTTTGACATAATGTTTCCTCCTTTGTACTCTAATAAAGAAATCGCATCGTAATTCAACATGTATTCGTTATTTGGTTATCGTGATCACAGTTTTACAGATCAAGGCAGCTTCATTGGCCAAAGTCTCTGCCATAGCACCACTGTCAAGCCCAATCCACTCATGGGGAATGTTTTCAGGCAAGTCTTCGATCCACTTCGCGTATACCTCAAATTCATCATCAAAGGGAATCTTCAATTGGGTATGGGGCAAGTTGTAGTCATCATCGCAGCATTTTGGATTGAAAAGTTGCATTGCAAGCTCCTTGCAAAAGGCGGCATCCTTTTCGATAGACACTTTACCACCGTATAAGACTTGCCCCAAAATTGACAGAATCTCATCCCAAGGCAATTCCTCTGTTCGAATGACACTCTTACCATCAAGAGAGTCAAAAATCTTCCTCAAATACAATGCTGTAGAATTGAGGTCAACCTCACTGATGTCGTACTTCTTTGCAAATGCGTTTGGCACAAACTTGAGGTTCTCTTGGATCACCGCATGGTACCAACTAATCAAGAAACAAATGGTCTTGGCGGCAGGAAGGAGACAAACTTGCTGTTTCCAGAGATAGCTGAAGCTTTCAAGTAGTATAGCTTTGAAGGTAGGGGTCTCCTCGTGCGTTAAGACATTCGCTTTTGATAGCAAAGCAGACGGGATATTCGTTGCCGATAACAGGCACGTCATGAAGAGGGCAAAACTGTCATGAGCTTTACGCTTGTCGAGCAATTGATCCAATTCATTGAGCCAAGCCCCACTCAACTGCACGTTCTGAAGCACAACCCACGAGCCAGATATCAAAGCTTTCTCGACTTCCTTGTAAGCGGTGTTTAAACCATCTGCGGTACCCATTGCAATAACTTTCAAATTGCAATTATGTTGAACTGCTTGACGTTCAATTTGAGGCGTCAGATCAATGTGGTCAGACTCGGCAATCAAAAAAATGGATTTCTGGAATTTCTTCCAGTCAGACAATCCAAAGATCTTAGTTTGACTCAAGGGTGTACCAAATACTGAGTTTGTTGCTGTTTCCATGGCATCAAACCAAGTCATTTCTGAACCAATAAGCTTCAAGACCAATGGCTTAATCGACACAATAGCAGGGCTATCCGCTTCATTTAGAACATCATTCCATTGGCCGGTCTTTGACTCATCACCGATCTCCAACGAAAAATAATCCTTCATTAATTTTGCAAGTTGGGCACTGGTGGGGTTTGTGCCTACCATTCCAATAATTGCTAGCATGCCTTGGGATGTAGAGTATCCTTCACTCACTTCAAAATAGCCAACAACCAAAGCCAAAGCTAGAGAGATTCTGTCCATATTTCTCAAGGCGGGGGCAGCGGTTGCAAAAACGTCGCAGTAGAATTGTAGCCTCAAAGCCACTAGGTTTTCGCTCTTACCTTGACGGTCAAGTATGGTCTGAAGTATGGCAACAAGCGTATTAAACAGGAAGTTGTATATCTTGGACTTGGAAGATAGGACGGAAAGTATTTGGTGGACCTTGCCCAAATGCTCGGCAATATCGAGGTATGCAACTCTCACCTTTTCAACTTCCATCATCGTTCCATTCAACTCGCCAAACTTCTTGTCAAGTTCCCGTGATTGAGATTGTATACTCAGAAGCGTCTCTGTGGCCTCGTCATTATCTAAAATCGTTCCGGCCACATTATTAAGCGTGTCAAGAAGTTTTTGACGAAGAGCATGGCCTCTGGCTAGATAATCGCCTTGAAGTAAGGTAATCTCCTCATGTTTTTGGTATAGGTCAGGTTGAACTCGCTTGAGGCACAAGTTCAATGTTTGCCTCTGAACATTGCTTGTAGTAATCATGAAGTTGAGGACATTAACTCTTGACAAGAATGATGATGGAATAGAAGCCGATGGATCATTCGACACGAGAATCAATTTGAATTCAGGCAGAATATCAACTTCTCTATTTTCTAATTGAACTAATCTTCGTCCCCCTATGTGAGTAATTTCCTTCCTGATTATAGGATCCATGACCGGATCGTAAAGCTCAGCATGGGATATCAAGATCGTCCCGCCAAATCTCATGGCATTCTCAGTATCTCTCATAAACGACGCATCAAGAAAGCTTGTTCGCTCCACACTCTTCGCCGATGTTGAGAAGGTCAATGCTTTGAGAACATCTTCCACAGTGTTAGTAACGAGTACGAACTCTGCCCACTCCTTGATGGCGAAATTCTGCTCATACAATTCATCCTTGGGAAGGCCTCTATGCATCCAATCTGCGGCCTGCTCCGAAGTTGCCAAATTCGTAATGGGGGAATGATATTTGTCGAATGGTATGTGAAGCTTCATGAGACTCTGTTTCCAATTCGTCAAAAGGGCATCTCTCTTAGATTGCTCGTAACGACCACTATAAGTAGCAAAAGCAGCAGATAATATGCTATTTCCTGCGATACGCAGCCTTTCCTCGTCACAAATTTTAACATTCAGCTCCCACCTTCTTCTTTCACTGGTGAGATTCTGGATCAACTCCTCGCTTCGTGAAACTTTTCTCTCAATTGTTTCCATCTCGACTTTCAATCTTTCAGCTTCACGAATGATGTCACTGTAACTGGTCTTGTATTCCACGATTTTCTCCTCGAGTTCTCTGATCATATCGGCAATTGCGATCAATTGGGCCTTGGACTTTTTTGCTGCACCCTGTAGATATGCCACTTCTTCCTTGAGAGGCATTACCTTCTCTAAAATCGAATAATATCTCAATTGAGCAATAACCCACTGCAACAAAGGACCACAAGCTTTACTAGCACGGTTAACAGTTTCGAAATTAAAATCAGATCGGCTCAAATATGTTCTCTCCATAAACTCGCTTGATTCTGGAGTGAGCTGTGTCTCACTGTCATACGAAACAATGCTGGTAATGAAGTCGTCCTTTCTAACCACGAGTTGCACATCTCTCCAAGTCTTCACATCATAGCCCAAAAGGATACACACGGATTCCATTGCCATTTTGACAGCAGCTGGTGGGTTTGACATACTCCTCATCTCGGTCAAATGTTGCTTCTTGATGTTTTGAACGCCTCGTTGAGCCTCAAGCACAGCGGGCTCCGCAAGCTCGAGCTCTTGCATCACAACCTCGCGCCTCTTATTTATCTGAATCTCGTTCTTTTCAAGTTCCTCCTGAGTGGCCACCGAGAATTCACGCTTCCTTTCCGCTTCGTTCTGATTGACAATCATCTTGTCCAACATGTTCTTTGCATCAATCTCCTTAGCGTGCAAGCTTTCCTGCTTCTTTGAAAGAACTTGCTTCATCTCAGTCACTTCAAGCACAGTTTCACGAAGCTTATCCAACCCAACCAATATATGTCTTTGGTTAACATTTAGTTCGCTATCCTTCTGGTTGTACAAATCAATAGTAAGTTGCAAGAATCTCATGAACTGATTCGGATAGGCGTCATTCGATAGATGAATTGACACACACACACTAATCATTGCACCACGAAGGGTTTGGTCAGCTGTTTCATCATCGGATGGTGGCTCGTAAGTTGAGCTGTCTAATGCAATATCCTGGAGCTTTACGCTAGCGATCTCCTCAAGTGACCTTCGCGTCCAATCACCCATCCAGTTGAGAACGCATCTGTTGAAGAGAGCAGGAGACGAGTTTACTTGCATTTTATCTCCATGGCCAACATCACTGAGTGTGAAGACCACATGTAAATTGGTGCTCACTTGTTCGGTGAACCAGGCGTAAAGCTCATCTTCGCTATCCAACAAGAGCCCCTGCGCTGTGGACTCAATTGCGCATTCTTTCATGAGCGATGTGTAATCATCCCCTTCAAATAAGCCTGGTACCTCTGAGTTTGCAAGTAAGGTGTTCATCCGCTCGATAAAGGCGGTCTCGAGTAGGCTCGATTCATCTATAAGAAAGCACAACTTCTCCCCCTTGAGGCAAGCAAAAAGGACTTGCCGAAGCTTCTTCTGAAAATCTTGAATCGAGTATCCTCTGTGGACCCTCATTTGAACAACTTTAATACCATTCATCCACGCAACAAATTTCGTGAGTGTTGATTTACCACTCGAAGAAGGACCGACCAAAATCATGTGTCCCTGGTGCTGCCTTAAAACTCTGTCAATTCTCAAAATGTGGTCGAGCATATCCTCGAAAGGAACTAAAGCGGTTTCCAACTCTTCTTCGCTAAAAACTCGACACCTTTCACGCACGAATGAAGCTAATTCATCCATCGAGACGGGTTCATAAGCCGAAGAGAGCCAATTTGAGTATAAAATCGGTTCCTGAAACGCAGATTTAAGATCGGTATGGGGAAAATGTTTTGCTGCAGCTTCAAGTAGTAATTGCTTAGTCCATTCCTTCTCCTCTTCCCCACAGAGTCTGTCGAAAAAGAGTCGAAGTCCTTCATGAAACCATAAACGAAGGAGACCTGGAAGATCATCGTAAGTGCTCTGGAGTATAGTTTCCAATATCCCTCGACACCATCTCGTAAGCTCACGAGGTGAATAGACATAATGACTTCGAATGGCACGGGTGAGCTTCTCTTTGCTCCCGAAGTATACGTCCAACATAGCCGAAGTTAAAGGTTTCCCGAAACCACGGAGATCAGGAGCACACTTCAATGCAGCGTGATTGAAATTCTCGTAGATCTGCGCCATGGAGTTTTTGCCTGGATAGTCGACCATAACAACACAGACATGACGCAAGAATCTTTCCGCTAACTGATGTCTACCAGGATCATTTGGATCATTGCATGCACCAACAAATTGAATGTTTTCTAAAGTGACCCATGTCTTGTGACGAGAGCTCCAGAAGCCTTGGCGTTCCACCATGAGGCGAATCAAGGCGATGACTCTTTGACAGCCGTACTCATCCATCGAAGGGAGATTAATTTCGTCACAGAAAACAACAGTCCATTTACCACTGACATTGGGGGAAAGCGTTAGCCCCTCGTTTGAGCGCTTGTAGCGACAGTGCTGCTCGAGCAGGCTGATCAAGCTCTCTGGTGTAGTGTCCTTCGAGAAGTTGAGTGAAACCAAATCTAGACTTGGCAGGTTTCTGAGAGCTTGTAAGAATGTCATGGTCTTACCGGAGCCAGGCGGTCCACACAATAGAAGAGGAGTATGCTTGTTCATGAGCGAATTGATGATATCTTCATGAACAAGTATATCAACTGTTGGAACTATAGTATTGGAATCCATGACATGCTGTGGTTCAAGTTCCACAGACTCGATATGTTGCAGCCACGGGGACCATTCGAAATCGATGGGCGAAATAAAATACTCCGTTATGTTCTCTGGCACAGCAAGCAACTCGAACAAATCCATAGAAGCAAGTTGAGAAGCAAAGGCGTTTCTCTGCTCGACTGGGCTGTCGCCTGAATAGCCCCAAACCAAAGAATGGAGGATCGCACTCATGACAAATTTATTGAGTGATTCCCATGTGTGTGCTGGATTTTTAATTTTGAAAGTGACAAGTTTTGAGATCTGGGTCTCAAAAAATGTGAAAAATGAATTGAGGGCTCTTTGAGAGCTATGCTTCATGATATGGTCAAAGTTGAGTGAGATCTCATAGACTTGGTCAAAAAGTTCCTCACCTAGTGTGCAAGCAATTTCAGCAATATGTTGCTGAAGTTGAATTTTCTCCATCTCGAAACCCTCCAAGTCTTGTGAACTCTGTGTCTCTAGGCTGTTTTGGCGTAGCTTGAAGAGAAACTTTTCCCAAACTAGTTCAGCTTTGATTAGAGATCGATCAAACCAGATCATTCCGCAACGAGTGATAGTGGCTAGAGTAGCGTGAGTCAAGTTATCGACCTCAAAAATTATTCTCACGTTGTCCGGGAGCTCAAGCCTTTCACCGTTTGGGAGTGTCAATATTTTGTTATCGTCAAGCACACTGTTGAGATTCTCTGCCCACTTTGGGTCAATATCGCCATCAAACACAACCCATAGACGTTGAGATTTCTCCCCCTTAAATTTTGATTTATAGCCCTGAGATGACTAGTCAAAATTCCATCTGTCCATTCACGAGTGATTGCATCTAACGACCCAAAAATTTGCTCCTTAGTTAGCACTTTGCAGTCGAGCACTAGTGTCTTGTGGGTGACAGCTTCTGACAAAGACAAAGCATGTATGACCTGTCTGAGCATTGTCGTTTTTCCAGACCCGGACTCCCCTACCAAAATAATTCCATGATGCGTCTTCAGGATCTGAACGATTTGAGAGCATTTGCGAAGCATTTCATCGGAGAAATTGAGACCGACTTCAATTGCAGATGTCACGATAGAACGGTGAAGTTTTTCAAATTCAAAACGTTTGACCTTGACTCCTTCGAAAATCTTGGACATCAAGTCGTAGAAAACTGTGACATCCTGTGGGACTAACTTTGGTAGAATTGATTCTTCTAGGCTCGCCTTGAGGATTTCGAGCTCTTTCAAAAGTTCTGGGTCATCATGAACACTTTGATTTTCGCTTGAATCGCTATTGAATCGTTTCGAGCCACACATGCGTAGAATACTTTTTATTGCACGCAAGCCAAAGTCATAATGTCTCTGGTCTGAGACAGCTTCACTCAAACCCTTGAAAAAATGGACAATTTTCTTTGAAAGGGTTTTTGTGTGAATCAATTTATGCGACGTGAGAATGACATCGATGATCAACTCTAAATCAGGTTTCTCCATTGAAACGCTTCTAAAGAGTCTTTTCATGTTTTCTGGTAGTTCATTACGGCCAGCATAGCCAGGGTTCATTGTCACGAACAAACCAGTATTTGGATGGATTGAAAAGGAAGCTCCTGAAACCGCTACCTGTTTCGACCTGTTGTTGAGGCCCTGTTGTATTCCTTCGATTTGCGACGCGAGAGCACTAAGGTTAGCGGAGTCGAGTCTGTTGAACTCGTCAAAACAACCCCAACATCCAACCTTACAGAGGCCGAGAAGAATCCGCTCCATTGACTTGAAATCAAAGGAATCGTCGCAATTGAAAACCTTCACCATTCGGCCAAGTGAGAATCCTAGAGCCTTTACGCTCTCTGTTTTTCCGGTTCCAGCTGGACCAAAAGGAGACCCACCTAATCCTTGAGCTAAGGCCAGTGTCAATGCCAAATAGCATCTATCGACAAGAGGAGTAACAGCGAGTCTCTCGATGACGCCCTGGTATTCAAACCCATAGGGTAATTCGAAGCGCCCCTGGCTGATTTTGAGGCATTCAAGGGAGAAGCTGCCTTAGGATTCAATCTGAAGCATTGAACTTGATTCAAAATGGAGATCCGCTGGGGAAGAGGCTTCGAATCAAGTTCTCGCGCAATTTCTCGATGATGTGTGAGCTCAATGATCAAAGACTCAATTTTTTTTGCTTCATGTGACGCTAACCTCGAGTTGGAAAACGAGGCAACGTCCTTCAATAACTCCTCGTATAACGTACATAGAGGTGCGTATTCAGTGGCCTTTTCGGCCATCCTTGTGAACATCACATTGAAAGCAACAACAAGCACTTGGGCAGGGTATTGGCGTGTAATGTCAGCAAGAATCTTGACATCATATGATCCTTGGAAAACTGCTTTTAACTCGTCGACAGCCTTTAATATGAGTAGCGCAACTGAGAGCCTTATTTGAGTCTCCAATTGACCGAGCAACTCGTGTAATTCATGGACCTTGAAAATGGATATAGGGTTGGCGAGTTTCAACTTTTCTCCTTCCGGGCTCACGACCTCGACAATACATTGTGTGTCGTTGTCTTTGATCAATAACTCCACTCCGAAGAACATCTGCTTAATATGCTTGTTTATCCTCGTAAAATCACCAGCACCACCAATAAGCTCTAACAAATCTTCATTGCCCAAAAAGTAAAACCTCGGGAATAATTCACGCTGCTTCTCGAGATAGTTGGTCAAACCTTTCTTCGTCCGCTCCAAACTTTCTTTGATTTTCAGTAGAGTGTTCTTCAAATCTTTGATGGAAAATACTTCAAATACCATCGTCATTTTGCTTATGCGCTTGAGAAGGCCCATGAACTCAAAAGAAAGGTTGTTGAAACGTGTTGATTCAGTAGGTAATGATGACCTTATATCCGGGTTGGTACTGAATACTCCATCGAGATAAGCCCAATGCTTTTGAACTTCGATCCACGAATCAAAAATTGACTCAAGCTCATAGAGTTGTCCCTCAAGGGCTGATCTTCTCTCCTCAAACTCTCCATATGATACCAGGTTTTTCATGCTTGACAAGGTACTGATGCTCGCTTGGCAGACATCAAAAAGTTTGTCCCAATTACGAACAAGTCGGCATTTTCCGTGGAAATCGAACGTCTCGAAAGCGACAGTAGACAACTCTTCCTCGACTTTATTTAATGACTCCTCGATGATGCGCTCATCATTGGCTTGTCTGACTATTGTTTTAATAAAGCTTTCATGCAAGCGGAATTCCAATTCAAACATCTGCGATAACTTCAAATTTTCAAGCAGAAGTGTTCGAGGAGATCCGACGACCGCCAAAATTTTTTTCCAATGGCGAGGTTTAAGCGCATCACTTTTGAGGTCTGAAAGCATCTTTAGCTCACTGATATATGAAGCAATTGTGTTTTTCACCACTGAAAACGCCGAGTAATGCCGAACCATAGCGGGGAGTCCCTTCGTAGAGGATGTGAGACTCTCTAGCTGCTGCCTCACCTTTCTTGGATTGGCCTCTGCCCAACGAATGGCCTTTATATCATCGACGGAATCCCACAATTCTTGAAGTGCTTTCCACACAACAACTAAATCATTGATCTCATCTTGGAAAGATTGCATCAGCGATGCGTTGGGGGTGGTGACTTGTAATTTTTCTGCAACTATGCAAATCTGTTTCTGATAATCTTCCAAATCTTTCAACTTTTTTGTTAGCTTTGTCAAGACAGACAACGCATGTCCAGGCTCCATAGACGCAGTAATAGGTCGCTTATTGAACCAGTCGCTTGTTATTGTCTCGAATTTGTCATTGCAGCTCTTCACTTCTGTTGCTAGGCTTGCCTGGAAACGGTCAAGGTTTTCTTCGACGAATTGCATCCTAAGTTGTATGAGCTGCTGCAAATTGGATAATTTGTTTTCGAAATGGTCAGGATAAATCCAAATCATTGAAAGCTGCTTGTTGTTTTGAAGCAAGATCTTTTGACATTCGGCAACTAGGCCCTTGGTCTGCGAGCCTTCCGCCACAAGTTGTTCAGCAGAGAACAAGTGAATAGCATATTTGACTATAGCCGCAAAAGGCTGCTGCCAATTCGGATCAAAAGAAAGGAGTCGCTCAATATCGTTCATCGAAGTGAGATAAGTTCTGCTGTGTTTTGCAACATTTTGCATGAAGTTATCAAGGAGCAGGGACTTAAATGTTTCGTACTGGCCCAACAATTGATTTCTAACCATGGAGTACAGAATATCAAGAATACCGCCCAAGGTGATCAACCCCTTTGGATTTTCCAACTGGCTCCCACATCGGAGCATCAAACTGACTTTTTCCAAAGATTTTCTGATACCAAGATTTTGAAAGGGATCTTGTTTCGAGAGACTCTTGAGTGCTTCTCCTAGCACGTGCCAGTCTTCCATCCGTTGATCAACCAAATCGAATAAATCATCTATATCACTCAAAGTTCGCCAAAGGTAATCTCTTGTCGATCCTGAAAACAGTGCAATCACTTTTTGAGGACTCCCGTTGGAGTCCCTGAAGGTGACATTTCCGATTATTGTCTGTAAATTATTCACTTCCAGAATCCACAGGAGTTTGGATGAGACAAGCGGTGGTTCTAGAAAGAAGTTGCCTCCCTCATAGCGAAGAACATGATATGTTTTCCATTTAGACAAGAGTAAGTCATCCCCATTAAGCCCCTTGCTGAATTGTTGAAGACAAGCTTCAAGTTTGGCAACAATTGACTCTGTCAAGATATCTCGCAAAGACTCCTCGAAAGGGCTGGCATCTGAGACTTTCTGCATAAGAGGGACAGCTGCGATATCGATTTGGTCAACACACTTTTGAATTTGCAAACTCTCGAATTCACAAGCCTTCAAGGCAGGTAGATACTGCTCATCCATCAATCTACGAAAGTTATCAACACATGTTTGTAGATCAAATAACAAGTGTGTTGATTCTTGAAATTGATGAACAAGCCTCATGGAAGTCATATCGATTTTGGAAAAATCTGTATCCTCTGTCAACAAATTGGCATCCAGTCTTAAGTCGGCCCATGAGAGCGAACTGATCCCCAATAATTTGTGAAAAGCGTCTTGTTTGAGGGATTCGAGAACATACTCCAAGCCATGGAACTCACAGACCGAATTCATCGTTTGAGTGAGTGCCTCGATATGTTCATTGAGTGTGAAAATGATTGACCCCACGTTGTTTATCCTTGAAGCTTCCAAAACTAGATCTGATGGTATATTGAAACCAACGTTTTTGAAGATGGAGATACTTCGTGGGACTTCGAATAATTGAAGAGGAATACTTAGAAGAGGTACTCTCTTCTTTAAATGCAAATCCTCATCGAGACACAAAAGATTATCCACTTTATTCAATTCGGTCAAAGCTGCTCGTACAGATTGGCACCATGTCTCGAACACCTTGGTGACATCAAGCTTCTCCCTCAATGAGGTGGCCAAATCTTGGATTTGGGAACCAATTGCAAATAATGTCCACGTTTCGCCCAAAGACCGGCTTAATGTTTGTATCAAATTGTCAACGTTGTGCTTCAATGATACCATGAGCAATATCGTATCGATTGAGTCCAATGGTGTTTTTGATTGTAGACGGAGTGGCTCAAGCCGGATGTTGTGCTTTGAACTCATCAAAAGTCCCTGCAATGACTTCGACGCTTCTGTCAAGAACTTGATCTTGTGGTTGTCCTCGATGAGTGGTAGTAAAATATTTGCATCGGTGCCCGCTTTAACAATGTTTTCAAAAAAGCTCACATAATCGCTGTATGATGTACAATGATCAATTCTGTTGTTTAAAGATGAGGCCAAATTTTGCAGGATTTTATTGTGTATCCCTAGATAGCTGTCCTCTTGAGCAGCCCAAATCAATAAGCCGTCTTTTGAGAGATCAAAGTAATCTGCAGCAATTATGTGTTTGTTGTAAGCGTCAAGGAGTTGACTGGTGAGGGTCTCGTCGGCTGCACAATGCAATAGACCTTGCACCAATGTATGGTGCTGAGATTTGAGGTTGACCAAGTCATCCACTCTTTGTTCAATCAAATTAATGCAAGTTTGCTCTATCTTGATCACCATGAATTTCACCAGTCCTTTTCTCATGAATTCCCTTAATATATTTGTCATGCTTTTGATGAAACCGTCTATGTTTTGAAAAACCCTTCTTATTTTCAAATTTACGGTCGTTTCAAATGCTTCTTGGGGCATAGCCATGATTGAAAGGGAGGACAACATCGAGGCTAGCAGAACAGAAATGTCCGAAAGAGCTAGCTCGGTAAGTTGTATAATGCTTGGTGGTGGGACGGATGACAGGGTTTTCCATCTTTTTAGTTGACTGAAGATAATAGAAAGGTTGGAGTCAAATTCAGCAATGGGGTCTCTTGAATCTTTAGAAGTGACGAGTTCGGTGAGATTTAGATCTTTTAAGAATGAATTGTATTGCCTTACCTCCTGTAGCTTTTCAGTTACCTGAAGATTATTTTGGAAAACAAACGTCGTCTGATAGCGTTTTGAGGCATTCAAAATGCGTATGAGATTCTCTACCTCTTGCTGTTGTAATTGCTGATGTAAGGACATTAGGGCAGACTCCATGGAGACCCAAAAACGTGTCTCATCTGCCATCGACCAACTGTCAGAGGGGCTTTTGGCTTTTTTGGTAATGGATTGTACCTGTCTGATCCATGTGTTGGCGATTTGGGTGAGCTCATTAAGGGTTGTCGTATCTTGCACGATCATCTCGTCTTTATTCTGAGGCTCACGTAGAAGTTCCATGATAGCTGGCGGCACATGGCCAAGCAAATTGGGTACTTCAATTTCCAGATCAATATGGCTCAAGGTCGCATTGAGCTCGTTGAGCTTCTTTTTAGCAAGGGTAAGAGATCCTGACGCGCTGCTCTCACTATCTTTAGATGAAAGGCGATCGATGTATGGGGCCACCACATGAGTGAGAAGGTCTCTGACAAGGACAGGAGAATGGCTGCTTCTTGAGTTATAAGACTCATTCATTGGCGTGGAAATAACGTTAATTTGAGATCTCAAAGAAACGTCAGCTCGGAGAATGCCAGAATGTTTCAATAGTATGGTCATCAGCACCGTGTCTGCGGAGACCACGTCAACCAATTCACTCTTCACAGAAAACTGGCCATCTGATTTGACAAGAACATATAATGCCTGTTGGATATCTGTGCTTGTGTATGCGGATAGAGTCGGCTCTATTATATCTGATGGATCGGCGCATTCAGCACGACTGTCTGGGGTGCTGATCAAAGCTTTGATGAAATATAAAAGTGAATCTGAAGACACTGACTCGAGCAAATCAAAGCTCTCATCTTTAGTGTCAGTCATGTGTAAAGCTGCTTGATCAGGGTATAGTGCGTTGTAAGGGTACATAAAACACATACATGCAGATGTTTGTTGACATATGTCACGTGCGACATCACGTGCAAGGTCTCGTAAATATCCCATACCTTATTTGAAGAAAAGTTTAAGGTTCATATCGAAAGAGCTTGCGTGATATTAATGTTTGCACGGCAATTATCGCTTCCATTTTTACCTACGCTTCAAGAATGAACGCGTAGCTGTCTCTTAAAAAGCACTGCCTTAGGCAGAAAAGATAATAATTCAACACTTCGAAAACTTTGTCTGGTATTTTGAAAGCCCTTCGATAATCAAATGCCTTTTTCACTCTTCAGGATATAGCATGCGATTTTTCGTAAATATTTTTAGGATGCGACACTTGCTTGCTTTGAGCAATCTTTTGTCAAAACTAGCCAGATATGATTGGGAAACAAAAATTCGCAGCCATTACATCTTCAGTATCATTTCCCCTATTCGAGCCTCAATAATGTACAAGTGCCATTTTGAAAGAATCAAATAAATAGAGCTTGCCTAAGCTACTTTGTATGCTAGTGGGAATTCGAATTCTTTTACAATATTGATGTCGACGACTAATATACCACTTTATTCTTTTTGCTATTTACAGAAATTTTTTCATCGTTAAAAGCTAGATCTCTTTATACACGAGTCTAAGGACAGCACAGAACGTAAAATACAAGTAATGTTACACTTGGCGAACGTCTATGCCTTCGCTCATTTGATCTTGTGTAACAGCTTAGCAACTCAAGCCTGGAACTTTTTGGTCACATGACCTTTTTCCACAACAAATAGACAGCCTCAAAAAGTCGATTACTGCTCGGCAGGCTTGTACAACCCTTTACACTTATACGCCGACCCGGCCGACCCATAATCTGCATTTGCATGACCTTTTTGAATTTAAGGTTTACCTAGACTTCATTGATTATCATAAGATTCACATAAATGGACAAACCACGAAAAACGCCTGATGACTACCAGACTCTTTTTGACAAACTAGATATAGAGCAAAAAGGTCAAATCACCTTTCTGGAGTTCAAAAATGCTGTTAGGACATTAAATCACCCTGTTGGTCGCAATGCCGATCTCCTTGAACAAGTCTTTCGTTCATTCGACTCCAATCAGGACAACATCATCGACTTCAATGACTTCAAACTATACTTAACGACTACTGATGACCAAATATTGAAAGGATTTAACAAGATCGACCTGGACAGCGATGGAAAGTTGACGCGAGCAGACTTCATCAATTATTTGAAGAAGACACTAAATCTCAGCCCGACTGACCATCTCATCGATGAAGTTTTCAACAAAATTGACCACAACTGCCATGGTTATATCACCTACGATGAATTTCGAGACTTTCTTTTATTAATGCCTCGTTTACACGGTTCCAGAATCAAGACAGCCTATACCTATTTGGCCGAGGAGCTTGACTTGTCCGCAGACGGTGATGTGACATTGATCAACTCGTTCCTCAGCGGGTTTGGCTTCTTCTTGGCTGGAGGTCTTGCAGGAGTTGTATCCAGAACATGTACCGCTCCATTCGATAGAATCAAGGTGTTTCTCATCGCCAGAACGGATCTTTCATCCACTATAATGCATAACAAAAAAGAGCTCGCCAAGCAAGTGGAATCAGGTGCTTCCACGCAAGCCATTGAAAAGGCTAGACACAAGCTTCTCCAATCAGAACGTGAAGCTCGTATAAGTCAGGCTGAAAAGCCACATCACAAAACGATCAGATCACCAATGATACAAGCAATCAGGACACTTTGGAAGCAAGGTGGATTCCGGGCATTTTATGTCGGTAACGGCTTAAATGTGATGAAAGTGTTTCCTGAATCTGCTATGAAATTCGGATCATTCGAAGCTGCTAAACGTATATTCGCAAGAGTGGAAGGCGTTGATGATACCTCGAAGTTGTCGAAGATTTCGACCTACTTGGCAGGAGGCATGGGAGGAGTGGCTGCTCAATTCACCGTTTATCCTATCGATACTCTAAAATTTCGTGTTCAGTGTTCCAATCTTGAATCACTGGTGAAGGGCAACCAGCTCCTTATCTTGCAAGCCAAACAAATGTATAAAGAAGGAGGGCTCAGGATCTTTTATAGAGGCATTTTTGTGGGTTTGAGTGGTATGTTCCCTTACGCAGCTCTCGATTTGGGAACATTTTCGACAATCAAGACTTTACTCGTGAAGAGAGAAGCCAAAAAGCTTGGTGTTCCCGAAGATGATGTTCGTTTACCAAATTACATGGTGCTTTCCTTGGGAGCCATTTCCGGTACTTTTGGAGCGACCGTGGTCTATCCTATCAACTTGTTGAGAACTAGATTGCAAGCGCAAGGCACTTATGCTCACCCGCACAGATACAAAGGCTTCAAAGACGTTTTCCAGAAGACGGTGGCTAGAGAAGGAGTGCCTGGACTCTTCAAAGGTCTCGTACCTAATCTTGCCAAAGTTGCTCCTGCTGTTTCGATCAGTTACTTCATGTATGAGAATTTGAAGAACTTGATGCATCTCGACAACAAGCTCGACTAAGTGTTGATATATTCATTGTGAATGTCAAATCGCATAAAACCTATGCTGACATCTCCCACTGGGACGAAAACTGTGCGTTGTGTGTCTTTCTCCAGCGTTAGTCTAATCCATGGCGAAGGCAGCGAGGAAACTTTATTGAGATCATTCTCACCATCGACATTCAATAAAAGTTTAAAGAAGAAGTCATTTGGTTGTGGAGCCTCGGTTCTCTTAAGTTCCTCAATATGGAAAAACATGAGGCTACGCAAGTTGGTGTTCACCACCTCTCGCGTGAAATTTGGGATGTTGATCTTCGCAGATTGCGTGTCTTTGAGAACATTTTCGTTCAGAAGAAAGTCAAGCGACGAGTATTGACCCTTAAGCCCGGGGAACTGGCTAAAATTGGCAATATATCGCTGGCGTACATGAAGGTTAGTCTCATCATATAGTAACACCAAAACGTCATAGACCTTACCCCCTCCATCTTTTTCAACCAAGACAGTGATCATGTCTATCGCAAATCTCTCAATAAACTCATTTAACTCAGGCGCTCTGCATTGATAGACCACAAGGTCAAGATACAGCTTCTTGCTGAAGGCATCATCTGGGTAAATATGGTTGAAATAGATTATTTGAGAAATCCAGATGGCAATGAAGTCCCTTAATGCTATAAGAACATCAGGTACAGTCAATGTAGACATTCACTTCAAGATGCTCGAAATACAGCTTAACACAACCTTAGTTGATAGTGTTTATCAGTACCACAGAATTCGTGATTTCCGCACGTGATACAACTTCTACAACTTCACAAATATCACAAGAAATTCCAACATCCAACTTATCAAACGCGTTTGAGTTAAGCTGGTCTTAAATTCCTTCGATCTGATTGGCTAAACATTGTTTCTGATCCGGCCAAATTTTCGTTGCGGAGATGCCCATCACGTCTATCGACGCGACTGACGTGAACAAGCTCACATCAGGACAGGTTATCATCGAGATACAGTCCGTCGTAAAGGAGCTAGTTGACAATTCACTTGACGCAGGAAGTAAACAGATCGAGATTGTGTTCAACAACTACGGGATCAAAGGCATTGATGTCATTGATAATGGTAAAGGGATAGATAAGGATGACTACGAGGCCCTATGTTTAAAGCATCACACCTCAAAACTCTCCAGTTTCGAGGACTTAGAATCGGTTTCTACATTGGGCTTCCGTGGTGAGGCATTGGCTTCCTTATGTGCTGTGGCACGAGTAAAGATTACGACATGCTCATCCTCCACATACCCAAAAGAAGCTACACTTGAGTACGATAGCATGGGTAAGTTGACGTCTCAAAAAATGACTGTTTCCGGAAAGAAAGGTACATCTGTCAGCGTTCATGACCTATTTTATGGCTTGCCAGTGAGACAAAAGTATTTTGCCAAGAACGCAAAGAAAGAATACTCGAAGGCTTTATCGCTCTTGGTGGGCTACCTCTTGCTCTATACAGATGTACGTTTTGTTGTATATCAAATAAGTGGCAATACTGGGAAGAAGTCGATGGTGATGGGAACTCAGGGAAGAGGAGCATCTGTATTCGACACACTTGTGAGTGTTTATGGAAGTAATGGCGCCCATGGCCTCGTTCCTATTGACATTGCAACCGAGAACATTGAAGCCAGATTCAAACTTGGGATGACAAGTGTGCCTGTATCGCTAAAATTCCGCCTAAAGGGCCTTATACTGGATTATTCCTTCGGCATGGGCAGAGGAGCTCTGGATAGGCAATTCTTGTATGTAAACAAGAGGCCAGTGGTACACAAAAAGTTCACAAAAATACTAAATGAGGTTTACAAGACTTTCAATCACACGCAGCTGCCGGTTTTTGTTCTTGACATTGAGATTGACCAGACGTTCGTCGATATAAATGTTACACCAGATAAGAGAAGCGTCATGGTACAAAATGAGGATCTTTTAAGCGAGGTTCTTCGAGAAGAGGTGACCAAATTCTATGACGGTATGCATAATATGGTACCTAAAAGTGACCTTGGTGTTGTGAGATTAGGCTCCAGCCTGGAGGTCCTCGATGGGAAGCGGAAGGCGCTGTCTGATAGTTTTGCCGATGCAGATAAATCAAAGCGCTTGAAACAGATAACATCCAGGTCATTAACTCAAACATTTTCAAGCAATAGCGATAATATTCTGAAAGATGCTGGGTCTAATTCTTCCCCTGCCGTTGATATGCACGAGGGAGAGGAAGCAGAGGGAGAAGAGCCAGGAGAGGAACAAGAGTCACAACGAGAGAAAGAGGAAAACCAAGAGGAACAGGATGAAGACGATCGAGAAGAAGTAGTACAGGTGGACGAGGAAGATGACGAAGGGGAAGCTAACAAACTTGAGGAGGAGAGGCCGGAAAATTATTCTGAAAATGTCAGCCCGTCAAGAGAAAGTTCAGAAGTTCCCGATTCGTATGATGAGGTCGATCAAGATTCGAGCGAATCAACTGGTGATATGCGCCACGAGGCTCCACAAGTTGAGCTAAATCCAGATCAGAGAGAGCATGATTATGCGGCCTCAGAAGATGCCGTGGAAGTGATCAACGTGACAATGGGAGGCGACGATATACATGTCTCTGATGACGCCGCAGATGATAGCTTTTTATTGACTGAAGAAGCGCAGCTTTTTGTGCAACAAGACGAGACAATTGACGGCGATAACACGGGTGTCACAAGCGATCATGAATCAAATAAAAGCATAACAAAACCATCCCAGGAAGAAGCCAATGCTAGCGTGTGCGCCACAGACGAGGGAGAGAACTCTGACCATGAAGGCCACCATTGCAAGCATTCGCTACATGATGAGACATTCGAGGTCGATGAAAGCCAACTCCCGACTAACTCAGTTGGATCGGCGCTTGGACCAGCGGACCGTCCCCTCACAAGTCCCGGAAAAAAGACATCCTATAGCGAACCCGTCAAGGGCATCAGCAGGGTACTCAAGCTTGACAAGTACGATTTGAGCTGTTGTATCCAACCTGTGCCAGCAATCAAGAAAGAGAAAATCAAACAAGAGAAAGCTACTTTGGTGAATGTTCACGACGTGAGAGAGAAACTTGTGATCCAGAAGCTGGATTTCCCGCTCATGGAGGTTGTCGGACAATTCAACCTTGGCTTTATTGTGGTGAAGCACGAGGAGAGGCTCTTCATAGTGGACCAGCATGCTTCGGACGAGATCTTCAACTATGAAAGGCTTCACCGGCTGCTTCTGCTCCGAGCGCAACCGCTTGTGATTCCTCGCGTGTTGGAGCTATCCCCGATTGACGAGATGCTTGTTCTCGACCAGCAAGAGCAGCTACGCAAGAACGGCTTTGTAGTGAGAGAAGCGCAGCAACAGGAACCCGGCAAGCGGGTGGAACTTGTGGCGGTGCCTGTGCTGAAGAACGTGGTTTTCGACGACAGTGACCTCCACGAATTAGTGCAGCGCCTTCATGACGTCGGGCCTACGCAAAAATCTATTGTACGTTGCAACAAGGTGGATCTGATGATCGCTCTGCGAGCATGCCGCCTGAGTATAATAGTGGGGCAAGCGCTCAACCGAGGCACGATGGACACGGTTGTGGCGCATCTAGCGGAGCTCGATAAACCATGGAATTGTCCACACGGGCGACCCACGATGCGCCATTTGGCTGATCTCGAAGGTCAAGGTTTCACCGAGGATTACGAATTGTGAAATGTTGAAGCTTCATATGCGTGTCTGGATAGTTCGCTTGGTTTGCAGCCATAGAACCTAGTGCGTCGGGTGATGCACACGAGTCGCTGCGCCCGCAGCACGGCTTTTGAACAAAGCCAGCAACTCGTAGATAAGGCATGAGCGCAGTCTCGAAAAAGGCTGTCAAAATTTGGCACAAAGCTTTCAGCCAAGCACAAAATATGGAGAACTTTCTTGGCGCTGCGGGTCATCGGCCGAGGCGCTGCGGTGCCGGCTTTCATGGAAAAAGCAGGACAACCGCCTTCCTTCGAGGCACTTGATCCTTCACATTAGTGAGCCCTGCCGCTGGCGAACTAAACCCGCAATTGTGCCGCATCTGGGGGGCAGCCTGAGTATCTTTTGCTTTTGCGCATCTTTTCAGGAACGACACACTGAAACAAAAAGAAAAAAAAAAGCATCTGTCTTTGTGTTCCTTATTTCCTAAGACATCGCCAAGGAAATCAGGCTCTTCGGTACCGTATTGCTCTCCTGGACGCTTAGAGCGCTTGCGAGGCCATCGGCTGCATGCAGCACGACAAAAGCGAACTGCTTCTGCCAATAAACACTAGAAAACCTGTCCACCTCACTCTTTAACTAACATCAACGAGGTACCGCACTCTATAGACGAGACATAACTGGAGTCCGAAATTAACCTACTTTTTCCTTCACAATCACTAGCCGCTTGCCACTTGCGGCATCTCTAACAGAAACCCAATACAAAATTACCGCTGATTTATCTGCCCCTAGCAAATGTCGCGATCTCCAGGCATGGTCAAGCCAGAGAGGAAGACAAGGCGAACCCATAAAAACTCGCGAGATGGCTGTCCGAACTGTAGGGCTAAACGAATCAAATGTACGGAGGAACTTCCTAGTTGTTCCAACTGTGTCAAGAAAAACCACCGATGCGGCTACCTTGACTTCCCCAGGACCGGTTGGACCATATAAGACGGAAGAACAAGGAGAAGCTCCACCTAGATCCACTGGAACCGTCGAACAAACCCACATCGCTGCTGGACACGCATCTGGGCAAGAGAAGCTCGGACAGGAACCCGGTTTTTGCCCTGGAGTCTACGCTACGGCTGAGAAAGCCCTCTAATGGCGTCCAGATGCCCCCCTCGGTCTTCACCAACAGTTCAGAAAACTTCAGGTCCCAGGTCTACTCCGCTCTCTTCAGCGACTTGAATAATAACGACATAAGCGTCATCCGCGACATGCAACGGACCGAGCTCAAACCCTGGCAGGACTTGCTGACGATGTTCGAAAGTTCTGTTGCTCCCGACCTACCGGACCTATCGATGGAGAACGCATACTGGCCCACGCATCTAGATTTCGGCGCTTCAGGCTACATTGAACCTCAAGTGAACATGGGCGCGGAACGTTCAGACTTTGGAATCCCATCTCACTACACAGACAGTAACCACGCGGAAACTTCCAGCTTCAAATTCGATTGCAACAGTTCCAATGAGCTGTCACCACAAATTTACGACAAGTTAAAGCGCGAGATATCACCGCTGATCAATGATGAATTTAAAAGCGGACACAAAAGACGGAGTCCGTCCCAGTTCAGAAGGCAGGGAACTCCACTACCGCTCGCAGTCTTTCGAACAACCAGGTTCCCCAGAACTGTTGTTCCTCCCTCTCTCAAGAATCCCTTTCTTGAGAATGCCTTGCGCGGCTTGAAAAACGGCCGCGTTGACGTTCGTGAGTTCACCAACGATAAGTTCACTGCCATCATCCAGCCGGTCTGGAGAGAGCAGCTATACCAGCAATTTTGGCTTGCCATATTCAATCAGGCATCCATTCTCAACTTGTACTTTGTTTACTTCATCGATAAAGCTGTGAATATCTCCAAAAGAGCCGCGCAGATCATCGTGAACCGAGAATTTGAGATCAGTAATCAGTCATCCGCAAGTCTGACGTCCACGAGCTCCTCTCCGTTGAGCAATCAAAGTCTAAGTCCTGCAAGCTCAGGAAATAGATACTCCGACTTTTTTTACAACCCGGATGACCTCAAGAGACTTAATCGTTTGCTGTATGTCACATATGGAAGACTCTTACGCGCATTGCGTGAATCGACTGCCAATTATCATCAGGAATATCCCATCAAGATGTCCATGTTTTCTGCATGGGCGTGCTTTTGGAATACTTCATCTGATGTTTCCACACTTTGCATGATGTTTACCGGTGCCCTCACGCTAGCGACAAGACTACTCGCCGATGCATCTACTATTGATGACGTGAGCATGGCCGTGAGACAAGAAATTATGATATTAAATCTTCATTCCACTGCATCAATCATCCCGGACTTTCTGATAACTGCTATCACTGAATTGTCCAATACATTTAGCAGCTACAAAAGAATTGTGAGTGACCTTCTTTACAACCACGAAAACGGACTCGTTAAGTACGAACCTATCACGATGGAGACATTGCAGAATCCGATTTTCAAGCACAATATCCAAGAAATGAGTTCGTTCTTGAAGAAACTTCAGCATGAATACATTCCTCAAATGAGAACCATCGACCACCACTTCAAGAACTTGCATGGCATAGACCCTATGGTGGAAGACTACAAGTTTGTGTCTCCTACCCTCATTTACAACTTGACTTACGACTGGTTTAGGGTCTTCAGGGGAGACAAATTCTCAATGATCCCCAACACGAGCATTTTGAATAGGGTTCTTTCATTGTTTTTCCATGCTCTTGGCAGGGCCATGGCCCAAAGCATCCCACCAATACGATGTGTCATGCTTTTGGATCCATGTTATGTCATTGCTCCAATGTACGGTTTCGAAGTTCCGCAACCTCGTTATGAATATATGAACGAGTTTGAAGCATTATATTCAATTGACATGGGGTTGGTGCGGATGATCAAGTTTTTTGAATACCGTCAAGCTCTTTTTGGGTACCATATTGGCCACACTTTGGTGTCTGACTACATTCATCATGTAGCGGAAATGGCTCCGGCTGATTTTGAGTACAAAGATATTGTGAGACTCGGACTCGACAAGCTTCGCGTCGCCGAAATGCAGCCCGCTAATCTCATCACGGGAACCCTCGAGGTCCAGAATTTCCCGATTTTCGATGACATTTCGCATGATCTGCAATGCTGCCATGCGCTTCGGCAGGAGCTCGACCGGCAGGCAGTCGCCAGACGTACCGAACCTTGGACTTTTAATTACGAGAAAGGTCTACTGAATCATGACTTCCAACCGGAGAAGGTTTTGGAGGTATACATGAGAAAGAGGCAGGCCGAGCTGATGACACAGATATCGCCTGGTCTTGAGGAATTGCGTGTTTTCGGTGAACTTTTTTCAAAAAGCGGAAACGAGCTCATCAATGCCATCAACAAAAATAAAATGGCGGTTTGAATGCACATCAGCGAAGTTAGCTGTAGCATATAGTCCGAAATAGGACAGAGTGCGTACGGGACGGAAACGGACGGAGCGGATGTAAAAAGGACCGAGGCTAATATGAAGAAAAAAAAAAAAAAAAAAAAAAAAGAAAGAGAAAGTTGAAGGAAAGACATACCATTTCGAGATTCCACCGGTATTTTCCGCTACTATAAGCCACGCTCTTTCAGAGATCTCGGCCAGCTGTCACCAGTAACTCCGAGTAAGGCGCCCCCACGGTCCCCCAATTATGAGGAAAAGGGCAGTTGCATGCCTATGCCTAGATGCGATGGGCATGGCTGCGAAAACACGGTGCGATCCTTCTTGCCTCAGATGTGAGAATAACCGCATAAGTGACTTTCATGACTTGTCGCTGACTTAGTCGGACAATCGCAGCTAGTCCAGACAGGATATTTCATTTAACATAGGGCTAGCAATGAGGAAGGCAAATTCGATACATTATATTGTTGTTTTTCTCGTTTCATGACTCACTTTGATGCAAGGATGCATGCCCATTTTAGTGGCCCTTCTCTGTCTGTTGGAGATCTTGCATCCGGGCTCGTTCAAAGCAGAGCTTACTTTATATAGCCGTGTGTCCGCACTATGTGCGCGATTGCCGCCAGTCTCCACATTTCAACAAGCAAAGGGTTCACATACATCAATGGGCGAGGAAAAGAAAGGGCTTTCGAGAAAAAAACACAAAAACAGCAAGCTAGGTTGTGCCACTTGTAAGCGCCGTCGAGTCAAGTGTCCTGAAAATTTACCCGCTTGCACTAATTGTATCAAACATGGCGCACGCTGCGAGTATATGGACTATAGTGAAAAACAGCTTGAGGACTTCCACAGAGCAAAGCTGGCTCAGGTGAAGAGGCTTGAGAACAGAATCAACGAAAGACTGTCCGATCAGGACCTACTGCGAAAGAAAGCCCCTCCAGAAGTCAAGAAGGAACCTGACCTGCCGTTTTCGAGAGAGGCTCTGGCTGAGGCCGAGGAGTCTGACCGAAAAGGCCTTGCTAGTCTCCGTCTAGATGACGCCGAACCATCTGCTCGGGAGAAGTCTCACTCAGACTTCCATCAGGAGCCAGTACATTTGATGGCATTGGACACAGACATCTTGCCCATGGAAAGCCAGAACTTCTTGGACCACCATATCCCTGGCGATGTTCTAATCGAGATGAATGACGAAGTATCTGGCCAAAGCACGCTCCCTGGTGGCGTTCTGGATGTTCTCAATTTTCAGCATAACGCCATCACCCAAAATTTTGACAACTTGTTGACCACGGGAGACGCGACCAAGATCATATACCCAGTATATTCCATTCACAACAGCTCCTCGGTTACCCCAGGTAACATGGAATGGGAGGGCGAGTATCCTGGAACGGATAATATCCTGGATCTTTTGCAGTACCAACGATCACAGGGTCCCACAGGCCCATTCGCAGCAGCCAGGGATGTATTTCGTTCCCCAGAGGTCACACGTCGATCAGTGAGTTTGATATCATCGGACTCGGCTCCCTCATTTGTGCCGATATCACCGGGACCAGCGCTTCCAGGAGCACAAGTTTCTCGTAAGAGATTTAAAGTGCGGGCCAGACATACCACTAACTATGAGGAGCTTCTCTACAACACCACCGCAACGTTGGCGCCACGAATCGCCAAAGGTGTGTCTACTCTACCCGAGATCAGAAGCTTATACCATGTGTGGATCGGCTACTTCATCTACAAGGCATTCAAGTCGGGTGTGATGTTTCTGTGCTTGATAAACCTCACTACGAATTATCTCATTACGAATGTCTTCTCAGCAGAGCTGGACACGCGGTTCGATGCTCTTGTGCTGCTTACCAAAACAAGAAACATGCTCTTGGTTCATCTGATTCAACATTATGCCACTGTGATCAAGGGATTGCGCTCATTGCTCAATCATCATGGTGATCCAGAGATGGCGGCCTCAGTGTCATATATTTTGTCGCTCATGTCAATTTACGATCCAGGTGCCACGGCACACTCGACCACCTGCTTCCGTGATGGCATGTTCCTGGTGCTTAGTTATACGTTGCATCAGTCAACTCGCCAGGGTATTGAGCCTCCCAGGCTCATCCCAATTCATATGCAATTAATGACAAACGTTGCAAGAACAGTATACTTGCCAGGCTATGGAACACTGTTTTTGTATGAGTTTGAAAGCATGTTTGCGAGATTTGGCTCCCTTCTTGATCGTGCTGAGCGGGCACAGACGCATGGTGGTGGCAACTTGGTGTTCTTGAGAAGAAAATATAACGATTTATTGCTGTTTTCAAAAGATTCCATCAGACACCACCTTCCAGCGTTGGATTCGCACATGGACGACATTGAATACCAGGAAGATGTCCTCTTCACTATGTTCAATCGCTGGTCCAAGCTCCAGCCTCCAAGATTTTTGGCAGCTAACGGGTGTGCGGAGGGACTTGAGAAAGTGCTCAACCTATTCTACCGAGTGTTTCGGAAGGCGATTTTTGCGGTCGTACCGCAAGTTCGTTTCCTCTTTCTTCGAGACTTTGACTCGCCGCTCATGTTGGATGTGTTTGCCAATTACAACACGACGACGATCTTGGAAGAGCTCAAGGACCTGAGCCGTGCTTCAGTACCGCATGATTCGTACAACGAGTTTGTACCCGAGCTTCAGTATTTGGCTGCGTACTGTGTGCGTTTGATTACTTTCCTCACCATCAGAACGGCAATCTTGTACCGTAATTTGGTGTACGAGGAGAAAGTTCGGCAAATGATCCCCATCTATAACGCTGTGGAGTGGCGGAACTCAATCACCAATATCGAAGAGACAAGGCAGGAATTCCACGAGCTCATTGGGCTTCTGGAATACCCAATTCTGTCATTTAAGGATACTTACATCACACTGTCCCACTATCCGCAGATAGTGGATCCGCAGAGTCCCGGAGCCAAATTGGCAACCCCACGTCCTCCAGAGAATGATGGAGCTGACGGTGAGGTTGACATGCTCCTGCTCCAGGCCAATGGCTTGTTGAAGCATGACTTGTTTCCGGAACTCTGATACTTATTTATTATGAAATATGGGTTTGGAGAGTATTCTTGTAGTAGCGCGCGTATCAACAACAACCTATGGACGAGTACAACGCCTTAACCTCCACGCTATATGCGTTCTACACCTTCGACCGCTGGCTGTATCAGCAAGTGTACAAGCCTAAACTGATCAAATACAAGTCCCTTTCGTCCGATGAGCAGAATCTTTTGGACTTCTATCCCCAGCTTCTCAGCAATCTCGAACAATGCTTAGGAATCAACGATTCATTCACCAAGCAATTGGCTCTTACTGCTGCCGAAGATTGGGGTGTTACTGCATCGCCAGACCAATGGACCAAATGTACCCCACAAGACCATGATAAGGTTCGGCTGACGCTTCTACAACTTTCACGAGAGTGGAGTAGCGATGGTGAGGTAGAGAGAGAAACAACCTACAACAAGATTATAGAGGCGGTACAAAAAAGAATTAAAAACGGCAAAGTTCTTGTCCCTGGATGCGGCCTTGGACGTCTCGTGTTCGAGTTTGTACGCAAGGGTTACTGGACTCAGGGAAATGAGGTGAGCTATCATATGTTACTAGCACTGGGATACGTGCTTAACCGAATGCCCATGGCACACTCACACACGGTGTTTCCTTATATTTTTAAACTGCTGCATGTTCTGAGACGTTTGTTTCAAGTACGCCCCGTCTCTGTTCCTGACGAGACCCCAACGTCTATTTACGAGAACCCTGATGCCGCTGATCTCATGTCTATGGCTGCTGGGTCGTTTGTAGACCTCTATGGTCCACGCGATTTAGCTGTAAGCGAAGCTTACACTGAGGATGCTGCTGCCAGTGACTTTAGGGTAGAGAACGAAGGAGCCTTTGACGTCGTGGCTACATGCTTCTTTTTGGACACTGCGCACAATGTGTTGGATTACATTAAAACGATACATCACTGCCTTCGTGACGGTGGTTACTGGGTGAATATGGGACCTACGCTTTGGCACTATGAGGGGGATCTGGGGGCCATTGAGGTCGAGAAGGATGGGAAGAAAGCACACTCAATAATGGAAGGCATGGAGTTGACGAGGGACGAATTGATCGGTCTCGTAAAACGGATGGGATTTGAGATTGAGGAGCAGGATGTGGTACAAACTACGTACTGTGGCGACCCAAGGCCCTTGGGAACTTTGTTTATGACGCCGAGTTCTGGGTTGCGAAGAAGAGACCCTTAACAAAAGCGGCCACAGAGGACGCTGAGCCGACTGCAAACAAGGACTCCAGCGGAAACGAACCGAAGAAGTAAATTTGGTAATCATCTCTAAAGCTGGAGATCTAAGCCATGACAATGCTTTGGTGTTTTTCCATCTGTGAAGCCTGTGTGTGTGGCTGCGAAATCTGCCCTGCGTCTCGACTTGCTTAGGCGAACAGTGAGGTGCACTTAACGAGCATTTCACAATGGAAAGGTGGTCAATTCTAACCTACATTGGCCAAGAAAAGAAAACAGCGCTATCGTCGATTCAATGTCGAAAAACTTCGAACTCGTTTGATCGGCGTGTTCATGGACGTCTCCTAGCGGTGCAAGCTGTTCTACCGACGTCAATGCAGTCGGATTCATCGGTTTGCCAGCTTCTCGTCAATAAAGACAATATACTTGGCTTCTTTTCTGGATTTCGAGGCCCTTGTCATGTTTATATGTTGTGATCATTGGAAACGCAGAGTCACAGATTGACCCCTAAAGACACCAGGCCGCCGCCTTCTGGTCGCTTCGCCACTGAACCTCATTTAAGAATCATGTGAAATTGTTGAGTTACTATAAGACTCTGCTGAAAATGAAGGTATTGCTGAAAGCTAGTGAAAAGAACTGCTGTGTATGCTGTCCTAAGGCCCAAGAGACATACCGGTGAATGCTAGTGCCACTACCCACATGTCATGAGAATATGCGGCATCAACTCATCTATTCTGCCGGAATACCCAAAAAGTTTTCGCCAAGCCCGCAACTATTTATTAAAAAATCTTCCCCAAAATAATTCCAAAGATAATTTTGAACATCTCGTTATTGTTGCCCCTCGAGGGGCTGCTGCAAACCTGGCAATCTTATCGGTTGAGGTAGTGCACACAGACCAGCGCTACAAGTACCGCCCTGTTAACTCCTGACCCACCTAGATCACACTCGATATTCTAGCCACCCGAACCCCATAAACTGAATATACACCATGAGCTCGGCTACCTCGGTTAAGTTGGTGCTTTTAGGAGAGGCTGCTGTCGGCAAGTCCTCCCTCGTAATGAGGTTTGTGTCGAACGACTTTCAGGAAAGCAAGGAGCCTACTATCGGGGCTGCTTTCCTCACTCAAAAGTGTACCATCGGTGAAAGAACAATCAAATACGAAATCTGGGATACCGCAGGCCAGGAGAGATTTGCTTCTTTGGCACCCATGTACTACAGAAATGCCCAAGCGGCCTTGGTAGTCTACGACATTACCAAACCAGCCTCGTTTATCAAGGCCAGACACTGGGTCAAAGAGTTGCACGAACAGGCATCGAAGGATATCACCATAGCATTGGTGGGCAACAAGTATGACTTGGTTGCTGACGAGAATGACGATGATGATGACTCGTTGCGTAAGGTGAGCGCAGAGGAAGGCAAACTGTTGGCAGACGAAGAGGGCTTATTGTTCTTTGAGACCTCAGCCAAGACGTCTCACAATGTGAACGATGTGTTTGTGGCGATAGGCTCCAAGATCCCCGAGGCCAAGCCGCAGGCTTCTGAGGCCACCAGGCCTCAAGAGGGCGGCAGAATCGACTTGAGCGGCAATGCAGCACAGAGAACCAACAACCAGAGTTGCTGCTGAAGGTAGAGTATGGTATGGGGCCATTTGCTTATTGGGAGGCCTCTCGGCGTGGTGCGGCCGTACCAGGCTTTTGAGTCACTCAATCGATGTGTCCTCGACTTTGGCCGTTAGGCGTAATTATCATGGGTCCTGGGTATATATAAATGCTACGGCGTAGACAATCTAGTGTAAGTTCTCGTTGAGTTCGTCACGTGCACCGATTTCTCCACAGCCTGAGTATGTATGAGAGGATCAATGGATTTGTGAGCATCGGCACCATGTTGACGGTAGCATATATCCCTGAGCATTTCCTGACGCCTTTGTTTTTCGCTCAAGACAATGGCTACTACACCCAAGCTGGAATTGAAGTGAAGTTTGTGCCTGTAATTGAGGGTAGCGGAAGACTCATTAAGCTTTTAAACGAGGGAGAAGTGGATGTGGCAATTGGACTCACAGAGGCATTTGTCAGCGATATTGGCAAGGGCAACGACAAAATCAACGTTATTGGAACTTATGTTGAAAGTCCCCTTTGCTGGGCAATCTCCTCGGGTGTAAACAGAGACGATGTCACGAAACCAGAAGACCTAGCAGGAAAGCGGATTGGTGTATCCCGAATCGGCCTGGGCTCTTATGTGATGTCCTTTGTTCTTGGTCTTCAACTCAAATTCCCTACTCCGTACTTCAGCGACTTTCCTGTTTTGTCAAATTTCAAGAACTTGAGAGACGCAGTCAATGAAAAGTTCTCTGAGGATGGTGAGCCAAAGCACGCCGAGGCATTCATGTGGGAGCACTTCACCTCAAAGAAATACTACGACTCTGGCGAGATCAAGAGAATTGGTGAAATCTACACACCTTGGCCCTCCTGGGTGGTGACTGTGAGAAAAGAGACAGACTCCGAGGAGGTGAAAAAGTTCCTTGGAGCTGTCAGAAAGGGAATTGATTTCTTCTTGCAGAATCCCGAAGAAGCTGTCAAGCATATCTCCACAAACCTCGATTACTCTGCAGAAGATGCTCGCGAGTGGTTGAAGACTGTGAAGTTCAACGAGCAGTTGGGTGAGAAGGAGATTGACTGGGAAAGAGTGGTACTGAACACATCCAAGGTGCTCAAGACTGCCGGTGTTCTTGAAGATAAGCCCGAAGTTGATGAGAATTTGAAGAGCCAGATCTACTCCCTTTTGGTCTAGGCTGCTGTCTAGGGACCACGGCAGTAGTATAGGAAGCCAATAAGAGCATTTTCTGTAACCGCGTAGATCGGTCAAAAATTTATGATTTTTCTTGGACCTCTGAAGTGGCTCCTACAACGCATCTGCAAGACCCTGCCTTGGACTGCAGATTCACTTTTTAGAGCCCACACATTGCCAATAGCAAATCACTGGATATACCAGTCGTATCTTCTTGCACATTCGCATTGAGTTTACTCAGGTTTCTTTCCAAACGTCAGATGTCTCCAGCACCGGCATTTCTTCAATTGAGCCCCGCAGAGCAAAGGGCTAGGTTTCTCAGAATATCTCAAGTCTGTGACGAACATCTAGACGATGCTTTCGAAAAAGTGGACTCTGAGTGGGCCATGCTAGAAGGACAGAAGAAGATAAATGCTAAGAGAAACAGATATCTGAATGTGTTCCCGTACGACAAAACTAGGGTCGCTTTACCCGTACTTCCTGGAGCAAGATCAGACTATATCAATGCGTCTCATATAAACTTGGCCGGAGGGTTCAACTACATCGCTGCTCAAGGCCCGTTGCTCAATACAATTCCACATTTCTGGGCTATGGCATTTCACCAGGCTGAATTGCAGAAAGTTGATACCGTGGTGGTAGCGATGATGACACCCTTGGTTGAGAATGGAAGAGAGAAGTGCAGCCACTACTGGCCCGATGCTAAAGACCCTACTTGGGATTTCAGTGAAACCTTGAGGTCAGAAGGGATCTCTCCCGGGGAATTGAAGATTACTTGGAAGAGCAGCGAAAGAATTCACAACGGAGACCTCATTCTCTCAGAGTTCAGATTGGACTCACCGACTACCTCCAAAAAAGTTCTCCATTTCTATTTCCAGAGGTGGGAGGATAACAAGGTCCCCGATCTGATGGACCCGATTCTCGCTCTTTCTTTGGAGATTCGGAAAATCCTTGAGAAGGACCCTCGGATAGCACCCATCGTTCACTGTTCCGCTGGTGTGGGGAGAACAGGCACATACATCGCCATAGATTACTTGCTCAATGGGCCCACTTTCTTTGCGCTGGACATTGATGACCCTGTGTTCGATATAACTACCAAGCTTCGCAACCAGAGGATGATGATGGTTCAGACAGTCTTCCAGTACATGTTTTTGTACGGTGTAGCCAGGCGGCTATATGAGGAGAAAAGCATTGCCAAAGGCGCATAGAAGCTGATAAATAATGTCTAGATGAGAATGTCGATGTTGATCGTAGGGATATTGGTGGGGGCAAGTGAATGAATCAAGAAAGAGGGAGAAAATGACACAAGTAGGAGAGATTCAGATTACTTTGGAAGGCCGTCCATTTTAAATTTTGGAGTTCGAGAAGTCCCTCAAGTCTGGCGGGATAATGCGTGGGGCTTGTTTCATCTGGGTTAGGGTGCGCCTGGCTGCAAAAAGTTGTCCGTCAAATTATGTCAAATAAAACAGCACCCATTTTGAACCCAGAACCACATATCATGAATTGCGGCTCCTTTGGCACTGAAATCCTTGTTTATTCCCTGACGGAACTCTCTTTCCAAGTGAACCTCCCCATGTTCGAAATGGAGGTGATGAACTACATTAAATCGACCTTCTCCACGCGTGAGGTGGTTGAGGTGGTGAAGAAGATTCAGCATAAAGCAACTCTTGTTACGAAAACCCCATTTGACTCCCCGTTTGCCGAAATGAAAAAGTTAGCACCAGACCTGTGGGAGATCGTCCTAGCAGGCAACGATTATATCCTTGGTGATTTGTTGAATAACATTCACAACAGTGGCGGGTCATCGAATGGTGGCGTTAAAGCTATAGGCATGGTGGCTCCAAGGGAGTGGGTTCGTTGCTCTGCCTTATGTAGCATGTCGCTATTCCAGCTTACGCCGCCGGCTCTGATTGAGGAAGTATCACCGGATCTGGAGATGGAATTGAGACCTGGCAGCTCACATGAGATTACTGATGTTGTGCTACTTCCAAGAAACAAGATATCTTACATTATTGGATCTTGTGGAAAACGAATTGAGAGAATCAGAGAGCAGTCATGCTGCCATATCACCATCCCACCCATTGCTCCAGCTAAACTCATGCAGTTGAAGGGAATGTCAGGAAGCGACTATCAACAGGAGTTGATTTTGAAAGGAACAGACTCACAAGTTTCCGAGGCAAAGTCTTTGATAAGACGGCTCCTTATAAGCTATTAAACGAGTTAGCGTTGGTGGCCCCGACTGCATTTCGCAGCCATAGATGCAAGTAATATGGTACGACTAACCCAATGAGGAAGTCTAATGAGCAGATGATTACTAGTCGTTTGGTGAACGAGAAAAGAGAAGGAAAGAGCTTGTATTCTTTAACGCTATCACGACTGTTATTGCTCCTACGTCAATAGCTCAGCCATTGGGATAGTCCAGGGGCATCATTAACAACCCTACTATGAAAGTGACTTAAGCAATTGGGCGCTCCATCTCTACTTCCTCTTCAACATAGGAAATACGAAGTATCAGAAAATAAATTAAGAAAAAAGGTTGTTGCCTCTCACTGGACGACTTTTGTCTCAACGGCTGGTAGAGCCGAGTGGTTGGTCGGGTAACACCCGCAGAGGGAAAGGAGAGATGTACGGGTGTACCCAACGGTTCCTAGATGCCCACTGGATGCAAAATTTTCAGGACCCGCACCAAAATTTTTTCACCTCCATCACCACTTCTTTCTTAGTTCACATTATCAAAAATGGCTGACGGTGTTTTCCAGGGTGCTATTGGTATTGACTTGGGTACCACTTACTCGTGTGTTGCTACTTACGACTCCGCTGTCGAGATCATCGCCAACGAGCAGGGTAACAGAGTTACTCCATCTTTCGTCGCTTTCACTGCTGAGGAGAGATTGATCGGTGACGCTGCCAAGAACCAGGCCGCTTTGAACCCAAAGAACACTGTGTTCGATGCTAAGCGTTTGATCGGTCGTGCTTTCGACGACGAGAACGTCCAGAAGGACATCAAGGCCTGGCCTTTCAAGATTGTCGAGTCCAACGGCAACCCCCTCGTTGAGGTTGAGTACTTGGGTGAGTCCAAGACTTTCTCTCCTCAGGAGATTTCTGCTATGGTCTTGACCAAGATGAAGGAGATTGCTGAGGCCAAGATTGGCAAGAAGGTTGAGAAGGCCGTTGTCACTGTCCCAGCTTACTTTAACGATGCCCAGAGACAGGCCACCAAGGACGCCGGTGCCATTGCTGGTTTGAACGTCTTGCGTATCATCAACGAGCCAACTGCCGCCGCTATTGCTTACGGTTTGGGTGCTGGTAAGTCCGACAAGGAGAGACACGTTTTGATTTTCGACTTGGGTGGTGGTACTTTCGATGTTTCTCTTTTGAACATCACTGGTGGTGTTTTCACCGTCAAGTCCACCGCTGGTGACACTCACTTGGGTGGTCAGGATTTCGACACCAACTTGTTGGACTTCTTCAAGGCTGACTTCAAGAAGAAGACTGGTCACGACATCTCCGGTGACTCCAGAGCTTTGAGAAGATTGAGAACTGCCTGTGAGCGTGCCAAGAGAACCTTGTCCTCTGTCACCTCCACCACCGTCGAGGTTGACTCCTTGTTTGAGGGTGAGGACTTCAGCGCTACCCTCTCCAGAGCCAGATTCGAGGACATCAACGCTGCCCTCTTCAAGTCTACTTTGGAGCCAGTTGAGCAGGTCTTGAAGGACGCTAAGCTCAACAAGTCTGCTGTTGACGAGATTGTCTTGGTCGGTGGTTCTACCAGAATCCCAAAGATCCAGAAGTTGTTGTCTGACTACTTCGACGGTAAGTCTTTGGAGAAGTCCATCAACCCTGATGAGGCTGTTGCTTACGGTGCCGCTGTCCAGGGTGCCATCTTGACCGGTCAGTCCACTTCTGAGGACACCAAGGACTTGTTGTTGTTGGATGTCATCCCATTGTCTTTGGGTGTCGCCATGCAGGGTAACGTCTTTGCTCCAGTTGTCCCAAGAAACTCTACTGTTCCAACCATCAAGAGAAGAACTTTCACCACTGTTGCTGACCACCAGACCACCGTCCAGTTCCCAGTTTACCAGGGTGAGCGTGTCAACTGTTCTGAGAACACCTTGTTGGGTGAGTTCGACTTGAAGAACATCCCACCTATGCCTGCTGGAGAGCCAGTCTTGGAGTCTATCTTCGAGGTTGACGCCAACGGTATCTTGAAGGTCACCGCTGTTGAGAAGTCCACCGGTAGATCCGCCAACATCACCATCTCTAACTCTATCGGTAGATTGTCTACTGACGAGATTGAGAAGATGATCAGCGACGCTGAGAAGTTCAAGAACGCCGACGATGCTTTCGCTAAGAGACACGAGCAGAAGCAGAAGTTGGAGGCTTACGTTGCATCCGTCGAGTCTACTGTCACCGACCCAGTCTTGTCCGCCAAGATGAAGAAGTCTGCTAAGGACAAGATCGAGTCTGCTCTTTCTGACGCCATGCAGACCTTGGAGATTGAGGAGTCTTCTGGTGAGGACTACAGAAAGGCTGAGTTGGCCTTGAAGAGAGCCGTCACCAAGGGTATGGCCACTCGTTAAACATAGCATCGTGGAAAACTATAAGAAGGATGTGATAATTCGTGTATAAAAACCTTTCCATCTGTTTATTAAGGGCAATAAAGTTAAGTCAAGATACCGTTGTAAGTCTATTCATCTAATATGTAGTTACCCAACTTATCCATTTTGAGATTCTGGTTTCCCGCAGAGATGGCTTCAATAATTTTCTCGTTATCTTCTTGTAGGTCATCCTCTTCTTCTTCCTCCTCCTCGTCGTATTCTTCCTCGTCGTAGAGATCTTCCGCGTCATCTTCATCATCCTCTTCCTCTTCTACCTCGGATGCCTCATTCTCCTCATCGTCTTCCAAGTCTAAACCTCTCATTCCCAGAACAGCATCTTCCAAGTCCCTGCTCTCCCTTGTTTTGTTAGACGTCCATCCTGAGGCCTTCACCTGAGTATCAAGGTCAGCTTCTCTTTTGACATCTCTGATGAAGTTGGGATAGCCGTACTTGTAGCCCTCACCATAACCCTCAGTGTCAAACATGGTAGCATCATGGCCAGGTGCGTAGTTGAACTTTCTTTCAAAAAATGCTCGTATGCCCTCGACATCTCTGTCAAAATAAAACTTAGCATCAGGGTGCTCTATAGAGACACACTGAGGGAAGTCGATGACAACAAAATCGTATCCGTTCTTTGGTTCGTTCCTGATGATAATGTTAAATTCGTTGAAATCACAGTGGATCAAGCCGTGGTTGGCCAACTTCACGATGAACTTCATTAACTCGGAATATAACTTCTTGTATGTGGTATACTTCTTCATATGCTTCATAGGGTATCCCTGAATCCATTCCATCAACACACAGTGACGCAGGTAGTCATATGGCGTTGGCACGATGAAATTGTTATTGTAAAGAATATTCATGAACTCGTACTCTTTCTCCGCAGCGAGTCTACTCAAGTACATCCAGCTGGAAGTATTTCTGTTTTTCAAATAGTCACGATTGTTCTTGACGGTCTTGAAAGAAGTACGACCCAAACGGTGAATTTTCAAAACCTTCTGTGTACCGTTAGGGTCACTCACAGAGTAAATATCGGATTCTTTACCAACACCAATGGTAGTTCCCACCGAGTAAAGGGAGTTTCTGTTCAACATGGTCTTCAAGGCCAAATAGTCGAAGCCCGTGTGCATGAGTCTCCAACCGTCATATTTTGCATTTCTTAAACGGGCCACGAGTTTGAGTTTGGCAAGGTCTCCGAGAGATCTGTTTGTAGCAGAAGGTGATTTAAGACCTCCCACAGAGTGGATGATCTGGGTGGGCACCAACTCGTGATTTCTGGAACCAAGCTCAACAGCTTGAAGGACACGAAAATCGTCGGCGGTAAGGTACCGCATATGCGACGTGTCAAGCTTCATTTTGTGTCCGGTGTGTGCTGATATAGAAAGCCTTCCTTTATCTAACTTTCCAGTTGGTGATGAGCATCAAGCTTTGCACCCGTACATATCAAGATAACGGTCCAACCCAAACAACCAGACTTTCTTATTTATTCAAGTACACAATTCGATGTTCAATCGGCGACGTTATAATCGCAAATCAGCAAGACGAAAAGCTTTCCGTCCGAGAGTCAGAAAAAAGGGCGTCATTTTGAAACCTCCAGAACCCAGTCAGTACATACCTCCAAAACCTGACTTTGATGCATCGGGAGCAGCTCCATATATGTGGCAATACTGCCCACAAAGTGAACCCTTAAAAGTTAAACATCGACATGATAGGATTCCGTCATTGAAGGACATATGTGCTCTGGTTTTGGCTGAAAATGCGGACGCTTTGGAACCCTCTTACTTAACTACCTGCTCCTGGACGTGCTGGAGATATGTGTGGGAGGTTATTTGTCAGTGGAACTTGGACTCACCTTATATTTTCAAGATGTTTGCGAAACAATTCGGCTCAATGCCTGGATTCAAATGCCATAACACGCATCTGACAGATATCGGTCCACGCTCTTCTGCCCTTGCATCTGCTGTGATACCTGTTCGCAGCCATAGAATAGACAATGTTTTTGCAAACATTTCGCATAAAGACTTCGTGGGATTTTTGGCGGGCTTGGATGCCCACGTCATCTTGGACTGTTCATCGCTCAAGGACTTGGGAAAATCACAGGTTTTAAACTTTTGCAATACTCCAAACCTCGCAGGCTTGGATCTATCCCACAACGACTGGGTAGATGATCAGTTTTTGTACACTTTGGGTCGAGCCATAAGGTTCAAAGATCTTTCGAAACTCGGGCTTTTACGCCTTGTTAATTGCCCTAATGTTTCGGATCGGGGTTTTCTAGAATTTTTAAGGCAGCTGCTGGTTCAGCTCAGCTTCATATCCACAGACATCAGAGCCCTTACCAAATCAACATTTGAAGCTCGTCTAGAGGGAAAGCCAGAGATTCCAGTGCCTGATTCGAACTGGTATCTTTTGCTGGCTCACAGCGCTCACTACAGTATGCTCCTGAAATACAATTTGACCATGAGCGCTCACTATCTTCTGAGAAACACCGATAAACTAAACATTCCAACCAACTCTCCAATCTGGGATATCAAAATGTATAAGGATTGTGTCGACTTCAGAGATTCTAAAACTTTCTACTGCAAACTTGGGGATACTTGGAGATCAAGAGAGAAATCTTCCATGCTGCGACCGGTGTCCAATCTGTTCGTCTACATAAGGAGGGAAGGCGTTTCAAGTCCACCGAAGTTGTCCGTACGCGATGTTAAATCGCTGACCACTACCCATAAGTCCACAATAGCCGATTCGGCTATTACTCAGAGAGTGCCCAGAAGAAAACCGAAGCACAAGCTCAAAGATACTAATGCATTCTTCGGAATTTAATCAAAAATTGGCTGTAGGTCAAATTTGATGCGTGTAGCATCACGTATTATTAGGTATTTGATGGCCCGCGTCTAAGAATGTTCAACAACTCGTTTCGTCCGTTATCTGCGGGTTTAGGAACTCCCAAATGAGCTACTTGTGAGGGAGGCTTCTTTCCTAACAATGCAAGTAAGTTGGCGCCATTCTCATTTTGTGGACGTTGCGGAGGAAGGGCGTTTTGTAAGTTGATGGTTTCATTGCTTGTGCCATAGATATCTTGAAGACCATCAGGCTTCAGCTGATATGTGGCTGATGAGCTCGAGTCACCCGTACTGTGAGCTGCTTGAGGAACTGCGTGAGCATCCTCAAAATCGTCATCATCTGTGCTTTCGACATATGGTTTCACCTGCGAGTCGGTGAATTCACCATCGTCTTCAAAATTATCAAAGTCTTCGAAATCCTCGAAATCTTCAAAGTTCTCTGGCGTTTGTGACTGCTGAGGTGTAATTCTCACAGTGTCTGGAGTGGCCGATTTCCTGTTAAGGATGTCCAAGATATCGTTTCCAGGTTTATTCGCCTTGGAAGTTGTTGTCACAGGCGAGCTAGTGTTACTTTGCTGAGTGCTTCCAGATCTGGAACCTTCCCCAGTCAAAATGGCTTTAAGGTCAATGGGTGTCTCTGCGCTCTTTTTAGCGAGACGAATTGGTTTATCCGATTGCTTAGGTGCTTGGTTTGTACTGTTAGAATCCTTACCCTTCTTCAAAATTCCTAGGAGATCCGCTGAAGCAGACAGAGAAACCGGCTGGGGAGATGAAACAGGGTTTGAAGCAGCAGAGGCACTGGTATTTTTGCCATTGAGGATGTCCAATAATGTACTAGAAGGGTTTTCTGGTTCCTGAGGTTTAGCTTGAGGCTCAGTAGGCTTCGAAGCTGGATGAGGAGCCGGGGATCTTGACTTAGAAGATGCGTCTTCGTCTCTGGTAGGTGGCTTTTTTCCAAGTAGTCCGAGTAAAGTGGCCGATGCGTTTTGATCTTTGTCCCGCTTCAATAAAGTGATTTTCTTTGGTGTGGTAGAACGATTTGTAGCATCAAGTTCGGTAGCATCTTCATCCTCTAGTTGAGAATGTGGCATTTCCGTAGTAGTTGCAGACTCTGATTTGACTCCACTCTCCAGTGGGCCTCTACTTGGCTCCTGTTTCTGGAAGAGTTTGAGAAGGTCATCCGCTCTGGACCTATTGCGTTGTTTCGCTTCCACGGAGGCTTCTGAAAGCTGATCATGCAGTGATCCCTTGGGAGCCTGTTGCAAAAGTGACAAAAACTCCTTCGAATTCTTCGACGTCGAAATTCTTTTTGGCAATGAAAGACTCTGTGCTGAAGGCTCCAAAGGTTGTGTTTGATACTGCAGAAGGTGTTGGACATCTTTTGGAAGTTCATGTGGAGGTTCCGAAATTGTCCCCTTGGATTTGAGTTGATCTTGAGGTGTCTGCAGTTGAGGATGCTGGCGACTCTGTGCAATTTCAGCGGAAGGTTGCTGAGTTTGACTTTGCACTTGGGGGTGTGGCAGCTGGATTTGAGGCAGTAAGCTTTGAGGCTCCTGAAGTGGTCGTAAAAGATGAGCAGGTGGCATAAATGGCTGTTGCCTAGGAGGAAGAAGATGTGCAGGCGGAAGCATTGGATAATATGCTTGTGGAAGAGGCTGCTGGGGAACAAATCCGTTAGGGGGGTACCCTAGGGGTACTTGGTGATTGAAGTTAGGAATCTGCGGCTGTTGTGGAGGACGAATTTCCTGTGGTGCCAGCTGTGGTGCTTGTGATTCCGGCTGAGATGCACCCTGCAATATGTCAAGCAACTCTCTGCCTGCTTGATCATTCTCCTTACTGACACCAATACCCATTATAGCCTTTAACTTCGCCTCCGCTTCTCTCAATAGCTGTTCCTCGTTAACCAATCCCTTGTTCTTGTTAACCCAGGTTGTCAAAGCCTTAATAATAGGGTCGACAGCGAAGAATTTTTGAGGATTGTTCTTCAAGGATTTTTGCAATTTCTTCAAGTCGAACCATTTGATCAGTGAGATCTCGAATCTAGACAATGCAGCAAATTCAGTATCCTCGGGTACACCGCGAGCTAAAAAGATCTTCATGTTCTTACCAAAGACGGTTCGCTCAACGAAGTCCTTCTCATTGACGTAGGCTTTTGCATCGAACCCTGTCTCCTCCCTCACCTCTCGAATTGCACATTCCAAGTCACTTTCCCCTTTTGAGATTTTTCCACGTGGGAAAGACCAGGAGCCTGATTCCATACCTTGAACCAAGACAATCTTCGTCAATTCCTTATTCATCAATGCAATTCCTCTCACAGGGATTGTCGATTTATACTTTCCGAACTTGGAGATAGCATCTCTTGGATCACCCCATCGCCAAAGAAGCGGACATTTGGATAAAAGAGCTGGTGCAAATGACTTCATTTTCATTGTGGGCAAAAGCGGATTGAGTTGCCTGACAAAGTCCAAGTAAAACCACTGGGCCTCCTCGACTTGAAAGAAGATACGTTCGATCGAGGATAAATCCTCATCTGGAGCATTGACGAGAAACCTTACTAAGAGGTCCTCAAGCACTCTGTCCACAGGCTGCCCTGATAGACCGTCTTGAAGTTGTATGCTCATAGTTTGTAGCTTGGTGGTGGTGATAGAGAGCCCGTTCAATACTCGGTTTTTCTCTGACTGAAAGTTGTGTACATAACATCATTCAAGTTGGATGCTGGCTATGACTTAGCTCATGCCCAAGTGAAGGTGATGGTACAAGATTCGGAATTCCTGAATCAAGAAGAACTAAATATTTTTGAGATGCAAAACATCTTCACAATGCTTCTTTCGAGTTATTGTTTTGAAGACGTTGTGGAGAGATCCGTGCACCAGAGGAATATGGCATACCGAGCAAGATAGACACTGCAGTAGCGTTACAGATATGAGGTCTATAAGAGCGTTTAGTGTGTCTGCTAGGCAGCTCCAAAGGCCTAGAGTTCTGCAGCCTCGATTTGCAAAAACAGTGGAGGAGGCAGCCAAGCCTGCTCTTCAAAAGCCTCAACCGATCACGAAACCATTCGGCTATGAGGAGCCAATATTCTTGAATAAGCTCAACGAGCACTCAATTTCAGAGACTTTCTCGAAAGAGAGCAGAGAAAGAAGACAGAAAGAAATTGATTATGATTTGCAGCACTCTCCGTTCTACGACTCGAAATCATTCGCCAATACGCATGGCAAGATCTTCCTGCCTCCGATTTCTTTCTTCAAACAAAGCAAGTCTCTTTACTTTCCCAATTTCGAGGGATACACTTTGCTGAAGAATAAGAGGCAACTTTATGATGTCTTGAAGGATAAGGTGACAATTCTTCGAATGTCGTCTGCTATCTCGGGTGAGAATTGCACCAACAGTTATGTCCAAGACTACCTTAGTGGCCCAGGCTATGAACAATTCAAAGAGAAGTACCCTCATTCTCAAATTGTTGATATCAATATACCTCAATCTTGGATCAAGGGCTTCTTCGTTTCATTGGCCAAGAACAACATCAGGAAGATGATCCCTCCACCCAGACACGATCTGTATTTCGTCCTATCCCACAAGCTTTTCACGGGAGACGTCAAGAGAACTCTCAAATGTGATAACGCCTGCTCGGGATACTTGTACATATTAGACGAAACCGGAAAGATAAGGTGGGCTACGAGTGGAATGTCGGATGAGGAGGAGAGCACAGTATTATGGCGGTCAATGCGTGCCCTCGAAAAAGAATTGATACAAAGCAAGGAAACTGAGATCGATCAATAAATAGTAAGTTGAAAGGAATGCATCAGAGACTAAGCAATACAAATTGAGAAGCGTTACCCGCGCACGCTGCTATATAAAGATGCAGGGAATTTCCATCTAATTTCTTCTACTTCTTATGACCGATGATGAACCTTTCAATTGGGAATCTCTCTGACAATCCAAAAATCATACTGGAGAAAACCATATAATTGATTTCTGACGGTCATTCAATGGGACTTAAGCAGGACGCATAGCTGATGAAATGACACGGCGAATAAGATCTCTTTGAGGTGGTACCTTTCGTGCCATCAGACTGAAATGCATTTCCATCAAGTTTGAAAATTGATACGGTGACCATCTTACTAGTTTTTGATTAATTTTCTCTTATCTTCAAATGCTCTACATCGCAAGGTTCAACTTCATGGATACTTTGTTGCTCTTAGACCTCTCTCCCCTTTTTCAAACATCTGTTATTACCAGCAATCCCAGGCTAATCAACTGGGTAAATCCATGACTTGAACTTTGAGGTAAATTTGAGGCAAGGTTTAAAACACTTGGTCCTGACAAGTGTATAGGGCTTGAGCCCTAAAAAACCTTATCGACATCGCGTTAATCTCTAGCTTGATACAACCTGCACGTGACTCGCGCTGCGGGACCTACAATTTTTTCAGACCTCACCAAAAAGTTTTCCCTTCTCTAACAACGTCTATTAATAATGTCTGCCCCAATCAACAAGGAGAAGGTCCAGGAACAAGCTGAGGAGATCCACAAGATCAGAATCACTTTGACTTCCACCAAGGTCAAGCAGTTGGAGAAGGTTTGCTCCAACATTGTTTCTAACGCTGCCCAGAACGAGATTGTCAAGAAGGGTCCCGTTAGATTGCCAACCAAGGTGTTGAAGATCACCACCAGAAAGGCTCCTAACGGTGAGGGTTCCAAGACTTGGGATGCTTACGAGATGAGAATCCACAAGAGAGTCATTGACTTGCAGGCTCCAGCCCAGATTGTCAAGAAGATCACTCAGATCACTATTGAGCCTGGTGTGGATGTCGAGGTCACCATTGCTGCTTAAGCGGTCTTGGTGTCTTTATTAACGGGGTACATCTCGCAACTGTGCTGTTGACTTCACGCACCATCGAGTGGTGTTTCATGTATTGTAAGTGACGCTGTGTCCAAGTGCTCTAGGCGTGCCGTGTAACGAGAGTTGCACTGACGTTGTGGTGTTGCTATCAGGATTTGGTACGGCAATCGGTGGTGGGTCGAGTTAGTGCAGTTGTTTAATAAAATTTTTTACTCAATGAATTGTGTAGTACGGTGTTTAAGGGTTCGTTAACTCTTCGTGCCTTGTTATTTCGATGGTAAAGGTCGGTCTATCAAATCTTCTGTCGTGTTTCAAGTGCTAATCAGTGAAAGGGAGCAGCTGTCTGAGGTGAGACAACGAAAGCGATATCTTCTATTGAAACAGAATTCTTCCCATCGGGGGATTCTCCTCTGAATCCCAAAGTATTTCTCACATCTCTTAGACAAGATCAAATTATTAAAAAGTTCTCGCTAGATCACGACCAGTTTGGCTGCAAAAAGTGCTTTTATTCTGGGACAAACCTAACATGTCATATCTGTGGATAGCATGATGAACTAATTCAGCTCTCTGTAAGAATCATGAATGGAAGTTTAATCGTGTTCTCTATAGATTGTTGTCACATTTCTTATCGGGCGAATTGATAGGGTATTCACGGCGATGGTCAGCTTCAAGTATGACGAAAGATTCTTCGGGTCCACAAAGTTGCCAGAAAGTCTATTTAGGACGAGGAAGCCAGTTGGGGCTTTTTTTTTTATTAAATTGGTCCCTGGGCAGATATCTCTCATTACTTATGACTATTGCACAAAAGTTAGAGTCTTACCTTTTCGGCAAGTGATAGGTTAGAAACCTGAGTAATAAACAAAACATTCCACCGAGCTAAAAGATGCTGAAAATGCAAGAGTTGAAAAGTGAAAGAAAATTTTTTACAGAAAAACTATTAAACTGTGTTGTTTTCAGATAACCAACTGTGTTGATGTGATTTGGTACTTGGTAACTCCTTCCGCTGATACATCGTAAAAAAGTTCATTCAATTTTCAATCAATGAATGAAATTGAATTTCTTGAATTATACGTCGAGTCGAATTTGTAAAGATTTTTTTGACTGCTGCTAGATTGGCTTCATCAATCCCTTATCTGTCCTATCTGCGTGTATGCACTCTGCTCTCTCTCCGGCACACACAAGTGAGTGGACACTGTTTCCTACTTGTTTGTGGCTCTTCAACTTTCTACATTTGATTCATTTTGATCAGCAAACCTTTCTGCATCATCGGTTTCTGTCAGCCACTTTTCCCAGGCTACTAATATATTGTTGATTTTTTTGGGCCAATACGGAACACATCCCGCAAACCCCTTTGTCCCCGCTTTTACCATAACCAATGTATGTCCTAGCCCCAAGCCGAGGCTATTTTATGTTGCTGGTCGTCAGTTGCAAAATGGAAGACGTTTGTTGAATACCCTGGCTTCTTCTGCCGCTAGAAAGTCCCAGAGCAGATTGTTGCGGAGACGCAATGTGGCTCTAGTCTCGGGTGTTATCATCGTTGGCTCCTATGTCACATTCAACCAATCGAACTACTATAAATTGGATACAGCTCCACCTGGGTCCAACTCCCGACTCACGGGAAATCCAGCCAAGGCTGTGACTAGCATCGTTGACAAGGAGGCCTTCTCCTCCACCACATCCTCGATGGTGCGCCAGAATAGTGTGGGTGCTCAACAGCACAAGGAGGGAGTCTTTCTTCTCAATGATGAGCAGGTCAGTGCTAAACTCAGGCAATTTGAGGAGTCATATAATGTGCATCGTGGAAAGGGAGTGACTAGATACGACATTTGCCAGCTCCCTTCCAACTCCCCCATTGAGGATGACAGAGCCGAGGAAATCGTCCAAGTACCTATCTTGCAAGACAATAATGTGAGGACCTCTACAGACTGGATGTTTTTTGGTGTTTATGATGGTCATGGCGGCTGGACCACCTCCTCTAAGTTGCGTGACCAGTTGATTCTGTACGTCATCACTGAGTTGGGCACTATCTTCAAGCCATCGAAGGAGGAGAATTTGCGTTACGTGCCTAACCTGGCCACCATCGATCAAGCAATCAAGAATGGCTTCTTGAAGTTGGATCACGAAATCGTGAACAAGAATATTGAGAAGCTTCTCAACGACAACAATAAAGCGAAAGCCGCTGAGTTGTTGATGCCAGCTTTGTCGGGCTCTTGTGCTCTTCTTTCTTTCTATGACACCAATTCAAAGATGTTGAAGGTTGCTGTTACAGGTGACTCTAGAGCGCTCTTGGGCTCATTCAAGAACAACCAGTGGACGGTTCGTCAATTGAGTATTGACCAGACCGGCTCCAACCCTACTGAAGTTGCAAGAATCATTTCAGAGCATCCAGACGAGCCTAATGTTGTTAGAAACGGCCGTGTTCTTGGCTCTCTCGAACCAAGCAGAGCTTTCGGTGATTGCAGATACAAATTGCCAGGGTCTATTCAAGACAGACTCTATAAGCAGTTTTTCGGGAAGAAGCTTCCTAGCAATTTAAACTCTCCACCATATGTTACTGCCGAACCTGTCGTTACAACGACAAAGGTCAGTCCTGAAAACAACGATTTCCTTGTCATGGCAAGTGACGGTCTTTATGAGATGCTTTCTAATGAAGAGATTGTTGGTCTTGTCGTGAAGTGGATGGAGAAAGAGAAGCTTGTCAAGCCAAACAAGTCGTTCTGGAATTATTTTGGCTCTTCAGAGAAGGGCTTGCCCCAGGTTTCTGACATCACCAACGATAAAACTTCCAAGCCTCCCTTCCGCAGGAACAGACTCAACACCGGAAACGGCTTTCTTCTAGAGGACAAGAATGTCTCAACCCACTTAATTAGGAATGCCCTTTCGAATGGTGGCTCTAAAGAGCAATTGTCTATGCTTATTTCGATTCCAAGTCCTGTTTCTCGTCGTTATAGAGATGATTTGACAGTTACGGTTGTGTTTTTCGGTAAGGACCTGGATGAGAATAATGATGGAAAGTTGGAGACCAATGCAGGTGCCACTGCTGGCGGCATTGATGCCTCGAAACCCAAGCTTTAGGTGTCAAGCGACATTTTCGCCACCCTATAAACTTGGTTTAGCTCTATACATATTAGATAAAGATGTTTTGCTGATACCGCAGCAATGTTCTTCACAAGTGAGTTGTAGTTTTATGTTAGTGAGTACTCAAAATGTGGAAGGATGCATGTTTCTCAGGTATTGAACCGCGATGCTCAATGCCTCGAAATCAGTCAAACATCTGGAAATATGACTTCGTAAAATTTTGTAAAATAATTCAAGTCTTTATCAATCCCGAGTCATTGATAAGCTTTTTCACCTAGCATATAGAAAGTGTTGCCTTTAAAGCTCACGTGTTCCAGTTGCATTGTGCACAGTATTCCAACATCGCCTACGCAATAGACCTATTATCAAGATCAAGCATTGAGATGGCGACCAGTTCAATTCTTGACCCCAAAGAAATTTTAGAGACGCCTCAGAATGAAAAGTCTTCCAAAGACGTTCTTGCTGCACAGCTCCTAGAGCCATCCAATCATTTAACATGGGACGTGCAAGATATTATCCAATCCAAGCCATCCGTTGATAAACAGAGAATCTTCGAATCATTGTTGATTCAGCCAGAACCTGTTAGCCGAAGCTCGTTTCGTTTTAAAAGAAGTGGTCTTAAAGGTGAGATAGTTGGTTACAAGGAGGAGATCAGGATCTCTGAGCTCGATAATGCTACCTCCGCAAACTCACTTTCAATCAAGAGAAAGTACGGACTGAAGCAGGACGCAACCAGCGGTAAGTCAAACTACCTTCCGTTCCAGCCGGGTGGCTTGTTCAGCAGCACGCTGACCAATCAGACCCTCAATACCCAACAGAATATGTCCGAATTTCAATTTTTGCATAAGAATAGTCTTGGATTATTCGACGTCCCACCAGGTTTCTCTCGTGGGCTTAATATATCCGGTGCAGCTGACACCTCTGAGGGCGTTGACGAATTGGAAGCTGGGGACGACGAAGAGGAGGTAACTGAGAATGATGGCGAACCTATTGAGTCCGATTTGATGGGCAAGTTGAAGGACGATGAATCCAAAGACGATGTTGGAATCTCGGAAATCGATGATTTGATCCCATTAGACTATATGAAAATCAAAGCGAAGATGGAGTCCGAGCAAAGAGTCAAGAAGAATTGGGCGCACGTCGTTGATCTTGACCACAAAATAGAGAATTTCCAGGAGGTGGTGCCCAACATGGCTCGTGAATGGCCCTTCGAACTTGACACATTCCAGAAAGAAGCTGTGTATCATCTAGAACAAGGTGACTCGGTCTTTGTTGCCGCCCACACCTCGGCAGGTAAGACTGTTGTGGCAGAGTACGCTATCGCAATGGCAGCCAGAAACATGACAAAAACGATTTATACCTCTCCAATCAAAGCCTTGTCAAACCAAAAGTTTAGGGATTTTAAAGAAACTTTCAAAGACATGGAGATCGGCTTGATCACAGGTGATGTGCAAATCAACCCAGAGGCCAACTGCCTCATCATGACGACTGAAATTTTGAGATCCATGTTGTATCGTGGTGCAGATTTGATTCGTGATGTTGAATTCGTGATCTTTGATGAAGTCCATTATGTTAATGATATCGATCGTGGTGTCGTTTGGGAGGAGGTGATTATTATGCTTCCAGACCATGTCAAATACATTCTCTTATCAGCAACGGTGCCAAATACGTTTGAATTTGCCAATTGGGTGGGCAGAACAAAGCAAAAGGATATGTATGTCATTTCCACGCCCAAGAGACCCGTTCCATTGGAGATCTTCATATGGGGTAAGAAAAACCTTCACAAAGCTATCAACGCCCAGGGTGTTTTCCTCGAATCAGAATTCAGAAAATATAGGGATATTATGGCACCTCCGCAAAAAGATCAACCCCCTAATGTGACTGTGAGTTACGGTCTGAGAAAGGGCCCTGGCGGAACGGCTAGAGGTGGAAACAGAGGTGGTGGACAGGCTGGTAGAGGCGCTCCTGCCGGAAGAGGCGGAAGAGGTGGTGCTCCTAGTGGAAGAGGAAGAGGTGGAGCCAACTCTGGCGCTCGGTTTGCAAGAGATGGCCCCAACAAAGGTACATGGACTGAATTGGTGCAGTATTTGAATCTGAACAAATTGCTTCCTGCTGTTATCTTTGTGTTCTCCAAAAAGAGGTGTGAAGAATACGCAAACACCATGAGTGGTGTTCAGTTTTGCAATGCGAAGGAAAGATCCGAAATTCATATGTTCATTGACAGAGCTGTCTCTCGTTTGAAAAGAGAGGATCGCGAGTTGCCCCAAATCTTAGCTGTGAGAGACATGCTCAGCAGAGGTATAGCAGTCCATCACGGTGGTCTTCTTCCAATTGTCAAAGAATGCATTGAGATCCTTTTTGCCAAGTCTTTGGTGAAAGTCCTTTTCGCAACTGAAACCTTTGCAATGGGATTGAATCTACCAACGAGAACAGTTGTGTTTTCTGAATTGAGGAAGCATGACGGACGAGGTTTTAGAAATTTGTTGCCAGGTGAATTCACACAAATGGCTGGTAGAGCTGGAAGAAGAGGCCTTGACTCCACGGGTACTGTGATTGTCATGTCTTACAATCAGCCATTGTCCCCAACCGATTTTAAAGAGACCACCATGGGTACTCCAACCAAGCTTCTGTCCCAATTCAGATTGACGTATAACATGATTTTAAATCTTTTGCGTATTGAGGCTTTAAGGGTGGAAGAAATGATCAAGCACTCTTTCAGTGAAAATTCAACGCAGACATTACTTCCAGAGCATCAGAAGAAGGTTGAACAACTCAAGGAGGAGCTCAACTCAACACGGGTCGAGACCAACTCCGAGATTGAGAAGTACAAACATGCATACTCGATCATCTCACAGTATCAAGAAGTGTATGGGCAAATTGTTGCAGAGGTTTCTAATCTGACATTGACCAGAACTGCTCTTTTGCATGTCGGAAAACTTATGTGTTTCGTGGATGATAAGGGTCTTTCGAGGACAGGTTTCCTTGTTAAGTGTGACTTGAACTCAAACATGATGATTTTCCTCACTTTCGATCATGGTCGAAGTTTTGAAGAACAAGAACAATCGCTTCCATTCCTTCCAGTGCCGCAATACCTCAAAAGTACAAGGCCGGAGATTCGCTACAGTGGGGGTCTCAGAACGACGAGTGTTCCCTTTTCAAATGTTCAATTTGTCAGCTCCTTTGCTTTAAGAACTAATTTCAGAAAACTTCTTAGTAACAAAGAGGATACCGTGAAGGAAGCAGAAGACATCATTCAACGAATTTTGCATCTGCAGCTTTTCTGGTACGAGCTAGAGTATCAAAAAGCTGTTCAACTATCATTGCATGAACTCGTCAACAAAAAGAACGATCTCGTTTCACAGTTGAGAGATATGGACATTTATAAAAAGCCTGACTTCAAGAGAATCTACTCTCAATTGGCTAAGCAAGACACAATTGAGCGCAAGATAGAGTCATTGAATCTTTTGATTTCGGACGAGAATTTGGAATTGCTTCCTGATTATGAACAGAGATTGAAGGTACTTCAAGCTCTTGGTTTCATTGATGATCAGCAGCGGGTTGTACTTAAAGGCCGTGTGGCGTGTGAGATTAATTCGGGTTGGGAGTTAGTTCTTACAGAGCTCATCCTTGACAACTTCTTGGGTGATTTCCAGCCTGAGGAGATTGTTGCTCTCCTCTCATGTTTCGTGTATGAAGGAAGGACCAACGAAGAGGAGGAGCCTCCAATGACACCCAGATTAGAAAAAGGAAAGGACCAGATCCTCAAAATCACGGAGAAGCTCCTCAAGGTCTACAACGAGCACCAAGTATCACTCACGGCTGAGGAGGAAGAGTTCATTGAGCGCAAGAGATTCGCCTTGGTTAATGTGGTGTATGAATGGGCAAGAGGCTTGACATTTAGTGAAATTATGCAAATTTCTGTCGAATCTGAGGGTACAATTGTTCGTGTGATTACAAGATTGGATGAAATCTGTCGCCAGGTCAAGAATGCTGCTTTGATTGTTGGTGACTCTACGTTGCATTCGAAGATGAATGAGGCTCAAGAGAAGATCAAGAGAGATATCGTTTTCTGTGCGTCATTATATCTATAAGTAGTTCACTTATTTCGTTTTGAGCTTGCAATGCTGTATATGCCATTAGGACCGCTCAACACTTTGTCATGAATGAACTCGGTATTTACACGGGTTGTGCCGAATCGAAGCACAAGTACCCCAAGTATAGAGAAAAAGCTGCCGATAGCAGTTTTATCCTTGATCTTAACTCGTAGTAGTTCGGCGTCAGTGGTCAGAAGCAATCCATAATCCTGAATACCTCTATATGGAATCGAACAATCATATAAAAGCTGACGCCTCATAAACTCTATGATCAAACGATCACAATCTTTGAAATATGCTAAGTTGTGCTCTAGTTCAGACTGAGACATGGATAGGTAGGATAGACCTGTGAATATCGTTGCACTGTTCAAGCTGCATTCGAAAAGGCGTTTGCCTACCTCACGAAGAACATTTTGATGAACGAAACCTTTCTCAAAGGCCGAGCCTGTCGGGCTTGAGCGATGTTCGATCTTCATATTTGCAAGTCCGCATATCATCGGAAGCAAGTCTTCGAAGGGTACTTGGAAGCTGTTTCCGAGAAACCGTTGCACGAGGTGAGCTCGGCTTTCAAGCAGCTTTTTGAATTGGGGATTTCGATCAAAGTGTTCTTTTAGGTCAGCGTTCCGCTTATAGTCAACTCCATCCAAATAGGTGGAACTGAACTCTGTGCTTGATGTTGGATAGAACTGGAAGTTGTGGTCTTTGATTGTCTCTCTTGCAGGTTTCCCTAGACTTTGATCTTTCAAAAAGATGTCTCTGCTCAGCACAGCTGCCCAGTGATTTAGTCGGACATGTTGTAGTAGTGTATGTACTCGACGATAGTTCATGTTGGAGAGATCTTTACTTCAATATGCGAAGACTGTTTCTCGATATGCATGTGGAGTCCATCGCGATATCTCATCACAAGCTACATCGAGTACTGAGTTAATCATGTCATCCAAAACGAAGAAGAAGTCGGCTGGCGCTGACCTGAAGAGTCAGGTCGATGCTGCTGCACCACCCAAAAAGATCAAAATTCCGAAACTGTTTATCGCCAGACCTACTCTGACCAAGCAGACATCGGTCTATTTGCAACCTCAAATTGCCGAAGCCATGGAGCTCAACAAAGGTTGCTTTGTGACAATTTCCAAAGAAAGTGGCCCCGGGGTTGTGGCTATTTTAGAGTTAGAGGAAGTCGAAGAATCAAATGTGTTGAGGATTCCCCAAAGGCTCAGAGAACTTGGTGGGATATTACTAGGCGATAGGCTACAAATTACAAAAAGATCTAGCCAGCCACTGTATGCCAAGCAAGTGATGGTCCAAATTCCCGAGAGCCAAAACTGGGAGGATCTTAATAATGCCGTAAAAAAGACTTTTGGTGAGATTGGTGTTTTGCAAGCAGGCCTCACCTTGGAGGTCAAGGGCGTCACTGTCACCATAACACACATTTCTGACGCCGATACATCCATTGATGATGTGACGACAAAGCTTTCAAATATGAGTTTGGAATCATCCGCGGACATGGCATTGGTTTCCCCTGTCTTCCTTTTTCACTCGTCAAGCATTTCGTCTACAACACAAGCGATTGACTACTCCATTTACCCAAGAATTCCTCGTCCCACCTCACTCAATTATGTGGGTGGTTTGGAAAAGCCTATTTCACTTCTTCGATCAACCGTCAATTTGCCTCTACATCATCCAACAATATTTTCAGATTTTGGCATATCACCTCCTCGGGGTATTCTTCTACACGGTCCGCCAGGTACGGGAAAAACTTTGCTATTGCGCTGTATGGCACATGAATCAGGTGCTCATGTTCTTATGATAAACGGACCTTCTGTAGTGTCCAAATACCTAGGAGAAACTGAGAATGCTATCAGGGATCTATTTGCAGAGGCAGTGAAGTACCAGCCTTCGATCATTATCATGGATGAAATTGATTCATTGGCGCCAAAGAGAGGTTCTGATGATGCAGGCGAGACTGAGTCTAGAGTTGTCGCCACTTTGCTCACAATGATGGATGGTATGGGTGACTCTGGACGGGTTGTGGTAGTGGGCGCCACAAATAGACCCAATCTGATCGACCCCGCCCTTCGAAGACCGGGACGTTTTGATCAAGAGGTGGAGATTGGTATCCCTGATGTTGAAGCCAGGGCCGACATCCTCGCCAAGCAGCTTGCTCGTATGAAGAGCGAAAAGTGCAACCTTCTGGAAAGTGACATTAAAGAGGTTGCATCAAAAACACATGGCTACGTCGGAGCTGACTTGGCCGCATTATGCCGTGAAGGTGTCATGAAGACAATTGCTCGTGGACTTTCGGGTCTGTCCGCCCCCATTCATGTTGGCGCCATTGCATCGCTTGATCTTTCTAACATTGAGCATCTCGACTCAAGTATCAAGGTTGAGAAGGCGGACCTCGAGGCCGCCTTTGTGGATGTCAGACCATCAGCCATGAGGGAGATATTCTTGGAAATGCCCAAGGTGTCCTGGGACGACATTGGTGGACAACACGAGCTAAAGCAGAAATTGACCGAAGTGGTTCAGCTTCCTCTCGAAGCAAGTGAAACATTTCGTACGTTGGGCATCTCAGCACCTAAAGGTGTTTTACTCTACGGTCCTCCTGGTTGCTCCAAAACTTTGACGGCAAAAGCGTTAGCTTCTGAGTCGGGTCTCAATTTTTTGGCAGTCAAGGGTCCAGAAATCTTCAATAAGTACGTCGGAGAAAGTGAGAGAACAATCAGGGAGATATTCAGAAAAGCTCGTGCGGCTGCTCCATCCATTATCTTCTTTGATGAAATCGATGCCTTAGCTTCTTCAAGAGAAGAGGCACTGACTCTGGCAGCCCAGCACGTACTCACATCGTTGCTCAACGAGATTGATGGTGTTGAGGAATTGAACGGCGTCGTGATAGTTGCAGCCACCAACAGACCGACTGAGATCGATGCTGCTCTTTTACGTCCTGGTCGTTTGGATAGACACATTTACGTTGCCCCACCTGACAAGGAAGCAAGGCTTCATATTTTGAACCGTAAATGTGGCAAGTTCGAGATTGATAATTCGGAAGCTCTTTTTGAAAGATTAGCACAGGCCACAGACGGTTGTTCCGGAGCTGAGGTTGCATTGCTATGTCAAGAAGCCGGTCTTGCCGCCATCATGGAGAATAAGCAAACCCGTAAGGTGGAGGATAGACATTTTGATCTTGCTCTTCTGTCTATTTCCAAGGGTATCACTCCTGATATGCTTGAGTATTATAAAGAGTTTTCGCAGAGAAGCGGACTCACCATGTAATTAGAGAACTCAACAAAATCTATCTATATGTACATCATTTTATCTCATTGCGTAAATTACTGCTGCTTGCAGCCCTCCTCTAACTCCTTTTCGATATCCTTTGGCAAGTCCTTCGAATCAAAGTCGAGCCCGTCGGCACCTCCGCCGAGAGCACCTCCACCGAGCGCACCCAAGTCACCGAGACCAGGGAAGTCCTTAGCATCTCCAACTAATTCAGTTGGAGGGTTTCCAAGCTCTTGCAAGCCTTCAAGAAGTTTGTTCACCTCCTCTCGCTTTTCAGTGCTTTCATTGTCGAAGTCGGGACTCTCAAAAAGAGCCATGATGTCATTGGTAACCTCGTATTGTTTCGTGTATCTGGCATGTTCATCCTCTGGAAGCTTGTCTTTCTGCTCCTTCAAGAAGTCAGGGAACTTGGTGTTGAGGTCCTTGATAGGCTCGTAGAGAACGTCCTTCGAAGACAATTGCTCCAACATATCAGTCAAAAGCTTGGACATGTCGAAATCACCATCACCGGCACCGCCTCCCAAACCGGCCAAAAGCTGTGTGAGCATGTCCTCAGGATTAGAACTAGATGGATCATTCTTCAACTGTTCATCAATATTCTCCCCGGACTTCTTCAATCTTTCCATAGTATCTTTCATCACGCTATCGAAATTTTGAGGGTCCATGGCCTTCTTGGCGTCGGCTCTGTGGGTAGTCTCGAACTGCTTGACCAAGTTCTCAAATTCGTCTTTGGCTTTAGGGTCCTCAATGTTAAGATCCTTGATAAGCAGCTCCATATCGTACTGGAAGTTATCCTCTTGAGGACCCTCAGAAGCCTTCTTGGTCGTACTGGTAGCTTGGCTTTCGCCAGCAGCAGCTTGAGATGCTGATCCTGGAGGTTTACTTAAAACCTGCTCGTCAAACTCGTCCAACAAGTCGTCCAAGTCATCCTCATCATCATCTTGAACTTTCTTCTCAGTCTTTGGTTCGACCGTTGGCTCCGAAGTGGCTTCAACTTTCTTTTCCTCGTTGGCACTCATGACTGGTAATAGAAAAGACTCTATAGGTGGTATTTCTTCACATAGTCATGGCATGTGGGGGTCGACTGGACAGAGTATCTGTGTGCAGGATGTGGACCACCTAAAGCGGGAAAAATGGGTGCTGAATGTCCGTAGATGTTGAATCAATGATGACTCCTCGGCGAAGTTTCAGCGATCATCATCCCCCTTTTAAAGTTCATTAGTTTCCTCATGGAAAAGCTCAGCGCCCGCATATATCACATTTGTGGGGTACTGCGGGCCGAGGTTGGGTGCAAAAAAGGTATGAGACAGGCGGCAATGTGAAGGAGATACAACTCAACCGAGTCGACCTCCTGTGGAAACTAATCTGTGCCGCTAGAAAATCCTCTCTCTTTTGACAACAAAACTTGGCTATCGGTCTTCGAACATTTCAACCCGTAAGACGTACGCGTATGGCCCTTAGACCGGGTTATGATCTGATTTGCGAAACCCTCCATCAACTATTTCACTCATCTGTAATAATTGTTCGGCTGAAGAAGCCGGTACATCATTTCTGGGTTTTTAACCCTTAACTCCGTGCATTCAAGCTGTTTGTGTAGAATACATGAAATTTCACAGGGAGATAAGAATCAGTAGACTAGTGCCTACATTGATGTCTGCGAACAATACAATGTTCTCGTCGTGTGATGTTTCACTTTCTTAATTTCATCCCCATTCTCCATTTCTCTTGCTCAAATGAACGAAAGGCAGAAGAAGATTTTTCAAGTAGGCGAAATTATGCATGATCAAGTATTAGTACTTTGAAGTATTTCGTGTGACTGACAAATACGGCTGCAAGCTGCAGACTTTTACTCACGCGGCCATACTAAACACATGGATCGCATCATGATGGAAAGGCTGAAAATTCTGCCTTTAACAAATACGAAGTTTCGAAAGGCTCCTCGTGAAACCTGATATTTGTTTCATCCGTCCCTGCCGCTTATATGAATATTGATTATGTTGAATCGCTTCTTTACGGCTTTGCTGATATGCCACCGGCGCCTTTCTGCAGGTCAGCCTCAAGAGTTATGAAAAAATTAGGAGCCTCAATTGTTTGTATAAATTTTAGACCTAAACAAATAATACAAGCATGTCTCTTTGCAAGACCCGATTACAAGAGGAAAGAAAACAGTGGAGAAGGGACCACCCTTTCGGTTTCTACGCTCGCCCAAAGAAAACCTCAGATGGCTCCCTAGACTTGACCCACTGGGACGCTGGAATTCCAGGCAAGCCAAATACCCTATGGGCAGACGCCACATTTCCCGTGACGATATATTTTTCGGAAGAATACCCCTCGAAACCACCAAAGGTGATGTTCCCACCAGCATTCTATCATCCAAATGTATACCCTAGTGGCACTGTGTGCTTATCTATTTTGAACGAGTCGCAAGATTGGAGACCTGCGATTACCTTGAAACAAATCTTGTTGGGAATCCAAGAACTTTTGACGAACCCAAATCCTGACTCTCCAGCTCAGGAACCAGCATGGAAGGCTTTCAGCAAGGATAGAACCACATATGAGAAGAAGGTCAAGGAGCAGGCAAAGAAGTATGCGAACGCCTCGTAGAGATGAAGAATGTTTCAGCGCATAATTATCAGCTGTATATAATTGTATTGTATAGGAGTCTAACTCGCCAGGAATTAATGATTAGATAAAATTGGCGCTTGCCAGTGTGCTTTCATTTGCCCTACGTAGCTGAGTTAGAGATCAAGTCACGGCTCTTCACAGATCCTTCGTTGACAGACCCCTCGCCCAACTGCGAGGTTCCCTTCTCCTTGTATGTGCTCACAGCGGGGATGTCTGCCTTGATTCGCAGCACAAGCGTCAGGTATGCACGGGGCTCCAACTTGATGAGCGTATGTAAAGGTATCAGCATCCATGGACTCTCCTCCTGAGGCACATTCATGAAATATGCATAAAGACAACGTAACACGGCTTGGTGAGTAATAATTAAGATGTTTTCTTGACGTTCCAACTCCATAATGATGGGCTCTAAGCGAATCACAATGTCTCTGTAGGATTCACCGCCACGGTAACGGTATTCATATTTGTTGTCATCACGGGCTTTGAAATCATCTGGGAATTCTGTTTCAATCTCTTCATAAGTCATACCATCACACTCACCAGCATCCAACTCATCCAAGGCTTTCCACTCTAGCTTTTTTTGGTACGGCAAAAAAGAGGCCGTTTGTTGTGTTCTCTTCAATGTAGAGGTCCATACCGTAAGGTTAGTGTGCTTGTGCTCCTCGCCGAGCGATTTGAGAACAAGTTCAGGAAGCTTTTTGGCGTATCTCCAACCGCGTTCAGAGAGATCCAGATCGCCTCCAATCTGGCCCGTCAAGTTGTATTGGGATTCACCGTGTCTCGATAGCCAGATACTTCTGGGTTTGATATGCAAGTTCATCACATAGTATACAATTCTCAGCTCCAAGTAGCTCTCGATTCTGTTGACGATAATCTGGGAGGTGACATTGACAAGCTTGATGAAAGTCAAGTCAGCGTCGGCAGCCAGGTCCATGGTTTCGTAGTATTTTTCGTACTGCTTAATACGGCCCAAGAAGTCGTTTGTTGCGTACTCCGAGTCGAGGTCGACGTAATCGGGAGACGTGGTTTTCACATCGGAAATGTTCTGCAAGATCAAATCCTTGTCATCACACCACAGCTCCAAGAAGATAGGCTCAATCAAGTTTTCTCTGCACAACTTAAGAAGCTGGGATCTTCTGTTTCTTGTTGAGTTGGTGGCATCGAGGATACCCACAACACCATTCTCCTCGGCGAACCACTTCATCATGTCCTTCACTGCATGGTTGACCGCTTCTTGCCTGACCTTGAGACCAGCCTCGTTTTCAGGGTCAAAGAAGTCGAAAGTAGTATCTTCACGCAGCGTCAAGAGACGACGGTATGAACCAACATTGAAGCATTTGCTCTTGATGGAGAGCCACAGGAGATAACGGACAATCTTTTGAGCAATCAAGGACTTTCCTCGGGCGGGCAAGCCTACCATAATGACGCAAATACGGACATTCTCCACATGTGAAACCGAGTAGACTGGCATGGTTGCAGAATGGCCCAGAAAGAGGTGGATGTGAAAATGGCGGGAAACAGAACGGTGCGATTCCCCAGATTTTTTCCTCTTGCTCGCTTGTGCCTCGTGCACCTAAATCGTGCTTTAAGACCGAGACCTAGACCACTACAAAAGCGAGATCTCGGACATCCTAAGGTTGCTCAATTTGAATGTAATAGAGTTTGGAACCGTTTAGGTGATTAGCGTAAAACATTGCAAACACCACCGCAACAGAGGCCGTAAGCTTCGAGATTGCTTGTAGGGTAGTTGTTGAAAGGAGGGTAGTTATTGCAAGGAGGGTTTTTTTGAGGTTTATGAAGACAAAGTTCCTTATCGAACTAGTGACGGTTTGTGAAAAGGTTTTGTGGATATCCAAGTTGGTGGACAGCTTACTTGTGGAGAGTGCTAAATGTGGAACCACTTTAGCGCATTGAGGGATGCGAAATCTTCCCCGTAATCACATAACTAAAATACGAGCAGACGCCTCTTTTTAGCTGATGTTCGGACAAAATCAGCATTTCCTTGAAGATCGACGGTAGAAGAAGTCCTGTTTTTGCCAAAAGCCATAGCCATTGTCAAGATATGCCTCGAGTTACTTGGCAGGCTGCACGCCAATACCGTTAAAGACGGTCTTTCCTCAGTCAGCGAAATGTACTTTTCAATCCAAACAAAGAGTAGTTCGAAAGGGTAAAGATCAAAAGATTTCAGAACTGGCTAGCAATTCGAAAAGTAGGCCTTTAGTAGGATATCCATTATCTGACTTCTACACGTGACCCTTGGGGCGCTACCCTTCTTGTTCTGCCCTGCGTCTTTTCTCCCACAACTATGAAACGGTTCCTTCCGAAACAGAGAAAAGAACCCCATAGGGACAATAGCGAGCCCCAAGCTGGCTCTGCAAACGCATCTTCATGTTCGGAAAACGATTCTCTTCACGAGCTTCGGCCTATGTTTCAGCATGAAAGTTCCAGCACCACGAATGATATCCAACTCAACACGAACCCTAGCATATATGCGCCATCCTCCCGAGCAGAAGAGTCAGACATATCAAGATCTCTTTTCTCCAGTCGACAGTCATACTCAACAAGGCAGCTGTCGTATACATCCTCCAAATCGAAGAAGGCTTCTTCCGGAGGAGTTGGACCGGCTCTTCAGGTGTTTGATATTCCTGAAGACAAAGAGAACGGAGGCTCTCCACAGGACTCTATAAATGAGGTACTTCATGTTCTATGGCAGGATGTGTCTTATATCAGGACGGAGTATCTCAACTCCCTGCTTACCTTATCTACCTGCGTGGTCAACATAATCGACTGTCTCAAGGATTTCGTGACATTTACTGAATCATTTGATGATAGCCTGGTTTGGTCGTTTTCCGCCTACGATAATGCCGATGTCAGAAGAGTACTTAAGACCTACCTCCACCTTTACGATAATCTTTTGAAGGACGAGGCCTACGTCAGACTTAAACTCCTCTTATGCAAGAATTTTAACGACTTCACTTCTTCCTTGAAGAGTACAACTAGAAGAAATGTTGGCTCTTCCACGGTTGCAAAACCAAAGAACTTTGCTATCGGCGCTAATGGAGGTAAACCGTTACCACGCCAGGAGGCCATCACTCGGATTATGCGAAGGATTGCAGAAAGTTCGACGCCTATTCAAGAGCAGAATGGTTCGTTCATTGCCCCGATCGCACGAGGTCCTTCTGAGGACATGAATGTCTTGTGCTTGTATTTCGGTTACCCCAACCCTTCCGAATACCACAATAATGTTATCAGTACTATACATGAGCTCTACGACGACATTCACGTTTTGGTCAACAAAAACAAGATTGAAGCAGCGTCAACGGCTTCCCCATCACCAAATGTTCCCTTCCCCGGAGTCCATGTTCCACCCACAACGCCGCATAACCCCACACGCTTCAAACTACCTTTCAGAGTTCCAAGCGACTCTACAAGTCCGCCAATGTCTCTCTCAGTATCCACAGAGAATGCAAAGCGGGTCTCAGGAACAATAGGTGGTTTTATATACCCCAAGATTGACACGGAGAAGCAACCGCATCTCTCTTCCTATGCCAAATCAAAGTTTGCCATGACATGCGGGCATGTCTGTCTAGACAAACGAGAAGAGAGTGTGGACTATCCACATGTGTCATCACCCTCGTCTGTTCTAATCGGCCTCTATAAACAGGCTCTTCAGGAACAACAACAGAAGTGCGTTGAGAATGAGGACAAGTCAATGCTTGAGTCGAAGATTGCCTACACTTCAGTGTTGAGGCAACTTGACGAGATGTTCCCGGTAGGAAAAGTGAAGGTTTATGACCCCAAGGACAAGCAAGAAAGATCTGAAGTTCGCAACTTCCCCAAGCATCGGTTCGGTCAGATAATATGGGGCGAGAGGACTTTGATACAAGCGAAGCGTACCAAGGATGGTCGCCATTTGAAGGAGAAGAGACTTAGTGATTTGGCAGTTATCAAGGTCAATAAGTTGCTCAAATGTGATCAAAATTTCCTTGGTGATGACATTGCTTTCAACGAATATGACACCTCCTTGATCTTTGAGAACCTTTACGTAAGGAAGATCATTCTGCTTGGTCGCCTGGCTAGAGATATCACCGAAAATATTAACGAGGTGGATTCGATGGCGTCAACCAACTCTATGGACTCAGATGGCAATACCACCCACAGAGGTCTACTGGTGTTCAAGTACGGCTCTACAACGAAATTCACCAAGGGTTTTCTCAATGGAATCAAACTTGTTTATTGGTTGGACGGTGCCATCCACTCATCGGAGTTCGTGGTGAACTCCTGTGAAAATACTACCGCATTTGCTGCTGGCGGCGATAGCGGCTCTTGGATTTTGACTAAGCTTGAGAATGTGAAGGGTCTGGCCAAGAAGGATGGTTTGGGAGTTGTTGGTATGCTTCACTCTTACGACGGTGAATTCAGACAGTTTGGTCTATTCACACCCATGACCGAGATTTTAGACCGTTTGGAGGAGGTCACCAAGATCAAATGGGGCGTTGTTGGTGTGCAAGAGAAGGGAAGCGAGATCGTTTCTAATGAGTCTGAGACTAGCTCGGAGCTTGATAGCGACTCGGAAGATGACAGCGAATACGAAGATGTGTTAGAGGAGCAAACAAAGGCTCTAGGAATTGATTAAGAAAAGGAAATTGATTAAGAAAAGGCATATATTTTGCGAATATAAAACAGAGGAAGAAGAATTGAATTTCCGAACAAAAGATTCACAACAGATAAAGCTAGAAAGTATCATCAAACAAGCAAGGCAAGCAATCCAGCAAGGCCGCCAAACACGGGTGTCAATTTGACGCCAGCGTCTTCCCAAGAAGTTACACTTGTTGGAAGAACAGTGGATGTTCCATCTGTTGGACCAGGTGTAGGTTCCTCAGGGATACACGACGAGACCGTGACTGTTGTTGGCTCAGACACAGTGATGGTGGTTGGATCACAAGTGTGGGGTCCACAAGTAGTAATTGTGATGGTTGTCTCGGTAGGGCAGTAAGTCGTGATGTCAGTGAGTGTTGAAGTAGTTATATTCCAACCTCCGCTAGGGGTAGGCAAGGGTGAAGGAAGACTGATTGGTGGAATCGACGAGGAGGTGTCATCCGAGGGGATTGGAGAAGGAAGACTGATAGGAGGCACCGAAGAAGAGGAATCATCATCAAGCTCCTCGGCATGGAATCTCACTTCACTGCAATCATCAAATGGCTGGGTCTCGTTGGCATACACCAAGTTAGACCGTTTATAGCCATTAGGGTCTTGATTCACACCACAAGCCCAAGTCTTCAGACCCAACTGAAGGTAATCGTTCTCGATCAGAACATCGCTTTCACCGTCTCCCCGAGAGGCCATCACCACATACTGTCCCAAGGTGGCCAACTTCAGGTCCCAGCCTTCGAGAGAATGTTCATCCTCATCGTACTCCAAGCCAATGCCTTGGTTGTGGAGGTAAACATAATCATTGCCTGACCGGGCCTCCTTCTTGGCGTAGAGGTACATGCCATTGAAGTTCTCGTTGGAAGACTCAACGGTGAACTGGTAGCGATCGGCGGCGACGGCGGAAGCGAGCAAAACGAGAGAAAGATACATCATTTTTTTGGTAGCTAAATAAGACTCGCAAAGCTTGTCTTTATATACTCCGAGGAGTGGTCCCTATCCATGACCCAGCTATATTTGGCTTGTCCAAATACGGGGGAGGCTTGCAAAAACAAGGGGGCCCAGATGCTCGGAGTAGCCCAAGCCACCTCTTGAGAACAGATTTGGTCATCTTAGGTCAAAAAAAGTTAATTTAAATATAGCATACATGAAAAATTTCTGTCCAGTTACCCTACGTAGGACCCCACAGTTGGCCGACTGCAAAGCCATGCGGCTGTATCAAAGTCGCACCATTTACGAGGTGACGCAATACCCCTGCCGATTAGATTTGCGGTACATACACACGGCTGCATTAATAATAATGGCAAAATTTGAAAGAGTCTGCGACCATAATGGAAACAGCTTTCTTCTATATACTCCATGAAGGCTAATGGGCAACAGGAACAGATCTAAGTTCTAAAAATATTGGCCAAAACACGGTTTCTGTCAGTGAACACCGAGCGGGGGATGTATGTGTGCCCAAGTTAGATCTACACCGGTTTGAAAGATTGCTTCATTTAAAAGCTATTTAAAGCATCCTTTAAATCAAAACAGAACGAAGAAAGTGATTTTTTGAAAGTATAACTCAGCCCGAGATCTTTGTCTAAACGAAATTAGGAAATTAGATCAACAAAGCAGCGACACCAGCAACACCAGCGACGAAGCCAGCAGCGTTCTTCACAGCGGCACCCTCGAAAGAGGTGACGGAGGCAGAGGTGGATGGAGCAGCAACAGAGGATGGCTTGGTCTCGGTCTCCTTTGGAGCGGTCTCCTTTGGCTCGGTCTCCTTTGGAGCGGTCTCCTTTGGAGCGGTCTCCTTTGGCTTGGTCTCCTTTGGAGTGGTCTCCTTTGGCTCGGTCTCCTTTGGCTTCTCGGTTGGCTCAACCTTGGATGGCTGTGGGGTGGTGGTCTTGTCAACGAGACACTCCTCAGTGATGGTCACGGTCTTTGGCTCGGACACAGTCACCTCCTTTGGAGCACATTCCTTCTCGACACAGGTGGTGACGGTGAGGGTGGTTGGCTCAGGGCAGTAGGTGGTGTAACCAGTCACAGTGACCTGCTTGGTGGTGGTCTGGTTCCAGCCATCGTGGGATGGAGCTGGCTCCTCCTTGCCACCGTCGTCTCTCTGCAAGGAGATCTTGTGACAGGTGTCGTTAGGGGCCTCATCGGCAGCAGCGACACCGTAGTCCTCAACGAAGTGCTGGGATGGGTCGTTGAGCTCCTTACAGGCCCAGAGCTGCTCGGCGATCTTGAGAACACCCTCGTCGTTGAAGGTGACCTCGGATGGCTCGACAGCACGGCCACCTTGGAGGAAGCCGGCGTCAGCACCAACGTTGGCCTGGTCGTCACCGTCGTACTGGTAGAGACGGGCCTCCTCGGCGTTGTAGTGGAACTCAGGGCCAACCTCAGCCTCGAGAAGGTAGAAGTTGATGCCAGCACCTTCTCTGACTGGGGAGATACCCTTGCCGTCGACCTCGGTATTCTCAGAGACGACTCTGAGGTTGAAGGTCTCCTCGGCAGCGACGACAGCGGTTGCGAATAAAGCGAGAGTGGAGTATTTCATTGGGGATTTAAAAATTCGTGCGATGGTAAGAACAGAAAAAAAGAAGGTCTCTAGAGATAGTTGCTCCATTTATATATCCATCAATAGGCTGGTTAGTTGGCACGGAAAGTGCTTGGTGGTTGCAACCAATAGGGCCCACGCAGGAAACTAAAAATAGGGGCTTAAACAATGTCAGGGTGCGTCAGGGTCCCACGCATCTACCTTAGAAAATGCGCTTTGCACCCAAATGCAGCGGTAGGTTGGCGTGTCTGTGCACGCCCAGATGGTTGTCTTAACTCAAACCAAGCCAGCTGTTGCTTGTTATAGCAATCCCCTCTACATAGCTGCGATTTGTCTTTCGCTTGGCGCCGCTTCTAGCGCGATCACACCGGACAACAAATAGTGACCAGCCGCTCTTATGATAATAAGCGGTGGCTCCGTGGCTGAGTTGCTTTAGTTTCCTCGTTTCGCTTAGGCGGCCGTGATTTCGCACCCTTGTGCAGCAAGCATGCGGTGCAAACTAATGCTTCCAGAAGAACCGCCTCGCCTTCCACGGCATCACCACTACACGCCACCGCGACTACAGACTATTTTTGTTGGTAATTCTTGATGTTTGTTTTCTCCTCACACCAGCAAAAAGTGCACCGTGTTTTAACTGCGTGCTCCTAAAAGGTAATAATTCTTGCTACTTTAAAGCTTGTCTCTGCGAACTTCTATTGTGTGCGTGGTCCATATGTCGACCCTGGGGCATTGAAAGGCACTTGCTTCTTTTGTTCTAAAAATTTTCCCAGCTATATTCCTACCGCAAACAAGTCGAGTGGCGTTTTGCAATAGAATTTAGTTTAGGCGAAGGAAAAGGAAATTAAGAAAAAAAAAAAAAAATAATCAGAAGATCTTGCTTCAAGTTTGCACAAGATCCTCACAACCTTTCATGCCGCTTGTACTCTGTGAAGCGGCTCAAATTAGTCCATGCTTCTTCTGCACGGGCCCGAAGCTCGGGTTCCCGGTGCTTGTCGATGCGCTTGTAGCAATTGCGCACGGTTGGTTCGATGGTTTCTAACCGTGTTAGAAACCCGCCCTCGACAAATACAGGCTGGTCATACTCATACTCGGCATCCCCAAAAATATCATAAATTTGGTCCAAGCTCTCCACAACAATTTCCACTGCTTGCGTTTGCTGACCTGCCCCTTGTGAGAAGTGGTCGATTGCCCCAAGTAGGAACTCACCGATGGCCCTCGTAGTCTGAATATTGCCGATAGTTTGTGCCAATGTCCCCATAAAGCCGATGCTAGACAATACAAACTCATACGCCAATGCAGGATCATCTTGCTGCGTAGCGTTCCCAATCACATCTTGGCATTTGTTTAGCAAACTGTCGACTATTTCGGGTCTCACTTTTCTCTGTACGTCCGAACCGAGGCATTTGCTGAGAGCCCAGAAAATATTGAGGCAAAGTCTTTGGGTATCAATGTCTGCACTGTCTGACACACATTCGATAGAATCCCAGAGCTCCAAAGCACAATTGTACCACGAAACTGGAGTTTCCTTGCTTGTAACAAAAAGCCAGCTGAGATTGTTGAGTGCTACTAACACCTTCCCTGTAAGGCCTAAGCCAGAACCATGTTCGTGGTCAAACTTTAACAAATGTAAACATGATGCAAACGCGGTGTCTAAAAGAAACGATCTGACTTCCTCTCCCAAAACAACCAGGGCTTCCATAGAACCTTCGTCAATTGCGAGATATTCACACAAGCTTGTGAAAAGATCGATCGTCACATCAATAGCCTGTAGATCTGCAGAAGCTTGAGCCTTCTCAGGACTGACTCCACCAAAAGGCACGTCAATATCCTGAGGCTTCTCCTCCTTCTTGTCGCGGTTATCCTTCTGCACTGGCTCGGTGTCGGTCGTGTTTAACTGTTTGTGTATCTCATCAAGGTTCGTGCCTGAGATAGTGTGAAATATGTTTCCAAGTATAGAAAGACACGCCTTCTCTTTACTGACTTCTTTCTTGGCTTCAGGGTCTACCTCGTATATGTGGAATCGAAGACCTTCCACATAAACTTTTCCCAAATGGTTTTTGTCATGGATAGGATCTTGTAATGCACTTTCTAATGCGTTTAGGGAGAAATTTGTGTTATTGACAAGCTCCACGATAAAGTCGGAAGAGTCCGATGCAAATTCATAGAGGAGATCCAAAAGCGCATTGAATAGCTTGAGAGAAGTCCTGAGTTTTGGGGTATTGAACGCAACCAACGAAACTGTAAGCGGAAGAATCCTGTCCATCTTGCTGCAGATATGTCCGTATAATTCTTCAGAACTTGCTGCAATAGCAACAACGAGAGACAAAAGATTCTCTGTGAAATCATACAACAAAAGTGCCCTTTTCTTCTCCATCTTCTTCTCCAGATTGTTGTCGATGAACTCGAAAGATTTCTCGATCTTTTCGAGCCCTTTTTCAATTGCAGCCCAAATGTTAGACCGCCACAAGTGTTTGGCCACCTCATGTCCTTCCTCAATTGTTAAGTTCCTCAAAAGGCCGAACAGCTCAACCACGATCTCATCATTCAGATCATTGAGGGTCTGCTCCAATAATGTAGTCACAAGACGCTCTTTGAGAAGAAGTCTTCTCATCCTCGCATCTTCGGCGAGAACCATGATAGCACTGAGTGCTACGGATCTGTCATTTGGAGCTGAGGATGATAACTTCGAGATCAAAGGGACGATCTTGTTTTGTCTGGTATTCTCATCCTTTATGTCCTGTTTCGATGAACCATCCTTACGAGCAACAGGATTCGTTCTCGATTTTTGGGATCTTCTTCCTTTCCTCAACTTTCCCATCTTGAGGTATCTTTACTCGTAGTCAAAATACGCATCGATGAGATGGGCAGTAGTGCACCTCATATACAGGCGATTTACTATTGATTACGGTAGTAAGGTCTTATTCGGCGTCAACTAAGGCAATATTGAAATATTTAAATGAACTTTATTTACTGTTCAAATGCCATGAAAAGCTTAAGCATTCTCTTACTTTTGTTGATGTTGTGCTTGTTCCATATGTGACGTGCAAAACGAACATGAGCTGCTACCTGAAGGAATACAACTTCAATTGGGAATGCAAAATTCATGTAATTGATGGAGTACGTCATGTTCAGCTTCAAAATGCAATAACTTTGCTTATCGACGATGGTTGCTCGAAGGTTGGTAGGCCGGCTGCAAGGACCATGAATCAAGCTTCAAAACACCAAGCTTTTAGTGTATCCATAATTGACCACCTGAAAGTAATCTAATTTGGCTTACCAGTCGTCTCAACTGAGTCTGTCCTGATCTCTGCATGCTGGAGGTCTTTCTGTAGTTCCTCCCTAGGCTCATCTTTGAGAGCTGGATCCAGGATCTTGCTTAGAGTGTCCCTGACATCTTGCCAGGATTTCGGCTGGTCGTCGTAATCTCTCACATAGACGCCTTCCTTGAGATTGCCGTCCTTTTTGAGTTGTTCACTGTTGTTAGTCGAATTCAGCATTGTTGAAGCGCATCTTACTTACACGATCAATGGCTGCCAGAACTTGACACCAGTGTACCAGCCAATGGCGCCTACAGCGACGACTGTAATAGCTTTTCCCGCTCTTCCTGACATCACCGGTGCTTAGGATCAGCAATTGAGAAATCTGAAGATACAACTTCGGTCACGTGCAACAATTAAACATCCGACCGTTGTCAAGCGAAGAATGGAAGAATAGGAGAGGTTCGTCAATGGGCCTTTCGAATAAATAAGAAAATAATTTATCTACTTATATTGTACTAGTTGTGACCGGCTTTGGGCCGATGAGGGGTGCGGTTTGCACCTATTGTATGGTCTGCACCTATTGTGTGGTCTGCAACGAGTTTACCAGATCAAGACCGGATGGATATTTGATACAAAACCAATTAAAATGATTGCTTCACATTTATGCGTTGGACGTTTAATATATTTTCGGTATTTTTGGCAAATAGCCAAACCCTAGAAATTAGATGAGGTCGTGCGGGACCCACTGAGGTATATAAGGGCTCAACTTTCCCATCAAGTCTTTTCTTCTTCAATCAAAAAGTAAACGGGAATATTTGCCACGACGAGATAATGTAAATTGTCAAGTTATCATCGTTGCCATATTATCATAATATTGCATTCCCAGAGTAGCTAAAACCCACTAGGAAGTTTGCTATCCGACGGGTCTCTTTAGTGAGGCGATGGATTTTGAATGTCGATTTATTGGGTTACATCTTTGAGAAATCTTTCTCTTGTAGTGTCAGCGGAGACGTTGTTCATCTTTCATGATCTAAATCGTACCACCGTTATTGCTAGTGCCCCGTGAAGGCCACCTACAACACCAGATGTTGCAAAAGCCGAAGCACATTAGGCTTTCAATCGAGCAGACGGAGATTGATCTTGAGGACTTATTTCTTCAATCGTTTCATAGCGAACATTCGCTTCGAAACAGTTTTTCAGTTCCAAGGACCGAACTGCGTGTCTTTCCCAGTATGAACTGGAATCTGATCTTTCGAGACTCCTAAATGCTACTCTACAACGCATGTTACCTATCGAATGATGATGTATTTATACAGTAGAACCGCATTAGCCCGTGGGCCTATGATAAGATTAGGGTGACAGGGTTTTAACGGTACTTGTTGAAACCAATGTCCTTAGCCTTCTCTCTGAAGCACTGACGGCAGACGTCCAAACCGTACTTTCTGATCAAACCAGAGTGAGTACCGCAAACTCTGCACTTTCTAGAACCCTTACCGTAGTGTCTTGGGTGGGAGAACCAAACGTTTTCGTGAGCCATATTCTGTTGGTTAGTATAAAGCTTGTATTGGGAAGATCAGATGATGATGGGATGCAAAGGACAGCGCAGGAGACGACTAATACAATAAGTGGTATGGAATGGAAGTTTCTGAACTTTTGATGGAGGTGTTATAATATGTTGTGGAGACTGGATTGGACATGGGAAGGACCATTTGACCATTAGACTCATTTGTGGAGTATAGATAAGGTTGGCATTTGTATAAGGACGTTTCAGTATTCAATCCTCTCAATAGGATCCATCATCGATCCGTAGTGTTGACTTTATCACATACGAATTACTTGACTTTGGTGTAGCGTTTGAAGTAGATATTGAAAATTTCCTTAGTATCGAGCGCCAGTCCGGTAGATTGAGAAAAATTTGCTACGTGCGGGTACCGAGAATCGAGGTCGCGAACGAACCTGTACACCCATACTAGGACAGCAGGCCGCCGCACCTAGGGCTTGTGCCCTAAGGCCATCGCGCCTGCGATGAGATACATACGGTTCATTATCATCATAGTAAACCCCACAAATCCTGGAATTAGCATTATGGGAAGAAGTGGTCATTCGCATAGAAGCACCCTTAAGAAAGACCACAAACCATTCAAGTCAAGACATGCGTCAAAAGGTCTGTTGAAGAACCAGTATAAGGGCAAGGTTGAAAAGGCCGGTCCCGGATCAGGAAAGACCCAAAAGGTGGTGTCAAAATTGCAGAGAAAGAACCAGAGCAAGCAACTCAAAGACCATAAAATATTGGAGACCAAACTTGCTAGACGTTTGTTCGAAGGAGCCTCGGGTGCTGAGAAGATCATCACCGTTATTGCACTTACACCAGATCTTTCACCAGCAGGCATAGCATCTCAATTAGTGAACAGCATTAAGGCCACTCCAGAAGATCCCGATATCGAATTTGCCAGTCCATCGGTGGTTTCGCTCAGATTGCCACGTTTCAAGTCCAATGTTAAGTTCATCATTCCAGATCAGACCAACTTGATCTCCATCTTGGATGCGACGAAGGTGTCTGACTATGTCATCTTTGGCCTTTCAGCAGAACAAGAAGTCGAAAAGGACTATGGTGAACTGATTTTAAGAGCCATTGTGGCCCAAGGTGTTGCATCTGTTGTGGGTGTTTTACCCAATGTCATTTCTGCATACCCAAAGAAGAACCTACAACAAGATATCCGCCAATCTTTACAATCCTTCTTCACACATTTCTTTCCTACAGAAGAGAAGCTCTATGCTCTCGAATCTGAGTCGGAGGCTCTCAACTGTATTCGTACCATTGCACAGAAGATGCCAAAGTCCATAAATTGGAGAGACTCCAGAGCATACGTCCTTGCTGACAGCTTGAACTGGGTCGCTGACTCCGACCAAGGAGGCTTTGTTATCGTTGAAGGTACGGTAAGAGGTGTGGGCTTCAACGCCAACAGACTTGTGCATATTCCAGGCCATGGTGATTTCCAGGTTCAGCGTATTGAAAAGATTGCCAAGCACAGAAACCCAATGGAAGACGAGGACATTCTTGCGTACAACGCGGACATAAATCAAGAAACTCTCGAGGAGCTCAATCCTGAGGAGGCTGAAATGGAAGACTTCGATGAATATGAGTACGACGACTATGGTGTTAGAATGGAAGGTAAAAACTACTTTGATGGAGGAGCTAACGAGAAAAATAAGAGATTCAAAGCACCAGAAGGCACTTCGGAATACCAGAGCAAGTGGTTGCTTGACGATGTTCTTGAGGATGCATCTGACGCAGAGAGTATCGATGAAATGGAGGAGATTGATGAAAATGACATCGAGGAAGATATGGAAGACAACGGCATGGACGATGATGATTCGAAATCGCAATTCGGTGACGCTCAGCTGGAAATGTTTGTCGAATTATCTCCCGAAGAGGAAGAAGAACAGCTCAGACAGTACAGAGCTTTAGAGAAGGAAGACCGTGAGTTCCCCGACGAAATCGAATTGGCACCCGAGGAGTCAGCTAAAGATAAGTTGGGCGATTACAGAGGTATCAAATCTCTTGGAAACTGCGACTGGCACTGGGACGAGCAGGACTCTGAAAGACCATCAGTATACAGCCGGTTGCTTAGGATCAATCACTTCAAGGCAACCCGTAACAAGTTACAGAAAGACGCTGCTAAGGAAGCTCAGACTACCCCAGGTCAGAAATATCGTCTTTTCATTCGTGCTCCACCCTCAGTTGTGGAGAATGTCGATGTCAGCGTCAATCCATTCGTTGTCTACCTGTTGCTTCAGCATGAGCACAAGTTGGCTGTTGCCAATTTCTCCTTCACAACCTGGGAGGACTACGAAAAGCCAGTCCCATCTGGCGAGCAGCTCATCGTGCAATACGGATTTAGAAGACAGGTCATCAACCCTCGATTCAACCAGGCATCAAACCCCTCCAACAATGTGCATAAGAGTGAAAGGTTCGCTCACCAAGGAGAGCTCAGCATTGCTACCACAATTGCTCCTCCAATTTTCCACAATGCTCCGGCCATATTTTTCAAGACCACATCCGAAGGTGGTCTAGAGCTCGTTGGACAAGGTACTTTCTTGAATTGCGACCACACCAGAGTGATGGCAGAGAGAGTGGTTTTGACGGGTCATCCAGTCAAGATTCATAGACGTCTCGTCACGGTGAGATATATGTTTTTCAATTCCGAAGACATCAACTGGTTCAAGGCTGTGCCTTTGTTCACCAAATCTGGCAGGACTGGTTTCATCAAAGAGAGCTTGGGTACCCATGGTTATTTCAAGAGTACTTTCGATGGACGTCTTTCTGCACAAGATGTTGTTGCTATGGCTCTCTACAAGCGTGTCTGGCCTACATTGTCTCATCTGTGGAATGCTTAATTTTGTAATAATAGAAATAATAGGGATCGTTGTCGTAGATACGAGATTTGACGGAAATGGTTGCAAATTGCGCTGACATCAGGGGCAATGCAATTGAGTCTCATTTTTTGACGTCCGTTTGGGCCAAGACTCAAATATGCTTTCTGGCTTGATTTTTTTTTGTGATCCATGAAACCCATAAAGCATGACCGCTGAACTCCGACCATTAGTGCGAAGAGTTGATTATCGAAGATGAGAATCAGATAATGCCGATCAGCGATGCTCCAACCGTGAAATGATCACATCAAATCAATTCTTTCTGTCTTTGGAAAAGCAAGAGGAATTGTTATAAATAAGCCATAATTGGCTTGGCTTCACAGATCTGCAGGGTCTAGCCCAACTAGTCAGATCTTATCGCCTCATTATTCGCACTATTTCTACACCTCTGCATTTGCTACTCATCTTCAACTACAACTTATTATGAGTGTGACGACTTTACCACAAGGGTTTACCCCGGCTACCGCCAGCTTCACATGTAACTCATGCTCAGTACGGTTCGTCAGTGCTGATTTGCAGAGACAGCATATGAAGACTGAATGGCACAGATATAACTTGAAGCGAAGGGTCTCTGGACTCTCACTGATTTCATCTGACGTCTTTGCGGAGAAGATCCTAGCCTCTCAAAACACTAGAAGTGATTCTGGGGAAGAGGATGAATTTGGTTTCCATGTCAACCACAGAAGAAAATCAGGAAAGGGAGAGAGACAGATTACCAAGAAGGACTTGAAGCAGATGGCAAGAGCAGAAAGAGGCAGAGAACATGACTTTCCCGAGACGATATTGGAAAGAGGCACTAGTCCTGCTCCATCGGTTGACTCTACATTCTCATTGGGCGAATCAGAGCATTTTTTGTCGGAGGGAGACTTCGACACCGGCTCTGAGTTGAACTACTCTGAGCCAGAGGGCACTTACTCAGGAAGAGATTCTGATACCGAGGAGCTGTATGTAAGTGGTTCTGAATCAGAGCCCGAGGACGATCTCGACGAATTACCCAACTACTACTGCTTCTACTGCGGTAAGAACAATGCCCTGGTGGAGAATAATTTGAGGCACATGCTGAGTAAGCACGGTCTTTATATCCCTGAAAGAACATTTTTGAGTGACCTTGATGGTTTACTTACATTCCTCAACGAAGTTATCTACATTGACAATGAATGCCTCACATGTGGCTTCGAAGGCAAGTCTCTTGAGAGTATAAGACAGCACATGATATCCAAGGGACATTGCCGCATGCCTTACGAGACCAAAGGCGAAAAAGCAGTCTTTGACGAATTTTATGACTTTTCTTTGGCATCGGAGCTGCCAACTGCAACCACCACATCGAAGAGGGTGGCTTTTTCGGAGAACGAAGACCATTTTGAGATTGAGGACTTGCCAGATTACACAGCAGATTCACGCGAGCTCACACTCCCATCGGGCTCTCGTGTGCTTCACAGGGACGTCAGGCAGCCTCGTCTGACCACGAGTTTGGTTGTTCGGGATGCTCCAGAACTGACAAAGACAGTTGCTTTAGTCGACAGAAGGTTTGCGCCTGGCATAACACTGAAGGAGGTCACGAAACAGGAGAAGGCCGTCAGGCGTATGGAACTCAAGAGCAGGAATACACAGGAGAGAAGACGTAAGAAGGTCAATTACCAGGCTCACTTCAGAGACGAGCTTCTCCAGTAATTGGCAAGTTCGCACATTGGGTAAATAGAGGCAATGAAGGGACTTTGCTTCTGCAAAGACATGTAGCGTGGCATAATGAACTCGTCTGGTGAATTGTGGTGGGAAGCTGGATGAGGCCTTGATCTCCGCAGTCGTTTGTCTTGGTTGAAGCGTGGTGTGCCTACACTATACACAATTGCACAATTCGGACCCAAATATTCATTGGGGGAATACGAGGATAACACCAGAAGAATTGAAAGATACTCGCCTTCTCCTAAAATCACAAACTAACACCTTCTGATTGAATCAAATATGTTCGACCAACATCTTCCTTGATATTGCAGATTTGCGTACTGTCTCTCGGTAGTGCAGCTGATTTCGCAGCCTCAGATAAGCATTTGGTCTACCTCAACCTTTTTGCACTAATCCCCAGCATTGACCATTAAAGTTCATCCTTAATTTTGAAGATTATTTAACTATGTCCGAGGATCGAAAGACTCTCTCATTACATAATGCATCAGCAGAAAGATGTCATCCAGTTTTCTTCCTGTAAGGTTGCATTTTCTACACACTCCACGCGTCTCGCAGAAGGCGATCGAACTTCCAGAAACGCTATCCAGTATAGTGAAGTCCTAGCACCATTTAAGTCTTCTCATTCCCTCATAATCGCTATTAACCTTCTTTATGCTTTATGGTGTACGAAACTTATCTATATGATTTGTTAGCAGTGACCCCACAGGCACTGGGAGATGAAATCTGCAAAGCTTACAAAAAGCTAGCCCTCAAATATCATCCTGACAAGACCAACCATGATCCAGATCTCACAGAAAAGTTCAAAGAAGCAACTCAGGCTTACGAAGTTCTAAAAGAACCGCGTACAAGACGAGTATACGACGTCTATGGCCCAGGTGGCCTAGATGGTCTGGTTGCAGCCAAACAGGAGCAGCAGAGGAGAGCACCTCCACAGAGATTCCCTTTCCAACAAGACCTATTCTCACATATGTTCAATGAAATGAGCTCCGCGTTTCAAGGATCACCCTTTGAGGAACACTTTGGGCTTTTTGGCAGTTCTATGAATGCTGCAGGCAGTAACATGAACATGGGGTTTGATATGAACATGAATATGAACATGAATACGCCAGGCAGAAGCAAACGTGTTGTACGACCAGCCCCGGCTGATCCTCGTATCCATTCATTGCAACAGGGCCCCGACATTCAGCATACATTTAAGGTGTCACTAGCGGACATGTACTATGGTCGCCTGGCAAAATTCCAGCTTCCTAGAAAGGCCAAGTGTGGAACCTGTAACGGTATCGGTGGCCTCAACCCACAGACCTGTCGTCAATGTAAGGGACTGGGTCGCGTCCATGTGCTGATGTTGAATAGGTTTTCTAGTTACGAAGAAATCTCTTCGTGTCAACCTTGCAGGGGTACAGGGATTTATTTTTCCGAAAGAGACAGATGCCCTGATTGTAAAGGTGGCTTCAAGATGGAGAAAAAAATTCTCAATGTCAGCATTCTTCCTGGACTGAAACACGGAGACAAGTGTATAATACGAGGAATGGCAGATGAGGGCAGAAACATTAAGCCCGGAGACGTGGTGATCCATCTTCAAGAGCTTCCACACCCGTCCCTTATAAGGCGCAATAACGATCTTTTTCTCGAGCAAGACATTGATTTGAAGACAGCACTTGTCGGCGGAACAGTCTTGGTTCACGACTTCATCAATCCTGGAGAGGAGCTAAAGATATTTATCAACGTACACGGTAACGATGCCATGAACGACTCAGTGAACGCTGCTATCAAGTGCGGGGAAGTTGTGGGCTCCATCAACCTGAACACACCGAAGATTGTGAAGGGAATGGGAATGCCTATAAATTTGAGTATTCGCAATGGCAAATATTATCAGAAGTCGGATTTGGAAACAGATTCTTCTGATTTCACACGTGGAGACTTGTATATCAGGTTCAACGTCCAAATACCATCGATAGATCAGTTCGCAAGCATAGAGGATATTGCTCAATTGTCTAAGATCTTACCGGGCAAGCCGGCAGAGCACCCGGGCAAGACTGCGACTCATGAGCATAATCTTTCAAACTTGCCAGGTCCTGAACCAATGCTCAAACAATCGCCAGAAGAGTATGACTACGACCAAATTGAGGTCGACAGTCAAGGCCTGAGAGAAGAGGAACAAGACGATATATTTTACATGGGTGAATGGTCAAAGGAAGCAGAAAGGAAGAAGAAAAGAAGAGTCAACGGATAAGCTCTGATTTCAGAAGTTTCAGATTAAGAGAAATTTTGATTCCGAAATTAAGGAATCAATAAACCTTTTATATAGTCCAGATGAATAAAATGGTTTGGCTCTCGACTTTCCTGTACGCGATATCAACATAGATCAATCTCACTACAACCGATAAGTAACAGGTCAACGAATGAGTGAGCCACGTGTGTTGGAGCCTGCGATCATAAAAGATCTCTCCAACCATATTTATGAAAGAAGAAAAGCAACGGCATTTCAAATTGAGGGTTTTACGAAGCAAGCACTCGCAAGAAATGATTCTCCAACTATCTCCAAAATCATAGCTGAACTTACCGAGCTTCTCGATGGTATTTCGACTTCTGCTACAATGGGAGCTATCACCGCTCTTGGCAGTGTTTCTGTCGCATTGGGCTCCTTTGCCATTGCGTATTTCCTAGACGATATCGTTAGACCCATATTCCGTACATTTAGAGACACGGACGCAAGAGTGCGTTATTATGCATGTGAGTCTCTTTACAACATATCCAAAATTGCAAGAGGCGAAATCCTCTTATACTTCAATGAAATCTTCGACATTTTGTGTATCTTGGTGACGGATACTGAGTCGTCGGTTAAGAACGCGGCCGACATCCTTGACAGATTGATTAAAGACATTGTGAGTGCCAAGTCAACAAACTATGTCTCCATTTTGCATCAAAAGCCCGAGGAATCTACTGAGATTGAGTCAAACGTGATGGGACCAGATGGTCGCTCATTCCAAGTGAATAACCCTCAGGATGCGTCCAAAGCATTCTCCTTGCCAAAGTTCATTCCCACACTTTTAGAACGCATGTACACTATCGATCCCTTTGCAAAAAAGTTCCTATTGAGTTGGTTGGAATTGTTTGACGATATTCCTTCTTTGGAGTTACTCACGTTTTTGCCAAACTTTTTGGAGCCCCTCCTTCGGTTCTTCATGAACAATTGTCCATCGGACGTCCGCGTCGAAACGCACAATCTTCTCAACATCTTTTTGAAAGAAATTAGGAATATCTACAAAGTGAAGTATGAGTTGAAGAGGAGACAACTTGTCGCAGAAAGTCAAAAAGGCTCTCGCCAGAACATCGAGGAACAAATGGAAGGACTAAGTGTTGAACCCAAACAAGCCACCGATGACGATGACGCATCCATAAAGTCCAGCTCAACTACTGTCATTAGACGCCCTGCTCATCACGATAAGGAGCAAGCGGAGAATGAATTAAATGACGTGTCTCAAGACGACACGTCTCTTTTCATTGATGGTCAAGATATTTTCATTGACTGTCCTCGAATCATTGATATCTTACTTTCATTTTTGAGATCCGGTCTGTCCAATTCTTCTGCCGATGTCAAAATCAACGATCTTTCCGCCGAGTCCCATGATATCTACTTGGAGATACAATCGACTGTCCTCAAATGGTTACAGGAGCTTGTTTGCATCACTCCAACAAGCTTTTCTAAATTCCTTCCAGATTGTATCGCAATTAATATGCATAATATCTCCTTGACGGACGACAACAAGGACAACGATCTCAGATCTCAGTTTTTGAATTTCAATCAAGCTTTGCAATCATACCTTGTCAGACTCAATGAAAGTGCTACAGATTCAACTACGAAAAATTCGAAAGACAGTTATCCTGACCAGCCAGAAATTAGCGACAACGCAATCGAGGGTCTAAATAAAGATGTATTAGATGAGTTCACAGAGTTGTATCTCAACAAAGCATTGAGAGTGGTGATGAACGAGTGTCTACATAATGTCAACGAGCTTTCACGATTGACACTGATGGATTGGCTCACATTCCTTTACTCGAGTTATCCCGGAAGTTTCTTCGAGATCGATGAAAGCAAGAAGGGCGACAGTCAGGATCGGTATCTTTTTGACTTGACTGCTCTTTTGAGGTCGTCCACAGACTCGAGTAATGAGGTTATTTCTAAAGTATTGCTGTTGGCATCTAAGATCTCCGAAGATAATCAGGAATTTTTCAAGGAGTTCATGGTGAAATTGATTTTCTTCTTTGAGACGGATGGCGTGGAAAACAATGGGAGAACAGGAGAGCCTGACGAGCCATCATCGGGGCCAAATGCGATCTCAAGAGGCAAGGTCGAGTTCATGATCAGGAGACTTTGTGTCTCTATTAGTGCCGAAAAGATTTTTCAAACGCTATCTGAGGTATTGGTTTCCTTCGAGAAGTTGAATCTAGAGTTCGTTGGCAATATTGTTGTTACACTCAACAACATTTTGCTCACAACTCACGAGCTTCAGGGTCTTCGCACGAAGTTAAAAAACCTTGACTTTCAGAAGCCCGAAGATTGGGTATTCTTCTCGACTCTTTTCCAAAGCTGGTGTCACAGCCCTGCTAGTGCGTTGTCGATATGTTTACTTACTTCCAATCATGAATTGGCATTCCTCATAATCAAATGCCTTGGTGAGCTGGAGGTAACTTTTCAACTACTCACTCAGCTTGATATCCTCATCCAGCTTCTTGAAACTCCAATCTTTTTGAAATTGAGACTTCAGTTATTGGAACCGGACAAGCACCCGCATTTATACAAAACGCTTTATGGTATTCTTATGATCATGCCGCAGTCGTCAACATTTACAACTTTGAGAAATAGGTTGTCAACTGTGGCCCCATTCCATGGACAGAACAGCAACTCCGGTTTCTCATTGAATACGCCAACATCAACTCCAGGTGCCGTTGCCTCTTCAAACAGCGCCCAACTCAATACGAGACGAAAGAGAATTCACGAGTTGGCTGACAAGTTCAGTAAAGTGAATGATTTACATCAGGCCTACAGATCAAGACGGCGCTTGCAAGATTCCATCGTGGTTGAAGACTCTGGTAAAGACTCGTACAGACAAACAACTGAGCCCTCAATCGCAAGCACTGAGCAAAAGGGTGCCAAGTCAAAAGATATTAAAAGGTCTAGCAAGAGATAGTTCTTTTTATGTGTATCATTTATTTATGAAGAATGCAATGTGATTCGAGATGCTAGATATGAAGGCCCTATTTGTTTTCCCTGATCGCCGTAGGCGTCGTTGGAACATTAAGAGGTTGTGATCTTCCGTTTTGACGAGGAGATTTTGGGAAGAATAGATTTGAAGAAGCTTTGGAAGGATCCGGGGAATTATGCAACGAATCGGGGTTGACACCCAGGGACACATCGAGTGAATACCTGTGGTGTACCATAGCGCCTTCGGATCGCAAATAGTGAAAGACGGATTCGGAGAGGTCCTCTAAACTCTGAAGAACTGAGGTGTTGGTTGTAGATTCAGATGTTCGCTTCTCCTGATTTGGACACTGATCAGTTGAGGCGGACCCGCGAGAATTACTCTTAGTCTCTGCTGTCGAGTCCGAACTTCTATGGGTGTAGACATTCGGTAACATAGGCTCTGCAGAGTTCTCCTCAGATGATGTGAATGTTGCTTCTGATCTTGTTACCGGCTGCATTGAGTAAAGCGCAACATTCGACAAGTTTGGCGTTGAGCGCTCTCTTTTAGAGACAAGGTCAACATTATCAAAGTTGTAGACGTATGTTTGGGAAGGTGTCTTACGGTGTCCGTTGCCGTTGGTTACCAAATGTGAGTTGCCTGATCCTCTACCAGGCGACTTATCAAGCGATGAAATATATCTTTGTTTCCAATCCTCGATACTCACGGGCGAATTGTTGTACACTGGATCAAACATGTTAGCATTGAAGCTGATTTGTGGAGATGGAAGTGGATCAGAAAGAAGCGAAGCATTTTGGTTATCTGATTCTTTAGCAGGTTTGGTGTTTCGTGGGGTTCTAGGCTCACGACGGCTTCTCTTACCGATGTGCTTGTCCGGACGATCGGAGGGGCCCGAGGAAGAGGAAGACAGGAAATTCTGGCTAGGCTTCTCCTTTGGTTTTCTTTCTTTTTTATGGAAGCCCTGCTGCTTAAGCCTGAAGTCAATTTTTGCTGCGATTGTTCTTCTCAAAAGGAGCTCAAAAAGGAGTCTGGTCTCGAGCTGTTCTTTTTCCTTACTGGTGAAGCTTTGTGCCTCAAGAGGAAATAAAACATGAAGCTTTGGTGGAATGCTGCCTTTCGTTTCAAACGCTGCCTGTCTATAATCCCTGAATACTCTCTCCTTGTATTGAACATTATCGCTGTAAGTGAGTTGCTGTGGTCTCTGAATCCTAGGAGGCGCTAGCGATCTGCCTTGTGGAAGTGGTGATTTCTCCGAAGGTAAAACTTCACTTTTTTGCTGCTCACTGTCCCGGAAGATGGGTTGTTGAGGGGCATATGCATCAATTGTGGATAAATGTTGATCGTGGGAATAAGACTCATGATATTCGTGAACTGGTAGGCAGCCATGGACTGCGGTAGAATTTCTTTCATGACTTCTCCACCGTGTGTATCGAGAAACTTTTCAAACTCGTCCTCAGATGTGAATTTGGGTGCCGCCTTGATTGGATAGTAGTTGAAGGACCTTCTTCTGCGTATTGGAAACAAAAAGGATAACTTCGGTTGCTTCTTTTTCCGCCCTTTCGGTTCTCCACCTGACGTTGTCAGCTCATCGACTATTAGACCTTCGGGTAGATCTTCTCTTCTAACCATCTTGGTCCTCTTCCTGATTCCATTTCTATGTCTCATGGAGGCCAGCCTCGAGATCACAGAGTTTCCCCGTCGAAGCTCAGAGTCATCTATTAGGGTCACTGTTGGGTGTCTGTTATGGGAAGATGTGAATGCATCAACAGGTGATCGTCCGTTATTGATGCCATTTTCAATATCAATGTATGCTGGGGATTTAGTTGGAGATGGGCGATGTCTTTGAGGCGAGTTCGAGTCGTATAGAACACTGAAAGGATTGCTTTGTTGTCTCTTATGGGTTGTATCATGGGGCTCTTCTAGCAATGGAGTTCTTCCAGGGGTGCTAATGTGAGATGCTGTGCTGCCGTAGGAGAACTGTCGGGATAGTTCTGATGCCCTTGACCGAACCGATTGGATCGTGTCCGGATCCGGCCACTGAGGGGAAGATACTATCATGAGCGGGTAGTGGTGGAATTAGTGACTGGGATCAAAGGTAGTTGGTTTGAGGATCAGAATTCATCAAGGGTGAAAGATGGGATCAGTATGGCTGGCTGCGAAAACCTCATTAGGAAGGCATATGTATGTACTGCACAAAACGTGCCTTCGTTAGATTTGCAAGCAGCACCGTCGGTAGCCGCAGTAAGGGACAAGTTTTAATAGAAACTTTTGTGAGTCAGGTGGGTAAAATGCTTAAAAATAGATAATTGACGGTAATTGGTTGAGATATGAGGTCACACAGTACACGCATTGACGAGCACTCGCTAGACGGGTAGAATAGATAGGAGTTTACTCAAACAGCAACTTTATTATAGCAAAAAAAAATAGTAGCATTTAACAAGGACATCAAAAATCCAAAAAGAAATGCGCAAGCCCGGAATCGAACCGGGGGCCCAACGATGGCAACGTTGGATTTTACCACTAAACCACTTGCGCTTAGAAAAGCTCCGAGACGGGGAATTGAACCCCGGTCTACCACGCGACAAGCGGTAATTCTAGCCACTAAACTATCTCGGATGATCTGGAAAAGTGAAAGCACTGGTACATTGAGTTCCTTAACATTTAACTCTTTTATCAAAACTGTTCAAGTTTTAAATGTTATTCTAATTCAGTTTGTTTTCTTCTATGTAATTGTTAGCTTTAAAATGCAATATAGCCAAAATTGAGGGATTTAGCGTGTCTAACTCGTCATTGAGTCATTTTTAGCAATTAAAAATTGGTACAGAATAAAGAAGACAATAAACCTTTTTACCTGAGCAATTTTATCATCAGAACATCTTGTGGCCGTAGCTGTAATCCGAAGGTCAGTTTTCTCAGTGGGTGCAAAATGCGCGATAGTTGATTGAAAAGCTCCTCTGACTAGTAGAGTTTCACCCATTACTATGATCTCGCGCAGCCTTTTCAAACTACTGGCTGTCAGTTTCGGGGTACGGTGTTTCAGTATATCCAGGCAGCATAATCAGTTTAGAATTGCTATTGTTGGCACTGGCCCGCTGGGTTTTACACCGCTCATCATTTGCTTAATAAGTCTGATAAACTTCCCATTAAAATCGATTTCTTTGACAGACTTCCGACCCCTCATGGGTTAAGTCGCTATGGCGTTGCACCTGATCACCCGGAAGTAAAGAATTGTGAGGAGTATATGGACAATATCTTCAGAGATCATGGGGATAAGGTGAGATTCTTTGGCAATGTGAATGTCGGCATAGATGTTCCGCTCAAAGGTCTTCTGGAAGTTTACCACTCCATTGTTTTGTCATATGGATGTACCAGCTCAGATAACAAGCTTAACGTCCCCGGGGCCGACTCGCCTGCGGTTATCCTGGCTCGTCAATTTGTCAATTGGTACAACAGTCATCCAGACAGTGCAAACAGTGAGTCCAATATTCCTCCTCCGTTAGAAAAAATAAAGAATGTGACCATTATAGGTAATGGTAATGTTGCAATTGATGTTGCCAGGGTGCTTCTTGCGGATCCAGAAAAGCATTGGTCTCCGACCGATATACGTGTTGAGGCTACTGAGTTGCTCAAGAAGAGCGCCGTGGAGAGAGTCAACATCGTCGCCAGAAGAGGTCTTCTTGAGTCCGCCTTCACAAACAAGGAAATCAGGGAACTTGTTGATTTGAAAAAGCATCTGAATGTGCAGCTAGTTCCAATTGACTCAGACATTATGAATGACATCAAGCCAAATGCTAAACTGTTACTGAGAGTTGACAAGCGCAAGTTTGGTATTCTTGAAAAAGCCTCCGATGAAGCTGCTGCTGATCCCAAGCCCTCTCATAAAAAATGGGCCCTTGAATTCCTTAAGAGCCCAAAAGAATTCGTGGTCGATGAAAACGACCCTTCTTTGCTTACAGAGACGAAATTCGAGGTTAATGAGTTGGTGGAAGACAAGCTTACTAAGAGAGTTAGCGTGAAAGGTACAGGACAATTTGTTACCTTACCCAACGAATTGGTGATTTTATCGATCGGCTACAAAGGTTCTCCGCTTGACGGCTTTGAGAAAGTTGGATTGGCATTTGACACTGGCAAGAACTGTCTAGTACACAAGCATGGTAGGCTTATGCTTGAGAAAAACCTAGATAAGGATTTGGAACACAACTACAAGTATGATAAGGGTTGGTATACTTCAGGGTGGATCAAAAGCGGACCCAAGGGTGTGATTGCAACTACAATGATGGAGTCATTTGATACAGCTAACAATATATTGGAGGATCTAAACAATGGTGTCTTCAACAAACCCTTTAACGAACATGGTGAGGTAGATATTCCTCGCCATGCAGTTACATGGGAGGGGTGGACTAAATTGAATGAGTACGAGCTCAAAGAGGGAGAGAAGCTTAGCAAAGCGAGGTTGAAGGTGCCCGCAGTAAGCGAAATGCTTCGCATATCAGAGTCTGACTAGAGATCTTGACATCCCGTGATCTTGAAGAAATAATTGACATGATCACCTCGACTAAAAGAACTTGGCAACATTGACTGGTAGTCTAGTAGTTGATCATCTTCCACATAGTCTGTGCCTCTTCTGATCACAGTCTCTGGGGACTGCTGAGGGCCCTTTGCACCAAGATAGTATTGATATCCACACTGCTTATAGCGAGAGGTCGGTGGAAGCATCGGAATAAGATCATGCTTATGTGTTGCTCTAATGAGACCGCTTGAAAGGGTGTCGAAGGAATGGTACTTATTGATATGCTTTTCAACATAGTCAGTGTCAAAAAGGTTATCGACAAAGTCGACAAATTGCGAGTTACCCACCTTGGGCCCACCTAAGGTGACAACCAATGTCTCGAAGCCTAAAAGCTTGAACTCTACGCCGGAGAGGGTTGCGAGAGCAGCACCAAGTGAATGGCCAGTGACCACAATCGAGTAGTCAGGAAGTTTCTTCTTCAATTTGACAACCTCGCGCACGATATCCTCGCCGTTGGTCTTGATAAAAGTGTTGAACCCTTTGTGTATCGTGCAATCTTCACAAATTTCCTCACACTCCAAGTCAAAGTCACCACGCATGTGTACCAAAGGTTGGTAACGAGAATGTAAGAACTCAAAGTTACTGATCCAATCCTGGGTCGACGAGGTTCCACGAAACACAACATAAATTCGCGTGGTTTCCCGTTCGATTGCAATGAACCCAGAACCGACAACCAACCAATCGGTGAAGTTGAACACCTTGTAAACCTTCATGTTCCTTACACTGGGATACGTGCATGAATGTGAGGGACAAGCATCTTCTTGATCACCCAACGTTCCAGTGTGAAGCCCCTTCTGAAGGCAATAGGCCACTGCTGAGAGATGTGCATACTTGTGAAGCTCTTCAAAGTCATAGTTGGAAGTGATGCCGTGAGAGCCGGAACCAAAAGAAGTCACGTTAAGTGGAAAAGCTAAAACAGCTGTCAATAGCAAGACGAAGTGGACAAGCATCTCTGCAAAAGTTTCATAGCTACAGATATTGGCAGCGTTCCTTTTATTATAACTCTTTTCTCGTCACCACAGAGGCATGCGCCCCGTATCTATTTACAAGCCTTATTTGTCCTTTTTCAGTAAGTCCTCGCCAAAGGGCTGATCCTCGCGGGCCTTGTCCAACATTGGCTTTATTTTATGCTTTGCCAAAGCAGTGTTCACACAAGTGATATACTCATCCCAGAGCTCGGTACATTCGTTGTGAAGCGACTTCCCCTGCAAAAACTTTTCCGTGTACCACTTGTTGAAGCAATCATCGTACTTCGTCTTTGCATCCGTGCATTCGGGGCGAAGGAAACCGACATGATATTGCCCATTCCTCAAAGTCGATGGAGAAGCTGAAGTTGAAAGCGGTAATCGGAAGCATGCGCACATGGAGGTCTGGGTGCGAGCCGTGATGATTCGGGTAGGCCCAGCGATTTCCGTCAGGTTGTTTCAGTTTGAAATAGGAAAGTAGAGTAGATGCTTTTCGTGTTGCAGGCTGAAACGCCATTGTGTGAATTACAAGATTCGCTGTGTATGGCGAATTAGGTGGTAGTGGTGGTAGTGGTGACGGTTGCAAAATGTGCGACACTGCTGTAGTTGCGGCACGTTGATCAACGAGGCCTTCTGTACTGGTTGGCGAACGAGTCTCTGCAATCTATGGAATTCTTGAGATCTATTCCAGATATACAATGGCTTGAATAGGGTTTTCCGGAATCAGTAAGAGCAAATCAGTTCCTAACCAACACCAATTAACTTTATCGGTGATGATTTTTGATAATGGATATTCGATTAGTTTAATTTCATGGACTCAAATCTTCTTATCTTAGTTCTCCCCAGTTAAAGAGAATTTGTAGATTATTGAACTGATCTAGCCGATGGCTCACATAGCGTTCGCACTGGGGATGCAATCTACCTCCGCGTTGTATCGTACACCACACGCGCTGCAACATCAACACATCAAAACAATAAGATTATAGAGTCCAAGACGATGGAATCGAGAAGAAAGTCCACAGTCCACGTCAACTCCGCCAAAAGGGAAAAGGGGAGTGGCGTTTCTGCTCATATCGAGTTAGAGCGCTTAGAGCAAGAAACCACATTGGTTCTTCAGGAGATCGACAGGAATCTCTCCCAAGCCAATGCTGTAATCACGGACAAGATTCTTCCTGTTTTGACAAGATACCACTCAGCTCTGAGCAATGTCTGGAGCAATGTTTCATTCTGGAAACGTTTCGTCGAAGAAGCTTCAGAAACTAAGGTCTGTCCCGAGGAGTCCAAGGTGGATGGAGATACTGCGCAGACTGGATTTCAACAGACCGAAGGTACTTCAGAGAAGAAGGACGTGCTTAACGAACTAGATCTGCAACAAAACTCGACATTGACTTCAGACTTCCAAATGGAAGCTTCCACTCCACAGCTCAAATCGAGGCATCTGCTCCAGCCCAGCACGTCCCCTCAAAGATCTGCTACAAGATATCCTCGTGTACTGATATCGCCTCGAAAGCGTGGCTCTGGTCGCTATGATGCTACCGATCCTAGAAGACTGTCCATGCTTCAAAACTTTCTCAACTCGTCCCCTACCCTTCCCGAACCTCCAAAACTCACAAGTGACGTGAATCACCATTTCCCGTCGAGTTCAGGAGTCTCTAAAACGAATCATTCGGATCCCGTCCCCAACCCCGCCGTCAGGCTTTTGCTGCCGGCAGAGGTGACACCAAAAGGTCGTCAGAGGTTCCCTCGTACACCCACATTCGGTTCAGGCGCTGGAGTCGGTCGGTCACCTATGAAAAATATTCCTTCTTTACAGAGGGGTAATGAAGATCTGGATCAGGTATTACCTGTTCCGAGAATGACTTCCATTAATCCAGGAGATGATAGCGATCAGGTGCCTCTTCCTCAACTTCAAACAATCCTGGTAGGGGCTTCTGTAAATCATTCTCCCGCACAAAGAGAAGAACGTCTGTCTAAACGAAGGAGGACAGAGGGTGACGAATCTGAGAACGTTTTTCTTGATGCCAATTATAAAGATGATACAAATAACAATAGCAGGAGCCATTCCATTGTCTACAACACTATCAGGGCCAAAGTGAGCATCAGGCTGCAGATCAGGAAGCTACAGACCAGGAGGAGATAGATAGCGGAGAACAGAAGTCGAAATCAGTATCTCAAATCTTCGAGGACGTCTTGCAGCCTTCTCCGGAAAAAGAACAACAAGAACTCGAGGCTGAAGAGAATGCACCTATTAACACAGCCAATGTTACACAAAATTTGCTGAGAAGCATTGATCAAACCAACGATAGTACGGTCAATAGCTCAGAGCTTGGCTCAATCCTCGGTGAACGATGGAAGGCTCTCACTCGGACACTCAGAAAATCCACCTAATGCCTTAAGTAATGCCCAGAAGTAACGAACATCATGTCAATTTCTAACGAGTGTAGCTCCTATTACATCATACGAATTCCGGATGAAGCGTAACGGCGACATCCCCCCACTTATTCTACTGCTTCATTCCACTTTTAGCCCTGCTGAGCCATGCTGGTATTTATTTTTGGTGTGAATGAGGTATAATAAACAGCCAATCGCAAGTCAGTTGTTTGTCATATTCCTAATCAGACAGCTGCATGATAAGCATATCTGTCAGGCTGACAAGATGCAGCCGAAGTCTTTGTAAGCTGACTATTCTCTACGCGCTCATTGGCTGATATGATATTGTACACGTGATCAGGGTCCTCAGAAATCAGGTCACCTAGCTATATGCAGATCATGCGGAGTTGGCTGCAAATAGAAAAAAAACTACTTAAAGTGGGCCCAAAGCCATCGATTCAACTCATAAATCAAAAATAACATCTTGATAAAAAATGGCTTGTGCTGCTGCTGAATGTGTTTGCGCTAAGAGATCTACTTGCTCCTGCGGAAAGCAGGCTGCCCTTCACTGCAACTGTGAAAAGGCCCCTGTCGAGAACGCCGTCCCCCTACTGAATCTGCCTGCGCTTGTGGAAAGAGATTGAAGAGTCTGTGTAACTGCGGTGTTGCTGAGAACGCTTGTCACAGGGAAGGTGAGACTGACTTCACTGGTACCATGTAGGATTGTTGGGTAATAGGTCATGAATAGGTAATTTACTAAGGTTGAGATTGAATTTGTAGTCCGTTCGGGAGTTTCCGCATTGGGACTACTCGGAGTTTGTCTGCTACTCCGAGTTGATCCTGCGTACATGATAAATGCTGTTTTACAGGTCCGTATTATTTCGTAACACTAATGGAAGACAGGTCTACAATTGAGGGACCTTGATTTGACAACAAAAGTAAGGGATCTTACTTGAAGGCTCAAGGAGTCCTCAGTGAGAATAAAGAAACCCTTTCTAGGTGAACATTTTCGTAGTTAGCAAAAATCTCGAGTATTACTACAAAGCATGAGTTTGATCCTTCGCTTTACAGATTCTGTCTCACCAATGATACAACCGTTACCATCTTCTTCAAAACAAATGCAAATAGATCGGCTCTAGCAACCTTCTGTGCCCTCGAACGAAAAACCTTTTTTCCTTTTTTTTTTTTTTTTACTTTATCTTCTTCTGCCAGGTCTAGGAGGTCCCTTTTGGATGTCTCACGAAGAGGTGTGTACCCCAGATTCACGCGGAAGGCTGTCACATGATCCAGATCACACCTTTACGTACTCGACTCTTCTCGAGAATGCAATCTTCAGCTTCTCCTTAACTACCATGGCCAGATTATCCGGACTACAAAGAGAAGTTCTCAAGCTTTACAGATCTTGCATGAGAGCTGTGAGAACAAAGCCTGTGGAAAACCAGGAGCATTGGCGGTTGTATGTTCGTGAGGAATTTGGTAAGCACCGCAAGCTCCCAAAGAAGTCTTTCTCAGTTATAGAGCATCTACTTCGAGTTGGTCACCGTCGCTACGAGATGTACTCGAATCCAAACATCAAAGACATCCATTAATTTATTGTATATAACTAGAAGGCACAGTGGTTCTTCTATAATGCGTGCATGATAATCCCGATCAAACCTCGTAGTTGGCAAATACCTTCGAGAAATTCAGCAAAAGCAACTCGGTTGTATCGTTTCGAGGACCCATATCCGTCATCTCTCTTTCTCCTGTGGGATCCCATGCTATTGTAGGGGCAAGCACCACTGAAAGGTTCTTCATGGTCATTCGGTTCACATTGTTGTAATAGCCAACCAAATCCAAGTGCTTGGAGAGTAAGTATAAAGTGTGCCTGTTGGCTGCTGGTAACTTGTTCACGACCTTGTCCACGAGTTCGTCGCATCTTGTCTGTGTATCATTATCATTTTTGCAAATCTTCACGAAATCGTCATAACATGCAAACGGTATTAAAGGTTCGGGAAGCTTTCTCAAGTATCGCTTCAATGCGCTTGTAACAGCATGAATGTCACCTTCCATAACCTCTGCCAACTTATTCATGTGCTTTTTGTCGCCCTTTGGGTTCGCAGGAAGTGACAGGAATGCATTCAAAATGGCCGTGATGGCAGAGTTTCCTCCTGAGATTCGATAGATGCCCTCCATATCCAATCCTCTCTTCTCAACTTCCTCGAGACACTTAGTAATTATCAAAGGTACAGCCTCATCCTCGTACTTCGCCCGCTTCTCGATCGTGCTTGAGAGCAATGGAGCGTCTCCATTGTCGTCTGATTTGTTCTGAGGTTGCCCGACGAAGGAGTCAAGAATGTTCGTAGAACGTGATCTGCTCATGAAAGAGTTGAACGCCTTTCGAGGACCCGACTCTTGCTGCTGAGGCTGTTGTTGATTTTGCTGCAGCTGGGCGTTGTTATCGGGGTTGAGGAACTGGCTTGGGTGTTGTATAGCATTGGAAGAGTAAGATTGACTCAACTTATAATGCAGGTTTGTTTCACTTCCATTGGAATGTTGCGCAGGAGAATTTGATGAGGAGCTCTTCTGCATTGGAGTACCTTGTTGAGTTTGAGGCAGGCTTTGAGCTGCAGAGGAATTTGTGGCAGCCACATGCACCTTTGGCTTCCTCCAAAAGCGTAGTCTTGTCGCCTTTTGGGTCTCAACTGGATCTTCGGTATGTGCCTCGTATGGTAACGATGAAGAAGAACCATTATTGTGATCAGTAGAATGCATTGGGGTTGTGTTAACCTCCGGAGATTCCACATGGCGTTTGCTCTCACGCTTCAAGCGAGAGTTTGCATCCTTCAACTGCTGATTCTCCTCCACCAACCTTCTCTTTTCGGCCACGAGATCGTGGATGTTTTGTAAGATCAGTTCATGATGTTCTGTCTCCTCCGTCACCTTATGCTTCAAGGCTGCGATAGAATCGTTGAGTTTATTTTTCTCTGATCCAAGTTTGACGATCTCGGACAACACGGTAGACTTCCGACCTTCTAACAGATTGATCTCCATTCTCAACTGACGCATCTCTGTGTCAAGTCTTTGGCGCTCCCCCTGCAGATCTCCGGCTGCCATATAGTGAGTGTCGGAGCTCGAGCGGTTGTGACCATTTCCAAATACACCGTACTTCATTGGTGAGCTCAATGGTAACGGCGATGTTGTGAAGGCCAGGTGATGGTTTATAGAGCCCTCGGATACATGACGTGCGTGCCCGGGAGACTGATCGTCCTTGCTTTTGAAGAGGCCACCAAACTTCCCACTACCCAGCCCACTAGAAGTGGAACGCTTGTGTTTCAAAAAGTTCTTAGGGCCCTTGAACGTATTCCGCCGGCCAAATGATTGTGGAGTGCTGTCTGTGTTCTCTTTTTCATCGATTGATTCCTCCAAGTTCGTAACAGCTGGAGTAGCAGGCTGTACCACTCTATTTGGCTTCAGAAGCTCAACATTCTCAAGTCCCAAGCCACGAGGCTCAAAAGGGTCTGTGGGAGGACCTTGGCGTTTAGGAGTAGCAGGAACATTTGGTAAAGCGGAACGAGGCGGCGGAGACGCCATTACCTTATTCAGCACGTTTGTGTTCGACTTTTTCGGAGTAGTGTTAATGGAGCTTTCAAATGCATTATACAGCAGGCCAATGTCGGATGCGACGATGTCGTCGTTTGTCTCCACCACCCTTGCTTGTCTGTTCACCCTGGCCATCGGAGATGATGCAGCAGAGCGCCTTGTGATTTCCTCGGTGTTCACTCCTAAATTCTCCGGAGGAGGGCCGGTGGTATTATGGAACTTTTTATCATTGTACTGAGACGGCGACAACAATAATAACTCCTTCTGTGGAGACTTCAGCGCTGGCTCGAGACGAGGAGCAGACCCAAGACTGGGCTGTGACGAAGGAAGTGTCTCTGTCCGAGGCGTTGCGTAGTTCAGGGTATCGTTCTGAGGCAGGGCGCGTAGTTCGTTCAATTCGTCCGGAGTAGAAATGATGGGCTGCTTGGTTTCTGGGGGCGCTTTGTTTAATTCGGTGTCCTCCGTCAATGGTGTGTTTGGTCCACTGAATGATTCAATGAGCTCGAGGATGTTGTCTTGGGAGTGTGTCTTCCCCAGGTCAGGGTTTCTGGCCGCTCTCCGAATATTGAGCTCATCATCCGAGTCATTCACTTCCTCGATTCCATCCTTGCTAGCTTGGTCTGTTTGTCTTTGCGGTGTCGACTTGGGTACATTGGGGTTGGGAAGTGCTTTGTCCTTGAATACCGACGCCAGCGAGGAATTATGGTAGTTGAGGTAAATGTCCAGAAAGTTCCCATGACTAGTTGAGAGCAGCGGACTATCGGCACTGCCTGGCAGCCCCGGATTTGGTTTCAGCAGCAGCTCCAAGTGGGCCATTTGCTTCCGCTTCATGTCGTACTTTCGCTTTTTGGCAATCAACTTTTCGTGACACGACATGCAAAAGAGGCCCTTGGACGTCCGGGCATAACGCAAGTCTTCGATCTTCAGCTTGCAGACTCGACATTTGAAGCACGAAGAACAGTAGGCCTGATCTCCGGTTAATATGGCCAAATCATCGATTTTCTTCCCACATTGTTTGCAGTTGTAGGAGCAAGACAGGCAGATCAAGTTGCCGTCACCCAATATAAGGAAGTTGGAGTTGCAGCCCAAAGAATTATCACACTTGGAACATTTGAAGCAATGTATGTGCCAACGGTCGTCACCCAACTCGTACGCGTGTCCCTCAGATATGTAGAGGCTACATTTTTTGCAGACCTGAGTGTCTGGGTATGTCGAGTCGGGCATGCCTATTGTGCTAATGTATGTACTTGCTTTGTAAAGGAAAGAATGGGGTGGGTGTGTGGTTGAGTGTGGTGCAAGTTAATGGTTCAGGTGAGCCGGAGGATCGAGGGCCTTTTTTGAGATAATTCCTAATCGAGAAGGCTTTTGTCGCTCCCACGATCCCATACTGGCAGGGCACTGCTCACTAGCCCTGGCTTGTGTGCACACTGCTCCCGTTAGACCTTGCAACATTTCCACCCAAAACTGGGTGTTGCCCAGTGCGACAGGCACAGATTAACAATCTAGATCAAGCAGCAAAACGTTGCAATAATTAAAGAAAAAAAAAAAAACTGCCGTGCGGCGTCCCTTCGTGCTGGCTTAAGGCTTCTAGATCAGCTGAGCTCCCTTGTCTAATGTCGCGAGGCCTGTCTCAAGGCGCTGCTTATGCTCGGCCTTAGGGGTGGAAGTCGGCAAGCTGCTTATCGTCGCCCTTTTCGATAAACAAGTCATCCACGCCCGACCAGTCAACGTGGATCTTGCGGTTCACGTCAGTGTTCTTGAGAATATCGTTCTTCTCCTTCTCCCAGTCCAGCTGCATATCCAGGAACCCTTCGCCCCAGACCTTGTCGTAGACCTTCTGAATCTTGGCTTGCTCCTGCTGCCTCTTCTCCTCTAGAGCCATCCACTCCATGTGTTTCAAGTCATCCAGCGAAGGCTCGTATATATGCCAAATCACGTAGTGGGGTAACCCAACAACCGAGAATCCCATTCTTTTGCTCAATTTGCCAAAAGCTTCTGTTTCAGCATGCTTTTCGAATGAGAAAGCTGGGAAGTGGGCACCGCGACGGAAAACCTTGGCTTTCGTAAGGATGGACACACCTCCAATACCGTCAAGCTCCATCTCCACCTCCGGGTCTCCATATGGGTCTCTCAAGTAAGCCAAATGAGGTCTCCATGTTTGATATTCTGGGTACCCTTCCACAATGCATGCATCTTCATCTAGAGTGTCCGCAAGCTGAAGACCTCCTTCAGACTCTTGCCATGAGTTAAGATCGTAAGGCTGCTGGTTGCCTAGCCAGTCAGGCAATGGTCTCCACACATTTGGCACAATCACATCCTTGTCATGATGCATCAAATCCTCCAATATCGTGGGTGGCACCGTCTCTACGTCAGCATCTCTCCAGTAAACATATGAATGATACGGCTTCAATGCTACCGATAGAAGCCAGTTTCTGGCACGCGCCATAAGCTTTCTCCGTGGTCCTTGGGCGGCAAAGCCATGTCTATCACTGAAAGACTGACCAATGATCTGGCCGAAGTCCTTTTCAAAAATCTCAATCTCTCCAAACCTCATTTTTTCATCAGGATCGCGTTGGATCTCAAGCAAATGTTTCTTCAATTCACCCATGGTGTTATCTTTGGAATCACTTACCAAAAAAGCTATGTCTATGAGGTTATGGTCGTATTTGAGGTTCTTCATGTGGTTGAAGAACATTGGCAAGTGTGCTGCGGCATCTCTCAAAGGAACACAAAATAGCACTCTTTCATCTCGTTGCCATCCATCAGCAGAACCTTTATAGTTTGCCAAATCAAAATATTGTGTTCCAGGTGTGTTGGTGAAATCAGGAGCATATAGAGACCCTGTGGAAGCCGCTAAGATGTTGATCAAAGCAAAGATACATAGTCCGACCATGAAGAGGGCCGCCTTGGCTTTGTGCTTTATGAATGCCAGCCACAAGTCTATTCGCAGTGAACGAGCGGGAAGAAGACTGGGTAATCCCGACAGCTTGTCATAAAATGACAGTCTAGTGGAATCTGACGGGGACATCTGGATTATCTGTGCCATGAATAGCGTGTTTATCCCCCTGTTGAATCAGTCCGAGGTGATTTAAGACGCCAAAATATTATTGTATTGAAGATGATGAGAAGCCGTCCTCAGAAGGCTCCTTAAATGCGGTTCCCGGGTTGAATCAAGAGATTGTTCGCCTATGCGATGTGAGCGTGGTATTTTTTTAGCTTGTCGAGGGAGCGGTGCAGTACGAACACAAACAAAGGAACCCTGGCATCAAAGAGTCCGAAGAATGATGCAAAGTTGAGTCAAAAGAAAAATCGGAAAAGTCGATTTACTGTTCTATGATACTTATGATGCCATCAAGCAGTCTTCTCTCTTGATATATTTTTGGGATGTTATGAGCCATGTCGTAGGAACAATACAACATTCCAGTCAGTCACATATGAGGTGTCGCTTAAGCCCCCCAGCCTCACATCAAATACCAATCTCGTGTGAAATCGAGCTTTTGACGTACTCCGTGAGGCTTGAAATGCAAGTTGTGTCTGGCGAAGTCTCAACAGATGCATGTTTTGATCACCCTCACCCTGAGCGTCGGGTAGAAGCAAGAGTGCCTCTTAGAAAGAAGTGTGTCGAACGTACTTGGAAGCTTCAAGTATTTGAAAGCTCGTGCAACTGGATCACGTCGGCTGAACAAAACAACGATGGTCATGCACAAGGCAACAGTCAACCCAACTTCTTTTGAAGCTCTGGATTGTCCGCTATATTTATATTTCTAATCTAGCTGTAAGCTTTAAGAAAATTGCCGTGATTTTTGGCAGATTCAAAACTCATGCCACACTACCGTCGTCATTGAAGTCTCTTAACTAGTTAGTAGACTATTGAGGGTAATTATATCCGTTTGCTATTAGAAATACAGAAATACTAAATGTCTCTCTCGAGCTCAAAATCACTATCTAAATTTTGGGGGAACCTACTTTTTTGTGGCTGGAATTCAGTGCTTGTTTTTGAGTTCTTGCGCAGTTTGCAGCCATTTTACAATATAGCCGTGAAAACACAATGTAGAAAAAAATCGTAGTCTGGGCCAGAAATTCCCAGATTTAGCCTATCTACAAGATTGGACGAACCCAACTTCTCCGTGTAAAAAAATTCTGGAAATTCTTTCATGGTATATATCTCTAACTCTGCAAGCGAACGTTATCAGCGAAGACATAGCTCGCGTTGTTTGGGTGTTTCTGCAGGCTACCATCAACATAACTAACAAAAGTACTACAACGTACTACCCCACCGAAAATGAAGGTTGAAGAGTTGATCATAGATGGTTTCAAATCGTATGCAACTCGTACCGTCATCAGCAATTGGGATCCACAGTTCAACGCCATCACGGGATTAAACGGTTCCGGTAAATCAAACATCCTTGACGCGATATGTTTTGTCTTAGGTATCGCTAGCATGTCCACTGTCAGAGCGTCGAACTTGCAGGATCTTATCTATAAACGTGGTCAAGCTGGTGTCACCAAAGCAAGTGTTACAATTGTGTTTGACAACTCTGAAACTGAGAAGTCTCCCATTGGATTCGAGGGCTATGCAAAGATCAGTGTCACCAGGCAAATCATCCTAGGAGGAACGTCGAAGTACTTGGTCAACGGCCACAAAGCACAACAGCAGAACGTTCTCAACCTTTTTCAGTCGGTCCAACTCAACATCAATAATCCTAATTTCTTAATTATGCAAGGTAAGATCACCAAGGTCCTCAACATGAAGCCATCAGAAATATTATCTCTCATCGAGGAAGCAGCAGGCACGAAAACTTTCGAAGATAGAAAAGAGAAGGCACAGAAGACCATGATGAAGAAGGACACTAGACTCAACGAGATCAAGAGTCTCCTAACTGAGGAAGTGGAACCCAAGCTAGAAAAGTTCCGCAAAGACAAACGCACATTCTTGGAGTTTCAGCAAGTGCAAACTGATCTAGAGAGACTATCCCGTTTCGTTAGTTGCTGTCAGTACAAGGACTGTTCCGAGAAATACGATCGATACTCCACATTACGGTCTGAGCATGAATCCATCAAGGCTGAACACAACACACTAATAGAACGTCTCACAACAGAGATTGATAACTTGACACATGACCTTGAAGAAGTCAGAAAACAGCGCCAATCGGAACTTGTAAAAGGTGGCACCATAGAGCAGCTTGAAGAAGAGGAGACAGCTCTTTCAGACAAGCTCACGAGGCTTACTACATCTAGTGACTTGTTACGTGAGAATATCAAGGAAGAGGGCGCAAAACTCACCAGACTTCTACAACAATCTGCATTGATTGAAGAGCTGATCGCCAACAGTAACGACAACTATAAGACTTCTCGTGATGAGAACGACCGGTGTAAGGAAGAGCTCAATAAACTAAAGGAGGAACACTCCAAAAAGGAAGAGCTTCTCACTGCATTGTCCACAGGTGTTTCTGCCAAAGGTACGGATGGTGGCTACATGTCTCAACTCCGAAAAGCTAAAGAAGATTTGAGTCATAGCCAAGGTCTTATTAAGCAAGCGAAGCTCAAAATAAGCCATCTAGACGAGAAAAGTCGAACCGATCAGGCGAGACTTGAAACTGCCAAAAAAGAGTACGAAACTTTACTGCAAGAAACACAGGGCTACGAGAAAGAGATACAGGCCAAGGAGACCAAACTTGCTAGCTTCGGTTTTGACGTGAAGGCCTACGAAGATTTGAGACAACAAGAAAAGGACTTTCGCCAACGAATAGCTGACTACCAGAACCAGCTCAGTTATTTAAGGCGTGAGGTTGGCAATATTGATTTTCAGTACGCTCGTCCCTATCCCGACTTCAATCCTCAGTCGGTGAAGGGTGTGGCTGTCCAGCTTTTCAAATTGGAGGAGGACCATCATGACAAAGCTTTAGCACTTCAAGTATGCGCAGGTGGAAGATTATACAACGTTGTTGTGGACAATGCCAACACAGCTTCGGCACTCTTGGAGAAGGGCCAATTGAAGCGAAGGGTGACCATTATTCCTCTAGACAAGATTTCCGCAAGTTCAATACCCGACAAGACAGTACAATATGCCAAGGAACAATGCCCAGGAAAAGTGGAGCTTTCACTTAATCTTATCGACTTTGAGAATGAGTTATACAAAGCAATGGCTTACATTTTTGGCAAAACTTTTATATGTCAGGATCCCCAGACTGCGAAGGTGATCACTTTCGACCCAAAGATTCGTGCTCGTTCCATCACGCTCGAGGGTGACGTTTACGACCCTGAGGGTAACCTTTCAGGAGGGTCAAGGAAAAACAATTCATCCACATTGCTTTTAATGCAAAAGTATAACGCTGTTTCTCAAAAGCTCAAGCAAACTGAATCTGAGCACGCTCGTGTGAGACATGAACTCGCTCGTCTTGATAAGTTGGGTGAGCAAACCAAGTCTTTACAGAGCGAATTAATGTTAAGTCGACACGAGTTCACGTTATTACAAAAGAAGCTAGACAACAATCCCGCTGCCCGAATAATCAAAGAGTTCGATCAGAACGAATCACACGCTAAAGAATTGAAGTCTCAAATCGAGACCGAGAAGAAAAGGTGTGAGACCTTTGAGCAGAATATCAAGTCAATTCAGAAGGACATCGACGATTTCAACAACGATAAAGGCTCAAAATTGAAGGAGCTTGATGCAACTGTGAAGCAGTTGCTTTCTAAAATCAACGCTCAGAATGATGAGGTCAAGAAGTCCTCCGAGAAATTTCAAAAGTTCGAAGTCGAAATGGAGCAACAAGTGCAAGAGTTGGAAGCTATCAAGGAGTCCGCAAATGCATCCCGGAATGTTACAGATGAGGGAGAAAGGGACCTCTCTGACATGCTCAAAACCATGGAGCAGATAACGGAGTCCTTGAACATCAAACGGGCTCAACTAGAGGATGAAAAAGCCAAGCTTCTTGGCTTCAATGATGAAATAAAAGAACTTAGTGATACACTCGCAGCGAAGACGGAAGAACTTAACGGGGCTAAATTGTCAATTCAGAAGCTCAACCATGACTTGGAAAATGCTGTTGGTATCACAACTCGTTTAAGAGACGAACTTGATAAGCTTCTTCAAGAAAATGAATGGTTGGTTGACGAGTCAGTCGTGAACAACATCCTCCAGCAACATCAAGACGAGAATGTGAAAGAATGCGTCCAGCGTCTTTCAACGTTGAAAGAGCGTTTTGATAGCATGAAGAAGAAGGTGAATGCCAACATCATGAGCCAAATCGATACCGTAGAGAAAAAGGAGGCATCACTCAGGCACATGATTAAAACTATCACTAGAGATAAGACGAAGATTGAAAATACTATCGAAAAATTGAACGGCTACAAGAGAGACACCTTGAACACAACATATCAGAAAGTGTCGGATGATTTTGGTAACATTTTTGCTGATCTATTACCTGGCTCATTTGCTAAGTTGGTTCCTGTCAACATGTTCGACGTTACGAAAGGTCTAGAAGTTAAGGTTAAACTAGGTCAGGTTTGGAAGGAGAGTTTGACAGAATTGTCAGGAGGTCAAAGATCTTTGATAGCTCTTTCGCTTATCATGGCTCTTCTTCAATTCAAACCTGCTCCCATGTATATTTTGGATGAGGTTGATGCCGCTCTCGATATGTCTCACACTCAAAATATTGGGCATCTTATCAAAACCCGTTTCAAGGGCTCACAATTTATTATTGTGTCCTTGAAGGAGGGTATGTTCACCAATGCAAACAGGGTCTTCAGAACAAGGTTCCAGGATGGTACTTCGATGGTGTATACTATGTAATGAATCTGTTTAGTTTATTATAGATAAATATATCGGCTAGTCCCAATCCACTATTCAGTCTTCTTGTCAGGGCCGCCCAGGGAACTAACCGCTTCAACAGTAGCATCAGACAAAGGCTCTGAGTCCTCAGCGAAGCGCAAGCTTTTTCTGTTTTTGGAGTTATTCTCGTGAGAAGCGTACTCCTCGGCGCCCAGGGCGTACGATGCCTGGTTATTACTCACATCTGAAGAGTCGCTGAAAACCAACTCAGCAGTTCTCACCCAACGACGTCTACGAGTATATTTCGAGTAAGAATCCTCCGTAGAAGGCTTCTTCCAGACATTATCGAAATAAAGATAACCTTCATCAGCGGTGGGATTGGCAGTGGTTTTGGACCTTTTGCCCGAAGGTAGAGTAATTGCGCCATCATTGGTGATGTCGAGTCTCCAGGCTTTATCGACCCATCTCCAGTGGGCACCAGCAATAGTCAGGTGTTGGAGATAAGATTGTTGGCCAACCGTGGTGGAAGAGTCGGGGTTGGGCAATTCGAAGGAATCTACCGAGGAAGACTCGTTCAAGAACTCATCAGTCCAAGGCGCACGCTCATACGAGAGCAAATTGGAAGTCCAGCCAATTCCTAACCAGCGGCGCTGGTTCTCATAGATGACGTACGTGAAGCGGACAGGCTTCGACGGGTCAGCAACAGTTGATGTAGAAGATGCGGATTTCTGTACCTTGGCGAATGCCGCAGCAAATAATGAGCTGTTGCGTGCTTGAGAAAAGTCAAGGCCAGTCAAGTAGAAGCATACGACTCTGGTAATCTTGAGCTTCCATACCAACCGCCTGGTGACACGCGAGTAGCCCAGATGGTACGATATGAGGAACAAACCAGCATGCAACAAGATGGTTCGAGGCTTTATAAGCAAGGAAGTAGCCACCAAGTACAAGGGAGTTAAAAACACTGTGGTGAATAATAGACGCTTGATATCGTACGGAGTCAAGGCCAATGCGGTGATTGGACTCAAGAGGATGTCGGCTTTGATACAAGTGGTGGTCAATGCTTGCACCACATCGTCCAAGGTTGGCCTGAGGTTTGTCTCTTCAACGATACGGTTGTTAAGTACCGCATACATGATCACAGCACCCACTAAAATCAAGTGGCCCAGCCACGTTATGAGGGTTTCGAAGTAAAGTACCGCAAAGCCGTAGAGACACATCAACACAACATTGATCCAGTAGTCATCGTTAGTCCAAGTAGCCACCGCTAATAACTTATTGACTATCAATAAATAAGGGTACGCCTTGATCAACGCCTTCGCTACCGTGGGTGGTGTCGATGAAAGGAGGGGCGAGGACTGGGGTTTCACCGAGCTGGCTGTTGTAGCAAACAGGGCTCGTATTTCCAGTTCCCCCTGCTTCTGTGACGCATTGGAATTCTCCAGCCGGGGAGCATCCGAATTCGCCATTTGGTGGTAGTGTGCACTGAGAAGGTCGAGAGTTTTATGTGTGATTTTGGGGTGTCCTTTTTTCCCCTCGAGCGTAATGTGATTTTAGGTCCTGTGCAATGCCAAACAATAATTCTACATAAGACAAAAAAAATGAAAAGGAGCAAAGAAAAGCTACGCCAATAATAAATCTTGAACAAAGGCCTGAGGCCCGGTAGAAAAAATTGCTTGGTGCTGAGGAAAATGTGCATTTCGGATCTACCGAGATAGCAACCACGCCGATTGATACTTCACATTGGCTACGCAGTTAGCTGCAATTTCCACGCTTTTCTTTCACCTGTAGAAAATGCGATCTATTTTGAATGAGGAATAGACCCAGAAGCGAGAGATTATCTAGACGTACTTGTGATCTGCGTGCTTTGTCCAATGGCTCCAATCACCACTTTTCTTTCGTTGGTTTACAATTAGCGAGGAAAAAGAAGTCGGAAGGAATCTCGGGTGATTTTTCGACTTTTTTGTATTCCTTTACCTGTTTAGTGCTTGACCCGGGAGACAACCGGGAGACGGGCCGGGGTGCTGTCAAATTCAAGATCTGTGGTGTACAGATCTTCTAAAACATCTAGTCGATTTCCCCAGATTCTTCAGACATCGCAACAGTGTTATGGGGTTAGCGGATGAGATTGCGAAGAAGCGAAAAGCAGCAAAGGAAAAAACAAACACTAAGAAACAAAAGCCAGACTCTCCCAATACTGCTGACGTCGCAGAAGCTCCAAAGGAAGTCCTGAAAGAAACGGTCTCAGCTGAGCAGGAATTCCTCCGAAGTGTAGCAGACGACAAGCTCGAGAAATCCCTTAAAATTTTTGAAGGTGAAGACTCCTCATTAAGCAAAGAAGACCAACTTCGAAAACTAGATCTTTTAGTGAAGACTGAGCAACGCAATGACGCATACAAGGCTTATCTCGATGAAGAGAGTTCTGCATCTCCAGTCATAACATTGGAGAACATTGGTGGTATTGAAACAAACAAACGACAATTGGAACTACAAGTGAGGCTTGCATTGAAAGATATCATCTCTTTGTGGGAGGCAATGCCACAGGAGCCTCCGGAACCATACACGATTGGCATGCTTCGAGAGGTCAAAAGGGATATCGTCAAGCTACTATACAAACTTCGAGCCGGGAAACTAGAGGATAGTATCCTTCTATCTCTTGCCACGGTTATCTACTACATCCAACAAAAAAGCTTCGTGAAGGCCAATGAGAGTTATATGAAGTTGAGTATAGGTAATGTTGCGTATCCCATAGGTATAAGAGATGTCGGAATACATGCGAGACACGCTCTTCTGAAGATCACAGGTGAAGACAAGTCTACTATCGCAAATGTCATGAAAAGTGAGTCCTTTAGAAAATGGATTCTTGCAGTGAAGCGCTTAATCTCCTACAGCGAAACGAAAATGAATTCGACAAAGGTTCCAAAGGAAGCAGAGAGCTAGATAACGACGAAGAGGGGTTTCAAACTACAATAAAAAGTGCATTGGGGGCAGCTTGCAACCATGTCTAACGGATCACGTGCCCAAACTCAGGGCACAGCCCTCAATTGTGGGCTACTACGGAGGTACAGGTGTACACACGATGCGAAAATTTCCTACTTCGAAAATCGTTTTACATTTTCACTTCCTCAACCTTTGCATAATCAACCATGGCTGTATGTTTCGATAAATGAAAACGCTGAATGAACACCTTAAAGCTGTCAACGGCAAGACCGTTCTGCTGATATTTTCAGGCTCAACCATACCCAGTGACGAGTTCTTCAGTATTAAAGTTCGCATCCCATCACCGTACTAACATTTCCAGAAAGAGATCAAGGACATCAAGGAGTTCGTTGAATTGGCTAGAAGAGCTGACATCAAGTCTGCTGTCGTCAAGGTCAACAAGAAGACCAAGACTAACGGCAAGTCTTTCAAGCAGACCAAGTTCAAGGTCAGAGGTAAGAGATACCAGTACACCTTGGTTGTTGACGACATCTCCAAGGCCAAGAAGTTGCAGCAGTCTTTGCCTCCTACCTTGAAGATCCAGTCTTTGTAAGTTACGCTCCTAATAAACGACTAAGTGAAACATAGAAAAGAGACATACGGTTAACTTGACGAAATGTAGATTTGGGCGACCTAGCTCGAAAAGTGTAATGGACCCCATACACCGATCTCATTAAAGACGTTCTGTAATCTAAACGAATCTTTTACCGATATACAAATATATAACCTTAAATGACGTCCTCCATGTCGTCATCATCGTCCTCATCTTTCTTGTCGTCATCATTACCAAGCTTTGCAGCTCTCTCAGCATCCCTCAATCTTCTATATTCTGGCTTCAAGTGATACTTCGAGGTATACGGCCCCTTTTTAATTAAGTTTGCAATCGATTCCAAGGATTCTTTGAGGTATGTTTCTGGCTGCTTGGTCCTCTCCTTGAGACCTTTGATAGACCAATATTCATACTCTTCGAAGAGACGGAAAAGTAAATCCAATAAATCCTTCTTGGGCATTCTGATCGCACGGCCTTCGTTCTTCGATTTCTGAGGATTAGACTTCAAGAACATCGATGTCGATTTACCAGTGAGCGAAGGACCAGCCAGGGACTGTACCACACCAGGAATCTCATTGAGAAACGTAACCTTTGGCCTTTCTTTTGTCAACGGCATGTTCTGACGTTTCATCAACATTTGTGCATATTTCGAGTCTGACTTAGATGGAACGATTTGGCAGTCATGGACGATCTTGCCAACAAGATTGGTTTTTTTGGGTATAGTTTTAACAAAAGGTACGGCTTGCAGCTGGGCCTCTCCGTCTGGTCCATTCTTCTCCACTCTATAATATTTTGCCGGCCTCAAACTCTCATCCGGGTCGAGGTCTTTGAGTTGTGGTTGATCAGGCATATCGCCCATTTCCGTGACTTCCTGTCTGAATCTTTTTAGATTTTCTTCACTGAAGACGTATGAATTGTGAACTTGTGTGTTGAGGATAGATAAGTCGTACTCGCGAGGAATATCTTGGTTGTGTTCCAGGTCATTGAGAACGAGCTTCACCTCAAGCTTCTTTTTCTGGTCACTTCCGCCAGTGGGTGTGCCACCAGAGCTATCTCCACCGTTGTTGTTTTGTCTGATTTTGACATGCCCCAATTGTTGTCCATGCAACGACTCCCTTTTGGTCCACTTCTCCGCCAAATACCTAGGTAGCTTGACTAGCCACACCTTCTGACCTCCATGAGTTAAGTTCATATCTAGAGACTCATTCTCTTCGAGGTAGTCCTCCGGATCTGAAAGAAGTGTGTGGTCAGGCTCCTCTGAACCTTCGTTTTTGATACTCATACCGCCATTCTTTTGGGCCGTGTTAGCCTTGTTCAATGAACTCGAATGCTCATCCTTGACGATCTTCTTGATAGGGCTTTTTGTGCTCATACTAGGGTCCATAAAGTTTGATGAGGATAAACAAGGCCAAAGGACAAGAACGACTACGAGGTCAATGAGGAGTTGATACCAGATGATTGTGGTGCACGGGTGTTTCATATATACGCCACCGTTCTTCACTAATTATAAGATTTGGGCCTATTTCCCATTTAAATCAGGCATTGCTTTGTGGTTGTGGCAAATTGCATGAGTCATTTTTTGTTCAATGCTTGTTCCACCTTAAATAGGCCTGTAGCCTTCTACCCCAGACTACGCTCGCCTTTCAGTCACAACTACTATGTCTTCATCTTCCTTGGATCCAAGCGAAGCCTTTATAGTCTCGAGGCTACTATACCTCGATAATTCATCTTGTGGATATTGCCATGGAAAAAAGGGAAAAAGCGGTGGCCTCCAATCATCCCCAGAGATCGCTGATATACCAGAGGAACCCACCCATATCACAATTGGTTGTCAAGTTCAACAAATGACTTGTCAGCAGTACGACGACTTTATAAATAGAGGATTTAGAAGATCGGGGAATTTTTTGTATACTGGGGATATGCTTCGAGGTTGTTGTCGATCTTACACTATCAGGACCGACATGGATCATTTGAAGATCACGAAGGAACACCGTCAAGTTGTCAATCGCTTCAAAAGAGCAATTGGGGACAACACAAAAACGAAAGGCCCTTTTGATTTGTCGACACTAATAACGGCAGAACAGTCATCAAGTCGCTTTCATACTCGGTTTGAACCATCTGGCTTCTCTGCTGAGAAGTTCGAGCTTTACAAGAAATATCAAGTCAAGGTCCATGATGATGATCCCTCTGAAGTTACGGAAAGGCAATTCAAAAACTTCTTGTGTGAAACGCCATTTCCTGATTCGGAAGTACAAGGTACAAAGGATGCGTGGAGTAGCCTAAATAACTGGGTAAGCGAATGGAGAGGTGACGTCAAAAAGACAAAGAAACGCATAGGACCTACCCATGAGTGCTACTACCTTGAAAACAAGCTCATTGCCATTTCCGTGCTCGACTTCCTTCCTAGTGGATTATCATCGATATATTTCATATGGGACCCAGACTATGCACATTTGTCCTTAGGTACTCTTTCTGGTTTGAGAGAGATTCAAATGTGTCGCGAGTTAGGTCTAGGATATTACTATTTGGGTTATTATATCGATGACTGCCCCAAAATGAAATATAAGGGTAAATTTGGGGGACAACTCTTGGACTTGGTGAATAATGCATGGGTGGATCTCAAGGATGTGAGGCCGTTGATAGAAAACGATCTCTTCTTCACTTTGGGTGAGAAGAGTGAACCGCTCAAAGAACCGACTGTATCTCATAAGGAGAAAGGCATCGTTTGGCCAGGGCCTATTAAAAATATCAGTGACGCTCTTTACGGTGACAGAAATACGTACGAAAGCGCTGGAAACATACTGAAACAGCTAATCCAAAAATACAAGCTTGACGGCTTTGAATTACCAGATGTTTTACCGGGAGCTTTGCCCTTGTGGGCCTTACAGAAGATTCTAGAGTCGGAAGCAGGATTCGAGGCGTCAATTCTTATGATGGCAACAGGTACATGGGGGTCATTCCTGCTCGATGAAATGATGCCTGTGATGAGAACTTACGTCCTCGATTTCGTGAGACTCTTCGGCCTTGAGAGAATCAAAGAAACTATTATCATTATGTGAGTCAGTGTCTCTCGAGATATAGGTGAGAAGAATTGCAGTGAAGAGAGAGGGAAAAGACAGGAGAGACAAACTGCGTCTTCACTCAGAAATTACCATCTTAAACTAGAGTTCTATTAGAATTAAACTTATTTTTACTGAAATAGTAACCTCTAAGTGTGGAAGCATATACGTGCATGTCGCAGCTGTACCCTAAGCGATGAGTTACCCGGAAAAGACATCGCGAATCGCACTATATAAACAGCAGACGGCCCGCTCCATTGAAGGTTTTTTTTTTTTTTTTCTCTGTCGACGTACTTCATAGGATCATTTCTATAGGTCACGTCCCACAATGACTCTTCTAAAGAGCCACTGAATCCAACTTGGTTGATGAGTAAGATACCCTCGCGCCCTCAAAGTGAGAACACATTTAGCTTGTCCATGATCCCTTGCGGTCTGGTCATCTACAATTTGTTTGCCTTTCACCAGCCACTTACGACCTAGTCATAAGTGCTGAAAGGAGCGATGATCTTGACCCTTTGCCACACGCTTTTTCGGAAGACGTGGCTTTGGGTGGGTGCGAGTGGCTGTCTGACAAGTTAAGCGCTTCAATTTTGAAGCAGTGATACTTGAAACCTGTTGGTATGTCGACCGCCGTAGCTTTGTGCGCTTCCCTCTAATTGTGATCGTTTGTCTCGAGCCACCATCATCTATTTTCGGCTCGATACACTCGAGCAAGCAATAGTGAGGAACCTGAAGGATAGGCATAGCCCGTCATTATGTTCAAGAAGCAATGGGCGTAGGCCAGACAGGCTGGTTTTTCGAATCTTAAGTACCCCTGATTTCGGCTCTCTACTTCATTGTTTTCGACGGTTGCGCGGTCTACAATCACGGCTTGACATCTCCTTCATGCCGGTCTATTCGGTAGAGCATACAGATAGTTCCGTCCCTGACAAAATCTGTCTTTTCACACAGCCTCGATCAACATTTTTATTTATACATGGGACTCCACCTCTTACAACAAAAAATTCATAGATTTTCATGATCCGCAGACGCCGCTGCCAATACCTTGCCTTGGCAGTAATTGCTCTACACCTTATCGTTATTTCGCTTATAGGTACACAGAGTCCCGAGAAACTTCTACCGTTGAAGAACCTTACAAACACCCTTCGAGATTATGCTGTACTTCTTCGAGAAAGAAACTCATTTGCTTTCGACGCTTGGACTGATAAGATCTTTAGTAACTACTTGGAGGATCCGAGTACCGAGAGCAAGGATATCAAGATCGCAGCACTTTCCGTGAATGGCTCGGCCTACGGAGCAGACAAGACAGCTGTATCTATACCAGCTTTCCTAAAAGATGAATCTGAGAACCCCATACTCCTACCTTTCGAGCCTCGCTTCACCTTGGGCATGATCCTCAATGAATATAACGAACAACTCAAAAATGACGTGGGTGCAAGCCCAGCAACATTCGAATACACCCTCCCAGTGTTTCACTGGTCAGACTGGACTGATTTGTCTGCCCTATATCCGCATTTCATGTCAGCTGGAGAAAACAGACAGTCTTGTAAGATGTTTGGGAAGACACCTAGAAAGACGAGGAAAAACCCCAATCCGCAGGCAACTGCCCCAAACTGGTGCATAGACGATTCCCAAATTGCACATCTTTATCATGAGAATCTCGTTGCTGATGAAAGGAAGCAAGCGTGCCTCAAAGAAATCTTGCAATCTCCACTTCGAACAGGCTTCCATGTTGATCAATATGGAGGCCGGACTCCACATGCTCTGAAAAAGGTTGAGGCAGCCCTGTACTTGAACGACTTCATGGACAAGCCGTTATCAATAGTACTTTTACTACCTCACCCTTCAGGCCGTCTGAGGTCGATAAGGCTCAACGTCAACCAAGAAGTGGGTAGTAGAGTCCGTCTTCTGCACTCCGACTTGGCAAAGTCTGTGGCAGGTAGGGCTGACGAGGTCGACATCAGGGAAGAGCTTTGCCGCCTTGCATCATATTATGAAGATGAGAGTAGTGATACTTATCACCCTACTATCGAACTTCAGCATGAGGATTTTGTGGAGGATCTGAGACTCAGACTTCAGGAGTTACTTGCAAAAGAGACGCTTACACCACACGAGCGCAATTATGCTCTCAGTTTAAACCTTTCAATCAGCGGCGTGGAACCAACAAAATATTTATACGAGGCCCAACTTCACAGGTCAACACCTAATTGGGCATGGGGAAGTCATTACGACTGGAGATTTTATAAAAGCATTATAAATTTTCTGGACCTTCAAGCACCTGCTTTGCATAGTCTCACTCAAGCCTGGCTTCGATTCATTAATGCTCAACATTTGCAAAGCTGGGTTGCACACGGTACATTACTTTCATGGTACTGGAATGGGATCAACTTTCCGTGGGATGCAGACGTTGATGTACAGATGCCAATAACCGATCTTCATGTCTTGGCTCGTAATTTTAATCAATCGATTATCGTTGACTTCGGCACAGACATCAACGGTGAAGTCAAAACAGGAAGATACTTCCTAGACATTGGTACTTGGATTTCTCTGAGAGAATTTGGCAACGGCCTTAACAACATCGACGGAAGGTTCATCGATATGGATACTGGTCTTTACATTGACATCACTGGTCTCTCCATTTCTAACATGGTTGCCCCTAAGGAGTACGATAGAAAGTTGCCGCGAGGTCTCAGAAGGACCAACAAAGACCGCTTTATGGATGATTTAGAAGTGGCAAGGAACAACTACCTCCAGATTTACAATTGCAGAAATAGGCACTTTGCCTCCTTGAAGGACTTGTCGCCAATGAAGCTAACCTACGTTGAAGGCGTCCCAGCATACGTTCCCAATAATTACATGGTCATGTTACAGCGCGAGTACAACGAAGGAGGTTTGATGGAACAGAAGTTCAAACGCTATGTGTACTTGCCACGATTGAGGATCTGGCATCCTTTTGACAAAGTGTCTCAGTTTGTCGTTGGCAAGGGGAAAGACTTTCAACCGATGTTAGAGCTTGGTCCAGACAAGTCGAAGGCTCTGAACAAGATTGACAAAATGGCCGTCTATACAATGTCAGACGAGGACTATCTTGAGCTAATGGTGAGAGAGAAACTGCTCTTGGTGGAGTATTTGACCACGAGAGAAGTCACCGCTCTCCACGAAAATGAAATGAAAAAACTTCTCAAAAACAAGCCCACGGAAGACCTTCTTCTTGAAAACGAGAAGTTGATTCACCAATTTCCGTCGTTCAGAAGAGACTACATCAGGTATGCACGGGCTAAGGAGGATTTTTCGTTTGATGAAAAGGTTGTGGAGCTAACAAATGAGATGATGTCTTTTCGACAAGGCCTGGAGCCCGGGATGAAGCAAAACACGAGAGAAATGGACGTTGAGAGGTCTGAGCAGGTCAATTCGAAAAAAGATGGACCAGATCCTGTTGTTATGTTTCAGCCCAAAGGAGCCGCCCTTGAGAGGCCGCGAAACGAAGAAGGACCCTAAATACATGGACAATTGGAGATACTATAGAATGAGTATAAAGCTGAAGCAGTTGTATAGTGCGAGCGTATCATTTCGCAGCCAAATAGTAACCATACTGCTGCCATGCAACCACCCCAAGAATTCGAGATTTAGACAGCTCAATTGAGTATCTATGAGGAACTTAAATGCCTACATCAAAAATTGAACGCCGTGGGCTTATTTCTGTAGCGGCACCAACATTCATTCTCGACAATAGAAGTGTCACAACGTCTATTGAACCTAATACTTACACGCCTGATACATATTCTCAGGTAAGCGAGAATTGCTCAATCCATCTTGTTCTCAATTCTTCTCCAATTTCTGCTTCTTTACCCCAGCTGAAGTGGTGGGCTGATTTGGACTCCTGCACGTGATCGTGAGCTGCGTTTCCCACCAATCAAACCGTGCGCGAACATACTAAAATTCTCATAGCTCAGTTACCAACAGCTACACCTACAGCAATGTTTAGAAATTTGACGAACCGTACCTTTACTAGATTCAACTCCCACGGCCACGGCCACGGTCACGTGTCCAAGTTCATCAAGGACAATGCCTTCAAGGTCGACAAGACCGCTGGTGAGGCCTTCAAGAAGGAATACGCTGAGAAGGTCCACCACTCTGAGAGTGTCACCAAGTTGTGGACCAAGATTACCTACTACGTGGCTATCCCAGCCATCCTTTTGACTGCCATTCCTGTCGGTCGTATTGAGATGAAGCACGTGGAGCACAGAGACCACTTGAGACACATGTCTGACGAAGAGTGGCCTACTCAATACGAATACCAGAACTTGAGAAGCAAGAAGTTCTTTTGGGGTGACGGCGACAAGACCTTGTTCTGGAACTCGGACGTCAACAGACACATCGAGGAGTAAGTCCCTCTGCATGCATGTTATTCGTTTCTACTCTAGCTACCCGAATGTACAAAATAGTCATCATGTTCATGTCGTAACTCTCTCTTCGCCAGTTTACAACGTCGAGAAGATGTAAAGATTATTTGTGGCAGCAATGGCAACCAGGTTTTCTTGCGGATGCCACGACAAATGTAAAATGCTCTTCTTGAAATCAATGTAGTCATTGTCCACACTGCCACTGCCCACTCCGCTCATCATCCTCCGACGTGTGGTGCCATCCTGACCAGATTTCTTTGATTTGAAAGCAGACTTGTCCGCCTGCAAAATGATTTCTTCCTGCTCGTCCTCACCAGGCTTAGGCGATTGTGGGAACCCTTGACCAGGAGGAGCAAAGAGCTTAGCATCTTCTTCAGAGTCATCGTCATCGTCATCGTCATCATCGTCATGGTTTTGAGCTCCATTCTTACCTTCGTCATCACTTTCTCTCTGACCCTTTTTAAGCGAAAACAGCGACATGTCCAAACCCTTTCCTGAATTGCCTGAAGAATTGGCATTAACAGCATTAGGATATATCATAAAGTTGTTATTATAGGAGCCTGTCATGACTGAGCGGTTGTCGCCGCCAAATTGTACCTCGAATTTGTCAAAGATTGCGTCGTTCTCGTACGTGTCGCACAAGCGATCCCTCAAGTGCTCGTGAACATTGATTGTGGCCACAGGCTTTCTCTCCATGGCCAAGTCCCAGAGCTTGACGGTCATGTAGTCTCTACTAACGATGTAACGTCCGTCATGAGAGAACTTCACATCCAGGATGGAGGAGGTGATCTCCGTGAAAAAATTATGCGACGCCGGGTCCAAATATTCCTCAAAGATCTTTGCGTGTGTATCACACAATGAATTGGATCTCATGTCCAGCAACTTGATCGTGCCTTTGGACAGCGAGTACATGAATAGGTTACAATGCTGCGGGTGGAACTCGGCTGAGGTGATCACCTCCGTGAGCTCCTCCATGTTAGTGGGCTTGATGTCAACGATATTAAAAGACTGATCTGAGATGTCCAAGTTCCACAAGTTGATGCGCAAGTCGTCCAGCGATAGGTATGTCTCCTGGTCAGAGTTGACCGAAATGGAGTTGATGTGGTAAGCGTGGGCATTGGAGTAAATTTTTTTCGGCTGTGCCAGAATCAACTTGTCGTGGAAGGTCGTTTTTGGTAAACGCAAGTCTCCAACGTTGGTTTTGCCAGACGGTAAGTGATCCAACCCGTTCAAGTTATTCTCGCTGACAAGACGCACCTGTCTCTCCATGATCTTCCACAACTTTATGGTTTTGTCATTGGTCGATAAGAGGTACAACAGGTTGTTCAGAGAGCGCAACCATTGGATCTTGTTGATCTTCTCCTCAACCTCCAACGACTTGAGGTAGTCAAACTCCGCATCGTGACTTTGAAACTCGGTAAAAAATTTGTACTCGCAGCTATTTTTCTTGCTGCCGTTTCTCTCAAACAACACCACACGGCCGCCCTTATCACCGGTGGCCAAGAACGTGCCCGTGCTGTCGAACTCTACTGTGGAGATTATGTCGGCCTCGGTGATATTCTCAATATCGCCCTTATCGCCGAAGCATTGGGAAAATTTCCAATTATGGTCCATTTTGTCTTTTGTCTTGCTGCTCTTATCGGCACTGGATTCTGTGTTTCCTTCTATGATTGTATGGGGATTGCGCCAAATCGGTCGAGTCTGAGGGGGGAATTCTCAATTTGGCCGAATGGCTGAATGCTGTTCCTATCAGTCGTGTTACGCCCAAAATGATACAGTGAATTGGGCCGCTTTCCAGGACTTGCGGATACAATTGGCGTTGGTGTGGGGGGTGTAAGGAAAAAAGGGTGGTGTTCGCAAACGAAACTGATGCCGCTATATTAGCAGCGAGACAGCGAAGACAGGACAAAAAAATTGCAACGCTACGCTGTGGAGGCGGACAAACACCTGTACACCAGCTTATACCAGGCAATTTTCTCCCCTTGGGTGATTCAACCAATTCTGACGAGATTTATTCTTGGATGATTGCTGGGTAGGATTGCCAGTTTGAGAAAGTATAAGGGGTCTAGAAAACTAGTTGAGAGGGTGTTCTAGCAATGGGAGCCATATATCACTTCTCAGTCTACCGAGGCAGGGCATTAAAGTTGCTGAAGAATTAACCGACTTTCTGCTATCTCAATTTGTTAAGATGATCTTCAGGCGCAATTGGGTTATGGTTTTCAATAGCCTTTTTTGCTTTGTTGAACAAGTGTTGTCTAGACCGTTGATCAGGATAGCACCTCGTGCTGATTAGCGATGAGAAAGGTAGTTCTTTGGTGCTAAAAGAAATTCATTTTCTGTGCTGACTTAAAAGAAGGTTCTATTGATGGCGAACGATAGAGTAGTATTTGAAAACGATAATTCCTTTTGCGTTGTGTATTCGGTGACACTTCAGATACCTGTCAAAGCCCTATGCCGATCTCCACGCTACAAGCGTGTTTGCAACGACGAGGAAAATCGTCGGCTCAAGTCATCCAATAATTCGTTTTCAATGAAGGTGTCGCTTCGTTCTCTAGCACCCTTTCGTCTACAACTGGGTTCGATAGATATTTTATGTATGATTACTGCTATTCATGATGTTTAGGCGGCCTTCTTGGCAGCGTCGGCAGGAGAGACCTTTCTGTCGGCGGAGAATCTCTTTCTCTGAGGAGGAGTTCTGATTCTTCTGTCGGATCTAGATCTGACTCTGACGATTCTGGCGTGAATGGCACAAGAGACACAGTAGTGCAACTTGTTGTACAACTTTGGCAAGGCGTACTCCTGGTAGACGGAGGCCTCAGACAAGTCTCTCACGGCAGCAGCCTCGACCATGTTTCTGATGGTGACTCTCTTGATGGCCTTGTCCTTTGGCACACATCTAGCACAGTTCAAACATCTGACTGGCTTAACGTGACCTCTGCCCTTCTTGTTTCTACCGTTGGAAGCTCTCTTCTTTGGCATCTTTCTGTTAGTAAATTTGTCGAGACGATGGATGGGAGGAAACGATGGCTTTATATCATTTTCGGGGTTCGGTGTTCGGTCTTCAGGACGCATGTGGCCCACGTATCGCTTGCACGGTCATTCATTTATTGTTCGTTTGTGATATCCATTCTAAATTCCTTGATTTATGGTCGATCGAAACATACCTTGTGTTTGGTAAGGAAGATAGGAATAATAGAATTGGAAAATTTTTAGAGACTGTGAGCGAGCAACGGAGTGCAGGCCTGGTTCCAGGGGTACGGGGTTTTGAAGCGCGAAGGAACAGTATGTGTCACGTGTGTAGGGCTTCAGCCCTCGTGACTATACTGTACCGCAGATATATAACTTTAGAGTGGGGATTATGCTCCTTCCAGACAAACAAGTACTGCTGTTGAAATGTAGCTTGGTATCATAGCATGAACTGTCCGGCAAAAGTCGGTTTAGCATGAGTTCTTACTTCTATAGACAAAAGGTTAGAGAAATTTATTTCTCGCAACAGACCCAATTATGGGTGATATAGAGTTCTTAAAGTGTGATAACTTGTACCTTCAATTGGAAAGCTGAGGCTCTGTTTCAAACTTCAGTAGTTGGGCTGACCTCTTGGAGTGTCCTCATTGGTACTAAGGTGCGATATGCAGCCGTTTCAGTATCTCATACTGGTAAACCATCTTAGCATTCTCTGACATCAAAACCCTACTGACATTAGCTTCCTTGATTATAAAGTAAAACCTATTTGCTCAAACCTTGAAAAATTCTTTTGAAATTTCTTTTCGTATCGGGCTTATCTCGATCATCTTTCGCAGCCAATCGGAGACGCTAGGGATGAAATGCTTCCGGGCACTTCCAAGTACAGCTTTTTATGTCAAGCTTCCAAGAATCCCTCCAAATTCAGAATTACATAATTCGTAGAAGCAGAGAGCCAACCATTTTGAAGTAATTGAATCATTCCACTCTTCCACGTGCTCCTATCGCACGTGACCAAGAGCCAATGAAGCGTCTTCCTTTCTATGCCTCGCCAGTTAGCTGATTTTTTCGAAAACATCACCACCTCACTTGGGTTTAAACGCTAGAGAAACCCTTCTCCTTACTACTATATCCACAGCAAAATGTATGTTTCACCACACCACATCGCCAAGTTTGCCTGAATTTTGCCGAATTCCAACGCCATGCCCGCCGGCCGTTATCTTATCTGAGACAATGAGCAAAATACTTCACTCAATTGATACGAGAGCAAATACACCCATGAACATCTTACTAACTCACAGGCTTTCCCGCACGTTTGTCCGCTCACTTGCCCAGCCCACTAGAATGGCTACCCAGCCAATCAGAATGGCCAGAGGCATCTCTACATCTAGAATACTCCTCCAGACCAAGGTCCAGGAAAACAAGACCCAGGAAAAGCACATCACTGCTGAGACCATCCACGATGTTACCGGCCCAGACTCCTCTTTGATTGGTCCAGGTGCCCAGCCAGGTACCATCCCAACCGACATGGACCAGGCCACTGGTTTGGAGAGATACGAAATCTTGGGTAAGCGTGAAGGTATTGATGTCTTCGACATGGAGAAGCCTATCAAGGAAGGTAGCGGTACTTTGGCTGACCCCTTCTTGGTTCCAACTTACATTGGCTACCGTTACGTTGGCTGCAGAGGTAAGGGTGGCGAGGACCACAAGGCTTACTGGATGAAGGTTGAAGAGGACGAGCCTGCCAGATGCTGGCACTGTGGTACGGTTTACGCTGCCAAGTACTTGGGTGAACCCGGCCACTCGCACCACTAAACCTTGATACAGACTGCTAGACAGACGACATGGCATATATATTCAGGCACTGCCATCGGTAATTAGGCATATCCGGCCCTCATTCGCCGGCATAAACGAAAAAGACGATACCTTGTGTAGATCCTGCTCGTTGCTTTTGTAGCAATTGAGATCGATATAGAGAAGATCTAGTTACTTATCGTCTAGATGCGGTCAGCATGAAGGGAAATGAATCTACCTGTGCTTGTGAGAGGATGGTTTGTATGGAAAGTTGGATGGTAGGATTCCGAGTTCAGAGTAGTTGCTGCAATCCGGAAACGTGTATCGCTTGTTCAAGTATTCATGGAAGCTTCCACAGCTCCTTCTATACATCAAAGCGTTCTTGAGTACACTATTTCTGTGTCAGTACTTTCAGCTCATGATCGTAATAAAATCAGCTTTGGACGGCAAATTCAAGACAATTGTTTTTGTCCGACATAGATTCGAGTATGACTTGAATTTTGACCTTCAGATTGGCACTCCCAGTGATCTATAAGGCATTGCAACATTACCTCCAATATTTGCCAGAATCCCTTTTACTGTCAAAACAGACCCAGCTAAACAAGATGACGACCTAAAAAAGTCTGAGATCTTTCGAAACCTTTGCTGCAAAATGTCTAAATGTCCTTTCCACCTCCACAGTATCTCGGATGAAATCACGCCTTGCTCGCATGTACTTTCCTCTAGGACATTGACTTAATCGCATTGCGTCCACGAAAACTGTCTTCCCCTTGACATCATAATAATTTTTTAACTCGGAATCTATTCTAAAGTTTATTCTGGAGCTCCCCGAGTAGCCCAAAGAACCCGGAATTTTTCACTGTCGATCCTCTCCACTTCGACTTCTAGAGCACCATGGTGGTCTTGGGGTGCGGCAATTTGAGCTACTATGCGGCTCTCATATTGACATTTCCAACGTCAACGACAAAACGACAAATAAAACTTAACATTCACAAAATCCTCATTTTCGAAATCGTGTTCGCCGGTGTCGTTGAGTGTAAATCCTGAGGTATCAGGTGCATGGCATCTAAAAGGTTAGATGGTGGGGGAGTGCCGCATCGCTCTGTACTGCTTGTTATAAGTAGGTGGATTCCGTGCTACATGAAAAGTTTCACCACAGTTTACCACAATGACAAAACCAAAGGTTTTATTCATCGGCGACTTGAACAAAGACTTGCCTGAATATGCCCAGTTCATCAAAAAGGTTGAGCCGGTTTTCTACGACTTGCCTGGCTCCAAAGAGCAGGTGATCCAGGACTTCAGAACCAAGTTCAATGACATCCAAGCAATCTACGGCGCCTGGTTGGGGTTTGTGCTCCTTGGAGGATTCACCGGAGAGATTCTCGAGGCAGCTCCAAAGTCCTTGCGTGTTGTTTCCATCTGTTCTGTGGGATTCGAGCCCTACAATGGCTCCAGGATGGCTGAGAAGGGCATCATCTTAACCAACGTTCCTTCTGACGGTGCCTCCAAGCCTGTGGCTGAACTCGTCTTGTACAACGCCTTGTGTGCCTTCAGAAACTTCCCTGCTTTCACCACTTCCTTCACTGCAGACATCAACCACACCGTGCAGATGAGAAAGCTTCTTGATTCCAACAAATTCGACTCTGAAAAGGGAAGATGCCACCTTGATGCCGCCCACGGCTACTCCTTTGGCCACTACGCAGGCGGAAGACCATGCTTGAGTCCTAATGGCCATAACGTCGTCATTGTGGGTTTTGGAAACATTGGCCAGACAATTGCAAGTTACTTGCTGAACGTGGGAATGAACATTCACTACGTCAAACGCTCCCCATTGTCCAAAGAGCACGAAGCCAGTTTGGGTTTCCCTGTTCACTACCACAAGACTCTCGTGGACGCCAGAGAAGTCGCCGACCTTGTGGTCATTGCCTGTCCTGGTACTCCTGAAACATACCACATGGTAAACTCTGAGGTTATTGATGCTATGGCCAAGCCTTTCAGAATCATCAACATTGGTAGAGGGCCTGTAATCGATGAACAGGCTTTAGTAGACGGCCTCAAGCTGGGCAAGGTCTTGTTCGCTGGACTTGACGTCTTTGAGGGCGAGCCACAGGTGCATCCCGACCTTTACAACCGCCATGATGTTGTCTTGACGCCTCACATCGGTGCCTCTACCAAGGAAAACTACGACTACACTGCTGTGATGGCGATGAAGAATATTGAAAACGTGTTGCTTGAAGGTGGGGAGGGCATCAGCAAGGTGAACTAGTTCAAAATGTTGACGTTTTGTTACTGTGGACGATCCAGTGGCTGATGATACAGATAAGTAATGGCTGCAAACGGCGCAGCGTTTAGATAGAAAGCCACACCAACAATAATACATTTTCACAAGTTGCAAGGTGAATTTCCCTCGTCGAGGGGATCCTCGAAATCAATTTTGATAGAATGTTGGTGAAAGTAATAATATTGTTCTCTGCGGTATCGCATGCTTTCGGACCGAGAAAAGGTGCTGGTAAAGCTCTATCTAACTCGCAGTGCATGATAGGTGGCCTCTTCTATTCCACCTAAGCAATTGCAAAAGCACAACAAAATCTAGGTAGTGAAATAGACTGGAATCTGAGTTGGATTAAAAGCACCAAAAACGCAACAACATCATGAAAAGTGCTTCATCATCTTTCCTCTTTGTCTAAGGTAGAACCCACAGCGAGTCTGGAAGGAATTGTGCCACAAACTCGGCCACACATTGTAACTAACATCACCAAAATTCGGATTTCAAAAAACTCATTCACAATCCTCTTTCTTCGGCAATCTAAAATTCACAAATTACTATCCAACCTGGAACGGCGCCAACCGGCGCAACTTTGTGTGCGCAACTCAACCATTTCTCAACCTCAACGTTGATCGTTACACCCGACCCAGAGATCAAGGTTAGAGCAAAATGGCCTCGCTCTACATCGGTGTATACAAAGCCTTGTATGACTACCCAGCGCAGGCCGAGGAAGAGCTCACTATCCAGCAAGATGATTTGCTATATTTGCTTGAAAAACTGGACATAGATGATTGGTGGAAAGCCAAGAAGAGAGTGCTCCCTGTGGGCGACGAAGAGGTGGAAGAACCCGTTGGTCTCGTTCCTGCCAATTACATAGAGGTTGCCCCTGTGGTGAAACAGTGCCGGGGTCTCTACGACTATGACAAGCAGACCGAGGAAGAACTCAGTTTCAAGGAGGGGGACATTTTCAACATTTACGATTTGAATGATCCCGACTGGCTTCTTGTTGGAGATGCTTCGAACACTAACTTTGGTTTTATTCCCTCCAACTACATAGAGCAGACAGGCAATGGTCTGGCCCAGCCCCAAGCTCAAGCCGTCTCTGCCCCTGCTGCTGATCCAACTCCAGCCAGGCAACAACTCCCAATATCGGCATTTGCTCCACCTCCCGTGCATAAGGATAGAACGCCAGTTCTGCTGGCGGAGCCAGAAGAGGTTAAACAGCCAGAGAGACCAGTGGAACAGAGGCAACCCGTCGATAGAGCCCCAGCTAGAGGCAGAGAACCAGAGGAAGACGATGACGAAGACGATGACTTTGAAGATGCCCTTCCTCCGCCAATGCCTACACGTCCTAGTGGAGGAGCTAGCGAACCTAGAAGGGAGCGCCCACCCCTGGATCCCACGACTCCTTCTCGCAGAGAGTCTGCGGTCGACCAGCCTGAATCACCACCTAAAGAGCATAACTTTGACGGTGAGTACTTCCGCTGGTACATTGACGAAGTTGATGGCAGAAAGAAGCGTCCAGTCGTGGTGTCTGTGGGTAACGGCTTGATCATTCTCAAGCCCAACACGCTGAACCCCAAGAAATTGCGTCTTCGTTCGGCGCTGAGTCTTGACAACAATTGGAGAATAAGAGATTTAGAGCTGTTTTCTCACGAGAAGAAGCACGTCTTCTTGAAATTTCACAACCCGGATGCCGAGATCGAATTGCACGCAGGCAGTAAGGATGTTGCCGAGGCAATCATGGCCGTTTTGGGTGACTTGAAGGGTGCTGAGAACCAAAAGGGATTGCGTGAAGTTGCCAGAGCGGCACTGACAAAAACTTCCTCGTCCAACAAGAAGGTCGGTGTGCTCATGTATGATTTTGAATCGCAGGGCAGCGACGAATTGGCGTGTAGAGAAGGTGATGAGGTGCACATTTTGGATGACACCAAGTCAAGAGAATGGTGGATGTGTGAACGTGTTTCAAATGGCAGAAGAGGTGTTGTTCCTTCGAGCTATATTGAGATCCTAAGCACCACAAACTTGGACAAATTGACTGATGGCCCCACTAGACGCAAGTCCCAAAAGTCCTCCAGCAAGGGCCGCGTTGTCGACAAGAAACTGAGGTATCACAGCCGTGACGAGAGAGATCGGATCAGAGAGAGCGATAGAGCACGCAGAGATAAGAGATCGAGCTCCGGAGGCGATGATAAAAACATGCCGAACTATCATCGCGTCAGAACCTGGATTGACAGCACCGGCTCGTTTAAGGTCGAAGCTGAGTTCTTGGGATGCATGGAAGGCAAAGTTCATTTGCATAAAACAAATGGTGTCAAGATCGCTGTTGCTGCCACCAAGTTATCTATTGAGGATTTGGAGTACGTCGAGAAAATCACTGGCACCTCGCTTCAGCATTACAAGGACGAGGTCGCCAAGCATATGGCAAAGAGAAACAAGGACAGAGGGACTCACTCCTCTGGTGTGTCTCCTGCAAAGACCTCCTCTGTTGCTGCAATCAACGACATTGCTCCTCCTCAGCCATCAAGACCTAAAGCAACTACTGGTGTCTCGCTGGGCGAGCCAGATTACGACTGGTTCGACTTCTTCCTCACTTGTGGGGTTGATATTGGTAACTGTCAGCGCTATTCGATCAACTTTGCCCGTGAGCAGATGGACGAGTCCATTCTCGAGGACATTACGCCATCTTTGTTACGTTCTCTTGGCTTAAGAGAAGGTGATATCCTCAGGGTCATGAAACACTTGGACAATAAGTATGGAAGACAGAAGACAGGTGATGCTTCAGCCTCATCAGGCGGTCTTTTCACGGAAGCCACTGGTGCTTTGAAGAACAACAGCTCAACCGAGATTTCGAAGGTCGACGCTAGCGCTCTTCCAGCTCCATCGCCTCAGAAAGAGAAGGAGGATCCTATCAGCAATAAAGCTGGCAACAAGTTCGAAGATGACGCCTGGGCTGTCAAGCCAGCTGCTCGCTCAAACGAGGACTTCACCCAAACTCAGACTCCTTCCAAGCCTCAATATACTGGTTCCTTACAGGATCTTGTCGATATCAAGCCATTGGAGGCCAACAAGCCTCCTCAGACTCCTTCTAAGGATACTCCACTGAGCTTACCATCTGCTCCTGCTTTGACTCCGTCCAAGACTGCTGCTCTGTCAGCTCAACCTGCCCAACAAAACCAGACTGCTCAAACCCAACCTACTGACATGGTCCCTCTACAAAAGACTGGTGGACAGGCCCCTCTTGTTCTTGTACGTACAGGTGGACCCTTTGTTCCAATGCAAACCGGTGGCTACATGACTGCTCAGCCAACAGGATTTATGCCTATTACTGCCCAGCCAACTGGCTTCATGCCCATTCAACCCACCGGTTTAGGCCAACAACAAACATCTGGTATGCTTCCTCTTCAAACCGGTCAAATGCAGCAACTTCGCCCAGCACCACCACCACCACCACAACCAACTTCTTTTGGGCAGGTGCCATTGCAGCCTACAAGCTCATTTGTCCCCTTGCAGCCCGGTAATGTGACGATGCCTCAGACAACGTTTGGACAGCAGCCTACTGGTCAGGGCCAGCAGCCACAGACCTCTTTCGGCCAGCAGCCACAAACGACCTTTGGACAGCAGCCAACTGGAGGTTTCGGTCAACAACCACCAACGACATTCAGCCAGCAGCTTACTGGAGGATACAGTCAGCAGCCGCCCACTACATTTGGCCAACAGCAAACTGGCGGCTTTGGACAACAGCAAACCAACTTTGGTCAGCCTCAAACCTCATTTGGTCAGCAGCCACAGACGTCATTTAGCCAGCAGCCAACAGGAGGCCAATTAGGCAGTCAAATTACCGGTGGATTAAACAAGTTTGTGCCTCAATCCTCGTTTGGTAGACAAATCACAGGCGGCTTAATGCCCCAAACTTCATTCGGCAATCAGGCCACAGGCGGTATTCCCAACACCTCGTTTGGAGGTCAGGCGACTGGAGGCTTCCCCCAAACTTCCTTCAGCAACCAGCCCACGGGTGGGTTCCCTCAGACTTCTTTTGGCCAGCCTTCCGGAATGCCCCAAACACTGTTCGGTGCTCCTCAGCAGCAACAACAGCAGCAACAACCATTTGGTCAATTTGGCCAACCCCAGCAGCCAGGTATGGACCAGATGACCAACATGTTTCAAAACACATCTATTGGTGGTAACTTCCCACAACAACCACAACAGCAGCAACAGCCTATGACAACATTCGGTCAGAACTTTGGCCAGAATCAATTCGAAGGTTTTGGCGATCAACCATTGCAGTCGCAGCCTACGGGTCTCGGTTTCGGCAATGCTCCATTGCAGTCGCAGCAGACCGGCAGAAGAGCCAACTTGCAGGCCGCCACTGCTGATAATCCTTTTGGCTTCTGAGTCTAGAAATGTATAAATAAAAGTTTGAAATGAGTTTGAGGGTCCCCTTGTAGCTGGTAAATTAGCGCTTCCTCGAGAGCTTAAGCGAGGAGGTGCGTCCTGTTTCACCTGCGTAAGCGGCTGCAAAAAAGTGCCACCGAAATTATAAAAGTCGGCCAAATCCCTTTTTCCTTCACTATGTTCACCTATTACATTTTTGCAGAATTCTTCCTCCTTTATGGCGATGGACTCATCCAGCGTCCATGGATGGGTAATCTTGACAACATCTTCTTTGTCTTCGACTCGTTCTGCCGGAGGAAGAAAGAGAAGTTGGCTTGTTCAAGAGAAGACTTTCAAGCCCAACTTGAGAAATTCAATGGCCTTTCCAACAATGCTTTGGAATTCAGAAAGACTCATAAGCATCCGAGTCTTGAGCTCGTTTTTATCAATAAGTTGAAACTTGAGTTCTTCAAAAGACTAGTTGACGGGAAGGAGACACCAGCCTTTGTTCCTTTGACTTCGGAAAGATCAAATACAATCAATGAGAGATTGGCAAAGCTTTTTGGTCCAAGAGAGTTACAGAAAAGTCATCTGCTCATTGATGGTGATTCTTCGGAGATTTGGAAGCTAGTAGGAAAACCTACAGCTTGCCAGAATCTCGCTGTCGAACGCGCTAAACAGTTGACAGTTAGAAAGGCATTTTATGAAGCATGTGATGAAGCTGAACATAGTCAAACCCTTGCCAAGTTGTGCTTCAACACTCGTAGCTTTGGCCTGAGCGTGCTGGATTTGCCTTCTAACGCCAAACTTCGCAAGATCATCAATACAAATCGAACCCAGTTATCCAAAGCACTTTACAATTGTCAGAGACAAAAGGTTCATTATTTGCCTTTGATAACGGGCTCTACGGATATGACTCTAGGCAATTGTTCTTACTTAGATACATGTCATAAGCTCAAAAGCTGTCGCTACCTTCATTACTATACCTTGCAACCTCAACAACAGGAGAATGACACATTGCCTAGCGAACTTGCAGAGCTTGCAATTGACTATACAATTGGGGAGCCTGGAGTTGTTTTTCCCGAATTGCCTCCTCAGTGGATTAGATGTGATGTACGTCTGCTCCCATTCCCAATTTTGGGCAAATTCGCCGCTATCATCTCGGATCCCGCTTGGGATATCCACATGTCTCTTCCTTACGGAACATGCAAAGATGCTGAGCTCTTATCATTGCCCATGCATGAACTACAAGATGAGGGAATCCTCTTTTTGTGGGTCACTGGCAGATCAATCGAGATAGGTCGCAAGGCACTCGCTCAGTGGGGATACACCATCTCCGATGAAATGATCTGGGTCAAGCTCAACCAGCTTAGAAGAACCATTGTGACAGGCAGAACGGGCCATTGGTTGAACCATTCGAAGGAAAATCTCATTGTCGGGATAAAAGGCAATCCGCAATGGTTAAACAGAAAAATCGACCTCGACTACATCGTAAGCGGCACCAGGGAAACCTCTAGGAAGCCAGATGAGCTATACGACATAGTCGAGCGCCTTGTTGGTAAACATGCTCGAAAACTCGAGATCTTCGGCCGCGATCATAATATCAGGTCCGGATGGTTTAGTACGTGTATTGTGTCATTTTCATATATCATCATCATACTAACATACAGCAATTGGGAACCAGGTAACAGGTACCGCAATCCACGAGAGAGAAGTCTCTGAAAAATATGAAGAGTACTTGCGTACTGCTAAAGCAGAGAATGTGCTGTGAGCAACTCAAGTTGCCTTCTTCTCCTTTTCTTTTTTGTTCATCTCCATAACCAACTTACCAGCTTTGTTATCCATATTCTTCTTGATATCCAACTTGTAGCCTAAAGCAAAAGCAATCTCGAATACAACAAAGAAAGGGGCAAGCACAAGAGCTTGAAGCAAGTTGTCCATCAAAGCAGGGGCTCTCTTCTCATGCACAGCATGTCCATAAAACTGGGCCAACCAGCAGACAATGTGAATGCCCAACGCAATTTGAGTAAATTGTGACTGGCTGATTATAGACTCGGGGCCTAAGCTGAGGTAGAAAGACCTAATGAGGTAGGCAAAGGTTACCAAAACTCCGAAGCTAGGAATACCAAGCTGCCAGTCCAAGATGGCATAGTAAAGCCCATAAGTCCATGCCACTATCGATCCGGTGGAGATATATGGATGGTCCTTGCCGAGGATTGTCGTTCTTGTAGCCAAGGCAATCGCAGACAATAGAATCAATGGAATGCAACCCAAATGGATGGCAACGTTTTTGTGGTTGAAATGGTATTTCCGATAAAACACAAGCTGGCTTTCAAGATCTAAAGGTCCCCCTGGCATCTTTGGTATTGTTGTTTGATTAGAGGGATACGGGATTTTTAAATACTTTAGCGAGTGGGGTAATGCACAATGTCTAAGTGGAGGATATCTCCGGATGTGTGATGGCTTTACGCGAAAGCTCCGTAAGCATATACCGTTTGATTTCATTTTTTATTTTCAAATCTATATTCATTTTCTTAAACCCTCAAGTCCAAAGCGGGCTTCTTCACGGCCCTCACCCTCTTGTTTGCCCCGGAAGTTCCTCTCTCAAAGTCGGCAGCTGCCTTGGGCTCTCTACCAAGGTTGTCAAGATCCTTGACCTTGTAGATTCTCACAATCCAGTTTTGCGACGTGAAAGCTTCCTCTACGGTGTCAAGGGTGATGGGGTCCGAGGAATGACTTGGCCACGAGCTCTGTCTTGCGCCTCTCTGCCGCCGAACAATTCGGCGAATCTGTAGTAGGACATCTTGTACATCATGGAGTTTTTCATGGTTTCCGAGGCATCCTTGTCGACCTTGTACTCACCTCTGGTACTAAAGTAGTCTCTTTCGTGGATCTCATCGGGCCAAATACCCTCGGAAATTCTCACCATCCAGAGGAACTTATTCATATCATCACCGGAGTATCCCAACACACCACCGAAAATAACGAGCACATAATCGACATCGTGCTTTTTCAAAATGTCGTATGCGTTCTCTTCGTTGGTGGCCATTGCCTTACCCACAGTGGCGATATGAGTGTTGTTCCAGGTGTTATTGTCAACCAAGGTGGTTCTGTCGGCCATACCACCAATTTGGTATCCGTAATCCCACCAGGCCATGACCTTGGCATCCTCTGGAGTGTTCATTCTCAACCAGTAGTAGGCCTCTCTGTAGTCGTCGATGATGTTTTGAGTGCCATCAGGATTACGTGAGGCCAACACCACAGAAGGGGAGGAGTAGGCATGAGAAGTCACCCAGGTACAGTGCAACACGAAGAAGACAAGATAGTACACGAATGAAGCCAACACGACACCTTTGCTGAGAAGCTTGAAGATGGGGAACTGTTTGCCTTGCTTGGCAGGTCCCTTCTTCTTCTTCTCAGAGACTTCTTCGACGGCAGCCTCGGAACCAAAAATGTCGGAGACATCCATGTAAACATCGAACAACTTGGACAATGCAATGGCAGCGGCAACACAAACAACTGGGGTCAAAGTCAACATCAATCTAACCATAACACCAGCGAAATAGGAACCAAGGACACCATAAATAATGATGAAAAGGTGCTCGTCACGCATCTCTTGGAAGCAGAAGAATACACCTGCTGGGAACAACCAAATCAACATGTTAGTGTCGAAAAAGAATGCGGGCCATGCGGTGGGTTGATGCTCAGAGACAGACGCAATGATTGGAATGTGAATTTTGGCGTAATTGGTGTCCCACAAAGAGTAAAATCTACCAGTCCATGGCGCAATCCAGCCAGCCGCAGTCAAGGCGGTCAAACCAGCCACACCCAAAAGGGTGGTGAAAAAAAGAGACACGGTTAAAAACACCTTGAATTGAGCGGTGGGAACGTTTGAACGCACGTAGGCACCAAAAGCCACCAACTGCAACAAACCGAACACACCCAATGCAGCCATATGGTCGTTCGAGCGGATAGGCAAGAAACCAACAAAAGGAATCTGCATCGACGCGATAGTTCCCAAGGCATACCATGTGGTGTAGGCCGTGTACAAGCGGTGGTTATAACGACCCATCAAGATCAACACGAAAACGTGCAATGGAATCAAGTTGGTGATGAAGACGTAACCACCCCATGCCGACACCATGTAGAAATACGACAAGGCAGTCAAAGTACCATAGAAAATGGAGCCAACCTTCATGGCTTTGATCCACAAGTAGAATGTGGCCATGAGCAAGGTAATCGCAATAGCCTCGTTATCATATGAGCCTGCCACGGAACGAGAGATGTAACCTGGGGCGATACCCATGAAAATGGCGGCCAAAAGTCCCGCGTTGGAGTCTTTCATCTCCTTCGTGAAATAGTAAGTGAAGATGGCAGTGATACCCGAGAATGCTGGTGCAAGCATCACACAAATGTTACGGATATCCACGGGCAAGCCAAACCAATCTCTTAACGTGTGCCAAATCACACCGGAAGTAACCATCAATCCTGGGTACAAAGTGCCACCAGTGACTCTGCCCAAGGGATACCAAGTTCTGTCATCGAACCAATTCAAAAAGTCGTAGAACGAGTGAGAGACCAAGAACTTCGTGGCTCTGAAGTTAAACCAAGGGTCGAACTCATGAATAATGGATTCAAACCGAATAACTGAAAATAGACGCGAGGAGATAGCAGCTCCCGCAATTGAAATGAAAATAACAGTACGAAGAAGCAACCGCACCGTGTCAATTTTGACACCTAGCACCGTGGACGGTTTGGTCATACTGTGTCTTTATATGATTGAGGGGAAGGGTTGAATGAAGGTGGGTGTTGAACACTTGTTAATGCGACGATACGAAAATTGGTGAGGTTCCTCGAGCGCGTATGTGCAGGTTGGAGACGCCCTCTCGTGGGTTTGACAGGCTGCAAAACCTCGCAATCTGACTACTTATATTATTCCTATTTGTAGACACGACATTAAAACGATGACCAACTCCAATTGGCGGGGACGCTGCCTGCAACTTGCTCGGTGGATTGATCTTCGCGGGCATAGCCCTTCCCATTTTGTACTTGAGGAGAGATCTGGTTTCTTGGCCGCTGGTGTGGGTTCTTATACTTGAGCAATTCCTTACGTGGGCTCAAGGCAGGCTTGTTCGAAGGTCTGATCTCTGGTTCCTCCGAAGGTGCCGTTGTCACATCTATTGAGCTTCTTGGTCTGTGACATGTCACGCCAAACTCTTGCTTCATAAACTCGTTGTACTCTTCAATGCAATTGTCGCAAACCCTGGAGAGCGTTCCGCGGCCACCAGTAGTGAATTGAGCAAGGTGGTTGATATACAAATAGTGCAGCGTGTGCTCTTTGCAGAAGATACCACCACAGCGACGGCAATGATGCCTGCGCTCAAAGAAGTTGAAGTTCTTGCGACAAGTGGTTATGCCACACTCGGATACAGCTTCATCCTTGAGCCAGTGTTTTCTTGTAGGTGCAGCCTTCAAGATGTGTTCATACTGTTTCTTGTTGAGCGTGTAGGGCCCCGTAAATGGGAGGCTCGGCGAGGCAATGGTATTTTCCGCCAGGTCAACTGAACGTATGGAATTTGAGCTAGAGCCATGGTCTCGGTTTGGCAGCCCTACTCTGGAGAGCCCCTCAAAGTAAGACTCCCTGCCAGTATCAGTCAGATTGCTGGACAAAGGCCCTAAATCAGCATCCTTATCCAATGTTTTCCGCAATACCGCTGGAATATACATTGGGTTTCTAAATCCCTTGATTTGCTGGATTCTTTTATCGGCCAAGCTAGCATGTTTCGGTAAGGTATCCTCAGCTTGACTCGTCTTCCTGTTACGCACATTCATGTCCATGGGTGGAACGACCGGATTAAGTTCTGTTTCACTCTTCTGGCTTTGAAGCTGTCCGAGAGATTGGCTGTGAGAAAGCTGCTGACTTGGAGTATTCATCAGCGCTTGCGATTGAGATTGTTGAAGTTTGTGACTGTGAAGATTCAAGTTGGAGTGATTGATAGGGCCTTTAGTTTGCTGCGGTGCATTTTTGATGCCAGTAACTGGATCAGGCTCGATGAGCAGAGTTTGATCATAAAGCTTCTGTGCGGATTCGCTACCGTTGGCTTGATTTTGCATGCTAAGCATTTGCCGTTGCATATCAATGTGATAATCACGTTCGGAAGATAAAGGGGCATTCTTCGAACGTTCGTTTGGTTGGTTGGTCGGCTTTCCTTGTGACTGAGGAATCTTGGGCTCTGCAAGATGTTTGTTCTGCCGTGTGAGACTTGCAAACAGACTCAAGTCAACCTGTGCTGGAAGATATGGTTTAGTGCGATTTTCTGTTTGTCCCTTATTGTGTCCCTCTTCTTTTCTCTGCTCGAGCTTCGACTCTGGTTTAAGCAGACCGTTAAGCAGTTTTGTCGTGAGTTGCCTGGATTCAGGACCAGTCTCTTCGTCAGATCTTATAATTGGCGCTAGAGACAAGGAAAGCTTCTTCAAGGCATTTAGTGTGAGTTTCTGTTGTTGTAGTATTGTCTCTTCTCTGTATTCGTCATCATCGTCACGGTCATCCTTTATCACCGGTTGAGTACTCGACTGCGTCACATTGCTGTTGTGTCTCAGTCTATTCAGTTCGGTTTCAGATGGTGGGTCCTTGTGATCAAAGGGTAGTTGCTGCCCAATCACTATATTGTCCAATGCACGAAGATTACTGACTGACGAGAGCACAGGTGCTTGGATGAATGACTGGAAGTTCTTGTGGTTGCCCGTTCCCGTCAGGCTCATGTTGCCAAGGTTACTTGAATTTCTTTGTAACGCAGGAGGATTAGCCGGCTCTGTCTGTCTCAAGGACTTGAGCGATGCTGTGGATAAAACCAGTTGGAATGACTGGGTTCTTGGTTTCTTGAGATCTTTCTTCTTAAACTGTAGGTCGCTCGAACATTCCTTATTAGACTCCTCGTCACCTTCGGAAGGATCAACTGGGGTCGTAGATCCCGTGTTCGACTCGGCTGGACTTTGATTATCGTGTGAGCTCTGCTTGCTATCTTCCTGGGATCTCTGATTGTCATCTTCATTGTGGATGTCGTGTTCTTCATCCCTTTGCTCAAACTTCTTTGAAAGGGTCTTTCCGTAATTCTCGTAGGTTTCATTTGGATGTCTCGGAAGGGGCTTCGGCTCACTTCCGTCAGTATCATTTTGTGTTAGCGGAGGCTCCTCGGTGGTGGCCACTGTGCTGGTTCCCATTTCTTGGTCTAGTTCGTTGCCTTAGATTCGGACTTTATGGGGTTCTTTGGAGTGGAGCTTGAAAAAAATGGTGATAGTTCGAAGATAGCAGAAGCCCTCGCTAGAAATAGACTCGATGGCTTCTGGGTTCGGATTAGTTAAGTTACAAATGGGGTGCCGCGAGGATGCAAGGATGCGCTTTCCTGATACCGTTGATGCCTGTGTATAGTCTTTATCAATATCGCCGTTCTGGGAAGGTGAAGGCGTTTATTCCACCCAAGGGCCCAGAGACGAGTATTGTCTAGATTTGCTAAATGTTTCTTACTTCGGAATTGTTTGTCAACGGACTTTTCAACGGATGAGGCTATCGACACGTGACAAATGCCGAACACGGACCGAGAGGGATTACCCTAGAGAATCAGGGGTTCAAACCTTTGGATTGAACCAAGAAAGTAAGACCTCTGTGTGACAACTTTCATAAATATGGTGGATTGTTGCAAAGATATAGGCTTACACATGACTCTGTGCACGTGATTATTACCCCGGGCCAGCCTAATTCCTGGGTGTCCCATTGGCTCGCGGGTCCCGGGGGAAAAAAATGAGAAAAGCTATCCTAAGTTAAACACTACCTACTAACGACAATACCATACAAAATGCTTTGCCGTGTTGGTTTGAGACGTACGTTTTTGATTTAACGATAAAAGTGAGTGAATTCTCATGTTGAGATCAATCAAAAGACCCGAATCTGTCTACTGTTCCACGCTCCCTGAACCATCCTAAGGTTCCACCCGCCTTGCTAGATAAGCTCCCAACATCAAAAGGACCCCAGGCTTTTAATATGTTATGTGGTCAGCATCTCTGGCTATTCACTCATGTTTCCTCTTATCGTATCGTTTGAGTCTGCCGTTCAAAATACTAACATACAGCCCTTGCAAGAGCCTCGATCGCTAGATCGCCAGCCATGACTTCGGCTATGCTCAGAAGCGTCAGATTTAACACTACCGAGAGCGTGAAGATTAGTCACGATCAGGAGCAGGAACTTCTTGTCAACCAGAGAAAGAACCGTCCCGTTTCTCCTCACTTGCAGATTTACCAGCCCCAGCTCACATGGTACTTGTCCGGTTTGCACAGAATTACTGGTGTGGCCATGTCTGGTGCTTTCTACGCCTTGACTGTGACCTACGCTGCCTCTGCTCTCTTGGGCTTCCCATTTGAGGCCTCCACCCTTGTCTCTGCATTCGCCGGCTTGCCATTTGCCGTCAAGCTCGGCGCTAAGGCCGCCATGGCTTTCCCTTTCACCTTCCACTCCTTCAACGGTCTTAGACACTTGGTGTGGGATTTCGGTAAGGAGTTGACCCTCAAGGGTGTTTACAGAACTGGTTACGTTGTGATGGCCCTTACCGCTGTGTTTGGCACTTACTTGACCTTCTTCTGATGCATTTAGATGTTTAATTTATTATACGAAACTTGAAATCGCGACTCACTTTTGCAGCCATATACTTCTTTCCACAAACTGCTATCCGCTTCAAGAGATGACTGTCTCTCTTCTTCATGCTTTGTCGCCAGGTGGTAACGAGGCTCTGAGTAGTTCCAGGCCTCTGCTTTGGCTCAGATGTAAAGCTGCAATTACAACAGGTTACCACAACACCAATAGGTGGTTCTGGAGTCTTCCGTGGCAAGAGATGTGCCAATTCTCTTCAATGATGCTGTTAGGGCTAGCTTACGTGGTTTTCTTTCTTTCTGTCTTCGGAATCATTGCTTTTCCTTGGTGGGCAGCCACATATCTTGTGATGTTGTGTGGATTCTTGTGCGTTCTCAGCTTCTACTGAGTTCGAGTAAAGCGTGCTGTTTGAGGCGGCCACTGTCCATGCAAAAGAGACAGCTTTACTTATAATAAATGGGAATTGATGGTCACATCGAGAACGGCGTTCAGCCACCATTGTGGGGCTGAGACCTTGTAATCAGCATTAGTCTTCTCTATAGCATGAGTCACCTAACAGCAAAGTGACACAGCATGATATTTCCAGTGAAACTCAATCGACAGCTTTTCTGTTCTTGAAGTCATTTGCGGCATTGCCTTTCCAGTTTGCTATTGTTCTCATGACATCGACCATGCACTGATAAGGACTCAAGTCAATGGGCCATGAAATATTGATTATGACATGCCTCAACTTGAATATCTGTACAATTAAACTAGCAGTTCATGATCTAAATCAAAAATATGATAAGGAGATCCCGAATTTTTGAGGAGCCTCAATCGCTTACTAAGTCTACATCTGTGCGACTGGATTCTCATCTATGCCCACTTTGATGGAACCAGAGGAACTAGATCCCGGTCTTTTTCTGGAACTACCTTGGCTTGTGGTTCGAGAAATACTCTCCTATGTTCCTAGAGAATATATTTCAGACGCATTCTTGAAAGTGCCATGGCTACGAGAACGACTCATTGAAGAATATTATGGTGAACTTCACTTCATCCTCACGCCCTTGAAAAGGCCACATTCGTGTTATTATGACAGATCAGAGCTCATAGACATTACCAGCTATGGCGAAATATCATCTTTTTTGGATGAAAACCCTGACATCGTTCCACATACGGTTCGGGTTATGACATCAATGGATTTCATCTCGATGCGATCACTTTTAACTGATTACCGAGACCGCTTTGAAAGGATACCGAATCTACACCTCGAGATAATGGGTCATCATTTTACAGAGGACTGCTTCGAGTTTATCCAGTCCTTTGGCAACTTGAAGAAGCTTCAGCTCACGGGACCTGTTTTAGACGATGTCAGCGATATGAGTACAACTTTTGCTCATTTGAACTCCCTAGAGACACTCGTTATTCTAGGGCATAAGATTCGAGACTGGAGTGGTGTAGTTCTTCCCAGAAGCCTCAAACATCTAGATATTTCGTGGATGAATAGGTGCAATGTGACAACAATCGACATACCACCCAATGTTGAGGAAATATATTGGAATGATGCGGGACTCACCTCTTCAAGATTATCGGCTGTTCAATTTCCCTCATGTATATCGACACTTGTGATCACGGAGGGCAAGATTGAGTGTTTGAAACTCTCTCAATTGCCTAGATCTTTGAAGTGTTTGGAGATCTCAAGATCACAATTGAGAGATTTCTCGTGTGATGAGGTATCCGATCAGTGGCCACTATCCCTAGAGACATTGATCTTGAGTAGAAATCGTATTCATAACGGTTCTCTCGACCAACTTAGCGAAACAAGACTCCCCCTGGTTTACAAATTTTGAAGCTTGACGGCAATCTCATTAGCCATGTATATCACCTAAGGAATTTACCGGATTCTTTGAAGCTCTTAGACATTTCGAAGAATCCTCTCCAAAATTTGGAAGATCCTACCAACTATGACGGGTACTTATACTACCGTTTCCCACGAGACTTGGAGATCCTCAATTTGTCGGAATGCATCCATGCGGGTCCAGCTCGCTATGACACCTCTTTGGTGTTACCATCTGAGCGTATTAGATTACCATCTACACTTCAAGAGCTTGATTTGAGTGGCAATCTCAACTACAGGTTTGAAGCGTTCTTGCTCCCTGGGTCTCTCAGAAGACTCTCTATGATATGCTCTGGCATTAGGAGTTTGTCAAAATATGACTTCACATCTGAGGATGGTCTTCCAAATACAGAGGTACCTGTGGCGTGGGCAGATCTCAAAAACCTTGTTTCACTTGACGTCTCAGCTAATGTTATCAGCACACTCGATGGGTGGACTCCTCCACCGAATCTTGTTCTGCTTGACCTAGCATCGAACAGATTGAAAGAGGTTACCTCAAATTCCTCCCTCTTCAATAAGAAGATCAATCTACGGTTCCAGCACCTTCAACGTCTCAACCTATCTAACAATGAGATTGAGTCAATCGATGAGCTGGCTTATTTCCCACCTAATGTGGTATTCGTGAACCTTGAGAAGAACAACCTTACTCAGTTTATTTTCACTGATGGGATGTTGAACAGCAAAATGCTTTGTTCTCTCAACTTGGCGGGAAACGGAATAGAGCACATTGGAGCTAAAACAGCAAAGAAAGCCAATTTAAGGGAATTCGACTTATCACTCGCAGGCCGAGATAGACCAGCTCGACTGATTCATCCGGATAGTCTCTATGAAGTGTTGGACCATTTGGGTTTGACAACCACACGTAGAAAACGAAACACCCGATCCATGCATCAGTTTTTATAGACAAAATATAGAGTTACAGGCTGGCATTTGAATGGCGTATGCGTCCGGACCCGGTGAGAGCAGTCAAGATCAAGCGTGGGACGTGAACCTCTTCAACCTATAACTCCCGAAACTGTTTAAGATGCTTTTTTTTTAATGTCTACTTTTGTTTTCCGAAAACAGTTTTCATTGTTTTTTTTATATGTGATATCATTATTTCCAGTTTCGCAGAATTATCACTCGCGTAGTGAATTCACGTAAACTTGGTCCAGTTCTTAAAATAGCTATGATGCAAGATTTTTACAGAAGTTAAGCCTGCCGAAAAAACGATGTCTGTTGTTTTTGGTTTATGAATTCTTTCTCCAGAACATTAGCTTTGCAAGCCATCTACGTTCTATCTACTAATCAACTAACCCATCGTGATATATTCATTACTATGTCATTTGAATTCATTTAAAAAGTGTCCGCATCGAAACAAACACATGGTGTTTCATTCGTGCAAAACCCACACCCAATCTTTTTAGACTTTTTGCCCTGTGTTGACTTTGTGTCACCATCATGTAGAAGGTTCATGAGTTCGACTGTCAGATCTGGCCCAGCATCATCGACACGGCTACGCTCACCCCCTATTCCATCATTGTTGCTCACGATATCAACCACTAAATTGTCTTCAGAATCAAGGGTGTTCATCCGCAATGGTCTCAAGAGACTAGGCGTAAAGCCATCAGACACCTCAGGAGTACTCGAACTAGTTCCTTCAGAATTCTGAGCACGGCGATCAAGATAGCTGCGGACCTGCCGCAGAACTGGACCAGCCTGCTCATTGGATGGTTTTCCAACGCCCACACCATTGACTCTCTTGGTTACTGAATGTATCACGTTCAGTTGAGTAGTCAAGTAGGCAAGGTATTTGTCGAGATCATGAATGTTATTTATGTGGTCAAACAGCTCGAAAGAATGCGTGTTCAGTGATTTCTTAGCCCTCACGTTGCTGTCGCTGGTATCGTTGAGCACATCAAAGGTAATGACACCGTTCTGCACGAATCGAAGCTGCTTGATCTGGTTGGTAAGCACATCAATATAGTTCTTGATGAGCTCTTGCTCCTTAATTCTGGCCAAGTAACTCTTTTGTAGATCATTAACTTGCACATTGGAGCTCAAGCCGGGTGATGTTGCGGCAGTTTGACATTGAGGTGAGCTTGAAGCTGTAACTGAACTTGACGTTGTGGAGCTGGCGTGACAGCTATAGGTGTAACAGAGCTTTTTCGTGACACACTAATAGCTTGTGGAGATCCTCCAGATACACCTGTCACCGTTGCTGAGGATGCTGATCCTAGTCTTCTCTTCGCGAGCAGTGGTGAACCATCGTCAACTTTTTCAGAGGGAGTAGGCGCAACAGCCGCAAATTCCTCACGTTTAACCTTACATTTCTTCTTTGGTGCGGTCTTTTCTGGACCTGGCGAACCACCAGCAGTAGGTTTCCGTCCCGGCCGAGGTCTAGGGGAAGCACCCACTTTCTCGACGTATTTATGAGACTCTCGTTATTGAGAATCGAAGAAGACTTTGCCGTTTGGTTATATGTGGGGTTAAACGTGGATTTGGGAGTGGAAGCAGGTTTCGGCTTAATGGCTATTGCAGGTTGGATTTTGGCATATTTGGTTGAGGCCTGGGGTTGGGGAGTTGCTGCTGGTGTTCCGCTATAGCTCGGACTTTGAGGACTCAGCAGATTTTCACTTTTTATACTGGTTTGGACGGCCATACTCGTGGAGGCCGAAGGCTGGTACTTGTTTGCATCGGCGTATCGGGCATTTTAAACGTGTGATTTTTAGCGAAGCCAAACTGAGTTTTCTTCTAGGCGGAGAGTTTCTTTTGTTATAGTTGAATCAATTAATAAGTTTTGGTTTAGGGAGTCTTTAGATGAAGGCAACTCGATGGAAAATCCGGGAGATGATTTTCAAGTTGTTCAGATCCACAAAAAATGAACTTGTCAAGACAAAGAGCCTGACAGTATATCTCAGTCTTCACCACTTTCTTGAAGACTTTTTGAAGTATTTGAAGGTGGTTGTCAAAAGCAAAGATTTTTGGATTCTAGGTTTCGGAAAGAGACCGGGTCTTCTAGGGAGGAGCCGGGACATCCACATGTGCGGTCACGTGAAGATGATCACGCCAGGATTCATTGCAATTACTCGCGTACCAGATTAATGCAGGACACTAAAACAAAACATACCAAGTCAGTTGAAGCCGCTAGAAGGAACTTTGAATTCAAGAGTATAGCAAAACTTGAAGGTCAGCACAGAGGATCATGTCCAAGGAAGAACAAATGGCTACGCTCAATGAGCAGGCCGCATTACTCCACTCCAATCTCACTGAGTTCGACAAGCTCTTGAAAGAGACAGCCAGACAGTACGAATCGATTCAAAGCTTGGGCATCATGCATGGGGCATTCTTCATGGCTAGCCATACTGTCTTTGGTAGTCATTACTATGACGCGAAAGAGAAACCTCAGTAAGGCAAATGATGGAACTCCGATAGCACAGTACAGGGGTGAACAGTTGAAGGAGGTCATGCTTTCAGAAGACTGTTTTTGGACAAAGCAGCGTTTTCATCTTGCGTAAATTGATAATATTACAGCTTGCACAGGTGGCAAGTGGGCCTGTCGTATCGGTTTTTCACTTTTCCTTCTTCAATTCAACAATTGATGACAAGTTTTTAATTCAGTGGATGACCTATTCGAAAAGCTTCAAAAGCTGGAGTTATCGGAATCGAGTATCCCGTGGTACAATAAGATTCCAAGACCCTGAAGCTCCGAGTGAAAAGAGAAAGGATAGCACTTACATGTCAACCATTTATCGTTCGTTTCCATCTATTTACATGCTGAATCACTTTTGGGCTTCTTGATCCCGAAGTTCTTTGGCTTCCTGCAAGCGTTGCCTATATATTTTTTGCTTTTGCTTCTTTTCAGCTATGAGTATGTCTCTTTCCTGATCGAGATATTCCATCTTCTGATAGCTCGCAACACAGTCCAAGGACCGTTTATTGGCTGCCTCACAGTTTTTCATGGCGTCCACGGGGTTCTCAAAACTGTTTGAACACTCCACGTATGCCCTGATCAAGTCATCACACCTCGCAAAAGCCTTCTTTCTCCATCTCTCGAAAATAACCTGCTCCTCCTTGGGAGTTATGATCCACGCAGGCATGTTTGGGTTAGTGGGGAGGTCAACCCCATCATATGGCTTTTTACTCATGAAGACGAATGTTTCCCGAGCACTGTCGGAAGACTTCTGATGTGAAAACGGTACTTATGTACAGGACCAACAGATCAACGAAAGAGAGGTTCAAAACACAACACCTTCACAGGATGATTTTGAGAGTCACTAGACTAGTCTTTGACATGTGAAACATGTCAGTCAATGGTGACATAGGTTCTTACGATATTTACATTTATGGTCTGCAATTTGACATCCAAATTGATAACTCCAAAAGCTATTGGGTTCGTGTAGTATAAATTTAGATGACATTAAGAGGACACCGAACTAAGCTCTTAATTTTTATTTGCCGTATAAATCTATTAACTAGATAATCTATTTACAGTGCTTCAAGGTATTGATATATGAGAGTGCGAAATCAAAACAAACTCAATCATCACCAACCAGACTACGTCAACACCACAATAATGCTAGGAAACCAGCCACAAGAGCTCGTATATTCTACGATAGAGAATTTTGAAACCGAGCCAGACATAACAAGTCTAGCGAGGATATCAGAGACAATGAACAAGACTGAGGAGAAAAGAAGAGCCAAACTCACCCGCCTACAAAGCGGGATCACAAAGCTCGAGGAGCAATTGGCAGAGGTGAAAGGTAAGCTAGAAAGTCTAAACCAACCAAGTGAAGCATTGAAGGAACAAATTGGCAATCTCGGGAAAAACCCACTCGACCCAAGTGAAAGCACCTTCCAATTAATTAACTCCAAATCAGGGGAGCTCGACTCGATGAAGGTAGCCCTAGCAAAGCAACTCACGGACGTTGAGTCACAAATCAATCAAATACACATGGCAAAGATGAATCTTACGAAACAAAAGGAGGAGCTACTACAGCAGAAAGAGCAGGCTCTTGCGGTGTCCGTTGCAGAGAATCACAATTCGTCGAGCATGAAAATAAGTTTATTTAGAAGCCTCGGTGTTCATGTTGGAACAGCAGAGAAAAGCGACAAGATTGTGATTTTCGACGAGAAGAAGAACCAGACATCTGTGCTAGATGTGGATGAAAAGTACTCGGACTACTTTATCTCCAACTATATTTGGGAACGGCTTGGAACGTAATGTATAATGCTATGTACAATGGGAATGAATCAGAAATTCTTGGGTTATCTCTGAAAGACTTCTTGGTCCATTTGGGCACGAAGTGCACCGACTTTCTGTAGCCACGAACCTTCTTGTCAAACGTCGTATACTTGTCTTTCGTCAGCAACTCGTATTCTTTGGGGAAGTCAAACTTCAAGGCATCGATCTTCTTGAAACCGGTGGATACCTCGTTCTCAGGTTTGAGTGATTGGTAGAGCACCTCGATGTTGTGATCCACGAGCTGCATGCGTCTCCTGAGTCTCTGTTTTTGAGGTTGTGACATTCTGGGTGCTTTTTTCCATAAGTAGCCACCGTAGGCCACAAGTGTGGATCTGAAGGCACCTAGCATGGTTATTTAGTAGGATTAGGTATCAGTGAATTTTTCTGTAGCGCGGTCGTGCAGAGGCAGAAACTTGATGGTGTATCACAATGACCAATAAATCTGAACTCCAACAAATAATGGGCTGGAAGTTGTTTAAAGGAAAAAGGAATACGTTTTCATTCGGGACGACCTAAGCTCGGCTCCTTTCTTTTACTTAGGGCTTCCGCGAAGAGCAAACATAGGTTGATACTGAGTGGCTGCGAAAAACGTACCACCCAAAGAGATACAATGAATTCGAGATACAATTTACAAAATCCCTTCAAAACATCATGCAACAATTAAAAAGACTTTCACTGTATTGCGTTATGGATGCTATTGTCGGAGTTCATAGTCCGGCGGAGTTAGACGCCCTGTATAGCTTGGCACCCAACACCAGGTTCATCTCATAACCCCACAAAAACTTCTACGTGATCTTGACACTTCAACAACGATGCCCTTGCAAGCAATCTCATGCAGTTATTCACGACCATCTATTTACCTATATACGAGTACGATTAATTTGTCAGTCCTGTGCTCGGTTTCCCGAGACCTCTATTACCTATACCATGACCCAAATATGCTATATAATGTTTTGTTTTGTTTTTCATAAATTTTTCGTTTCCAGTTTTTGAAGTTTGTCATTTTTTTCTTCTTTTTCTTTGTTTCGTAAGTTTTCATGATGATGCCATTACAACACGCCAAGCCACAATCTGTAGTTGTGCGACGTGGACGCCAAGGGCCCCAACAGAGGCGCCTGGCTGACCGAATAATTTAGCGAAAAGTCCCGCACGTCCGACTCCTTCATCTCCAGCGCCAAAAGCAATGGCAGGTTGTTGAGCTCTTGCGTGGTGAACAGACTAGCTGACTCCAGCGCCGAATCGGACAGAGGCTGATAAAGCGAAGGTGTGAGCAAGGGGAGACAATGTCCGCCAGCTTCAAGGAGGACTCCTGGGGATGCTCATCACGTTCACGACATGAGTCAGAGCAGTAGACCGAGTGTGGAGAGCACAACTGGTCACAGGCAATGCAATAATTGTTGAAAGCGTCAGACATGATAAAATGCAGATATGAAATATGGAGGGGAGCTCGAGCCTCGCTAAGAATGCCTGGTTCAGATGAGCTTTGTGAAAAGAAAGGGGGTGTTGTGGGGTCTCTTCAATGAAGAAGAAGTATCTTTGATTTGAGGTGAAAATTGTGGCAGCACCGGTGGTTTATATATGGGCAGCAAAAATAATACGGCGGGGTCTGTTCTAGATGGGAAAATTGCGCCTACTGTGACACACTGCGCACGTTCGAGGGGTCGCCGAGGGTGCATGGGGCTGCGTAGGGTGCAGCTCCGAGGGTGTTACCGAGGGCAAGAAACCCCGGGCCCCAGACGGCCCCAATTTAGTCAAAGCCAGCATGTCGTGGACCAAATGACCAGAAAATCGAAGATCCCCCCATTCGAGCCCGTTAGCCCGGCACCCCAAGCGGGGCATTTACTTTGGCACCCCATTCCCCAGCACTTCTCCGCATGACGGCTTCTCGCGTGGAACGTGAGTTCCGGTTTATTGTGGGCCCAGGTGCCCCCGGTTTAGGGCTGCTCGGAGTGAGTCAGGCCCGAAACTGTGGCCGACTTTCGGGGGGCCAACTACGCCGCGGCACGTGCCCCAGCCACGGGTGCTTAGCAGACCCATCAGCTGTTTATACTATTTGGTCTGGAAGAATCTGTATTTATTATCTAATTATTTGGCAAAATTGCCAATTCTCAAACGTGATACCAGCTGACTTCCAGGTGGCCTGTTGCTGAAACCGCGCAATCTCCGTGGGCCCGGCCCAACATTATTTGCAGCCAGTTGCTTTATTCCACAATTTCTTAGCACTCGTTTAAAGCATGATTTTTTTTTTATGTTTCACATCGATGGAACTCCGTTTGCGTCTGTAAGCGACTCCGCTGGTTGCGCTAATTCCTCCTCGACACTGTCTCAGTTTAGCCGCTAGCCTTAACATGCGGTGCAGCCCACGAGGTTGCTACCACGAGGATAGACGAGAAATGGAAGGCACTGTTTGTAGCCGAGATACTTAGGGACGAGATCCACAAACTATTGCAAGCAATCGATAAAGATGGAAATTGTATGCCTCGGTTTCAAAGTATCACCAGGGGCTTACATGTCAGATTAAATAATAATGTTTCATGTCCTGCTTGATCAGACCCTGAAGCTTGCTGCCAAGGCGGGAGCCAGCTACTTAGTCATCCAAACTACATCCACAACCATCCAGAACTCCAACTTCAACCACCATACTTAACAGCCCTTGCCTTGTGCACCCAACAGTAAGGCTTGGCCAGGACCACAAGGGTGGAGCCCACAAGGGCCCCTCGGAACTTGACGAGGCGGGTACTGCACAGAAGCGATGCGGGCGGCCGTCTTGCCAGGCAATTACCCACCCCCGGAAGTCGCCACCACTTTGCCACCCCCGGATATCGTCGATTTTTCGAGAAAATTTTCAGCTCCATCTCCTCCTAGCCTCGACTGCAGACAGCTCACTCCACTCCACACTTTCCCGCTCCCGCTTTCGGCAATCACATTCAACTAAGCCCTACCTCAAGGCCCCTGTACTCTATGATGAAAGATTAACCTTCTGGGCTTTTCAGGGAGGTTATTCCCTTTGCAGGCATCCCCATTTACTTGGCTGGCAATCATTGTGTTTTGTGATTTTCATCGGGTCACAGCTTTGTTTCTCACTACCGCCACGCTTAAGGTTGCGATGCATTTCGATGTTTGTGTTTCGAAAGCAGTGGATCTTTTTTTTTTTTCTCTTGCAGAACGCGTGCCGATCTACGAGATAACCTCCCTGACCTCCGTACACCTCGTCAAACTACTCCAACCCACCAGGCCCTACCAACGCCAGAAGCTGAAGGTATTTTCATTTCTGAATTCCATTTTATGCTCTTTGTACTACTCTTTTTTTTTCACTAGCGATTCAAACGGTGTTTCAAAGAGTGTTTCAAGTTTCATGTCTCCTGTACTTAAATGTTTCAGCAGGCCGAGGTTACCTGCTGCTAGGCAAAGCCACAAGAAACACCACTAGAGGTGGCTAGATTGCCGAGCTCTCATCAATTGGAAGCATTTTTTTTATCGATCATTTCATTAAGAGGACGCCATATTGGCATTGTCCCTACGGATCTGTCGTCACCACACACGCATGAAGTAGCAGCACAGCAGGCGGCACAGCAGGTTATTTACGTCATTAGCGACACATCCTTGCTGGCCACGACAAATCATTGCACAAAATAACTCCCGCTTTGCCGGAGATGTTGGAGGAGCTAGTGTGGAGAAGTTTCAGCGGGTTCGACTCCCATCTCGGAAGCGAGATTTTCAGCGATCGACGAGAGAAGCTTTTCATGAGAAGATCGGAGGGTGAAGGATTTTCACAAGCTCACAGACAGGAGTCAACAGAGACATGGGGCAGTGTCATCAAGTACACATACGTAAGCTTAGCAGCAAGCTATTACGGTGAAGTTAATATTAGCTTGATCAATTGATCGACCTTCTGCCTGGTGTTGACAAACATGACCAGTCTTCACCTTCAGACGGAGTTAAGCTTTGAAGCATCACAGGAGTGTTGAATTGAGTTTGCACCCCTCTGTTGTCTACAACAGTAAGTGGCGATGTTGAACCAATGACCAAAATGATCATGCCGCAAAAAAAGCTTCCCGTCATTCCCAGTGGTATCTACACTGGTTTCCAGGCAACGGACATAATTGTATCCCCAATTGCTACCGATGGATGCTTAAATCAGGCTACGCCCAGAATGCTAGACCAATTGAAGATCAAGAGCACCGAGGTCGGTTCGCGTGACCGTTGTGTTCGTTAACGCCATCTACTGGCTACAAACCCTACCTCGTTGAGCACCAACAACAACAGTCGTCCTGCGTTGTTCTACTCCTAACCCCTTTTATTCCCTGTTTCTAAACACCCTTGTAGTCGTACCTGAGCCCGTCGAGTTCCTTGACGTTGCCTTTAATCTCAGTGTGCCACTTTCTCATTAAAAGAACCATCACCAAGTTTCCCATAGGAACAATACAATACATGCTCTTAAGGCCCGACTGCCAAGCCGCCGCCCCGAGCTGAAGTAATAGGATGAGGTTGAGGATATTCATTCCGTGATAGGACAAAGCTAGCCGGACTGGCTGAGCAAGTCCTTGAGCCCATGCTTTTGAACGAAGCTTTCGCAGAACATGCTCTCCCAATACGTTCACATCGTATAGAAGATTAAGCAACGAGAGTATGCTGCTTAGTGTTATCAACAAAGTCAAGGAAAGCTTTTCTTTTTTCAGGTTTGCTGTTCTTGTGAGCCATACTAGGATGGGGAGCTCAACTACCACCGATAGTGCTAGGACCTTAGTATATATGGCGAGGTTCTCGTCATTTCGTTGCCTTAATTGCGTTATCAAAAGCTCTTGGTCCTCTGTGTCTATAGGTTCATTCTGATCTAGAATGGCTCGGTCTACCTTTCTCAACCTTGACATGAACTAGTAGTATGGAGTTGATAAGTCGCGGTGCACGGATGGGATCAAATGTTAATGGTGGTGGAATGAGAGGATATAAAAACTCACCTAAGTCACTTTTTCTTCTTTGGTTTTATTATTTCTTTGGTAAATTATCCGATTGAGCTTGTCAATCATAGGCTAGCCCCTGAGATTGTGCCATCATGCTAATGAAAAAAGGCTAGTCCACTGAAGATTGGATCAGCTCATTCAACAGTGTTCATTCACTCGTAATTTTTTTTTTGTAGGAGAGTAAAAGATTCAATTTATTCAAAAAGTGAAGTATTTTGAACTACAGATCAACGAATCTCGAAGATTGAAAATTACTTGTCGAATGTGGTTTTGAGCGGCGATGGTTCATCCCAATCCCCATTCCAGTTCCTGCCCTACCATCTATTGAGAATCACAGATGGGACCAGAAAAGGAAACAAAGAGAAAAAAAAAAAAAAAAAAAAATCAAACGTTTGCAATCATTTTGCACAAGCACTTCTCATTGGCTCCACAAAAGCACACAAATAATAACCAATGGCTGTATCCACAGGGCCAAAAGCAGAAACAGGGGGTGTCCAATGGAGTAGTCTTGTATCTTGAGCCTTCCATATCTCTGATTTGATGGATCAATAGGGCCCGAATTGTCTCCTAATCGCCGAGGAGCCGAAAGTTCGGAAACGGAACCTACAAGGTTTGTAATAACCAATTCGGTATGCTTGGCTCCTTTGAGATTATGCTCCCTAAAGGGTGCCCAACAAATCAGAAAAGGGTTACGATGGTGAAATTTTGGAATTTGCGCTTTTTTACCGGTTCAACTTAGGGCGGGACCATACCTACTGAGAACGTTGATCGACGAGAAGGTATTGTCGAGATATGAAGGAGCCACAATGGGAGTTGATTTGCCAAAACACATTCTGTTTCGGTCTGAGGCAGTAATTAAAGACGAGAAGGGTAAAAGGAGCCCCATTTATGCGTGCCAGCTGTGTGTAATTTAGGTTGTCAAGGAACTACGGCGGCATCTTTGTTTAAGAAAAGATCCCCATGCAATGAAAAACGGGAATTTCCATGAATTCCTGCTATTGGCCGAAGATGGCGGGGGGAATGTCTGACAAAGAGCGTTTAGTTCATGCGTGAGGAAAGCAGGGAAAGAATGGCCGGGTGAATGGGCTCTATGTAAGAATTTTCCACTCCACGTCCTTGGATCTTGAAATACCCTTAATCGAGACAGCTCGGCCTACTCCCGATCGACTAGACAAAATAAGTGGGATCCACGATTAGACGATTGACAATGCCTTCGATCGACCTACCGTATAACCCCGTTATCGCAAGATCTACAGATTGACCTCGTCAATGACATTCTCTAATTCTCCTTAATTAGCCTTTGCAGAACGATCGGATACCCGCCGACGTCAAACAGACAATTAGGCCCATTTGGACAATAAATGCTCGGCAGGAACACTTTGGTGGAATGTAAGCCATACTGGTCAGAGGGCAGTATGCCTGCTCGCTATTTCAGCCTCGCCGAAAAAAAAAAAAAAAAAAATGCTAGTCGAGTACAAGTCTATTATAGCCGATACGAATTAGGCGGAACCAGCACAGCAAGAATCTAGAACGGTTTAGCCTTTACCACCTTCAAAGCCCTAGACTAAGTTTATGCACAAGGAAAGGACAAGTTGGGATTTGGGCCAGATCGGGTGTGGTGCTGGAGATACAATAATTTTATTTCAATGAGGGTGAAAAATCAGACCAGGCATTGTCCCTCTTCCGCGGTGGTCCGCCCAGGGCTTTTATTGCAGGCATTCTCCAATCAGCCGAGAGCTAGATCGAGGCTTTGAATGGTTGCCTGGGTGGTGAAATAAAATAGAAAAGTAGAAGCCCACTTTTCGAGAAAGGTACCAAGGCTCGATAGGAAGCTCATCCCAGTGTAGAGTGTGCTCTGCGGCGCATACAAAAAGGAAGAGCGGTTGACGAATTGGGCGCTGTGCGTGTGCGATCTAGACGATGAAAACGGCACTCAGTGTAAAAGTGATCCCCCCTTACAAAGGCACAAGCTTGGATAACAAAGTTTATTGTAAATTTCCCAAGGGTTGTTGGCAAGGACCTCCCCCATTGATTATTCAGAAAATTCCACCGTGGAGGTAAGCCTTTCTTTGGTATGCGCCACCACCCTCTCTATCTTGAATCGCTGCGGGCGCCTGCAGGCACCAAACGTGCCTTCCCCAGTTGGGAAGCCAGATCCAGACCCTCTGCGGGTGCCTAAACCAGCCATATAAACAGCAACCTATTTTGTGAACGGAACTCACCGTTCTGGATCGCCTCGGCCACCGTCGCGCCTTCTCGACACCTGTTTGCTTACCATTCTGCCTTGAGACGGTGAGTATACGGTACTGCACAGATGGGCCCTTTTTCTCAAGAAACGCGTTTTCCGAGCAGCTAGACTCCTGCATGCACACGATTTGCCGGCCCGCGCATAGTGAAGCACTCGTAGACCCACAGGCATTCTCAGGTGCGAGCCGCACTATGTGCAGGTATGCACGGCTATGCGCAGGCTGGACTCTGCCTTTTCCCTTCTTTCTCCATGCTCGAAAATGAGGGAAAACAGACCGAAAAAAAAGGCCCTTACTTCCACATCCGTGCCGCCTCCTCTCACTCTTTTAAAGCTCGTGTTCCCCCAAAATAGAACGGGCGAACCTACCAATTACGAGGATCAACAAAAGAGGCACAAAAGCTCCACAACCCTTCTTTTTTAATCGTTTGAATAAAAAAAAAAGGAACACTGAGAGGGTGTGCCCTTCGTTACTCACATTGATTTGATCACACAACAAGAGAAACTCACCAAGGCTATTTCTAGCACACATTCGTTCAGGCCGACGAGGTCTTGATATTTACTTCTCCGACAAGTCTAGCTTGTCCGTTATTTTTTTCAATACCCCATTCCTAACCCCAGTCCTTCTTTAATACGATGAGATCCGCCTTCATCATTCCCGTTTTCCTCGCCTTGGCTGTCGCTGAAGACAGAAACAACAACGGCAGAAACGACAGAAACGGCAACAATAACAACTATTTCAACAGCTACTGGAATTCCATCGTCAATGGTGCCCAGCCTGGGAATAACAGAGACGTGGTTCCTGGCCAGAGCTCTTCACTGAGTTCAGCTTCTTCAAGCTCCAGTTCCGCCTCCTCTGCCTCAAATCCATTAATGGCTTGGACTTCCAACTTCCCCAGTGCGTCCTCCAGCGAGCCCCTTCCGCAGCCTACCAGCTCGAACACTCCGCCCGAGGCATCGCCGTCCCCTACTTCCTCGTCGACTTCCAGCTCTGCTCCTCCAACCTCATCCACTCCTTTAACTTCAGAGACCCCCGTCGAGACATCCACTCCTACCACTTCCCCGAGCTCAAGCACCCCTAGCTCATCCTCGTCATCCACACTCAGCACCGTGCCGCCCAGTCAGATCCAGTTGACCACTGAATCATCACAGTCTTCTGAACTGCCGCAGACTTCAAGTGAGCCAAGCACTCTGTCGCCAGAAACCCTGTCACCGGAGACTTCTTCCCAGCCCACTACTGAGTCTGAGCCTTCCACGGAACCAACTACATCCCTGACTCCATCTCCGCTGAGTGCCGAGGAACCAACTCCGCTGACGCAGCAGGAATCTGTCGAGACCACCCCGCTGAGTGCTGAGGAACCATCTTCGTTGACGAAGCAGGAATCTGTCGAGACCACCCCGCTGAGTGCTGAGGAACCAACTTCGCTGACGCAGCAGGAATCTGTCGAGACCACCCCGCTGACCACGAGCTCATCCCTGAGCTCTTCGCTGGATCCCGAGACTTCCACTGTCTCGCCAACAGAAGAGAACCCACTGGCTTTCACTGAGACCACGAGCTCATCACTGAGCTCTTCGCTGGCTCCTGAGACTTCCACAGTCTCACCAACGGAGGAGAACCCACTGGCTTTCACTGAGACCACGACCTCGCTGTCCTCTGAATCCTCTCTGATCGCCACGACTTCCTCTTCTACACCAGGAACCTCGACACCTTCCTCGACGCTGTTGGAATCAACATTCTCCTCGGAGGCTCCCAATGTTTCGGCTGTTCCAACTAGCGACACCCAGTCTCTGACGGAGGTATCGACTTCTTCTACTCCATCCTCCTCGGAGACCACCAGCAGCTCAACTTTCTATGGTGCTGTCCCATCAAGTGAGAGTAGTAGCTCGCAACCGGAGACTACTTCTTCCACAAACGAGTTTAGTGAAGTCTCGGAGACACTGACCTCAGTGACACCAGTGAGTCTGACTGTCCCTGAGACTCCTACCAGTCTGACGTTCCCAGAGTTCACCGAGAGCCTGACTTATCCAGAGACTCCCGAGAGTCTGACTTATCCAGGGACTCCCAAGAGTCTGACTTATCCAGAGACTCCCGAGAGTCTGACTTATCCAGAGACTCCCGAGAGCCTGACTTACCCAGAGACTCCCGAGAGCCTGACTTACCTAGAGACTCCCGAGAGCCTGACTTACCCAGAGACTCCCGAGAGCTCCACATTCCCTGAGACAAGCTTTGAGGATTCGACCACTTACAATGCGTTTACCTCTCTGCCAGCGGCCACAGAGACATCCTCTCCAGAGAGTGCATACCCTCTGGCTTCTGAGACGTACGAGGAGTCCACCGGTGTTCCATCTGAAACCACAGAGTCCACGTCTAGCTACGGGGCTTTCACTACAACATCGTCTTCTAGTGAACCTCCAACTGAGACCCACGAGCCTATGCCCAGTTCGTTCGACTCTTCCTCGGAGCAGTTTGCTTCGCTGAGTATCGCCGAGCTGCCAACTTCATCAGAAGACACCAGCACATTGTTGGCTATTACACCTTCTGGTAGCAGTGAGACTCTGTACAGCGAGCCTACCGAGACATCCTCGCCACCTACGGAAGTGACGTCAGAGCTGGAGACTCTCACTCCACCAGAGTCAAGTTGGTCTGAACCAGTCTCAAGCGAGTACCCCACCACACTGGACACTTTTGATGCCGACACAACAACGTCATCATATGTGCCATCAGAGGAGACAAGCAGCAGTGTGCTGACACCAGCTGCTGTCATTACCAGCTCTAGTTCCGAATGGACCCCCGAGTCATTGGAAACCGAGGTATCAACCTCTGAAGAGGTATCACTGTCAGTGAACGAGACATCAGGTACCCCATTGCTTTTGACAACTTCTTCATTGACATCCTCTCCAACTCTTGACACTGAGATCACACTGGAGGCCGCTGAGTCGCTGCCAGCATGGAGCCTGGTTACCACTGAAGAGTCCTCTACAATTCCTGTGGTCTCTAGTCCAACAACGGAGTCTGAGGTGCCGCTGGAGGTAGAGTCTTTCCAGCCTACCACGACATTGGTTTCCGCTTCTCAAATCACCACCAGTGAATCTTCTGTGGTCGAAACTTCCGCAGCAGAAACCTCACCCGTCGAACAGACCTTTGTGTCTCTGCCAACGGAAGCTTCTGAAGCGAGCGTGGTAACTCCAGAACCATCGTCACCTGTCGAGACTTCTCCAGCTGAGACGCAGCCTGCTCCAACCGAAGAAGCTTCGCTGTCGACGAAGAACTGGTTGCCTACTGAAATTGTGGCCGAGTCAACGGCTTCCTCAACGGAGGGCGAGACTATCTCGGCCGCAACCACTGCTGCAACCAAGACTTCAGGCTTGCCAAGAGCTATCACACCAGCTGAAACAGCATCTCCTGGTAAGGAGTACTCGATGATCTACATTGGATTCAAGGAGAGCTTGAACTATCCATTTGTGGTTGAGAATTCCGTCTCATCCGCTCAAATCTTCGAGTACCTTCCTAAAGTGTTGCAATTTCCATTTGGTGACGCCAAGGACTACAAAGACACCCTTGTGAGTAGCTTGGTGCCATACCATGCCGACGGCATCGATTACGCTATCACAGTGGCCGAGGTTTACTTCCCAACCAATGCTGTCGATGCCTTGTCTCAACTTGTGTTGGATGACAACTCGAAGTTGTACAGGAACCCACATGACACCGAGGCTAAGTTAGCATCCTTGATCGATAAGAGAATCCCCATTGTTGGCCTTAACACTGACGATGGATCATCACTGGGCAACAATGATCAGAACAACGGATCATACGACTCTTCCAATAACCCTGTGAAGAAGAAGGGCACTATCGCTGGTGTGGCCACTGGTGCAGCCGTGGGTTCTATCATCTACATGTCTTTGATGATTCTCTTGTTCAAGAGGTACAAAAAGAAGAAGGCTCTTCAACTTCCTCCAACAGACAATGAGAGTTCATTGGATTGGAGTTCTCAGGAGGACTCGCACGCCGTATCCAACTCAAACGGAACTGGTCTGACGAGACCACCCATCTCCGAACCAGTGAATGCATTCAACTCCCTCGGTTGGTCAAACTAGTGAGGACTCAACCGGTCCAGCATTTCGTTGCTTGCTGATTTGTTTCTGAGAAACTTAGACAGTGTTCATTCGTTACTATATTGAAACCCATTTCACTTTCGTCTCACATCAGTGACTGTGTTAGATACATACACTTGTACGAATCTTATGTTAGATATAACCTTTGAATATACCATTCATATGCAATCTATTAACTGAGAAACTTGTAGATTTCTTCGACAACCACGACCGAATCCTCATCGAGAGTCTCTTGCAATTCAGATATCAAATTCTCCTTCTCACTTAAATTGTTCTCGCAGAGGAAGTCATATATGAAATCAATCAAAAGGTCCTCCTTCACACCCAAATATTCCAAAATGAGATCTCCGATTCTGTTTTTAAGTGCGTCAAGTTTGGTCTGCGGTAACTCCAGGATAGAAATATCAGACACAACAGATTCGCTTGCCTTTGGCGCTTCAGTTGCAACTATCACAGGAGCAGATTCCTTCACCTCAATCTGCTCATTCTCTAGATCCATCTTATCGTTCTGCTCTTCCTGAGATCTCTCGAAGTTTCTGACTTTCAAGTATTCAGCATGATCGTTGAAGTACAATTGTAATTTCGAGGATAGGATAGGATTGATCTGTGGAACATCGAGGTCGGAAAATGCTTTGAAGTCCTCCAAATATGAGAACTTGTTGTCCACCAAATTATTTTCATAAGTTTGGGCAGCCTTGAGTTGCTGGAGTAGAGAAAAGACCTCGACCGTCTCCAAATGCTGTACCTTTTGAAGTTTTCTTTGGTAGGCCTCATTGCGCTTCTTAGCCATTTCTTCCTCGACTAACTTGATATACTCATCCTCGGGTACGCTATCTTGCTCCTCTTCCTCTTCTTTCATCGCAGTATCCTGTGCTGTACTCGCCGATTCTCCAGGAACAACGTTGGACTCTTTGATGTCTTCGAAGAGGTTTGTAATTCTTGCCTTGGCCTTCTGTCTTTCTTGTTCTAGCTCCTTCTTTCTAGCATCCTTCTCCAAAGTCAACACTCTGGAACGAAATTTGATAATTTCTCTCACTATTTTATCTTTCATGTCTGTGGGTATGTCGACCAAGTCAGCGTTGTCCACCTTGTATTGACTGTAATGTTGCATGATGTTATCTAGATCCTCTGTTCCGGTCTTTCCAGTTAGTTTTCCGTAATTGTTCTTATTAGCGATGATATTTGAAATACTGGAGGCAACTTCTCGAAGCTTTTCTTCTTCAGTATCATTACTTGCGGGTTCAACATCTGAGACCACCTCAGGTTGGAAGACATCAGTGAACTTCTCTAGCAGCCCACAAAACAACTTAGCCAATGGGATGCTGGAAAAACGAATAAATATGTTGTTTTCTCCAATGTCTGCATCGGTCAACTCTGTCCACAAAAACAGGCCCTTCTTGGGCAGCAAAGACACAATGGAGTTCAATACTTTTTCCATAGCATTCTTTCGTAGAGCTGGACATTTTAAAAGAGCCACAGTTGCTTTCTGTTCTTGCTTGTTATGCGGTAGAAGACGATCAAGCCCCACAAAGAGCCTCAGTGGATTTTCCAGCTCATCACCCACATTGGACACCGCAGTTGCATCATCAACAGATGTTGACAAGCCATATTTACTTGTCAAAGATTTGTTGAGCCTTTGATGCTTGAGTAGCTCGTCAACATCTACATCACCTATAACGGGAATGCTGAACATCGGCTCAATGTGATTGTACTCCGGCCTTTTGTAGCCCTTAAGCTTCGAGATGATATCATCGTTCTGATAAACATTGACAGGATATGGATCCACTATTCGGATTTTCATGTGAACTGTAGCGAAACTTATAGAAGATGGATGGAGTCGAGTAGTTGATGATGCACCATATGCACGCGAGATCGTACTTGGTGTATAGGCTGGGTCCAAATCTTTTCTTTAAAACGGATCCAATTCCTATTGATTACTGTGATTGAATTTTTCCCACAGTTGTAGATAATTAAATAATCTTTGCTGTCTATTTGCTCAACCCGACAACTTCGTTATGGTTGCAAACTGTACTGGTGCGAAGAGACATTCAGATTTCAACTACATCCAATTATCAACAAATGGCTGAACTCCCTGAAATTCCTGAGATCCCTGCGGACTTAGGAAATGACTTCCCCAGCAACTTGATTCTCGATAAACCGCCAGACGCCTCAACTCCCAGACAGCAGAAGTCCAGAGACAGCTCTAATAACAATTCCAACATACCCAAGAACCCAAACAGTATAGAACAGTGGAACGAACTCATACGAAGATCAGAGGACAAGTATGACAATTCAGGAGGTCAAGAAGATCAAAGAAAGAAGTATGCATCATCAACTTCAAATGTCTACAGGCAGCTTCTATCTAGATTTCCCTTCCTCACCGAGCTGTGGAAACAATTTCTGATATTCACATATAAGGCGAATGGTCTCAAGGAGTCTTTGGCAGTTCTTGAGCTTGCAACAAAGAAACACCCACAGAGTATCAGCATATGGGTGGAATACCTCACTGCCCTAATTAGTGCTGGTGATGAGTTCTTCCCTGCAAACAGAATTGACCAAGAGTTCTCCAGGGCAAAGACCCAGATCGGCTATAATTTTCATTCAGACCCGTTTTGGGACCTTTACATTTCTCATGTCTCGAAAAAGGATGACCCAAAGGACCTAGTATCCTTGTATCTTTACCTTATACACATTCCGTTGTACCAATACGCCAAATATTACAACCAATTTGTCGAGATGAACAAAACCTTCGATGTGAATGAAATTGTCGAAGATGAAAAGCATTTGAATAAGCTTCTACAGGCGTTTGACAAAACTAACGTTTCTGAGTTGTCAGCTCTTGAAAAAGGCCAATTAATCGACGAATACGCCAATTCAATATTTGTGGAAACACAAAGACAGGTCAATGAAAAATGGCCGTATGAATCGTCGTTGGGCTTCCAAGATTTTCAGTTATCTACTCCACCAGATGTCGAGCCATGGCTACGTTACTTGACCCATGAACTAGACATCCTCAAGACTTTGTCAGATGAGAGTCAGAAGGTGCATCATCTCAGATTCATCTCGAATCTCTTCGAACGCACAATTGTTCCGAATTGTTTCAATAGTCAGGTTTGGTTGAAATACTGTGATTTTACAGAGACCCACCTTCCCTTCGATGAAGCTAAGGGCGTGTATGATAGAGCTGTCTTCAATTTTGTTCCTCTCAATGAGCCGGAAGTCAGAATAAAATATGAGGGATTTCTCATGAAGCATGAGATGTTCGACGTGTGTAACGAATACTTGTTAGATCTACTTCGCTTGTTTTCGGGATCAACAGGTTACAACATCTACTCCAAAGCTCCCTACATGCAAACCTTGCAACAGCTTGTGTCATTATGGAACAAGCATGTTGCTTCTGATAAGTTAACCGGCGTACTTGAGAATATCATCTCAGGATTTTTTGATCGGGTGGATCGTTATAAAAAAGAACCCACTGGAGAGCAAAATGGTAAAGATGAAAAGCAATACGAACTCAAACAAGCATTTATCACCCTACTATCCAAGTTATTGAATCAGGATGGTATATCTGTTATCACTGTTGCATACCTTAAATTGTTAGAGGCCGCTGGCGAGGTTGTACAAATCAGACAATTCTTCAACAAGTATTTCAAGGAGCAGGCATTTTCGTGGTCCGTACAGTTTTGGAAGTTTTTCGTCGACTTTGAAGGATACAACCAGGTCAATTTGGTTAACTTGAGGAGTATCATCAACATCATCAAAGAGAAAACTGCGCTACCACAAAGAGCAGTCGAGGGATTTCTCGAGATTTACCACGAGATCGTGCTTAAAAATCTCAAAAGTGCTATTCTCTTGAAGGGTCCCAACGGCGAAGATCTCCATGACACACTCATTAATCTTGGTTTGGAGAAATCCCGTAGCCTTTCCACAAACAAGAGTGCAGCGAAGCGAATGGCGGCAAATAATGCACACATGAAGGACTTGGAGGATCTGAAGAAATCAAGAAACTCATCCTCTCACTACTCGCCCTCCCTGGTTGATCGTGAGAAAGAATTCCGGAAGTACGTCAAAAGTCATGTATTTCACCCTGGCATCTTTCGAGAGCTACCGGAGCAATCCCCACCTGCAACTGAAGCGAAGTTTGTCTCATTACTTGATGATAATGTGCATGTCCCTGAATTCCCTACTTTTAAAAATCTAGATAAAGCTAGTGGGCACGTGCATTACCCGGAGGAATGATCAAGCCAAGTCGCCTTGACGACCAATAAGCAAAAGATCAGGCCTAACCTTCGCCCTTACTGTACACTTGTTGTCGCCAAAGACTTCGAGAATCGTGAGTCGTGAACAAGAATCACTAAACTTACTAGCAACTTCATCATCAAAACACCTGACGAATCCAATATCAAGCCTCGTCAATAAAGGAAACTCAATCTGATTGTAGTAATTCTGGATCTCATCCTCATTTTCGACATTATCATTGACACCATCTTCAATAGCCTGTTTCAATAGTCTTTTTGTCTTGGACTCATCGTTCGTCATTATCTGTATCAAGAAGTCCTTTGTCAAATTATCGAGCGAATTGAGCGAAACGTCCACCAATGTCAGCGACGAATGATTGAAGAGGGAGTAGATAGCTTTGTCTCCAAGCCCTCTGCATTTCGTCAAGTCAGCGGTTACCAAGCCGCCACTATTAATCACAGCAAACTCATTAAAACCTTCCACAAACCCATCATCTGTGAGCTGGTTGACATGCCGCATGGAAATGTGCTCCAATCTTGGACAGAACTTCGATACACCCTCCTTGAAAAACTCGTCTGTAAGCGCACTGCAACCATCCACATTAAGGTACGTGAGAGATTCTCCCGTGATTGCTAATATGTGAATCATAAGCTCATCAGTGATGATTTCAGGGCGGTGAGGATATGATATTTCGAGTTCGGTCAATTGTGAAGATCCAATGTAATGCGGTATAAGCTCATAAATTTCTGTACTGTCAAGCCCATCAAGTCTCAGAAGTTTAAGCGAAGTAAGATGAGCACCTCTTTTCTCCATGAGCGTGAGAAATGCGTCACTGCCGAAACGATGGGTGTTTCTAACTTCGAACTGGGTGATTTGACATTCTGCTTCCTCGAAGAAGTCCTGCCACATGGAGTTACTTATCAAGAAAGGACCATCCAAGCTCAACTTCGATAATTTCTGAAGCTTGTCCTTGAAGTACACTAAATTGTCGTTGTGGAATTGACCGCACATAAATAGTGTGAGTGACTCCAATTGGGAGCAAAAAGCCGCAATTTGGTTAAATGAATGGGACCCTACATTTGAGCAATCCCAGAATTCCAACTCTTTTAAGCTTGGGTTCAAAAAAAGAGACACAGTGGAGTCGTCCAACGAACGATTTTTCGACAAGATTCTCAGGATCTTGTTCATATTGGCTTGTCCAATATCCCCCAAGGCCTCGACATCATTGATATTCTGGGTGATCACTTTGATACAGACATCCTGTAACTTGGGGATTGTTACTGTCTTCCTATCAAGAAGGGCAGATGCGAGAACCTTTCTTCTTTTCCTGGCATTGAGTTCGTTTCTTCTCGCGTTCTTTTCACGCTTTTTAAGCTCCTCATTACAGTCTTCACATAAGTAACCTTTCAAATCTTCAACATAACGCGAGTAGACCGACAAAGTGAATGGGTTGCCGCATTCTGCGCACATATCCTCCTCACCATATTTCTTGTGATCGTCCTCGAGATTGCCATTGATATCAAAATCGTCGTCCGCGTCAGAGTAGTCGTCATCATCGTCATCATCAGAGCTACCACTATCGCCATGAGGATCACCATGTGCGCTGCCATTTCTCATTCTTCTGCTTGCACGTCTCTTTTGTCTTCCAGCCACTAGTATCTGCATTTCCTCCTCATCTGGCGAGGAACTCCTTCTGGCGCTCCTCTGAGGAGTAGCAGAAGTTCTGCGACTAGATGCAACGGGGGAGGATGTAGGTGATGCGGTGTGTTCATTTGTTCCTGACTCGCTTTCTTGACGCTGGCGATTTTGACGTTCTCTGAAGGCGTCAGTAATACCTTCATTTCTGAGGAACTCTGTAAGAGCCGAGTTAGGCCCGCGTACGCCGGATGACCTGGGCTTGCGAGGCATCCGTGAGAACTAGAGCGATATGATTTGGGAGAAGATTTTTCACTCTAGATCGTGTGTTGCTTCGATGGCGATGTCCTGCTGCACTGATAAAGTACGTGCATATGGTGCACGGATGTGACATAAAGACCCGTATTTCAGCAAATTGGCAAAAGTTGCTTTGACGTCATAAGATGGAATCAGGTTCAAAATTATCCGTTTAATGATAGTCGTATCAAAATTAGTGGACCGCATTGAAAGGTATTGTTCATATCATGTGTCGGAATACCGAGCTCTGGTGCAGCCACCATGACACGCACAAAGTGGAGCAGATCTGACTCATCAAGCTTCATGTTATAGAGAGTGTAAGGTTTGCGTATTTCAAAAATCGAATTGGGTAATAAAACAGATCATTCCAAAAGCCACGGCCTTTCCTCCCAAAATGTGTCCTTGATAATGTCGACATGAAGTGTCTTGACTTGGGCCTTCTTGCGAGCTTTGGATACTCTCTGTTTCTGCCTCTCCGAAAGATCAGTCGTTGATTGCAGTTCCTGGTATTCCCTCACTATTACTGTACCCTTCTTGAAGATTTCGGGTTCATTGTTGTAGTTGATCCCACACTTGGAGAAAAGTATCTCATTCTTATCGCTGGAAACAGTGCCCAGGAGGGAGTTTTCGGCCTCCTGTCCCGTCATACCACATTTCTCGATTAAGCTCCAGAATGAGGTGTTATATAGGTTATTGATATGGCAGTCCACCTGTCGCCAGGAGAAGTAATCTCGTACTGTTTGTGCATTGGGATACACAACAGCCCGAGCATCGAAAGTCGGGAGCCTTTCCATGACAATAGGCTTGTCAGCAAACTCTAAATTCCATTCCATCACATAGTAAACCAGCATAAACAGAGCAAATGTGGAGACCAACTTCATCTCTCTTCGCTCAAACAAGTCACAGGTTCGCCTTAGTAGGAACAGATATTCGTCCGAGTCACCGTAGGCCATTTGAATATCGGGAAATTGCTTCACAATGGCCAAAGCAGCACGGTTCATCACATTGAGTGCCCGAAGATCATTAGGCTTGTCAAATTCGTAATAGGAGCTGAATTTATGAAAACCTTTTCCATCGACACGAATCACAATGTGCGTCTGCGGTAGAAGAAAGTTTTCCCTTTCGAATTGCTTGACATATTCGAATCTGGAGTTAGCCATAGTTAGAGTTATGTAAGGAATAATAAGCGGTTGATAGCGATGGAGGTCACGTGCAGAAGCCCCCATAGTATAGATTGTCTAGCATGGAGGTAAACTTTCTGGAAGAGGTATGATTTGAATTTGGCGACTTTCTTGTTTGAACCCAGTAATTGACTCCTAATACCCTAAGATCGCTACATTTGCTTGCTCACGTATGCATTATGTATGGTATAAAATCTAGTGTATAATTTAGGTTAGCTCATCAGTGCTTCTTGGACTTGGAAGACTTTGGAACCCTCGCAAGCCAGTAGAAGAAGATAGTAGCAAGCATGTTGATGGCAATGAAAGCAATGAAAATACCAAAGTTTCTCCATCTCTCAGAGTAACGCGCCTCAACGGACTCCAAGAAGGTATTAGTCGAGGACATGAGGCAGAAACGGCACTGATCAGTAGCACTCTCGTCAACCAAATAGCCACCGGCGGCTTCAATGTATGGCTGCATGTACTCACCACAGGTTTGTCCCTGTGGAGGCTCGAACACACTGTATTCTCTCTCGGCACAAGTGATTTTGTTGTTAGCGAGACCAGAAGTCAACATACCCTGAACCAAGTATGTGAATGGGTTACATCTGTACATGAAAATCCAGAATCCAGGCAAAGCGTCTGGGCCGGCAAGAACACCACAGAAGTTCAAACACATAATGAACATCAAGTTAGCCAAGTTAGCAGCATTGTCAGCGATCTCCTGGAAGGAAATCACAAACTGACCCAATGTGATAGCATAAACATAGAAGGAAGACATCAACAACCACATAAGAGCACCACGCTCATTCACAGTGTCAGTTGTCTCAGCGTTGGCGTACATACCAGTTGGGTAGTACCAACAGAAGAAAGCGACAGTGCCAAGAACAGCCTGGAAAGGAACCTCTGCAGTGATCTGAGAGGCAATGAAAGCAAACCAACTGAAGGTTCTCGATGGCTGTTCTCTAACCTCGTAAATTTCTCTCTGCATAACATAGTATGGCATCATCTGTTGAATCAAGGTCTGCAATGGAATAAAGGACATGAAAATCGAAAACATCTGGTTCTGCAAGCCCTGCTGAGAGTTGTTGTTCTTGAAGAAAGAAAAACCATTGAACAAAGACGAGGTGATGACCAAGAAGAACTTGGAGTAAATGTAGCCAGAGGTTCTCCAGTATTGCTGGAAGGTTCTCAAAGTGACAATGAAGTACTGGTAAACAACTGGAGCAGCATACTTCTTCCTAGATTCTGGGTCTTCATCTTGAGGCAACTTGCTCAATTCACTCTCCATGTAGGCCAATTCCTTCTGGACCTCCTGATAATGTTGGGAGTTTCTCCAGACTTCAAAATAGTCCTGAGCTGCCTTGGAACCGGGAGCGGCACCGACAACCTCCAACATCCATTCAGCAGGGTTAGCATCCTTTGGACAAGGATGAGCTCCGTGGCTTTCAAAGTAATCAATCAATCCCTGACAGTTCTCGCCCAAGTCACCGAAGTAAACAGTCTTACCACCCTTTTGCAAGAACAACAAACGGTCAAACTCCTGAAGCAAAATGGCCGAAGGCTGGTGAATGGTACACAAAATAGCCTGGCCATGATCAGCCAACTTCCTCATCAACTTACAGATAGACCAGGCAGTTTGGGAGTCCAAACCAGAAGTAGGTTCATCCAAGAAAAGCAACAACTTAGGCTTTGCAACCAACTCGACACCAATGGTCAATCTCTTACGCTGCTCGACGTTCAAACCTTCACCGGCAACACCGACCAAAGCATCAGAATAGTTGGTCATTTCCAACAAGTCAATAACGTAGTCAACATAAGCATCCTTGTCCTTTTTCGAGACGTGCGATGGCTGTCTCAAGTAAGCAGAAAATGTCAAAGCCTCACGCACAGTAGAAGTAGCCAAGTGAATATCTTGCTGTTGCACGTAACCAATGGATCTTTGGAAAGAAGAGTCCAAGCCGTGACCATTCACCATTCTAGTACCGTCAGTGATTGTACCGGTGGTGACACGCTCGGACAAACAGTTCAACAAAGTGGTCTTACCAGCACCAGATGCACCCATCAAAGCGGTGATCTGACCAGGCTTGACCCAACCATCAACATGGTTCAAAATAACACGTTGTTCAGACTTGATCTTGACCTGGTAAGTCAAATCCTTCCAGTGGAAAATTTGCTTCTGGCTTGGGACCTTATCGTCGTAAGCAGAAGAATTACCAGAGCCATCCTTCTCCATTGCATCAGAGTAAGAAATCTTCTCATTTGGCAAGTTGTTCTCGATATCATTAGAAACAGCCTTCTGCTGCTCCTTTTGTTTTTTGACCTTCTTCAAGGAGCCCTTCAAGAAAAGAATAATCTCACCCTTCTGCATAGCTCCCTTGTTGAATTCAGTCAAGGCAATGTAAACAAACAAGAAAACGACAATGTAGGCAATAACGATTCCCATATTTCTCCACTTGTGGCTGTTGAGGTACTCGAAAGAAACTGCCAAGTACTCGGTACCACTGACAGTGGCTCTACCAGCTTCAGCTCCTTGAGTAGCGCAGACACGGTTGACAAATGGAAGACTGTCATAATCACCACCTGTTGGGACAAACTGAGAGCACTCGAACTCACGATCGTAGAATTCGTTCACCATCAAAGACTCGAAGACGTAGGACACAGGATTAATGTATTGAATCCATCTGCACCAGCCCAACATCGAAGGAATTGGGATAACGAAACCAGTGAAGATAACCATAGCCAACAAAATGGAGGTAGCAGGAGTCATGGCACCAGCAAGGGAAGTCGAAACGGCACCCAAGGATCTGAACATGTGCGACATACACAAGGTACAGAGACTACAGAACAACCAGTAAAAGAAGAATCTGCCAGGGTCACGTCTGAAATGAACCATAAAGTAGAAGGAAAAGTTGAAAAAGATGGACATGAAAGCTTTGACTGGGAGTTCTGAGATGATAGATGCAAGGGCGTCAGCAGAAGGTCTGTACATGGCGTACTTCTTGTGCTTTTCGACAATGGGACGGGCTTCAAACAAGGACATAATCTCCAACAAGGAGGCAAAGGCATTAAACAAGACAGCGAAGAACATAGCAGCTCCACGGTAATAGAAAGAGCTGGTCGTCGGCTGTAAGTTGTAAAAGACAGACGATAGAATCAAACCCATCACACCCTGACCAAAGATCGAAAATATGACAATCGACGGATCTCCCTTCATACGGAGAAAGTTTCGGCCGACAATGTACCTCGTTTGCATGAAGAAGGAAACAGTGTATGGGGAGCTTGGGGAAATGTGCTTGGATTGTTTGGCAACGTGTGCCTCGCGGTAGGTCTCCTTCTGGGAGCCATCAGCAGTGTCAGCGAGATACTGATCGATCTTGCCCACGAGAGCACTGTATTGTGGAGAGCTGCGCCAGTAGTCGGAGAACTCCTTGGCGGTACGAGGAACCTTGTTTTCGAAACCTGGTCTGACGATACGCTCCTCTGGGTTGGTCAAGGAGGTCAAGTAGTCAGCAGTGGTTTGACGCTGAGGACAGTCGTAACCCATGTCCAAGAAGAACTGCTTAGCCTCGCTGGCCTTACCGAAGAAGATCTGGTAACCCTCGTACAAGACGACAACGTTGTCGAACAAGTCATATGCGTCCTGGGAACACTGGTAAATAGCAATCAATGGAGTAGCGTCCAAGATGGCAGCAGAGGTCTTCAAGGCACGAATAAACTCCAAAGCGGTAGCAGCATCCAAACCTCTGGTGGCGTTATCCCAACACTGGATGTTGGCACCGGACAAGGAAACTTCGGCAATAGAAACACGCTTACGCTCACCACCAGACACACCACGAACGAAATCGTTACCGACAGCCGTGTTTCTGGTGTGGGACAAACCGTAGGTGGCCATCATGACCGAAGCCATATGTCTGGCGTGGTCCTCTCTGGAAACCTCACCTCTATTTTGTGGGGTTCTCAATCTTGCAGCGAACTCTAAAGTGTGGCCCACACTTAAGTGAGGGAAATGCACATCAGTCTCAGCCGAGTAAATCACGTCACCACGGTGGTGTTTTTCGATTTCAGCTGGGGAGATGCCGTCGTAAGAGATTCTCAGCTCCTGACCGATTCCAAAACCGTAAGTATTAGCGGCGATGGTTTTTAGCAAAGTGGAACAACCAGAACCGGGACGGCCCAAAACGACCGTGACTTCACCGGGGCGGTAGTAACCGTCCATGGACTTCAAGATATCGAAACAACGGCTCTCGTCCATTTTGCGCGAGTTGTGCCAGAAATCGGTGGCCATCTTCCACAAACCATTGGTCACGGTGGGCTGGTAGTCAGAGTCTGCTGCCACACCGTACGCACGCAAGTCACGGTAGGCCATACCCAACTTCAGGGGTTTGTAGTATTCAGGGTCGCTGTCGAACAATTTACGCATGTTCTTGACCCAGAACTTAGCGTTAAAGTTCTCGCTGTCTGGGTTCAACTGCTCGTTGATCTGTTCGGGGTCAAAGGGCTCAACACCGGGCACCTCGGACATGTGGGAAAGGAATTTCAACAAATCGGCAGAAGAGCCTTTTCTGGCAAGCTCGCCGCTGCCCTGGGAGATGTTTGTAAGGGTTCTGGCCAACTCTCTAATCTCGCCTTCCTCGTTTTCGCCAAAGCCAGTGTACTCATTGACGGAGTCCGCCTCATCGTCGAGGTCGGACCTGACGGGAGGGGGCGCCACCGATGGGTCTGCTGGCGGAGCGTCATGGAATTGCTGTTTTTCGTCGGGAGCAGACATGACGATGCCGAAAAAAGCAGGGGACTCTGGGCGTTAAATACTGAAAAGAAAATAGAGCAAATGCCGCAGCCCAAGCAGAAAAATTGGTGCAGGCGCAGCGCATGAGATAGGAAGCACGGGCATAGGACGGGTGGCGGAACATGGATGTTCCGAACAATAACAAGAGCCGCCGCGAGTTATACGATGATGAAGGGTGGCATAGGGGAAACAAAGTCTACGGAATTTGGAAATTCCACTTAATTAATGGGAAGCACGATGGAGCCGTTTGTGGTTCGATCTGGGTTTCCTCAGATGGCGAATTTCACTCACCGTTTGTTCACGGCGCTAGTGTTCTGGCTTGAGCGAGGCTGTTGCGGTCAAAGTGAAAGTCACACAATTCGTCGCACAGTACTACCCTATGGCTCACAGTTACTCATCGCGCAAAAAACGGTTCCCGGGTGCCAATGTTCGAAGCACCCGGGCCCCGCTTATTAATACTGGGAGTTGTTTTTTTTTTTTTTTTTTTTTTTTTATTATTTTTATTTTTTTTTTTGCTTGATGCGCTCTAAACATCGGTGCATTCAGGATTCTTGCGAATCCTGGTTTCCACTTGCTAGCATGGTGGCGCTGCGGTGCTTTAGCCCGTTTTGCACCCAGTCCCATCCCCCACCAGCACTCCTCAGTTTCAGGACCCCGCTGTTTCTGCCGCCAACAAATTATCCGTTGCTGTCAAACTGATTGTTTTGTGCTGCCACTTGAAGTCTATATTTTTTTTTTATCGTTCTATATATTTCTTAGTTTTTATTTCTTCTAGTTGGTGCTTGGCTTCGGGCAGTTGGCGGCCCCGGAAGTGGAGCGTCTCCGAAAAGCCGTATTAGCCCTCCCTACCGCAGGCTCAGCCGTCTAGATTTTCCGGGCTCGCAAGCACATATTGGACCCAGGGCACCCGAGCTTCCCGGTCGCCACCTATTGTTAAGACGGAAAAATCCGTAAAAAAAAAAAAAAATGAAAGAAAAAAAAAAAAAAAAAACGGCCCCGGCTCTCCCGCTTGGTGCTATTCCCGAACTTTACCCCAGCCAAATAGCGCCATTCCGTTCACGCATGGATTTCGCACCCAGCGGCAAACGCTCGTTTAGAAGATAAACGGCTTGCAATGTGGCGGTGTGATAAGGTTTGGCTCCAGGAAGCAAGCATTCTTGTTTCTTTTTGGAGTTTTGATTTTTCTCGAATCTTGTCGTTCCTTTTTGTAGACGAGTCTTGTGCTCCGAAGCGGCCCCAATAGGGGTACGGCTGAAAGCAATCATTCCAGGACTACTGCGGCCCGCTCCCATTGACCCAAACAGTCTACGTTGAGGCTTTGCGGGGGCTGAAATGTTCCGTAACATTGTTTGTAATTTCGGGCTAAAAATGTTCCGAATTTTCAAAATGCTGGTCACCGTTTGAGCGCCGCTGGCCCGGATGGTCCATGGCTGCGAACTTATCCGGGCCGCCGGGTTGTGCATTTGTGGTTGTGGCTACTGTTTGGAGGTGCAATACGACCTTTCCTGTTTTTTCAACAACCTCTAACGAAGATGAAGCTCCTCGGTTTATTTGCTTCACCTTGTGCTGAAGTGGCTTTTTTTTTTTCCATTTTTATCGATCATTAAATTAAGAGGATGGCTTGATGAGAATTAAGGTTTGGTGTTACGAGATCGTACGGTAAAGTTTATGTAGCCTGCGTGGATGGTGAGATCCATGAATGAGGCCTCAAGGATCTTCGGGTGGGGTGTTTCAGAGGGGCTCTAGACTGGGAATAAGGTTAGGTAAGAGCTTGGAGCACTGCCGGTGTTCCGTGGATCACTGTGGGTGGAAACTGTGAACGGGGTCACATTGACTGGAGATTTGAGGTCGTTTACAGCTGGATCACTACAGGGGTTTGCGATCGATATTTCTTGAGTATTTGGCCAGTTTTCTTTTTGTGGATAGCATCTTGTTGGCATGAGCATAGGGTGCATACCTCAATGTAGCACACGAGCACCATGGGCTTGAGATCTTGTTTCGCCAAACGTTCAACTTGCACAAGGAGATTTAAGAACGTCTGACGAAATCGTGGAGATCTTCATCCATTTAGATTGTATAAGGTAACGGCTTGGACCGGAGTCGTGGTGCTGTCTACGACATAGCTACTTGACATTTTTTGAAAAGTTTTTCGAATATTTCAATCTGTGAAAACATCAAATTATTCTCGTTGTCAATGTTGATGTAGGCTTTGTCTCATGGGTGAATGTAAGCTCAATGATACCTCGATGCATGCGGCTGTGCAATCGTTTACTTTTTTGGCTGAAAATATTAGTAAGCTATTAAAATGCAGTTGCAAGTATGCCATTTATTTACATTGGAGACCACTACGTCATTCCTGATTCTTGCCCCGGCTAGTGGTTGCAAATGTTTTGCGTGTACTGCACCTTTCCATAAGACTCTCACTACCAAATCTAGTGTTCACCACAAAGCCATATCACAATGCAAGTTAAGGTCAAAACATTAACAGGCAGGGACATCCCAGTGGATGTCGAGGCCAGCGACAAGGTCATCCGTATCAAGGAGATGATGGAGGAGAAGGAAGGCATCCCTCCAGCTCAGCAACGATTGATTTTCAATGGTTCTCAGTTGAACGACGAGATCACCATCGAAGAATCTGGCATCCAGGCTGGTGCCTCATTGCATTTGGTCTTGACCCTTAGAGGTGGCCACTAGGGACGTTGGGTCTGAGTATCGACCTCATCTGTGCGTCTGACATAGTTAAATGGAAATGAATCATCTGACACACAAGACGCCTAGGATCCGTCAGAGTCAGCTTTCGATGCCCATTTTTTAGCATTGGCTAGGAACTTATTGATGTTTGGAGCCTCTTGAGGGAAGACCCACTCCACGTAAGCTTCTTCGCCGTGTTCAGTCGGTCTCCGTTTGGTGACTGCAGTGGGGAATCGTTTCTGAACTGTTTCGACGGATTCTGGATCGCCATGCGCCTCCTCGTAGCGTTTCCAAGCCTCAAGAACCGTGCTGCAGTTTGCGCCTTCGTTAAGGCCCTTGAAGTGGTTAGCTGCCTCAGTAAAGATTTTGCGAGTCTGGCTCTTTTGGTGATCTTCGAGCCCGAATTCGACTGTGTCTGAATTCTCGAGACTTTCGAGCTGCGCAGGTGAAAGAATACTCAGCTCAAAATTAGCGAACTCAATCCAAAGCAGTGGTGAGGACTTTTCACTTATTTGTCGCCTGAAAACATCTCTTGCACGGTCATATAGAAACTCATCTTTGAGAAGATCAATGTAGGATGTTAAAAGCTCGTCGTAAGGGGTAAACTGTGCAAGTTTTTCGGTACTCTGCGTGTGAGTATTCAATGCCATTTCATATAAAGCAATGCATCTGTCTAGTTCTGCAAATTCGAGTTCCTTTTGGACAAAGTCCTTCAACACTTTTAGGGCGCTGTGACTTTCGGGGTTCTCAGAATCAATCATAAGAGCTACCTCTATCCACTTTGAGTAAAGCGAGCGAACCCTTTGCCATTCGTTAAGCTTAATCTCCAATTCAATGTAGAACTTGAATATCTTGTTCTTTAACGTAGTATTGCTAGTCAAGCCAATTGCTTTACCCAAAAGTTTCCTAGCAACTGCCAAACCGCTCTCTTCATTGTTTCGGATTTCGAATTGCGCAGCCATAATCCATATTTTGGAAAACGTAAATGATTTATGTGGTATGATTGCAATGACACGATCCCAGCATTTACGAGCTCTCTCGTTGTCAGAATTGCTGAACTCTTCCCACAACGCGAATTTGATCCAAAGAAACACATAGCGCCTCCATTGAAGCAGCTTATAGTGTTCTTCGGGGTGTGTAGATATACTTCTCTCGAACAAACCTCTCAATGTCTCCACGGACAGATTCCCCTCTAGTTTGATATAATCCCACCACGCAGAGTAGTCTTTGGGATTTCTGAAGAGCTCCAGCTCACGTTGGGCTTTCCGCTTCAAGGTCGCCGATCTGTCAGCCAGTGACCTATCACTAAATTTGGATTGAAACTCGAAGAGTAGCTTCGACATTCTTTGTTCACCTTCTGTCAGAGGAAGGAACTCGGAAACCATCGAGATAATTTGCTTCCCTCTCTCAACCTCACCCTGAGAGGCCTCCCAGGCTGCCCAGCGCAGAACAAGCTGATCGACGCTTTCATCGGTGTAAATTGATCCATCTTCAGCCATGCTATCTAGAGCGGATTCGAAAACTCCACGTATGCGTGCCGCCAGATGCTCGTTCAATGGAACCTGAAGACGCTCAAATTCGGCCCACTCTAACCAGGCTTCTCCCTCGCGGTATTCGGCCAAATACCTAGGGAATAATGCTCTGGCATTCTCGTACTCGTCGTACCTCCTCTCGAACCCAATATATGATTGCCAAACAGACCTTGCAGGCTTCCAGGAGACCCATCTTTCGAAAAGAGATCGAACTGAGCTGTAATTGCCGAGAGCTTCCTCAGTTTGAACGTACATATACCAAAGCTTATCTGTATAAGGTAGGGTAGTCACAGCACGATCTAGAAGATTTCTTGCATGATTGACATTTCGATGAAGAAGTTCCATCTCCACATAACGAACCCAGAAAGGAATATGTTGGACATTGACTTGAAGGGCTCTCTCCATAATAGACCTGGCTCTCTTGAAGTCATGATTATGATCTACCTCCCATTTGGCATACCGTATCCATTGGCCATAATTTAGACGATTTTTGTTCAAATGCTGCTCATACTCTCTGCGTTTCGCTTGTTGGAACAGATGTAGCTCCTCGATATCTTGAATGTTCTGCTTGGATGCTTTGAATGGAGTCAGTTTTAGCTGATGAGCCTCCAGAAGTATGTCAGCAGAGGAGACTTGGACTTCTGCGGCCTTTCCGGCCGGCTGTTGTGTTGTGTCAGTTGCTAGATTGGGCGGTAGCTGAAGCTCCATGGAATATTTGTGAATAGATGAATGTAATGTGATGAGATGGTAGGTTTAGATGGAGTGCAAAAAATATGGACTGTATAGTGCCTTCAGCCAGATTCGAACTGACGATCTCCTCATTACTAGTGAGGTGCCTTACCAACTTGGCCATAAAGGCTTACAATTGAAAAATTGGTGTAGAGGTCTGACAAGTAAAATGTGCTTTTGGTCTCAAAACGATCGTGGAAAACCTCGTTTAGGCTCATTTTATACTTCAAATTTTCAATAAGCGTTTTTTTACTATTTCGAGGTCAAAAAACGTGATTTGAAGATGTTATGCGTAAAACAAAATTATGCTTCGTGCTATCAATTCTATAGAACACGAATCCCACCCAAACGTACATTATGCTTTCATAGGATGTGCATCCTACATCTGCTGCTGATCTACAGAATATAAGCTATCTTTATATCATGCATTCGTAATAAATAAGCCCATAAATTATGCCCATACCTGAAGCTGCTCGTAATAATCCACCCGTACTTTGCTGCTATCGATGGCCTGAACCACCTCATGTCTAAGATCATCAACCATTATTGGATGTCCACAGGTCACGAAGCAGCAGCTACCCTGACTAGAGTCCACATTCTCCTGTACTATCTTCTCCACATCCGGTCTCCCTTCGTGAAATCGTATATGCCCCAAATCTTCCTTGAGCTTGCCAATTGGGTCCTTTATATGATTTGTCATGCTGTAGTGAGCATATGTATTTTCAAGTAGTGGCAGCTTGTCATCAGGATTCGTTAGCGTGGCCAGTGGCCTCGTGACGTAGATTTCCGTTTCGATTGGAAACTGTTTTAAAGAAGCAAGTTCCTCAAAAAACCACAAAATCGACTGGTACTCCCTCACCACCCAAATAAGCTTCACTCTTCTCTTGCTGAATTCTGGGTGTTTCTCAATCACCTCAACAGCCTCTGCTAAAATTCCTGGTATACCATTACCTCCAGCCAAGAACACGCTCGTATCATGCTTGTAAGCTGGGGTGGCTTCTCCGTAAGAGCCCTCGACAGCAACCCTGATCTTGGCTGACCTGCCGGGGTGTTCCTCAAGCCAGGTAGCCAAGTCACGAGTTACGCCAGTCTTCACCTTCACATAAAAGATGATGTTATCTCCCACAAGGGTATAAGTGAAAGGGTGAGACTGCCAGAAACACGAAGGCCGAAGAAAATGAACAAAACAATGGCCACCGCCCTCCACATTGAAATTCTTTGGAAGTGGGACACTCACCTTGAGCGTCTCGTCTTCGTAAAGCTTCACCTCTGCGATAGGGAATCCAAAATAAGCGAGTCTTTGGATCCTAATAATACGATCTGTTGCCCAAAGCCATGCGGAGAAGTAGTAGTACCAAAGGAAGTAAAGATCATCCACATGGAACCATGCACCAAGTGCAAACACAAAAGCCAAGACAATGTGAAGAAGGAGGAAAGTTTCGTACCACCTACGCCTCAACACCAAGAGGCCTTGAACCAAAATACCAATACCGCATGTGTATGCTGCGGCTCCCCAAATCAAGTATGGCTCAATCTTAAAGTTTGGCTTCTCCCTGATCACATAGGAGTAAGCAACGGCGTGGATGATCAATAGGACCATCATGATTCTGGATATCCACCGGTGCAACGTGACGAAAGCGGCGTATTCCCAGCGGGTGAGCCACTGAAGAATGTTATTGCGACCAGCGAACAATATGGAGAAGGGGAATAAATAGCTTGCTAGAATACCCGACCTCACGGCGTAGTATCGACCAAGTGCACGGTCCTTCCTCTTGAAGATCGGGTCATTCTCGACATATTTGATCTCAGCAAAAAATAAATAGGTTGTCAAGACTGTAAAAGCGACTAGCGTGATCGTCTCTAGTCTTGTTGGTGAAAGAAAATCAAGGACCTTGAGGAATCGCTTCTCGTTTGTCTTGTATCTACTGAACGTGGCAGGAAGAGTGATCTTCTTTCTGATCCAGTTGATTGCAGGAGAGTTGGCTTTTTGACTGAGTCTTGGAAACCAGATCTTCAGCCAGTTTGCAAGACCAATGATGACAAAGAAGACAGCCCAGAACCCCACCAAGTAAAACCCAAAAGTGATGGAACGATTGTAATTGCCCAAGAACTGGTCGTAGGATTCCTTGAACTTGAAGATCACCCGGTCTTCAAGCTTCACGGGATGATTGATGTTTTGAGGAGCCTTGGAGTCCCCAACCGATTCACCTTGTGCCTCCCTCTCGTATAGCAAGTGAGCCTCGTCAAACTGCTCTCGCGTGAGATTGACCCTCATTTGCGTATTACACTTCTCCACAAATGAGTCGGCAAACTCAGGGTATGCTGTGAAGTAACAGTGAGATATGGTTGCCAAAGCGTTTATGTTGGTACATATGCAAAAATCGTTCTCTGGCGTATACATCTCATCAAGATCACAAAAGTTAATAGAACGTACGTGTGTGCTGCAACTAGTGTACGCAATCTCTGTTGTGGAGTATCTGTGGAAAGGAGCACTCTGAAGAGCCTTTTCCGGGGTCATGGTAACAAAAAGAGCCGTGAGACATGTTAGTAGGAGCGCCATGGCGGTTCTTGTGTAGATCGGCAGCTTCCCCCTTGGATATAGAAAGAACGCCGCCGAGGCGAACAACACGAGGTTTACCCAAAACATGGGAGGTTGTGGATTAGGGAATGGGCAGGGGGAATGGAGCGGTATATATGAGAAAAAATTATCTTTTCCATCAACGAGTTCCGAGGGCTCGCTGTGAGACCAAACCGAGGGCGCCAAGTCCCCCCCCCCCCTACCGAGGGCTAACCGAGCTCGGTCAGATTATCTAGATAATCATGAGAACGAGCAGATAAAGTGAGGGGTTTCTCGTAATTGCTTTCGTCCAATAACGTTGATTGTTGAAAGTAGATCACATCTTCTTGACTTTTCGATATCTCTGGGTCTTAGCTATTTACATTTCGATGTGCTCTAGAGCCTTATTTCGTGAACGGAATGCAGGCTCGATAGGCGGAAAAACGGCGGAAGGGCCAGAAAAACGGAGAGAACCTCGTAATACTCCATCCAGTTCGTGAGGCTTCAGGGGCTTTGACCGATCTGTTGGGAAAACAGGAATAAAACTGGGCGACATCCGAGGGTAACTCTTTTTTTAAAAGGACGGATCTCGATTTACGGCTGCAAACTTGTGGATCGTCTCACCATGTGCTTAAGACCGCATCCATACACCGGATATACTGCCGTATGTAACAATTGTATGGAGGTCGAAAGTATATAGTGTATGGCTGGCCAGTGAGTGTCTGTATGGTTCGATCCAGGCAAGTGCATATTATGGGATGATCTGAGCAAGAAGCTACGAAATCGACTGACACGAATGGATCCCCGAAATGAAATTGCGTATCGATTAAATAGTAAGTGCCATTTAACATCTCTCAAATTAAATCATTCTCCTGGTTTTCGTTCCTTGCTGATAACTGTCAGCTCGTAGCTTGCGAGTTGATGTGACATAAAATATGGGAAACTTCGTAGCAATCGTGATATCACCTAGTTGATAAACGAGAGAAGTTGAGGCAGCATGGTCTTCGGATCAGCTTTCTTTTTGAGTGGAGAAATCTAGGTTGGTCTTGCTGAATACCTCAAAGAATGTTTCAAACACCTTATTACAGAGACACTTTCTCATAGACTAATCGACATGAAATGAAGAGCTGTTTGTTAGAAGTCCTGATAAGCAATCAATTCGATGTTCTGTTTACAATCAGAAGGAGCTTAGTTGATCAATAATTGCCTCAATCAGTGTGTTTGCAACCGTTCAGCACGATCGTTACTGGTGTCAAAATTATGTGAGACTATATTTTGTGATTTTCAGCATGCTTTGAGCTTTTCTTGAAACAAGCCCTCTTTTGCTCAAGGCCGGTATAAAGTTTAAATGTGAGAGCCATTCGCTTAGTCGATTGTCTACTCCGAAGCGGATTCGCAGGTTTGCTTTAGAACCTTAACCCCAGCAACAATGCTAGAAAAACTTCACCTGCAAAAATCTTCTCTCTTTCGACCCCCTTCTCAATCTGAGAAATTCTTCTTTTAGAAATTTTCGTGATGGCCTCGATTCGGAGATCTTAATAATTCGGCTCGCTTGCGCTTAGTCAGACATATAGGGCCGTCAAGTCTATAGATCAGCGCTTCTCGAAAGGCTGCCGCATATATAAAGCCGTTTTCGCACCCACCTAATCAGCAAGATATGTCGCTTCAATCATCTAACTTAAAAGAAGAATTCGTCCCATTGGACCAGATCAGAAGACCCATTCCTCCGGTGCTAGATCACCAAAAAATCGACGCCATGGTGTCTACTCTTCAGGGTAATCCAATGGCTTCAGCCACCTGCGGTATAGAAGATATCACTGCTGGAGAATTGCCCCCAATTGATGTCTTTTTAGTACGTGAGCAAGGCAAAAACTATTACTTTGCATTTGGAGGCTGTCACAGGTTTCAGGCGTACGATAAATTGAACAAGGACGGTGAGAAAGTGCCCATGGTGAAGGCCAGAATCTTGCCCGCCACTAGAAAAACGCTCAAGGTCTACTTGGGTGGGTCTGTGGATGAGATGTTCGACTAATATTACTATCTACTTTTTAGAATTCATGAGCGACGTTATGCTGTTTGTAGGGGTGTCTGCGAATTGATCAGCTCTCCGCTCTGGCGGCCTTGCTGCTGCTGGGGTACTGTGAAATAGAGTCTCTTTCTGATGCGCTTTTGCTGCCACTTGACAGGAATCAAGGGCAACTTGCCGTGCTTGTCCTCATAGAACAAGCTCCAGAACATCAGTATCACCGCTATCCAGTACACATTGTAGCCAATAACACTGCCATAGGTTGCGGAATTGGTCCAGCCAAAGATCGCCGTGAACAACATCCACTGCACTCCGTCCTCGGGCATTTCACCGTTACAGCAATTGACATGCCACACGCTGTTTTCGATGTCGTACGAGCCTGGACCGTGGCCTGTCTCGCTGACATCCATACCGCCGCACTTGTCGATGAACAGCTGGAGCTCAAACTGCCAGATGCCCTTCGAGAATAAGCCTGCAGCAACAAGATAAAGGAAGCACGTGGAGACTATCAAAAACCACTGGAGTGAAAGCGTGTTACCTGATCTGTACAACACGAAACCGACAATTGTACCAATGATCATGGCCAAGATAGCCGAGTTGACTATGGATGCCACAGTGGTGTTCTCGTTGATGCCGATACCGCCAACGAACACAATGGCCTCTAAGCCCTCACGCAAAGTCGTGACAAAAGGCAAGATGAACATTGCGTTACGCTCGGACCAAGAGGCCGTGTTCTTCACAGCATCCATCAACTGAGAGTTTCCGTTGATGATCGAGCCCAACTTGTGGTGCCATTTCTGTTGCATTCTATTGACACGAAGGATTTGAACACCCATGGCTGAAATAATCACCGAGGCCACCACGGAGAAGGTGGCTTCCCAGTAGTGCTCAGTACCAGACCACAAGTCAGCACCAATGGTGTAGAAGGCCACCAAAATAACGGCACCAACTACCAAGCATCCCAAAAAGCCACAAAGACCTCCGACCCAGATCTGCCATCTAAGGCTGCGGACGAGCTTTTCATTGAGCGCAAGCCGTTCGTTCAGTGAAGAGCAATTTTCACTTTCCTCTTCGGTGTGATTGTCTTGCAGTTCCTTGGAATCTTGCAGGAGACTCTTGTTGACAAACGCCAAAAGCACCGAGATGATGATCGCCAGCTCGATCGTCTCACGAAGCACGATAAAGAAGACTTGCACGGAGAAGTAGTCTTCTAGAACGACCGCCATAATGGATAATGAGGAAGGAGAATTGTTGGCGCTGGCACTGAATATATAGGTCTCGCAGCCGGCCGTTCAGATCTGCGGGCCGTAAGAACCGGGGCTCGGAGGACGGCACACAGGGTGTCTGTGCGCGCCTGTAGGGAGGATTTACCCTCGAATATCGGTCAGGACTACTGCAGGCAGGGACCCGTTGGGCTCGTTCCGCGTCATGGTCGCATCACCCACCCCCTAGTTATCTATTCTATCAGTAGGCTGTGAATACGCTGGAAGGGTAACTTTTAAAAAATGTCATGACTTTTGACCGTGTTTGACATTTATGTTTGCGGTGTGCTTGAAAACTCAAATTTTGCTCCTCATTCCGTCGGACATCCGCGTCCGTCTGAAGGCCTATATGCTGTTCACGACAATGGAGGCACTCGGACACCATTACATGACTCCATCTATTTGATCTAGCCCGTTTGGGACCTTCGGAGCACCGAGAGGTTCCAAAAAATTGAGCAAACACTTTTTATATCTCTGTAAAATGTTTGTTGGTCCTGAATGTCTGGATCATCAGGTGCTACACCTAGTCGTGTGGTATGCACGATGTCACCCAGGCACTGTGAAATGGAGGGGAAGTATCGACACCTCCTTTACATTGTGAATTTATTATCTTTTATTGACTACCAAGTCAATTCGTGATGCCAAACGTAACGTAAGTTCTAATGGCTCTTCTAGTTGAATGATTAATCACTGCTTAAGGCTCAGATCAATGCAAAAGCGTATTTTTTTTTTTCAGTTATTAGCAGCTATATTAGCTTCACATTAATACCTTGGCTTAACAGGCTTCGTACGAATGCCTGTGATTCCAGGTCTCGTCAGTCGGCTCACGTAAGTGTCTGGTTTTGGTTTCTTTTCCTGTGGCTCCAATTCGGGGCCTTCTGTCCGCTGTCTCTTGAACCGTTCTCTATCTATCTCATGGCTCTCCTCAAAGGCAGGCATTTTTTCGGGCGTCAATGGTTTGGGGTCAGCCTCAAAGTATTCATGGTCCAAGGCGTCCTGAGCGTTCCAGCGCTTTTCAGGATCCAATGTAAGAAACTTGTCGAGAAGCAGAACTCCAAGCTCACCCATCAATGGCACGAAGCGCTGCTCCAAAGACCGCTTGCACGTAAGTCCAATATTGAGGTCTTGCTTGTTAGGAAGTTGTGATGCAGAAGCCCAGTTCTCGCGGGATGGTGGGCCAACCATGTCGAATATAAGTTGCGCCTGATTGGAATCAGAGGACCCAACCAATATAGGTTTTTTGGTGAAAAGCTCCCCAAATACACACCCAACTCCCCACATGTCCACGGCGGTTCCATATTTGCGCTCTCCTAGGAGCAACTCGGGTGACCTATACCATCTGGTCACCACCAATGCTGTATATGCTCTCTCGCCTCCGCCTGGTCCCAATCCCTTGAGAGGGGTCTTGCCGTGATATATTCTGGCAAGCCCGAAATCTGCTATTTTAACCACCCCGTGCGGATCTATCAAAATGTTGGCTGCCTTGATGTCTCGATGGAGGTAGTGCTGCTGGTGAATATAGTCAACTCCCCGAAGAAGCTGTTGCATGATACATTTCACCATGGCCTCTGTAAGCTTAATCTGTGGATTTTCCAAGAGTCCAACCAAGTCCAAAGACATGTACGGCGAAATCGTGTAGAAACATCCTCGCTGACGCACGGCATCCTCTGGAGTACTGGCTTTGACCTCTTCATAGATCATTCCTGTGATTTTAAGAACATTTTTATGACTTAGACTCTTGAGAATGGTTATCTCTCTCATAGCTGTGATCGGAAAGCCTTCTTTAGCCGAATGATTAATCAATTGTTTCAATGCAACCAACTCTCTTGTTCTTTTATTCTTCGCTTTTTGCACCACACCAAAGGTACCCTGACCAATCTTTTTTATAATATCAAACTCGGCAATTTTGGACATGGTTTCGAACTTATTATACGGCTGCCGTGGCCGCTTCTGACGAACAATCCCCATGATGTCTCTATAACTGATTGTGTCGAGATGCGATGATAGTGTATTAAGTGCGCGCACTATACAAAAGTTAGTCGATTAATATACGTATGCTTTCCTCCTAAAATGAAGTGAATAGATGCTATTGATTAATTTTCGTTACTGTTTCGTTAGACCTCAGTGCTCTCCGGGTCCTGCGCAAGTCTCGCAAGCTTTTTTCTCTCCTTGGACAATTTTCTTGCAGCTCTCACATTAAAACCACCTTCGAGAAGCTTGGTAGTTTCCTCCAACTTCAAGCCCGCAACCTCTGGAAGTAAGAATAAGACAAAGATGAAAGAGACAAAACACAAAGCCGCGAAGAAGGCAAATGTTCCGGGTGGCGTGATTCTTTCAAGCATCGTCAAGAAAGTTGATGCAATCACCAAGGAGCCAGCCCAATTGGTAGCTGCAGCGTACATGCCTCCCACTGATCTCACATTAACATCCGAGAAAAGCTCAACACCGGTCCAGGCACTGTTACCGATACCAATGGCGTACGAAGCCACATAGAAGACCATACCCAAAATGATGACAATTCCCCAACCAGTGATACCGGTAGTTTCAACAACCACCTCATCGTTATCACCAAACTTGACTCCCAAGAAATGGAATGCAATCGCGCAAATCACAAGAGCAGCACACATACCAGGAATGGCAAAAAGAAGGATACGACGACGGCCGACAAAGTCAATGATACATAAAGCGATAAGTGTAAACACGAAGTTAGTGGCTGCAATGATGATAGACACGGCTGTGGCATTCTCGAAACCAATGGTTTTGAAAATTGTAGCACTGAAATACATCAAGGAGTTGAAACCAGTGAATTGCTGAATACCCTGTAAACCACACGCCAAAATAAGCGCACGGAAATTGGCTGGCTTCGAGTGAATGACTTTGATGGAGTTCCAGATCTGCGAGATTGGGCCACCTGGGACGGTTGAGTTGGAATGGATCATGTCATCCAAAAGAGCATCAATGTGAGCTTCGGATGAATCGCTGTGAGTCTTCTTCAAAACTTCTCTTGCTCTTTCGTAGTTTCCGTTGATGACGTAGTATCTAGGCGTGTCTGGCAAGAACAAAAAGAGAGCCAGCTGAATGACAGCTGGCGGCATGCACAAACCCACGGAAACTCTCCAACCACCGTTGACATCAGTTAATCCCCAGTTGATGAAGTATGCCACTAACTGGCCGCCTGTAATAAAAATACAGTTTGTAACGATCAAACGACCTCTATACTTGGAAGGTGCCAACTCACTCAACATAAGTGGTGCTATAAGTGATGCAATACCGACACCAAGACCCAAGACAAATCTACCGGAAATCATGGTCCAGACATGTTTGGCCACGAGCTGGATGATAGTGCCCACGACGAAGATAACATTAGAGCCCATGAGCACACGCTTTCTACCGATCAAGTTGGCGCCCACACCACCCAAGAGAGCGCCGATCAAAGCACCCAAGGAGGTAGCCGATGTGATAAGTTCCTTTTCCTGCGAGTTCAAGATCTTGTTTGACAAGTCGGTACCCACATTAACCAAAGCAGCTGAAATGTAACCTGTGTCGTAACCGAACATGAAACCTGAGATGGATGAGGCCAACGTCAAGATCATGACAAGCTTGGTGGGGTGTTCTCCCTCTGTGGAGTCACCATTTGCCCTTGCTCCTGTTGTGTTGGCTGATGCCATCAGCATCGAGGTGGAGTCCTCCTGAGAGGTGAACTTGATGACATTGGCGTCATCTTTGCGATGCGTCAGTTCTCGTAGTAAGTTTTCCAGAGAGTTCTCTGTGGAATGTGTGGCTGACCTGGCGTCCATGGCGGTAGAGTTGTTGGGAAAAAACGAGGAAAAAGGACTGCTTTTAAAGTGGAGAGGAGCCGTGCATGAATTCGGCGAGTACAGGCGCGACAAAATAGGAGAAAAAACACCGCTCGGCGAAATTTAAGCAACTTCTCGGCGAAAGCCCTAGAATGTGCAGGTTAACAAACGCCCAAACTCACGATCAAGAGCAAGGATGAATCAAAAATTGAAAGATTTCGAGGAGTTTGACTAGCTGATTTCCAAGCAGTGTAATCATCAACCTCATAGTATACTTTCATGGGCACACAGAAAGCATGTGATGGGAAGATATAGTGTAGGTTGGATTGTCGAAAACGGATGGCTGCGAAAGACAAGAATCTGGGACATTGTCCTGTTCGGCGAGATTTTGCGGGCTTTCTGAAAGTGGCCAAGACGAACATGATTTTTTTGAAGTTCTCAAAAGATTCGTTGCCAGATCCGCTGGATGACATTCTTCAAAGAGCTTTATACTTCACATTCAAGATCAGATGTCAAAGTTACACAGGGTCTAGGTGGCTGAGATTAGATCTCGCCGGAGTTGAGGTGGTGATGCAGTTACCGTTATGCAATATGGCCGCAAAACGATTTGAGACTCTGCTCTAGCGTTTTTATTACTTTATCACAATATACCGTTGATGCATCTAAGGTTTCAGTGAATTATACTTTAAGGACTCTCTAGTTCAGAAGATTATCCCATGCACTGATCAGCATGTTAAATCGATGGCTTAGATTACAACGGTTTTACTGCTTAGCTTCAAGTTGTGCCTCGAAAAATTTTAAGTACTCCAGAATAACTTGAGCACAACCACATGATGCAAAAACAGGTCCACCATTTCGGCAGATACTAATTACTTCTGACAGATAAACATTCCAGTGAAACAAGCATTCTCATCATGTGGTGCCCCCGTTGTGGAACGTCACTGAGTAAAGGTGCTCCTGGGTGCAATCATTTTAAGATATGCCCGCCTCGCTACCCATAAAGCCCGGGCCAATTGGCAAAATGTAATTCTGCTCGATCGAGTCCCACGGGACCCTCATATCCTACAATTTCATTTCAATGTGTGTCTAGTCTACTTTTTACATGCTCAAGGACTTGCTTAAAGAGACACCCTCAGCCAGGGCGGATCGTCAGCATTAGAAGTCGCTTTTGATTTAGCGCCTCTTAGGTGGGTTGAAAGTGATCTTTCTGTTCTTGATTGGCTGCCACTTGAACTTCTTAACCCAGACAGACAACAAGTAGAGAGAAGAGGTGATGATGAGTGCTTTGAGACCCCATCTCTTTCTGTCGTCATGCTCAGGCTCAGAAGCCCAGTTCAAGAAATGAGAAACATCCTTGGCCATCTGCGAGGTGGTGGCAGGAGTGCCGTCCTCGTACTCAACCAAGTCGTCGAACAACACTCTACCCATGGCAATAGCACCACCAGGGAAGTATGGGTTGTAGTTAGATCCTGGAGGCAACTGGACACCAGCTGGTGGCTCCTCTGGGTAACCAGTCAAAAGGGAGAAGATGTAGTCGGCACCACCGTGTCTAGCCTTGACGATCAAGGACAAGTCGGGAGGCAAAGCACCCTGGTTGGCGGCTCTGGCGGCTTGCTCATTCTCGTATGGGCCCTGAAGGTAGTCGGCCAACTTACCCATTCTCTTTCTGGGCTTACCCTCATCATCGGGCTCGTCGTCGTATTCGAGCTCCTCGGCCATGGCCTTGGCCTCAGAGGTGGAGTGGGAGACACCAACCAAGTTTCTCCAGGCAATTCTGTCCATAGAGTGGCAGGCAGCGCAAACCTCTCTGTAGACTTGGAAACCTCTTCTGATGGAGGCGTGGTCGAATGTGGAGAACATACCGTTCGAGGGCCAGTCGAAGGCAGGAGCATGGAGACCATGCTCAGCAGCGGTCATGGCAGAGGCGGTCATGGAGTCCTGGTAAAGGATGTACGAGGCTCCAAGACCGGCACCAGCCACAGTCAGCATCACAACCTTGTTGGATGCAACTCTTGATGCCGTTCTGAACATGCTGGATGAATATGTGCAAAAATTAATTGGGTTGTTGAAGGCTTTATGGAGTGTGTTCTTGCTCTAGATCAATAGATGTTCTGAGCTTGGGATGGACCACACGGAAGCTGGGTTCTAGACTTGTAAAAAGCGCAGGGTTGCGATATAACGAGTCCACACAAAACCGAAAGAAGGTGAATTGGGGATTGAAGACCGTGCGTTTGGTGGTATCGGTGGGTTATTTTTTTTTTTTTCAACTATTGAGCACTGAGGGAATAGTGTAAAAGAAAGTCCCGCGATTGGCCAGAGCAATTTGATATATGCACGACACACCTAACTGGCTGTGCGAGCTAATCCTAGGCCTCCCAGGCCACACGTATTATAGGGTGTATATTGTATAGAAGGTACGAGGTCAAAGGGGAATTGTGTCAAAGCTAGAGGTGAAATATGGTCTTCTAGAGGGATTTTCTAAATGGTCACGTGGTTTCCAGCTGCCATTGGAAGCCCCAAAATCCGTTCCTCTTAGCCTTTTCTCACGTTGGATACAATTTCATTTAATCTCTCAGACGCTATATTTTCTGTAGAATTGGTGGTGTTCCTCTGACACTTCTGTGCGTCGCGTGGTTGCAAAATGAGTTCTTCGCCAATCAGGACAAGCTGATTAGTGTAGCAGGGTGAACCGAGGATGCCGCCCGAAAAATCTTCCTAGTTGAACGGATCTACGATTTGGTTTAAGTTTTGAAGGTAAATTTTTATCTTTTCGTGATTCACGGCATTGTAGTCGCTGTGCTTGTGATCGGCCTGTTCAGATCCGCACCCAATGAGCACCATGAAATGGCCTGAGGGTTGCATTATAGGCTAAAGGAGGCTTTAATGGTTTTGGTTGTTTGGTAGCATTTAATTCTTCATCATATATGTTTTTTGTGTTTCTAATAGAAATCTAGTAGCCATTCCCATAGTTCCAGATGCATGTCTCACCATGAACTACCATTGGCTACACTCCATCCACGGTACCTCACTTGTACACCTACGTCACCAATTGACCCGTAGACTTAACTCTAAGATCCATTATTCGAGTTTGCCTCACGAATTGAAACACAAAAAGAGAGACTACGCTTCTCTAAGTCCATCCTAATTTATTAACGGCCGCATTGGCAAAAGTCTATACATTAAGCCTTGATCTTGGCCAAGGCCTGCTCAATGTCGGCCAACAAGTCATCAGTCTCCTCGATACCAACGGAAACTCTAATCAAATCGTCAAAGACACCAGCCTTCTCTCTCTCGGCCTGAGGAATACCACCGTGGGTCATGATAGCAGGAACCTCAATCAAGGACTCAATACCACCGAGAGACTCAGCCAAAGTGAAGAGCTTGGTGGAAGAGGTGAAGACAGAGGCAGCCTTGGCACCGCCGGCGATTCTGAAAGAGATCATACCGCCTCCAAGACCATCACGGTGCTGCTGGAGAACAACAGAGTGTCTAGCGTGAGACTTGAGACCAGGGTAGTTGACGGCAATGACGGACTCGTGCTGAGACAAGTACTCGGCAATCTTCTGGGCGGTGAAAGCAGCCTGTCTGACTCTCAAGTGCAAGGTCTTGAGACCTCTGTGGGCCAACCAGGAGTCAAATGGAGAAGGCACAGAGCCAATGGCGTTCTGCAAGAAACGGTACTTTTCGTGCAACTCGTCGTTGTTGGTGGCCAAGACACCGCCGACCACGTCGGAGTGACCGTTGATGTACTTGGTGATGGAGTGAACAACAACGTCAGCACCGTGCACCAAGGGGTTGGAGATGTATGGGGACAAGAAGGTGTTGTCGACAACCAAGATGGTGTTCTTGTTGTACTTCTTGTTGTGCTCCTTGACAATGGCGGCGACAGCAGAGATGTCGGTCACAGACAAGGTAGGGTTGGATGGAGTCTCGAGCCACACAAGCTGGGTGTCCTCACGGAGAGAGGCCTCCAAGTCCTTCTGCAAGTCGTGAACGAACTCAATGTTAATACCGTGGGTGTTGGCGACCTTGGTGAAGTAACGGTGAGTACCACCATAGACATCACCACCAGAAACAACGTGGGAGCCAATAGGCAAGGACTGGAGGATCAAGGAGGTAGTGGCAGATCCAGAAGCAATGGCAACGGCGTGCTTGGCCTTCTCCAAGGAAGCAATGGCGGCCTCGAAGTTGTCTCTGTTTGGGTTACCAGATCTGGAGTAGTCGTAGATACCAATAGGCTTAGAAGGCTCCAGCTGAGCGAAAGTGGTACTGAGGGAGATGGGCTCGATGACAGCTCCCGTGTTTGGGTCGATAGGGGCACCAGCGTGGATAGCTCTGGTGCCGAAGCCGTAGTTAGTGGTGGAGTCGACGGTCATTGTGTGGTATGTGATGAAGTAGTAAGTAGTTGAATTTGTCAGAATAAGTAGCGCCACGGTTTTTTCCGCCGCAAGTTTCTTTTTGCCTTGTGGTACTGCAGGCAAGCTCGATGCCCAGAACGAGCCACAGTAAAGGCAGGCCGGAGCGGAGGTGGTCAGGGCCTCTAAATTGGGCAGTAAGATCGAAAACGGCGATCGAAAGGGGTTTAGTGGGCTGGAAAGTGTTGAACTTCGCAATAGGAAGCCATTTCGTCGCTTTGATGCTGGTCATGTGACTTATCAGATGATGGCATCTCTCCCCGGTTGCCGCTTTCGAGGACTGTTGGCTCTATCAAGCAAAGAATCGATATACTTAAACAGACTCCATTTTCAGCTGCCTCTTTAAAGCAAAAAAATTTGATTGCAAAAGCTTTCAAAGCACATGAGAACCCTTACACGTATGATCTAACGCAAAGCCGCGCGCTCGGAGTTTTGCAACGGTTCCGAGTCTGGCATCAAGGAGAAACTTTGGACCCTGTATTTTGATGTTGAGGCCCACAAAATACAACCAGGCATAATGCCAATTTCTTCTCACATGGTTTCAATCTCCTGACTAAGGCGCAAGATAAAGCAACATCCCGTTCGATACTTTAGGCTTTGTGGCAATTCCACGAATCAATACAACACACATACACTTCCATGCCAATGGCCCCGCAAGCCAATCCACCAACCCCCTGGATCACCGACATTGTCTGGATTGCCCAGACCGCCGAGCTCTGAAGAAGTCGGCCACCACATTCCTCGTTTCATATCCCTATTTGCATGGGTCTCGCGTCCTGCTACCAAGACCAGGTCGTCTAATCTGTCTGTGCAGTTAATGTCAGTTCCGTGCGTTGAAGCAACTGCCTTAGGGTCATCAGGTGTCACAGAGTCAAAAGTCCTCGTCACTAGAGTTGAGTACAGGCTGCGTTGCCAGTGCACTGGCCCATGCGAAGCGGAAGACCGATTCACTTACACGTGCTGGGTACGGACGGTCAAGCCCAGTGTTTGCCAAGGAAGGTAGGCTATGGCAGGCGGAGCACAAAGCCAGATTGGAGTCTGGGGCCGTGGCAGTAAGTGGCCATCAACTCACCATTCTCTCGATACGAAAGAAGGCTCAGGCCGGAAACGTCGATTTCTCCGTCGTGAGAAATAGCCGCCCTGTGATGAGAGGATGAGTTCAAGAGGCAAGGTGTCTGAGGCCGCCGATGAGCGTTGGGAATTGAGCTGACACGAGAGTGGCTTGGGAAAAAAGAAAGCGCAGTTGATGATCATCGAAGGCGAGGGATTAAGGTTGTGGGTGAATGACGGAGGCTGTTTCCGATACCAGGGGGGGATTTTGGTTGGGAAGTACCTTGATGGTGCGTCAGCAAAGCACAAAATTGAAGTAAATTTGCTGAATTTGTGGAAGCTTCAGAGAACCCGGGTTGCAAAGATGGAGGCGTACCATGCAAGGAGGGCCTCCGTGCAACTTCACAATTAGTTTGGGAGAGCCAGTCGATCAACAATCTTGCATTAGATAAGATAGCAAGATTGCAAGAATCTTGATCGATTAGCGTTCAGCACAGGCTCCTTTCAGTCGCTCGTACAAAACCCACGCACTACCGCACGATTACCGGGCTGATAACAACGAGGCGCAGCGTAGTTTCAGCAAGCTAGGTGACAGAAAAAAACGAAGTGACAGGTGCCAGAAGGCCTGCGAGACGCTGAACGCGCTGCGCCAGTGCGGCCGATGAAAAAAAATGTCATTCTGGGCACAAAGGCAAGAAAAAGTTTTACGACACCGCTGCCCTTGGCGCTGTCCATGACAAGCCCTCAGCTCTCGAGACCTCAACCACGGTCAACCAGCCTTTTTCCATAAAATTCGCCCAATATTTGCCCATATTAGCTCGCCATTTCTTCCGTCCGTGCCAAGGGAGGCTGTGCGAACGGCTTGCTGCCGGGCTGCCTAACTGCCTGCCTTCATCCTGCCCACCTGCTTTTTGCTCGCCTGCCTGGCGCCAGTGTGGCTCTGCGGTAGTTCTGCGCCTTATCAGCCTATATCTTATCCACGCTCGCCTTGGAATCACCAACCCCCATGTCTCTCCAAGTGCCTCAAGCTCACGACGACGAGCGATCGCTCACGTCGGTCCACTCGGACGAGCCTCTCCAAAACAGGCAGTTTCTGCTTTCGGTGGGAGACCTTTCAAAACTCCATGATCCTAAGCTGTTGATCCATTTGCGCAGCTTGGGCGGCTCTCTGGCCCTAGCAGCACTACTTCACACGGATCCCAGTCGTGGTCTTGATGCCTCAGATCCGACTTCTGCCAGACAAAATTTGTACGGTACTAATGTGCTTCCGACGCGTGCCGCCAAGGGCTTTTTCCAGCTCTGTTTCGAGGCCATGAAGGATAAGGTTTTGATCGTCTTGACCGTCGCTGCCATCGTCTCCTTGGCTTTGGGCCTCTACGAGACGTTCGGTCATGAAACAATGTACGACGACGAGGGCATGCCATTGCCCAAGGTCGACTGGGTTGAGGGTGTGGCCATCATTGTCGCCGTGGTGATTGTGGTGGTTGTAGGCGCAGCAAACGACTACTCCAAAGAGCGCCAGTTCGCCCGACTCAACGCAAAGAAAGAGGACCGCGATGTTGTGGTTGTACGTGATGGTGTCCAGCGCATGGTTTCCATTTATGATCTTCTCGTGGGTGATCTTATCAGCTTGGCTACCGGAGACGTTGTCCCCGCTGATTCCTTACTTGTTACGGGCGAGCTCGAATGTGACGAGCTGGCTCTCACAGGTGAACTGGAAACCGTCATTAAGAAGCCCGCTGATGAATCTCTTGAATACTTTCAATCGGTTCTGGCTGAATTCCCAGGTGAGGATATTGGCTCCACCGCAGTGAAGTTCAAAGATCCTTTCTTGATTTCCGGAAGCAAGATTCTCTCCGGCGTTGGCTACTCTATGGTCACCGCTGTGGGCAAGCACTCCATCCATGGCCGGACCATGGGCTCGCTCAACCAGGAGAACGGCGCCACGCCTTTGCAAGAGCGTTTGGACAACTTAGCTGAGGGAATCTCCAAGTACGGTCTTTTGGCTGCTTTGGTCCTTTTCATTGTTTTATTTATTCGCTTTTGCGTCAACATTTCCGGTAACGGTCGTTTCAGTGACATCTCCCCTACTGAAAAGGGTAAGAAGTTTTTAGATATTCTCATCGTCGCCATCACCATTGTGGTGGTGGCGGTTCCTGAGGGCTTGCCTTTAGCAGTTACCCTTGCTTTGGCTTTTGCAACTACCAGAATGGCCCAGAACGGTAATCTCGTTCGTGTTTTGCGCTCGTGTGAAACTATGGGTGGAGCCACCACAGTTTGTTCCGACAAGACAGGTACTTTGACGGAAAACAAAATGAGAATTGTTACAGGTTACATTGACGAGGAGCATCGTTTCGACGACACTCATAATGCTGAGATGACCGCCATCGAGAGGTCGTCCGAAATGTTTGGAAAAGTTCCTCAACAAATTAAGGACGTCATTCTTCCAAATATCATCAGCAATTCTACTGCATTCGACAATCCTGACTACGACGAGGCTAGGGCTCTCAACGCTCGCATCAAGCCAAAGAAGCAGAACTTGATTGCACACCTCCTCTCCAACCAAAACGAGAGAAGACAAAGAGAGATCCAGCAAATGGGACTAGTTTCGGAGCCATATTTGGGTAACAAGACGGAGTCTGCTTTGTTGATCATGGCTAGGGAGAAATTGGACCAATTTACCAGTGTCCCACTCGACCAGCAGCGTGATATGAACTCGAAGGATATCGTGGATGTCATTCCATTCGAGAGTTCGAGGAAATGGTCGGGTATTGTTATGAAGACTCAGACCGGATACCGCCTCTACGCTAAAGGTGCAGCCGAAATTGTTTTCAAGAACTGTTCCCACCATTTGGATGCCGATGGCGTTTCAGAGGCAATGAGCAGAATCGACAGAGACAATGTCCTCAACACTATCGACGGTTACGCGAACGATGCCTTGCGTGCCATTATCCTTGCTCACAAAGACTTTGTTGGCGTGAAGAGCTGGCCGCCTGTCGGGATGGAGGATCCCGAGCGTCAGAACCAGGCTAACCCCGAGATGCTTTTGGATATCAATGCTTCCCCACACGAGTGTACCGATGCACTCACTATGGATATCTTGGTTGGTATTCAGGATCCACTTAAGGAGGGTGTTGGCGAGGCTGTCAAGCAGTGCAAGATCGCCGGTGTGAATGTCAAGATGGTCACCGGCGACAATTTGAACACAGCCAAGGCTATCTCCAGAGCTTGCAACATTCTCACCCCTGCTGATTCATCCAACCCTTACGCCTATATGGAGGGTCCAGCTTTCAGAGCTTTGTCGGAACAGGAAAGAACCAGAATTGCTCCACGCTTGCGTGTTTTGGCCAGATCTCAGCCGGAAGATAAAAGAATCCTCGTTGACACTTTGCGCAAGGCTGGTGAGGTTGTTGCTGTTACTGGTGATGGTACCAATGATGCTCCAGCTTTGAAATTGGCTGATATCGGTTTCTCCATGGGTATCAGTGGTACCGAAGTTGCTAGAGAGGCTTCCGATATTATTTTGATGACAGATGACTTCACTGATATTGTGCAAGCTATCAAATGGGGCCGTACTGTTGCTGAGTCTATCAAGAAGTTCATTCAGTTTCAGTTGACAGTCAATATCACTGCTTGTGTTTTGACGTTTGTCTCGGCTGTTGCATCTTCAAATGGTGATTCCGTTTTGACGGCGGTGCAGTTGTTGTGGGTGAACTTGATCATGGACACTTTGGCCGCATTAGCTTTAGCGACTGACAAACCTGACGATGCCTTACTCAACAGAAAGCCTGCGGGTAGAAGAATGCCATTGATTAGTGTCTCTATGTGGAAAATGATCATTGGGCAATCGATCAACCAGTTGGTCATTACTTTTATCTTACATTTTGCTGGCCGCCAAATATTCTTCGGCTCTCGGGATCTCACCAACCATGAGAATAAGCAGTTGGATGCCATGACATTCAACACTTTCGTTTGGTTACAGTTCTGGAAGTTGTTTGTCACCAGAAAATTAGATGAGTGTGATGACGTGAGAAATATCAGAGACAGAATCACGTTGGAGAATTTGAACTTTTTCCAGCACCTCTTCAGAAACTGGTACTTTGTTGTCATTGCACTTTTGATCGGAGGCTGTCAAGTTCTTATCATGTTTGTTGGTGGTGCAGCATTTAGCACCACTCACCAGACGCCTGCCATGTGGGCCACTGCAATATTGTGTGGTGTGCTCTCTATCCCAGTTGGTGCTGTTATTCGTATCATTCCAAATTACTGGATAGTCAAGATTTTCCCTACTCGCTTCGCCAAACAATTCTTTTACTACGCTGGATTTGAATGGATGAGCAAGAAGAATAGAAAGAAGCACGCTGAAAGAGATTTGGAAAAGGCTGAGGAGGATTCGAATGAAGACACCGAACTCGGTGGCGAAGAGATAAAACAGATTTCTGAAGAGCCTGTGCCACAAGCAGGAGCTATCCAAGAAGGAACATCTTATCCAAAAGCCACTGATCTGACGACCCTAGACCCTAAGGCTGCTTCAGTTGAAAAGACCGAAACTACGATACCAAAGTAATCATTTCTGAAGTTACTGCCACTCCTTTACTTCATTAACGACTTTATTTGCATGCTCGAGCATATCGAGCTCATGACCTTCTGTATTATAGCATTTATACACGATAATTTACGTTCACTTTCTCTGAGTTTCCGAATCAAGCTTTGCGATGAATCTGCTGTAAGCTGGCCCAAATGCAGAGAATTGGTGGAAGACGGTAGAGAGCTTTCGAAGTTCCTCAATACTTGTCAAGGTTGCATCTAGCTCTTTCTGTGACTTTGACCGTAGCTGGTTCTTGAGAGACTCAAACAATAAAGTCAACAGGGTTTGGAACTGATCAATAGAAACCAGGGAAGGATCGTGGCCAAGCATGTCTCGAGCACTTTGAAGTACTTTCAATACCTGCTGTATGTTTCTTTTCACCTGTTTTAGTAGAATCAAAGACTCCACAGCCACCAGTTGTTCGCCAGAATCCTTTTTTAGCTTTTCATTGGCCTCTGTAAGCTCTTCTTGTAGTGTGTCGACAGTATTATGTAAGGCAGACACGTAATATTGTAGCCTAGTGTTGTCGTTTGAGAATTCAGTTGACAGAGTCTCAATTGCTGGCGCCAAGTTCAGAGACAAGCTCTTGAGGTTATCGAACTTCAAAGCCAAGTCACGGGAGATCTCGTTCGTTTGATAGTCTAGGTGAGTTATGACGTCCAGCAGCGTTGATGAAAGTCGAGCTAACAGCTGCTTGGAAAACTTGTTGTCTGAACCAGTAATTGAGTGGAAAAGAGCATCCACATACGACGTTGGATTAAACTTGTCGTCGAAGAACATAGTAAGCGGGTCATTCCGGGCATCATTAGCCTCACTTGATGCACTTTCAGATGCCATGGTCGTAAAGATTGTGTTGTAGATCAGTATAGTGCGAACACTACAGCGAAGCTATCTGTCTAATTTCTGCCAAATGCCGGGGAAACAATGTTGGTTTTAATAGAGGAATAAGACTCCAGTTACAGTACAATTCTAGCTTTCCTTTACAGAACAAATTGATATTTTGATATTTATGAGTTCACAATATGTTTCAGCATTCTTCGGTTTGGACAATTTTGCAACAATTTGACAGATGCGCACACGAGTTTCGGATTTCACTGAATATGATTTACTGAAGATGGTGTTGAATCAAGACGTTGCAATGACATTTCGTTCGAGACTAGGCCTTACGTTTTCAAATTCTGCAAATGCTTTCTGAATGAACATATCACTGTTACCCGCGACTTTTCAGATCTTATCTTACCAATGCAGCTCCTTACGATACAGAAGGAAGTTTTAGACATACTCAAGGAGGTTGAACTGGGTGAATCTCAGGAGGATCAGTTCTGGATAGCAGTGCGGGACTCATCAGACGAAGACCATCTGACTTACGGAGATGTTCGAGTTCTACAAGGATCAAAGGGGGCGCTTTTAGAATGTGACAACTTCACAGTGACAAAGAATGGTTCCAATTCGATCTTTATAGATCCGCCGGGCAGAGGTTGCACTTTGCCCTCACTAAGCATTGACATCCGCCTGGTGCTGGCAGTGGCTCTAACCAAGTCCACACGAAACCTCATAGTTGGCACAGAACAGGGGCATCTAAAAAGGTTTGATACTGAGAGCAAGAAAGAGACGAATGAAGTGAAGGATGCACATTTCTCGGAAGTTAAGCTTTTGCGGACATTTCCATCCGATAAAGTGCTTCTTTCAGTGGGTGGCGACTTCCAGATCAAGCTTTGGGATATCGATCTTGCTGAGGATAAACCGGCAAGAACGTTTCGCCACCAGCAAAAGGCGATCACTGATGTCGCTCTCATAGGTTCCGGCAGGAACTTTGTCCTGACCTCTGAAGATGGTTCTACTGTCTTGTGGGAGTGTGGCTCTGGTCAGGTTGTGTCTACATTTTTAAGAATCGACGATCACAACGACCCTGCACTCTGTGTTGCTGTAAGTGTCACTAAAGACCCCATCAACAGCTCCGATGTTGTCTCTGGTGAACGTCTATACGAGTGTGACGATAAGGTTATGTATGTGGGCTATCAATCGGGTATCATTCAAGAATTCCGCATAGCTAGTCATAGCCAGTCCAGTGCCAAGTTCAAAGCAGATCATGCAGTGACAGCGTTGGTATCCCCGATGAATCGACACTAGTGGCTGGGTATAGCGACGGAACAATTGTGGTGTGGGATAGAGATGCACAGACTCCTATGCACAAGGAGGTTTTCAACCCCTCCTTCCTGATAAGTAACATGACGATCAGAAGCACCAACACCCTAGTTTTCGACAATGGCCCTGAACTGCTACTCACAATGGACTTGGAGAGCTACAAAGTGGGGCAGCTTGTCGGGCTCACTGAGGCCTTCAACGTGAAACTGATAGCTGCAGTGGATAAAACCGTTGTGGTCGCTACAGGCGATGAAATCGCTCACTTTTGAATTCTACAGGAGGTAATAGAAGTTATCAAAACTTTATTCATATAGACTGAGTAGAACACCAGGCTCGCTTACAACTTGGACTTTGGTCTTGGGTCAATCTGCTTGAAGACGGACTCAATGGCGGTAGCCTTCATCATGTTACCCTTGACCTTCAACTTACCGTTCATGAAGAGCTTCTGGCCGTTAGCCTTACCGTTGGCCAACTTGACGAAGTCAGCGTCCTTCAACAACAACTGGACGTCAGACTTTGGAGCAGAGTCAGCCTTGGAAATGGTACCCTCCTTCTTGAGGTCCAAAACCCAGGACTGGTCCTTGCCCTCCTTGTTCTTCAAGGTGATGACAATGACGGCCTTGACACCGCCAATAGCCTTCTTCTTGAGCTCAGGGTCCTGCAAACCGTCGTACAATTCCTTAAGGAATGGGGAAGAGTTAAATCCATCAGCAGTAACGTCAGACATGATGCAATAAATATAAAATGTATTGGTTGTAGAAAAAGTAAGATTGAGGTCGCGGGGGTGGCCCACTATATATGCAATTTGTCCACCGTCTTTCACATGGTCCGGTGCCTCGGTTGCTATGTGCACTTTTCAAATGGGCTTCTCCACAAAAACCGTCACCGCGCCAGCACACCACAGCTCGTGCTCTAACTGGTAAATCTCTTTGCGCTATTTCCGGCCGTTGGCTTCACATGTCCGAAAATGACATTTACGGTGCTTTACAATTTTGTAGTGAGATAGAGGCCTTTTTTTTTTTGCATTACGCTGGATCTTGTGCTAGCACTGATTGGCGAGAGCGCACATGACAGACAGCTATAGGGAGATAGGAATTAAGCGTGGGGAGATCAGCCAATTATCTCTTACTAATTTTTCACATTGTTTGTGCTTCGGCAATCCTAAATTTCACCTGTCGCTTACGCCCAATATGATATTTTTTTTCATTGCCTTAAAATCACACCGTTACAGCCTCACGCCCTCGCGCCTGGCGACCTCGGTGAAAGATAGCTTCTCCACTTTTTATCATTTTCACGCACTCGCACTTGGCCCTACGGGGCTCCTGGTGCACGGATGTGCCTGTAGTAGAGCCGCTGAGCTGATGAAGCTCCCCCTTGCTCCAAAATTGAAATCGAGCCTTTGCGGGAACAACATATTTGTGACCGGCTTGAAAAAGGCGATCTTTTGATCCCATTTTCAGTGGTAAGTATAAACCCGTACACCAACCACCGTCGCCTCACCCTGCACTACTCATCGCTAAATGCTCTGTGGACAGGAGTAGCACTACCCATGTCCTTCAAGTCCGCCAGTTCTAGGGCCAAGGCCAAGGCCACGGTAAATAAACTTTTTGACGATGTTCTCCCTGGCGCCAGCATTGTGCCTCTGAAAAAAGTCCATACCTCGACTGCAAGCGATTTCGCCCTGGAGGCTAGAAAGAGCCGTCTCTCTAAAGGTGAGGTGAGAAAGCAGAACAAGGCAGAGAGGGCCAAGCAGAATAAGGCGATCAACAAAAGACTAGAAAAGGACAAAAAGTTCCACAAACTTGTGAAATACAATGTCATTAAGGGACACAAGGGCGCAGCCGCTGGTATGACGCCGGAGGAAGAGAAATACTTGAAGAAGCTCGTTAAGAAAAACTCCAGTGCCTTGAAACGTTCCGCCGATATCAATGACCCTGATGTAGAGGATGAGATCATGTCCCTCCAACGAGAGATCATAGCTATGCGTGACGAAAAACACGACAGATCCAGGGACCGCAAGCTCGACGCTAAATTACTGGCTTTCAATGACAAAATCAAGTCTGGAACGCTTTCTTACCCTGGCCTCACCCCTGGTTTGGCGCCAGTGGGTTTGGAGGATGACTCAGACGAGTCTGATGACGAATAATGGTTATATTTGGTTTATCTGGTCTATAATAGAATACTTTTTGCATGGTTAGCTAACGACCCAATTCGTAAAGCACCTGGCGAACGTCGCATGCTTTCTTTCTTACACTTCTCTTTTTGTCGTCCAAGCAAACCCGAAGCCTGTCTCTGGTTGATGCTTGGTATTTCACGACTTGTGGAAGCTCCACGCTATTGAAGATACCCTCGAGACACTCAAGCGCGAGGTATCTGATCTGCTCGTCATTCACTAGCTTCTTGCCAGAAACGATCTTAGTAGTGCTCAAATCAACGAGCTTGGTGACAAGACTATCAATGTTCTCGGAAATAAGGTCTGGTGTCTCTGTAATGATGACATTAAATGTGTCCAACGAGGCTTTCAAGACAACTGCGCTTTCGATGCTCAACCCGTTGAGCACTAACGGGAACACCTCTCTCAAGTGTGGCTTCAAAACCTTGGATGATATATTGCTGATGATGATGGCCAAAGTGCCCAACAAGACCTCCTTCTTTTCATCATTTTGTGTAACCTGGAACTTCTCAAGCACTCTTCCCAAGATGTTTTCAAATATTTGTTGTTTATAGAGAAGCTTCACATTTAAGTTAGAAACTCCAGACACAATCTTCAGTTTACTATTCTCAGGGTTCATGAAGACATCCAAGTCAGCCATTAGAATACTGAAGCATCTTGATGTTTGTTTGCTGTGAGCTGTGTCATCTGAGCGAAAAACCTCGACCAACAACTCATTGAGATATTTCGAGCCAACTTGGTCACCTCTCATGATCAATCCCTTGAGAATCCAGGTGGCAATCTCCAATGAATTTTCATTGCCCTGAAAGTTGGCGAACAGCCTTTGAAGAATGCTGCCGTTTGTTTCATCATTCTGTGGAGTAAATTTGTTGACAAGGATTGCAATCAATTGTAAGTATCCCATTCTCACGAACTCATCAGCTGCCGACGAGGTGTTATGCATGCATTGCTCAATCTTTCCATGAACATCAGAAGGAAGCTGACAGGTCTTGTCAACTTTTGCAAGGAAATGCTTAAGGATGGTAACCTTTGGCGATGGTTCAGTGAAAACATTCAAAAGACCGCCTCCAACTTCTTTTTCTCCGCTGAACTTTTTCATTGTCTCATCAAGGACGTCTTGTTGCTTTGACTTCTCAGTGTAACGTGTCACAAGACCGAGGAGTTGACCACTCAATTCGAGAATGGCAGCATCATCACTTGACTTCGCTATGATGAGGTCCAAGAATCTCGGATTGAAAGTCTTATTCCATGTGTTTGCCATAAAAGGCTTAACCGATTGCGTCTGATTGAAAGAGCTAATGAGACAATCAATTATGCTGTCCAACTGCTCTTTGTCGCAATTATCAAACTCAATCTTATTAAGAAGTCTGATTGATAAGACTTCGAGAATTCTGTAGTTGACGCAGAGCTTTCTGATAATTGTCAAAATGTTCGCGTCCGAGATGTTGTCCAAAAGCGTTGGTAAAACTATCTCAATAACACAACCAACGTTGGCGTTGATCTTCTCATCTGAGCCCTCAGTCATGAGATGCACTATGCCGCTGACAATTTCTGTAAGGAAGATATCTTTCTCCCATCCGCTGTTCCCAGACTTCACAAAATCAATCAAGTTATCGTTGAGCCAACCAAGAATGAGCTGCACCTCATTGATGACAAGAAAATCATCGAGCAGAATCAACTTGACAAGTTGTTGTGTAATCTTGCATTTGAGTGTTTTGTCTAGTTTGGATGACGTTTGAAGAAGCTGACCCAAGAAGATCAACAAATGGTCTTTGTAGTTCAATAAATGAGTTGGCCGATTGAGTACTAAGTTCGCTGTAAAAACAAAACCGAGATTGTCAATGAGATCTCTCTGACGAGCGACAGTAAGTGAAATATCAACCTCCATGTCGTCATCCGCTTTGTCCTCGTCTTCAAGATCGCTTCTCACGTACTTACCCCAAACACCGAAAGAGAAGAAGAAGTCAACGAATTTGTTGAACACCGAGACGGAGACACTCCCAAGGGAGCATATAAGAAGGACTGACTGTTTGACAGTTTTGCTGTCCTCAGATTCAAGATTTGACTTGAGATCATTTTTGACTGTTTCCACTAAAGACTCAACAGACTCTTGTGAGCTGGATAATCTCTCCGCCACAATACTCAACGTCCTGAGCGTCAAAATGAGTGTTTTGTTGTCATCACTATCATCAATTGTCTCGTATTGAGGCGGGATTATAGTGGAGGCTTGGGGCTGGAAAATCAGCACATCATTATGCAAAATTTCAAATTTGAGAGCATCCCAGATTGTCACCCAATACTGCTCGACGGTCGATGCTTCGTAATTCTGCACACACAAAAGAAGAGTCTGGAGAACATCATTTCTGACAGAGGGATTTGTTGAGGTGAGCTTCTCAAAAAGTGATGGGAATGTATCTTGTGCAAATTGGCTTTGCGATGCTATCGTCTTCCGCAATTCTTTCTTCAAGTCAGCAGCAGTGATCTTGTAAGGGTCATTAGCTGGAGGCGAGAAAGATATTGGGAAGTAGCAAAAGCAAACGTCGAACAAGTCTGTGAGTAGTTGATCATGAGTCAGGTTTGTAGTTCTATCCTGGAATTGAAACTTCTCATTAATGGCAACGTTGAGTCTGAACGACATGAGCAAATTTCTGGGATCTTTCTCTCCGGAAGCGACATGCACGAATGCTTTAGTGAAAGCTTCCAGAAACTCTGGATTACTGAAAATGGCCTCGCTATGCAGATTGAATAAAGTCTGAAGAAGATTGAATCCTTCGTAACGTACTTTGGCCAAATGTTTTCGAGGCTCGTACGCATCTGTGATAGCTACGGTCAAAGTAATGAGGTTGTCATTGACCCGTGGTAAAAACTTCTTGAACTGTACCAACGAAGTTAAGGCACCAAGAATGTGGACTGTGAGTTTTTCATCCTCGAACTTCTTCACCAAGAACTGCAACAAAACATTCACGTCTTGGTTCGTCAAACGTACAGTGGTTTTCAGCAAATCAAGCGTCACACTTAAGCAGTTGAGTGCATAGCTTCTGGTAGTAGGATCATCTGAGGTGAGAGTGGGACCTAAAACCTGAATGAACTGAAGCAAAGTCAAGGTTCCCAGGGCAAGCCTCTCTGAAATTTTCTGAGGTGCTTCATTGGAAACTTCACCAGAAGCGACCGATGCTATGAACTGGTGCACAAGCGTTGCAGTATCGTCAGAAGCAGCCATAATGTAGTCTATCTAATCTTGACGGGCATTAGGCATGTTGATCTGGTGTGCGCACGTCCTAGACTATTCAGTCAGAACGAATGGAAGAGATAAGGGTAATACAGATTATTGCAAAAATATGCAGAATCCTTGTAATGGGAAATTCCAATTTTTTTTTTGGATTAGTTTGTCATGAAAACCAGGTTTACCCAATTGGTGTGAATTCGAGAAGACGATACTAGAGACGAATGTAACCTCGTCTCGCCGTTAGTGATTTGCTGAAGAGGAAAAATGCTAATTAGAAACCCTCATTCACACTTGCATTATATACCAATGTATTATGCTGTACAGTGGGAATGATGACCGCGGGTATGTGAATGCACAATTGCACTATTTGCACAAGTTGAGTTAAGCCCCGATGTAGCATGGGCGTATGCTTTAAGCCTAAGCCGGCGAAAAATTGGTCTCGATTGATCAATATCGCTATGGAAAGTCTGCTTAGTGGTTACGAATATCAATTGAACATTCCTTGAGCCAAGGTATAGAGGCTTTTTGAATTACGATGTCTACTCAAGGACCATATATTGGTAAGTTCACAATTTCCAAATCCAAAGCTATCACATCTCGCTTTAGTAACCCATTGTGCCTGGGGCCGTCCCTTCAATTCGCGTAAAACAATAGTAAACGCTTGTTCTTCAAATCCCAGCTCCGCACTCCTTTTCGAATCATTACGCGTAGAAGCATTTTCTTATTTCTTCTTTATTCGTCAAAAGCTCCATCTTCCCTCCATTTTGTCTTTCTGTCTTTAACTTATCAGGTGCGGCCGAGTGAACCTTCCTTGATTCGGTGCGACCTCTGATCAGAACCAAACATCACCTACATAGCGAGGTAAAGACCTCACGTTACACCACAACACGGTGAAACCATGATTGAAATTCCAACGCTCGAAGAGCTGGGTCACTCAAGGCAAGAGCTCAAGGAGCTAGAGCAACAGTACGATCGCTTGTCTCTCTCTGAAAGTTTGAGGCCTGATAATGACACCCTTCGAGAATCCATCCCAGGAGAAGAGATCCCTCAGACACCCACTCAAGCAAATGGTGATTATCCTGAGACACCAAACCAGGGACATATTCAGGCAGCTCCGGAATTGGACGAGAACATAGACGGTGGGTTTCCAGAGCATGTAGAAGCTAGTCATAGCTTCCAATTTGGGGTCGCCACCCCAACACCACTTGGCCCTGCTTTTGATTATGATCCGGAGCTGCCTGTGGTTTCTGCCCCACAGCTTGTCAATACGCAAATGTCCCCATTGCCCTCAGATCAGTACTTCCTGAGTAAGTACCAAAAACAAGCCGAACAGTTACATTCCGAAGATACCATTTACGAGAACACTGATGCATTTATGATCCATCCCAGCACACAAGCACCATTCGAAGAAGCAGAGGAATCAGATACTTCCCTCGATAACCATAATCATGAAGTGCAAGCTTCCACGCTAGAGCGCACAGTTTCCCAAATGACGCCGATCCGCCCACCCAGAGGCAGAGCAGCATCTGCACTGGGACCGCATCCTCTACGAAAGATGGTTGCGTCGTCGCCGGAAAATGATATCAATGCCGAAGCTCACATGGAAAGTGTGAGTGATTTTGAGGCGCTAGACGAATTTGATACCTCGGGACAATTCAACCGTTTACCTTCCTCCAACTCAATGGGATTGGCACATTCGCAGCTGCAAACGCTACATACTCCACAACCTCCCCAGGGTCATAATTATGTTGAGCCATCTCCTCAGCTCCCACCTCCACTTTCAGCAAAGTCACTGAAGCTTGCAATTTCCCAAAGAGAAGAGTTCTCTCAAATGCGCAGAATTATGGCAACAGAGCAGAAGACACCCGCAGAGTACACTCTTCATATCGTTTTCACTCAGTTCGTTCGCCACGCTGAGCGCAAGTTGAATATGTGCCTTGAATACCCTCTTCTGGAAGAACCACCCATTCTAGAGCTCTTGGGCCAGGGCTCTGATGCCAACTTTGATAATATTGTTTCTGCGCTTGGTTACATCGCAAAGCGTAAATCGAAGCCTGTGATTGACTCTGTGATGTTCTGGAGAAAATCCAAGAGTGAAGTAGCTGCAATGGCAGCCTCAGAAGTGGAAAAGATTTACTCTGTGGCGCAAGGTGACTTGGCAAGGATTGCTTCATCTATAAGCAACTCAAGTAAACCTTCTCAACCGTCTGTTCTGCCGAAGGCATCGAAGCCTCGTGGCAAGCGAAGTCTTTCACTCATGCATACGAAAAGTTTGTCCAAGTTGACTCACAAGAGAAACAACTCCGCATCTGTGGTTTCAACCACATCCAACGATAGAAAAAAATCTCTTGAAGTGCCGGACACAGAGTCACTGGAGTACTCTAGACAGCGAAAGTATTACGATGAGCAGATCTCTCAGGCTCGCGACACAGCTGTTCAAGCAGAAAGAAAGTCGCTAGCATCTATCTACATTTTATGCCGGGTGTTGATCGAAGTGGTCAAGCAGGCCTCATATGAAGCGGTTGGCGACGATTTGGGTGGAAAGCTTGAAGAAATTGTCTACACCCAATTGCGTACCACAGACCCTGTAACTACAAGAGAATCATTTGTGCGTCTGGCAAACTGGAATTTGTTCGCCGAACTCTTGGGGTACATGTCTGAAAAGCGCTTTTTGAGTGTCAGCGACCGTTTCATTGCAGATTTGGAAAAGGTTCCAACCACCGTCAAACAAGCAGACGAGCCTAATATCAAACTTCTCGTTCATGGCATGAAGCATCTCAAACTTTCCATATACCCTCTCGAAAAGTTTGAGGAAAGTGCAGAATTCCTTCAATCAATCACAAAATTCTTTTCTGCATCTCAGAATCATGGTGTCCTTATCGCATATGCTAAGGTATTGAGCAACCTTTTACTTCCATTGGCAACACTGCTCACAGCGGAAGCAAATCACCCACTATGGGTTGAGACGACCACCAAAATCTTCAACAAAGCTGTTTTGTTGTGCAATTATTCTTCTTTGAGAGCAACTAATGGTGCACCACCTCTGATTCCGTCGACAGCATCGACAGAGGAGATCACGGCATCAACCAATGATTGGGCTACATCCGTCGAATTGATGACCTCTGCTCTATGTGTCTCTTCCAAGGAGCTTTTTGCCAAACACTGGTTTGAGGTTATCAAGACAAATGCTGCTAAACTTAAGCCAAAGAGCGACGTGGCAGACAAAACAAAGTTGATGATTTGTGCATCTAGACTTCTTTGGGTTTATATGAATCGTCTTCCCGACACTCTCAATAACACTATTGAGCGTCTAGATAGCTTCTTTCAGTTTTTGTTTTTCAGCCCTCAAGTGTCTAGCAAGAAGCAGTGGATCGTCTTAGATAGTGGGTTGATTAACGCTTTGTCAGAGGTTATAAGAATTGTTGGATTTCATCATTTTAATTACGTCTTGGATAACGTGATTTTGAAGTTATTGAATAGCAGTTTCAACGGTCTGAGTTTGGAAAATGCTTCATCAGAGAAGCTTATTTTGGTCATAGAGTCCTACATGCTTTGTTTGAAGGATTCAAAGCTGGGCGATAAACCTAGCTTTCCTACCGACAAAGTATTCCAAGAGGAATTCGCTTTGCAATTTTCGTCTACCGATCATAACAGAAAAAACAAGATTTCAATCGCTGACGAGCAAATGAGCGAGCTTCGGAGGTGGAATAAATTCATGTTTGACTTCAAGAACATCAAGAACTTCGAGACACACGAAGACATTTGTCGGACAATCGCAGTTTTGTTCAAACTTCTCGATAACCGCTGTGGAATGACTGGGTGGACTAGTTCACAAGGACCAGCATCTTTGGGTAACAGTGTTAAATCATCGTTTTCAAACTTGCCGTTTGGATTGGATTTCTCCTATCAAAGCTCCAGAGATGCTTTCAAAGATTTGTTTGCTGCAACCATCAATGCGTGTCCATGGTCGATCATTCCTCTTGCAAGCGAGAAGGGCGGCTCTGGCATTGGAATAACCTTCAAAGCTTGCGCTGAAATTCTTATCAGAAACAGTATCCACTACAATACCCAAATTGCCAATGCATCAGTCAACGCATTATTGAAGTTAGCTTCACGGAAAAATGCCGGTGAGTTGATTGCTACGTTTGGTAAAGTTGCATTCCGGCTTACGGAGAAACCTGGCCCACTGTACGATTCTGATTATTTCAACTCTGAGGAATTCTTGAGATTATTGAGAATTTATGTTGAGCTTTTGAGATGTTGGTCTATGCAATTTTCGCCGGAGACCGAACATTTTACAGCTCAAGAAAGCGGAGAGAATGAGCTTATGAACAATGACGTTCTTAATGATCTCTATCAAATCAACTACAAGGCACCAGACTTGACAAACTTGGACATTCCCACAACCAAATGGAAGCCTTCTGAAGAGCTTGAATGGAAGAATATTGTTACTGTTATTGAAGAGGTCGAAGGTAATGGTCTCTTTTTCTTATGTTCACAGGACAGTCATGTCAGGGCCTTGTCTCTTTCAATTTTGAGAATCGTTGAACAATTTGACCAATCGCTATACAATCTCACGGACAGAAAAAGAGAAGCCACGCCTGGCTCCAACGGTTCTGTGAAGGGGCACTCTCGCAATTCTTCGAAATATGTGGCAGATGAAGGAACAAGGTTGATTCATGTTCTCGAAGATGTGGATCTAATGACTCTTTTGAAACCACTAAAGCGCGATTTGAGTGTACCCGAACGCACAAGGCTCTCCAAAATCAAGGCCAAGAAGGGATTGTTGGCTAAACTTGCTTCCTCAGACCATGGCATCGATAGTACCATTTGGTTTAGAATTTATCCAAGATTGCTTGACATTTTCTTCGAAAGGTGTCCTATGCCAGTTGCAATGTGTCGTTCGATAGTTTGCGTGAGACTAGTGCAAATGCATGAGTTGGTTCTTGACTTTTCGGACAATTTCAAAAACTACACATCCTCGCTTTTTACCCGCAACTCAACGTCAACACCTCCAGAGATTCTCATCAATCAATGGAAGCTCTATCTTATTTTTGCGTGTTGCTCCTTGACAAGTACGAATGACCAAAAAATTTCGTTTCCATCTCAGCCAACCCATGGCCACAAAAAACTGATGACAATGTACATTCAGCACCAAAAGATAACTAGCGCAAAATCCGTCTTCCGTATGGTGCTACCACTACTCCGATCCCTACAACCAATGATCAGAGAAGCTGTTATCACAGGCTTGAGCTCAATCAACATTAACATTTTCAAGACACTCGCTGAAAACCTACCAGAATCAATGAATGATTGGAATTCTAACGTTCTAAGGAGAGATGTCGCGGAGGATCGGGTTCGAATTGAAACCGTTCATATTCTCAGCATCATAACCAGCAGATTCAAATCGAACAGTCTTCTTTATTATGATGAGAATACCGTCGAGAACCTTGTTTCGATTATCAAAAATGTGAAGGCATTCTTGTCACTTACCGCAGTTCAAACACTGCCTGAATATCAACGTTTGCGGTGTTATTTTGCTGCACTCCTTGAAAATGTGTTTGTTGGATTGAAAGAGAAGCTGGACCTTAATACCTGGCTTCCATTCGAGGCGCGTATTGGGTGCTTCAACTACCTCAAGGAGTGGTGTGGGTTTGGCGATTCAAAGGACGTTCTTGAAGAAAGAACCCAAATAATGACGCAAGCTGCACAGCAATCGAAAGAGCCCGCTACGGCTGTGGGTCTTCTTGAGATCGATATCAAAGCATTACAAATATCTGCCTTGAGTTGCATGGCAACAATATGTTCGGGGCATTGAAGCAGTCACTCATAGTTCCTGGAAAGACAGCTGTTCTTTCGTTTGATATCAAGAGTGTCATGAACTGGGTGCACGAGATAATCAATTCTTCCAACGAGCGTGTGCAAGAGATGGGTAAGTCGGCTCTCACAAACATAATGGATATCAATATCAACAGTGACGACATCTATGAAGAGGTTTTACGGCAGTGCTACAATCTGGAGAATTCTTCCAAGGTCAAAGAGGTGTACTATACAAATTTAGTGACTTCTTTCCTCAATCATCGTGATATTGACAAGATGCCATACGACTTGTTCTGTCTCTCAACTTTTTTGGTTGGCACAGAGAGCTACCAAACTCGTGTATCAGCGATTGAATGCTTGAAGTCCATTGAAAGTCGCTTTCTCAATACGACGACAGCAGACTATTTCACTGAGAGTGTGTGTTGTACGACTATGGTGGTCTACAAAAAGGTGCTTTTCGAGATTTCTGTGAAGCTCGCGTCTCTTCATTCCAAAGACTCTTTCACTTATATCAGTTATTTGACTAAATATTTCAACTTGGTCGATAATTCCACCAGAAGAGACATTTTGGCTTGCTTACTTCCTTGGGTCCAAACCGTCGAACTCAAGTACAAAGGCAAAGAAGATGATGCTGTTGAGAAAACAGGACCCCAGTCTTCATCCCAACCTTTTAACAATGAGATTGATGCTCCCTCTTTAATGGTCCTCAACAATTTGTTCGAAATCACTGTCAAATTCAGCAAAAAGATCAGTAATGAAGTCGAGGCCTTGTGGGTTGCTTTAGGTACGAAGCAAAGTAATTTTGACATCATTGTGGAGTACATTATGAGAAATTGTCTTGAGAGGAGAAATTCGAGCTTCGTTTCGTATTCAAGGCAAATCATAGCATATTTGGTTTATTCACAACCTGACTCTTCAGTCATCATCGGCAAAATGATTGACAATTTGCAACCGAAAGCGATGGTCCCACATCCATTATCCCAGGCAGCATCAAAGACGGCAGATCTTGTGGAGGGTTTCCCATATACGGCAAACTTGACAGAATTGCTCTCTCACAACTCGAAGGAGTCGGCTTTCTCACTTGGACAATTATCAATGGTGTTCTTGGTGGATTTGTTCAGATCCAATAACGAGATGATCATTCCGCATTTACCTTTACTTTTACATGTTTGCTTCTCCTTACTTGACCACTACTTCTATGTTGTCCAAGAACAGGCTGCTTCATTATTGATCCACTTGGTGCATTCGATTGCACCAACCAGTCCCAAGTCAGCTCAAACTATTGATATCTTGAGACAGAAAGATCATTTAAAGTATCTTTGGGTGTACGATGACCTCAACAACGATAAGAAAGGAGGCATCACACCTAGAAACATGGACACGCTTGTTAGAAAAATACTTGAGATATTTGCACCCTCTGTTCCCAACTTGCAGGCTGACTGGAGCCGTGTCTCATTAAAATGGGCCACCACCTGTGCTGTGCGTCATATTGCTTGTCGATCATTCCAGATCTTTAGATCTCTTTTGACGTTTCTCGATCAAACGATGCTTAAAGATATGTTGCATAGACTATCTAACACAATCGCTGACGAATCTTGCGATATTCAAGGATTTGCAATGCAGATATTGATGACCTTGAACGCTATTACTGCGGAGCTAAATTCTGAAAATCTCATTGACTTCCCTCAACTTTTCTGGTCGAGTGTTGCATGTCTTTCCACGATACACGAGCATGAATTTATCGAGACAATATCAACCATGTCTAAGTTTGTGTCAAAGATCGACCTTGATGCGCCAGACACCATCTCATGCCTCATCTCCACATTCCCACCGAAATGGGAGGGTAAGTTTGAAGGGTTGCAACAAATCGTCATGGTAGGATTGAGATCGTCCGTTGCATGGGAGCCTACGATAAAGTTTTTGGATAAACTCAACCATTTGAAAGATAGTGAAATTATTGGCTCTGGTGACCATCGTCTTTTTGTTGCAGTTATTGCCAACTTGCCGAGATTTCTTCATGCCCTTGGGGAGCAAAATATCACTCCAGAAATCGAGAATGCTTGTAACCTCATAGGAGAGATGGCCGCGACATGCAACAAGCCAGCCCTAGCGAGAATATTGAATTCGCTTGCAAAATCCAGATTCAGGTCAAAGAAAGATTTCTTGGTGCAAACAATATCTACTTTGAAGGTCAGTTTCTTCCCGGAGTACGAAGCTCAAACCTTAGTCCTTTTGCTCAGCTTGCTTTCGAACCAGATTCCATGGGTGAAGCTCGAGACATTGAACATATTAAAGCACACCTTCCCGCTCGTCGACTTGCTGAAGGACGAGTTCGTTGGTGTAGGAGCAGATCTTATTTCTCCATTATTGAGACTTCTTCTCACAGAGTACGCGGAGCCAGCGCTTGAGGTGCTTGATGAAGCCGTCGTGATTTCTGGTTCGCAGCTTGATAAAGACATTTTGAGAATGAGTTTGGGTAATTCATCCATGAAAAAGGAATATGAGCAAACAGCTACGTTGTTTGGATTTCCAGAAGAGAGTGGGTGGGCAATTCCTATGCCTGCGGTCACAGCTGCCAGTACTAGGAACAACATCCATGCTGTTTTTGAAACCTGCAATGAGAGTATGACGGTTGACGAGAAGCAGAAAGATTTCGCCAACGAAGAGATCGAATTCTTGATGGAAGATTACTACGAGCCGGAGTCCGATCATGCAGATGCTGCATCCACAGCAAACGAGGTACCCGGTGCCACACTTAGTAATATGTGGGCCGCTCTAGATGACTTTGATTCGTTCTTTACAAAAGACACAGAGCAAAGGGCCCAGATAGTTTCAAGCATGGCTACGAATGGCAGGAACTTCTCTGGCAAGAACGCGGCCTACCACGCTCACTCAGCATCCATTGACACCAAGGAAAGCAACAACAGTGACTTGACATCACCAATTGACTCAGCACCACATGTCTACGACAAGAAGGCTCTTGTTATCTTGAACAGAAGTTTGGCAAGAACTCAATCCAACACCTCATTCAAGAGCAGCTTGGCAGACACTTTCGGCAGCCCTAGTGCTTACGGACCACTGGAAAATCCTGGAACTCGAAAGTCTTATATTCCCTTCAGGAGCAGCAGAGTCGCTAAAAAGCAGGATTCCTTCACGACACCCAAGGTGAACCCAGGAACACCCTCGTTCGAGCAGCCGGGCCTGAGCTCTGCGAAGACTCTCAAAGGCAGCCCATCCCTTTCACTCCATCACTCCAAGACAGGAGGGTCTCTGGATGCTGTCAATGACATACCCAAGCTAGAATCGACTACTAGGTTGGACAATATTCTAGGAGGAGGTCGTAAAAGGAACAGAAAATAGGCGATCCGGCCCTTTTTTTGAACTCTATAGCCAGTGTGTATGCAGAATTTTGCACCCATTATTCGTGCTCGTGACTGAACATTGTAGTTCCTGTGTCTATGAATCCATGCGAAAAGCAATAGCGGAAAGCATTACAGGAAAAAAAAAACCTTGAAAAGATCGTAAATTGAAGTTTCTACCGTGAAAAATGCCCCCTAAGAAGCAACAAGGACCCGACAAGTCTAAACAAAAAGCCAAGGCGAAAGCCGCGGAGGATAAGGGTTTCGGCATGAAGAATAAGAATAAGTCGAAGAAGGTTCAGCAGCATATCAACCAGATGAAAAGTGGAGTGGATGGTGGATTGGCCAAAAAGAAGGAAGCTGATGCCAAAAGAAAAGCCGAAGAGAAGAAGGCTGCTGAACAGGCCAAGAAAGAGGCCGCTGCTTTGTTCGGAGTTCAACAACAAAAGGTTCCATTTGGCGTCGATCCAAAGTCCATCTTGTGTGAGTTTTTCAAGAATGGTGTGTGCAGCAAAGGAAACAAGTGTAAGTTTTCTCACGACGTTAATGTTGGACGTAAGGATGCTAAGAAGGATTTGTATACCGATGCAAGAGCTGAGAAAGAGGCCGATACCATGGACAACTGGGACGAAGAGAAATTACGAAAAGTCATTTTGTCGAAGCACGGCAACCCCAAGACAAGTACCGACAAGGTCTGCAAGTATTTCATCGACGCCGTCGAGAACGACAAGTACGGTTGGTTCTGGGTCTGTCCCAACGGTGGTACCGAGTGTATGTATAAGCATGCCTTACCTCCAGGATTCGTGTTGAAGACCAAGGAGCAGAAGAAGCTAGAAAGATTGGCAAAGGAGTCCGAGCCAGAGATCACTTTGGAGGAGTTCATCGACTTGGAAAGAGGAAAGATGGACAAATCCAAGTTCACACCGATCACCTTAGAAACATTCACGGAGTGGAAGAAGAAGCAGTTGGAGAAGAAGGCCGAAAAGAACAAGGAGCAAGGCAAGAAAGCTCAGACCGGAAGGGAGATCTTGCAAAAGAAATTCGCAGACAAGTACTACACGGAAGAAGGTGGAGAGGAAAACGAGATGGATTTGTCTTCCTTCAAGCTGGCCTTGCCTGAAGAGGGCAAGTTCAAAGATTACGGTGATGGTACAAACACCGACTTTAGCTAGTTCTGAAGTCCGGTTTGATAGAGGAGGAAGAATGAAACGCTGGCTCAGCGCGAGTGACGTTGTCATTTACATTATCATTACTTGATACGCATTGGGGATCGTGCTGCCTTCACAAGACCCCACGACACATACATAATGACCGTTTTGTCTGAAAACGGTCTGGGCGAGTACATAATGGACGATCAAAAGTAATATTCTCTATTGTATTCCTTTGCCGAGAAAGGTCAAGGTCTCTTGGAAGAACCTTTCGTCTTGGTCTTCGAAAAATGCAATATCGACTCCAGCACCATCTAGTGTCTCAAGAGCTCTCGAGAGACGTTGTAGCCACATCCCACCTTTCTTGTCGTATTCTTCGAGCTCATAGTAACTACTGACATCGTGGATTCGAAGGAGACTCAACTGCTCGTCGACGTCAAACTCTTTAACAGGAGGTGATGTTTTTCTCCTTGGAAGAGGAGGTGGAGTAGCTCCACGCTGCTCGGAAATATGTTCATGCAAAATCTGTGTATCTGATTGACCGCCATACTTTCTCTCAGGTAAAGGAGGTGCCCTAGGAATACTCGAGCCTTTCAAAGCACGGGGCTTTTTGGGGATCAGAGGTGGTTGTTTTTTCAATGGTTTGGGGGACTCACTCTTTGGAGAGTCGTCAGAAAGATCTATTAAATCTCCATTTGAGACTTCAGGAGACTTCTTGTAGGGGCTCTTGGTTGACTGCTTTGATTTCCACACATTGAGGAGCCGCCTCATCTCTTTCAAAATATTGCCATCATCGACATCTGACAATGAGTCTTCGACGACACGAATGTATATGCTTTTGACTTGGCCTGGATATGTCTCAGCAAGATCAACGTAGGCCTCGAAGTCATGTTCTCCCGAGTCACCCACGCAAATGAACTGCTTCTCAGGGAAATCATTAAGAATTCTCGAAAGTGACGTCTTTTTTCTAGAGCTAGATGGCTCCATGAGAGAAGATATAATATTTCCAGTGTACTGTTTCAAATGGAATGAGCCAGGTGGGAGGTTCACCAGATGAAAGTACTCGTGAATTGTTGCGAAGAGCTGCCAAGGTGAATTGGATACGTAATGAAAAGTGGCATTAAAGCGGTGCTTTATCTGGTTAAACCAGTTGACCACCGGCTTGATCTCCCACGAGTCGACTTCACCGAGAAGCAACCTTCTCATGAGCTCTCTTTTGTCTCCAATGACACCGGTAAGCTTCACCGTGTCATCAATGTCACTGATAATACCATAACCCTTGTAGTCCACAAGATGGATCTCTTGAAATGCACAAACAGTCTCGTCAATCTTACTTGTTACCAGGACGACGGAGGGCTGATAGGGTACCTCAAGTTCAGCGCTAAAGTGTCCATTAGGGTCTGTAACAACCGACACCTGCCGTAGTTCCAGATGCTCCAGAGTATCAGCTCCAACCACTATGGCGAGGCCTGCGTTGGGGATCGAGCGTGCTAAGAAAGACGAAAGACGGCTTTTGAGACGAGCATCAAAGTCACGCAGTTGAGGCGAGGCAGAACTAGCACCTGAAGCACCTGAACCCGTCGTGGATATTGAAGCGTTATCAGAATCATCTTGTTCCGATGGCGAGGCGACGTCCTGAGACAAGGAGGGATCGTGCTCGAGCCGGTCCACGGCTACCTGAGCGGAATCGTCATTGGAACGAGTGACTTGTTTGGCCAAAGACAAGACCAAGCGGTTTTTTCTAGACATTGTTCCTGGGCACCACATCCAGCCACGTACGGTGATGATGTAATGATCACCAACCCTTCTGGTATACGAGGGATATAGCGTGAACTGGGTGCTCTTGGGTAATGCAGCCACCATTCCGTACTCATCGTACTCAATGGATCTTGATCCGATTCCTGAGGCAAACAGGGATACAGAAGTAGTGATTTTTGGAATGTAAGTGTCTCTAGTCGCTCTAGCGAGGCCAAGGAGTCGTTGCCTTTTGCTGGTGGGAGCAGGCGATGATGTTGGGGAATAATTAGACCCATTTGAGCTTGGTCGATTTTGTTCGGACATTTTGGGAAAACGGAGGCTCCAAGGGCCACGGGTCTTTAAAGCACGGTAGTCTGAGTAGAAGTTCTTGATGAAGCGTAACGAGGAACGGCTGGAGCGAGGACGAAAGAAGCGGTTGATAAATGCAGCGGGTGATCGGAGGCGAGAGCGAAGGCCCGGCCTGATATTTTTTATGTTTCGGGGTTTCAATTTGGATGTTTCGCCTCCAGGGCTTTCCTCATATAGTGATCACTCGAGGTAAGTGGAGCAGAGGTTGCGAGAGTGAGAGTAGCCGTTAGATGTCGGTTTACAGCTGCAGTGCGTACGAGACAGGACGATGTGAAATGGGAACAGCGTGACAAAAAGATTTGCATCTGGATTTTTCTAGTGTGGTTTGATTGGAGACATTTTCTTGGCTTTCTGAGTCGTTATGATCAAAATTTCGACGAGAAAAGCGTTTGTCGTGGTGTAGGATTGGACTATGCTGCAGCGAGAATATGTAGGGTCTCTCCAGTTGCATGCCCTGGACCACACAATGTCTAAGCACCTTGAGATTTCTCGGTTACCGATCATTTTACCAAAGGCAGATCCCTAAAGACTGTGATTTGAAGTGATAAGCAAAAAGATCAAATTAGAAGGTGAATGGGATGGAGGATGGAGAACCGGTTGAAAAGTACACAAGTAACCTAGATGAGTGTCAGACCAGAATGCTCACAGAGAAGCAGCTTTTATAGAAAGCCAGTCGCTCAATCGAGTTGCAATTTTTTTTAATCTTGATTACGGCTCGAAGTGTCAATTTTTGGCCGTCTGATGAGGTATCATCTACAGCCTCTTCCGGACTCGGAGCTTTGGCTGCGAAAAATACAGAGGCTGAGATTACAGCTACACGCACCGAAGATGTTAGTTTGCACGCACAAAGTCATGATAGTAAGCTAATGGGCTAAAAGAGAATAACAAGAGAAACGAAGCATCTTTCAAGTGGAAGCGAGATGATCATACCTTCCTTTACAAGCCCTATGAGGCCACTGATAAGATCTTTTACAAGAGCTAGGTTGACTGTTCCCTCAATTCATATCAATTCATCCAAATCAACTTACCTTTAACATTCATACCATGCGCCACCTCTTTCCTCACAAGGTTCCCCTAATCTGATTTTGCAGAATCTTCTATCGTCTTGGCTCGGATTCATACACTACCGCACCCCGGAATAAGCCAAAAAACAGGACACCAAATCTACTATCTATTGAACAACTCGATGTCGTTGCAAGATCTTTCCATAGGAAACGACCTTAAAGACCAGTTCAAGCCCACTCATAAATGGATCAACAATGGTATATCGTGGTTGCTGGACCTCGAAAGCTTTTACAAAGAAAGAGCTACCATTGAACAAGAATACGCAGCGAAGCTAAAGGACCTCAGCAAAAGACACTTTGCTAAAAAGGCAAAACACTCATCGTCATTATCTGTGGGTGACGAGCCTCAAATAACTCCGGGTTCGTTGGAAAGCGCTTCAGTGGTCTTGTGGAATGAGGTGCTTACGCAAACCGAGAACATTGCCAACACGAGAGACAAGTTGGCCGATGAATTCACCCTGAACATTGCCTCAAATATCGTTCAATTGCAAAGCAAATGTCTGAATATATCCAAGCACATTGAGATTATCCACGACTTCTTGCAAACCGAAAAGACCAAAGTTGAGGATGATGTCTCAAAGTCCAAAAAGCATTACGATTCCTTGTGTCAGCACACTGAGAGTGCTAGAGTCAAGACGGAGAAGTCCTCAAGCGAGAAATACCAGGAAAGGCTCAAGGAGAGAGAAGTTGAGATGAACATCGGCAAAAACGCCTACTTGATCTGCATCAGTCAGGCCAACAGACTCAAAGATAAGTACTACTTCCAGGATCTACCCGAGATTCTTGATTATTATCAGGACCTTAATGAGACCCGTACAAGTATCTTGAACAAGATTCTCAAGAACGCTTCGATTATTGAGCGTAACTCGAACGATAAGGTCAAGGACTTGCTTCATGACGTGGATGCAGTCATTGACCAGAACAACCCTAAGTTGGATGTTGCAATGTACATTAAACACAACAGCAGGTCTTGGAAGGAGCCAAATGATTTTGTCTTCGAGCCATGCAGCTTCTGGCATGACGATGAATCGTTGGTGACGAAAGAACCAGAGTTGACCGACTTGAAGAGACGTCTCAACCAGACCATCAGCAAGTATAACATTGGAAAAGAGAATACTTTTTCAGCCAAACAAAAATTAGAAGAGATGGCACAGGACAGGTCAAGTTCTGAAGACAAGGATTCACTTAGGTTCGATCTGAGACTTGACGACGTCTTGACGCTACTTCATAAGTTCATGCAAGAAGATTCCGAGAGAGTGAAGCTCGAAGTCGAGATCGAAATTATCCAAAACTTTGCCGGTGATCAGGATATGTCATATTATGAAGAGGCCAAACCGAAGAAATCACGCTTTGGTTTATTCAAGCACAAAAAACGTCAAAGCACTGATCAAGGAAGTGACGGACACTCACTTTACACCGTCACGAGTAATGTTACTACACATTCCGGTGGACTTTTTAGTTTGAGGAGAAACAAAACCGCTACAAGCAATGCAGAGGGCAGTGCAGCCAGCGACTCCGTAGCGACGGCAAACTATCCATACGATGCTGACGGAGAGGACGAAATTACAGTCAGACCCGGGGAAAGTTACGATGTTGTGGAAGCAGATGATGGATCTGGTTGGACAACTCTCAGAAATTCGTCTGGTCTACAAGGCTTAGCTCCTACTTCATATTTGACAATCACAGCAGGCAGCGCAGGTAGCAATGAGCCACTGACGCCGAAGAAGAAGGGACCCGCTGTGGCTCCAAAGCGTGGTGCCAAGAGGGTGGAATATGTGGAAGCATTGTATGACTATGTTGCAGATGAAGATAACGAGTTGAGCATTCGGGCGGGTGATAAGATCGTGCTCGTACAGGCGGACACTGATGGCAGTGGATGGACCGAAGGAGAGCTAGATGGTCAGAAGGGTTTGTTCCCCACTGCCTATGTAAAACGCATATAGACATAATGCTACGAAACGTGCATCGGATGGTTATATTTATTGCGATAAATACCACATTAGATTACAGTATTTGTCATTGATATTTGCTGGGGACCAGCATGACGGGCACACACTCAACATTTACCAACAGTGTGCCAGGGGGATGAGGAGGAAGTAGGAAGAAACAAAATGAGAAGGCAGAAGCACGCTTAGTAAACGTCACCTGGGATCTCAAAGACAACCTGCTTACCGGTCAACTTGTTGAACAACTGGGAGAAAGAGTCGAGCTTGTAGTCAACAGCGGAGGAGTCCTTGGAGTCCAACAAGACCTTCTGGATCTTGGAGCCACCAACCAAGTATCTAACTCTCTTACCAGTGATCTCAGTAGGGAAAACCAAGTCCTCCAAGACCTTGTCGTGGACAGCGGTCAAAGTTCTGGATCTTGGTCTCTTCTGGAGCTTCTTGGCCTTTCTGGCTGGCTTTGGCAAGATTCTTCTCTCAGCCAAGAACACAACGTGTCTGTCTGGGAACTTCTTCTCGAGCTCTCTGGTCAATCTGATCTGGACCTTTCTGTAGCCGGTCAAAGATGGGACTGGGACGAAGATGGCCAAAGCCTTCTTACCGCCGGAGACCTCGAACTCCTTGACGGACTTGAACTGCAATGGTCTCAAGTCGGCCTTCAAGTCGGTCTGGGCCTCCAAGTCAATGAAGGCCTGGGCAACCTGCAACTCCAATTCGGTGGGGTTCTCGGACAAGATCTTGTTGGCAGCAGACATCTTGAATGGATTTGATGTGTGTAATTGAAGAAAGATGGGGGAAAATTTTTACAACTGCGAAGTAGCTGAAAAAATTGTTAGGACGGGAGTGTACACAGCGCGGGTTCTGTTCTCACTGCGGTTCCTCTGCCACTTTACTGTGCGTTCGTGCTCCCTAAAGTATTGGTGCACGGGTGCGCATATCTGTTGCAGTAGTTAAGAGCGCACTGCGATATTGGATCAGGATGTTTGGCCGAGTCACGTGCTAGCTGTGACTGTCAGTGTTCATTAGCGTAGTGTCTTGAAAGATTCTGAACAGCCCAAATTTCGTGCAGATGTTACATTGGCGTATATATTATAGGATGAATATTTTGCTGTTATTTGTCAGATTTCTGAAATTCGTGGAAGTAAGGGCAGGTTATTCGGTTGATGTCTAGCATGTAGCTGCGGATCGAGATTGTGAATGGTACGGTCTACATCGGCGGTAATATCTTCAGATCGCTCCATAGAGAGCAATGAAAAGATCAATAGCTCAAGCATCAACCTCAATGTAAAATGAGCACACCTGACGAAAAGTCGAACGAATGGTCTAACGCATTCGTTATGAATACGGCATGATCCAGCTGTTACGTTATAAGATAATTGAAATCATAAACCTGGAGGCAAACATTGAATCAAAGCGTTTCGATTTTATTAATATTACGTACTTATTCCGAGTCTCATGGTTATGTGGAGCAGCTTATAAGGTTACTGTGGCTGCGAAACAGTCGGAGTCAAGCGTGGAACTGCAAGTTTGCTTCAGAGACATATTAACCGTAGCACTCATTTAAGAATTGTCCGTGGTACTCATTTAAATACAATCCTTCATTAAGAAAGTTTTGTAAAAACGGGTAATGATACATACCCATTCATGGACTCCAGCTAATTCTGTCTGGTTGACAGCTCTGGGCAAGACCACCACCCTTCAATTTCTACGATCCTATGAGTACTGAAGCTTTTCTCAATTGATAATGACCTCAATCATGTCTACACTTTATGTCGATCGATTTACATGAACGTCCTCATTGTAACCTTATGAGGACATGTTCCCCGATAACTCGGCTAGATCTTGTTCGATGACACTATGCACCGAGAGACGCAATTATGACGTCACAAGACTGAAAGTTCATGAACAATCTTTTCCATATATGGAGCCCCAAAAAGACAATGCCTATAGACAAGAAAGGTGGACAAGAAATCCGGTGGGGACCCTTTTCGCAGCCGAAATTAGAGCGAGCCACCATGGGTAAAGTACACAGATCTAGCACGCTCAGATATTGAAAAAGTCCGCAAATTTAGCTTGGTCTTGAACCCAGGCCATCCCATTTACTCGATTCCCAAATCGCTAATAAAAAGTGTCCTTACTACCAATCTGTACAAGGTTGCTTCAACCGTTGGTGTATCCTGCATAATTGGTAAGACCCCGGACTCTCATTCTTGACTAATGCTCCGGCCTCTTCGCTCTTTACTACCTCTCCAACGAAACATGTCCAATCTCATTGAGTCTGCCAAAAAGGCCGCTGCCTACAGAGCTGTTGATGAAAATCTCCCAGACCACGCAAAGGTCATTGGAATTGGCTCCGGCTCCACTGTCGTGTTTGCTGCTGAGAGATTGGGCCAGTTGAGCAACAAGGACCTGTTTGTGTGTATCCCCACAGGGTTCCAGTCGAGGCAATTGATCATCGACAACGGTCTTCATCTTGGTACGATCGAGCAGTACCCTAAGGTGGATATTGCCTTCGATGGTGCGGATGAGGTGGATCCTAAGCTCAATTTGATCAAAGGTGGAGGAGCCTGCTTGTTCCAAGAGAAGCTCGTGGCCCAGGCGGCAAAGACTTTTGTGGTTGTTGCTGATTTCAGAAAGAAGTCCCCAGACTACCTCGGTGTGCTGTGGAGAAGAGGCGTGCCGATCGAAATTGTGCCCAACTCGTACGCCAAGGTGACTCTTGATTTGAAGGAATTGGGTGCCGACACCGTGATTCTCAGACAGGGTGGCACTGCCAAGGCCGGTCCAGTGATTACAGACAACAACAATTTCATCATTGATGCTGACTTTGGCCTGATTGAGGACCCTGTGGAGTTGCACGCTAAAATCAAGGCTTTGGTGGGCGTGGTGGACACCGGCTTGTTCACGAAAATGACTGCTAAGGCATACTTCGGAGAGGAAGATGGAGAGGTTGCCGTCTGGGAGGCCAAGTAGAAGCAATGGTATATTACAAGATTATTAATGAACTAAAGGAGCGACAGTATACCTGGTAGATTTACTTGGAGTGGCTGGAGATCCAGCTCAATGTTTCCGCCAAACCGGTGCCATCGATGGCAATAGTGGGGATCACAGACCACACGTGTTCGCCGCTCAAGCTGTTCATGTCAAACTGCTCGATGATGTCCTTAGGCTTCACTGCGTCAGGCACATCCTGCTTGTTGGCTAAAACGATCAAGAGGCAGTTTGCCAACTCTTTGTCGTTGATCACACGCATCAATTCCTTTTTCGACTCCTCCAAACGGGCCTTATCGGAGGAGTCTACGACGTATATCAACGCGTTTGTTCCCGTGAAGTAGTGTCTCCACAACGGTCTGATACGTTCCTGTCCACCACAGTCCCAGACAGCAAAGGACACGTTCTTGTGCTTGACCGTCTCGACGTTAAATCCGACGGTTGGGGCGGTCTTGGACGTCTTGCCCAACTTCAACTTGTAGAGAATGGTGGTCTTTCCCGCGTTGTCAAGACCCAACATGAGGATTCTCATCTCTCTGTTCTTGAATAGACGTGACTGTTGTTAGTGGTTTTCAAGCATGGAGCGTAGTGAAGTTACTTACCACTAGAATACCCATTTTGAAGTGCCCAAGGAAGAGTGGTTGGAGGAAACACGGCTGTAATATCTGAGAATCTGACGATACGGAATGTGCACTACGAGACAATTGCAGACAATGAATAGGAGAGCCAGCTGTCCGGATTAGACGAAAAAGAGAATTTCGATTTTACTTCCTGACTGATGAAAGACCGGATTTTCTGGTCCCCGAAAATTTTTACATGATTGCACCTTCAAGAACACTTTTTATCCTGGTGGGTATTCGGACCTCGTCTAATGCCCTCAGACGAGAAGAGCACAAAAGTGTCCCGCATTATGTCGGCTTTACCGCGTAAGCCTCACTTTTAAACCAAAGGATAAAAGGCTATGAGGTCGTTGAAGATAACTTGTTGAAGATAACTTGTTTACGATTTTGTAGCATCGATTTGGAGGTGTACTACTCTCGTCACAGGTTGGTCTCAGTGAAGCCTGTGCAGCGCGAATTAACGGTTTATTGGTTGAGAACTCTGTGGCTTAAAAGTGATTGTCGGGGTATGTTCGGATTGGGCGAAGTGACTGATTCCGTGAGCCATTCCACATTTCCACTAAAGGTTACGAAAGCTCTATAGAAGGTCTTGAGAATTTTATGGCTGCAAATTTTGAAAGTTGATCTTCTGATGCTAAAACCCTACAGCTAGCGCCTGTCCCTGATGCATTTCTTTTTGATCTATAATTACAAATTATCTCTTGCCGATAATTCTCTCTAGCGAAAGCTTAACGTCACCGCGAGAAAAGTGCTCCAAGTTGTAGTACTTGGGTGCCAACTCCACCAACCATTCCGGACGCACGTTCGTCACGGTACGAATGTAGTTCTTTGACGTAAGCACAAACTCGTTGTAAATGACCCACTCGTTCTCCTTTGCAAGCACAGTACTGGGATGAATCAAAACATCCTGATTGTCCTTGACCGTAATAAAGCCCTTGTTACCGCTCTTCTTCTTCGCAACTTGCATGAAGAAACCAGCCACAAGCGCCTTTCTGATATTGTCCCAGTAACTACGGTCCTCAAACGGCGTCAGGTTGAGTTCGAGGTCGTAACGCTCCATAAGACGACGCAATTGGGAGCGAACATTGTTGGCGGATGTAAGGGAACGGTAGGACAAGAAGTTGTCTCTGCACCATTGATGTAAGCCAATCTCGTAGGCCTCATCGGAGTTGAAGGCCTCGTAGACATTGAGCAAAGTCAAGTGGTCACCGTCGGCATGGGCGAAGGACATCTTGATCTCGTCGGCTCTTTTTCTGGCAGAGGCGGGACGAACAAAGACGTTTGGAACAGACAAGAGTGCCACAATGGAGAGAATCTCCTCGGAACACTTGAAAGCAGGCGATCCGATCAACATGACAGCCAACATAGGGTCAAGTGGGAAGTTGGATGCGAGACGGCCCAACGCTGTCAAGTCACCCTCGTCAGAGAGACACTGAAGATAGTTGAGCTCCTCAAGAGCACGCATCATTGTCTCAGGGGCAGGTGGATCCATGAAGTCAAAGTGAACTAAATCATCAACACCCAATTTCTTGAGTTCAAGCACCGTCGAGGCCAAGTTGGAACGCAAGATTTCTGGGTAAGATTGTTCAATCAACTCCTTCTTGAAAGCTTCTTCAGTGTACAATCTGAAGCACTTACCGGGCCGCGTACGACCAGCACGACCAGCTCTCTGTTGGGCCGAAGCCTTGGAAATTGGGGACACAAGCAAAGACTCCACTCTGATACGAGGGTTGTACACCTTTTGCTTGGAGAAACCGGGGTCAACAACGTAAACGATACCGTCGATGGTAAGCGAGGTTTCAGCAATGTTTGTGGAAACAATAATCTTTCTGCCAGGTCTTCCACCAGGCTTGTGGTTTTCTGGAGCAGGCTCGAAAATCTTTTGCTGCTGGTGTGGGGGCAATGAACCGTACAATGGGTACACCTTGATGGGGCCACAGCCCTGTTCTCTGATAAGCTCGTCACCCTCAAGTTGAATCTTTCTGCATGCGTCCTCAATCTCTTCCTCACCGGTCAAGAATAGAAGAACATCACCTTCATCTTCCGTGGCATGGATCTGCAAAACTGTTCTGATGGCAGCATCCAAGTAGTCCTTTTGGTATTCTGGTGTGTAGTAGATCTCCACAGGATGGGTACGACCAGGAACGGCAAGAAGAGGGGCGTTGTGGAAGTATTGCTGGAACTTCTCCGCATCCAAAGTAGCAGACATGATGATAAGCTTAAGATCAGGTCTACGGGTGGTGACCTGTTTCAAGAGTCCCATCAAGATATCGGTGGCCAACGTACGCTCGTGAGCCTCATCTAGCATAATGCACGAGTATCTCAGCAAGTCGTGGTCTTCCATGGCTTCACGTAAAAGCATACCATCAGTCATATACTTAAGCATGGTCTTTGGGGATGTTTTGTTCTCGAATCTGATCAGGTAACCCACTTCATCTCCAAGCTGCACATCCATCTCGTCTGCAACTCTCTTAGCCACAGACATGGCTGCCACTCTTCTGGGTTGCGTACAAGCGACCATTTTGCCATGGAGGTGGGGCATATCATCGTAAAGAACAAATTGGGGGATCTGCGTGGTTTTACCCGAACCGGTCTCACCCACAAAGACCATGATCTGGGTGCTCTGAAAAGTCTTCAAGAACTCATCTCTCTGGGCATGCACGGGCAAGTCTCTTCTGACTTTGAGAATATCGAAGTACTTTTGTGTGAAAGTCTCGCCCGTGAATGGGTTTTGGGGTCCATCCTCAAGCTTCTCAGCCAGATGGGCGGTGGTGTTGTGTCTCTCTACACCTTTGAACTCGCCTCCATCGTGAAATTCCATTTTCTGGGGCTGCTCCGGGTGAGGGTGCTCCCTCAAGCTTTCTTCGGCCACCTCGGCCACACGTTCGGCCTCGGAATCCATGAGCTTCTGTTTCTTGTACTTCTTCTTGTCGCCCATAGTGGTGGTGATGAGATGAGGTTTTGGTGTGAAGCATCTCATCACAGCGCACCTCTACACCAGCGATAAGCAGCGGCATGGGGGAGAACGAATTGTACCTCCTTTGGGGGTAGTTGATGAGATGGGGTATTTTGATAAGGTTTCTAGGATCAGGAACTTTGAGATTTGTCGCTTTTGTTTTTGCTCGAAATCGGAAGTTGTGGTCTGTCTGTGGTTATTGGGGCACCTCCGTTAGCCGATGAATGTACCCAATTCGCAGAGATGAATGTTTAAAGTGAAGCGTTCTCACGAGTAACTCGATCATATTGGAGTAAGCTTTTCACTTTCTTTCCATAGTCGCTTTGGGGACCCTTTTGTGGGAGTTAACGGTGTTCGCTTATGATGGTGCAGCACTGATTTTTCGCAGCCAAATGAATCTACACTATGGAACACACACTCACTGACATCGAAACTAGCTGCTGATATCGGACTTACCGAAACCAAGATTATCGAATACTCTTTCCAAACTTCTCCAATTCTGATGCCCTAAAACTACCCTTCACCAAAATAGCTATAGAGGCAGACCCCGACCTCGTGGTACTCATTGCGGTACGCTTGCAAAAGCCATCTTCTACATCCTCCCTCGTCGGACATAGTCCCTCCCGAGTTCCACCTCCACAATCTCCAAAACCATATTTCACTTGATATACAAACTTGCAGAGATCAGACGGTCATGGCCCTTGGCTGCCTGCATTGACGATTGTGAATAAACAGTGCGGAGGCCCATGCGGCCCCGGGGCCCACCAGGTCCGAGGTGCGACAGGACAGCAAGAGCAAGAATGGCGATGAGTGGCAAGTAAAGATTTTGAAGGAAAGAATTAAAAAGGAAAGAGCTCGAAGGAAAAGATTGTGAGAAAACCCAAAAGCTTATCGAAGCTTGTGGCGGCGATCCTCGTGGAATTCTGCCGTCCGCTTATGACCGCTATATGTTGTAGGCTATGGTTCAATTAGCGGCTGCAAGAAACAGCTTTTCTCGGCTGGACATATAATCGGCAGTGCGTCTGGGGAAACGCACACAGAAAGAGCCAGCATTCAGCTTTTCAACAAAAAAGGACGACCCGTTCAAAATAAATTTAAATTTCTGACCAATCTGAGCCCCCGCAATATTACTATTTTTTTAAAAGTCTGAAAACGTACCCCTGGAGACCGTTTAAACAAGTCGTTTGCAAAAGGAATTTTGCCGACCTGCGTAGGGCGGGGCATGGCCCCGGCCACCCGAGTTAGGGCTGGCTGCGAGCCGATTACTCGGACGGAAGGACTCCACAAACGAGTCCTCGACAAATGGACATAACGGGAAATAATAGAAATCACCATGACGTAGATAAATGGAGACCGTAAAGTATAAGCAAAGTTTATACAATAATATCTGTCCGGTCATTTCATTGTCTTGTCTCCACGGCCCCAGATCACAGGCTCAAAACGCGAACCGTGGCAGAAAAAATTTAGCAAGCACCGCTCTTGTTTCTTGCAGCCATTGCGAACGCTTATATTATACTCTTCTTCACCGCAAACCACCAACCCACCCACAAAAAAAAACTCCCACCACATTCTTTTGTCATGTCGAGAAAAGCCGTTTTCGACGCGGTTGCCATCTCGGGCACAGCGTCCAAAATCGCCCGTGACAGCGTGAAAATCGCTTCCACCGATGCCTCCAGGTGCTGGTCCAAGCTGTTCCTCGTGGCCCAGGCAAGGAAGCTCGACTCAAGCTCCCACATGTGGGCAGATCTCCGAGGCAAGGCCCAGGCGGCCAGAACCCAGCACAGAAGCTTTTCCACCTGTGCCACTCTACACGAGCCACGCTCTCACAGAAAGAATACCAATGCCAACTACTCCACCAAGTCGGTGAAGCTTTTCGTCGAGGAGCAGGAGGAGAAGTCTGCCGTGCGTCCCAAGGTCAAGAAGGTCATCGGCGGCGCCAAGGTCAAACCTTCCTTCGATATGTCTCAGCTGGAGGTGCCCAGTACCAGATTGGCTAGAATGTTCCACTACGGCTCGTTGGCTGCTGGAATGGGCTTCTCTGCTGCTTCTCATGGTTTGAGACAGGTTGCTCAGGGTAACGGCTCTACACTCAGTATGAAGCAGCTCTTCTTGAGTCCAGCTAACATTGAAAGAATGGCACGCAAGTTCTCCAAGATGAGAGGCGCTGCGTTGAAGATTGGACAAATGATGTCCTTCCAGGACGCTTCCATTTTGCCTGCTGAAATCCAGCAAATCCTTTTAAGAGTCCAGAACTCTGCTCATTACATGCCCTTGGCCCAGTTGGAGCGTATCATGACCACTGAGTTGGGCAAAGACTGGCGCAAGAACTTGTTTTCTTCTTTTGACGACGTTCCTTTTGCAGCCGCATCGATTGGCCAAGTGCACAACGCTGTAACTGAAGACTTGACTCCTGTCGTTGTCAAGGTCCAGTACCCAGGTGTGGTTGACTCCATCGATTCGGACTTGAACAACTTGCTTATGCTCCTCACCGCCTCCTCAATCTTGCCCCGTGGTTTGTTCTTGGACAAGACCATCGCCAACGCTCGTGTTGAGCTCAAGTGGGAATGTGACTACATCCGTGAGGCTCAAAATTTGGTTCGTTTCCGTGAATTGCTCGAGAACGACCCTGTCTTCGAGGTTCCAAGAGTGCTTCACAAGATGTCCGGCGAGCATGTCCTTACTATGGAGAAGATGGGCGGTACCGAAATTGCAAAGGGAAACTGGGACCAGAAGACCCGTGACTGGATCGCTACCAATATCATGAGACTTTGTCTTACCGAATTGAAGAACTTCCGCTTCATGCAGACCGACCCCAACTGGGCAAACTTCTTGTACAACGACAAGACCCACAAGATTGAGTTGTTAGATTTTGGTGCTGCTCGTGAGTTCGAGGACAGCTTCGTGGAGAACTACGTTGAAATCTTGCGTGCCTCTGTCCGTAAGGACCGTGAGGCTGTGGAGAAGTTTTCCCTCAAGTCTGGCTTCTTGACCGGTTTGGAATCTCCTGGTATGGTGAGAGCCCACGTGGACTCAGTCATGGTGTTGGGCGAAGCATTCTGCCTCAGCCAAACAGAAAACCTTTTGATTTCTCCAACCAAACCATCACGGATAGAGTTAGAGACAACATTGGATTAATGTTGAACGAGAGATTGACCCCTCCTCCTGAGGAAACATACTCCTTGCACAGAAAGATGAGTGGTGTCTTTTTATTATGTGCTAAGTTGAAAGCCACTGTTCCATGCGAACAATTGTTCAAGGACATTGTCGGCTACTAATTATTACGACTACGACGTTAATGCTGTATATAGAGGTTTTATTACGTTTGGCCTGGCTTCGGCCTGGTTCATGATGAATGATTTGGTTTTAGAAAGTTTAATTGATTTATTAATAATGATTGATACAAGTTGTAACAAATTGCATGCTTCAAACAAGTGAAACATTTAAACACTTTCTATTGCGCATCTAATCCTAACCAACACGGTGAAATAAGTTGTTTCTAGAATGTGTTCAACGGCTCTACATTAAATTGGTTGCACATCGCTAATTTTAGCCTTCGTTCATAACCAGGCTTTAATTTGTGCTTCTGTCAAACTTTATTAAGGCATAGACTCATACATATAAAACCGCCTCAAATAATTGCTCTCTACTGTGATCGTCTGGAAACGTATAACGGCCTCGTCTATATGGATCATCAGGCTTACAATTTCCATAACAAACAAGAAATAGAAACTTTCAACTCCGTCTAATAATGTCGCAGACTTTTCTTTCTTGAAGTTAATTACATGAAAAAAAAAAAAAAAAAAAAAAGGTTTTGGAATCGTTCGATGTTTAACTAAGAACAATAGTGGTCGCACACAAGCAGGTACAACATACTTTATACATCGCACACGATATAGCCGTCTCCGATAACACGCTTTTTCCAACGCAAAATTTCAGTCACAGATAAAAAGACAAAGAAGGTTCCGCCTTCTTTCGATAAAGGCCAATGGCCTCCTACAGGGAAATCCCTGTACCCTCTACTGTCCCCACATTCTCCTCTACAAGGCAGAACATCAGCCCCGAGGCTGGTTCCCAGAACACCAAATGAGCCGGAGATTGACTTCAAATCATACTTTCAAGGTACAACTAAGGGTCTCAATAGAACACTTATGAAGTCTTCTTCAGTTATCCTTCCTGAAAGTGGGCAAAAGGTGTACCGACTGAACCTGTTCTTTAATACGGAGTTCGAGAGCTTCAACGATGATTCCTTCCACGACTCGGAGTATTCGGAGAGTATGGCTTCAGGTGTTACTGGACCTCGCTCAGTACGCCGCCATTGGCGCAGGAGACTTCGGAGACTCCGATCAAAAATGGCTCGTCTCTATAGAAGCGAGATGTTCAGAAATATCCTCAAATGCTCGATAGCATACCTTGTTGCATCCATGGGTGTCTACTGGACTCCATTTGACAATTTCTTGGGAGTTACAGACTCAAAGCATGTTGTAGCGACAACTGCGGTATACTTCCATCCGGCCAGAACGAAAGGCTCCATGCACCAGCTGATCATGTTCGTGATCATATCATTGCTGTTCAGTTTTCTCGTCTCGTTATTTTGCCGCTCTATATCCACCTTTTTCTTCAACAATGGCGAGAACGAAATCAGTTTCGGAATCGATCTTGTTATCAGTTCCATTGGCCTTGGCTTTATCGCTTTCATGAAGCAAAAGGTCAACAAACAGACGTTTAACACTGCATGCTCATTGGCATCTATTTCACTCATCACTTGCATAATCAAGGAAGGTTCCTTGAACTCGTCCGTCATTCCCATGAGAAGATTACTTTCGACCTCACAGGTTGTATTCGTCGGCTCCTGTGTCTCGGTTGCAACATGTTACCTTCTATGGCCAAAAAGTGCTGTTTCACTGCTAAGAAAGTCACTCAATGACTGTTTTAACATCATGTCGCTGTTGGTATCCATCACGACACATCGCTTTCTCAATGGAGAAACCCTCACCAAAAAGGATTCTGAAATCTTTGCTCTACTTATGAAAGTTTGCAATGACCTCAGAGGCAGTTTGGAGGAAGCTGGCTATGAACTTCGATTGGTGGGCAAGGAAGCTGAACTTTCGAGTTATACAGAAATTGTTGAGGCTACGATATCTCTTCTGAGACACTTGCAGGCCTTGAGGTCCTCTTTAGAGATGCAGTGGCTGCTCCTTCATGACGATCGTGGGAAAAGTAGGTCCCCAGATGGAGTCTCTAGCAGGAGTCTTGATAGTTTTCATTCCTCGGATATACATCTCTCCCAATCGGTTGAAAACTTAAGCGCTTTTTCAAATTCAGATCTGTTGGGCCATGAAGCGGACCAAACCGCAATGTACCCCAATCAACTTTTTGATTTGTTCGTATACTACTTGGCTCCATCGATCAAGCTGTTCGTGTTCACCGTCAAGGAGGTTTTGGGCGCTGTGCCCTTCGAGCACAAATACGTTAGAGACAAGGATCAAGATATTTTCGTCAAATCTTCCAATTACCAAAAATCACTTGTGAAAGCTCTTGAACTATTTCAAAGCAAGCAAGCACATTCTTTCCGCAAAATTTACTCTCAGGAGATATTCAAGCCAGATAATCTAATGTTTAAAACAGACCAAGAGGAAGTTACCGCGTGTTGTGGTAATTTTGCCTCTTTATTGGCACTTTATGGTGAGGAGCTCATTCGGTTTTTGCAATTGACGGAGCATTTTGAAGTCGTTGCTAAATCATCACCACGCAGTTGGTCTTTCTTGAAGGTTTGGAAAACGAAACAAGAAGATGACAAAGATAAGCAGACAACTTACGAGACTGATTTCGTGGAAGCACTTCGTGAATTTAAAGCTCAGTTTAGTACAGCTACCAATAGACAGGCTACGGAAAGTACGGGCCTTATCTCAGGCAAGACGAAGTTTGATAATTTCAGAGTTCGTCTCTGGGAATCCCTTTACTTTTTCAGAAGAATTGATATCCAGTTCGGTCTACGCGTCGGCGTAGGAGCGTTTTGCATTGGTTTATTTGCATTTCTCCCGCAAACAAAAGATATTTTTGTGACGTGGAGACTCGAATGGGCCATGGTTATTTATTGCATTATGATGAGCAAGTCACTTGGTGGGACAACTATGACAGCAAAATGGCGTTTTGTGGGTACCTTCCTTGGAGCCTTCATCGCATGGGTAGTTTGGGCATTGACAGAAGGCAATGAGTATGCTTTAGCTACAACCGGCTTTTTGCTCTCTCTTCCGTGCTTCTACATCATCATCTATTGGAAGAAAAACAACCCATTTGGACGTTTTATCCTTTTGACTTACAATTTGACCGCACTTTACTCATACAGCATGACTCAAAATGACTCGGAAGATGATAATGAAGGAGGTGGGGAGCCTATAGTTGGTGAGATTGCATCCCACCGATTCATAGCAGTGTCAATAGGTATCGCTTGGGCATTGTTTGTGGCGACATGCTTTCTTCCAAATAGTGCACGCAAGCGACTCAAATCTGGTCTCACTGTGTTATGGCTCCGCATGGGCGTTATCTGGAATAGCGATCCTTTGGAATACAAAAGTGCCCCTAATGAGCCTGCTAGACTAGTGGGCCTCAAAGACTACAAAGGAACCAGCAGTCTTTTCACGGAGTGTCAGACATTACTAAAGCAAGCCCCTCTCGAATTGCGCTTGAAAGGTGCACTTCCCAAGGGGATATATGAGGATCTTCTAAAAAGTACTTCAAACATTTTGGATGCATTTCAAAATATCAAGTTGATGTTCGAAGTGGACCCCTGGTTGACTCCCAATGAGGAGTACGTTTTGAAATTTATCGAAAACGAACGAGAGGAACTCGAGCATCGTATCTTTTTGATATTTTACATGATTGCGAGTGCCTTGGCTCTTGGGTTTCCACTTCCTTCGAAACCTGCTTCCACTGAGCATGCTAGGAATCGTATGCTATTGAAGCTTAGTGAAGTCAGGTCAAAATCGGTTAGTGAAAGCGTGAAGCTCAATAATGAAGATTACGTTTTGTTGTACTCTTACCTATTGGTCACTTCAACTATAACCGAAGAGCTCGACAAGATGGTAGAGCTCATCAAGCAATTGCTTGGTGGGTTCTCAGAAGAAATCTTCTATTTAGTATAGAGGACGGTCCCACAGTTCATCGACCTTCATGAAACGACCCATGTTTTTAAAAACAGTTGTAGATGAGAGGACTGAAACCAGACAATTCTGTATCATTATTCTATTTTTTCTCACTATGTGAAAACTATGCAATTTATTGAGGCGTGACGTTGTACCTCATCTTAATACCCATGGCAGCCAACTCCGAGTCCAAGTACTTCAAGACGAAAGGAATAGCGACAGTTGTCGTGTTTTCCCCACCAACGAACTTGGTTCCCAGGCCATCTTCCCAGACATCAGCATCACTGACTTGGAGACCCTTCTTAGCATAAGAGTCAAACTTCTCCGCACATCCACGGCACCTTATCGTGGCGAAGGTTCCAATACGAGGAACAGACATTTGCGTATTGAGCATCAGACCACATGAGCGACAAATTGGTGTTTGCGTGTAATCGGAACAATTGAGCAATCTGTCTTGAAGCAAGAATGAAGTACCGTGACCAATCAAGGCATCTCTCTCCATCTCACCAACACGGATACCACCGTTTCTCTTACGACCCTTCACAGGCTGCATGGTCAAGGAGTTGACGGGACCAGTGGATCTGACCTGGAACTTGTCGTTAACCATATGTCTCAATCTTTGATAGTAGACAACACCAATGTAGATGTCGCAACGGAGTTCCTCACCAGTAACACCAGAGTACATTGGCTCGTTACCGTGATAGTTGTATCCGGCCTTTCTTAACTGTTCACCGAAGAAATCGGCTGGGGTATCGTCCTCACTGAAAGTCCAAGGAGTAGAGTCTTGAGAGATACCATGCATAGCACCTGCCTTACCAGCAAGCGACTCGACAAACATACCAATGGTCATACGAGATGGGAAAGCGTGCGGGTTAATGATGACATCGGGCTGAATACCAGTTTCAGAAAATGGCATATCCACCTGGGGCCACTTTCTCGAACAAACACCCTTCTGTCCGTGTCTCGAGGAGAACTTGTCTCCGATCAATGGTGCTCTGGTAACTCTGTACTTGATCGTAAGCAGCTGGCACTCGGAGTCACCGGTTTCGTCTGCGAGAAGCTTGACTTCTTCAATGTAGGCTGGCTCACTGGAGTGGTACGTCTTCACCTTCGTCTTGCCGATGGTGTCGTCGTAGTATGCACAAATTGGGTCACCTTCTTCAACATGGACGCCAATAATTGGCAAACCATCATCGTCCAACTTCTCTCTCCAAGCTTCTGGGTATTCATCATCGCCGAAACCCAAGTGCTGAATGATTGGGTCACCTCTCTTACGGGTCATTGAGAGATCAACTTTCTCAACCTTGTAAACTGTACCGTAACCGAAACCTCTCTCATCAGCCGACTTATTGATGATCATGGCATCGTCCATATCATATCCAGTATATGAGATGACAGCAACAACAGCATTCATACCGTTAGGGAAGTTATCCATACCGTATTCATCGTACAAGTTAGCCTTGACGATTGGGGTCTGACCTGTTTGAAGTCTGTAAAGCTTGTTGTCTGATCTGTGCACCAAAGCGGTACCTGGAGTACCCATGGTTTGCTTACCCATCTGACACTGGTACATGTTTCTTGGAGACTGGTTGAAGTCTGAGAATGGTGTCAAGTTGGCCAAAATGGACAATATGTTTGTAGGAGCCCACTCCACATGGGTGTGAACCTTAGGCTCGATCTCTGGGGAGTCACAGCAATGTTCATGTAAACTTGCTCGAATGGACCAAGGATATCATTCTTCTCGAGAGGCAAGTACTTGGTTGGTCTCATCATTCTCGAGCGACCACCAAAGAGGAATAAACCTGGGTACTGACCCTTGGAAGAAGGAGGAACATAACCAACTTCCAAATCAAGAGGCAAGCCATGGCCGCCCTCGATCTTCCAGTACCTCAATGCATCAGCAACAAGTTTACCTTGTTCATGACTTGTCCAACCGACGATCTTACCATCCAATTGGACGCAGCACAACTTGGGACCAGCTGCGAAAGTATGTGCTGGAGAAACACCCAATTTGGCCAATGCTGCTGGGACCTGAGAGACATCTGATTCCTCAGTCGAAATCTTACACTTGTGAGCTAAATGGTTCAACAAACCACATGGAGAACCATCGGGTGTGTGGACAGGGCACAAGAAACCCCAAGATTCTGGCAACAACTTTCTGACAGTAGTGGTCTTCAATTCGGCGAAGAAAGAACCTCTATGGACCATTCTGAAATGTGAAATGAATCTGTGGAAATTGATCTTCTCAGCGACGACAGTGTAACCAGAGACCTGCTGCAAATCTAAACCAGATTGAGATACAAGGTTACCAGTGGAAAGGAAGTATTGCAACTTCTGACCTATGTTCTCGTTGATTCTCATGAACACACGAGACATGTACTTCCTGTCGCTGAAGTTGACTCTGGTGCCCCTGTTGATGTCAGAGGAGATCTGAACCTTGATGCTTTGCAAGTACTCTTCAATCTTCTCCTTGATGATCATACCATAAAGGAAGCCTCCTAACAAAACCTCCTGATGCTGAGTAGCATCGGGATTGTCTGGAGAACAATCACCAGCCACCAAAGTGTACAACTTACGGATCATGAAAAGAAGCATGCGGAACTTATCGGCGTTGTTTGGCAAATGCACGAGCACGATCTTCTTGAGAAGCTCTTTACCAACATCGATATCGGACATGTCAGCTGGAGCCTCGAAAACCACACGGAACTTGTCACCCAAAAAGGCCAAGGTTTCTCTTTGTGAATGGAGGTTGTATGACTTGTAGGATCTGAGCAATAATTCAAGACGATCGGTCAAGAAAGAGTTGTTAATGTCCGAAGCAACGATACCATCGAAAATCTCTCTGTCATTGGTCTCCAACAAGGCTTTAAGGATCATCACGACAGGCACCAAGTACTCGTTCTTGCGCCAAGAGAAACGGAAAGTGACGTTACCGTCCTTTAAGTAATGCAAAACGTTGGTCTGGGAGGTTTGGTCAGGACGAACACATCTGATCTGGCAACCAAACTTGGTGTACGAGTTACCTCTGTTTCCGAAAGAGGGACGGATGAGGGCCATAGGGTGGTTTCTCCTCTGCACAATCAACATACGAATCAACTTCTCGATACCGTTGACAATAAAGTATCCACCCAACTCGTCACTCTCTTCTTTGGCGGCAACCAACTCGTTTGGGGACATCTTTTCCAAATGACACCTGTTGGAGCTGATCATGATAGGGACTTGACCCGCATCACGAATTTCAGAAACCTCGGGGCCGTCATTGACGGACCATGTCACCTTCAACATCAACTTGCCTCTGTAGGTTGTCATTCTTTCTCTGCACTCAGAGGGAAGAGTCTTACGGTTAACCGAGAGCTTGTCCGTTGGAGGCACGGCGGGCTTGGCCAACTGAACCGACTCGACTTTGATTTGGAGCTTGTTTCCAAGCCTGAGTTCATCGGAAGAATCGAAAATCGTCTTGGTGCCGATATCCTTCACACCCATATTGAGAAGTCCCCCATCAGGACCCTCTGTAAGGGCATTGAAGGAGCCAATGTGTGGGGCGACGGCCTCGGCTAGGAGGGGGAAGGACGATTTGTCTTTGGGAGGGTTCTTAAACCTCTGTTCACGTTCTAGGGTCCTAAACTGGGCACCCATCTTGAAGATTTAAGAAATGGCTAGCGATATAATGGACTTTTTTTTTCTCTGATGAGATGAAGCGATGCCAGTGCAGGCCGCATATCTGCACGTGCCTGTATGCACGTGCTATCAAACCTACCAAACCTGTTGAAGTTGTCTTCATCGTAAGGGTTGATTGAATTGTATATGTCTCGGCAGAAAATTTTCGACACTCTTTCGAACTTTGTAAAACTATGCTGAATGTGTTGCGCGGAGATCAGATCATGACTTGTCCATCGACAATAATACCCTGATGAATGAACTTTAGTTGACTCAGCAAGTCAAATATAATTCTAGTCGACTGATTGTAGCCAATAAACTCCTGAGAGAGTGAAACTCAGATTTGGGATATCCTAAAGGATGTGGTGTCTTCCAATATGATCGGGGTGTCCGGGTGCGAGATGCGATGAATCTGGGGCATGTACTTTTTCAATGCAGTTAGCACTCTGTGATGCTACCGACACCAGATGTGGCGGCTGATGATAGGGTCTATGAACCAGCAGAGGATTCCTTTCTTCTATTAGACTGCTTTGAAGAGAACCTTGAGAAATTGCAACTGGAATTCAAGAACCCAGTTGTATGCGAGATTGGCTCTGGATCTGGGGTCGTAACGGCCTTCCTCAAGATGCACGTCTTCCCACTGGCCCTCTATTTGGCAACCGATCTCAATCCCACCGCTTGCTCCACTATAATAGCAACAGTTCAAAAAAATGAGCCAAGTGAGAAAGAGGGTGTAGTCACAGCCCTACAAATGAGTCTAGCCTCAGGTATACGACATAGATCGATTGATATATTGGTGTTCAATCCGCCCTATGTTCCCGCAGAAGATGTACCAGATGTACCAAAAGCTGAAGATGATTATACTTGGCTCGATTTGGCGCTCCTAGGTGGTCCAGATGGAATGGTCGTCACATGGCAGCTCCTAGACAGATTAGACGAGCACTTAGCTATTGGTGGGGTTGCATATATTCTATTTTGCGCTAGAAACAAGCCCGATGAAGTTGCAAAGACAATGAGGAGTAGAGGCTGGCTAGTGGAGACAGTCATTCATAGAAAAGCTGGTTGGGAGGTTTTAAGTGTTCTTCTGTTTCGCAGAGGCACGGATAATGTAACTTAATTTAATAAAAGATAGGCTTTGAAGCAAGATTTCTTTGTAAAATGATTTTCTTTCACACATTGTGTATTCACATTTGAAGGGTTTAGGTGTATTTTCGATAAAAAGTGTAATTTCGCAGCCATTTTACTGAACTGGAGTGATTATTGATTTGAGAAAATATATACTGATTGAGGCAAGTTTAACTAATCCGAACTTCTGTAAGTAATTTCAATTGCCCGATCATGATATTTTATTTTTTGAGGGCTATTGCTCTAGAATGGCATCCTCATGGGTGGATCGGTGCTCATCCATCTCACAGTATTAACGCATCGCGGAAAATCAAGTACATCAAAATAACCAACTCCACTAAACCCACACCGAACTAATGTCAAGACCCACGAAATGGGGAGGCCAAAAGAGCCGTCAGGTTCAATTTGGCGACGAAAAGCTTGACACAATCATCACAGGCCATCTAACCCAGGAGCAAGTGGATGCTTATCAGAGATTCTTCAGAGTTGAAGAGATACTGCACTACTTACGTCGTGGAGGACGCAGCGGGAGAACCTTCCTAGATCTCCTCCCCCTGAGTAAGACTCAAAACTTCAAGAGAGATCCATCACCACCTCCACAATATGATCTGAATGGTAACAGGACTAATACTCGGGAGAGACGTATAAGAGAGCTGCTCGAGAAGGAGAGAGATGTGCTTGTCGAGCTTGCCGTCACAACAATCAAAAACTACGATCCACCAGTGGACTATCGTAGGCCTGAAAAGACCAGCGAGAAGCTTTACATACCAGCCAAGGACTACCCGGACATTAACTTTGTTGGTCTCTTGATTGGGCCTCGAGGAAACACCTTACGCCAGCTTTCCGAAAAGAGTGGAGCCAAGTTAGAAATCAGAGGCAAAGGATCGGTTAAAGATGGTAAAAGCATAACAGACGCCCGTGGTGGCGCCCCAGCAGAAGATGACTTGCATGTTCTAATATCTGCAGACAAGGGTTCCAAGATTCAAAAGGCCATCCGGCTCACGAACGAAGTGATGGAGACGGCTATCCTGTCTCCTGAGGGCCAAAATGATTTGAAGAGAGGCCAACTCCGAGAATTGGCCGTACTCAACGGTACCCTTCGAGAGACCAAACCATACGTGCCTCCTGAAGTGCTCAACAAGAAGCCACCTATCAGAGATATTACACTGGTTGTTTGTCGTATTTGTGGAAAAGTGGGACACTATTCGAGAGACTGTGTTCTCAGGAATGGAAATGGGGAGAACTCACCGACAGGCAGCTTCACACAAAGCCCCAGCCCAGGCTTCGACAAAGTCCGAGACTCGCCTCATGGGGAAAGGGATTCTTATGTTCCAAAATTGCATAGTCCTAGGCCGGATAAAAGACCCATTGAGGAAGCTGTACCCCCTTGGAAACGTCAAAAACCAGGCACAGACTCCTACATTGGATCTCTGGGTCTCCCACCACCTCCTACAGTTACAGCACCACAACCTCCACCTCCACCAGGACTTCAGCCTCCACCACCCCCTGCATCTCAAAACCCACCTCCACCGGGTTTGACGAAACCACCACCACCTCCAAATTTATCGCAGGCACCACCACCACCTACTCAGGCCCCTCCACCTCCAGGACAAGCACCTCCGCCACCTGCTCCACCTGCAAATTCTACAGCACCACCACCTCCGCCACCTCCATCGAATGGCACACCACCACCACCACCACCTCCTCCCTCGAAATAATGGTCGGTTAGTGCGTCCTGTAGCTTGTCACTACATCAGGACTTCAGACTTGTCTTTCCAAATTAGCTTACTTAGATCAATTGAGACCGAAAATTTTTTATGAGAGCAACATGGCCAAGCGCATATTCTCCCATCTGAGACCTTGGTCGAATCCGGTTTTCGCAGAAGAACCCCATGCGCATGTCACCTGTCAAGCTGCGAAGCTTATGTCCAGTTCACGGAACTTCCCCTATCTCGACTTAATCACAGGTTCTTCCCTAATAAGATCTCGAAAATGTTACCATCATTGTCACTTGTCTATGGCTTGATAACTTTGCCCGCTAAGTTATTTTATCTCACATTGCAGTTCTTTACAGTGGGAACTGTCTTCACCAACCCCACAGCTAAGAAGTCGTTGGTCAAGACCTTGCACAATGGTCTCTGTCAGCACATGGGCCGCTCCATACGGGTCCAAGATTTGCAATTGGTTCACATCCCCGTGTCCAAACTCTTAGGAATGATGTCTAGGACACTTGGAAGATTGCCCGGCTACAATGAACAATATTCGGACAAGGAAGAGTTTGCCTGTGAAAGCCGCTGGCTCACCAAGAATATCACACTGAAGTCTTCACCAATTATCCTTTATTTCCACGGAGGCTGCTTTGCAATCCTGATGCTGGACAACCAGGCTCAAGGCATGGCCAACTTATACGATGCCTACAAATTGAGATACGGCGACGACCTTTCCATCCTCATTGCCGATTATTCATTGGTCTCAGAAGGTTGCACCTACCCTTGCCAGTACAACGAGGCAACTAGCCTCTATGAAAAGCTAGTCTATGAAGGCTACACTAACATCGTGTTAATGGGTGACTCCGCCGGCGGTAACCTTGTCCTTAATGTGCTCAGCTATCTTCATGAAAAGAGCAACCATCACGAGGTTATGTGGCCTGTGGCCGCGATCGGCATTTCTCCATACCTCAACGTCTCAAAACAGGAGTTCAAGGGCAGTTTCAAAAAGTTTAACAAACTTGACTTCTTCAACTATGATATGACAAGCTACTTTGGCAATCTATACATTGGGGGAGATGAGTTTTTGAACGATTCTCCCATTGTGAACATCGAACTCAATGCTGATAAAGTAGACTGGAAAGATATCCCAGTGATCAAAAATGGAGACCTTCTCATTCAATTTGGTGACCATGAGGTTCTAACAGACGAGATTCTCAGGTGGTGCGAGAGAGCTGAACTCACCAGCCGCCATCCAGAAAACATTGCTATTGACATCGATGGTACTCACATTGGGTTTTTCGTTACCGAGAGTGTCGCATATGGAAGTATCGAGAACTGGCTGAACCAGTACTGCGCCAATTCGGTACTTACATTTTTGAAATCTAAGCTTAAGTAAAAGTGGTATGTATTATACTTCCACCAATGCATCAACACGTTCAACGTCTGCTTGTAATCTCTCCTTTGCGACTTCAATAATCTTGCCCTGTCTATGCATATGCTGGACAACATTATGAAGGTTGTTATATAGCAGTAGCTCTTTCATACTGCCTTCGAGATCAGGTGTGTCATCTTTCTTCTGGCAAGCTTCCCGGATGATGCTATCAAGTTTCTTTACCTGTTGCTCCAAGGATGCTTTTTCGGGGAGCCCTTTATTATCTCTCTTGTTAAATCGTTCAACTCGTGCATCCATGCTTTCTCCTTATGCGAGATGGGTAAGCTTGCAAATCTCTTGCTATCTTCGAATCTTTTGATTATTTTTGACTCGATGTCATTACCTCGCTTTAAGAGATGCTTCTGACGCGCAAGAAGCTCTTCTATGCGCTTTGTATACATCGGTATGCGCTGCTTGAAGTCTTCTATTGGCTTATCCCATCAAGAAGAGAGCTGTGCATCAAGTTACGCTTCTGCTGTACCTCGAGTTTGCCAACAAGCGCAATGATGAATTTTGAAAGTTGATGAATGTGAGCCCGAGTAACATCTGAGATTTTTGACAATGCAATAAGATCCTCTGCATTCCTTGTTTTAGACGAGAAGGTCGTTTGAGCGTTGCTGGGGTACTTCAACATGCGTTTGAGTTCATTTGCAGAGATACCAATGTCGTGCACTGTCTTTGCGTCGAAGTTGGCTTGGACTTGAGCTGGGTCCTCTTCGCCTCCACCGGCTTCATCGTCCAGTCCATCTTCAGGATAGACTTGTGCAACAACAATCTCGCCCCTAGAGACCTCATGAATAAATAGGGATCAGAAGGATCTCCGACGTCATGAATTAGGGCTATTGCTGTAAGGGGCTTCTCGACAGAGAAAGTCGTCTTTACCGAATAGAATTCAGCAACACCTAGAGGAAAGCCATCCTCTAATTCCCCAAACCATTGCAGGCAATCAACAACCTGAACTTTGTCTTTAACACATAGCAAGATACGTCCAAACGTTTGTGCTATGACAGATGCGGCGCCAGGCGATTTCTTCTTATAATGCTCCACAGATAGTGATGTGAGTTTCTGATGCAGAAGAATGAAGTCCTGACACTTGACCTTCAATTCGTAAATTTCCCATGCTTTCGAGTAGTCAACAAATTGACTGTTTGTGCTAGCCTCATCATCCAGCTCATCATCAGATGCGAATGCTAGGCCAAACCCTTTCTTAGGTTTGACATACTTATCATTATCCTTCTTGGCCTGCAGTGAGGCTGTATATTGCGGAGCATCTGGCCTTGGAATATCGAATGCGCTGGACATCACTAGAGGTGATAGTTGTGCCAAGTACGTCATCTCAAATTGGGACTCAGAATCATGGTGGGCGATGATCACCGATGCTGCAGTATTCGTGTCTAGCGATGTGAGCAGCGAGTTTGCAGCGACCTGGGCGTATGGTCCCGAAATCAAGGGATCCATCGGCAAGTGTTTCAACCGAAGCACTTTGAAAGGATCCGACGAATTCAACAAAGGGCTTTCGATTTGATTCTGAAGATCCAAACCAAAGTTGAGCTGCACTAACAAGTCGTTGTTGGAGGGATGGCCAGCAATCACTCTAGGAGGGAACTTCCCCTCTACCATGCTGACTAGTTCCTGAGTCTCGGACACGAACAGGTCAACTGCAGACTTAGAAGCCCCAAATGGAAACCAGGGTATATAAGTGGAAAGAGTGAATAGATATATCCGGAAGCGGAGCTGTAATAAAGTGACAAGGAGCCAGAAAGACTGAGAGCAGAACCAAACGCGATGGAGATGGGAGTTTCACGAAGCGCTAGATCCTCCAACTTCTCGTCAAATTTGGCCTTCGTCGTTGACTTGATGATGTCGAACAGTTGCAATCTCTCTTTCGTCAAAACCACTAGATCAGTAGCCGAGTAACTTGCAGGATGCCACGAAACTGACTGTACATCACTTGAAAGATTAATGACAAACTTAAGTGGTTCCCAGGGTTGGTTTGGATCCAAAAATGGGATACGCTTCAAACAGACAACAATGATACACCTGCGACAAATAAGAGCCAACAAACTATGGGTATGATTGAGTTGGATGCTGTTGATGCGGTGTGAATCGCCTAGATTCAAAAGCTTGAAGTTGTGAGCTGGCGATGTCAAATCCATGGCTATAACAGTATCACCAGATGCAAAGAACAATTGCTCATTATCTTTGACAACAACATTTGTGGAGAAGTCTGCAAACGGGATCTTAAACGCACTACTCTGTGCGAGGGAATCAGCAAATGCTGGCATGTTGAACTAGATGTTATCCTACATCACCGATGGACTATGAAGCTGTTGTACAACATGCAGGACACACAGATCACTACTATAGAATAACCTATCACTTCAGCAGAGTAAATTTCAAATGATTTCGTGAATTTAGAAATTCGCTTGCTCGTAATGAGATGGTTTAAAGATCTCATCCATCGAAAATCATACTCTGCTGGTATTCACCGCACAGACCTTCGTGGTGCAAACGCCAGGACCAAGATTGCAAGGGCTCCTCAAGTCAATTGAGTGCTTCTTTCTTGATAAACGTAGTTTCACAAAAAATGTGCTTCTTTGAGACTTGAGTGTGTTCTGTTTTCTTCGAGCTACCGAAGCTCCGCTCGACTCGTTGGTGTTGACTGAATGAGCAGGTGATTCAGTGGCGGCCTTTTTCCACGGCCACCACGACCTGAGCTTATCTCGCTTCCTTGGTGAAGTGTTGTTTCTTTCAGTGGATTCACTGCTGATGTTCTGAGGTGACGGTGATTGCAGCAGCTGAGCTATCGCATAAGTCTGGTTTGCCTTGGAGCCCATAATGGACCACCAATCGACAGGGCTGCCTTCGGATTGAGAACTGCCACATGGATGCAGCATGGTTGTTACTTGTACTTGGGACCAGTTGTTGATGTGTGGAAAAAGCGTGGCAGGGGCTGTAGTTGAAGCTAACGGTTTTTTGCAGCCAATTCGCACAGACTGATTTCTTACACCGCCTTACGAACATACTCATTAACATACAAAAGGGTAATTTCTCAATTTGCTGCCTCGACTGGGCAATCGCGTACTTGCCTTTTTCTGCCAGCATGCATGTTGGCTGGTATCGAAATCTCTTCGATCTGCTGGGAAGCCTTTTGCATTCTGCGGTTCGTGCGTGCTAACCGCCTGATCACAGCCATTGACTCCCTTTGACTTTCTGCTCGACCTTTTTTCTCCATTCTAAGAGCCTCAAGGGTTTCCGCATACTCACGGGAAACTTGACGGCTTGATTCAACGAGAGCTGTTGTCAATTCAGTGAGACTGGTCTGGTTATCCTTGCTGAAGACCATGATGCGATTGACCTCGTAGTAGAGCTGCGCATTTGCTGAGGCGGCCTCCCTAGCAAGGAAGGGAGCCATTGCTTCGTACGTGCTTTTGAGAAGCTTTTTCATTGTTTCCACAGTGAAGTTATTGGACCACTTCATCGTCTCGAACCCATCAAAGCAAGTGTGGAAGTTGGCTCTTCTTGTCTTGACTTCCTTCTTGAGCTGAAGAACTTCAGCATTGAGGTCAAAAACTTTTTGTTCGAGCAGCTTTTTCTCTAACTCTTTATTCTCAAGCTCCTTGGAAGACTGAGCGGCTTCCTGCTGTTGCTTGTCGAAGAGATTTCGTAATTGTTTCAGGGCCTCCAAATTTTTGCTCTCGACCTCTTTGAGCTCTTTTGATCCATCATCCACCTTGCGTTGGAGGCTTTCAAGAGATTGCAAGAAGGATTCTCTTTCCAAGCTAAGCTCTTCCACCCGTGTCTCGAAGTTTAACCTCTCGGTCTGGCAAGCCTCAAGATCTATTTTCAACTGTAAGTTCTTTCTGGCGAGAGCCTCACTCGCTTCCTCGTACTTCTGGGCGTTGCTTTCAAAGTTCTCAATGATGCACATCTTTTCCGCAATGGTAGCATCCTTTTGACTGATGGTAGCCTTGCATTCCTTCTCAGCCGTTCCAAGTGATTCAATCTTGATAATGTAGTCTTGAAGCTTACGCTCGAGGTCGACTTTGGTTGTCCAGAGTACTTCTCGGTCTTGGTTAGTGGCATACAAGCTCTCTTTCAAGTCGTTGTTCTCACTTTTAAGGTCAATCACTCTCAAATTGTTGGCTTTCAGATCCTCCAACAGTTTGCTCTTGATCTCTTCAATCGCTTTTTTCAACAATTCATTTTCTCTGAAACTTTTGGAAAGATCTGTTTCTAGGGACTCTTTTTCCTTCAAGAGAACACCTTCCTTCCCTGTGAGCGCTTCAATGGCATGTTCTTGATCATCACACCTTTGGCTATTTTCCCTCAACTGGTTACGTAAGTCTTCAATGACCTCATTTGAAGCCTCAAGCTCTTTGGAGGACTTTTCCAAGATGTGTTCAATCTCGCCCTCCAAACGATTCTGCCTCTCAGTTTGAATAGCATTGAGCTCCTCGTACTTTGAGTTTATCTCATCAAATTGTTGCTTCCAAGCCTCCACATCGGCTTCTGCATCATTAGCCCTCTTCTTTTCTGAAGCAAGAAGAGACTGACAAAACTTGTTCTGTTGGATGCTATCTCCAATCCCGGAGTCAATACTGATTATAAGCTCACCCAAGTCATCAAAATCGAGGTTAGTGTCCGGGAAGTGTTTCTGATACAAATCAGATAGCTGCTTAATGATGTTTCTTCCGTTCTCATCACAAGAAACATAAATCGTGTGATCCCAGTCTTTCGTATCAGGCAGAACCTCAATATTTGCCATATTGGGAGAGAGACTATCATCAGAAGACGGTTCTGGCAGCTTTTCGTCTATTCTTTCATGAATTGTGAGTTCTTCGTCTCCGAGTGGTGATTCGGAACTTTTCTGTTTTGTGCCTGCTTGAACAGAGCAGGTGCCTTCTGCTGGTTTTGTTTCTTCATTTGCTTTGAACTCACAATCCTCTTCCTTGAAGATTCCTGTAAGCCGCTCTTGAACCTTACCGTGAATACCTCTCAAGTCAGCCGACTCATCAGAGTAAACCAGCGAGCTTTCTTCCTCAGATGCCCTCTTTCTGAGCCTTTTCAAAGATTCGCTTTGGTCGGCAAAGTGTACCGTTTTGCTCCGGGGCAACTTAAAGGCAGATGGCGGTTTAGATGGTGGAAGTGTGAAGCTTCTCGAACGACGGACCCGATTCTTGTCTGCGTAAGGATCAAGATCTTCAATTGTGATATCAGATGGGTCAATTCCAGAGAACAAGTCCTTCCGAAGGTCCTTCTTTTCCGTTTTGTCAGTGGAAATCTCACACTTGGTGTCAGAGGGGCCGTTGTCTTCACGATACCGCTGAAGATCTGAATCGGTTAAAGAGGTGACCCTGATAGTTGGCCCTTTGTCAAAAAACGTTTTCTCTATTTCCTTCTTCGATCTCGAGGAAGGAGGCCGGAAGATTTTCTTGAACATGGAAGAAGTGGTGGTGATTGTGGACTTTTGCAGCCTTTTCGCAGCCAAATCCATATATCCATATGTTGGCGTTTCAAGGAAGATGTGCAACATGAGGCTCAAAAAGGCAGACATACCTACAATTGAGCTACAATTGAATTCATTCAGTCAGTTCAAATTATATTGTTGCTTGCTAGACGGGATTTAGCCAGCACTAGCTGTGGAAGCAAAGCGCTTTTAAACAAGCATTATGTCATTAAAGGACATGATTTTTGCAAAACCGAAAAAGCCGACCTGATGATATCTGAATTGAGGAATTTAATCCTACCAATTCTCCTATGTTGTATCCTTCATCTTTGGAGTCTACCCTTTCGCCCTGCGTACATCTTGAGTGTCTCTCGCGTACCTCTGAAACTACTGATAGAACAGCTAGCAATGGGTAAACAGTACATCCTGACTGTGACAGCCTCCCATGCTCATGGGCTGGACATAACCGGAGTCTCTATGACCGACAAATACACAATTACCGTATCCAGTGACGGTCTAGTGGCATTTTGGGACAACAAGAAGGATGAGGTCCACAACCCTTCAGACTCTGTGGTAAAGAAGTTGATCAACGAAATTGGCATCCACCATGTGGCAGTATACGAAAATATCCCACCGGAACTGACGCAGAAGGTGGTGCTTCTAGCCTTCGCATGTTTCGATGGTTCCATCAAGTTCTACTACTACATCGATGAAGATCTCGAAACCTTCAAGGAATTGGACACGGGTTCTACTTTCAAAGCAAATTTTTGGACGCCTGGCTTCTACAAAGACCCTAAATCAAAGCAAGACATGTTCATTGTCACCAAGGCGAACGGTCTGGCTGCCGTATACGCTTTGAGCATCAAGGATGTCGAGGGCACTATAGAAATTGCCACTGAGGAACTTCTAGGGGAGCTTCACGTAACGGTAAACAATGCAGCATTCCCAAACTCCTTGGGAGTCTCTCAAGCTACAGACGGGCTCGTCGCCGTGGGGTACACTTCTGGAGATGTTGCTGTCTTCACCTTACATGGCCTCAAAGCCTTGTTCACCTTTTACTCGACAGATCTCCAGGTCGACGAGAACATTGGATCCAGCTCCGTTCCTCGTGTGCTTGAATTCTCGCCCGGTGGATCCATCCTTGCGGTTGCGAGAGATAACCAGTCTGCTGGCCTGATCACTCTTTACGATGTGGAATATGGTGAGAATGTCGGATCGTTGACTACGCTGTCACACTCCACCAAGACCACTGTCGGAGGTTTCGCTCATGATGGATGGATCATGGGTCTCGATTTCAATGCCGACGGCCTGCTTCTTGCAAGTTGCGGTTTTGACAAATGCATCAGGGTGTGGAATCTCGAGCTGCGTGAGCGTGAAGCCACTTTACAAGTGAATGTCACCGATTTAGAAAATACCGAGCACGACGACAGCATTGACAGTAGCGTTTGCAGTGGCGTCGCGTTCATCGATAGAGGTGTCAGAGCAGGTGCTGGAGGAGACTCTAACGAGGGGCTTTGTGTAGTCAGTTTTGATCGTGGAGTTCGTTGGTATAGAGAGGCAGGTGGCATCTGAGCTCACAAATAACCAGTATTAATATAGGTAATGGGTTACACGTAAAATGGTTGCAAAATAAAGTGCGTATGGGATAAACGAGCTTGGGCTCAACCTGGGCTAAGATGACAAAGTAATAGGTAGATTTTCAGATCAATAAAGACATCTGTTCAATTATGGGATTCTGAAGTTTTATAATGAATCACAGCTTTTGATGTTCGTAGGTCTGATCTACGGCATCGCTATACTCTGCACAGGATGTTTATTTACATATCTACAACATCTACATCAACCTGATTTATCACGATGCACCTGCTGGAAGATGTCTCGGAACATCTCCGAAGCTTATTTGAAAGAGGACCCCAGTCATCCGATGCGCTTGATCAATTGAGTCAATTGGCTGCACTGGATGGTCTCTCAGAGCCTGAATTGCACATGGTGTTGGACATAGTCTTCGACTACTCATTGAGAAGCACGTTGCGTCAGACTCTCATCACCAAATGCCTCGTACCCAACGGTGAATACTTAATCCAAGTTGATACGATATCCCGAATCCTAGGTGCCGTTGGGGTCTCCGAGGTATACTTCAGAAACGGGAAGCAACTCAAACTGAAAAGACTTCCTCCTACATCGCAAAATCTACTACTAGAGTGGTTGATTTGTGCTCTGCATCTTTTCGGAAAGGCATTATTTGAGGAGCTACACAGACTTTTACCCACCCTATTCGGCTTGCTTTCCTTTGAGTATCTGAGGTCAAATATCACCACACTCATTATCCTTGCACTTTCGGAACAGCGTAAGCTGAAAGATGTCTTCACGAGTCAAAGAAAGTATGCCTTAAAGCCCTGGCATGTCAATGTGGTTCTAAGCTTATCTTCCAAGTTTCCTTTCGACCCCTCCATCAAATCCCTACTAGCCTTCATGAAACGTTTAAATCCAACCCTAGACTTGCGGGGTTCGTCAGAGTCAGGCTCTTCAGGGCTATCCAAAGCGGAAGCTGTGAAGTATCCAAACAAAGAGCTCGTGACACTTTTGAGTGCAAGGCATTCCTCATCAGATTTATGGGAGATAAAAGAGGTGAAAGACAAGGTTCAGAGAATTTTCGACTCCTTCACAACTCCTGCGTTTAAAAAGAGAAAGATAATTATTAATTCATTCAACGATTTGGACCTACTTGAATCGCCCGAAACAGAAACCATTTCGATCGGTACTGTTGAATCACTTCGAACATTGATTGATGAATTTGACAGAATCTCCATGGCGAATCCGGGGTCACTCTTCACTTTAAGTAACATAGCCAACCAGAAGTTACGGGAGTACTTCGTTGCATTTCATTTAATTTTGGCAAGCGTTGATCTGCCAATTACCAAGAAATTCATTCAAGCTGTCCAGTTTCACGCGCTCTCGCCCTCCGCATCACAGACAGCTTTCGATCAGCTATACTTGATCGGACAGTTAGGTTGCTTTGAACAACTTACGGAACCTTTTGAAGAGACTATATCTAACGGTTCAATCAAAGAGACAAGGCTATGTAAGCTTTTGAGCTTACTCCCACCAAATGATGGCCCAATTCAGACATTTATCGCTCGTCTAAATGATGAGAACCATCATGAGTACTGGAGCTCAGTATTCTTTGAGCTATCAAAGACATTTCTTAAGTGGAACGTTCTCCACAACGAGTACGGCTTCTTTCAGAATGTTTACCAATCCATACATAACATTGTTGGATCCCTCTTCTCCATTGCTGAAGTGCAATGGGGAAAATTCTCTTTACTGACGAAATTGAAATTTACGACACTCTTGCGCTCCATAAAGCAAGTAGGGTTTGCAGAGGTTCTGGCCACTATGGACTTCGGTATGCTCATCCCCAGTCCTACACTTTTCTATCAGATGATCATGTCCACAAATCCATTCATTTTGTCAGAGGCCCTAGGCTACATCGCCTTCTTACGAACACTTAAATTTGAAGAGGGAGGAGACTCATTGAAACTGAGGAACAGTCTCATCATGGATTCGATTAATCTTGTCTGGCTTGACCAGGCATTTAAAATCGAAGAAAATACGTTCAATAAGGGTATGTTCCTTGATGCAGAGTACTTAAAGAAATTAGCTGGTCTAAGCTTCTTCAGTTACTCAGATCTTATCGAGCTCAAGAATGTGGGAGGGTTATCGCATAATCCTGGGACATCGTACCTAGCGGCTGAGATTATCTGGAATCTTGAGGATGATGAGGATGAAATTACAGTGAGACATCCCGGGCCACTTTCAGAGGAATCTGTGGCCATGTTGCAACAGAATCCTGAGGTCAAATGGGTGCTGAAGAGCTACTTCGAGATCAAGGTCAACCTTCTCAACAGACTCGATAGCCTTGGATTCACAGGTCTTGGTGACCTTTTATTTTCTTCTTTACGGCCATTGGCTTCGTTACGCCAAAGAAAAAATGCCTCAGTGAACGAAGCAGTTTAAATGGTTGCAAATTAAGCGCTGCGAGCTCTTGCATTAATCCTGCACTACCGAGTAACTTTCCAACATGAGTCGCGAAGTGAACCTCTTCAGTACTCGCAGGTCTGGGGTTCTGGAAAGCTGAGAATGAAGCTTTCACTGGGTCAGCCTTTCCTTCGTGTGACTTTGCGCTCCTTTGCGTCGTCCCCGAACGCTGCGCCACAGATAAAGCTCAATGAAATAGACAAGAAATGGATGCAAATTTGGAAGGATCATCCCATTGAATACGCCAAATATTCACCCAAAAAGAACGAGCTGTATTACTGCCTCTCTATGTTCCCATATCCTTCTGGTACCCTTCATTTAGGCCATCAAAGGGTTTATACTATCAGTGACGTTATATCCAGATTCAAGCGTTTACAAGGCTACAACGTCATACATCCTATGGGTTGGGATGCTTTTGGCCTACCAGCAGAGAATGCAGCTGTCGAAAGAGGGATCAATCCTGCTGTTTGGACGGAGACGAACATTAAGAAAATGAAGGACCAGATGGAGCTTATGCTCGCTGACTTTGACTGGGAGAGAGAGGTCAACACATCTTCCCCAGAGTACTACAGATGGACACAAAAAATCTTCACTTTGCTATTCGAAAACGGATTAGCTTACAGAAAGGGTGCGGAGATCAATTGGGATCCAGTTGATCAAACAGTCTTGGCCAACGAGCAGGTTGATTCCGAAGGAAGGTCATGGAGGTCTGGAGCCAAGGTCGAGAAGAAAAACTTAGAGCAATGGTTTATTGGAATTACCAAGTACGCAAGTGCGTTACAGAAAGATCTCAAGATATTAGATCAATGGCCTGAAAAGGTGAAGGCTATGCAAAAGCATTGGATAGGCGAAAGCCATGGTGCCGAAATCACTTTCCCTAGCCTGGGAAGTTCACAGAAAGGCGTCACCGTCTTCACATCACGGCCGGACACTCTTTTTAGCGTACAATTTGTTGCAATTGCATTGAACCATCCCATTGTGCAAGAGTGCTCAGGAAGGGATCCTAAGTTGGCTGAATACATCGAACTTGCAAGTCTCGACGAGGATCCGTTGTCCAAACTGGGATATCTTTTGAAAGATGTGAAGGTCTCTTTGCCGATTAATATCGATGGTTCTGCCAGTGAAACTTTTGACGTTCCTGTCTACGTTGCACCCTATGTCTTAGGATCGTATGGTCACGGAGCTGTGATGGGTTGCCCTGCTCATGACGAGCGTGATTTCGACTTCTGGCTCTTCATCAGCCCAATACACTAATTCAGCCCACTGTTGGACCCGCTAAAGAAAGCGAAGCCGGGCAGCTTGATGGTATCTTTACTGGCAAGAACGGTAGACTCTATGATGCGTCATTATTGAAGAATGGTGTTTCCTCGCTTGGAACTTTGAAAGGAAAGACATCCAAAGAGGCTGGTCAGATGATCGTCGAAATGTTGGAGAAGTCAGGAAATGGCGGTAAATCAGTTCAATTCAAAATTAGGGATTGGCTCATCTCAAGACAGAGATATTGGGGTGCCCCAATTCCTATCATCCACTGCGACTCTTGTGGTCCAGTCCCGGTACCAGATGAAGACTTGCCCGTCTTGCTTCCCAAAATCGATGGAAAAAGCTTTGGTAGCGGCAATCCTTTGGACAAGCTCGAATCTTTCGTTAACACGACCTGTCCCTCTTGTGGGGGCCCTGGAAAACGTGATACTGACACCATGGACACCTTCATTGACTCGTCATGGTACTTTTTCAGATATCTTGATGCGCAAAATAAAGAGAAGCCCTTCGATCACAACAAGGCTACAAGTGGGATGCCAGTGGATATTTACATCGGCGGCGTCGAACACGCAATTCTACACCTTCTTTACTCGCGGTTTATCTCGAAGTTTTTGGGAGATGCGGGCTTATGGAACGGGAAGGCTTTTAATAATGAACCAATTAAGCGGTTAATTACACAAGGTATGGTTCATGGTAAGACTTACACCGACCCTGAGACTGGTAGATTTCTTAAGCCAGAAGAATTGGACATGACGAATCCCAGCAAACCAAAAATCAAAGAAAATGGTCAAACTCCCTCAGTGAGCTACGAGAAAATGTCCAAATCAAAGCACAATGGAGTTGACCCTGCTAAATGCATAGGAAAATACGGCGCAGATACCGTCAGGGCACATATTTTGTTTTCAGCTCCTGTTTCAGACGAGCTCAATTGGAATGAAGATCAGATTCAGGGGATCGAAAGATGGTTGAAAAAGGTTATGAATCTCAAGGATGAGGTAATTCGAAGCGTTGTTCATCTGGACTACAAGTCTACCGAGGGTACCGAATTCAAAGACATTGAGATTTCAGGACAGATACAACCATCGCTCACCCTTTCTGATGACGAACTAAAGGTTTACAACGATATTCGGTTCTACACTAATAGGATCGCAAAATCTGTTGATGTCGATCTCTCGCTCAACACTATTGTCTCCGATTTCATGAAAATGACCAATGCTTTACAATCTGCGGTCAAGCAAAAGACCATCAATCCTGCGGTTTTACTCGATGGATACGAGAAGTTATTGGTTGTTATGGCGTCAGTCACCCCATCTGTGGCGGAAGAGTGTTGGGAGGCTTTGAGGAAAGGAATCAACAAACCATTAGAGTCAGTATTTGCTCAATCATTTCCCACATCGCAGCCTATCGCGTCTCCCTACACCCAATTCAACATATTCGTCAACGGGAAAGCAAGGCACTTTATTAGGGCTCTTCGGACATTGTCATCCGAGCCAGAGTCTGAGGTGCTCAAGGTTGCCTTAGCGGAGGAGCAAGTCAAGAAATTCGTTGGCGACAAAGACATCAAAAAGCTCATCATCAAGGATGGGCTCATCAGCATAATTACATGTAAATAGCGGTTTAGTGCAGCGTATTCTATATACAAATTAAATGATGCACACTATATACTAGTAACCATTCTCCATCACAAACCTTTTATAGTCTTTTCTGCGGATCTTACCTTCGAAATTGACCTGAGCTCTTTTCGCTATGCCACGGAGTGTTTGCGTAATCTTGCTGTTACCAATCTCCACGGCCTCTTTGTATAATTGCGAGAAATGATGCCTCTTCCACTTGAACTGGTATTCCGTACTGACAATGACTGCAAGAGCATCGTCAAATAACCCAAGTTGAGTAAGGGCGTTGACCATAGCAACGGCGAAATCAAAATCAAGTCGATCCTTTTCTTGTCTGGTAAGTTTGTTCCAATGAACAGACTTTCTATAAAGACCTCTTTCGGTCCACATGGTTTGCGCAAGATTGTAGTTCTTGTGCTTAGCTGCAGCTTTCAATGCAATAAGATAAGTGATTGTGTTTCTGGGTACCTTGTAGCGCCCTGCGGATGAGTCAACAAGTTGTTGAAGAATAGGAGATTTTGCGATAGCCTTCGAATTAGATACCTTAGTGACCTGAGTTTCATTTTCGTTCTCCTCTATGATGGCGTCCTCAGGCTCAATGATGCTTCTCACAGCAGGAACGCCTTCCCTATCCAAGTAGGTGAACAGCTCGAGTCTGTCCTTGAATTCTTCAAGACTGCCTATGTTAGCGGCAACGTTGAGAAAAGTGTTGATACTTTCTGTGTTGACGAAATGGCGATTCACCATGATTGTATGGGCCATCACGGCACTGGATTCTGCTAAAACTTCATCGAAGGTATCGAAGAAAAACTTTGGCAAGAAAGGAAGCGCCTTTTTCGGGTCGTCAACGTTTGGATGGAGCTCAGTCTGATTTATGATGTTATGACGGAACAGACGACCCGACTCATTGTAGAGAATCGTCGGAGTTTTATCTTCGAGACTCGCATTGGCATAGGCTAAAAGAAGAAAAGAAAATGAGCGTGGGGACGTATTTCCCGCCAAATTGAGTTGCTGGTAGAGTGAACGAGCCAAGGGTAAGTCGCCATCTCTCAGTGCCAAGTAAAGCATATACTCGGCAGTTTGGACGGTTGGCGTCCAGTCTCTTTTGTGAACCTCAAACATGAAATCCCATGCCCTGACCCTGTACTCTTCTCTGTTGAAGCAACCTCTTGCGAGAGCTACCACAATATTCTGGTTTACTTCGACCTTTTCAAGAATCATCTCCTGGTACAAGTCCAACGCCTTCTCGATATCGTTGTTATTGACATGGCTGACGATAATGTCTTGATACTCACGTGTTGATGGTTGTGTCTTTTGGGAGAAAAACTTCATCGAGTCAAAAAGCTGAACAGCTGCGTCGTGAGACTTTGTCTTATAAACACAGGTTGCAAGTACATTAGAGTAGACATTTTTCAGCGGTTCCAAACCAAGTTCCTTCATCTCGGTGATTATCTCATTGACTCTGTCAATGTTTGTATTCTTTCCGTAAGCTTCAACCAAGATTTCGTAGGTTTCTCGGGAGAGATTACCTTTCTTTGTTAATCTTCTCATATGCTCCACGCATTTTTCTATGACTTCCATCTCGGTCAGATCCACCGTTCCACGATGAATTACACTTTTCATGTAGGCATTAATGATCTTTGGGGATTTTTGCATACCAGCTGCTTCCAAAAGCTCCTCGATTTTGGGAAAGACAGTGTGAAGCTGAGGTCTTGGAATAGCGTACACTAGCTTCCGCACGTCTCTTTCAATGAGGCCTTTGAATCCTCCCTCATGCTCAAGTTGTCGAAGAACAACGTCCCAATCTTGATGGTCTTTATTTACAAGGTATTTCAAGGAGAGGCCCAATCTCTCTTGTATGGGCTCAGGTAGGTCCACCGCTGGAGAGCTTAACGTGGACTTCAGGGGATCAAATGACGATGGGGCTGATACGGCTTTTGAAATTGATGTTTTCTGAATGATGGGTTTCTCTCGAACAGACTGGTATACCTCATCAGCAGGATCATCTAATGAAGTACTGGGTGATTTCCCACCCAATGTCTCTTTTCTCACCAAGTAAGAGTTCACACTTCGAGTGAGCTTCTCAAACTCTCTTAATCTTTTAGAATGCTGTAATCTTTGGACTTGCTCGGCCTTGGAGAGCTCTTCTCTCTTAGGCTGAGGCTCGGGCCTAGATATGGGTTTTGGTTTTGAGGCGATTTTTTTCGTTCTTCGCTTCTTCTCGTTACTCATCACAAAAACAGTTCTATTGGAAATCATTGGCCGAACCGGAAATCGGCTCAACGACCCGGCCAAAGGTCGTAGGTTGTACATTATGCTTATGTGGAAATAGTATGTACTATTCAGATCATCGCTTTGCCTGCAGAGGAAGAACTTTCTGAGAATAGTGTCTGTTTTTTTCATGCGCAGTGCTAAAGAATGGCTGCGAAATTTAGGCTATCCAAGTGATAGCGAAATCGAACTCTGTGCCATCGCTGTCCCATACCGTGAGCACCGGAACCCATTCAGCTGGAAGTCCCAAGGCAACTAGCTTATGAACATTCAGAAGTTTGGTCATGACCGTCACATGTGAGTTTCCAATAGCTGGACTGCGAAGGAAATCGATCACAAGACCAATATCACTAGTCATCAACTTCACCACATTAAGGTTCTCGTTGATATTGACGATATTAGTTTTGAAGCCTTGCGTGAGCTCAGCAGCCGAGGGAAGCAATCTTGGCGCATCACTCTCTTCTGCATCGTCATACATGCCAACAACACGCTCAAATGCCAATCCGCCCCACTCGATGTTCGCTCCTCTTGGTAATCCGGAAACCTGAACAATGATGAGTCGATCGTCAAAATCCTGTCCATGTTCAACTTCTTGCACGTACTCCTTCCACACTTGCGAGGCAATTTGAGGAGAAGTAGTGGTGACAAAACACACAGCCGCTGCTAATTGTTTGACGTTAACGAGCGTTTTCACCTTGTAAAGGTGTTGAAGAGATAATGTCGCAGACCTCACAGAATCATCACTATCTAGCTCCATCGTACTTGGAATCAAAGGGATCTGACCGGAAAGTGTAGCTGTCTTGAAAGTGTCTTTGGTGTCCACAATAGCTTGGGAATAAGGCCCGATATTTTGAGGGGCCCAGAATGATCTCGATCTGATGTGAATACCTTGTCTCGTTCCGGCTGGTGGATCGAGAACTATGCATGAAATTTGTAGGTGGTAAGGCTGTGGAAGTGTGGTTTGAACGCAGACACGAGATGGTGGGAGATATGTGTCTGCGAAGAATGAAGCGTATTCCTTGTTGATTGCTGCAAAATCACCCATGTCTCGAACAAGAACAGTGACATGTTGGATGTCCGTGATGGAAACCTCGTGTGCTTTGAGAATGTTGGATAATTGGTTCATGATGTCTTGAGTCTGACCCTTCACGTCCAGGGCTGTACTGGTAATGTTAGAAACATATAGTCTTAAGGGAGTAGTAATGACCGTTGGCCCAACTGGGAAAGATACATCCTTGACCTCAGGGATGGTAATTGGTAGACTGTTCGTTACGCTTTCTTGCACTAACAAAAACTGTTCTTCAAGAGGCTCTCTTTTTCTGATGAGGTCTGCGGACTTACCTGTAATTTCACAAGTCTCTTTCGGAACCAGCTTCGTCAGGAAGGTAAGATAAGAGCAATCCGAAGAATGTGCAACGACTTTTTCGTCAGTTATCTCGAGGCGTCTTTCGAAAAGGGGAAAATCAAAGACGAAAGTTTCAAATTCACCTCCCTCACCACACACATTAACGTCGTACATTTGATTGAGTTTGGTGAGGATTGGAAGCATTTCGGAAATCAGCCTTCCCAAGTGCTTGTCATTGAGACCAATGGCAGCACATTTGATCAACCGAGCATCGAGACCCAGCAGGCACATCTCCAGCATCAATTCCGCCTGATCCCTTTGCCATAAGTAGGCCAAACAAGTGAGACCAAGTCTATCACAGACATTCTCCACCCTCGTCCGCTGATAGTGTGAGAGAATGGCACCACAGCTGACACCCTCTATATCTGGCATCTCCTCCTTGACCCTAGATAGAAGAGTATAAAGATCTTCGATTTCGTCGTCAGCAGTGGGAGTATACTCTAATTGAACATTTGTCGAGCCGCCCGTGAGTGGTTGACGATACAATGGGACCAGAAGACATAAACCATAATGCTCAATTCGATCATGTCCTACTGTCTGGAACATAAAGGAGTCTGTCTCATTCTCATCCACATTGAGCGGATGCAAATTGGCCAAAGCCACAAGCTCATGACCCTGTCTGTGACATTCCAATATATTATAGAAGGAGTCTTTGCCTCCAGATATTAAAGCGACAAACTTCATCGTAGGAGTAGCCTGAGATAGATAATTGAGATGCGCGAAGATGGATGAGTAGATCGAGGTACATTGACTCTACGATAAGGCCGGCATGCTCTGGAAAAGTTGAAAAGTTGACTTTTCGTCGAAAGATATTCGATCTGCAAGAAGTTGATTTAATCTCTTTTTGTTGAGGTACACAAAACAATACACTAAGCCGATCACACTTGGAATAGGCCGTAGATCCTCAGATGGCAGCGAAATCGCAATACATGCTTAAGCAATGGGATGCAGAAAAGCTGATCAGAGTTTTATAAACGGAACAAAATACTACGGGAGCTATTTTCTTTTTTTTTTTTAAAGTAACAAGTCAAAAATAGCGAGGGAGCATGGGTTGCCCGACTACCCTACAATCAATGACATGAACGTTTCTGGAACACCTTACATCATGGAATTACCATGAAGACTACTTTGAACAATTGAGCTCAAGCAAAGAGAAACCAGTCTCATTTTCCGAGAAGAAATGTCATCAGTGACACTTCTTCGTAGTATGAGGCAGCATAATCAGGTTAATTAGGTCTGAAACTAACGCGCATCAGAGTTAATAAGAGTCTGCGGCAGGAGAACTGGCATGTCCATCGAGGATTTGGCGTACACACGACTAACGAATTTTTTTCAAATTTTTTTCGCACTATAAGTGCAGAGGATTTCCCTTGAAAAATTCTTTTTCTTTTCTCCATCTCAGAACTAAGTCAACATGCCTCGTATGTTTTAACCATCCACAAGAAGAAATTGATATTTCTTATCCAATAGACAGCACTCGGTGCCGTCTATGAGGTTTCGGGTCCTCTACAATCAACCTTGGAGATTTGTCTCCCGTAACTGAACCCCCGACACTTCAGTTACACTCACAGACCAGCAGTCATGTGGTGCCGTTTTTGAACACCCCTACTGTTCAGGTATCCATATACCACCATGCTATCTGTTAGGAAGATTGTAGAGCCCGGCAAATTTTGCCAAAGCTTTAACTAACACCCAGGTGCCCCAAGAACTTACTCCAAGGTTTACTCTGTGCCAAAGCAGCCATACGAGTCCGCTCGTTTGGACGCTGAATTGAAGTTGGCTGGTGAGTACGGTCTCAAGAACAAGAGAGAGATCTACAGAATTGGTTTCCAGTTGTCTAAGATCAGAAGAGCCGCTCGTGACCTTTTGACCAGAGATGACAAGGATGAGAAGAGATTGTTCGAGGGTAACGCCTTGATCAGAAGATTGGTGAGAGTCGGTGTCTTGCCAGAGGACAAGATGAAGTTGGATTACGTCTTGGCCTTGAGACCAGAGGACTTCTTGGAGAGAAGATTGCAGACCCAGGTTTTCAAGCTCGGTCTTGCCAGATCTATCCACCACGCTAGAGTCTTGATTACCCAGAGACACATTGCTGTTGGTAAGCAGATTGTCAACGTCCCATCCTTCATGGTGAGATTGGACTCCCAGAAGCACATTGACTTCGCTCCTAACTCTCCTTACGGCGGTGGCAGACCTGGTAGAGTGAAGAGAAGAAACCAGAATAAGAACGCTGAGGGTGCCGAGGAGGAGGAAGAGTAAGCTTTTCGCTCGCATTAATCTAGTGTAATTATAGTTGGTTAAACTTTTCCAAAAAAAAGAACGGTTGGGTAGTTGAGGCCTTGGCCAGCAGTAGCAGTAGAAATTGACTATATTTTGAGGAGTCGCCGTCAAGTACGGCAGAAGAAGGCTCGTGGTCCTTGTTTTACAATATGATAATTTAAAGGCAATGGATCAATACCTTCCAGGCTATCGATTCCAGGCGGGTCATCGATAGCTATCTGATAAAGGGTTTCTCGACTGGATTTGACGTTCGCGTAATATGGCTGGGCAAAACAAAAGGAAAGACAGCAATAATGCGGTCTTGATTCTTTTAAATAGTTCCATTGTCACTACGATTTGCATAGCGACAAGGCAAGCTATCAGGGTGGTCCAAGTGCAGTCGGTCCAAATATTGATACTCCAGCGCGAACAGTTGTACTAACCGGTGATCCTTAGAGCATATAATGTCAGAGCCAACTCAACTACAACATAATGCCTTTCAAAGTGCTCTTCAAACATGGAAGGAGATAGATTTACCTTCGTTGCAGAATAAGCTTGACGAGCAAGGCATTGAACTCAAATCAGAGCAGAAGGCCTCGCTAACAAGCAGAAAGAACCTTGCGTCTAAGACGAAGGACTTCAAGAAGCTTGAAGATGCAGAGAAGCTAAATGAGATCAAACATCTTCTAAAGATGTATCAAAACGAGATCGACAATATGAACACGAAACAAAAGAAAGTGGAGGCATTCTTCTTTGGCTTCTACAGATTGATTGCAGAGGCTCCTGATCCCAAACCGCTTCTAGAGCTTTGCCAGGACGCTGTGGTCAACCTGAACGAGTTGGCCGAAATGAAACAGCAAATAGCCCAGCGTGACGAAGAATTAGCCAAGAAAGCTGACTATGAGGTCTTGAAGCAGCGTCTATTACGAAACGAGCAAGAACTGGCAGCACTTCTAAGCAGCAAACTCAAGGCCAAGGAAGACGAACTCCAATCATTGATTCAGGAGAAGGAATCTAATTGGGCTAACAAAGAGAAGCAGCACCAAGAGCAAATTGCATCATACAAGCTCACCATCGAGGAGCTCAAGACGTCAATGGAAGTCACTCAACTTCAATTGAACTCACAAAATAAACAGTTTGACAGAAGTGAAGAAGGAGGATCTCAAGATACGGCATCTACGCTAGTAGAATTGGACATGGCCAATCGTGACGCGGAAATGTGGAAAAAGAGGGTCTTCGACTTGGAGAAAAGAAACGAGGGCTTACGTCAAGAATTGGCCGTGGCGTTGAATGACTCGGCCAGTGCAGCAATTAAAGCTGATTTCCAAAAGACAGTCGCCGATTTGGAAAGTGAGAATGCACTCTTGATGGCAGATTTGAACCAGGCCAAGAACAGGATCAACACTGTCTCTGATGAGAATTCGGCCAAGGTCCAACTGCTTACGAGAGACTTGCAACACGCATCAGAGGAAATTAAGCATCTTAAGGCCAAGCTAGAGAAAACTAGCGATTATGATGAAGTCAAACACGAACTTCACTTGTTGCGTCAAATCGAATTTGGAGAGCATTCTTTAGATGAGGCCGATGACGATCAACCAAAGCAAATTGATTCCCTATTGATCGAAAGGAATAAGTCATTGACCACTGAACTTGCAAATTTGAGATCCCAACATGATGGTCTTGTCTCGCAAATCCAGGAGCTACAAGGTGAATTAGAACAAAACAGAGAGGAGTCAGAGAGACTTGGCGTGCTCAATTCGAAGTTGGAGAATGATTTGGCGGATATGAGGGACTCTTCAACTCCTCAATTCAACGACACGGCAAGCATGATTTCCGGAATATCGAGAATGACCAAGAGCACAACAAGGCAACCATCTGGTGGTATTGCTCACCAGGCTGGAGAAGATAGTTCAATTCTTCCAATCATCACCAAGCAAAGAGATCGGTTTAGGGACAAAAATAAGGAATTAGAGGACGATATCAAGCGCCAAACTAGTTTGGTTAATGAGTTGAAGAGGCAAAATAGAGCCTTGAAGAGTGATAATGAAGATCTCTATGAGAAATCAAGATATATGGCTCTGCTCAAGAAGGAGAACGAGGCTCCCGCTGCAAGCTCAAACCGTCGCTTTTTCACCCCCAAACCAAACGCATCTCTAGATCTTGAGCAAAACGCATATCAGACAGAATACGAGTCTAGGCTCCACCCAATTGAGCGATTTAGGATGAGGGAACAGGAGCGCATCAGCTCAAGGCTCTCGCCTTTTGAGCGTATCTTTATTTCTGTGACGAGGTCCATTTTGGCCACCAGAACGACAAGAATGCTATTCTTGGCATATTGTGTCTTCCTTCATTTCCTTGTCATGTTTACGACCATACATTCTATGTCTATCAGTACTAAAATGATCCCAGAAGTCGGCCTCAACCAAAGCACGGGAGGTTCTGCCGACAGTAGTGTGGGGGGTGTTGCCTACGAGGGATGACGCCATTGACGAGAAGGCGACGATTAATGAAAGATTGTATAGCTACATAGATTCACTCGTCCAGTGATTGAGGCTAGCTCCTGTGTGGCTTTATCGCAGTGCGCATATCGGTTATTAAAACGGGAGAGGATATTCCTCGATTTACTTCAATAAACATGTCTTTTCCTGTTAATATTTTCCAATACCAACCAAACTTGCCAGCAATTGAGTATCAATCCGAAGGCAAACCCGAGAATTTTCTCGTCTTTATCGGTGGTTTGGGTGATGGTCTCCTTTGCACTAAGTACATACCCCAGATAGCGGAGCTTTTCAACAAAGAATTGGGCGGGAAATGGGGTGTTGTCGAGACTTTGATTCAATCGTCTTACATTGGCTGCGGAACAGGCAGCTTGGGACGTGACGTACGTGAGTTGGCTCAATTGGTCAAGTACCTTAGATCCAATAGAGGTACTCCACAGTCCAAGATAGTGCTCATGGGCCATTCTACTGGGTGCCAGGACACAATTGAATACCTCTCCAAATTCGCATACCAAGACGACTTTGAGAGCATCTTCAAATTGGACGGTGGGATTTTGCAAGCCCCTGTATCGGATACTGAGGCCTCTGAATACTTCCACAAGGACACAAATATAAAGGAGGTCCTCAAGCAGGCCAAGGAGCTCATTGACGCAGGAAGAGGCAACGAGTTGCTTCCTGAGGAGACAAGAAAGTTGTCTGATGGTGTCCCGGTCTCTGCCTACAGATTCTACTCCTTGAATGCGAGAAGAACAGACGACGACTACTTTTCGTCTTATCTCAATGAGGAAGACTACAAACAGACTTTCGCAAAGGTAACTCTGCCTTTGCTTGTTCTTGTCGGAGAGAAAGATGAGTTCATTCCGCCATATACTGATCGTAAAGCCTTATTTGAAGACTGGAAGAAGGTCACACCGGAGACCGTCTGGAGTGAATTCAGCAAGGTCGTCAAGGGTGCTGACCACAAAGGCGGTGGTCCATTGTCCGATGAGGGCGCTTCTGAAGATATCGCCAAAACGGTTGTTGAGTTTATCAAGAAAAACTTTTAAGGATCATCTTCGAATCTGAGCGCTTGGGCACGAGAGAGAAGCTCTTCGCAATACTTCTCAACACTGATATCCTCAGTTGTGATTGACTTGGGCCTTCTCTCAAAATGCCACCATTTTGATCTAGTTTTCGCCCCATCTTCTATAATGTTGTTGGGTGGCAGTAGGCGAGACATAAGAAATCTTGCTTGTGAATGCCCTTTCTGAGTCAAAGTAATTCTAGGAACAAAAGAACGCTGTTGCAAAATTTCATCGTTGATGATGTCAATAAACTTATTCACCTCTTCATTCTTCCGCTCGTAAACTATATCGTCATTGTCCGAACTATGAAGCTTGAGTCTGTTATTGTCGTTATGCAAGTAAAGAATGACTGTTTGAAATGTATCCAAAATGAAACATGAGCCATCCTTTGCTTTGAGAACTGACGTAGTTTCCAAAGGCTTTTCTATTCTTTGGCCCTCAATAACCTCGTAGAGTCTTGGTTGAATCATGATGCAAGACTCCTTGGCGGGGAGGCCCATAAAAATATGATGGAAATACGCCGTCTCATCAGGTGAACTGTTAAAGATGGAGACTAACTGTGGATTTTTTCTCAAGTAATATGCAAAAATTGGTAGTGTTTTAAAGTTTTCATCGATAGAGTAAAGCGCTTTGAGCTTTTCGAAAGGGTTATTGGAGGCAGACGCCTCTTCTTTCATGACCCCAAAGAACTTCGTGAGCTTCATGAGGGTAACATCCATAAGCTCGATAACCTCCTCAAATGATTCAAATCCCAAGGTGGTATCGATCTTGCTAATCAAAAGCCTCGTGAGGATCGTGATCCACGTTTCTGGGTTAAAGTTTGCGAGTAGAGCTTTTTGTCTGGCACTCTCGTTGATTTTGTTTAGAAGCTTGTCTTCCCTACAAGAACCTGATGCAAAGATACTCGTCGTCGTGGGTTTTTGTAGTGTCGTTGTTCGTACAACTCTGCGTTCAAGCTTCGAGTCCCAGTAGTCTAGCTGAAATTGAACGAAAACATTTTTGGCTTTTGTCCTTGTGATGTAGGAGGGGTCAGTTTCGAAAAGCACACATCCCACATGGTCCCTAAGATCTCCGAGGTACCATCTGTTGGTGAAGTGTCGCTTTTTCATCAGGGATTCAAACCCAGAGATTGTATCGGAGATGCGCTCATGATGATATTGCATGAGATGGGTAGATTGGAACGATGACTGGTAAGGCGTTCCATAACAAAGGGTGTACGATACCTTGAGACCTGGCGAGGTTTGTACTGTGAGAATGCAATCCTGCGATGAAATGGAATCACTGACGGCCTCAAGCTTGTTTTTGAAAGATTTTCTAGTGAACGAATCACTAAAAATGACAATTCCACTTGTCCCGGACGACAATGAACACATTTCGTATAGTCCAACTTGATCGAGAGAGCCAAAATAGAGATCAAAAGTAAATTTCGAAGCTGTCGGCTTCACACTATAGTTCGTAAGCGAGCCGCCAGTAGTGAAAGCTGCAGTATTCGCCTGATCGAAAGTGTAGCCACATCCAACAAATGATAGTGCTCTGTAGAATTTGGCAGCCTTCACAAAATGTGGCGCTTTGAGATTTGCAATGTCATCATGTGTCCTTATGCTTTCCGTAGGGTCCACCACTTTTCCTGGGCCTATAGTACATGGACCAGATGAGAAGAGCTTTATCCTTCCCAAAAGCAGAGTGGAACGGGCGCAATTGAGAAAGCTTGATGCAACGAATAGTGCTAGGCCGGAGGCACACTCTGGTTTGAACGATCTGGTTAGTTCAGGCTTGAGATGTTCGGTCTTTTCCAAAATTTCGGCAGGGGTCCTAAAAAAGCCTGACTGGAGAAGTTTCAGACCCTTTAATATGTTGGTGTTGGATGAATCTGCAATTTTCAGAAGGATCTTGGCGATTGCAGGTTTGTCACCTATTATACTCGAGAAATCGTAATCAGGTGGAAAATCATTGATGCTGAAAATGACATCCTTTTCTCCGTGAAGTATGACATCTTTTGAAAATGTGAGTAGTCCCACCGATGCGAGCGACGGAAGACGAGAGATCGACTCCCGAAGACGGTCCTTCAAAGCCGAGAATTCCTCAGGACATTCAATATGTTGATACAAGTCAACGATATAAAGATAGGCTGGGCCCCTCGTATCGATAGGCAGCGAGATGTCGTTTGGTAGTACATAGTCTACTGACTCTTCCTTGGGGACATCTTTCGACTGGGAACTTGCACATTGCGTGTCTTCTGGTAAGGGGAACTTCTTCTGGCAAAACGGACACCATAACATCTTGTTAGTGGTATCAAGGACTGAATATTTGCTTACAAATGCCCCACACAGTAGGCATTTAGTGGGAAAGGCATGGTAAGTTGGGACCTCTGAATTCGTTTTTCGGAATAAGCAGCCTAGTGGTGTCAGCAATCGGGCCAGCTCCATCGTTGTCGATGGGAACATGTCCCAATTGAAACTGCACTCCATGTTGTGGTGGATAATTTGGGAGAATCTAGTGGTGGTTTGTGGGGAGGATTGAGATAAGATAGATATGATCGCGGAAATCACCGAAGCGAAGGAGTCAGCCTATGCATCACGAACGGAACGAGGGGTTGGATTGTTCGATCTGATTTCGAGACCTCACACTTTTTATAGGTTTATTGGATAACTGATCCTATTTCGATATTTATAATTTGGTGGGTAGCATTGATATTGTTCAGAATGTTTGGCATTTTGCAGCCAAATTAGCTTCATACTCGCGCGGAATCACGTCTTTCAAATGTTTCACACCATAAAAAAAGTTTGACGATAGAGAATTAAGATACTCTCAGGTTCAAATTGGAATTTCATATTAAATTAAAAAAGACAGGGTGACCTATTTTCGATTCGAAGCGAAAAATGCATTGTCTAGGTCTGGTACAGGCTGCTGCAGATCATCAAAATAGAGTTTCACAATCATTCTTAGTGAGTTTGACTATTTCGAATGGTATCAGTTCGGCAAATATCAGTCCCTTATTGTCAGATTTATCGTTATAAAGAAGTTGGCAAGTCACGTGCCACGTCATGTGACATTATCAGCTCGATGAGATGGCGCATCGATTTTGCAAGACAAGGTCAGATTCACAACCAGTATTTTAAATGGGAGCTAAACAGAAAGAGGCTATCAAGAGGAGAAATAAGGCAAATCTCTCGAGGACTGCTGAGAGCGAGGTCTACACTGACAAGCAAGCCAAAAACCTTCTAGCAGATCAGCCCAAGTTAACGCCGAAGTCCAAAGTCAAGAAGCCTAGTAAACAGGCTGTAAAGAAGCGTGACGCCAAAATAAGGCTTTATGGCGCTAGAAATGGAAAAGAATACAGAGAAGAAGAATTGAACATCCCTAATCTCAATAGGGCTATTGTACCGGGAGTCAAGGCCAAGAAGGGAAAGAAGGGAAAGAAGTTCGTGGATGATCACGACAGTCTAATGTTGAACCGTTTGGTGAAGTCCATCAATGACAAGCATGATCAAGTGAATGAGTCCAAGTTGGAGAAAGCAAAGAGATTGGAGGAGATTCGTGAATTGAAGAGGGCCGAGATCGAAAGAAAGGAACAGGAGAAGGCCAACAAATTGAACGATAAAAAGGCAGAAATCAAGAATAAAGCCAATGTTGCAAGAGCAGCTAGGCGAAAGAGTGCCAGAGCTGCAAAGCGGTCCGAGGAAGACGGTGTCGACGAGACCGAGACTCCTGCAAAGAAAAAGAAGAAGTCTGTCTCATTTGCATAAACTTTCGTGTATACTATTTACAATATCAACGATCAACCTGTGACTAAAAGTAGATGGAGCGTTGGCGTCTTCTTTTCGCAATGTCTTTCTTTGCCTTCCAACCGTAGTAGATACCGATTAAACTGCCGCCAATGTGTGCTGCGTAATCGAAATGAATTTTGGTGAAGAATCCAGCAGCATTTAAGACGATGGAGCCCAAGAAAGCGTACCAAGCTCCACCCGGAATGGGAAGGAAAAAGAACGCAACGCTAGCGTTTGGGAATAGATATGAAAAAACACCAAGAAGGCCAAAAATACCACCGGACGCACCTAAGGAGCCACTGACACCTTGTCTAGCGATAGTTCTGAATGCAAGCGAAGTGAAGGAAGATGCAACAATGGACCCAAGGTAAGCTGTCAAGAAGCCTGCTGGTCCAAGAACGACAGCAAGTGTGGAGCCAAATGACTGAAGACAGAACATGTTGAAAAACAAGTGGGTGAAGTTCTGATGTGAGAAGCCCGAGCCTATTATAGACCACACTGATGAAAATCTATCGTTAACAAGAAGACCGTACTTTCTCAAGATGAGAGAGAAACGGGGCAATTGCCATGCAAAGAAGACGCCTGTGTTGAGACCAATAATGGCGTATACTATGGCTTGAGGATTGCGTTTGAGCCATGTAGACTTATTGATAGTGAAGTCTAGGATCGGAGGAGCAGCAAGAAGGAAAGCTCCCGAGAAAATGGCAGGCTTTGCCAAAGAGTCCCATTGGATTCTCTGGAACCGGCCAGCAAGACCTGGTCTCTGCCAATACAGTCTTTTGAAATGACTGAAGGCGGTGTGGAATTGTCTATTTCTGAACCATGAAGATGGCGATGGGATCCTCGAATGGAAAGAACGGCGGTAACCGACTCCTAAGTTCAGAGTAAAGGCTCCCCTATTACCTATGGTGAATACGGTGGGAGAAAGCCTAAACATTAGTAATGTTAACGCTACTGTTGCGAGCAGATAGCTAGGTAGCGGTGTGCGATACACGACCTGCCATGTCTGATATCTTCATAGATAAGAATGTGGGACATCGCAGTGGCGATGAAACTCAGGATTTGAGAAGGTTCCGAAGCTCTTTAATTGAGCTGATGTTTGCGCCAGTAACGAGTCACAATGAGTTATGCAGATGTAGAAACTTACAGTAGTGAAGTGGCGCCTACTTCCTCTCTGAATAGGAATTACACGAACAGCACAAAGCAATTTGACTAGTCATTGGGGAAAACTATTCCTTAAGGAGGACGGATTTTTTCGTATCCCAAAGAGTTCCTCTTCTCTTCACATCTTGCAAGAACTCAATTCTCACACCGAAGTCAATGACTCACTTTCCTCTCGACTCCCGAATCCCTTATTTCCACTGTCAAAAGATTTAGAATTCTTGCTGCTGGTTTTGCAGGAGATGGATCTAGCCATATTCAATGTCTCAGCTGCAGCTTACTTATCTGCTTACAAAGCGGTCCGTGCGTCACCTAAAACGTCTTTTCTCCGACGCAGGCTTCATGCAAGGCTGACTGATTCAGCCGCGCGTACAACACGAGGGCTACGGCCCTAGAACCCAAGCATTCACACGTGACCAAAAGTCGCACCCACCCCCGCTATGTTGATGTTGAAAAAATTTAGCTACACCTTTAACTTACACATATAATGTCTGCTGAAGCTTCCGTTTCGTACGCCGCCCTTATCTTGGCCGACGCTGGTGTTGAGATCTCCTCCGACAACTTGTTGGCCGTCACCAAGGCCGCTGGTGCCTCCGTTGACAACGTCTGGGCCGACATCTTCTCCAAGGCTTTGGAGGGTAAGGACTTGAAGGACTTGCTCTTCTCCATGGCCGCTGCTGCTCCAGCTGGTGGTGCTGCTGCCGGTGGTGCCGCCGCTGCTGGTGGTGCTACTGAGGCTGCCGCTGAGGAGAAGGAGGAAGAGGCTGCTGAGGAGTCTGATGATGACATGGGCTTCGGTTTGTTCGATTAAACGGGCCGTCCAATATCCATACTGTTAATACATCACGCATAGAACAGAGTGTAGTGGGAGGGGGACTCATTGAATTGTAGAATGAAGGCCGACGTGTGGTGATTCGGCGTCTCGGCTTCGGTCGACGAGCCACAGGTTGAGCAAGTTGAGACTAATTAAAAATTAGCGAGCCTGGGCAAGATTCAAGTACTTGGCAAACCCCTGGGTGGTGAAGAAAGAACCTCGTGTTGATGCATTGAGCAATTTTGAACGAGAGCTCGAACAACGTAGTTCGAGGTTTTACAACTTGTTGACTAAGAACTACCTCCACAGCCACAGGTCGTAAGGATCCGCCTCGAACACGCGTTGGCCTAATCAGCCCTGCAATGGGAACCACCACATAAGACACCTTGCTTGAGGCGAGGTGGTTGATCTAAGCAGCAATCGAGCATGTGGAGCTCTACGTCATGGAGAGAAAAGCTATTTATGGCACCGGCGAGATCTCCGTGGCGGTCAAGTGCCTCGAGCTAGATGTTCAACGAAGGTTTTGTGGGCGTCTTGAGGCGCATGAGCCTTTTGACGTATACCTGGAAGCAAAGATTCATTGCGTCAGTTGACTCGCTGAGCAAGCGAGAGGATGGGCTGGAGAGGGACGGGAAAGGCTGGAGAGGGACAGGATGAGCTATAGAGAGTGTTTGAAGAGTTGAAGAAGGTGCAAGGAGCCAAAAGCGGTAGTTCTAAAAAATAGTAAATCTTTACCAAACAGGTAAATGCCATTTTGGGTGAGTACGACAGGGTCTCACTAGCCTCATGCGAGCAACGTCATAGAGCCCCAACGGTCGCTACGCGGCTAAAAAAATTGTGGCTGGATTCTAGATTGCACCCTAGAGGACACAAACAATCCTGACAGATGCAAGCAGCGATCATTCTAGGCCTACTAATTTCTCTGGTACTGTCAAAAAACGTAAAACAGAATCCTCAATTCACAGCGCTTCTTCGGCAGGCTGGCTGTAGGTTCCGGAGGTGGCTTTCGCGGAGTTACGAATATTCCGGGGAAACCGCGAACTGTAGATGCGACGGATCTTGACGGAAAATTGTCAGAAGCTATATTGTCGGAACGTGGGTAAGCCCAGCAAGAGGGTGGAATTGCACGAAGTGTACCCGAATTCACACTTCTAAAGCCTGTATTTTCTATTCTGTTGTGCTCTTTGCATCCCCGGATAGGGCCCAGAGCCTGCAATGGTTGCGAAAAACCAGGCGGACCGCTGCTCTCCCAAGATCTGATGCAGCCAGAACCCATAACCTTTTTTTTTAACCCGTGGCCCAGCAAAGCGACGTTTCGGATGCAGCTTTAGCGCCGGCTGTGGAAGCAGCTCTATTTTTTTTTTTTTTTTTTTTTTTTACGCTGGTGGTACCCGTGCGATGCCCAGCCGAGGCCCAGCGCCGAGCTTTCTCGGCAGCCAAGAAGCCCAAGAGCCCAGAGTTGGGCGTGCGATGAAATCATCGCCGAGGCTACGGGGACGAGAAATACTAGGCCGAGGCGTAGCAGGCTGGAACAAATTGGTGTTTTCCGGCGTGGCATCAGGCAGATATGGGCCGTTTGCTCCGTGGGTGCAACTCGGTGAACATGCCCGGCCGGACGTGCCGCCGAGCCCAGGAGCCCAGGCCGCGCCTGGAGGGCCTAGGGAAAATGGCGCTTTCTCGGAGACACAATTTTCGGGGTAAAAGGTTGGGAATTTTTTTTGACTCATTGGCTCCGGCCGACCAGCCGAAAAGGATATTTGCCACTCAAAATCGGTCGGAATGAACCCTTAAGCCTCTTTCGGGGATACTGTTTTGCTGACTCACTTGGACGGTTATCCGCCTGCGCAGAAACCCGCTGTGCGTCGCCATGCATTGTGCTGTCGGAGCGCTTTGTCATCCGGCTGTTTGCAGCCAAGTCTATATAAGAGCGCCCAGATCCCCAGACTTTTAGACTCCATCGACAAAAGATATCCTCCCAGCTCCACCATGTCTTTTGCTGAACTGTACGTGCTCGCCTCCAAGGTGCGCTCCAAGCTCACGCGACAGGCCGCCAACCCAAAGGCCTCTCTCCGTTCCCTCGTTCTCCAGGCCAACATGTTGGACAACTTGATGGACCACATTGCGGTTGAGTCTGACAAGAGGAAAGCCGCTCCACCTGCAAAGGTTTCCTTTGCTTTGCCCGAGAAGCCCCAGGCCCCACTGGTGGGCCCTTCCGTCACCGAGTACGAGGTTGACTACGACTCTGCTTCTGATGACGATGACGACTACGACTTTGACGACTTCAATGAGGGCACACACACCGTCTACTACCTGTCTGAGTCCGACTCTGATTCAGATTCCGACGACTACTACTACCTGTCCGACGAGGAAGAGGAGGAGGACTTGACCCCTTCCCTGCTGTACAGACACTTGCCCACCATCGACCTTTCCGACATGCATCTCCACCGCAGCCTTCTGGTGATCGAGGAGGAGACCGAAGAGATGCCTGAGTTGGCCAGATCCAACCTGACGTCCGACTCCGACTCGGAAATCGAGGATGTTGCCCACGCTGCTGTTGTCAGCGTGGCCGACGAGGAGCACATTGTCAAGGCCCCACCCAAAGCCCCAACCCAGACTGCTTCAGATGTTTCTGCAGTGAGTCATCCACATATCGCCCGCCACCTGAGACATAACGCCGTGTACCTGATGGAACACGTCTTCTAGACTTACGATATACCCCAGCATAGGCACGACGATACGACAGCATGATTCACTTCTTATTTATTACGATTTACGACAGGAACAAATACAAGCTTATAGACTTTTACTCATAGTGTAGATATTGAAGCCTTCACAAGACTAAGCCGAAGTCTAGAGGCGCGAATTAGCTGTATCGGACCGAAGGTGCGAATGTGAATTTGGCCGCGAACCCCAGACACTGGAAACCCCGGATTTCGTATATCGCACTTGAGCCACTTACCAGCAAAAAGCATATCCGACCGACCACGACCGACCCTCAAGCGTTCTAGCTAAAAATCGGTTAAAAAGAAAAAAGTAAACTTGCTGGTTTTGCTCTAAAATCTGGGGTGTTTACCCCTTTGGGCAGTAGCCCCGGTGGCTGCAGGGTGTCAAACCGGCAGCGGTATGGGCCGAACTGGCACTGCTTCGGCTCAACCAACACCGGACCTAGCTTAATAGTCTGCGAAATTTCAGAAATTCTCCTGGCGCCCGAAGCTCTTTGGGACGATGCACCGTTGTTTTAGCCGGGCCGGACTTGATGGCGTTCGTGTGCGTTCGGCTTTACTTCTGTCTACTTTTTTACCCGTACCGCATCGAGCCTACTTTCCTATTCTATTTTGCTCAAAATCCCGGATAGTGTTGCTGGGGTGAGGCATTTAGGGCAGGTTATGTAACTGGGCCGGATGCCACAGTGGGTAACCTCACCTCGACGTTTTTTTGCTCCCTATTGTCTGCCTTGGCAAATCTCCTATCTGCAACCGGTCCGAAACCTGGGCGGTACCGAAACCCCTATCGATCCTAAAAGGAGGGCGATCAGATTTTCTTGCCCGCCGCATGCAAACGATGCTTTCCGGAACATACTTGGATATTACAGTGAATAGCTGAGTTGTAGTGTTTTAGGTTAGGGGACCAGCTGATACCCGGGGCTAGCCTGACGTCACCCTAGTCCAAACTTTAACTGAATGGACTACGGAGGGAAGCTCGGGCCAGCAAGTGGATCACCTGTGACTGACTTTGAGCACTTTTCGATTTTTTTTTTTTTTTTTTTTTTTTTTTTTTCAAATTTTTTAATTTTTTCAAGACAAACTTGTCTCTCGCGATGGGCCTGAGACACGATCTGATGGGTGTCTGTTTCCCGCGGCCATTCCGCCAGGGTACCACTTGAGATTACACCGGTCCACCTGAACCCTGCCGAAAAACCCGGTTGCTTGCGCAATTTGGCTCCTATTGTACTAATTACATCCGTTCAGAAAAGCGGTTGTTCAGGGCCGAGTCGGAAAATCAGACGAGGGTTGCTCTGATGGATCAAAGGGAGAAGGTGCATCGGTCATCGAGAGACCACCAACTTGCTCTGAGCCACCTGGGACCTTTCCTTTTACTTTTCGTCTACCGGGGTTCGTTTGCTCACAAGGAGACGAGGAAATGCAGAATGTCAGGATTACTATAAAGCGGAGTTTGTAGATCTGCTGTAGAGTCATGACGGCGCCTATTCTTCCAGCTGCACAAGGCTGTCATAATCAATGGCTGCGAAAAAGAAATACAGGCAATCTCCTGCTCCCGCCATCTTACAATCTTCTGCTGCTACCGTGACGACACAAATTCGGAACTAGAGGACAGGTTTGTCATCGCCTCCTATTCCTCTAATCGGGTTACTGCTGGGCGGTAATCCACGCTTCGCCGCGAGATAAGCAGAGCAACAAGCAACGGAGTAAACACCCTTGACAATTGACGTCACAGCGCGACAAGGGGCTGAAGATTACAAAACTACAACAGCGAGTTCCTCCCAATTAATATTGTACACCTATAATAAATAATGCTAGTGGAATATGCTTGTGGTCTCATTTGAGCGAGGGGATCATGCCGTAAACAAAGAGCCATGCTAGAATCGCCCACACACCGACCTTGATGATACGAAAGAGCTCGATCCACACCTCGGCCACGGCCTGTTTATGATAAACGGCCCGGTAGTCGGTGCAGTCCGGAGCCACTCTGGTGACCTTGCGCAAACGAACCTCAGGACGCCTCTTCTCCTGGAGCTCGTTGAACTGTGAGCGATACAACAACTCTCGGGGCCTGCCCTCAGCGGCCTTCGCCACCTCGACAGCCGTCACCTGGACGGCCGCTTTCTCTGAGTATGCTTCCTTCTCGCCCACACACTCCGTGTACAGTGGAGGGTCGGCTCGTAGTTCCACAGCGTCCTTGTCGTCTGTGATGGGCTGCAGAAGCTCCTTGGTCTCCAAGTCTAGTTTGCTCTGGACGATGGGCTCCTTGTTGTCTTGGATCGTGGATTCTTTATGTTCAACGTGCTCCGTGTGATGCCATTCAGCCTTCTCAGGCACGACAAGTGCTGCCGACCGGCGGCGGGCCCTTCTATTCCGGCGTGATGCGCCCAAGCGTTTGGCGTAGCTTAGGACGACTTTCATGAGGTGCTGTTGTAAGTGGTGGTGAAAACAAAAATGCGTGAGTAGGTGAGAATGTGACGGGCGAGGTGATCAATATATATGGCGGACAGGGAATTCTTCGCAGCGCTAAATGTAAGAGAAGCAGGCCTGGAGGCATTGCGCGCTTCCTGCAGCCCTGAGGGAAAATCGCCAGCGAACGGCCTAAAACTGCAGTGAAACAGATGAGCATGTTCGCTTCCATTTGGATATTTTTTTGCTTTTTCCTCCCGACTTCTGCGGCTGCTCATCGTACCGTTGGCCGAAATCATCAAACTTTTCATGACTCCCCCGCGTTCCAAACACATTGGGCCCTGCCAAGCCCACTCGAGCCTCCACAATGCAATAAGCTGAAAAGGCTGACAGCGGTCAGGCTGGGCACCCCTGAGGATCCTGTCATATTGTACTCTTATTTGCTTCTCTATAATTCTTGCATCCCCAGCCACACCTTGCTTTCCACATCATCCCTGCCAGACCACCCCCATCCTCAGGAGCTCGGGCCGATGCATCGTGGGCTATCTGGTGGTTATGATGTTGAGATGTGGGGTACGTGCGGCCGGAACACCGGAGGGCCTGTGAGACCTTGAGAGAAGTAGCGAAGAGAACGGATCTATGAGGCGTGAAAATTTTTTTTCGCTCCGAAACCGATGTTTCTGAATATGGTGCTCTTTTCTGTTTTTTTAAACGGATCCAGCAAGACCGGCTCCAGCTGCCAGAGTCCCTGTTGTGGTTAGCCGGGGTGCCGCTGGGACAGCCTCGTTTTTCTATGTGAAGCGCAAAAGCGCCCCACGAGGATTAGACAGGAGCCTCGGAGACTGCGCTGGATGCAAAAAGTCTCAATCTACCAAATCGCTCAATTTGTCATCACAAGTCTGTAGAAGCTCCAAAGTAAGCGTCATTTTTCTCCAACTCGATTCTGCCTCGGCCGGATGGGTACCCCTCAGGGGAGCACATGAACAAGGCTGACCCAGTATGGCATGCTGGGTGGTTGGCGGCAGGATAGACCTGTCTTTGATACAATTTTTTCACAATGGCTGCGAAAGTTCGGCCAACTCTTGATGTGGTGCCTGAGATGTCACAAAAGGACACCCGTCTTGGCAATTACGGAAGGCTGTCGACGATAAGCAGTGAAATTGGGCTGTGTTTTGATAACTATCTTGTTAGGCGCAAAGTATGAGCAAGTGAGTCATTAAGGAATGCGCTTTGATAGTATGGGGCTTATCGGTGAGAGGTTGCGAAAAAAAAAGAGCGGGTGTGGTTATGCGGTGACGTCAAGTGCACTGAATGGGTATGTGTCAACATAAAGGGGGCTTGCACCTGATGTCTGGCGGCTACAAATATATAGCTCTGGGAAGGTTTGAAGTGACTGAGTTTTATGTTTGTTATTGAGTATTTTTTTTTTTTTTTATTTTTTTCGAGTAATGTTTGGAGTTTGAGTATTAGAAGGAGGAGCCCCGTGAAGTATGCATCGGATGCGAAAGTTGATCAGAAGGCCCTTGTCAATCAGAAGTTAAGAGGAAGAGCATTTTTATAGATATGAATAGCTCGTTTGTTTCACTGAATAGTTCTTGACAGCGCAATGGCTGTGGCAGAAAGAATGGTATGTTTACTTCACTTTAATTTTTTCACTGAATGGATCTCGTTGAATCCATTGAGTAGAATCTCGTTTCCTAAAGTACGGGGATACTAGTCTCGAAGAATCTCACCTCTTTTTTTTTTCTATCGACCATTCAATCAAGAGGACGTCGTAAAGAAGAACGTCCTCCCAACAAAACCTATATATTTTATGATTGCCAGATGTGCTGCAGAATGCTTTCCAAACACTGCGCTAAAAAATTGAACGTGTGGCCTGCATATAAGACCATCATCGGCTCTCAGGACATATATCAGTTTCGCGAGAATACCCTGCATTTTGCCCCCTTAGCTTAGTGGTAGAGCGTTGCACTTGTAATGCAAAGGTCGCTAGTTCAATTCTGGCAGGGGGCAATTTTGTTTTCTTTTTGCACTTTCAACAAGCCTCTTTCATCTAATACGATCAATCTCGAGAAATTTTGTTCTGTGCTTTCCTAGCTTGCTCGGAGGCAAAGCACCTGCACATCATATCAGTAACTCCATACTTCGCGGCCCCCAAAAACATCAAACCACTCCTACTACTGACCACAGCAAATACACTTAATTCACATTTTGAATGTTTCGTGCGGGGCTACTTCTGCGGCATCACCTACGGTCGTTTAGATCCGTGCAGCCAAAGATGTTCTTGCATCTAATGAACAGATCGCCCTTCATACGCTCCACACATACTCATCTTGCTAAGCCAAACCTAGTTTTCCGAAGAAACATTGGCTTCATCAAAGTCATCGCCCGTGCCACAAAAATTCCAGCCTACATAGGCGGCACCATGGCCGCTGGGGGTACCTACGTTGCATACAAGGTCGAGCAAGCTCAGCAGTATACCACAGACAGATTCACTGCTTTCAAAGATTTCACCAGTGACCTTTTCGATAAGACCGGTGATGCCTTCAAGGGGCTTGGCGGCAATAAAGAGTCAGGGTCAGAAGGCGGAGGTAGTGGAGGAGACGGCGGCTCAGATGCAGCTGCGGTAGGTGCCACAGCAGCCGCTGTTGGATTATCCACTGATGAAGAAGAGACCGCTGCGGAAGATGAGGAAGTCGAGGAAGATGAGGAGACTCTCATTGACCAGGATGACGATGAGCCTCTAGATCTAGAGAATGATGAAACGACTGATGACATGCTTAATTTAACCAGACAAATGATAGAGATCAGAAACATACTCACAGCTGTGGACCCCCAATCAGAGACCCTTAAACTTCCACTGATCGTTGTTGTGGGTTCTCAATCTAGCGGTAAGTCTTCCGTCTTGGAGGCTATTGTTGGCCAAGAGTTCTTGCCTAAAGGTAATAACATGGTCACTAGACGCCCCATCGAGCTCACCTTGATCAATTCTCCTGATTCAGCCAGTGAGACAGCGGAATTTCCAGCTTTGAAGTTGTTCAACCTCTCGGATTTCACACAAGTTCAAAAGACTTTGTTTGACTTGAACATGGCCGTTCCTTCTACCGAATGCATATCGAATGACCCCATTCAGATGACAATTAGGTCACCGAAAGTGCCAGACCTTTCCTTGGTTGATTTGCCGGGGTACATCCAGGTGGAAGCAGCTGATCAGCCGGTTGAACTCAAGCAGAAGATCAGAGCTCTCTGTAACCGGTACTTGGAGGCGCCCAATATCATCTTGGCCATTTCTGCAGCAGATGTGGATTTGGCAAATTCATCTGCTTTGCGAGCTGCAAAGATGGCTGACCCCATGGGCGAAAGAACTCTTGGTGTCATTACTAAGCTTGACTTGGTAGAGCCAGAGAAGGCTCGTGCGATTTTGCTTAATAGAAAGTACCCCTTGAGAATGGGTTACGTTGGCGTTATTACAAGAGCTCCCAACTCTGGCAAATCTGGATCCGGCTTGTTCAGCAGGAAAGTCATCAGTGGCTTCCAAGCCTACGTCGCTCAACAAAACTTTGAGTATCAATTCTTGAAGGAGAATAAAGATGCCTTTATTGGTACAGTGACAGGATCGAGAAATCTTAAAAAGAAGCTCATGAAGGTCCTCGAAAAGTCTATGTCGGCTTCGTTAAGGCCTACTCACCTCGCTATCCAACTGGAATTGGAGGAAACTGCTTACCAGTTTAAGGTCGAGTTCAATGACCGTTCCCTTACTCCGCAAATGTACCTTGCGAACAACATCGATTTATTGAAAGTCGCTATAAAGGAGCTCAGTCAAAAATTCTCAAGAAATGAATTGAAGGCCCTTTTGAAGAATGAACTTGATCAAAAAGTTTTGGACCTCCTTGCCGAGAGGTACTGGAACAAGCCCTTCGAATTGAAGGGTGCGGATGGTTATGCATCTGCTGAACCAGATTTGAGGGAACTCTCTCAGCTTCTGTCTGTTGATGAGGAAAGCTACTGGCACAAGAAGCTTGACTTGGCTACTAGCTCTTTGACAAAACTTGGTGTTGGAAGACTTTCGACAGCTATGTTGACGGAAGCAATTGTCACTGAGATCAACAACTTGGTCGAAAAAACACAATTGGCTAATCATCCAATGGCAAGGAAGGCCGTCGAGGACGCAGCAAAATCTGTATTGAAGTCAAAGTACTATTCAACTGCAGATCAAGTCGAGAATTGTATCAAACCCTACAAGTATGAGGTGGAAATTGAGGACAGAGAATGGAATTCCAGCAAAGAATCAGCCGTTGACCTCCTCAAGGAAGAGCTAAGACAGTGTGATAATGTCTATGGGGCTCTACGAAAGCTGGTTGGTGGGCGCAAACTACAGCAGATTGTGACTTACTTGGAAAAGCTTAATGGCGAGAGACGAACCGAGATCGACGATAATAACGAGACGCTTGGGTTCTCAAAAACCTTGATCGAGAGGGGCAAGTACGCCATTTTCCTCAAGGAGAGAATGAAGCTTTTAAAGATGCGTTACTCTTTCATCAAGAACCTGAAGAAGTGCAAGGTCAAGGACAACAAATACCAATGCCCAGAAATTTTCATGGATGCTGTGTCTTCGAAATTGACATCCACCGCGATTTTGTTCTTGAACGTGGAACTATTGAGTGACTTTTACTATAACTTTCCAAGAAAGCTAGATGAAGAGTTCTTTGGTAACTTGAGTCGTGAACAGATGGAAAGTTTTGCCAAAGAAGACCCCAAAATCAGAAAGCATATCGAACTACAAGAGAGGAAAGATCTTTTGGAGGAAGCAATGCGCAAGATCGAAGGCATCTTGGCTTTCCAGAGGCATAAGGTTGACGAGAAGCCACAGGGTAAGTGGTGGTCATAATCAATTGCCGCTTATAAATAGAATATTAATGTACATTTTGATGCAAAGATATATCTATAAACCGTTGGGTGATGCTCACTGCACCGCCCTCACAACACGCTCAAATAACGTGTCCAATGCCATACCGTCCACATTAGCGAAGACGGGCTCAATGGAAGGAAGATCAACAAGACGATGCGCCGTCCATTTGTCGGCATCTTGTTCTGGTTCCGTTTCTGCTGAAACAGCTGTACTCTCGACCGAACGAGTTTGCAATACATTGGCTGCGGCTTGGGCACTAACCAACAAGTTATGCATCTGTTCTGTGAGATCGTTAGTAGTTTCCAAGTCTCTTGTCACTGGGCTGATCGTTGCTGCACGACATGCTGTATCAACAAACACGAACCCGGATGGCAGAGATGTGAGGGACACCACCATTTGCTTGTGAGCCGTTTCATGAATTGGAGTCAATTTGCCAGGCTGGAAAACCAAGATTTTGCTACCGGCACGAGCATTGGCATTGGTTTGATTGACAGCCACCGCGATCAAATTCCTTTGAACGTCCACTGCTACCAAGTTGCGGACACCGTAGTCAAGAAGCTTGGCTCCCAAATTAGTTTCGTGGCCACTAACAAGATTGAACAGCAACACCTGTGTTGCCAGCGCAAGCACCAAATGAGTGTTCAACACTGCCAAGAACTCCACTGGGGCAGAGAGACGAGGAAGCGTAAAGTCGACAGGGTCAAGCAGCAGTGGGTCATATGCATTTGTCTCAGTGTTGTGACTCACCACCAACAAAGAGAAGTCTGGAGACCAAGCAGCAGCAACTGGAGCAGACACCAGCGCTGAAGGTGAAAGAGCACGGCGAAGCGTCCAGACAGTGGGAGCTCTAGTGGCAATTGTTTGTTTTCTGCTGGATTTGGGTGCTGCTGCTGGACGAGGACGCCAGAGACGAATACCGCCGTTTGTATCAACTGTAGCAACAACTTCAGCGTTTGGCAGGGCAACTATCGCACCGACAGGAAGACCCGGGCCATGTGGATCAACGATTTTAGAGGCGAGGTGCCAACGAGATTCTTCGCTCGACCAGGACCAAAATTTGAGTGCAAAAGCAGTATCGTTTTTGGAGAGGAGATTGTCCAAGTCGGACTTTGGCATCAGGTCAAATGTGCACATCCACTTACCATTGTGGGTGAAGACAACCTTTTCGACTTGAGGGTCGGCAATTTTGAGCTCGCTTTTCACTCTACCGATATCGAGTTGTGGAGCAACATGCTGAATAAATGCTTGTTCGCCGCGAACAAGATCAAATGCTTGTATCGTCAGTCCATTAGGAAAGTAAAGGTGATTGGTTTGAGGGTTTATGATGGTCGAGGCACTAATGTCAGGTCTCAAGATATCGAAAAGCTCGGGATTTCCGTGGCGAGCAGGTTTTGAAGATTCTTCATCCTCATTACCACTGTCCAAGTCACTGTCGTCCTCCAAAGCTGCCTTCTTCTTCTTGAGTTGCTGCCTTATCTTCTTTCTGGAGTTATCAAGCGACATCGACATTTGTGGTCTACAAGGGGCAACTGCGAGGCGAGAAATAAGGTCAACAGCAGAAATGACAAGGATTTCACTTTGGTGTTCGGCAATAGCACCTGATCCAGTGGCAATCGGTGAAAGCATAATATTGTACTGATCTTGGCGATTAGGATCAATGGCTATTGCGGTGACTGCTCCGCCAAGTCGAGGCAAGAACTGTGTTTTGCCCAGCTCGAGATTCCAGATTACCAAGACCTTTTCTGTACCTCCAGATATCAAGTAACGCTGGTCAGCAGAAAATGTAAGAGCTGTGGCTCCATCGAAGTGCCATTTGAATGTACGCTGATTTCCTGAGTCGTTGCCATCTTTTCTATCCCTCTCCAGGGGGTACAAAAGGTAGATTGGGCCAAATGAAGAAGCCACAGCAACAAGTGCTTGATCACTGATAGCCATCCTCAGTGCTGGAGCACCAGTGTATGCCATGCTAAGCTTACCTTGTTCCAAGACTTCTTGAGTAGAGGCAGAGCCGTTCTGTGATTCGCCTGTCTTTTTCAATATGCTGATGCCAACTTTGAGATCATATACTGAAACAATATTTTTCTGTAACACTGCTAGGTGGGATGCACTTCTCGAAATGGCGTACCGTGAGACATCGGTAAGACTAAGCACGACAGTGGCTTTGGCGGTCTCTTTATCCACCAGATATAGCGTGAGCCTCTTGGGAGAATTGTCACTAGTATCACCAGTGAGCCCAGCGGCATAGTAATTCGTATCATCGATCAAGAACACATCTTGCAAATGTATGTTTTCTGGAGTGATATGCTGCTTCGCTACCACAGGATGAGCAACGTTTTCCTTCCAATTCACGTAAAGGACCCTCTGCTTGGACGTAAATATGATCACCTGCGAGTCATTGTTCTCATCCATATGGGCTGCAATAGCATCATGAATATCCATATTCACCACCCTAACGCATTGTCTGGTAGCGTTGTAGTATACTCTGATCTGGTAAGAAAGAATGACAACGGTGTGAGCGCCGTCCTTTGAAACAACTGCGGGGAAGGTGGATCCATGTTTGAAGAACACAGGAGTACCTCCAGAAGACACCGTAACTCGCCAGGAACTAGGAAACTCCATTGGTGAGGTTGTTGGATTTGGACTCTTGGAATTTTTATGAGATGCCTGAGAAGAGGTGCGCGTGATATAAATCATGTGATTCAACTTGACGTTCCCAACTCTGGAAATATACAGAGTGAATTGTGATATTCAATATTCCAGTGGGAAGCTGAACTAGTTTTATTTTGATCAGACTCACCAGGAGACCCATGTCTATCTAAAAGGGGTCAAAGCATCCGAGATGCCTTTGGTATACTCTACACCCGTGCACCTTCAACATCTCTGGTACACAGAAAAAATCTCATAATTGACCATCTCGAATTCTCATCAAAGAGATCGTTTTCATAAACAACAGCGATGATCATTCCTATCCGCTGTTTCTCTTGTGGCAAAGTTGTTGGTGACAAGTGGGAGACTTATTTGAACTTGTTGCAAGATGAGACCTTAACTGAGGGTGATGCTCTTGATCAGCTTAAGTTGAAGAGATACTGCTGCAGAAGAATGGTGTTGACCCACGTCGACTTGATTGAAAAATTCTTGAGATACAATCCTTTGGAAAAGAAGGACTTGAACTAGAGTCATAGCATTAAAGATTGGTAATGTTACATGCTGGGTGCTAGGTAGCATTATTGACATGTACTATAGGATACGGATATATCAATGAAAATACGTTGAACTTGGCGTAGGTGAAGCGAAGCGCTGACTAATTTTTTGACTGCGCTAAGTCCATTGTCATGAAGGGACTCAGGTGCTGATTTTCTGAAGCCACAGTGATCCCGATAGGAATATACATGCATGATCTAGAAGCGTTTATTCTCCTGCTTTAGTCTATTTGTTTTCCAGAACCAGTTGGATAAACTCGTAGAAAAACGCAATCAATTGAACGTGTGATTTCATAGGGACATTCTCATCCACACTGTGAATGTTAAGTGTCTTGAAATCTTCCACGTACATTGCACTGTACCTATAGATATGGTCAGTCAAGTTCCAGTAATGTCTAGTGTCTGTACTGGCAGGCATGATACTAGGAGAAACCACAAGTGGTTGGTCAAGGTCAGTAAACACGAAGTCTTCAATAATATGTCTGGTGACACCACCCAAAATCTGCCAGAGCCTATCTCCAGTTGGGGTCACTGGAGCAGTTCTGGTGTATCGTCCTTGAATCTTGACTTCGAATTGGCCGTTCAAAGTAGGCTCAAGCACCTGCTCACCGAATGCAACGAGACCGATATCATGCTTCTTAGCAACCTCGCTCACTCTCTTGACGAACTTGGCCTGAATATCTTCCAAACTTGTCTCGACAGCGACTCTGTGATTGACCATAATCTTTGCATTTTCAGGCAAGGCGTTCATCTTCTCACCACCTTTGATGATGTCAACGGCTTGAGAAGTTCTGATCAAGTAGCGAGTGACCAAGTTCAGGGACAAAGCCTTGACAACAATCGAGTTGGCGACCTTGTCGTAACCAGCACGTAACACCAGCTGTCTGAAAAACTTGGGCAATATTCCCTCATGATCGTGAGCAGCTGTGCATTGAAGGAACTCGAAGGATGGATTCGCTGTAGTGAGAAGTGGCTCAAATGGCTCGGCCTCGATTTTAGCCACCAATTCGGAGATAATACCAATGGCGGTATGGTCTGGTGGCATGGAGGAGTGCCCACCACGCTGGGTGAGTTCAACAGCCATATCAATGTATCCCTTCTCACTGGTAGCAGGAAGACCAATAAGATTCTTTGTGACTGGGTTCCTCATAACGAAGGTCCCTTCATCAATAATGGCGTAAATAGACTTCTCACCAAATCTCTCAATCAAGTATTCGTTAATTTTATGGGCTCCAAGGAGGCCAGATACTTCTTCGTCTTGACCAAAAGCGGCAATGATTCCTCTCTCGGGCTTGAATCCCAGCTTGACTAAAAGCTCCAAGCTCTCCATGATTGAGACTAACACGTTTTTACAATCAGTGGCACCACGACCATACACCTTTTCACCATCGAAATGTCCTGAAAATGGAGGATATGTCCAATTCTTGAGAGTATCTTCCTGAACAGGAACAACATCTTGGTGTGCAGCCAACATCAAGGGCTTAAGGTCAGGATTGGAGCCCTTCCAGATGTAAACTAAACTGTATGTGTTGATCTTGACCACCTCCAAGTGCTCGTGGACGGCTGGAAAAGCGGTTTTTAAGTATTCGTGGAACTTGATAAATTTGGTCCAGTACTCTGGGTCGTCCTCAACTGTGGGAGGATTGTCGTAGATCTGCGTGTCCACCTGAACCGCCTGGGACATTCTTTCGGTAGCAGCCTTGAAAAACTTCTCCCCAGTCAAAATCTCCACCACGGTGGAATTGTCCTCGTAAAATGACTTGGGTCTGTAGATATCGAGAATTGGGCAGTGCTCCGATGTAATTGGAGTCACTGCAATCCGTGCATAACCAGCAACATCAGTGAATGCCAAAACTATTGCCAACACAAGAGCCGCCACAGCAGCAATGCCAAACTTCTTGTTGGACTTTTTGTTTTCGTCTGGAAGACTCACCATTGTCGTCGATGCAGAGAAAACGTTATATGGTACGATTATATAGTCCGTCCCAGATTCCGCACCATGCAGCATAGAATTAGCGCCGCGTATTACCGACGCAGACCGATCCCTCGGGTGTTTGGAAACGGCACTTTTTTTTTTGTCCACGATACAAATTTGGCAGTATACTTATGCGGAATTTAGCCAATCTTGGAAGGATTAACGCTATGGATCTTTCTCACTTTGACAGCCATTGTGCGAGCTTGGGTGCAAAAAACTAAGCCGTGACCAAGATACTATTTTCTCACTTTGCGGTCTTATCTCCCACACCATTTCGGATATAGAGTGGGGAAACGCCGAGAAAATTGATGAAAACGTTCACGATTTTGTGCAATAGAGGGGGTGGAGATTCTTCCTAGAAGATCAGCTCAGGTTTTGTCAGTGCTTCTCTGTAATTGTATATGCTCCGACATCTCTTCCTATTGTTCCTGAGATCGTGTGCTTCAAACCTTCCTGCTCATGACGATGCTCGGTGCGCTATCCAACAGGCATCGGTACCACAAAAGAACTCAAAATGTCCCCTCTTCAGAATAACGTTATTTTGTTTCGAAAGGCTAGATCGGGACGACGTAAGAGCCCTCAGAATATTAATGGCGGATGGCACCCTAACGAAAGGTGCAGTACGCATGGAGTCAGTACATGCTATCACTGATGCTCTTCCAGACATCCCCAAGAAAACTCAGACCAACATATAAATTTTTGCAAGAGATCAAAATCTAGGATTCCTCCGATTATCTCCTACAACTGTATCAATATCCACCTTTATCTATGTACATGTACCGCTTATGGAAACGCTTCCTTCGTTCTCACAACTCTTCTCAATGACCTTGTCTTAGGGTCAAACGTCTTCACTACCACCGCATTATCTGGCAACTTCTTACCCCTGGGGATGTCAAGCACGGTGCCAGGCACAGACTCAGGCAACACCGCAGGGATATACTTCTGCTTGAGCACAAAGATCTCCTCGCTTGAGAAAACACCAGGAGTGCTCAAAAGCTCGACTATGGCCTTTTTCTGCGCATCCCTGAGAATAATGCCAGTAAACTCACTATCAAGTTTTGAGAGAATCTCATCCTTCTTCTGTTGATGCTCTTCGGCTGAGAATGGCGTGTGAAGTCTGGTTTTGTGGTCCAATGCCAAAGCAAGATCCAATTCGGAAGAGAACTTCTTGTATTGGTCAAACTTGGTGTTGAGCTCCTCCTGCAGAAGTTCACCACGTCTCACAGCCAACTGCTGCTCGAAATAGTAGTTGAAAGTCACTTGGTCTCTAGCTTGTTCCAAAGTTTGTCCTGTCTTCATGAGGGCGGCAACTTGATAAAGTCTTTCAGTGGCCAATTCAGGTTCAGTGATAGCTGGGAACTGCTCTTTCAATTGACTGAGAGCATTTCTTTTCCACAGCTTTTCAGCATTTTCTCTCTTCACCTTCATCTGCTTCAACTCATCCTGGGCAAGATATTCCTTTCTGCTCATATGCTCCTCCTCCTTCTTGGCATCAGCTTCGTCTAGAATCTGCTCGTAGCCAAATCTTCTCACACGTGGAGCAAAGTGATCCACAGGTAATGTATATTCCTTCTTTAATGCAACACCCACAAATTTTCTCAATGGGTGGAATGGGTCCAAGTAGAACTTGACGTAGCCAGGCTCCATGGCGAATATCGTGTGATCACGGCCGATGGCAACATTTTCACCAGGATGGATTTTGGAACCTCTTTGTCTCATGATGATTTCGCCGGGATTGACGAAATTATTCTCAAACTTCTTGGGACCCAATCTACGACCCGCGGAGTCGTTTTTGTTGGTTTTCGAACCACTCACTCTTTTCGTGGCCGTACGGATTTGAGTAAATCCACCTAGTATAGAGCTGGACGAAGCGAGCCCAATACCAGCCCCGGTGGTTGTTCTGAAGAGCGACATGGGTGGGTCTGTAAGAATCTTCACAGAGTTTTCTCATTGAAAAAATGGATCCACGTAACCGTGTATGCAGGTCCAGCACATAGTTCCAACCACTTCACCACATCAAATGTCTTCAAAAAGTTTGGCAAAGAGAAAATAGAAGGACATCACTTAGTTGAGTATACCTAGAGATAAATTCTGAAAAGGAGATTTGATGTAATAGTGAAACTGGCAGCTCTGGGCGAGCGTTGCACCCCACCAGTAATTGTGAGTGAGCATTGTAAATGCTAAAACCCATGCTCTGGTAGATGCAAAAAAAGTATGCGCAAGCCCGGAATCGAACCGGGGGCCCAACGATGGCAACGTTGGATTTTACCACTAAACCACTTGCGCTAGTAAAGCTCCGAGACGGGGAATTGAACCCCGGTCTACCACGCGACAAGCGGTAATTCTAGCCACTAAACTATCTCGGATGTTATGCTAAAGAAGACCACGCGCTCTTATATGAAGGTGCTTGTTCTATAGAACTGCATAAGGGTTCACGCGCACGTGATCGAACAAGAGGCAGGATGTATGGAGCCGTGGTTGTATTCAAGTCCTACCATCAATCGATAAAAAAAAAAAAAACCTTTAAATTCATCACCAAATTCACCATATGTTCCGAACAGGTTGGATAAAAGGTTTTTTATTTATCGAATTTAGATCTAAAAAAATAATTTGTGTAGGCTAATCTTAACATTCAGCTTTTGCCCAACTACGATCAATTGGTTGCATTTGAATTCATGCTAGAGTACAACACGGAAGATGCAAAACTATATCCTTTTCTTTTCTTACTTCACCTGAAAAGTCGCATGTGCTGATTTTATTGTAACTTAATTTCCCAATTGTATTGCCCTCTACAGACAACTCAATATGAGCATGGCACTGGTCTTGTTTTATTGCATCCGAGGAATGAAACAAACTTTGAAGCTTATGGAGCTGTTCATCATTGTTACTTGTAAGTACCAATTATATCAGAAAGGGATTGTAACGCCGAAATTGTCGAAAACCTGGATAGCAGACTGGAAGTACAACGTACAGATCAAGTGTCACAAAGCACTTTCGGGGATCGGCATTGTCTGTACAATACCCCACTGACTCTAAGGATACCACAGCCGACCGAATTCAACCCGCCAAGTGTTGATATGTTTTTCTGTTGTCTAGATATCCGGTGCAAGCGAAATCACGTTGATACTCCGATTTGCGGCGTATTCTTTCATGCAATGGTAATCTGCGGCTTTGTTTCCCGATATCAGAAGAATCTGACATCGTAGTGCATAACTGTGCTCAAGCGATAACTTACCTCTATGGGATTGTCAATTCTGGTCCGGAATGTGCTTCCTTAAGCTTTCTGCCTTAATACTTTGTCCATCCATTGTTTTATGCGTCGTTCAGATTCGAGAAGGTATACGTTGATCCATCAAGTCGTGGGACATCGGTGAGATTAACCTGATCGCTAGCCTATTTGACAGGAAGCTCATGGTATGGATGTACATCCTCCAATTGACGACATCTCAGTGTTCTACTTTAGTCTTTATTGAAGGGGCTCCGATACATTTTGTCATTTACGGATTTCAAAAATAGAACCGTGAACTGGTCACATATCAGCCTCGTTCGTATGCAGTGGGAACCCCGTCTTCTACGGCTCTGGTAGAGTATTTCTACGGAAATGTCCTGTAGTGTTGCCAAAAATCCCCGTGGCAATAGCCGCTCCGTCTTTGTCTGAAATTCTGGTTGCATCGTCATCAATTCTATTTATACTTTCGATAGATATATAAGGGGCTGGCGCCTCTGCTTAGGGAGACCATCAACATGATTCTGTCCGTTTTCACAATCGTCTTCTTATTCTGGTGTGCCGTGGCATGTCCCACTCCAAAGCAGTTTGAACTTCGTGTTTACCGAGAAAATGATCAAGACATATTCTTCGTCAGAAACCATACCAACCTGGCAATTCTAGTGTCCGATCTGGCATACAACACTGAAGGGTCGCCAGTGCTGGGGCCACAACTCTTCTATTTCGATGAAGATGATCTCTTGAGAAATGCAAGAACCAATGAATTTGTTTCAGTTCAAACCTGGGAGGCTGATCAAAAGCGTGATTTGACGTTGCTCTTTGACAAAGAGATAACGTTTAGCGGATTCCACAAGCAGGAGGGCTTCTTGGCTCATGATGGTAATACAACATTCTATTCATGCAACTCTTATCCGTTCGATAAGTATGTGGACTACTTGAGCCTCGACAGCAACTGCTTCCTCGCTGCTCCAGTGAAATTACGACTTGTTTACCCATTATAAGCACCCTGGTTGATTTATAGTTTACCACCAAAGAACTTCAATGCCAAGTGAACACCGTAGCTGATCTTACGATCCTCTCCAATTTCGTAGATTTCCTCGGGAGTCACAGGATTACCTTGTGCGTCAATTCTATCTTCCTGCTTCTCTTCAGTCTGTTTGAGCTTTGGGTCAAAATCCTCGAGCTCCAATGGATGAGCATAAGTCATCAAGTTATCAATCTCAGAGCGCATGCGATGCTTCAAATCTTGATTTTTTGTAACGATGATAGCATTGCTCTCTAAGTCACACGAATAAGCACGCTTGGTGAAGTTTGAGGAGCCGACCACAGTAATTGAGGGCTCCTCTTCCTCGGGAACGGTGATCCATAAACCCTTTGCATGGTATGTCCAGCCACCAGGGGTATTCACAACACCGTTCTGCCATTCGTACAATTTGATGAGACTCTCTTTTCCTCTGCGCCTAAGCTCCTCCAAAAACTTCTTTGCAATCAAAAGATATGCCTCGGGAATGTAGTAAGAGACACCAGGGGATTTGTAGAAAGAGTTGGCTTTAGCAGATGCCGTGATAACGGTGCCTTCAGCTTTTCCATTGCACAATCTGTCCTGGATCTGCGGAAGCATGTTGAAATAACCAGCGGTGAACCACCATTTGATCTTGGACGAGTCCAAGTAAGACAAAAGGCGTAACACGGCGGGCTTCTCTGTTGATGCGTCGTTCTGAGCTGGGAATAAAGGAGTGAATTGGGATACAGGGTACACGATGGTGTCAAACTCATTTGTGTCGGAGTATTGCTCGAAAGCCGAAAGTTGATGCTGCTTCAACAATGGCTCAAGGAGGTAGGAGGAGTCGGAGATGAAGCGCTGGAAGTTCATGTCTGGCTCACAGGACCTGTTGGAGGTTGGCCATGACAAGCGGAAAGTCTGGTATTTGTGGGGCTTGGTGGATGGCAAGAGCTGGTAGGAGAGGCTGGAAACAGCCTTGTGGATCTTGAAGTAGTAATCGGTGATGGCGGCGTCTTTGAACAAGTAGTAACGGTCCTGGCGGTCAGTGAAGTAATCGTGGGATAAGTTGGCACCAGAAAGCATGACCTCATTGTCGAAACCATAGAGCTTCATGTGCTGGAGACCAAAGCTCTCGTTGACACGCTTAGGGGCCAAGTTCTTCTTGAAGCCGCTCAAGTGAGGAGTATGGTACATTCTAATATCGACTCTGTGCTTGCCGAATTTCTCGACAAGTGTGACGAGCAAGGAGGCGGAGGACGGGTTGTTGGGGGCCTCCCTTGTTCCACGTAACGCATCGGTCAAAATAAACACCTTCAACTCGACGTTCTTGGCCAAGGCCTCGGCGAGCGTCTCCACGAGCTCCACCTGGCCCTTGCCCACGTACAAAGAGCTGAGGAACACGTGGTTGGATGCATGTAAGATCTTGTGTTTGAGGGTTTCGTAAAAGTCTTGCGGCGACGTCAAGATGTCGATATTGGAGCCCTTTGTGGTGAACCTGGGGGCGATGGCGTCCAACTGCTGGAAAATGGTGGTCAAACGCGGGTGGAACGAGGCAGCAGCGTCAGCGGGGAGGGCCACGTTGTCGGTGGAGTAAGGATGGGTCTTGGGCGAGGCAGCCAGCCTGGCGCCAAAGAGGTAGTTGTAAAAGGACCCAAGCATTCGGTTGTGAGCAGTAGCAGCGAGTCTTATCACCATAAGGTGGCACGGGAGCGTTGGGCGGGATGTCAATGAAGGATGGATGCAGTGGCAACGGAATAAACGAAAAGAAGGTCCAGGTAGGAGGAGGGCGGACCGGGCGGGAGTTGAGATAAGATATGCGAGATAGATGGGGCAGCGACGCAGAAAAAAACTCAGTCCAGTAAAACGCACCGCAAAGAAACGGTCGCTGTGAAGGAATGCGAAGTGCTCCACGGAGGGGAAGGTGGAGACCAGGCAGCGATCCGTAGAACGGTTCACCAAAGGGGCAGTTTCAGAGGATATTTTGCAGGAGAAACTTTACGGTTTCGAGTTGAAAGGGGCCATTTTTTTTCCCCCAATGAGTGCCCACTTGACACACCGTTGGTGCCAAGTGCGGGAACGGTCTTGTGAGGGTAGCATTGTCTGGAGAATGACGGCATTGTTCCTGCTAGCCGGGCAGATCAAAAAGTATGCCTCATGGAGCAATGATGGACAAGGGGGCGGAACAATCCCGACGTGATGCTTAGGTGGGCTGAAGGTCACAACACAAAATGCCCAAGCCAACGGAGGCCACAGCGCTTAATCCTGCTTCGACGCTTCCGGGCGAGCAACTGATACGGTAATTCGAGGAGCCGTGCAATTCCCATTTAGGCGCTACGAGGGAATGATAAGAAAAATTGTCGGAAGATGTCAGCTGTCAAGTTATTTGTTTTTTTGTTTTTTTTCTTGGTTTGGGGGATCCATCGGCCCGTGGGATCGTCTGCTTCGGCAATCATCTCGCTACTTCCGTTTCGAGTATGCTCGCCTATCCCCACCGTCTCTATTTGCACGTCATTCTGTATCCGCTATTTAAACCGCCGTCACATACACAACCGCATGTGTTTGCAACCACTTCACCTGGCCTTGCCTCCTGCCGCCTTCACCACTAAAACGTCGCCATCCTCGATCACGTAAGCTTTGCCCTGCCGATGCTGCTTGCCCTTTGATCTAAGCCCAGCCTCGTCTAACGGCGGCTGCTCGTCCTGGAGATCTTTCCACTTGTACACTTGTGCTGAAATGAAGGTTTTCTGGAGGTCAGTGTGGATGGTTCCAGCGGCTTCGGGTGCTAGAGATCCCTCCCGAACCGTCCACTGATGCGCCTCTTTGGGCCCACACGTGTAGAATGAAACAAGACGAAGCGCAGACCGCATCTTGTCCACAATTCCACTCATGGCGCTCCCCTTGTGGCCATGCTCGGCCATGTAAGCCTCGAGTTCCTCCACATTGTCTCTTTTTTCATTTAGCTGTGTTTCATACGCTGCTGAAAATAACATCAACTGGTCTTCCGGACAATTCTCCTGGATCCACCCTTGCACGGCCTCCTTAAACTCGTTGGAGTCATTCTGGTAGTCAGCCTCGTTCACGTTAAGCAATACCACGGTGGGCTTAGCCGTGAGAAGGTTTAATGGGTTGATAATGTCGATCTCCTCGTTGCTCCACTCCACAGTGCTCACCTTCCTGCCCAGGTATAGAAGATCCAGAAGCTTGTTGAGCGTGTCGATCTCAAACTGTATTTTCCCCTTGTCCGCTTGGGGCTTCTTCAAGGCTTTCTGTGCCTGTTCAAGCCCAATCTCAATGTAGTCCAAGTCCTTGAGAATGAGCTCATCGGTCACGATGGTCATATCTCTCACAGGGTCCACGTTGTGCTCAATGTGCGTAATTTCGTCGTCCCGGAATCCTCGAACCACGTGAAACACTCCGTCAACCTGACGAATATCGGCCAAAAACTTGTTGCCTAGACCCTCACCCAGTGCTGCATTTCTTGTGAGACCTGCAATATCATATATCGTCATGGACGTGGGCACCTTCTTCGCTGATCCATACAATTTTTGAAGGTGGTCAAGCTTTGGGCTTTCCACCACAATGAGAGACATCGAAGGATCAATCGTGGCATATGGATAATTGGCAGGGTTGCCAAGAGTGGACTTGGTGATGGCCTGGAAAAACGTCGACTTCCCCACGTTGGCGAGGCCTACAACTCCCAGAGAGAGATTGTTACTGACCCTACCTAGATACTTTGGTTTCGTCGCCTGTGCCCCTTTTTTGGCTAGGCATGAAGCAGTGGTTGTAAAAGAACGAATCTGATTCATGGCACCGGTCGGCAAACCAAATTTTCATACCGATATGATAGATCGTGCAGGCAGATCAGTGCGCTGCAACCTAACGGCTGCAAATGAGCTAGCGAGTAACGGCCATCTCATCGACCTAAGACGGCCTTGTTGCTGCCGTATATCTGAATTTGGTAGAGTAGAACGGCCATGCAAATCCAGTTTAGGAGCAAGGATTCTGAGGAGACAATATTTGTAGGAAGCTCATACCAGCTAGTCCCGCGCACTCTGTAGCTCACCAAACTACTCGTCAATAAGAATAGTGAGACGGTTTGGAGGAGCATGAAGTTTTTGTGAATAATGTGGAATCTCGAGAAAAACCAGTTAGTTGAGCATTGTGAGATAAGCCTGAATGAGAAGCTCATATACGCCACAAGCCAGAAGTAGTTGGCAATGTCAAGCTCATTGAGGGTCTCTTGTCCACGAGCATAGTTCCATAGTAGCCACACAAGACCAAGTATGACAAGGGTAATCACAAAGTAGAATAGCATACCCAATGCCTCGTTGCCTTTCCTCGTTGACCTGTATTTCCTAAAAATCTGGTACATTAGGCAGCTTGTTGCTGCTAGTCCCAAACAGTCAAGGAAGAATACAAGTTTTGAGGTATAAAACGTGGGATATTCGGGATACCTGTTGGCATATTGGAAGACAACATACGTGGATGCTAGGTAATTACCACCAAAGTAAACGTTAGATACGAACCATAGCCAAGAATAGGAAATGAAGTCGCAAGAAAGTCCAAGTACGTTTCCCTTTCGGGATACCTTCTCAGTAGCAAGCACGTATGAAACAATCTGGAGAACATAGCCAGCCACATAGAGAGCTTCTGGTACCGACATGAAGCCGATTCAACCGTGCACTGGATCCTTGATTGCACCTAGCAAGTTTGGGTTCGAGACTGGTTTCGAACGATTGATTAATGCAAAGGTTTAGTTTATATTGCAAAAACACTGGTATATTGAAGCCGTCATCCGCAGCTCGCGACAATTCTTGTGATTTGATAAAAAGCAAGATATCTTATCTCAAAGTACGTGCTTGATGCGCGAAAGAGTGTAGTTAATCGAGCACCACATCAACAGCTTCTTGAAGAAAAACTACTCGGTGCTGGAAAGAGCCAATTCATCTATTATCTTGCGCAGAGCGTATCACTCCTTTTTCACTTGTATTATATCAAACTAAATTGTCAAATTCAAATTCGAAAAATGGCCGCAGAAGATACAGAAGGATACTGGGACATTGTCATTTCATCACTTCAAGACATATGCAACGCCAACGAGTCTCTATCGTTTGACGACATTTTCTCCAATCATACGGACTTTACATTGGAGAAGCTTTCAGAGAGTGAGTTGGAGACTCTTAAGGAAGAGATAAATGACCACAAACTCAACATTGGAACAGCCACTAGACTTATTGCAACTGCCCAACAAAACTTGCTGACGCTTACATCGAAGCTAGAGAAGGCACAGCAGAAACAAGAGACCTCGACGCGATCTGGCAAGCTTCAATCGGCGTCCAAGGGTGGTAAAAGAGCTAACAGCAAAAAAGGTAACAAGAAGTACGGTCGTCAATATTGGGTGTCAAAGTATGATCCTTCAGAGCCTATTATAATTGGGTCAGAAGTAGCTTTCAAGCTAAAGAATCGTCATTTTGAAGAGTGGATTCAATGTGAGGTGACTAAAATTCTCAGTGATGGAACGAGGTATGAAATCAAAGATCCCGAACCCGATGAAAACAACAACCCAGGACAAACTTTCAAAGCGAATTACAAAGAGATTCTACTCATACCGTCAGTGCTGGAAGTGCCAAATCTCATATCGTACCCACACGGTACGAAAGTTTTGGCGCGTTATCCTGAGACAACAACATTTTATCCTGCTGTGGTGGTAGGTCAAAAGAAAGATGGCACAGTCAGACTTAAATTCGACGGAGAAGAGGAGGTCAACAAGGAAACAGAAGTTGAGAGGCGTGTTGTTCTTCCGTTTCCTCAACGATTAAAATGAGGCGAGCAGTTTCCTAATACCGATACTGGCTCTTTACAGTAACGCTCAATGTCAGACTGATTTACTGCATTGCAATAGGTTGTCTTGTTTTACTCGATGGCAGACAAGATTTCAGTGATCATAAAAAGCCTGGGATCAGAAATTGATCCTATAACAGAATAGAATCGAAAGCTTGAGGACCTCCAAATTTCGAAAGCATGTAATTCAGCGCTCCTGCTGGACGAGACTGGAGTATGTAGATGTTGAGAAGTGTTTCGCGCCTATTCACCGGAAGTCGAGATGTATTATTAGCAATATCAGATCAAAAGAAAAATTTGTAAGAAGTATTCTATAACTAATTATTTAAAAAGATTTTTCTTAGGCAGAGTCCTGCTGAAAACTACCTGGCGGGTGTAATACACGTGACTAAGATGCGATGGACGAAAAAGAAGAGATTTGGGAACTGATCGACAGGACACTCATCATCAATCATGTCAGAGGAGATTGATATCGACGACTATTCAAGAGTATGTTGGATTAATTACGAATGGTAATTCGTGTGTTTTTGCTTGACAGCGTGATTGGTGCTAGTCGGCGAAAACTGCAACAAAAGGTGCTAAGGAAGACAATTATGGGTGCTTTTATGTTGGAGTTTGGCTGCAAGTAAACCCAACATGCGGAGAATGGCGGCAATTTTATTTCAGAGATGCTAATACATCAGGACAGGTCGAGATCGCCTGTGAGAAACAGAGATCGGTCGCCCGGTACGAACTCCAGAAAGGACTATGAAGCTCCTCGTGGCCAGGACAGAAGGGGTGGTTACGCTAGAAGACAAAGAGATCGTGGAAGTGAACGCTCTTTCAAGGACAGAATCGGACGCAGAGATGGTGGCGGTCGTGACAGAGGTCGTAGAGGTGACCGTCGTGACAGAGGAGAGAGACCTCCAAAGAGAGGTTACATTTCCCCTGAGGATGCTTCTACTGTGCCAGGAAATGAGGATGAGCGTAGTCTTGTCGAGCGCAACTACGACAGATCCATCTTCATAGGCAACATTCCGTTTGAAGCAACCGCTAGAGAGGTGAATGAGATCTTTAACAATGACTTTGAAGTCGTAAGGGCAGACATTGTTACCAGACGTGGTCTCTCTCGCGGAATGGCTACTGTGGAGTTCAGCACCGTTGAGGATGTCGAGAGAGCTATTGAGAAGTTCGACCGCACTCAATACCAGAACAGAGAGATCTTTGTCAGACAGGACTACCCTCCTCCAGAGGACAAGAGAGAGAAAAGCGAGTCTAGTCGAAGCACCGCTCCTCCCGCGGACGAGGATCGTGAGCCTAATCCTGAGGTTTTTGTCGGTAACTTACCCTACACTACTTCTTGGCAGACATTGAAGGACGAGTTCAGAAGCGTGGGCACCATTGTGCGTGCTGATGTGCTTACTGATCGTCAAGGTAAGTCTCGTGGCTATGGTACTGTTGTCTTCAAGACCACTGAGGACGCTCAGGCCGCTATTGACAAATATAACGGTTTCGACTTCGAAGGTCGTAACATCGATGTGCGTTTCGCCAGAGAGGCCAAGAAACCCGCTCAAAGCAGTGGCAAGAAGAACTCCCCATTCACAGAGGGTGTTGTTGGGGATGGCGAGACATCTAGAACTATCTTTGTTGCCAACTTGCCTTACATCACAACGAAAGCTGACTTGTATGATCTTTTCGAGACCGTGGGCCAGGTCACCAATGGCGAAATTCAATTAGAGTCTCGTGGTAGACCATCTGGTAATGCTGTGGTGGAGTTTGAAAATGAGGATCTCGCGGAACAGGCAATCAAGAACTTGGATGGTTACAACTATGGTGGTCGTCCCTTGCAAATCAGCTTTGCGCAGTATCCAAGTGTTAACGAGTCGAACGATGCTGAAATGGCTGACTAGTCATCTTTATATACTTTAAAAGTACAACATTTAATCGGAACATTATCTACATAGTAGCGCATGCCTGTATGATGATAAAGGCTCCAAGAAATTATAATTCACCTGTTCCAACTACCAACGTGGCCATGTCGGATATTATCGAATCCATCATAGGCGGGATCTTATACTACTCGCCACCTTTATGGCTTATACTTTGCATTGTAGCAATTTGCGTTGTGCTTCTGAGAATCTCCGTGTTTGCAGAGATGGTAAAAAGCATGAGAAACCATCTTCGGTATCTTCATAGTATAAGATACAGATCCCTGTTTCAAGACGATTTGGAGAATGGCCTCTCCAGTAATAACTTCGATCTTACGGGCAATCTTGAAGGAGACACGAGAGAGGGTCTTGATGAAAACGCTACGGCCGAGATACGGAATATAATGACAATGGAGAACATATCATTTGACGAAGCTCGATTACGGTATTTCCGTGATAGACTATCGAATCATGGCATTGGGAGTGATGGAGTGCCCACTGATAGGCGAACGGTCACGTTCGACAATATCTAAAACCGAAGTTGAAGGCGACGCGTGTGGAAAGCACCAACAAGTTCATTGAGGTTCTCCAAGGCGAGCTTAAGTGATTGATTTCTCAAATTTCCTGAGACTTCAGCCCTTTTAAGGCATTCCTGTGCTATATGTGGCTTTTGTATCTCGATTAAGAGGTATGTGTGGATTGATTATCCTGATGGGTCTTTGATTTTGGGTACGTGATTTGAATATGACTTGATTATTAATGAACTTTATGTTCGAACTCTATTGAAGTGCGATGTAGATTCAATTATTCTCAGATAGTTTGCATGTTTAGCGTAAGGGAAGAACTTTCAAGATATTGTGGGGAAACCGCGAAAATACAGAAATGGAGGAATCTTCATAGATAATGCAACAGCTTTAAAAACCAGCTGGACATTTTCATCTCTATTTTAACAGGATCGAATTGTACTTCGATAACTAATGTTGAGTCAATTGCCATCTTAGGGGTGAATCGTCATTGACAAATTGTGCACCGCGTTTTATGCACTTATCACCAGACCGTTCCAAACGAACAGTTTCTAGAAGAAAGCCCCCATAATCTCCAATATTTACCTTCGACCCAATCGAGGCGCTTTCGAATTCCTTCCTCGATTGAATTTTTGATCTTCGTTCTCGTTGTTCTCGAAGTATATCCATTGTTTATATTGATGCCTAATTAGGAAGTGGTATCAAAAACATCAAAACTACGTACATGTACCACGATTAAATCTCTTTTGTTCAGTTACCACACACATTTCAAATAAGATGGATATTTACCGGAGATACGCCTCTGGTGAACACGATGAGCAATTCTTCTCGAAGAACAATCACAACGAATTTATTAAGCTACGACCTTTACTGGGCCATTTCGACAACCTTGGACCAAATGCAGCCTCCAAACCAGTGCTGTACTGGCAAGAGCTCTTCCCCCAGGCTGCTTTTTTTGCAGGTTGCGATGAAGTGCTCTTTGGATACGTCATCACCGTTGTCTACAAAAATGAAATGACCCTGAAGATAAGTGCCATCTCCATCACCAAGTTTGGTTGCAACATATATGAAAACCTTATGCTCGATGTCCGCCTGCGCTTTTGGCCAGCATGCGAGAACTTGGACCCAGAGCATCGTGATTCTAATGTAAGAAAGGCCCTCGCAATTGCTAACTTGAAGAATTACAATCAGCTCTTCTACAACACAGAAAGCTTACATTCGCGATGGGACGAGACGACCGCTGGCGCATTAGCCAGCTCGATGGATGTTTTGACGGGAAGGGTTCCGGTACAACTAGGTGAAAAGCTTCTTTCGCTCGGTTTGCTTCAGGACCATTGGATTTCCTCGACACTTATGGACGTTGTTTACGATTCGAAAACCCCATTGAACGGAGAGGTCACCATCGAAGAAAATAACAAGCTTGTTTTTGCTTTGGGAAAACAAATGGATCAGCTTTTCGATCCATTACTAGAATACTCACCTCAAGCTATGGACTATCACTACGATCCCCCTCGCAACCCGCAACCCCCACTACTCCAGAATAACACGCAGATCGAGAAGGTGTTGAATGAGTTGTACGACGTTCAAGCAAATTATGCGATGGATTTGATTGCCATTCTTCAGGATCTCGTCAATCCATTGAGAGCCAAAGTGCTTTCCTCAGATTCCTCGACTGGAATACAGAAAGTGAACCTTATATTTCCTCCAACGATTGATGAGGTCTGCAGAATCAATTGCATTCTTCACGACTCACTTAGTCGCGCCAGAGCATTTGGTTATGTGGAGATCTTTCAGGTATTTGAGAATATTCTTCCATATTTTTACAAAGCGTTCGTGAGACATGAGGCTAACCTACGAAACTTCCATAACCGTTTGGCAAAGTTTCTTGAGGTTGAAAGCAGGCTCATGGAATCTACAGAGGTCAACAAACGTAAGTTTTCCGCAAGATCAATAGAGGCCATAGTGTCAGGATGCATTTTGGAGCTCCCAAGAATCAAACTTATCTTGAAACGTCTTTATGATGATATTAATTTGGAGAAGTCAAAACTTCAAAACTTCGAAAATACTGAAGATCATGAAAAGGCGGTAATCGACAAGGCGTTTAATGCGTGTGTTGAAATCATCGACTCCTTTGGATATAAAGAAGACCAGGGTGAGAAACCAGTTTCTCACAGAGTCTTCACTCCATCTGGCAAACTTCTCACAGAAATTGCAACTGAGTGGCCTGTGGAGCTTCAGTACGGATGGATAAACAGGAAAGTGATCGGTGTCCATGAATTGAAAGAGGTCATTTCCACTCCAGCACATTCTCAAATCTTGATTATCTTCTCGGATAGTGTGCTATTCCTTGACGCTTTTGAGTCGGAGAACAAAAGCTCTATTCTGGTTCCCTCAATATTGATGAACTCTTTGATTAACCAGAAACCATTGCCCAAACTTTCTCAATTTCCTCTGTTAAAAGTGAAGTTTTGGTGTTCAATCGCTGATGTTCTTGTGAAGGGCTATTCGCGAGGAGAAGAGACTTTCCTTTCGTTCATGGCGTTTGGGGAGTCTGGATTCAGAGACCGTAATGGTCACCAGCTCAATCCTATGCAAAACTTTCAAGTTATGGATTCAACTGAGGAGACCTTGATGGCATCTCTTCAAAAAGCGAAGGTGCTTCACAAAGTCACCTCCTTTCACCTCTTTAGTGATAGAGAGGAGAACGTGCTCAGATTCTACAGTGCACACGAGAGACAATCGTACAAGTCCGAATTATCTACATCTCCTATTGTGATGCTTCTTAATCTTAATCATGATGAGATTGATAGAATATTCCAAGATCATTCTCACGTCTTCATTGTGCTCAACGCCTCCTTCATCAATCATCACACAGTCCACATTTCTGGCCACGATAGGTCCAAGAAGTACAAGATCGAGGAGATTGTGGGCATCGGAGAGCTCCGAGCTTCTTTACGTGAAATCCTTGCCAAATCTCTTGACGTCTTCTACCACTCTACGTTCTTCTCAGAGGTTGTGACTAAGGGAAATGACCGAAGCTTGGAGTATTTTGTTGAGAGATTCTCTAAACAAGGCGTGGAGAAAGAGCTTCCAAAAGTGATGGAGACTAAGCAAGTGGAGATGCCACCAAAGCCTGTGATAGCCAAACGTGAACCAGGCATAGAAAAAGAGGTTGAGTCCAAGACGGAAGAAGCCAAATCTTACCTGGTGGACACGATGTCTGAGGCGGAACCGTCATGTGGCCCTCGCCTGCTTTTCAAGGGATTTTTCAGTAAGTTCAAGAAATCGAAGCGAGTGAAGAAAAGCCCCAAGGTTCGCCTTACGCCAGAGCAGCGCCAGGAGGAGAGCGCCAAAAAAATACCTAATACGGAGAACCCTCGTGGTAAGAAACAGGTATACGATAGTATTTACAAGCCGACGCCGACACTACGGGAGAGCTCCATCTCGTCGACGCCAAGACACGAGACTGAACAGGCCCAGAGAAATATTTCTGTCAACACTGGATCCTCTTCACACTATACCAACACATCACTTGACGTGCAGCCTAACTTCCAATTCCCCTTGGACACTGTCGATGAAAATGTCGAAGGAGAAGTTGCTGGCACTGTGAAATATGCCGAGCATCACCAACCCTTCGACAGCAACACGAATGACGAATCCAGAAAGTCATCACTTCAACTGTCGAAAAAACTGTCGAAGAGTGTACCTCGGGGCGATGACAAAGAAGATACGATTCAGCCTCAAGTTCTTCCGAAGGCAAACACTGCGCCAGAACCACCCCAGCATCGCGTGCAGAATGAAAAGAAGCTTTTTAATGATGGAGAGATACCGATGCCACCAAAGAAGAGAATCTTTTCAAGCCAGGATATTGCAAACGCATTGGAACACATCAATGCCGCTGGTATTTCTCCTCACACCTACGCAAAGTATAAGAAGTACGAGGAATTGCCAACTTCTAATTTCTACAGTGATGGTGAAGCTAATTGGACTAGAGTGAACAGGGAAGACTCTTCAAATCTCCAACGTGAAGTCAGAGCGATGAAAGAAGAGGCAAACATGGATACACTCGATGTTATTGATGTCGGCAACAACGGGTCTCCCTTGCGCATGGTTCCACAAAAAATTCACTACGACTCGAGTGAGGGCACAATTTCCAGTAACGATGGCATCAACGTTGATCTCAGCCAGGAGACGGTGAGAGCCACGGAAGCTGAGCAGCCACTCGCTCCATACAAAGCATTCTCTCAGTTACCATCAGAACAGTCAACGGAGTCCTTAAACTCAGCTCAGTACATGTCAGATTTTGGTAAGAAGCTCGATGAAGGGTTTCATCTTGACAATCTTTCGGACCAAAAGTCCCTTCCTTTTACAGTTGATACGTTGGTAGTCAATGAAGACGAGGCTACGGACATTGCGGCTGAATCAAAGGACTTAGCTGATTCACAGGAGGCAGCTGACGAAGACCGTTGTTCCATCACGATTTCGTCTGAGGAATACTTCTCACCAGATGAATATGTCTCTGCACTCAGAGATGAATATTTTGGTATCGAATCAAACGATATGGCTAATACAGTAACACTGTCATCCAGTGAAAAGACACTTATGAACGTTGCCCGGGAGGTGGAAAAAGATGAGGAGGATAAAGGATTTCAGATCAAGTTTGACTCGGTCGCTTACCTCTCCGATATACTCAACGGAACTGTCAAAATTTAATAGACTAATGAACTTTTAAGATACATGATGATTATAATTTATACACTAGGCCAGCAAAATCTTCTCGACCTCAGCGGCAATAGCATCGCCCACTTCCTGAGTGGAGCTGGAGCCCTTCAAGTCTGCGGTTCTCACGCCAGAGTCCAAGACGTTACGAACAGCCTGCTCCAAAGCCTCGGCCTCCTTGACACAGTCCAAGGACAAACGCAACATCATAGAGGCGGACAAAATGGTGGCCACTGGGTTCACCTTGTTCTCAGGCAAGTCTGGAGCAGAGCCGTGACAAGGCTCGTACAAACCAAAAGCCTTGTTGGTGTCAGGTAAAGATGCTAAGGATGCAGATGGCAAGAGACCCAAAGAACCTGGAATAACCGAGGCCTCGTCAGAGATGATGTCACCGAACATGTTAGAGGTGATGACCACACCGTTCAACTTGGTAGGGTTTTGCACCAAGATCATGGCAGCGGAGTCAATAAGCTGGTGGTTGATTGTCAATTGAGGGAACTCCTCGCTCATGACCTTGTCGACTGTCTTTCTCCACAATCTAGAAGTGGCAAGCACGTTGGCTTTGTCCAACGACCAGATAGGCAAAGGAGGGTTGTGTTGCAAGGCCATGAAGGCAGCCATTCTGGTGATTCTCTCGACCTCAGAGACGCTGTATTTCTCAGTGTCCCAAGCACTGGCACCATCAGTAGACTCCTCCTGCTCTTGTCTTTCACCGAAATAAATACCACCAACCAATTCACGAACAACAGTGAAGTCGGTGCCCTTGACAACATTCGACTTCAAAGGAGAAAGTTCCAAGAGGGAGTCGGAGGCGAAGTTGCAAGGTCTCAAGTTGGCGTACAAGGCCAATTCTTTTCTAATCTTAAGGAGGCCTTGCTCTGGTCTGACAGCACCGGTACCCCACTTTGGACCACCGACAGCACCCAACAAAACGGCATCAGATTTCTTAGCAGCGTCAAGTGCCTCATCAGACAAAGGCACACCAGTAGCGTCAATAGCAGCACCACCAATCAAATGGGTGGAAAAGTTGAATTTGATGTCCTGGTGACGAGTGGACTTCTCGATGGCCTTCAAAACCTTAACGGCCTCATTGACAACTTCTGTGCCGACGTGGTCACCTGGAAGAAGTACGATGTTTTTGTCGACCATTATGTGTAGTTGATAGTGAACGATGAAAACGCTCTGGGCATGAGACTCATATATAGGCCGTGGAAATATTGAGCCCGGAAACGGCGCCGGCTCCGGGGCGCGCACCTACTCTGTGATAAAGCACAAAACGTGCAATTTCGTTACTATGGACAAATCAAAATATAATACGTAAACTCCGCTGTTGAAGGGTGCAACGGCCCTTTCTGTGTCTGTCATTCGTTTCGTCATACCCACATCCGACGCTTAGTGGCCGCTCCATTCGATGGTGTTCAAGTCAATTCCATCTTGCACCATCTCCCATAATGGGGACATCTTTCTCAAGAACTCCACTCTCTCGTTAATGGCACGGACAACATAGTCGATCTCGGCTTCCGTGGTGAAGCGGCCAATACCGAATCTGATGGAAGAGTGGGCCAATGCATCATCAGCGCCCAAGGCGTGCAACACATAAGATGGTTCCAAAGATGCGGATGTACATGCGGAACCAGAGGAAAGCGCAATGTCCTTCAAAGCCATAAGCAAAGACTCACCTTCGATGTAGGCGAAAGAAACGTTGACACAACCAGCGTACTGTTTGGAAGGATCAGACAAAACACCGTTGAACTGGGTTTCTGGAATAGACAACAAGCCGTCTCTCAATTTGGTGGAGAGTCTCTTGATGTAATCCTGATCGTAGACCATGTCTTTCTTCATGAGTCTAGCGGCTTCGCCGAAACCACACACCAAAGGTGGAGCCAATGTACCAGATCTCAAACCTCTCTCCTGACCACCACCAGTGATGATAGGATCCAATCTGACTCTGGGGCGTCTTCTCACGTAACAAGCACCAATACCCTTTGGACCGTAGATCTTGTGCGAAGAGATGGACAACATGTCGATGTTCATCTCATTAACGTCAATAGGGATCTTACCGTAAGCCTGGGCGGCATCAGTGTGGAAGAAAATCTTGTTTTCTCTGCAGATCTTACCAATCTCCTTGAGAGGTTGAATGACACCGATCTCATTATTCACAGCCATGATGGAAACGATAGCAGTGTCTTTTCTAATAGCCTTCTTCAAGTCATCCAAGTTGATCAAACCCTCATTGGTGACTGGCAAGTAAGTGACTTCGAAACCCTCATCTTGCATATGTCTAGCAGAATCCAAAACACACTTGTGTTCGGTCTGTGTGGTGATGATATGCTTCTTGGTCTTCTTGTAGAATCTGGGCACACCCTTGATGCACATGTTGTTCGATTCTGTTGCACCAGAAGTAAAAATAATCTCCTTAGGGTCAGCATTAATCAAATCAGCAATGTAACCACGAGCCTTCTCAACTTCGTTTTCTGTTTCCCAACCGTAAGCATGGGTCGATGAATGTGGGTTTCCGTACAAGCCAGTGTAGAACTGCAACATCTTATCCAAGACACGAGGGTCCGTTGGTGTAGTAGCCTGTACGTCCAAATAAATAGGTCTGGTACCAAACTGAGTGTCATCTCTTGTGGCCAGCTTTAAAGATATCAGGGAGCCTTCAGGGGCTATTGCCACTTCAGGAGGTGGTGGAACAGCTGTGGCTAAAGAACGTGCGTTAGAACGAACTGGCACAGTTGTGGAGAGCCGACGAGTAGCCCTCGCAATAGTACCGGAGCCTCTCACTATTTTTGTAAACATGATCACTCTCTATATTCGGAAAAAAAAAAAGTTAGTGAGAACTGGTATGTTGATGAGTGACCCACTGTGCGTTTTAATGCTCTTTTTTTCTTTCCTTTATACTAATTAGTAATGGGTGAGAGTCCGTTTTCCAACCCGAGATCCGTTTCGCGCGAGTCGTGTTTGACACACACTGTCAAGGGCGAGGCTTTACTGTGGAACACTATTGCCCGTGCTTCAGGATCGTGTGTTTTGTGATGAGGAAGAGAGTGTTTTAAAAATTATCTGGTTCTTGCCTCAGAGATGTTGCTGCGAAATCGGTAGATAGGGGAGGTCATTGTGAATCTGTCCGTGGTCACACCTTTATCTTGCATTAGTCAGTGTGTTTGCAGTCACATTATATATCGGCCTACTCTAGGGCCTTCGACTCTTTCACGTACTCGTCTAGAACCGAATGCGTCAATTCGTAACAGCCCAAGAAGATTGCTCCGCCAGCGCTTATCCAAGCAGTTCTAGGGCCAACCCCACTTAAGAAGACCTTGGCGCCTTCTTCATGTAGCATCTGTCTCACTAATGTGAACACTCCAACTCTTTCCTTGTTCAACATAATTCGGGTCTTCACCACATCAAGAGGCGTCGTTGCAGCAGCAGCAACTCCACCTGCTATAGATCCACACAAAGCTCCTTTCAAGAGTGAGATTGACTGGTTGTCGTACTCAGACCAGAGCTGCTTGAGCTTCTCGTATAATGGAAATTGGATCATCGTGAAGGGAATCTCTCTTATGATGGTCGAGTTCCAGCCTCTATAAAGTCCACGGAAGGTACCTTCTCCCAGCTTATTCATGAGTAAGAATTTCAAGTTGGCCCACAGAGTAGCCTGCCCACCAACACCCTTGTGTCCAGCCTGTGTTCTTTGCTTGACAATTTCCGCTGGGACACGAACGAGACAAGCGGCTATTTCACCTGCGGAAGCCGCAAGCATATGACTTGCCGTTTGCGGGAGTTTGTCCTTCGTCGTAGTCTTCAATGTGTCATACGTAACAAAGAATAATGATGCAGAAGGTGCCAGCGCCACGACAGCAGAGCCAAGGCCTTTGTAAATTCCATGCCAGCCTCCATTAGCAAAGAAGCCTCCCTTGGCCTGAAGTCTGGTCTTTAAAGTATCTATAGGAAAGAATGCGAGATCGGTACTAGTACCGGCACATCCACCACTCTGAGGTTAGCAGGTTGCCAATAATTGAGTGAGTAAGCAGATAACATACGATCAATGAGATCAAGAAGGAAGTATTATCCATTGAAATGATTGTAAAGGAAGAGTTGATCTCTTCAATGCAGCAAAAGAGTGTAGATTGCAATCTTTGGAGACCGAGAACTCGAGATTTTTCAGGTCGCGACTCCTAGTCAAATCTGCTCTTGCGGAGATAGTCGTGCGGATAGTCATCATTAACGAGGGCATACGACAAACTTATTCTTCGTAAGTCTTTTCTTTTTTGCAAATTTCAAAATGATGGAGTCTGCCTTTTTAGTTGGTGGTATGAAGCCCTCAATAAATGCGAGGAAATCTTCGTAGTCCCACTCTTTGACCATCTGGAACAATTCTTTGATTCTCGTGTGAAGATCTTTCGATAACATATCTGAGTCGAGAAATCGTATCTTGCCGGATTCAGGACGACAAAAGCTTCCCCGTAGAAGAGATAGATCCAAGGACGCATTGAAGAATGGTGGTAGACTCAGCTTCCACTTGAGCATAAAGTCTTTATCGGACAAGAGCGGCGGTGACGCTTTTTTCATCGTTTCAATACCAAACCACCAGGCGCATTTAGTATGGCTGATTGTGAATATACCTGGAGATACCTCATCGCCGAACTTGTGTGCTAATGTCGTAACAAAATGCTTGTTGAGCTCAGAATCTTGAGCAGCACATGCTTGTGAGATCTCTTTGAGATTGAACTCAGTGTCGGACTTCTTTTTGGAGAGCAATACCGAAATCAAAGTGTAGAGGCCTTCCGTGACGAACTTTGGCGTTAGAATCACCGCATGTCCATCTACCTGACTTCCACAGATGCTATACCACTGCGAGTGAAAATGCTGTCTGTCAATGGGAGAGTCAGATTCAACGGCATGCATTGACTTACTGGATTCAACCTCATCGCTCGGGTACCGTGCAATGCCTTCGGTGTCTATGAACCCATCCAGCTTTGTAAGCTCGTACATGTAGGAGAAACGGTCAATTCCCACCAAAGCAGACTCCGGACCGTCAAAAGTCTTTTCTAGTTTGTTTATGCTCATGTCATTCATTAGAAGCATCGTGTTGGAGTGGTTCATTTGCCGAACAGTGTAAGTCTCGTCTTCAGTGCATAGGACAATGTGGTTTTTGGCCATTGCTGGAGATTTGAACGTTAGCTCACCTTTCTCCTCCTTTATGTAGTTGACTATGTCATCCAGAAGCTGTATTAGTTTGTATTTGTGGTCTGTTGGCCACAGGATCTGGCTGTACGCGTCGAAAGACATGGTGGTTGGTGATTCAGATATGCGCGTTTGGATAGATGTAGATGGCCCCATCATCACGACCACACTACATTCTGGAAACAAAAGAATGATTTCTAAAGACAACAGTATGGATTTACTTAACTAACCTTTAAAGAAAAAGCATCTTCACAAATCCATCGAAGGACCTCGATCATACAAAAATGCCTGAGCTGAACCAGACGATAGTCTAGTGAGAGATCCATCACTTTGGCGCCCCCTCCTTACTCCTTACAGTGATTCAAAATCGTACTATATTCTATAAATACACACTTCCCACTGACAAGGACACCTTGGCTCCACCGGTCGCAGACTTGAGCCTCGGTCAGTTCTACCGAATTCAGTTGAGAAGTAAAGAAACAGCCGTTTTAATAGGCCCTGCAAACGCATCCCACCACTTAGTTAAGCTCGCTGATGTGCTTGTCGATGTCAATCTCCTCCAAGGACACATGGCCCGCCAAAGTGATAGGTTTCTTCATCTCACGCTCGTACTGGATTCTCTCCAAGCGAGCTCTGGGGCTCCATCCGTTGACAGGTGCCACCAATTTGAATGGAGCGAGCCAGCTGTTGACAGCCTTGAAGTTTTCGCCCAAACCGTAGATCTCGTGGACCAAATCCTCCACGCAAATGAGGCCGAGATCATCGCCAAACTTGTCTTCGACAACTTGGTTGTTGTCCAATTTGGAGAAACCTGACTCGCTCTCGGAGTCTGGGACAGAGGCTCTCTTCTGGAAAAGCGCACGGACGGAAGCAAGAGATGGCTTACCCACGACAACGAAAGGAGCCACGAGCTTCAAAACAGGAATGACGGTAGGGGTCACCTTGACGAAAACACCCATATTTTCCTCGGTCAAACGCAAAACCTGGAGAACAGCCCTGGCCTTCTCGGGCACAGCAAGATGCTTGTGCACGTTGGGGATTCTGATAACAAACATGAGCTTGGGGTCCTCCTCTTTTTTAGAACTTATCTGGCGCTGCTCGTGCTTCAAGATGCTGTCCATTCTCTTGTTCTCGATGAAAGCAGCCTTGTGCTTCATGGCCAACTTCTCAGCTCGAAGAAACTTATCCTTGGGGCCAAGGACTTCTTCTTTGTTTTTTCGGCCTCAACACGGAGCTTCTCCTGGCGCTCAATACGCTTTCTGTCGGAGTCTTTTCTCTTTCTCAAGAGCACTTCTGGGTTCTTGTTGATGACAGCCATGGTGAAGTAGCAGAGATGGGCTAGCGAAAAATATGCGATGCGACCGATGAGTATGTGTAGGCTGGCAGGGTCTCACGATAGGGTCGTCAAGGAAAAAGTTTGGGGAGACAATAAAAAGATTTATTTGTTTTCCATGCTGGAATGCCGATCTTTATGACTTCTGTTCATGAAGATATTTTTTCATTTTGGCAAAATTCATACCCATGTTAGGTGACTATGTGCGAAGTTGCAACTAGTGTTTGCGATATCTATATCTACAGTGCGCTCTTGCATGGCCCCTCCACCAAAGAAAAACCACACCCTAAGTCCCAATGAGGCTTTATCCCGCAAAAAGCATCTAAAACCTCGAATCGACGGAAAAATACAAATCCGCTAATTCCACTAAAAATTCACGCCCATCCATACAGGTCCAAGCCTGTGCTACTGCCTAAGGCTTAGGCCAGAGATCCAGGGCTTCAACGCCAAATTCACAGTAATTGGCCAACATCCAAGTTGGTTGCCACTAAGACCCCGCGAAGTGACCACGCTCGGCATTCTGATACTTCCGGCAGCAAGATCTTTTGTGCGTAGGCGCCATTGTTGCCCCAGACAGTGAAGAAGGCTCGGCTTTTAGGTGGAGGGTACCGATTTGCAGGGCTGCGAGATCTGCCTGGGTGCAAAAAATAAGCGCCGTGGGTGCAAAATAAGCGGTGTGCTTCTGAACAGAGATGGAGGAAGTGGGGAGGTTCCAAGCATCACCACGACTGGTACCCATAACCTGCGATCCCGTTAACTCCTGCTGACCATGCTCCATCTATTCAAGTCATTGTTCTTTGTCTCATGTGCAGATATAAGCCCTTGCGGTGTCTCGCGCAAGGTCTTCGTCGTGCTCTGCCCCCCTGCACCGCTTTTGGTAGTGGTCCGTGGTTTCACAGCAAATTCCATCGTCTGAGCTGGGTTGAATTCGAAATCTCCTTTGGGTGTCGATTCCTACTGCCTTCTAGTAGACACTGTTGCTGTCTGCACCGCCGTTGGCAACGCCGTGCCCCACTATAGCATTGCATTCCGGAACCTTACTAGAACCCTAAATCGTGTTTCAAAGGAGCCTGATCCCACCCTGATCCCAGCTTCTCTAGCCTTGCGTGCTGCCTAATTCACTTATATGGATCCAGCCAGACAGTTTTCCTACGGCCCCCCACCCGAACGGCCCAAGCTGGGCGATGACAATAATGACCAGTTCAGGCAACATCACTTGCAACCAAACAGACTTCATCAGCCCTTGCCAACCGCCTTCCAGCCTCAGCCCCAGGCTCCACAGGCACCATTGCAGCCGTCCCAGCAACACCACCGGCCTTTTTACCAGCAATACCCATACTACACTGCGCATCAGCCTTCATCGTCTTCAGACACCCAGAGCTCGGCCAGGACTAGCATGTCCCACATGCTGCCTCCATACCTGGTTCCGTCTGGTTTGAGCCAAGGCCCCCCACCTGTGTCTTCTGTGCCGCCAATGGCTCATATGCCCCCAGTACCCCCGGGGCTCAGATGCCGGCTCCACCATCTCAACAAACCATGCCGTACCTGATGGCACAACACGACATCTTTCTGCCGTATCATCTACAAGACCAGCCCCCATTGCCTATAGAAACGCCTCCCGCCAGGTCCGGTGCCTTGCACCACAAGATCAGGGCCTCGGAACCGACTCAAGAGGAGTTCGTTGAGCACCTCAAGTCTCTCACCCACAAGGCTGCTGGTGTTCCATTGTTGCAATTGGCACATAAAATAAAGATGCTAGAGACTAGCAATCCAAACATTGAGTCGGATCCCATATTCAAGACCTTAAACAATGCCAAAGACATCAAACAGGAAAGACATCACCAGCTCTTCGGCATGGCCTGGGTCCAGAGTATGTGTGAAGCATCTCCAACGGCCGTGGTGCCCCGCAATAGGGTCTATGCTCGGTACGTTCTGCTGTGTGCCAACAATAACCTCAATCCTCTCACTCCAGCCAGCTTTGGTAAGATCATTCGCATACTTCACCCGAATCTCAAGACCCGCCGTCTTGGAATGCGTGGTAAATCGAAATACCACTATTGTGGCATCAAGCTTCTCGATGATCAGTCACTGGATAATTCGGCTCTGTCTGATTCTTCTCCAGCCGGTTCTGAATCGCCTCATTCATTAAACCCCCAGACTCCGACTTATTCAAACTCTCCGTCTGTAAGCGGCGGCGGTACCCCAATTGACTCCGGTGTCGTTCGTGAGGCTTTCGTAACGACAAACTTCAAATACTTTCCGAACCTTTTTACGATCATCGACCAGTCAATGGGCCCGGACTGGATGGTACAACCTTTCACACTCCCATCAATCCATGATTATCTTCCGAAAGATCTGGATGTGGACTATGACGTCGCCGAGACTTTACATTCCCTTTATCGTGTTCATTGCATGTCGATCTTTGAAACTGTCAGGTATATGCAAGTGGAGAAGTTGCTTTCTCTTTTTGCTCCCTTCTGTGCTATTTTGACCACGCCAGTCTTCAGGCTCTTCACATCAGAGCTGACGTTGCAATGGGTGAAGGCATCAGACTTGGCAATGTATCGGGCGATCCTCAAAATGTTGACTCGCTTGCAACTCGAGTCGGTCCCGGGAGAAATCTTGACGCCGCTCAGAGAGATTTTGAAGAGCTTTGTGAATAAACTTTCCTCTGCACTACTGGTGAAGTTTCCCGACCATTTTGTTCAAATGAAAGTGACAACTGCTCGTCAGTTTATCTCGATGGTAAGACGATTTGTTCGTTGTGTTGAGTACGGATCAGCTGCATCCAGAGTCCTTTGTAGTCAGACAGAGCGCACTTTAATGTTGAATGACTGGCTACGCGTTGACACTTATGGGATCATACTACGAGAGGTTCCGTGTGCTCTGGAACATCTGCAATTGTTTGATGAGCTTTTTAACGACCGAATAATCAAGCTATTTGAAAAGGAATCTTCCCAAGCAAATGACCTTAAGGCTAGTGGACTTGCCCCTTACGCCGCATTCCTCCTTGAACTTCCTTCAAAATTCCCAAATACCAGTCCTTGGCTATTCCTGCTCGTATGCTCTAATTTGCTAACGACATGTCTTCGTGAGATGAGTTTGGCCGGTGGCCAGAGTTTTGGGTCATGGTGGGTCTTCAGGTGCTGGGCGGACGAGTACGTTAGTTGGTTTTTCGAACTTGGCGGGTACTTGGCAGACGAATTGCAAGCAGAGCCTGAGTCAAAGATTGAAGAGGAGATGCCTCAGTCAGACTTCGGATCTGCGAACAGCAGTTGGGCGTTCGAGCCGGTGACTACTGAAAGTGCTCGCTCGTCAAGCTATGTGGACTTGCTTGATAGGCCCAACGGTGAAAACAAATCCTACTCAGAGAGTGAGTGGTTCTAATGAGTCCAATCAATGATATTTTAGTAATAAAAGTTTCCTGGTTAGTTTATCAACCTGAGCCGCGCCAGTAATTTTTGCAGCCATTTCTCATTGACAATTACTGAAGGAATGGCCAATATAGAAATGTTACGTTCAGACTCTGAACCGACCTCGATTTACACTTCTAGAGCACTCGTGAAAGGAGAGACAGTCATGACTATTCAGCCTGTGATCAAACTGTACTACCTAATTGAATCTGGTGCAAGAAGGTGTCACTGTTGTGGCATCGTCATCCCATCATTTATACTCGTTCACTGTCTTGAATGCTCTGCTGTCTTCTATTGTTCTACAATGTGTCTAGTTAGACATGGATCGAGGTTTCACCGCCTTGAGTGTGGCTTTCTTCGTCAATGGGTGGAAACTTATAAGGCGGATTTGTCCCCTTTGGGTCTAATGTTAGCTCGAATGTTAATCTATTTAAACAATAATCCGGCCGCAAGAAATGACTTGAATCTGATTAGGTCAACCCACTCGTCACTCACCTTGGGTGAAGATGAGCTTTTCTACATAAGGTCGGTTTTCAACCCACGGGACGTGGGAATTTGTCAGAAGCTATTAGACACCCAATCACATCCGCTTTACGATGTCCAAATGAATATCGTGGGTACTTTCTTTGACCCCCAGTTCTCCATAATAGGCCACAGCTGCACTCCTTCTTTGCTTATGGTTCCTCTTTCCTCTGAAAAATTTGATGTTGTGTGTTGTATCAATATCAATGAGAGCAAGAAGCTAAGCGTGAATAAAATTTCCCCATCCCAGCCACGGCAGTTTCGCCAGCTTCAGTTATTCCAGCATTTCGGATTATCCTGTGATTGTTCTCTTTGCAGATCCAGTGCTCCAGACTTATTTCTCTCATTCGTTTGCCCAAGATGCAAGCTGCCGATCTACGAGATCGTACTTGATGACTTCGCCGGCTCCAACGAATTTGAATTATCTTTAAAAGAAACCATTCAAAGGCGATGCTCTAGGTGTGGAAAGATTGTGACGAAAGAGGAACTTATCGAAACAAAGAGACTCTACCAGATTTGTCTCCAAATGTTCTTGCAAATTGGCCGAATACCAAATGTAAACCATTCGACCCTGAAGACCGAACTAATGTTCGTTGGTAGGCTCATGAACAGCTTAAAAGCCACACCTCAGGTCGGAGCCAGATCAAAAGCGTTGGCTAGATTATTGAAGCAAGTCAAACGATCTAGCCTAATTGCACCATACTGCTTTCCACTAATTTACTTGTACAGATCACTAGCAGAGAACCCTCTGATTATATCTTCGACTCTGAAAGGTACATGCTCGGAAGAGAGTCTTATACTTTTCCAGCTTTACATCTTATTCCATGTCTACTTAGCGCTGGATCTTCCATACATGCTGGCAAAATTGCTTCCAATATTAAGAAAAGCAGAGATCCTCGCATGGGATCTACTGCAGCTTTCGATATACAGCGAAAAGGACATCACCAGAATAGATGCGAAAAAGGCTCGACTCTTTTTCAAAGTTCAAGCATCAGCGCTTCTGGTAAAGCTTGGACGCAATGACTCTGAAACCCGTTCCCTAGCGCAACTGTTGAGCAATAGACCTGAGATGTTCGACGATGACGTCAGACGGTCAGCCGAACGAGTTTTTCTGAAAAGTGGCGTCGAAATTAAGAAGTGCGACGACGGCTATCACTTCAGGCTTGCGAACAACGAAGATATCATGGCTATGATTCCCTTTGGGGAATGTCTTCAGTATTTAAGATGGGTCGGCGAGTTTTAGACATCATTCAATGCAACACAAACAGCCCCCTTATGGTGGCCATTGTAGTGTCTAACGGTCTCGCTATTCGATAAGTCCCAAAGACGGACATAGTGATCAGAACATGCCGTCACCAAGTATGCACTATCGGCACTAAAGGCACAGTCCCAGACCCATCTTTGGTGGCCCTGTAGAGTTGTTTCCAATGCAAAGTTCTGTTCCGTCAGCCAGATTCTCGCAGTGTGGTCCGCTGAGCAGGTTGCCAAATGTTTCATATCCGTCAGGAGGACCACCCTCGTGATGTATTTCAGGTGAGACCTGAATTTCGTAGCTGGGGTCAATGACGTGATATCTTTCTGGTTTTGCATCTTCCAAACGTAGCAATTGCCTTTGTTGTTTCCGGCAACAAGCATGCTTCCATCACTGGCCACAGAAAGTGAGTTGATGGGCACATCATCCTCGGGATGAGGTGGTGTGTGCATTGATTCTCGCCCAAGTCCCAAATTCTGATATTTCCATCGTGGTCACAGCTTATGAGTTCTCCCTGATTCGGGTGAATGACAACCTCGTTGACGGGACAGTAGTGCTTATAGTTTCGCTGAACAGATGGAGATCTCACATCCCACACCTTAACGGTTCCGTCCTCGGAGGACAGTACCATCCACTTATTCTCGATCTGGAAAGCTATCAGTGTAACGTTGCCATTATGGCCTTCGAAAGTCATAACGGGGTTTGAATTAGAGCTGCTTCCATTGCCGGTACCACCAGCACCAGAGGCTGTTGAAGCAGCCATTGTGTTTCCGCCGCGGATCCAGCCTGCTTGATATCATATAAACGAACGTAAAGATTGCCGGCAGCTGCTAGGAAACGCTTATCAGAGGTGATCTCTAGTCTGTTCACTTGGGAATCGGTATGCTGAATTGTGCGTGAACACACTCCTGTTAAGGCATCCCAGAACCTGATGGTATGATCATATCCAGCTGATGCTAAAATGACAGACATGGGGTTGGAAGCTTTTAAATGTAGGTTATTCTAGGATGGTTCTTCCGGCTCAATCCAATGCTCTTATATTATATGTGTGCAGGTCAGAGCCTCTGAGTAGATGTAGAATGTTGCAAATTAGCTACAATATCGTGTGGGTATAAGCCTTCTATTACGGGGTCGGCATAAGTAGATGATCTATTAATATGTAAATCGTATCGGTGCCCTAAGGCACTGGGATTGATGCTATTCTCGGCCCAGCCTAAAATGCACTCTGGATGGCCTGTTTCTGGGCTGGCAGCAAAGATGTAGGGAAGTCTATCTTGTACTTGACGATAAGATCGCCGTGGGCATGGGGGTCCTTAGAATTAGGCATTCCCTGACCTGGATATCTGTTTGTGGAAGAGGGCTGCACCGGAAGAGATCTCGAGACATTAATCTTCTTTCCGCTTAATGTGGTGATATCCTTCTCAAATCCAAGCAAGGCTTCCTTGAATGTCAACTTAACGTTAGCAACCAAGTCGTTGCCCTCTCTCTTGAAAATGGGGTGAGGCTTCTCCTCAATGATGAATTGAACTGTTTGTCTGGCCTGGCACTCACGCTGGTAGTCACCTTCGTTATTGAAGTTAATCTTCGTCCCGATCTTCCAACCAGGCTTAATCTTGATCTCCAAAATCTTGCTCTCTCTCGATCCGTCAGCGGACTTTCTGCTGAGTTTCATCTTCTTGGTAGCACCAGTGTACAACTCTTCTAGCGTACAAGGCAACTGAATAGAAACGGTATCTGGTTCAGGGCGACGAGAGCGTCCGCCGCCTCCAGCACCGCCAAATCCACCTGGCATTCCACCAAAGCCGGATCCACCTCCACCGAAGCCAGATCCTCCACCAAATCCAGAACCGCCAAAGCTGAAGCCACCATCGTCCATACCAAATCCGCCCATTTGAGAGAAAATGTTGAAAGCGTCAGACTGTGAGAATGGATGGCCTCCACCTCCTCCACCGAAGGAGAATGTAGTTCCACCTCCACCTGGAGCACCTCCGGCAAATGGGTTTTCACCTCCAGCGGGGGCATTGCCTCTAGCAGCCTCCAAGCCGTAGTCATCGTAGACCTGTCTTTTGTCATCGTTAGACAAAATGTCGAAAGCTTCGGAGATCTCCTTAAACTTCTCGGTATCTCCAGTTGGCTTGTCAGGATGGTATTTGAGAGCAGCCTTTCTGTATGCTTTTTTGATCTCGTTTTCATTCGCCAGTGGGGCGACGCCCAACAAATCGTAAAGCTTAGTTTCCTTGACCATGATTTATGTCAATTGCAAAAAAAATAATGTAGGCCGTTTCCTCTGCTCGTGCGTGGATAGAAATGTCTTGATAAATGAGAAAACCGCAACACCTTGAAAGTGCGAGATCCTTCTCGAAGGTTCTACACATTACACCTTGAAGATCAAGTAGTCTGATTTTAACAGGGTATCATAATTTATATCAAAACATTTTTGCCGGTTTCGTAGAATTTTGGATATGGGCATGTTGCCATTCACAGTGCTCTCCTATTCGACAGTGCTTCTTGGCTGCGAATCCTGGAACTTTTGAATGCGGGTTAGCAACATCAAGGGGAACTACCAAACCTCAAATATGACCACTTTGGGCCTTTTATGCACTTATTCTGATGCTAAATACCTTATACGATGCGATTCTATAAGTTAGCACTTCACGTCGATGCCTCTTCTTTTCTCTGCTTCCCTCATTTCAAACATGACTTGGACTCCCACGAAGAGAGTGGCCAGGGCTAGGATGAAAAACCTCAATCCAGCTGGAGTACTGAACATCTCTTTTATAAGAGCCACGGTACCATCCTGACCGAGACAGAAGCCAAACAAATTGGCGATCATCATAAGCCAAATGTTTATGGAGGCTCCCACGCCACACAAGTATCTGAACCATGGTCTGTCAGAATACTTCTTGAAGTAGATTGTCGCTATGATTTCTGGAAGAAGGAATACCACGACGAGCCAGCCCCAGAGAAGAAGCTTGAGCTCAATGTCGTGCCACACAGCGACAAAACTGAAGACAACGAGGGTATTAACCACTCTCGACCTAATGCCGTTTGAGCCTCCAGTTTCTCCTCTTCTTCCACCACCACCAAGAGGAACATAAATGTAGCGGATCACCCACTTGTTGTAAGAGCGATGCCATGCTCTCCAGAATGCTAAAGCCAGGTAATTGTTGTCCATGCATCTGATCATATTCTCTGGTGGGTCAACACCGTCAAGCAAAGCCCAAAACCGGAATAGTCTCCATGGAATCAATAGTTTGAGCCAGATTACATTAAGATTAAACATTCCCAACATCGACAATTGGAAGGGTGTATCACCGTCCCATGCTTTGGTCTTGGAAACCGCAACGACATACATGTGGTGTAGTATAAATTCCATCACCAAAATGCAAAAAAGTAGACGCAAGCCATAGATGATGATTCTTCTTGTGTCTGTGGTAGACTTGGATCGGTAATATTGCGTCTGATATAAGTAGTCATTGAAGGTCACAATTGGGCCACCAATAAACAACGGAGCATAGGAGATGTATGAGAAGTAGTTGAAGAAGTTATAATCCAGTTTGGGCAACGGGGCGGTCAAACGCTGCCTGTCATCCAAATTCTCGACAACAGGCTTCAACTCCAACGAGCTCAGGTCCTTCTTCTCGAGATAATCCAAACCAAAAGAGAGCATTCGGAGAAGTGTGAAGTTGTAGAACACGTCCCAGCGTGCAATGATACCCTTGAAGCCATTGTCGAGTATACCTATGTGGAATGTCGCATTCCAGAACTTGTCATTGATGAAGAGAGTGGCAATTCCGTAAACCCAAAGAAGCGTCCTCGCTAATTTTGGTTCTTCGATTCGTTTGGCAAACGAGTACATGACGATAAGATGGAAAAAGATCTTCAACACATTGACTCCATGAAGGGTGAATAAGTAGACGATCCCGGAACTGATATCGAACCAGCTCCGCTTCACCAGGAAGCTAAGCATAGACGTAGCTTTTCTTAACAGGACGTGTCCAGCTACTAAGGACGTTAGGAGCCAGAAGTTGTTTCTGAAGAATCGATATTGCGTATCTGAGTTATCGACTTTTCTCCCGAACATCCAACCCTGACTCAATAGCGGTTCGTACCTTGGGTAATTTGGATTATGCTCATTGGAGGCGTCCATAGCCGTCTTCCACATGAGAGGCACAGCCAAGATAAAAACCACGGCGTATATCCTGAATTCAAGCGTATGCCATTTTGAAGTGGTAGCACGGGAGACGACCTTCTGCTTCTTTACAGCATCTGCGGGTGGGTATAGCCTTGTATCAAGGGCCTCAAGCGAGAAAAACCGAAGCACGGGCTGTAGGTAATCCATTGAATGCTTGGGGAATCGTGGTGCCTTTTATACTCTAGCTGTTGATAAAGATGTGTAAGTGTGCGACCTGTGTGAGGCTCAAGGTGTCAAACCGGTGAGAAAGGTGAGTCGATAGTGAAAGACTTGAAATGACTTTGGGATCACAATCATATTTGAAACCCATTTTAGAATGAAACTGGTATTTGTTGTCTCTGTCGGTAATTGAGACTTTATTAGACTTTCTTAGCATTCTGTGGGGTCTTCGGAGTTCTTCCCCACTTGCAGTGCTAGAATCTAACACAAGATCTACAAAGGAGGAGATATTTGAAAACTCAATTCGATTGAAGGTCTCAATATTTAGGAGTTTTCGGTGTATCTCGACATCAAGGATGCATTCATGACAGCCAACATCAAGAGTTCAGTGGGCCAAGCTAGCAGCTACTATTACATGTATAGTGACGCCATATTTTAGGCCATTTCGGAGCATTAGATTGAAGGTAAAGTATGCTAATGGACCCAATGTCTACTAATCTCTCCTCTATAATTAGCTTACTTCACAGGTCGTGGAACATTGATCGACTCTCATCAAATCTGCTGAGGGAGGAATCCAAGTCCATTATGTTCACTCTTCCTTGTCTCTGGCCTCAGTCCGAATATCACCAGATTGTGCATAGTCTAGAGGGGCCAATTTACGGAGCCCCACTCGGCGTGTATATATAAAGAGAGGAGGGCCCTTTAGAGTGCGGAAAGGGCCCCTTTTATACCTCTTTCATAACCACCACAGTGTCAATTCGATCGATCCAAAGAATGTCTGCTGCATCTAACGCCTCGTGCATCTTCTGCAAGATCATCAAGGGCGATATTCCTTCGCTCAAGCTTATCGAGACTAAACTCTCCTACTCCTTCTTGGACATCCAGCCTACAGCCGAAGCCCACTGTCTTGTCATTCCAAAGTACCACGGTGCCAAATTGCACAATCTTCCAGATGAGTACCTTGCTGACATTTTGCCAGTGGTGAAGAGGTTGACGAAGGTGTTGAAGCTCGATCAGAACAACACACCTGAGGGTAGTGGCTACAATGTGTTGCAGAACAACGGCAGAATTGCTCATCAGGTGGTTGACCACGTTCACTTCCACTTGATTCCAAAGAAGGACACCGAGTCTGGCTTGGGTGTCGGCTGGCCAGCCCAGGAGACCGACTTTGACAAGTTGGGCAAGCTCCACGAGACATTGAAGGAAGCTTTGGCCGCTGAGGAGAAGTTGTAAGTAGCATAGGGGAGATGGAGTCGTCGTAAGACAGCAAATCAGAATATACGGCGAGACTTGAGTGGGTGACTATGGAGTGTCGAATTGTAGCTACTAGTTCACGAGGCATGAATTTGGTTGAAGGACGTAAATCGTGTTCGGATACTAAAAGACTGCCTGACATTCTGCCAAAGTCAATTGGTAGTAACGGAAGGGAAATTTAACTCGACCATGTTAATGGACGACAATAACTGTCAAAGCTTGATTGGAGTTTCGCAGCCATCATTTCGTGTAGCCCTTCACCATACGACGGATACAACAGCAAGCTATAGATAGGTTCCTTTACCGTCCAGCAACAGTCATGATAATCCTCTTTCCCCAAATGTCCTCCATTTACATTTTATAAAGGTGTGGCAATTGCCACTCTTCGCCCGATAGTCATCCTTTCGACACCCACCCATACACTCCATACGCATTATCAACAGCGATAATATCTACTCCTTATCTTTAACATATGTCCCAGCCAGAGGCCGATTTTCGTGCCCAGTTTGGCAACTGGACATCAAGAAATAGTACCAGGGGACCTCAATTGTCCTCCTGGACTGACTACGTCAGATCAAGCGCAAACGACCTATATGAGTCCCTCCCCACATACAACAACCCAGCAGTGGCTGCTCCACAACAGGAACCCTCATGGTTTAAATTGAGCAGATTCGAGAAAATTGTTGGTTTTGGATGCTGCTTAGCGGCTTCCATCTTCTGCTTCGTCTTCAGTTTCTTCATGTTCCCCGTGCTTGCACTTAATCCAAGAAAGTTTGCATTGCTTTGGACTATGGGTCCTTTTTATTCGTCATTTCCTTTGGCATTTTGCAAGGCCCTTACTCATACATTAGACATCTTACAAGCCGAGATAGGGTTGTATTCTCCGGTATTTTTTTCGGTTCTGTCTTCCTCACCATGTACTGTGCTCTCATTCTCCAGAGTACCATATTGACCCTCTTTGCCAGTATAGTGGAGGTCATTGCAATCGCATACTACATCATAAGCTACTTTCCCTTCGGTGCCACTACCTTGACGTGGTTTACAAGCTACATGGTCGGCTATTTTGGTGGATTCTTCTCCGCCTTATTCTGATCCAAATAACCCTAATAAAACTCAATTAATATACACCTGCACTTCAAAATCCTCTTCTAGCTCAGTATCGCCCACGACACCTTCTAGATCCAAATCCTCGTCGTCAAATACTAGTCTGGCTTTTGAAACCAGGCTCGCATCGATCTCCTTCGACTTTAGGTAGTGCTCGAGCAAGGCTTTTATCTTGGTCTGAGGACCTACCTCGGCCTCTATGCGCTTATTGTCCTTTCCTTTGAGGCCGATGATGAAGTATTCGTCCTTCTTCTCAACTTTCTCCTCTTCAGCTTTTTCGTCCTTGACATCTACTATAGCCAAGTCTTCCTCTGGATCGTTGACATTAGTAAATTCATTGAACTCAGGGTAAATCTCCTCGAAGTTTTGGCGACAGACTTCTGGTATGTACAAGCAATCAATAGGTGTATTTGCCGTTGGGTCTGTGCTTGGAGGAATACGTAGCGTGCTAGGCCTAAAGAAAGGCTTCAACTCCAGCTTCCCTTTGATCCATATTAGACAACCTCCCTTGAGCCTAAATGGAACAAAATTGTGCGTTGCTTGAATTCGAATATCATCCAAGATTTCCATGAATGTCTTATTGCCTTTGGATGTAATCATGTGCTTTTCTTCCGGTCCTAACTTCGATGTAATGGAGATGTCGTAACATCTGTCGGACTCGTGATCACTTTGTTTTTGGCTAGTGTGTGCTTTGATAAGCTCGTCAAATTCACCATCTGACTCGTCCGATATAACCTCCACAGGTTCCAGTTCTGTGTTCGTATGACGTATCTCGAATATCTCATCAGCTTCGGATGTAGTATGAGCTGTATGGAAAGACTCCACCAAATCTTCGGAAGATAGCAGCTCAGGCTGGGTATCAACTGTACTGGTTTTAGGCGGCAGCGGTAGGTGGTTGGGTTCTGTCTTTGCCTTGTTGTCTTGTGTCTCTTCTGCTTTGGGTTCAATCACTGAATTCGATTTGATCTCTGCTTTAACCTCGGGCGCTGAGCTTTTTGATTTCTTCTTCTTGATCACGAAAAAGTCGTCGTCGTCAAACAACTTCTTGTTTCTCTTCTTTGTCTTTTCCGACGGTTCAAGCTTGACCATCTTTGACGACTTTGTGTTGTATTGGAAAGCTTTCGCACTTACCCCAGATACCCTCTACTGGACAGAGCTACGAGGAATAGGAAGCTAGTTTTCCAAAAATCATATATTTTTCTCTTCGTGGAAGCTTCTTGCTTTCAAGTGCCTTCACAGTAATCTTTGGTTCGTGACGTCTTCAAACTCTTCAGTCTAATTCGTGATACTGGTATCCTTCAGCTACGCGAAATCATAATACAAACAAAGCGCAGAGAACCACAACTCACAGAGATGACCACTGAGGGTGACAAGCTCATACTCAATGCCAATCTTCCACGAACGAGAGATTTGAGCTTTGTGGGGCGTTTTCATCACAATTTCGGCTTCGAGGAAGGTCTTTTCGAGTACCTCCTAGCCCAGAAGGAACTCTGGGGTGATAAGCTCTTTTATCTCAATGAGCTACCATTCCAGCAAGCAGTCAGCTTTGGGCAGCATCAAATCAGACAAATTCCAGAAGTGGCTTACAATGAGCTTCACTTTCCCAAGAACGAAGCGTCAGAGATTCTGAAAGACGCTTTTGAGGCCCAATTTGGAACTCTGGATGGGGTCGACCTCAATTTCGTTACCTCAAAGGGTGAGAGCAAGCAAAGTCTTCGCCATGGTGATAACTTGCCTCTTAAAGAGACGTTCAATAGAAACGCTAGAATATTGAATGTGGGTGGCATAATAACGGCTATGAAATGGCTACCGTATGGTTCTCTTTTGGCAGTGGCCGTCACTCATCATAAGGAGGGACTATCAAAGGCGATTACAAGTCCGTCCTTGCTGATTTTCAACAACCCTATCAATACTGAGGATGTGAAGTCTTGCATTCAATTCTATAAGTATGACCCAGAGACAACGCTGTTGTCTCTCAGAAAGGTTCTCATAACGTCTTCATTTGGAGCCACCTCGAATGTTAATTGGCTACCTCTCAAAGTCAAGGAAGAGACAGCCGGTGTTCTCTCTGGTCTTTTCTCCGATGGTAAGGTACACTTTTTTAGGATCGACATCCCTGCGCTGGGCACCCAATTCCTTGATGTGTCTGCTGCCTCGTGGACAATATCTATGAGCGACGACGGTGGTTCAGCGCAGCTTCCAATAACAGCCTACGACATTTTTGACGAGACAAAGATCATTGTGGGAACGCTCGATGGTGCAATTGCCGAGTTTGTCTTGCCTGGCACTGATGAGCAACCTGAGGAGCCCTCATTTGTGGAATATGTCGCCGACTCAGCAATAAGCACCATCACTGTTGCTTCTGTCCTCAATGGACACGTTCTCCTCGTCAACACAACTACCACGAGGTCATTCGCCATTCTTTATGAAAACCTACGTCAGAGTAAGTTAGAGACAGCATACACAATCCTGTTTCTACCGCCTCGATACCACAGAGGATACCGCATCTTCGTATACCCTGATAGTGCTGAAAGTATTGGCTATACCTTCGTCAGACATCCCCATCAGAAACACAGTTTACTCCTACGCACAGAGCTTATCTCTAGCTTTCACATCAGTGAATATCTCAATCACCCTTTTGCCTTGGTAGGTAATGCTGCTGGAGACTTTTACGTGATCAACATTGGGAGAAAGATCTTTGGTGTCCCCAAGGCCCACAACAGGCTTGTGGTGCCTCTTAAAATCTGGTCGCTCTCCCTTGAGGATGATAGAAAGACATTGAGACTCGTCGGAGACTACGAACCCTCGTCAGCAGATAAGGCTGATGTCGCCTACTCATTTACTCCACACGAGGTCGGTATATCTGCCTGTGCTTGGAACGAAGGTTTTGACGGCAGTTCGACTTACGCTATGGCTACGTACTCAGGGCTTTTAGTTTTGGAGCGATTGGACCCTCTGATGAATTAGTATTTAGGAAGCTTCTGATCAACGGTCTCACTCCATTTATTGATTCCTCCCTTTATGTCACGAACGTGAGCAACGCCAAAATCCTCTGCGAGCTTCTTGGTGGCAAGTTGCGAATCATTTCCATAACGGCAAATCACATAAACCTGGTCATTCTTCTTGTCGAACGTTTCCGGGAAAATCGATTCGTCTGACTCTAGCCTGGATAAGCGCAGAACCCAATCAATATTAATCGAGCCGCTGATATTTGCAATCTGATACTGGTCGAAGGGTCTGACATCTAGAAGCACTGCACGGTCGTCCGCCTTCATGCATTTTTGTGCTTCCTCAGCGTCAATTCGTTGCGCTGGAGTCAATACGTTAGAATTGACGAATCCACAGAAATGGTCGTAGTTTATTTCTCCTGACTCGATTACCTGTTTAGAGATTGTCGGTTGTGTTCCACAAACTTTGCAAGCTGCCTGTCTGCCTCGCATCTTGAACTGTCGAAGGACCAGCAGGGGATAAGCCGTGTACATTGCAAGAAAGGGCTTAAATGTTTCGTCATAATGACCTGTTAGTACCTTAAGAGTCTCTGTAGCTAATGAGATACCTATCAACCCAATGGCTGGACCGAAGACACCTGCATCACCACAGGTGGAGACTGACTCCGGATTAGGAGGCTGGGGGTAAAAACAACGGTAGCAGGGCCCAGTATTATTGAAATTTAAAATAGTGAACTGACCATCAGTCTTTACTCCTGAGCCACTGACGATCATCTTGCCGCTTAGAACAGCCACATCGTTGATCAAGTACCTGATGGCTGGGGCATCGGTGCAATCCACTATGAGATCGTATTCACCAAAAATGCCGAATGCATTGTTGTTATCTAGCCTGATTGGATGCGTTATAATATCAACATGAGGATTGAGTCGGTCCAAGTACTCTTTAGCAGAATCACATTTTAGCATTCCCACCTTATCTGAAGTGTGTAGGACCTGTCTATGTAAGTTACTGACATCGACAGTATCGTTATCAACTATACCTATCTTGCCGACACCAGCAGCAGTCAAGTATAGTAGCGTAGGGCAACCTAGCCCTCCAGCACCCACAACAAGTACTTTGGCATTCTTAAGCTTTCGCTGAGCCGGTAAAGATCCGAACTCAGGTACTATCATCTGACGTCCATAGCGTCTGAATTCTTCTAAAGAGAAGTCGGGATCGTTTGAAGGTTCATACTTTATATTTCGCTTCTTCTCTCTCTGTAGCTCGTTCACAAGCCGCCTGTTTTCCTCCTCGAGCTGTTTAATACGAAGTTGTAGGTCTGACATGATGATTTATGAGTGCGCGATGCCATCTAAGTACAACACGCCTACGCTATGTTCCGAATTATGTCTATTGACTGCGCAAGGCCTCCTTACACGATCTTTTGCTTAACGAAGAAACTCTTCAAGTGACGCAATTGGTAGGCACAGGTTCCGACCAACACCGCCAACTGGATTATGCTCCACCAGACAACTCTCGAGTTGGTGCTCTCAGACTGGTTTCTGAAGATGGCCTCTCTCTCTCTGATCAGTTCTTGCTCGAAGTTGATCTCCTTCAACTTCTCGTTCAACTGCTTAATCTGCAAGGTTAAGGCATCCACTCTCCTCAGAGATTTGGAGTCGGCGTAGTCCTCAGCGGCGCCAATGGCAAGGTCAAAGAAGATACGGTGCCACTTGTTCTTGCTGCCGTCCTGGTAGATTGGGGTCAAACAGAATCTGTGTTCTCCGGCTTCGAGGGAAGTGAAAGTGAAATCACCGCTAGGGTTAGAATTCGAGTCCACAACTCTGTGGTCGTTGTCGAAGGTCTCATCCACGGTGATATGCACCTTCAAGTTATTCGTTTTGAAGTATTCGTTGGCGTTTTCGGCGTACTCAAGGGCCTCGAGCTTGGCCACCACGAGGGCGTGGGCAGGCAAATCCTCGTAGAAACATCTGGTGTTTCCTGTGGGGAGGTAAAAATGTAATGCGCTGGCTTGTGCCAACAAGAACACCAAAGCTGTGAATACCACGTTCATCTTGTTCTTGTGTGGTGACTTGTTCTTAGGTGGAAAAAAATATAAAACCTGGCCTCACCGCGTCTGTGTAGTTTTGCGCAGGACACAACTTTTGCAGCCGTCGACGGTCTATCGATACTGCTCTTTTAAAAAGGGTGCGTGTTATTGAACGTTTTCTCTCTTCCCAAAACTTTTGAGTAATGTGGTTTATGTCCTATGATTGACATTCTTGTTTCTAGCTGGGATCTCTACATTTAAGAAGACCGATTGGTCGCATTATGCCTCCAAATCCAGGGCAAGTGGGAGATAAAAGGGCCGTCTACGAAGCAGCTTGTTATCTGGTGGATTACTGCATTGTCGGCTCTTCTTTACCGTTTGCGTGGGTTGCGTGGTAACTAAGAGAACAGTGCTCGCTGCTAAGTCCATACAGCATAAAACATGTAAGCCTGGCTGTGACATAATACAGTATGTCTCTGACTCGAACTCATGTATGATTCAAGAGGGAAGAAGCAAAGAGTGTGGGGCACTTTTGTTATGTTTTAGTGCGTGATCGCCACATGTGAAAAGGTGGTCATCAAGGACTTCTATAGTCGTAATCTCCTCAGACTAGGGTGCACTTCACCGGTACATTGGCGTTATGTTAACTGATGCGGAAACGCATAAAACGTGGTTACTATAATAGGTCAACCAACCTGAGGCATATAAGCGTATCATCTTCAAACCAAGTCGCCTTTTGCAGCCAAAGAACCCATCTAGACCCCACAACGCGCAGTAGAACAGCTCCTCCTACTCCTTTCATCGTATCCAATGGCACCATCGGACCTCAGGTACCCTCTACATCTGAGCCTGCCTCACCTCGCTCGGACTTTAACGTGCTACCTCCGCTCCGAAGCCTCAGACTCCCTCGACTATAAAAACCACTCTTCTTCCTCCATCTCTTAAATCAATATCGCAAAGTCACACGAATACCCCCTCCGTCGCCCAGTCCATCTGGCTGCAAAACAATAGCACCGGCAACGGTTACAAAATGCCGATACCAGCCGTCCTGCGCTGACATCACTATATAGACTCTTGTCTCCGTCTGAGGCTTCGGATGCCTCACTATTGTCCCTCCCTCACCACCTGTACGTGCTACTCCACACATACGCTGTGGAATATCATGTGCGATTGACATTGTATTTATTCAGCAATATCGCTGTTTTTTGTAGCTTCAGCAAAAAATGGCGCCCCAGCTTGGCTACGAGCCTGTCGATGCTACAGACGTGCCGCCTCCTAGAGAAATCGAGGTATCGGTTCCTGGCGGTATCTCGGCCACTATAGCGGTGCCGCACGGTGTGGACTCCGATGATCCACGATGGGCTACTCCAACTAAAAGAATGGTGCTTATCTTGCACGGCCAGATGGGTCATCGTGACTACTGCTATCAAAAAATATTGGCTCACAAGTTGGCAGCTTATCGGGCATGTACTCGTTGAGAATAGACTTTCGTGGTTGTGGAGCACTGGATGATTGTGCTGACCCTAAGGTGGGACGTGTTGTCGAGTCGGACCTTGAGGACATAACCCGATGCATGGAATTTATTACGAATGCGTCGTTGAACCCGCTAGGCGTGTCGTTTGTGCCTCTGGCTATAGTAGCACACTCTCGAGGTGCTGTGGTGATGTACTTGTGGGCTTTGCAGCAGGAAGCCTTGCTCAAGAATGGAGATCCAGAAAGAAAGGCCTTCAACGTGCCAAACTTGGTGAGCTGCTCAACTAGATACAATTCTCTCACGATGTTTGAGAAGGAGGACATCATCGATGACGACTTTGAGTTCTTGGAAATGAGATGTCTTCGTCATGGTAAGGTTCAACTCGTGGAGGTGCCTCGTCATGAATTGAACAGTCTTATCGATGCTGACTTGACTTGTGTCAAGGACCTTCCAGCAAATTGGTCCGTGTTGAGTGTCTACGGAATGGAAGACGAGGTTGTTTCTGCTAATGATGGCGCCCAGTTCTCCAACCTCCTAAGCAGATGTCGATACTCCATCATCTCGAACTTATTGAAAACGCTGACCACATGTTTATGGGCATTCACCATATAGACAGCGAAGAGGACCAAGAGGACTACAATCCTCAAGGCTGGCCGGTTGCACCAAACAAGCTTGTCAATTATAGGCACCATGCAGCGGCTGCCATTTTGCACTGGCTCAAGCCAGAAAATGAACTGCTTCGCTTCTTGTATGCCAACGCTTCAATTCAATCTGTTCCACGCTGGAAATCAGCAGATGGTTTATACAATTTTAGAGACATTGGTGGCTGGCAGTTGATCAGGCCCACCTTTTCAAAGAGTCTGAAGGTCGGCCTGTCTATTTCTGTGAGGTCCAACTACATTTATCGCTCTTCTGGGATCAACTCTATCACTGGCGGAGGAGCTGACACCCTTGGAAAGATGGGCGTGAAAACCGTCTTTGATTTGAGATCTCCTCAAGAAGCTGCTGGTGATTTGGACCCTGGCTACTTAACTCATGCTGGTATCAAGGTTATAAAATCTCCTATTTTCGACTTGGAGCTGGTTGCGCCTGAGAAACTAGCCAAGACGCTTGTTTCGAGCAGTCAAAGCAAGAACAAGTCCGAGCATATTTACAAAGAGATCCTCAGGGAAGGCATCCCGCTGCTTCGAACAATATTCACTTACATCAAAGATCACCCGCTTGAACCATTGCTTTTATCCTGTTCGAACGGGCAAGATTTGACTGGCGTTGTCATCATGTTGATCTTGAGCTTGTGTGGAGTTGAAAAGCACGTTATTGCTCACGAGCAAGGCTTGAGTGTCATTGGAACTCACATGCGCCGCCAGGTTGCCCAGAACAAACTGGTTGAACGTGTTTTTACCAATAGCTCTTCTGTGAATGAGGAGAATATAGCTGTCAGCATGTTTAGGACACTTGACACTCTAGAGGAAAATTATGGTGGAATCAAGGGCTATATGGGAGTCCAGCTAGGTTTCGATGAAAGCGAGGTGAAGGCAATCTACAATAACTTGGTAACACCGCAAGCAAAGGGCCAAATTAGCTTCCCAGTAAGCAAAATTTAATCTGAAATAATTTATTAAATAAACTTTCGTTCGCTCGTTAATATGCCTAGGATGTCATCAGTGCAGCTTATTCTTCAACTTGGCAACCAAGGAAGTCAATGCCAGGGTATTGTCTTCTGATGTCTTTTCCGAATTTTTGTTCTTCTTTGACTTTTTGCTCTTGCGATCGTCACCATCCTCTCTTCTCAGTCTCTTGGAACGCTCATCCAAAATACGCTTCATGGTGTCCGTCTTTTTGAACTCGGAACTTGTAGGGTCAATAGCGTAGTCATGGCTTTCGAAAATCTCTTTGAATCTATCATCGTTCAAATCAGCCTTGAAACCATCTTGGACCATCTCAGTATCGTACTTCTTATTCTTTTTATTCTTCTTCTTGTTCTTTTTATCCTTTTCTGCTTTAAGAACATCTCTCATATCGAAATGCTCTGCCTTGGATTGGTCCTGATCCTTATCATCCTCCATAAGAAGCAACTCAAGCTCTGCTTTACTCTTCTCGTCCACCTCTTGAGGCTTCTTATTTTTCTTCTTGTCCTTCTTTGATTTCTTGCCCGACTTCTCCTCCTTTTCAGGTTCATTCTCGGTTTGCTTCTCCTTGAATTTCTCCAATCTACGAGCACGGCGCTCTTTCTCTTTTCTCTTGTATGCGTCGATAGTAGACTCCTCCTTTGGCTCCTCTGGCTGCTCCTCGGCCTTGTTCTCGTCAAGACCAGGGTTGAAGGTGATCTCCATGTCAACATCCTCCTCCTCCTCATTACCCTTGTCAAATGAGAACTTTCCACCTAGAAGATTCTTGTATTTATCTTTGAGCAGCTCGGCTTGTTCAGCCTCCGAACCTTCACTATCAGATGCCAAGTATGCCTTGAAGTCCATGTCGTCGATCTCTTTCTGTGAAAACAGTCGAGAGGAAAGAGTGGTTCTTTCCTTTGGTGTTTGGTCCCAGGTCAACTTGACCTTAGAGTGCTGGAGAGCGTCGGTCACGAATGTCGAGTCTGGTCTATAAGATGCTGGAATTTTGTCACATTGATCCTTGGCCTCCTGGTCATCAAAGTCCATGTCCTCTGGGACATAACGTAAGTCAAAAGTGTTGGCTGTGGACTCATATTCAGAACCATCGCAATTGTCGTATATGTTCTTTGCGGTGGAAACGCTATCACAATGCACGACAGCGTAGTAATATCTCAATCTCTGAAGTTGATACTTTCTCAATGCCTTCGAGTCGTAGTCTTCTTCTCCATCATCCTCTTCATAGATTTTTCTTGCTGCCTTTTCAAGGTCATCCGCGTTTTTCAAATCAAGCTCTTCATCCGAATCTGAGTCGGAATGTGAATCATTCTTCTTCTTCTTTTTGGCGAAGAGCTCCTTTGGTGGACCTTCAACTTCTTCCTTTTGCATCTGCTCCTTACCGTACTCAGATGGGTAAATAGTAACAGATTTGATAGATCCGCCTTTTGGAACGAAAGACACGAAGGTAGCCATCAAGTCAACAGCGCGAATGTTGTCCCAGTCCATGTTAACCACAGCAAAGGAGGAGGTAGGGTCGCCTTCCTCGGGCTTTTCTTCCTCAAGCTCAATCTCAGAGTCTTCTTCTTCGACTTCCTCATCAGAATCGGACTCATCCGAAGAGGAAGATAAGCCTTCACCTCTGGCCCTATCTATGAATCCTTCCTCAACGGCTGTATCAGAGTCGCTATCCAGAACAGAAACCTCTGGTTCGATAGTCTTCTTCAATGGCTTGCGGACCACCTTAGTCTCCTCAGAATCCGAATCAGACTCCGAATCAGAACTTTCCTCAGACTCACTACTGGCGTCAGTGCCGCTTTCACTATCCTTTTCTTCCTCAAAATACTTATCAAAAGTCTGATTTTCGTCGTCATTTATCTTACGACCGTATCTGTCGATCTTCACTTTCTTGCCGGTAGCGCTGACGTTTAACTTTTTGAGCTCATCTCTGCTGAATCTATCGTCAACTTTCACCTTGTTCTTTTTCAAACTAGGGAGTTGGAATCTGGCATCAGTACGAGCGGACGCAAATCTTGGATCGCTGAAACCAGAATCAGAAGTTTTGGATCCTTTCTTTTTTGCCATTGTGTCTTATTGCAAGGTATATGTGGGTTAGCATATTATTCACCGCGATGCTCATCATCTATATATGTGGTGTTTGGATGTGCGATATGGGATTTTGCAGCCATTTCTCTAGTGCGAGATTCATCAGCCTATTGTCCATAGTTTCCAATCAAACCCGCCATTTCGAGGAAAGCACGCTCTTCTCCCATGTCTCGCACATTAACGCTCTGCCTAGCCTTCGCTTGCTTTTCTTCCCATTCCCATAACTTCCTTTGTTCCTCTAACTCCTTGTTAGAACCGATGCCCCAGACCTCCAAGTCTGTAATCATAAACCTGTCTTCGTAATCATCGTCCACTAATTCTTGTTGCGCTGACTTTTCAAAGTAGTTTGCCGAGTTGGGTCCAGAACTACGGATGTGTCTGAAAACCGCAAATTCAAGATTCGCCTCGATTGTGAGCGAGACATTGCCAGGCAAATACTTGCGGATCGTGTTCTTGTTGACTGGCTGATCATTTCCAAAGCCAAGTCCCATACCCAAATTGCTAAAGTATACCAGCTGGCCTTGTAATACAGGGTCTAGTCTAGACTTGAAATAGTCAAATCGTGGCAGTAAGCTGACGATTACCGTTTCCTCGTCTCCAAAGTTCTTCTTATTGGATGACTTCCATGGTGAATTTAAGAAGACGGCGTATGTAATCCTGTCCAGTTCACCCTGCCACAGCCTAAGTGGGTTTTCATTGGCGAGGAAGTATCTTGGATACTCCTGATCAAACTCCTGGTATCTTCTGTTGGTATTTATCGTCTTTGACTTGAGTCGTTTGCCTGAGACTAAAAGAATGGTGGGCGCATGCCATTTAAAGATCTTCAGCTCCAAAGATCTAATGGAAAACCCGCTTTGGGAGCCATTGTAAAGGTTCACGATGTTTGACGTTCCGACAGAAATGTTTTTACCTGCGCTTCGAAGAGCCAATGTTATAAGAGAGAGTGATGCCTCGTTCACCAATCTAGTTTGTTCAAACTTTTGCTTCCTCTTCGGCTTCTTCGGAGATGAGTTGGGTGAGGTGCTCGCTTCGTGTAACTCCTGCTCTTGCGATACTCTTCCCTCTGATTGAATGGAAGAGAAGATGCTCCTCTCGACGAGCTTGGCTAGCGCGTCGATGATAAAGCGAGCTAGGCCCCTCTCACACCCAGTATGGAACTGCTTATAGGATATGGAAGAACTCTTGAGGTTTTGTCTATCGATTGTGAAGTCAAAAAATCTGACTAGTGCATGCGATGCTACCTCAAACTCCAGCCATTTTTCTTCTAGTGACTTATGGAGCTCGGCTTGCATCTCTTCGTGAGACTTCTTCGGAACTGAGCTTACCACAAGCAAGAGAGTGAGTATCTTTACTAGGTCTTCTCCATTTATCGAAAGCTCGTCGACCTTAATATCATCATAGTTCTTGATGTTGGCGAAGGTGTCCCACTTGATCCTCCTGGCTGTTTCAAAGTCGTCATGCTCGTCATCTTCACGGCCATTAGGAAGCCTTACAGCCTCGACGACAAATTGGTCGTCACCATTGAGGGAAATGGCTTTCTCTGGGTCTCCGTCGGACTTTTCGGAGTTTGGCCTTTGGTCTAAGCCTGAAGCGGCTGCGAAGGCAATGAACAAAAGCTTCAAGTAATTGTACTTGTGTCCTAGCATACGCCGTATTCTCCCAGAAGTACTGTGGACGATATTATCAAACCTCGTAGAGTCAATTGCTCCTTGTCTGTGAAGTCTTGTAGAAATGGCAACCTCGCAAGGACCAGTAGAGTATTTGTGAGGAGCTTCACTGCTTTCACGAAGCCATGGTGAACATCCAGGATGTCTTGGTCCTTCTTGTTGGACAATTGAAGGACGTAAGCAACATCTGAGTATGAAATAGCCGTCTCGGGATCATTGGCTGAGGTCACATTGAGCCTCGATGCTAGAGAGGAAAGCTCTTCTCTCGTGAGCAAATGAACACAGCGCAATTGAAAGTATTTATTGATTTGCTCTTTCGTAAACAGTTCAAGCACTAACAGCTTCCTCGAAGCTGAGTCTTCTTCGTTGCTAGCCGCTTGACCCATGGTGAAATATGTTGTAGATGGTGTATGGTGCGATTGTGGGGACCATTGCGAGATCTAGCTCCCTAATAGCATCCTTGCCGGCATGTACAGATTCGGCTTTGAGCTTTTACAAAATAGACGTCAATGAAAAGGCCATGGCTATTGGCTCATTTCTGACTGTGAATTTTTTAGAGCGTTGAAATTAGACCGGCTGACAAAAAAACCGTCAAGAGTATGTGTTTTCTTAGCGCAAAGACACATTGGATGCAAAATTGGAAAGATTGTTCGAGGGGTTTAAAAGTATGCATTGATTATGACGATTATTTAAGTAGGGCACAAGCCGCTTTTTTGCTGCTCTACTAATTTTTGAGGTGTTTTGTATGAAAATGTGAAAAGACAGTGATCAATTCAAAAGGTCTGTCATGAAGTGCTTAGCTCTCATCTCGAGATCGTAGATAACCTTCTTGACCCTACCCATCAAGCTTGTAGGGTGCAAAACTTCTTCGTCTAAGGAGTCTGCACCGTAGTACTTCTGGTTGAGGGCGGACTGCTTCAAGAGCTGTTTGGTAAATGAGACAAAGACCAATGCAAAGTACAACCGAAGGGCGTTGGTCACAATAATTCCACTAACGGTCAAAAAGAGCTCTCTTTGTGGCGATGCAGACTGAGAAAGAGAATCACTGGACCCATCACGACGGGCGTACGAGCTGTACGAGTCGACACCAGATGTTTCAGTGCCAGAGCCACCGTAGCTGGTAGGGTTATTGTCCTCCCTGCTGAACCAGAAGTGAACAAAGTAGATGGTGTAAAGAAGACCAATAGCAGTATCAATCAAGTAGATCACGCATGCCAAGCTTGTCTTGCGAACGTTGTTGGCTTTGTTGAGGATGTTGGACAAGCCGGAGATGTAGAAAGGAAGGGTAAGGAACGACAAAAAGTTAAACAACCACTGCCAGAAGTTCAAGTGGTGGCCTGTAAGAATGGACAAGACACCATAAGCACCACCAGCCTTGTTAAGGATAGCCACAGCGAGAATCACCTCGACACCAATATATAGGGGTATGACAATAAAGAACTTCTGCAAAGTTAGAATAATCTCAAAATTGACTTGGGAAAACATACCGATGGAAGAATCTGTTCAAGGATTTTTGCTGCCATCTTGCGCTGGTTTATGCAAGCAATAACGATGAAGAACGGGTAGAATGATGTTGATCAGTTGCGCGAAGCATCGCTTCTCTGCGCATCAGGTAATACTTTTGAAAAGAACATTCTGGGGCAATGTCGGAGAGAGAATTGGAGGAAAATATGGAAAATCTCCAAATCAGTCTGTCAGACACCGACAACAGTGATCTGGAAACAGAAGCTTCCTCAAATTCCAGAACCATCACTGATAGAGGTGAGATTGTGGAGAAATATACCCTGGTGATCAATACTGAGCCGTTGAAGAAAGGACCCAAGACCACGAAGGATAGGGCCAACAGGGCAACTGTGGAACAGGTGTTGGACCCAAGAACCATGCGATTTTTGGCAAAGATTATAAACAAAGGCATCATCTCCAGAATCAACGGATGCATCTCGACTGGTAAAGAAGCTAATGTCTACCATGGTGACCATGAAGACACGACTATCTCGGACAGAGAGTACGCTGTGAAGATTTACAAGACCTCGATTTTGGTTTTCAAAGACAGAGAGCGTTATGTGGATGGTGAATTCAGGTTCAGGAATACGAAGAACCAAAGTAACCCTAGAAAGATGGTCAAAGTGTGGGCTGAAAAAGAGTTCAGAAATTTGAAAAGACTCTATGTGAATGGCATTCCGTGCCCCGAGCCTGTTGAACTTCGGTCACACGTCTTGGTCATGGAGTACTTGACGAAGGGAAATGCTCAACCTTCGCCTAAACTCAAAGACCATCCATTCAAGGACTTAGATGAGATTGTTTTTTACTACCAACAGATGCTCATTTACATGAGAAGAATGTATCAGAAATGTCGTCTTGTTCATGCTGATTTGAGTGAATACAACTCCATTGTACACAATGACAAGCTCTACATCATTGATGTTTCGCAATCAGTTGAGCCTGAACATCCCATGGCACTTGACTTCTTACGAATGGATATCAAGAACGTCAATGACTTCTTCTCAAGAAAGAAGATACATGTTTTCCCTGAAAGACTATTATTTAAGTACATTACCGAACCCAATTTGGGTGTGGACGACGAGGATGATGCGCAGTTGAGAACCTATCTTGATTCCCTTCCTTTGAAAAGTGAGGTGGATAGCTCAAACGTTGATGATGAAATTTTTCGGTCACTCCATTTGGTGAGGTCGTTAAATAATCTTGACGAGCGTGATTTTGAGAAGTTCCAAGAGGGCAGAGTCGACACACTCACAGACCTTGTTGCCGAAGAAGAGCAAGAAACCAGTTCAGAAGAAGAATCGGACGATGAGTCTGACGAGGATGACTCCGACGAGGAAGAATCTGACGAAGAAACCGAGGGCAGACGCCAGAAGAAGGAGAAGGAGGTGAAGGGCAAAAAGTTCGAGGATAAGGATGATAAGAAAGCTAGAAAACAGGCGGCCAAAGAGGCCAAGGCAGAGAAGAGAAAGACGAAGATGAAGAAGCACGTGAAGAAGAAGTTGGTCAACAAGAGAAAGAATAACTAGATTATTCAATATGTATTCATTGGGGATGCTTAACCAGGGGCTGAGCTATAGATTAATAGAACGGTAATTCCAATACTAGTAACTTGTATAATTTGGTCATCCTCTGACACTTCAGTCCGATAGTTTGTTTCGTGTGGAGGATATAAAGCGAAGATTCTGTTAATTTTTTAAAGATTTCTATTACCTTGATCTTTTGTGAATTTAAAGATGACTGAAAAGAGAATCAGTAAGTTGAAGTTGAAGAAGCTTTTTTCGAAGTCACCTGTGAACAGTAGCGCAGATGCTTCGTCCTCAGATGCTTCAGAAGAACAATCAAAGAAACCTCAGGCTCAGAAGCCCGATGCTGAAATTAGCTCAGGGGTCAAACAGAATGATGCCTTATCGAACAATGACACCGTATGTTCCATCAATTCTAAGGGTTCTCATGGCCCTAAATCGTCAGAAGACGGTAAGGCTGAGGATTCCTCGAATGTCGATCAAAATGATAAGGCGGAAAACTCCATTGAAGGTGAAGCCTCTGAGACCCAAGAAAGTCTGGAGAAGAAGCATGTTACAGAAGAAGCAGAAGCTGAGAAGTCAGAAAAAATCGAAAGCTCCGACCAGTCAATGAAGCTGGCAAACGGGGCTGTTGAAGGGACGCCTCTGTCTCAAACGGATTCTGATAAGGCCAAGCCCAGTAAGAATAACTCTTCTCAAAAAGTGACACTGGACGCTGCCTCCGAAACCTCGTTGAGGTCTTCTCCAGGGTTTATCGCGATGGACCTTGGCTTTGATGAAGAAGGACTTGGAAGCCCATTCAAAGCTAATGAGGGGTTCAAGCCTCTGGGAATCGTTCAAGATATTGAAGAGCCAGACAAAGATGACATTACTTCCATGCTTCCAATTTCTGCCCACAATAATACCAAGGGCAATGACCTCAATTCTTTTTACTCCGCTGCTGGTCTGAGCGTTCATCAGAAACACAGTAGAAAGAACAGTTTACTCGGGGAGGAGCTCGAAAGCCAAATCGGAACCAAGACAGTGGACTACGGTGACAACGTTCGTGTGTCTTCTCGTGGTCTGCACACTTTTGTGGTCATGGACAAGAAGTTGTTTGAAGACAGAGAGGAGGCTTTGATCCGTCTTCTTGGGGATTCGAAATATTCCAATTTCAACCAGTCATACACGAAAAACACCAAGGAGGAAACTGGTAGAGAACAGACAGAGTCAAAATCTCCAAAGCAAGTTGATTCCAAGGAAAGTGCAAGCCTGGGTGAAAAGAAGGAAACTGAGACACAGGAGGATGCTTTAGGAAAGAAGGCTACCAAGAGGCGCAAGCTGGTCTGGGACCGCGTGTTGAACAGAATGCCCAAAAAGGAAACTCCTGTTCAGTAGATTGTTTTAATGTTTGCTTGAATATAATTTTACGTAGAAAAGAGGAGAACGAAAGCCTCCCAAAGTAACTTTTTGCAACCATTACCAACCGCGGAATGGAAGCCAGCCTCGAGAAGGTCACATGACTGGAATCGGGATGTCCTCGGTTTCAGGAGCAACGTCAGTTGGCCCGGCTGAAGGATATTCAATACTTGCTATTTGTGGAAGCGATTATATGTGTCGAGGATTTCGAAATTGTTGGTTGAATCTGTAGACCCGTCTTATGTAATCTGTTCCACAGTGTGCATGGGCCGGGTAACCCCTGGTCCGGGGTCCTCTCTCGGTACCTACATCTTAGCCCCAGGCCACAATTGTTTGGGTGTACTCGTTATATTGTGATACTCTAATTATAAGCTAATACCCCACGGGCTCCCATTGCGATCCACAAACCTAAGTGCCACAAGAGTTTACACAAGCCATTGGATAGCTTTTGACATTCTTTCATTTCCAAAACTACAAATTCCCTCATGGAGGACTTCTTAAGAGACAGCCCATTTGACGAGTCGAGCACCACCGACTCCTCGAAAGCGAAGCAATACGACTCGTACTTGAACTACTCGCAAGGCCAGGACGGTAGCTCGCAGGATGAGTTTTCTCGGGTACAGCCTCAGACAGCAGACTCTCAGCCACAAACAGACCACTTTAGCTTAGACTTGAACCAGCAAATCAAGGAAGAGTACTCCTCTCCAACCGTCACATCACCTACAACGTTCCAGAGTCCGACACAGAGTGCCTCCCAAGGCCAACAGAACTTGAATCCCAATGACCCCTACTTCAGCACGTTTGAGTTCTTATCTTCTCCTTCCCAACAACCGGTGTCCCCCAGATATCAACCCCAGGGCCCGCTAGCAGTGAGTTCACCGCAGGATTTGGTACACAGGCTGACCCTTTGCAGTTTAGCATGAACGACAATTTCACCAACTTGGATCAGCTAGTCTCACCAGAGAATAACGTCAATGACTCGGGCATCAACATGTTCTCCTCTGCTCAATACTTCTCGCCAAACACAAGAGCAAATCATTACAACCACTTGTCAGCAATTGCCGAAGACAGCTTGCCAAACTCCTACCAAAACACTTTCAGTCCCGAACTTTCCAGACACGGATCCGTCAGTATTCCTCCTCTGGGAGAACCATACGTGTCGCCACTGGCTAACGCTTTCTTGTCACCACAGTCCAGACCCCAAGATGGCAATTTTGACAATCTAAGGTCACCATACTCGGGGACCTCGTTTCCTAACTCACCACCCCCACCACTCAACTTGAATATGAGCAAGAGCATTCCTACATCTGTTAACTTCAATCAGACTTCCTTCAACGATTCCCATACACAGCGACCACTGCAGCAGCAGTCAATCGAGAACACATTGTCTCCGCCTAGTCTGCTGGCTTTGGGTACCTCCGCTCCAAGTAACTCCAAGAAGTCTGAACCATACCCAACTAGTGGTAAGCAGTTAACTCAAGAGGAGAAAGCCAAGCGCAGGAGAGAGTTCCACAATGCCGTGGAGCGTAGGCGGCGTGATTTGATAAAGGAAAAGATCAAGGAACTTGGATTTCTTGTGCCGCCCTCTCTATTGAATCCACAAGTATGCGCCGTGCAAAGTCTACTGAAGCAACCGCATCAGAATTCAGCGGAGATGAAAGAGCTTCTTGCAACAGTCAAGGTGAGAGACTCGAAGCCCAACAAGGCTACTATTCTTCTGACATCTGTCGACTACATAATACACCTAGAGAAGGTGGCCGAGCGTCAAGAGCAGCGCAGGAAAGAAATTGAGAGAGAGATTGCAGAGCTTGAAAGCGGTGTTGGAAAGGTGAAGCTCGAGGACCCTGATGAAACGTTGAATAATTCCACAGGACTTCCAGATCAGGTTGGGCTTCCCAATCAGGACACTCAATTTAACCCCGACGACTTCTTTTCAGATGTCATCGCAGACAATAATCAGTATAGCTAAATGCCCTTGGTAACAGCTGCATAATCCGCTCGAGCCTTCCGCGCGGACGGCTCCTCCTGTGTGGAGAATTACGCTAGGTCAAACAGGCGGCTTTGCGAATGGTCTAGTATAACACTTCTTTCATCATGAGTGATCTCAAAGCTGCCCAACGCTTCGTTGATTATGTCAACGCCTCCCCATCACCCTACCATGCTGTTCACAATGTCAAGTCATTGCTAGTGAAGAAGGGATTTAAGGTGTTGAAGGAGAAGGACTCTTGGGACATACAACCAGATTCGAGTTATGTCGTTACTAGAAATGGGTCTTCGTTAATTGCGTTCTCCACTGGTACCGACTACAAACCAGGTAACCCCGTGGCTATCATCGGCGCTCACACCGACTCTCCTTGTCTCAGGATCAAACCAATTTCCAAGAAGTCCAACCAGGGCTTTATTGAGATTGGCGTTGAGACATATGGTGGTTTGATTGCACACTCCTGGTTTGACCGTGACTTGTCCGTTGCCGGTAGGGTGTACATTCGTGACAACGCCGGTAACTATGTTCCTAAGTTGTTGCACTTGAACAAGCCATTAATGAGAATTCCAACTTTGGCAATTCATTTGAACAGAGATGCAAATACCAAGTTCGAGTTCAACCGTGAGACCGAGTTACTTCCAATTGCTGGTCAAGAGGACTTTGGCCACTCTTGCAAGGACGATCCGGCATTGCAATTTCCAGAGGAAGCTTTCAACGCAGTGAAGCATGTTGTTGAGCGTCACAACGAGTCTCTTGTTACATTGATTGCCAAGGAGTTGGGCGTCGAGCCAAAGCAGATCGAGGACTTTGAATTGGTCTTGGGTGATTACCAACCTGCAACGTTAGGCGGCTTGCATGACGAATTCATCTTTGGTCCACGTCAAGACAACTTGACATCCTGTTTCGCGGCTGCAGAGGCTCTCGCGGATGCTCATCTGGCCAACGATGGTGTGGCCATGATCTCCTTGTTTGACCACGAAGAGATTGGCTCTGTTTCTGCTCAGGGTGCAGACTCCTCTTTCTTGCCAGACGTTCTCTCTCGCCTTGCTGCAAACGAAAGTGGTGACTTTCCCCGTATGTGCAACAGATCGTTTTTGTTGTCTTCTGACCAAGCGCACGGTGTTCATCCAAACTATGAAAGATTTTATGAGAAAGTGAACAAACCTGAAGTTAACAAGGGCCCTGTTATCAAGATCAATGCCAATCAAAGGTACGCCACGAACTCGCGTGGTATCGTGCTTATCAAGGCTGTTGCCAATGCTGCACGCGTGCCTTTGCAGTTGTTCGTTGTGAGAAACGACTCGCCGTGTGGCTCCACTATTGGGCCCATGCTCTCTGCTAAGTTGGGTATTAGGACTCTTGATTTGGGTAACCCACAGTTATCAATGCACTCTATCAGAGAGACTGGTGGCTCTCATGACATTGAGCGTTTGACGTCATTGTTTAATGGCTTCCTTTCCAACTACGTGAAGGAAGATGCTAAAATTGAGTGTGACTAAACCATGACTATGAGGTGTGCAAAAGGAAATTCAAGATGGGGTGGAATTATATAGAGTAGAATTTCATGGATGTTATTTAAAAACGTAGCACAGCCAAGTTTCTGCATAGTCGCGGCATAGAAATGATGCCTCATACTACATCGATTCTTCACCAAAGATGCTTCTCTTCGCCTTTTTGCTATATACCATTCCAGCTTTAGCTTTTCAGGCTGTTCCAGTTCTATATGGATCTCATAGTTTAGTTCCTGGTCTTAGGGACGAGGTGAAACACCCATTTATCCAGAAGCAAGACCCCAGAGCGTCACGAACATGCTTAAGAAGTCCATTACAGAATGCTCTTCGGATGCATATCTCATCATCAACATGCCTGGGCTCGAGAATATCGACATGATCGACAGAAAGCAGGAGCTTTGGCGGAACTTGGTCAAATATATGCATATGCTGAGCACCTTGATTGGAATGCCTTGGGTTGAAGGAACACTTGATCTACTGTTCTTAGAAGCCTACATTACCAGGACTTGCTCTGCCGAGACGATTAGCATGAACGAGGAAGAAGACGTGTTCGCCGAATACATAGACACGAGAAAGAGGATCATCAGAATCGAGTTCAACCCTCTTCCGCCTCCAGGCCCTGAGCGTGATTTGGCGATCCGTGCCAATGATGAATTAATCGACAAGGTTTTGAAAAGGATACCCTCGCCACACTATTCATTCTTGATTACGTCAAGTACCACAAGTGCCATCCACCCTATTCCGGAGGTAGCTCTTGAGAACAGTCCTCAGGGATTCGAACTATTTTATAGAATCGTGAATGACCCACGTCGTGAAGAAGAGGTTGAAAGGCACGTCCAGTTGAAGGGATTGAGTAAGCCTCAATGGAATGAAAACAAAGATCCACTCTCTATTTATTTGGAGAGGAGAAAAAAGGATCAGATTCATTTGTTTGACTACGAGCTTTGGAGCCAAAATGAGAAGCTTGTTACCACAATAGCCGCTATGATTGTGTCTTTATTTGCCTTGAAGACTTTGGGGGTCGCCAAGAAGCTATTTGGTAAGAAGAAGGCCAAGCGAAGCTAAACTATACAGACCAAACAGACAAAGGGGGTTTGTAATCAGAATGGGAGATATGTAAGGAAGATCTTGTATATTTACGTGAGCGTTCCTGAATAGCTTTGCAGGCAGATCTAGTATAATGAAGCTTGGCTGGATCCTTGCGTGAGGCCGTCCAAGAGAATCGGACCCTAAGCCCGGAGAAATGGATGCTTCAGGCAAAACCTCCTAGGCGGTATCTTGCAGCGCTTTCAATGGTTGCAAAACGGCAATTCTTGCGGAGCGTAAATCTGGTGGAATGCGCGGATAATCCCTTCATTCCGATACTTCTGAATAATGGGCAAATATTTATTAATGGGCACGGCTCCTGGGCATCGAGCTTTGTGGTGCTTCACCCTCAACACCAGTTGGTGGACCATGCCGCATAGCGCTTACGTGAGAAATCAGCTGTTTTTTTCTAAAAACCTAAACCATATTCAGAGCCTCTTCCAAATCGCGCCAGGGGTCTCCTCTGGACAATGGCTTGCAAAACGGACCGCTTTTACCTAGCTAGCATCACCCCACCTTCGAGTCAGTCCGTCTCTGCACCGTTTTTGCATCCACTGCATGTGTGCAGCTTTATCTCGCTGGGAAAGTATTCACCACCATTGCTGCCGGGCCTGCAGAAACCATACATGTTTCTCGCTTTTGACTGCACTGCACTCACCTTATATATCTCTTGCCTCTTCTACATCTAAAAGAAACCAGGCCATGTCCGACTACCTTACCTTTTCCTCCGAGCCTTCAGGCCGTCATGAGGGCAAAAAACATATTATTATAGTTGGCGCGGGTATTATTGGTGTTTGCACCGCCTACTACTTAGTGAAGCACCCCAAGTTTGATCCCCAAAAGTACCATATCTCCTTGGTGGAAAGCAAGCGAGTGGCCGGTGGTGCTAGTGGTAAGGCTGGTGGCCTTTTGGCGCTTTGGGCTTTCCCACAACAGTTAGTGCCTCTTTCTTTTCAATTGCATCAGGAGCTTTCTGACTTGTATGATGGCGAAAACGTGTGGGATTACAGAAGGCTTACTACAGTGTCCATAGAGGGTGACATAACAGGATTTATCCCAGAAGAAGATGAGAGCAATTCGGAATCGGAGAAGCAGGTGACGCAGAGTGCGCTGCCCGACACTGAGTTCCCACCCAAGAAGACATCTAAAGTCACCAGACAACGAGATTCCAAGAAATTGCCCACGGACTTGAACTGGATCACAGAACAGTTCGTCAACCTGTGCTCCTCTTTGGGTGGTAAAGATACCACCGCTCAGGTGCATCCTTACAGATTCACTAACTTCATCTTGAAGAAGGCTGTTGAAGATTCCAATGGCGCCCTAGAACTTATTCTCGGAAAAGTGAATAAGATTCTATATCTGATGGATACTGGTGTTGCCACAGGTATCACATACGAGCCAACGAGCGCCAAAAAGGACGTCCACGAGCCCGTGAGCTTAAAGGGTGATCAAATTGTTCTATCCGTGGGTCCTTGGACGTCCAAGATCCTCCCAGACTGCCCAATCTCTGGCTTGAGAGCTCACTCTATCACCATTGCGCCACATAATGACCAGCGTGTGTCTCCATACGCTATCTTCACAGAATACAAGGTTGGAAACAAGTATGTGTCGCCTGAGATATACGCAAGAAAGGACGAGGTCTTTGTGTGCGGAGAAGGTGATTCTGCCGTTGACGTGCCAGAGACGACGGACGATGTTGAGGTGGTTAAGTCGAAGTGTGACGATCTTTTCTCACAGGTAAGTAAGATGTCTTCGATGTTGCGCAAGGGAAGAATTTTGAAGAGACAAGCTTGTTACTTACCTGTGTTGGACGTACCCTCGTCTAGTGGCCCATTGATTGGCGAGACCAATGTGGACAATCTTTTCTTATGCTCCGGACACTCATGTTGGGGTATCAACAATGCTCCAGGTAGTGGTAAGGTAATGAGTGAACTTTTGTTAGACGGAAAGGCCAAACTGGCCAACATCTCGACGCTAGATCCGTCGCTTTATTTCGATGCATCTGTTTTGGTCGATGAAGAAGACGATGCAGAGGAGAGGAAGGCGGAGCCCAACATGTAAAAACGATCTACAGGTAATCAATATACAATACATTTATTATGATGAGTTAGACTTGCCAGTCGAAACGCTTAGTTTCTCTTGGCGAATCTTCTTGGACCTCTCTGGGAAGAGATGGCAACAGTCTGAAGAGGGATCTTGAAGCCCAAGGTCTTGACCAAGTCAGCAGTCTCGGCGTCAACCTCCAACTGACCACCAGTGTGGGACAAGTCCAAGGCAGAGACCTCTGGGACGTACTGGTCCTTTCTCTCTCTCTCCTCTTCCTGCAACTTGAAGGAGATACCTCTAACTGGGCCCTTCTGGATTCTCTTCATCAAGTGGGTGGTGTAACCAGCAATCTTGTTTCTGAGTCTCTTGGACTGGATCTCAGCAATCTCGGAGGTCAATCTCTTGTTGGTCTCGAAGTCCAAGGTCAACTTAGGGTAGTATCTCTCGATCAAAACCTTAGAGGCTCTCTTGACAGTCTTAGTTCTAACGCGACCCTGGTATGTTAGTAATTATTCTGGTTTTTGACGATTTTCGGTAGGATGGATGGAAAGCTTGTGGAGTATGGATTCGTGATAGTTGATTTTCAACAAGACAGGAAATAAGATCTGGTAAATTGGAGGGAAACATGTTTGCGATTGGAGTGGATTATGACACTTGATAGCCTGACATCGTCGTTATGGTTTTATGTATTTGGACATACCATTTTGCTTTGTTAGTGGTATGGAGAAAGAAGCTGAATTTGAGTAGGGCTTCTCTAGAGGAAAATTTTCGGGCCCAGTGCGGCAGGTCGCCAGTGAGGCACTGAGGGAGATGAAGGGCTTTGTGTGCAGTTCTGGAGCACGCATTCATTGTCACGTGTGACTGTGACTGTCAATCGCTTGTCGGACAAAAGTACCATTTAAGGAACTCTAGCAATCTTTGAAAGAAGTGGAAATGCTCTTTCTGGAAATTATATCCCAATTTCAATTGGAGTCATCAGTTTTCTCCAGATTTTTTCGAAAGTAGGGCAATCGATGGTTGCGAAACATGCTCGGGTGGACTTCTGATAGCTGGGTTGTATAACATGAAAACATTCTTTCCACCTTTGATCATGGTATTGTTAAGAGCTGTTTATTTCATCATATGATGCCCCATTCTAACTTTCATGTGCACGGAGTCCTCAGATCTTGGGCAGTCAGGGGCATTGCAGTGTTGCTACGCATACCATATCGTTGTTTCTCTTCAAGATCTCAATTTACAGCTCAATTATCAAGAGAGAAGTATTGACTTCATCATTAGGTTGGTCATCCCGTGCACTTGTTAAAGTGTAAAGGGTGCCGCCTGTCAACCCAATGTGCGCAGTTTGCAACCACTCTACATTTGCCGTAAAAGGAAATACGAAGAGAAACACCTTCTTCAGAGACAGCTTTCGGCTTTATTCTCTCTCTCGAATTACTTGCAATGTTCTATGGAGCCTCCATAACACCCAAAGTTGCACGTAGGTGAAAGTGAAGTACTTCTAGGCGGAGTTCTACGACGTGCTCAATACAACACCGCTTACCAGTACACTGCTCTCAAGCTCTTGTAAACGTCTTTCTGAAAAAAGATCTGCATAACAATATCATCCCATATTCAGCTTATCAATAGCGTTCCTAGTTGCCTTACATCACGTGCGCAATATTCGAGTCGCATCTAACGCTTAGTAGTAACACCGATAGAGACATCAACAGTCAGATTAATCTGAACTCCGGACGAATCTATCATGGATAGATCAAAACTTTTCCATTGTGATGTCTGTTCTCTGGACTGCACTCACAGAATACGAATAAAATGTGCCATTTGCACGGACTACGACCTTTGTGTGCCATGTTTTGCATCTGGCTCAGCTACCCTAGACCATAAGCCCTGGCATGACTATCAGGTTATCGAGCAAAATACGTACCCAATTTTTGAAGAATCTTGGGGAGCCGATGAGGAATTGCTATTGATTCAAGGTTGTGAAACCTTTGGTCTTGGTAATTGGCAAGATATCGCTGATCACATCGGTAATAGATCCAGAGAGGAAGTTGCACAGCACTATCAGGAAATCTATCTAGATTCCAGTGAGTACCCTCTTCCCGAAATGAACAAGGATTTCTCTCATATTCAACCCCAAGAATTCTTACAGAAAAGAAAAAGGCGCATGGAGGAAAGGAAGAATATGCCTTTACCACCTCCCAAACTCAAGCCTGCTGCATCAGTACCCTTGTGTCACGAAATTCAAGGTTACATGCCTGGTAGATTGGAGTTCGATCATGAGGCCGAAAACGAAGCAGAAGTTCCTATCAAAGATATGGTCTTTGATCCAGATGATTCAGCTGGTGATATCGAGCTCAAGCTCACGGCTTTGGATATTTACAACTTCAGGTTGACGACACGTGCAGAGAGAAAACGTGTTCTTATCGCCAATAACTTACTTGAATACCGTAAGAATATCTCGAACGATAAGAAGAAGTCGAAGGAAGAGAAGGAGTATTTGCGTAAGATAAACGCTTTTATTCGTGTGATGACACCAGAGGATTTCAATCAATTCTCTGAAGATATTCTTACCGAGCTACGATGCCGAATCAGGATCCAGCAACTCCAGAGTTGGCGAAGAAACGGTATCACCACCATGGAGGACGGAAGCAGGTTTGAAAAAGATAAACTAATAAGGCAAGCCCATTATCAGAGAATGGGCAACGGCTCTGGTCTTGCTGCAAGAAATGCCGCTGCTGCACTGGCTGTCAGCAACGGAACTCGCAAGTTGAACACCCCACAACCAGAATACAAGCCCAAGATCAACACTTCTAATCCCAGGGCACCACTCGATATTTCTCATGCTACAGACTTCGAGCTTCTTTCTCGTGAAGAAAAACAGCTTTGCTCTACACTCCGGATTCTACCAAAGCCATATCTTGCAATCAAGAATCAATTGATGAAAGAGGCGATCAAAAATAATGGCACGTTGAAAAAGAAAGATGCCAGACTGTTTTTGAAAATTGATGTTAACAAAGCATCCAAAATTTACGAATTTTTCGTTCAAATGGGCTGGTGTTCGCAAGGCTAGACATTACATCATTCAGCCAGACACGGTATCGAAGGGGCGCGAAATCCGTGTGCGTGAAGGAAAAAAAAGGTGACAACCGATCGAATGAGTACAGGTATTTCAAGCACGGGCAAGATATAAATTTTTCGTTTTAGCCAGCTCGGCCTTGGACAATGAAGTTGTTGATACCATTTTTGTTTGCGGCTACGGTGCTTGCGGAGAATGTTCCGAGCCAATTCTATCCCCTCAACAGAAAAGGTGAAATACCCACCATACAGCCTTACACCTTTGGTCAGGATGTCTTCATTGATTGCATAACCCGAAACATTGACAACGGAGAGCACAAATTTGATAGTAATGATCGTATTGTTTATGGAGCTTTTCCTGTTTGCAAGGAAAGTGGTAAACCACTTTCTTTTCATTACGGTGTTTCGGAAGACATCAATTGTACGATCAGCTTCACGGATGAACTTTATCATTTGTTCCAGTTATACATTCACGAGGATTCTCCTTTCAGTTGCAGAATTCCACTTAGCACCGAGGCAAACTCATTGGAACTGGGCGGGGCCTACATTCCATTGACCTTCAACTTCAGGGGAGAAATTCACGATTCTCATCTTGACATTGACAACCATATGAACCTCATTATCATGAAGCCTCCAACTAACCAGCCAGAGAGACAGACAGTCATTTCGGCGGTGGCTTGGTCTTCGGGTACTAATGCAACCCGTGTGGTTATAGGTGAAGATGTAACTCTTGAGATCGGAGTACGTTGGATTGACAATGTCAAACCTTCCGCTGGTAGAACAAAAGGGTTCAACAGCTTGCCTTTCGATGATGGTTTCTACAAACTTCCTATGAGCTCAGTGCCAATTAGCATGAAAGTGTTACTCTTCCTTTTTGTTGCCGTCGCCCTTGTAGCGTCGAGTATCTCTTGTGGAGGTGCGTCGATGAAGTATAAGAGACGCGGCTACAGAACAGTGGACACAGAGTCTGGTATTGCTAAGCAAGACTAGATGCAAGATGTATTATAGTATCTCCGTAATTGGAAACAAAATTATGTACAATTTTAGCGGCACTTTTGTATAATAGCTTTGAGAAGAGCTTCTGTTTTCTCTGATTTAGGCTCTTCAGAATTGACGAATTTTTCTGTCAAGTAACCAACGTATTTCTCGGAGAGTTCGGTCTTTCTTGTGCTATCCTTGATCTTCAGCTTGTATGCGGTGAACTTATTAACTGACAATTTCAACGCTTCTGCTAGGGAAGAGTCCAGCACCGACGTATTGCGAAGCGGCAATGTAATGTCTGTAAGCAAAGTTCTGATATCATCCTTATAGTTTGTTTGTAGATAGGACAAGACGTGGTAATATAAGTAATCTCTGTTGAGGGTTTCAAACTGAGCGAAAAGCTTGAGGAATTCTTCTGCAAACTCGAAAACCTTGTCTGTCTTGGAAGCCTCGCCAACTTCCTTGAGGAGTTCGGGAATGGCCAAGTCGAAGACTGTCAAAGCAATATCGCCCTTCAAGACCGGGTTGGTTTCTGGTGATCCCAACACATTCATATCGGCTTCTGGTAGAGAGGCTAATTCCAGCTTCAAATCGTCCTCCTCAACGTCAGCAAATGAAATTGTGTCAGCGTTTGTCTCGACTCCGTCATCTGGTGCATCCTCGATTCTCTTTGCTTGCTCTAAAGCTTGAGATTTCAAATCCTCCTCCTGTTTCTTCTCTGTAAGCAACCCCAAAACCTGGCGTCTCGCAAGCAATTTGGATACATATGTCAATTCGAATTGGGCATAGCTCACCCAAAGGCTTCTGGATTCTGGATTTAATCTTAAGGCTTTTTGGTATAATTCTCTAGCTCCCTTAGCGTTGGCGTTCGTTTCGAACTCGTACTTTGCTGCTGAAAGCCAGGCATCAACGTTTCTTGGTTGCAACAGCAAAAGCTTAGCATAAACTCTGTAAACCACCTTGATAGCATCCTTTTCTTTGACGAACTGAAGATACTTGGCCCAGATATCTAGATCACCGGAGAATCTCCTCACAGCTCTGTCGAAGACAAAAATCACTTTTCTGAAACCAGCCCAGTCGGAAATACTGGGATTCGTGTCCACATGATCAGTTTCTCTTAGCCTTGCAAATCTTTTTATCCTCAACTTCTCAAGGTTTATTTCGAAATCGGCGTATTTCAAAAAGTCTCTAGGTTTTGCTCCTCGACCTTGTATTCTGTGCTCGAAATCAGTCCTTCTTCTCATAATCATAGTGATCTCTTTTTGATCAAAGAGGCCCTTTCGTTTGAGATCTTCTAGCTCTGGAACAGACTGTTCCATGTAGAACCTTATTTTGGAGGACATAGTCGTTGTTTATGTCTTGAAATGTCTAGCGGTTCTTGATCGAAATCTCGATAATGCGATGAGAAGCTTGATGCGAAGAGCTAACTCTCAGACGCAAGATGGGTCACGTGAACACCATTATATAACATCTTTCATGCCAACCAATTCCAGGAGATAAAACATTGTCATTGTCAGGAAATTTACTAATCAAATGAAGCTATAAGCAGCTACTCGCCTTCGGGTTCATACTATGAATATTTGGCTGTGAGAAGGTTCTGTATGATAATCGCTGTCCGTACTCTTAGTCTCTTCGTGATTTATTGTTTGAATTTGTTTTCAAAAGTAAACATCTTGCAAGATTGTATCATTCTTTATTTTTTGAAGAAAAAGTGTTGAAAGTATAATTTAAGTGTGCTCGAAAATTCTATTTTTCCCTTCCGCAGCCATTTCGCAGCCATTTTGTTGCATAACGTCTTAGACATAAAATTGTTGACTGATCATGAAAGTGCCAATGGAGTGTTTACCTAAAACTGAATAATGAACAGATACTTTAGCAGAATAATAATTGTCAATATCCAAAGAATAAGAAGTATCATTCATTATTACCCCTGCTGGACGAATTCCTTCTCAGCTCCTCCTCAAAATGATAAGCTCTTCACTCAAGAAACAAAACAAAAAAAATACAATCATCCCTAAAAATTAGCATCTCCATGTAGATAAGCTAGAAAATAACATAAGACACCAAAACCAAAAGAAAAAAAAGACAAATGCTCCAGGAGGGGTTTGAACCCACGACCGTCGCGTTCCTCACACGACCGTGACTTAGGTATAACCTTTGTCGTAACACGGCTATAAGCACGAAGCGCTAACCACTGCGCCACTGGAGCATCTGCAACCAAATATGTACCGAGAATAAAATAAGTTCAGCAGTCTGAATACTTTTAAAGATGCGAGATTCACAATAGCTGATAACAATCTTTAGATTGAGCGTAATCGATTGGGCCGGCCGAAACTTCGAAAAACGCGCCCGGGGCCAAAATATTTGCATTTTTAGTTTTTAGATCCAGATGATCCGCTCTTTTTCTGACCAATTATCTTCAATTTTGGCCCATTTCCAATGAGAATGATATTACACCTTGAAATAGCTACTAGCTTGAAACTGTGCCTTATCGTGATACCCTTTGGCCAGGCTTCCGACTCTTCCACCTTGATCACCCTCTCGTGAGACACAATTGTATTTATCGACAAAGCCGAGACAAGCAACGTATTCTTCGAATCCTTTTCTCTTGCTTCCAGGCTCTAATGATTGGTACATGAAAGCATGACAATCACACACCGGCAAAACACTTACAGGTGCTTCCGTCAGTCATGATACGGCTAGCCATTGTTTGCAGCAAAGCACTAGGTTCGGGACTGGCTATAGGGAAGCGAGCAATAAACGTAAAGGTCAATTGATGGGAATCTCCATTTGCGTCCTCTTTCAACAACGGCGACGCCGATAAGTTCTCACTCCTTGATTGTGCAATTGCCATCATACACACAATCGAAATCTGCTTAGCGAGATTTCTTGTTCTAGGCTGGTGGAAAAATCGGTCTCGCCTGAGATTGATTTGTCTTCTGATTTGCCTCTAGATATTTAAACGGCTGAAGATGACGTAAGCGCGGGGCCGTCAACGGAGTTTTATCGCAGCCGTTAGAATCTCCGCCGTAATGTCAACAGCGACATGTGTCTATCGTCGATCAATATGAAAAGCTATGGATTTTAAAAACCTATATAAATACATTGTTTCTTATCTTTGTAGTAACAACCATGTTTTTGTACAAATTCTTTCGCGAGAGCTTCTTCGGTAGGACCTTGTATCACCTTTCTGGGAGAAGGGTCCTAAATTATGCCGAGGAGGACAAGAACTATGTGATTCCGGAAAAGTATCTTCAAGGCTTTGAACTCTCTTTTGAGACCGGCCTGAAAGGGCCCGACGGAAAATTGGACGGAGACTCCGATATTATTCTTGTTCAATTTGATGGTGATGACGATCCAGACAACCCTTACAATTGGCCCTTGAAATACAAGTCATTCTTCATTGCCCAGGTGATGATACTCACTACCTTTGTATATATGGCATCGGCTATCTACATCCCTGGCATTGAGGCTATAATGGAGGATATGGGAATTAGTCAGGTAGTGGCCACCCTACCTTTGACATTGTTTGTGTTTGGCTATGGAATCGGTCCAATGGTGTTTTCACCATTATCTGAAAACGCAAAGTATGGTCGGACATCCATATATATCATAACTTTGTTCATATTCTTCATTCTTCAGATCCCCACTGCGCTTGTTCACAACATTACGGGCTTGTGTATTTTGCGGTTCATTTCAGGTCTCTTTGCAAGTCCATGCTTGGCAACGGGCGCCGCATCAGTTGCAGATGTGGTCGCTTTGCCACACATCCCAATTGCGATTACCTTCTGGGCTCTTTCTTCAATTTGTGCCCCATCCGCAGGTCCCTTGTTCGGTGCTATTTTGACCGTCAAGGCTAACTATCATTGGTCTTTTTGGTTTGTTTGTATCACATCTGGAGTGTCTTTTGTCGTTCTTGGGGCAATGCTTCCAGAGTCTTACTCCAAAACCATATTATACAGAAAAGCGGAGCGGATCCGAGCATTAACAGGAAATCACAATATTTTAAGCGAGGGTCATATTGAAGTTTCTCAAACCACAAAGAGAGAGATGCTTATCGAGACACTCTGGCGTCCAATAGAGGTGATCATTTTCGAGCCTGTGGTTTTACTTATCAACGTGTACATCGGCTTGGTATATTCGGTCATGTATTTGTGGTTTGATGCTTTTCCAATCGTGTTCCTTGACACTAACGGTTTCACGCTAGTTGAGATGGGAGTTGCGTACATGTGCATATTGGTTGGTATCCTTGTTGCAGCCTCCATTTATGTGCCGTTGATATATCACAAATTTACAAAAAGGTTGCTTGATGGCAAGGAAGTTTTACCCGAAGTGTTCATTCCTATAGCAATAGTCGGAAGTGTGCTCATGCCAATCGGAGTCTTCATTTTCGGGTGGACAACAGCCCGGGATCTCCATTGGATCGGTCCGCTCATTGGCGCAGCGGTTTTTGCGGCAGGAGGTTTTCTCATATTTCAAACATTGTTCAATTATCTCAGTATGTCCTTTTGGAGATACATTGCTTCAGTGTTTGCCGGAAACGATTTGTTCAGGAGTGTAATGGCTGGTGCCTTTCCACTCTTTGGACGACCATTGTATCTCAATTTGAAGACTGCCAGATTTCCTGTTGGGTGGGGGTCTTCAGTAATAGGGTTTTTATGTGTGGCCATGATCGGAATCCCTGTTTTGTTCTATCTCAATGGCCCAAAGTTACGAGCTAGGTCCAAATACGCAGGTCCTGGACCTTGATTTTTAATAAATATTATTAGTTCCAATGGTAGCGCTAATGACAAATCAAGGCTTTAGTTTCGGGGCTGTCGGCTGTCCATAAATAGTTACCTATTCCGGCCCCTACGACAACTGCAAGCATGTACCAGCCCACATAGGTCATAAATATCAACATAAGCATAAAGGAATATCCGACCAAGAAGGCATACAAAAATGCCGCTTTAATTCTGATTGAAACGTCTCTGTTGTTCGTGGCTGTAGGCAGCGCTGGACGATGCCTCTTATGCCAATTGCTAGACCAGTGTCTGCAAAACTCATATAGCATTGAAAGCAAGACAATGGCTAAAAAGGTTCCGATAAAACCACCCAAGGTCTTAACATGCCACCACTTGTAGACGACACAAGTGTTCTTCCAGTCCCAGGTAAATATCATCTGAAGTTAGTATTTTTGGAAATGATGAGGATATATCGTACATACATTCATGTTGCACATCTCAGGCATTTCATGATCGGGCATATGGCCCATATCGTGGGAAGCGTGCAAGGAGTGGTCCATGATAAAGTAGATGTGGGGAGTCCAATCGATCGTATGATCTTGTGCGCACTTTAATTTAAGGATGATAAGATAAAGGCCCTCTGCAACGCGTTCACACCATTTCAAGAAGAAAGAGGACAGGCTTTTATAGTTGCTTTACCTCTTTTTGAGGTCATTCTCGAATTTGATTTATATCAAACGAAAGTGTTTCGGCTTTAAACTTTGATACTCGTTTTTAACTCGGTAACGGGCAGCCTTCTTACCAATAATAACTTGATGATGAGTCCTTTTATCAATTTCTAAGCTGCTGGAGAATCGAATAAAAAAAAAAAAAGAGATTAGAGACTTGTTTGTTGCAATTTGTTCTGAATTCCGTAATAATCGGATGGTTCGCTTATTTCGCAGCCATCTGCACAGGGTTGTACCGAGACCGCACAACTACAGACTAGCCCAGTGTATATTCATTCGATCCCATGAAACTTCTTAACAGGGAAGAGAGAGAAGCTCATGCTACACACGTTGCCTTTGAGGGTCTAAATGGCCTTCTTGTGGGTGGATTCCTTTCCTTAGGTGCCTTTGCATACCTCAAAATGAAGCATCCCGTGAAGTTTAAGCTGTTCAACACCTCCATCAAGGCTTGTATCTTGATTATGCCAACAGTCAGTTGCTGTGCATTCTATGCTGACCAGGGTTCCGTTCAATTTGATAAAGCGATGCGTTCAAGCCCTAAAAATGAAGAAATGATCATGAACCGTTTCAGAGAATGGAAGCGGAAGTCCACCCTCGGGAAGATAGGCGAATACGCGAGAGGCCACAAGCTTACAGTAGCAATGGGTACTTGGGCTGCTTCCATTGGTGGATATTACGGCTATCTCAAGCAGGATATTGGGATCAGTGAGACACAACGGATGATAAAAATGAGCAAATTCAATGTGCCTGCCTCGGCTATCATCCTCGCAGCTACCACTGCAGCAGTTTATGCTGACAAGGCTGGAGTGAAGTCGAAGAAGGAACTTTGAGGTTGATGGTTGAGATTTGTTGCCTGATCACCCTCTCGTCCGCACATCCCCAAGTATCACACACAATAGACTCGAAAGACCCACGATGATGAACATCTGGCAAACCATGTAAATAGAAAGCAAAATTTCGTCTTGATCTTTAATTTAGTTTGTATTTTGGTGTTTGGTGGGGCTAGTTTCCACGTGACTCACCTCGGACTACGATGCCATACAAAAGATTTTGCGTCTACTACTGAGAAGCTACACTTGCCAATGCCACCAAAAAGCAAGAAACAAAGGGAGGTAGTGCTGGACGAAAGGTTTCAGGCAATTGTCCTCACGGACTCTTTTGAAACCCGTTTTATGCCTTTGACATCCGTCAAACCAAGATGCCTTCTACCTTTAGTGAGCGTTCCATTGATCGAGTACACTTTGGAGTTCTTAGCCAGAGCTGGTGTCAACGAAGTCTACCTTATGTGCTCTTCCCATGCCGATCAAATTCAGCAATACATCGAAAACTCTAAGTGGGCGCTGCATTCACCATTTAAAGTTACTACAATCATGAGCTTGGAATCCAGATCCGTTGGTGATGCCATGAGAGACTTGGACAACAGAGGACTCATCACTGGTGATTTCTTGTTGGTTTCTGGTGATGTTGTTACCAACATCGACTTTGAAAAGGTTTTGGCCTTCCACAAGCAGAGGAAGCTGGTAGACAAAGAACATATTGTGTCTATGGTGCTCACCTCAGCCAGCCCATTGCATAGGACTAGATCCCACGTCGATCCATCGGTGTTTATATTGGACAATCAGTCCAATCGCTGCTACTACTACCAGGATATTCCCCAGCTGGTGGTAAGAAGAGCAGCATCAATATTGATCCAGAGCTTTTGGAGGACATCGAGAATGATTTTGTTGTACGCAATGATTTGATCGACTGTCACGTCGACATCTGTTCTCCCCATGTTCCTCAGATTTTCCAGGAGAATTTTGATTATCAAACTCTTAGAAGTGATTTTGTGAAGGGAGTTTTGACTTCTGACTTGTTGAAGAAGACTATTTATGCATACATCGCCGAGGGCGCTGAGTACGCTGCTCGTGTGGAATCCTGGGACACTTACGACGCCATCTCTCAGGATGTTTTGGCACGTTGGTCCTACCCACTTGTGCCTGACATGAATTTGATTGGCCTGTCTTACAAGTACGAGTTTAATCACATCTACAAAGAAGACAAGGTTGTGTTGGCACAGTCTTGTAGAGTCGGAAACAGTACGTCTATTGGTGCCAACACTAGTGTCGGCGCTCATACTGCTATTGAGAAATCTTCAATTGGTCGCAACTGTCAAATTGGTGCTAACGTCACCATTAGCAATTCATACATTTGGGACAATGCTGTGATCGGGGATGGTGCCACGATAAACAACGCTATAGTGGCGAGTGAAAGCACCATCAAACATGGTGCTGAGATCCGGAAAGGCGTTGTCATTGGTTACAACGTGACTGTTGGCGCTGGAAAAGTCATCTCAGCTAACACCAGACTTGTTGACAAGCCTGTCCAAAAAGAATTTGGTAGCAGCGCTTTTGAGCTGGACAACGAAGACGACGACAGTCATGAGGATGACATTGCAGGAAACGCAAATGATGCGGACATAGTTGGTGAGGATGGTGAAGGTGTGATGTACATGTCAGATCGTGAGCTTGATGACGAGTCCGAACTGGAAAGCGCCTCACTCAACAACAGCAGTCTCATCTATCAAATGAGTTATCTCAATGTCTCGGATGACTCAATTGCATCAATCACGAAGAAAAAGATCAAGAGACATGCTCGTCACAACTCGAGGAGCAGCAGAAGGATGTCTGCGACATCTATTCTCTCCACAGACTATGAGTTTGAGGAAGAAGAACAAGAGGATTTCAACAAAGAGGCCGTTGCCACCGTTGAGAGGGCCATGGAAAATAATCACGACTTGGATACAGCACTTCTTGAGCTCAATACATTGAGAATGTCGATGAATGTCACCTACCACGAGGTGCGTCAAGCTACAGTCCTGGCGATGGTAAAGAGAATTGTTCACTTTGTGTCCACGGATACTCTTAACGTTAAGGAGGCTGCGGCCAAGATATTCAACGACTGGGGTGCACTTTTCAAAAGACAAGTTTTTACTCAGGAGGAACAGCAAGACCTCGCGCAAATTATCCAAGAGACGTGTGCTAACGTCGATCAGGAGTACAATCAAGTAGTATTGTTCATTGCGCTTCGGCAACTCTACGAGAAGGACATCATTGAGGAGGACAACATATTGAAGTGGTGGGAGTCAGAGGCATCGTCCGAGAGCGAGGTTTTGAGGCAGGTGCGTGGCTTGACGGCGCAGTTTGTCGAATGGTTGCAAGATGCTGAAGAGGAGAGTGAGGAGGAAAGCGATTAAACGCGAGAAAAAGGGCTGTGTCAGGATGGGATCATGGCACAGATATGGCGAGAAACCCCATTTACCCGAGGATGGAGTAGTAGTCGCATCGCCTAGACAAAAAATACGAAAGGAAGTATCGCCATGTGCAAGACCAGCAGATAAGCCGATGAAGTGATCGATAGTGTTGTTGACAAATTACGGGATTCTTCTAAGAATTTAGTACCCTTATTGAAGAGACTATAACATCTTCGGCAAAAGGTGCTTTACCAGCAGCGCAAAATCCAATATTGCACGCGGTAAGAACGCTCCATGGACTGATGGCACAGGCGCGCATAGCATCGCTTATACGACGTGGTGCCATTTACATAAATTCTCACAGCCATCTCCATAGAATATATAAACCAGTGTTGTCTCGACCAAAAGAGACCGTACTGTTCAAGAAACACATTTACATAAAACTAGATGTCTTACGACGCCATCGTTATCGGAGCCGGCGTGGTTGGACCATGTATCGCCACAGCGTTAGCGAGACAAGGAAGAAAAGTGCTCATTATTGAGCGAGACTGGAGCGAGCCAGACCGTATCGTTGGTGAATTAATGCAGCCAGCCGGTCTCAAGGCTTTGAAGGAGCTCGGTATGATTCAGGCTGTCAACGGTATCGATGCAGTGTACGTGGACGGTTACTACATCAAGTACCACGACAACACGATCCAGATCCAGTACCCAGACAAGTACGACTGTGACAAGATGAACCCTGTGAAGCCAGTACCAGACTGTGTATTTGGTGACAACGACAAGTACGTCGAAAACGACCCGGCCATTATCTCAGAGGACTGGGACCAAAATGAGAATGTGCGTGGACTAGGGTTTAGCAACGGCAGATTTTTAACCAATCTTCGAAAGATAGTGAGAGCCGAGGAAAACGTCGACTGGATCGAGGGCTCTGCTACGGAGGTTGTGAGAGATAAGGAGAACCCTGACTGGGTTAGAGGTGTGAAGGTGAAGAGTCTCAAAGGAGACTTCACGACTTACGAGGCCAAGATGACTTTTGCATGCGACGGTATCTACTCTAAGTTCCGTAAGGAGCACTCAAAGACTAATGTTCCTACTGTTGGATCCTACTTTGTGGGTTTGCAATTACAAGACGCTAAGCTTCCTGCTCCTCACCACGGCCACGTCATTTTAGGTGATCATGCTCCTGTGCTCATTTACCAAACCACCCCTAGAGAAACGAGAGTCTTGTGTGCTTATCGCTCCACCAAGCCACCTTCGGCTGCAAACGATACTTTCTACAGGTACTTGGAACAGGAGGTTTTACCTTGTTTGCCTGAGGAGCTCAAACCAAGCTTTGAGCATGCCATGGCCGGACGCAAGTTCAGGCCAATGCCAAACCAGTACTTGACCGCACTGAGGCAAGGTAGCCGCAACAAGGGCTTCATCATGATTGGCGACTCGTTAAACATGAGACACCCTCTCACTGGAGGTGGTATGACCGTTGGTTTGAATGACGCCGTATTGCTCATGAAGCTCTTGCACCCAAAACAGGTGCCTGAGTTGGACGACTACGATTTGGTTTCGAAAAAATTGCGTCAATTCCACAGCAAAAGAAAGCGCCTTGATGCCGTGGTCAACACGCTTTCAATTGCTTTGTACACATTGTTTGCCGCCGACAGCCGGCCTCTCAAGATCTTGCAAGACGGTTGCTTCAAGTATTTCTTGCGCGGTGGAGACTGTGTCAAGGGCCCTGTCGGTTTGCTTTCAGGCATGCTTCCCTTCCCCATGTTGTTGTTCAACCACTTTTTCTCTGTTGCATTCTACTCTATCTACTGCAACTACTGCGAGCGTGGATTTGCTGGGTTCCCCGTGGCCTTGTACGAGTCTTTTGAGGTGCTTTTTACAGCCGTCGTGTTGTTCACACCATACCTTTGGCAGGAGCTTGTGAATTAGACTTCAGTTTGGGAAGCCTTTTTGAAATGAAATAGACAGTTTGTTTTTGGTCGCTCGTTACTGTCAGTCATGTTAATAGCCATCAACCTTTAATCGATGAACGAACCTTGTTTTTCCTGAGAGACCAGCGTAGTGATGCAAACTGACGCACAAATTCCCAAGACAATTGAAACCTTGACGAAATTCCATTAGACCATCTTACAACGTTAATGAAATTGGAGACGTTAATGAAATTAGAGACGTTAATGAAATGGAGACGTTAATGAAACGGAGAAGTTAATGAAATGGAGACGTTAATGAAATGGAGACGTTAATGAAATGGAGACGTTAATGAAATGGAGACGTTAATGAAATGGAGACGTTAATGAAATTGGAGTTCTCGCTTACAGATGCAAACAAGTTTCACAATGTTTAGTTTGCTGCGACTGAGAGCATATCTCAGTGATGCGTCTGAAGGTTCTCGTTAATGTCGCTGCAAGCATACATACCACATGTCATCCTACTCCTAATGTATGGAACACTCAAGTACGTGATTGCGGAAACAAAAATGTCTTTAAGACTTCAAAATCAATTATGAAACTTAAATTCAATGAAAGTCTGACCAAAATATCATCATCAACACATCAACCGGAAACACATCCAAATACCCTCAAAAATAGCTGCATTTCGCTAAATGTGCCTGGATTTTGCAGCATTTGCTCAGCGTGAATGCACGCCCGATACAGCCGCTACCAGAGCGTTCCTGAGCAAAACAGCCCGCCTTTTTTCCTCCCCCTTATCCTCCTTCAGCCACGTTCTCGCTGCAGAGTTGCAAAGGCCTGCCATAGACCTGCACACTGGCCCGTAATCATCGTGGGTCAGAAAGCTCACTCTCAGATAATCTACACATCAATGTCGGACGCTCCTCTTTTGGGTAGACGTCCAGCCACGCGTACCAGCTTCAAAGATGCTGCAGTGTTCACGTTGAAACTGACATTGACGTCGTCTCCTGTCAATTACCTTCTTTTGTTTGTGCCTTTGGGCCTTATCGCAGGCGCCTTGGAGTGGAGTTCGAATGCCGTGTTTTGGCTCAACTTTCTTGCTATTATGCCCTTGGCCTCAGTGTTGGCGTATGCCACCGAAGAATTGGCCGAGCACACTGGTGAGACCATTGGCGGTTTGTTGAACGCCACTTTTGGTAACGCTGTGGAGTTGATCGTTTCCATTATTGCCTTACTCAACGGCCAGGTGAGAATCGTCCAGGCCTCCATGCTAGGATCCATCTTATCCAACTCCTTGCTTGTTTTGGGCTGCTGCTTCATTGCAGGCGGAATCACACGCGTCCAGCAGACGTTCAACCAGACCGTGGCTCAGACCATGTCTTCCTTGATGGCGTTGGCTACGGCGGGTCTTCTCATCCCTGCTGCCTTCCACGCCTCTGTGCCCTCAGAGGGTAAGCTGAAATTCCCCGACCCAGACTCGGAGGCCGATTTGAAGATCTTGAGTCTTTCCCGTGGTGTCGCTATCATCTTGCTCGTGCTTTACATCTTGTACTTGGTGTTCCAGTTGCGCACCCACAAGGCTCTCTTTGAAGAGCAGTCTCAAGAGGACGATGGAATCATCACCCTGAGCGTGCCACCTGAGGGCACTGTCACCAAGTCCGACCTGGAGCACTTGACCATCGCTGGCTCGCTTTCAGTGCTTGTGGTCGCCACGGTGCTTGTTTCTTTCTCTGCCGACCTTTTGGTGGGCTCAATTGACGATATCGTGGAGCTGCTGGGTCTTTCCAAGACATTTATTGGTTTGATTGTGATCCCGATCGTTGGAAATGCTGCTGAACACGCCACAGCTGTGATTGTGGCCATGAAGGACAAGATGGACTTGGCCATCGGTGTCGCCGTGGGCCTGTCGTTGCAAATTGCCCTTTTTGTGACACCTGCAATGGTGATCATTGGTTGGATCGTGGATGTGCCCATGTCGTTGTACTTTTCTACATTTGAGACTGCAGTGATGTTCGTGTCGGTATTCATCACCAACTTGGTGATTCTTGACGGAGAGTCCAACTGGTTGGAGGGAGCAATGCTTTTGAGTACTTACTTTGTCATTGCCCTCGCCTTTTTCTTCTACCCTGATCACGCCTGAGGCAGCACTGAGAAACATCTCATGCTGCTACCGCATTCGGCACCATTCGGCACCGTGGAGCATTCTTGCAGCCGCAGAGAATGACAGCGTCGGACGCATCTGGAGCGTCGTCTAAATAAAAACACCGTGTTTGAGGCGATGTAGAAACCGTTATCTAAACGTACAGTCTCTATTTTCAACTAAATTTAGGCTCCCAAAAGCACATCCAGCGCCTGGCCCATTGTCTCATACCAGAACCACCGCAGATCCTCTTGTGGCCACCCTACTTTGAGTCGACAATTACATCTAATTAATCTTGCGCTTCATTATTACAAAAACAAAGCGCCCTCACTCCTTATCTTTCGAATCCATGTATTTTGTTTGGATTTCATTTGTTGTACTATTACCGATTGTCTTGCACTTCCACATCTCATTTTCGGTTACAGGTTTCCCGGTTCGCTCCTCATTTTCTCCCCTTCGGGCCAATTTGCGCATCGCACCGCGCTACCGATTTGCAACCACCAAGCCCACACCCCTTACCACTTGCTGGCGACAACCAGGAATTTAGAGAAAAAAAAAAATGAAGAGATTAAATTCAGAATCGAGGAACTGCCCAAGTTTATATCTTCAACTTATCAAATCCGTGCACCAGGGGTGTTTTGGCCATGTCCCTGCCGCGTGCCTGTTTCCAGCGCGTCTCTCCTGGGCGCACGAAACACGCTGAGAATGGCTGCGAAACCGTCGAGGTACAGATATGCGGCGGTGCCTAAGTGGGAAATAAAAGTGACAATGCCCCCAAGCTAAATACCCAGGCAGACCCTCACTTACATCTTTTCAAAACTTCACCCTTTTCCTCCTCCAATGTCCGACTACGAAGCACTCAAGATCTTCTCCAGACAGCCTGTGTCCATGGAAATGGTGGAGTTTTTGGCTGCCACCACCTGCTCTGTGATCCAGGTCAGACCTGTGGTGTCCCAGAAATCCACCCAGGGTGAAATGGTGGTGACCCCCGTGGCCAAGGAGGCCGTGCCCTTGACACGTTTCATCTCTCGCTTGATTGAGTACCTGAACGTCCAGACCCCTACGCTTATGGCTGCATTGGTATACTTGAACAGACTTAGAAATGCCTTGCCGGGCAATGCCGTGGGTATCGAAACCACCCGCCACAGAATCTTTTTGGCGTCTCTCATTTTGAGCGCAAAGCTGCTTAACGACTCCAGTCCCTTGAACAAACACTGGACAAAGTACACTGACGGCCTCTTGTCGAACAAAGACGTTAACTCGGCAGAGCGCGAGCTCATTGGTATCTTGAAGTGGAACTTGCGTGTTGACGAGAAGGAACTCGTTGCTGCTTTGCAACCATTCCTCACGAGAATCAAAAAGGACATCCAGAGAAAGCACGAGCTCGAGAGCAGCGCCAAGTCAGAGTACTACCGCATGTCGAGCTTTTACTCCAGCAACCTGCTTGCCCTGTCCCGCCTGCTGTCGAAGAACTCGCTCTTCTCTGCTTCTAACTATTCGCTTAAAAGCGCCACCTCTTGTTCCAGCATTCCAGAGGACCTAGGGCCTTCCAGAATGCCTTTGAGCGCCAGACTGTCCACGACACTCAACCAGATGAACAAGAACAATTTCTACAAAACCTCCGACACCTCCCGCCAGGGCGGTCTCTTGCCCTCCGCTGTTGTCTAGACAACGACCCTTAATTTGCATTTGCCTTCACTTCTTGACTACTTTATTTGGGATGCTTTTGATACCTTTTAATTCACTCAGAGGGCCTCTGAATATACACATACAATAACGATTTCACACTCGTAGCCTACACAGTTCTTCGTAGTACTATCATGCGTTCTATAAACATTATTAGTGCTGGTGAGGGTCCTCCTTTGGTGGGTCAGGCGTCACCGTGATCATGGTGTCGATTCTCAAGATGGAGATACATGCCTCCAAAGCAGACTTCAACGACCTGATCTTCGACACTGTAGGCTCCAAGACACCGTGTAGCGTCTCGTTGACGATCTTACCGTTGATCAAGTCCAAACCGTAGTTCTTGTACTTTTTCCTCTTGACATCAGTTGGCAACGCCGTCTGGGAAGCAGCGTGGTATGTTCTTAATTTGGCAATCAAATCTGACGAATCCTTGGCGGCGTTCACCGCTAACGTCTTTGGAATAACTAATAGAGCATTAGCAAATTCAGCGATTGCGAGCTGTTCTCTGGAGCCCACAGTTGTGGCAAAGTTCTCCAAGTATATGTTCAAGGCAGCCTCCACTGCACCACCACCAGGGACGACGTTACCACCCTCCAAGGTTCTCTTCACGACACACAAGGAGTCGTGGATCGATCTTTCCATCTCATCCAAAGAGTATTCATTTGGACCACGCAAGATGATCGACGAGGATGAGTGTTGTTTGGTGCCCTTCACCAAGATACACTCGTCGTCACTGATTCTCGTTTGGACGACCTCTTCGGCTTGACCCAAGTAGGAGGATTCAAACGTTTCTTCACCCTCCAAGTTGGACAAGTTACTGACAAGTGTGGCACCGGTGGCACGAGCAATTCTGCGCAAGTCTTCCTTCTTACATCTTCTGACGGCAATGGCACCCACCTCGACGAACTCCTTCAAGCAGAGGTCATCAATACCCTTGGTGGTAAGCACAACGTTGGCACCAGCGTTGATGATTTTCTTGATTCTTTCAATGATAATACCGTATTCTCTCTTTCTGATTTCCTCCAACTGGTCTGGGTCCTCGATGTTGATTTGCACACCCATAGCCATACGAGCCTTCTGCAAGTTGATGTCCAAACAAGCAATACGGGCATTCTTGACCGATTTGTTCATAGCCTGAGAGGCAACAGTGCAGTTAAGAGCATAGCCGTTCACCAACATAGATTCAGTGGCAGACTTACCGTGAGCCTTCAAGATGTTGACGGCCTTGACGGGGTATTTCGTTTCACCCTTAGGAGAAGTAGTCTTAACAGCCATCATGGCGTCGACAACCATGTTACCAAAGAACTCGGAGTCGGCGCCGATAATCTTGGAAGACATAGAAGTTCTGGCGATGCTCACCAAGGTCTCTTTACCCAAGTCGTTCACCGACTGAGAGAGAACTTCATTAACGTAACGGATGGCTTCACGCAAGGCCAATCTATAACCTGTAATGATGGTAGTTGGGTGAACTTGGTAGCTCACAAGCTCACTGGCTCTCTTCAACAATTCGGATGCAAAGATAACAACGGAGGTGGTACCATCGCCCACTTCACGGTCTTGCTGCTGGGCCAAGTCGACCAAAATCTTACCAGCTGGATGTTGAACATCCAAAAGCGACAAGATAGTGGCACCATCGTTGGTAACAGTAACATCACCGATGTCATCCACAAGCATCTTGTCGAGACCAACGGGTCCCAAGGAGGATTTGACGACATTGGCGACAGAGAGTGCCGCCATGACATTTTGGTTTCTGATGTCGTCACCACTGACCTTCTCACCGCCCAAGAAGAGGGTATCTGAGCGAGCTGCCGAGTACATGATGATGGATGGTGTTGGTGAAGCTGGAGCGAAAAAGTGATTTGGTGATTTGGCGCGGGCACGACGTCCAAGACAACTGGCGACGAACGAAAAATCTAAAAGGATGTGGATTGAAGCGAAATTACGCGACAAAAAAGGTCAAATCTTGAAGTTATCGAGACTAGTCTCTCTAGTAATCGTGCTTTTGGGTGATAGATTCGGTGTTCGCGAGGTTTGATAGGAGAGGTGAAGATGGTCCCAGGGTGCTGAACACGGCCATACAAGCAGTGGAATTAGCATCATCAAACCTTTTTAACTCTTGACCAACATTCACCACTTTTCACTTTTAGCTTGCTGATTTAATCGATGATGTAGGTGGATGTTGTTGGGTGTTTGGTGCAACAGGTTGGCTGCGAAATTGGTTGTTTTATAGGATCATGGTGAGGCTCTAGTTGAAGACCATGCCGCTTGAATCAACTCGACACCACTTTTCATATTGGTAGAACTCTGCAACTTCAGCACCATGAACTACTCTTAAACTTACCCAGGGAAATTCAACTCGCTGTAAAAAAGAAGGCATCAAAGCTACAGCATTGTAATCCCTATACTAGAGAGCTGCTACTGAGATCATGGAGTTGGTACATCCAACCGAGATTTGCACTTTGCAGTATCATACCTTGACAAGACTTTTCAACAGCTCCTTTCTCCTGTCAGTGACAGCTGCAATCAGATCCTGATCAACCACAGTGCCTTCTGTAGATCTTCACAAGCATGAAGCACTGATTGTTAGGTACACCGTCAGAATGTCACAGGCAGTTCCATCACAGGCCGTTCCGAGTTTTCGAAACTTAGAGCTGGTTCCATCCATTTGTAATTGAACCAGCACCGGGTAATTGACGAATAAAATAACCGAAACCCTTCTAGTTGAATTATCAAGGAAGTTTTACCTAGTCTGTTCTACGTATATACTATGAATGCAATCGCGCACAGTGATCGCGAGATGCCCAGAAAACCCACACAGTGCATGAAAGAATGAGAGCTGAAGAACGAGCCAATCAAATGATAGAAGGCTTTTATTCAAAAACCGAAAAGCCATAAAGATCCGTGAATCGGTATCGCTCGCCAGTTGACTGCAAATTCACAGGCGGACGAGAAAAGCCTCCAAGCGTCCAGACCACCCACCATCAGCTCAGTACAAGTCCACAAGATGTACATTAAATTATCAAGACATCAAAAAGGCTGTGCAAACGTAAACAGCAATAGCTGTGTGATTAACTCCGGTCATTCTTCTCTATCCGGTTTTCTATTTATAGGTGGTGGCTGCGAAAAGTACCTCATCCGCATACGTCATTAAAACGGCCTCCTCAGAAACACCCTGGACGAATGAAATTCTCCTAACTACTCCACAATTTCTTGGCAGCCAGTGCCCCTTTTACCCCTGTCGCTTGCATGCGCCGACGCTTGTTTATTTGGGTTCCACATCAAAGCCTGCCTACGCGGTATGTGCCTCCATACCAGATGGCTTTGTCCCATAACCAATCATACCAAGCCGTGCCTCGCAAATACGCAAGAGCAGACTGATCCCGCTTGTGTTGCGTGTAACGTGGATGAAGTCACGGCACAAGGCTTAGACGTTCCTGCTTTGCTACGTATAAAGCCAGACCCTCTTCCTCTATGAAAGCGGCAGAAAATGAAGTTTTCTATTTTTGCTACTGCCGCTGCCGCTGCCCTGACTTTCCAGATCATGACAATGAGATCAGGAACGCCCTACCAGGGTGGCCGTCTCGGTTCCTCATCGGGGCTGGTTGTCTATAATGGAGGCAGTGAGATCAAGTTTGTTCTCAACGACGACGGTTCCTTGGCTGACAAGAACCTGGAGAAGTACCTCGCGGTGGAAGACGGCTGGTTTGTCTTTACCGACTCTCCCCAGAAGGACTTTTCCTTGGACGCTGACCGTTTGGCTTACAAGGATACTCCATCATTTGGCATCTGTCCAGACGAAGATGGAAAGATCCTGTTCAACGGTACCTGCGGCAACTACACTGGCGTTGCATTCCAGGCTGTGGGTAAGAAGTTCACTCTTGGCTACCACCCTGGAGGCGTTCAGTTGCCTTGGGACAAAGCAAGCTCTGCAAGCTCTGGATTTTCTACAGAGACCCCTCACACCACCATTGCTTAGACAGCTGATACACTTTTGACGGGTCATTTTGAGTGCGGCTTGTCAGATGGCAGGTACTAGGCCAAGGGCAAAAGAGCCCTCTACAAGCTTGGTGCTACTTCAAATACAACAAGGTTTTATCGCTGATTTTATGAACATCAGCTTTCTGTGACACAAGATACTGACAGCAATTTTGATAGCTGTCATGGTTGCAAATGGCTGCATACACCTGCACCAAAATATGCATGATGCCCGGGTAACCGAGGTCCACAAACTCAAATTCCCAGGCAAAAATCCCAGGATTCCCGTATACCCATAATATAAAGCTCATCATTTTCTCTCCCTTGCAGCCGCAAAATCGTAAGTCAATCAGTATATGCTCTGGCATCGGCTCGGTTCCTAAGCCGCCCCGCTTCTCTATCGCGGAAACTGCACGGAATCTTCTCGGTAATGAGCTCACGCACGGACTAACCACACTTTCTTTATGGGTTTTGCTAGGCTTCCTTTCCTGGCAGCGTACTATGCGTCAGCCTATGCCTTCAACGGTGATCTCTCTATTTTTGGGAAGTACGCCAACAATTTTAAGTCGGTTATGATGATCGTTGCTATCAAAAACGTGATGACTATGGATAAGAAGAGGTTCAGGACACTCAACTTCAAGCTGGCGGGCCATACACTCAAAAATGTCCAGTCAAACTACCCCAAAGCCACAAGCCAGCTTCCTGGGTACAACACGAAGTTTGATGCTACGTCCTATTGGCTTGTGAAGCAACCTGACATCGCGGAGGATGACACTATCTTCATCTACTGTCATGGAGGAGGCTTTTTCTCCCAACTAGGCCCTAACCAGGTAGAGGGACTCATCGAGAGCTACTTACTCTTGCCTCCAGAGAAGCAGAAGAAGTGTTCGATCTTGATTTTAGACTATGGCCTTACATGCGATGGCCACTCTATGCCCACGCAGCTAAACCAACTATACGAGACATACTATAGAGTTCTCAAGACCCACAGAAACGTTGGCTTGATTGGTGACTCCGCTGGCGGCAACATGGCTGTGTGTCTCACGCAGTTGTTGAAAGAAAAGGGAGCACCAAGCGAGGACTATCCTTTGAAGCTTATGGTGCTTTCGCCATGGCTCAACATATACCCTGATATAGAGTCGATTTCCGAGAAGTCTTCGATTCGTACCTGCTCTGACGGTGACATCATCCCGTTCCCCGAGTCTACTGAAGAAGAGAAGACGATGCTTTTTGGGAATGTGAACCGCAAGAGCTTGATATACTCACCCATGTCCAAGGAACCAGCACTGGAGAGTGACTGGCTGGATATCCCCACATTTAACGATCCCAATAGAAAAATCTTTATGCTCTGCGGAGAAAGCGAGACTCTACGCGACGAGTCGCTTTGGTGGGCCAAGTACGCTCTTGGCCTTGATTGGTACGGTCATACCTACTTAGACGAGAAGCTTGGGCCTGAGTTTTACACGTACGAAACGGATAATACCTGCGTTTACGTCGAGCCACAAGGCTTCCACATCAGCATGTTTCTTTTTGAGAAAAACTTGTTGAAAAAGATTGAGGCCAAAACTATCACTAGCGCAGACGATCTCACTGACGAGAGAAACTTTGGTCTCAAGCGTTTCACGCGCTTCCTCCAGAATGCCCTTTAAACCGGCTACTTCAATTCTAATTACCACCGGCTTGAAGCGTTTGTTAGACTGTACTTACAATTTTAGATTCTATTAACTACCAGTAACTTTGCGAGATATCAAGAAAACATCATGCGATTGTGCTCCGAAGCACCTCGCGCGAATTGCAGATTTCCCCAGCCTGACACAGTCGTGCAGCACCCACACGCATAAGCCCGCGCAACCAAAACAAACGAGTTACACCTCTTGTACACCCAATTGTGAATCGTTAAACGTGATGTTGTCCTCCAAATTCGGTGTATTGAGAGCTTTGGCTGCTCAAAGTGTTACAGCCCCATCGAGAAACTTTACAGTATCAGCCGTCGCGTTCGCTCAGAGAGGAAAGACCGACTCCGAGAAGAAGAAGGCTGCTAAGCAGGCTGAGAAGGCCAAACAGGCCAAATTGAAGGAGAAGGAGAAGGCTTTCAAGGAGAAGGCTCTTAAACCTCTCAGAAGTCTCTCGGGCCACCACGTTTACATCAAAGAAAAGACAAACCCAAGCAAGAAGCTTAGTGATGTTGCCGCTGAGTGGAAGACTCTCTCAGAGGGTGAGAAGGAGAGCTACAAGAGAAGAGCAGACGAAATCAACCAGAAACGTGCACAGATCTACCCACCCAAGCCTAAGCGTCCAATGCCTGGTTTTGCCTCTTACCTTAAGGAGAAGTACTACGACGGCGAGAGCCTGGCTGTTGTGCTCAAGGAATTGAGTAACCGCTGGAACCAATTGACCGCCGCCGAGAAGGCCGAGTGGTCGCCCGAGAAGACGGCTGTGGAGAAGTTCAAGACGGAGTTGGAGGCCTGGACGGAGAAGAGACTCAAGGCCGCCCGTGATCACGGATTGCCATGAGTGAAGGCGCTACGAAAATGTTCTTAGTAATCTAATTGTCTATATGATTATTGTAATGCTTTTTTGTGTACACCCACTCTCGTGAGCACTCTTCTGAGCTCCTCAGGGAGAATTGGTTTTGAAATGAAGTCTGTCATTCCGCAGTTAAGACACTTATCACGGTCTTCACCAGCGACATTTGCCGTCAATGCAACGATCTCTGGAAGTAAGTCAACGTGACCATTGATGATAAATGACTCCTTGAGCTCCATTGTCGCGGTGATACCATCCTTCCGTGGCATCTGGATGTCCATGAAAATGACATCGTACTTACCGCCCGCTTTCAACATGGCCTCACACTTTTCTAGAACTTCCACACCATCTTTTGCGTGGTCGGCAACATATCCTAGCTTTTTCAAATGCTGCAGGGCTACCCTCAAATTGATAGCATTGTCCTCGGCGAGTAAGATCTTCAATGGATATGTATCACCCAATATAGCTGTTGAACCGGTTCCTTGCTGCTTGGGCTTCTTCAACAGTGCTGGATCCTCATAACTTTCACGTAAAAGCTCCTCCACTCTCGATCTTCTCATTGGTGCAAAGAGAATCGAACTGAGTCCAATCTCTGGCAAGTTTATGTGAGACACTGGGGTACCAAACTCTGTGATGAGGTGAATCTGCGTGTCTGAGCCCTTGAGCTCCTCGATTTTCTTGCTTAAATCACTCAAGAACTGATCACCAACGAAGATAACGTCAAACTTTTGTTTCTGATTCACGAAGGCCTCGGGCTTACTGAAAATCAGTACCTTGGCATTGAGAAACTCAAGCTGTTGTGCAAAGGCTTCTCGTCTGAAACAATCTTCGAGAACAAGAGCAACATTTCGAGGCTTCACGTCCAGCTTCTCGATATATTTGCTCACCTCAAAAGGACAAGTGAAATAGAAGGTGGTTCCAACTCCCTCAACACTATCGAAATGAATGTTACCGTTCATAATGTCAACCAACTTTTTAGAAATAGCAAGACCAAGACCTGAGCCGCCATGAACACGACGAGAGGAACCGTCGACCTGAGAGAAAGCTCCAAATACCTTCGACTTCGAATTGGCAGGAATACCGATACCGGTATCCTCAACAGTAAGCTTGAGATCGTATCTCTTGTCACCCATGTGTTTAGCTTCCAAAATGATTTTGATGTGACCTTCCATTGTGAACTTCACGGCGTTACCAACCAAATTGATAATGATTTGACGGACTCTTGTACTGTCACCCATGACTTCGAGAATACCAGGGCAATGATTGTAGAAGACGATTTCAAGATTCTCATTGTAGGTCTGTTCACTCGTCACTTGGATGGCACTCTCAACACATGAATTGAGATCAAATGGAGCGTGGTCTAAATTAAATGACCCGTGCTCGATTTTGCTGAACGCAAGAATGCCATCGATGATACTGAGAGTGACCAAGGCAGAACTCTTAATTGTCTCAACATATTCCCTTTGAGCGTCGGTCAAGGATGTGTCCAATAAAAAAAGGGAGCAAGCAAAAAGAGAATTAAACGGAGTTCTGATCTCATGAGACATGTTCGCCAAAAAGCTCGCCTTTTCAGCCGTGGCGTCTTCAGCAGCCTTCTTTGCAAGTTCCATCTGGGAGTAGACCAATGACTTTCCAAAGGAAACTGCCGCTTGGGAACAAAGCAAGTCTATCAAATCAATCTTTCTAGAATGGAAATGTGGTGAGCTCTGAGGCACTTCGTTCGGCAATGTATGTCTCTCCAAGTAAATCACGCCGTAAACATTCGTACTCTTGATTGGAATACAGATTGCTGATGAACATGGGTTGTGCAAGTAGTAGTGATCGGATCCAAACTTGGAGTCAAATAAAGCGGGGTTGTCATCTTTATTGATAGCTTCACCCATAAGCAAACAGTGAACCACAAGTGAGTAGGGTACCAAGTCAGTCCTGAAACCCAATGGCTCATCATCAAACTTGTACATATTATTCAACGTACCAATGGCTTTGATGCTTGGCTCAGACTGATTGAGATTGAGAACAACAGCTCCATAGTCAACATTCGAGAAAAGAAGAGCGCTTTCAAGCAAACTGGTTACAATTGAGTCAATGTCGGACGATTCCGAAATAGTCAAACAGAGCTTGATGGCTTTAGTCAACTCCGACTGGGTAGGCAAGTCATCTTGAGGACCTCTAAGTAGCATGTTAGGCTCTTGGTTGTTACTAACACTGGTGTTACTCTCCTGCCTAGGAAGCTTGGGGCAGAGCTAGCAACATACTTGCTCTCAGCAAAGATATGTTGGAGCTGGTTGTTAAGTGAGTGTGGAACTCGTGGGCTGGGTTGTTGGTTGTCACTGAGAATCGAAACACCTGCCCAGTTGAAGCTATCAAAGACAGAACTGAACTCCCTTTGCATCATATCAACCTGCCTTTCAGCTTTAAGAGTTGCAGCAATGGACAATGCACTTTGAGCGTAATATGAGATTCTCCTCTTGCTCTCTGAAGTCTTCTTTAGCCATTTGGCACACAAGTAATTCGCCAAGCACGCCTCAATCCAACGAGTGGCTCTGTTTGCAGTTTCAATTGCCACCTCAAAATTGTCAAGAACAGTCAAAGATGTTTTGGACAGTTGAGCGCAGCTGTAACAAGCATGAAGAATCGCCAGCTTACTTTCAAAGTTTGGTGGACAGATATCAGCCCACAAGTCATACATCTTCATGATTTTAGCAGCCAAAGGCAAAGAGGCCGTGTTGGGCATCGAGTCAGAACCCAAGCACAACGAGACAGCAGCGTAAAAATAGAACTCAAGATGGAATATCGAGATTGGTAATCTTCTCAGCACATGATAGCATCTATCAAGAACAATTTCAGCTGCCTCCTTATACCTGGACTCGGAGGTTAACCAGATCACAGCGTTTGCAAGATACACAAATTCCAAGTCAGGTCTTTGTTGGGAAGCAATCCTTGGATATGATTCCTTGTAAGTGTCGTATGCGACATCTTGAGTCCACAAACCAAGAGCACTCTGGGAGATGTTGTCGTCCTCTTCATTAGCAAATCTCATCAGCTTCCTAAACGTTGAAGGATGAGTCGAGTTCGTCAAAAAGGAAAGGAGAAAGTTGGAAGCAGTGAAAAACAATGTCATGCAAGAAGAACTTGGTTTCATAAGAGAGGCGTCTTGAGTGTTGAAGCCTTCGGAAAACTTGACAAGCTCGGTGGTTGTGTGCTTGAAAGAGGCCATTAAATTGACAAAAGTCTCGTAGATTTGACTGGTAAGATCGGTACTCGAACCGCCATAATTGTTCACCAAAGTCAAAGCAACATCACAAAGTTCGATAGCCTTAGCGGTATTATTCCTAACATTTGGCTGAACGAAGTAGTTTGCAAGATGAATTAATGGAATGGCACAAGTGGCAGTCACACCATGGGTGTTCATGAGACGAATCAACTGAGACAAAAGGGCCATTCTCAAATGGGACATCCCAAGATGTAAGATGGACCCATTGCATCCAGAATCAAATCAACGATAAATGAGAATCTCAGATTGTTGGAAGGCTTGAGTTGGCGCATGGCCCTGATATCCGCAATGGAAAGTGGGGCTTGATTGATAAATTTTTCTGCAATCTCTTCACATTTCTGAGGATCTCCTGAAACTTCCACTCCAAAAGACTCAAGACCTCTAAGAATTGCTCTCATGCCTCTTCGGTACTGTTTTGTATGGAACAAGCACTTGACCTTGAGATACAAAAAGCTTGAACTGTCTGATCCGTATCTTTCTTCAGCTTGCTGTATCAAATTCGTGCACTCAGTGAATTTTCCCAAATGGAAGTTGATTTGACAAACGGTGAGCAAGTTTCGAAGACGGCTTCTTCTGTCATGTGGAGCGATGTATCTTGCTGAGAATTCGAAAAAGTTTCGGGCCAATTGAAGATTGGATGTTGCAAGTGCATATCTTCCAGCAGTAACAAACGTCTCGTAATAATTCTCCAGATTCTTGTCATTTGCATCTGGCTCGGCGAGATATAAGTGGAAAGCCAGGATCAAATTGCTTGTGATATCAACGTTCACGTCTCTAGACAATTTCTTCTGATACCTTAGACCACATAATTTGTTGTGATTTCGCCATTCATTCGATTTTTCCAATTCAGACAAGAAGTATATCTGGATTGCGTCGTGATCAAAGTGATACTTTGCTTTTGTAGCCATTTCCCAAATCATCGAGTCACTGAAATCGAATGGGAAGTCCTGATTGCCAACGAGATGGAATGGGATTTTGTAAAATATACCAGATGGGACAAGAATTCTAGTTTCCAAACATTCAGACAATAGTTCACTCACTTCGCTGACATCCTTCCCAGTAACGATCATGAGGTCTGCAAAGCTGAAATAACCATTCGAAGCGATTATTGCGGCAAACTTAAGAAGCTCTTTTGATTCTTCGCTAATTGCTATGTCGAGATACTCTTTGACTATGTCAGTCATAGGCACAGGAAGATCCTTGTTGTTTAATAAACGTTGCATCAAATCAAGATTAACTCCGTCATCGTCAGCTCGTAAATGGAGATTCCTCATGAGATAGTTATACCTGAGAAACACACCATCTGTAGCTTTATAAAGTGTTGATACAAAATCGTCCTTTTCTGTTGGCAATGACCTCCCTGGTCCAAGATTGTTCTCGCTAATAAAATCATTATAGTGAGCTTCACTTGGGGTTTCCAACGAATACTCACTAAGCTTGCACAGTGGGAGGTCTAAAATAGACACAATTTCATCATACTCAACGATAGCCTTGTCTTTCTCACAAGACGGTTCTCCAGTTCGGTAGCCACAAATAACTTTGATGTTTAGAGGTTCCTCGTTCAATGTGCAAAAGCTAGAGACCTCCTTCAAAAAGCCAACTTCTTCAGGGTGGGCCCATTGAATATCATCCAACACAAGGGTGACACCGTTTGGCCCTATTAAGGCCCAGACACGCTTGATGATATACTTAAGCTTCATCTCAATATTGAGAGAATGCTGATCGAATCCAGGGAGGTTGCTAAGTTTTGAGCTGCTATCGTCAGATATCTGCTCGCTCGAGTCTGTCTCGGTGCCAGCATCAATAGCTCCTTCAGCCTCTGCCTGAGGTCTGTATGTTCTGATGCTTTGGTATCTGGGACCCAAAAGTTGCTGTAGCTCAGGAATGACAGGAAAAAGCATGCTGAGATCAGTATCGATTTCCACGGTGAATTTGTGTCTCCATTCGGCAATATTCTCCTTCGAAGACGCCAAAATTTGCTTCACAATACTCTGAATGGCAGAGATGCCGGACTTGTAAGGAGTGACGTTGATATCAGAGCAGTTGTAGGACCATGAAATGCAGAAATTGTAATTGGAGACCGCAACGTTTTTCAACTCTTGGAGCAAAGTTGTTTTGCCGACACCGCTGTCACCAGACAAGAGGAGAAAATGAATTCCCTCGTGCTTTTCTTTGAATGCCGTGAAGACCTGTTCCCTCCAAGGGGTTTCCTTCAACTTGCTGATTGTGCTGTGAAGCAACGGAAGCGTGTTGCGATCCTTGTGAAGCTCTGTATTATCATGAATGAGAGGAGCTTCTTGCTCGCCCTCCTGGCGTTCCATATTGTACAATCTCAAGTAATCGTTACGGACTTCCTTCAAATCGCTGATCAAAGCGTGGGCATTGTTGTATCTGTCAGCTGGATCCTTTTCCAAACACCTCATAATGATGTCGTTCAAATCTTCACTGATCCATCCCTGGCCCAAGATCAGTGGGGGAATGGCACGCTGGGAAATGTGCATCTTTCTGAGTCTCACAGGGTTGTCGGACTGGAACGGAAGGCATCCGACGATCAACTCGTAAAGGACAATACCCGCAGAGTAGAAGTCAGTTCTGTAATCAACCAAGCAGGTGGTTTCACCAGAGTTTTCAGGCGACATGTAAGGCAAATAGTCGGGAATGTCTGCGATGTTGCTCTTTCTATAACTGGAGGTCGAGTCTTCAACGCAAATGCTGAATGCAAAGTCCCAGCCCGTTAACACCACAGAGTGCTCTTTGGGATCCAAGTCGTCAGGTAAGCTGCAAGCTCGCAAGATAGCAGTACTGGTGATACCATTGTGGACCACTCCCAACTCGTGACAAACGGAAAGGGTGGTGAAAAGAGCGATCATGTCACTCAAAATCTTGATAATGGTGAGCCTGTCCTTTGGCTGCTGGGAGACCCTGTTTGCCAAGTCGTCGAAAACGCCGGTTCCCAAATTATTTCTCGTGATGAAGCGATTCAGAGAATTTTCGCCGATCGACATCTCCGAAAGCATAGAGCGTATACTACCGCCATTCAAGGAGGAGTTATCGCTTCCGGCCTTTTCAGGGATCTTGTCGGCGTGAAATTCCTTGATGGTTCTGTAGTCATGATTTGGGTAGACGAATCCGATACGACGTTGAAATAAGTCCTCATTATCCAAGTGGATATTGAAGACATCTATCGGATACAAAATACCGGGTAGATTGGTCGGTAGAGTGACTGGGGTGCGTAGGTTCAAGCGAGACTCAGCACTACTCAAGTTATATCGACCTAAAGGAACAAACTTATTGCCAGCGAGGTGGTTACACCACGGTCTATGATGCTTGGGTGGATTTTCACCCGATGTGAGGTACCACTCGTTCAAGAAGCGAGCCACAGGGACGGATTCCACGAAATTCGGCAGGAGACGAATGATGCACAGAGAGTCATCGGCATCGTCGGAGGCGTAAAACAAAAGCAGGGTGGAGGATGGCAGAGAAAGCTGGGACGTCAAGGTGTATCCAGGGACAATGTTCGGGTGACCTGGAGGTAGTCGGCGGTTCTATTCTCACGAGGCAGTCTCAGACCACGATCGTTCAAGTACTCAGACTGGCCCTGGGTGAAGTTGATGTCGTTGACATAGGTTCGGTAAGCCAACATCTGCTCTTTGGTTACCAAACGCTTGCGCTTCGGTTGCTCCGAAGAAGGCGATTGGAAATACTCCTTGGCGGTGTTGGAAGAAGTGACGGTGCCCAGCGGGTTTGTGGAGAGCTTCCCCATGGAATCTGTCTGTCCAGAGCCCCTGAAGTCCCTGGACCACATGTCTCTGTGGACCAGGTTGGCGGTGGAGGAGTTGGACGATAGGCGAGAATGGGAGTACTCGCTGGGAGTATGGCCCGGATCGTTCAGGGAGGTGATGTAACCCAGCCCTACGGAGCCGTCAGAACGCACAGACATGGAAGAGGAAGTGGGCGTAGGAGGAAATCTACGAAGATGGAGGATGAAGACCACGGGCCAGTGATACGCAGTGGGTGCAAATGCTGCAAGGCGTATGTCACAAAAGTTGCAGCAACTCCCGCCCAGGACCACAACAGCTCTGCTTCCAGACCAGGTGTTTTGGCGCCACGCCGGTTGCGGCGGTGAAATCATGGGACAAAAAATGAAATCTCATTGCCCAAATTCCACGTAAGTTCCTGCCTTCCATGGCGCCCATCCGCAAAAGAGGCCGTGTGACTTAGACTTCTTAGACCCTTCTTTTATCTCCAGACGGCATTGTTAGCCCCAGACCGGTGCGCCTCAGACCCTCGCATGCACGGCGGCAGGATTAGTTGCTGCTGTGGTGAGGCAAGTACTGCCAGAGCGAGGCGGTTTTCCTGGGAAAAATGTGCCCTTGCGCAGGCGAGATTTCGCCAGCGCTGGATCTGAGACATGGGGCTGGAGACCACTGCGGATTTCCGTAGACAGCGCTGCAAGGAAACCCAGTGGCGCCGCCACTTGCTGGCAAGCGAGGCACGATGGATTTGCAACAGTCTTTTGGAGTGGATCTTTTATTTTTTTTTTTTTTTTTCTGTTTGTCTTTTGGATATTTTGGGGTTCTACATTTGTAATTTGCGGTGGTTATGAGACGTTCGCATTTAGAATGGCTGCAAACCAGCTCTCGTTTACGCCGTAGTTACGTTTTCGAGCACGTCGGGTGGCCTTGTTTGAATGAAGTTGAGGAAGGAGCGAAGGATACATCCGATGGGTCGATGACATACACAAAAAAAAAAAAAAAAAAAAATACACTTGCACTGTCCTTGAGATGGCAGGGCACGCTAGGCCTAGTGGACGGCTTAGTTCACAGGTATGGTCAAGCAGTGCTAGTCGGGAAGCTGAACAGGTTTTTTCTCTATGTAGATTCAAATAGGGTTTTCCATCCGATCAGACGAATTAACGAAATAAAAAAAAAAAAAAATGTATGGTAGGGCCGGTTATGCGAGTCAACGCCGTTGTAGTGGGCTGTGGCTGATAGTTAACGGTTGGTCTGTTGGACCAAGTTATGCTTTTTGTATTGGCACAACCGCTGCATCCCAACTGGTAACTGAGTATAGCGGGGACTTGCTCTGGATGCAACTTGAAAACCAGTGCCTGGAAAGGGATCCCGTCTGGTGTGTAACGTATCATCGCTTGCATGCTTCCGTCGGAAGCGTTACCGGAACATGCACCTAAGCGAGCGGATGCGCCAAACCTACCTTATCTGGGTTTGAGATGAGCAGTAAGTTTCGCAATTGTACTTATTCGGAAGTTGTTGCAATATATGACAAGCACTGGTGGAGTTGGTGGCACTATTTACGTATCTTAGGGCTCCAATGGTTATCATCGCCTTTCCACCATCGAACTGTTCTGCTTCAAAGGGGATCTTCTTCATACATTAAGTGGAACCTGTTAAGCTGCTTCTAGCCTGTACCTGTCACTGGAAGAGCCACAGGCCTACTTTGTATCGCTTACTTGGATTCATTGAGTAACATCGCTATACACGGACGCCTAGGCGTCCCTAATGAGAGGGAATGCAAATAACATCAGGTACCACGCAACAAGTCCAGGCTATTTAGTTTTAAAGACGCTTTATACTCAAACTCTCCTGCGGATCCAGTCCACGATGTACAGCGTATACAAGCGGGCCCGGCACGCATAGCCTATAAAATAGCACACTTCTTGGACTTCTTGATCACGGGTGGCTCTAAAGCAGCCACAATGGCCTCATCAAACACGGTCTTCAAACCCTTCTGCGTCAAGGCAGAGCACTCAACGTACTTGACAGCACGCAACTCCTTAGCCAACTTCTCACCCTGTTCATACGTGATAGGGCTCAACTTCTGTCTGTGCAAACGCTCCTTTATAACGTTATCGTCACGCAAATCGGTCTGCGTGCCGACTATAAGGCATGGCACACCAGGGCAGTGGTGATGCACCTCAGGGAACCACTTCTCCTTAACGTTCTCGAAAGAAGGAGGGGTGATGACGGAGAAACACACCAAAAACACGTCTGTCGAGGGGTAAGACAAAGGTCTCAATCTGTCGTAATCTTCCTGACCGGCGGTGTCAAAGAGACCCAAGGTGAAAGGTTCGTCACCAATCATCACTGTAACGGCATAGTTGTCAAAAACAGTAGGGATGTAGTCAGCTGGGAACTTTGACGTCGTGTAGGAAATCAAAAGGCATGTTTTACCAACGGCACCATCGCCGACAACGACACACTTTATGGTTTGCATTGGGGGATTTTATGGATATGGCCTGGACGAGGTTGTTTATCTGGAAAAACGAGGGTTGCACCGCACGGCTTTAAACGAGATTAAAGGAATGTGTACAGAGGCGGGGGTGACAACAAGCTCGGGGCGGTTGAATTCGAGATCAAAGGTGAATTTCTCGGGAGATAAACCAGGAAGGAAGAAATAAAAAAAAAAAACTTTACCTCGTGAGGTGGTACTGCAGAGGGCACTGGGGAGGGCGTTTGGTGGAGGGAATCGCGAGCCACTCGGGGATGTCCTCAGGAGCACTGAAATCAACAAATTTGTTAGCTGAATTTTTGTGAGTTATCTAGGTCCAATCATTTTCGTGTTTACGGTAATCTGTTAGCCTCTCTTGAAAAGACTTTTTCTTTGATTTTGGGTGATTCGGCGCGGCCGGGGAGCACTCCTGATAAGACCCCTCGCTACATATGCTTTTTTCTTTTTGATCCTCACGGTACTGTCCGTGGTTATGAAATTCGATTAATTGTATTGTTAGTCACGTAGCTCGTAAACATGTGGCAATGCCTCTATAAATCATTTGAACCAATGAATCCATTGTCTCCTTGCATAATCTCCAAGTTGCTGGTAATGTCGCTGGGTAGGTTGTCGGTGTCGATTAGTTTATTAGCGATGTGACCCTCAGGATCAATCATCAGTAGATCCTTGTCCACTTCGTGATCTTCGATAATCGAGGGGCCGCCACCCAAAAAGTCAAGCATCATGTGCATACCACCAGCGCCTCCAGCGTATTCCTCAACATCCACAGGCAAAACCTGCGAAACTCCTTCCAAAAACCACACCTTGTCCTTCATCTCTGTGGTGAAAGAACGTAATAGCTTGTAGTACGACCTCATGATTCGCATGGCCTTGATGTCACCCGTCATCAAAAGACCCAAAAAATCTTTGTCTAACAATGCCGGGAATGCAAAGATACGCAAGATGAAGTCGGCCTTGTATCGCTCCTTGTGAAGCTTGTTCAAGTACGCTAGCGTGACAAGATAGGGCGAGTCAATCAGTACCGGATAGAGATCGGCAATGTCATTGTCATGACACTCGAGATCCGCAAACGATTTCAGTTGAAGCGAGGAAAGCTGGCTTTTCTCATTTATTATATCACCAAGATCCCCAAGATCCACACTGATGAATTTGTAGAATCTCGACGCTTCCGTAAGAGGCCATACAGCTGTAAGAATAGTTGCAGCTCCTTTCACATGGAAAATCCAGGCAGAGGCAGGAAGCGACTTAGGAGATGTCAGTGACGGAACAGATGCGTTCGCCAATGAATCCATGATTAATATAAGTGCGCTCGCCACCAAAGCATCGGTATTATTGGTGTTGATGTCCAAAATAGCTTCGCGTAGAAGTCTGAGTGCATCACCTCGATGGCTTGTGACACAATGATCCAAACCTTTCTCAGTCTTGGACAAATGAGTAGCACTGAAAGCTAAGATCGCATGCATCAAAAAGGGGTATTGGAAAGCCAACATTGGCACGTCATGGTTCCAGATATCAGTGTCCGAGATGCCAGCTCCGGTGATTGTATTGGATACCTGACTTGTGTAATGATACATCAATTTCAAATCTAGCATGTTGAGAGAGCCGGCACCAGACGCAGCCATCTGCATGGGATTAGGCATTGGGGGCGTGGAAACATTTGGTGATATACTTGGCAGTGTTTGTGTAGCCGTAGGCTTTTCTTGATTTGAAGTAGTTTGCTGCAAGGGAATAGAGGCGCTTTGAGCAGCAGCGAGTGGATTGCCCAGTGGTCCGTTGGATGCTCCCATGAGACCTTCAAAGTTGCCACCAAGCTGATTTCCAAGTCCACTCAAATCAATAGGAAGCTGTGCAAGAACTGCTAACGAGCTCAAATTCGCAACATTACCCAAGCCACTAAGATCGCCGAGATTACTCAAGTTGTTCACAAGATGGCTTAAGTTAATGTTATTGAGATTTCCAGCGTTGAGTAAGCCGGCTCCTAAAGCAGTCGCTGCCAAAGCCGGAACTCCATTTATCGCGTTTGGAAAGTTTGGGGGCGGTGTTTTGTCTGGCGTTGCCTGCTGGGTCTCGGGGGATGAGAAGGTCTGATCATTGGTTGAAGACGTTGCCGTTGATGAAACCAGATGTCTCTCTTCTTTCTTAATGCTCACCTTCTTGGTTGGTGGTTCTTGGTGATCATGATCACTTGACTCGGTGTATCCACATACAAGCTTCATCCTGACACAGTTCTTACAAGAAGGCCTTGTTTCATCACACTTGACTCTTCTTCTCTTGCATGTCAGGCAGCCCATACGAGACTTGGAATGAAACTTTCTCTTGAAAGAGTTCTTTTTGCTTTGACTTTCTCCAGACATGGTTAGGTTGGGGCTCGGGAGAGTTGAATCTTCGAGGAATAGGTTGAAATAAGTTAGTTAGCACGAAGCTAGATATTCAGATCAAAAGCACGGTTCACAGATCGCGTATTGGAAGCCCCGTAATATTCTGGAGGTGGAAAAAAAGTTCTTCTTGAACGATGTTTGCCACCGTGATTCACTGGGCTGTGCTAATTAGGAGAACGGGGTTTGTGTGTTCAGCTCGTATAGCTCGTATACTTTCTCACTAGGAGAAAATAAGACTATTTCTAGTGCGTTGCTTGCACGTGCCGGCGGAAGGAAAAAAAAAAAAAAAAGCTTGTTTGGTCCGACCGCGAATGTTGGACTGTTTTATAGGGGAAGATGCCAATGCTCTTACCGCGAATTCCTCTTCAAACTTGAGCTCAGAATAGATTTCAAGAGCCGCATCATCCTTCTTTGCTCTGACACGCAGTTGAATTCCTCTCTATTCCGTTCCGTTAAGTGTTCTTCTTGAGTAGCCACTGCATGCACTTTAGCTGGGGGAATATGTGGAATCGGCTCAATCGGGCTGATGAAGTCAAATTTCGACTTAACACAATCAGAGTCGAACGTTTTTCACAATAGACTTTGTTGACCAATGGGATGCGTCGTGGTCTTGGTTGCCCAGTAAAGCCACGATTTAAAGTCAGATGTTCATGCGGCATATCTGATGAAATCTGCCGGAACTTGATGCGTCAGTCTGAGCCGTCTTCTGCAACGGTATGAGACCCGTACCTCAGAAGAGGACGGAGGATTGAAATCATCCGGATGTCCTGCATGTATAGAGCCTCATCAGTCAATCACAGCGCTCTTTATACAGATTACTAGCTTTGCAATGTCGAACGTAAGACCAGCATGGAGAGTCTGGGCCCGTGTCTATGTCACCGGCGCCTGCATTATCGGAACAGGTGTGCTTCTATACAACTACACTGTTCCAACAGATGAAGAGCTCATTGCTCGGTTTTCTCCCGAAATTAGAGCTGACTATGAGCGCAACAAGAAATTGAGGCAACAGGAGCAACAGGAATTGATGAAAATTGTCAAAGAGACTTACAAGTCCAATGATCCCATCTGGAAGTCGGGCCCGATTAAGTCTCCTTTTGAAAAGGAGGGTCGTGGTATTGATCCAAGATTGGTTGATAAAACTGCTTTCTTCAAGCAAGAAGAGGACGAAAAGCGTAAGCTCGAGGTCGAAAAAGCTAATGCGGAGCTTCAGGAAGCTGAAAGCTTGATGAAACAGTCAAAGAAAAGCTGGTGGAAGTTCTGGTAGTTCCCAGTTTTGCATGAGTAGCATGAGATGTACATAGACAAGTCATGAGTAACGTTAGACGTTTGGTAGTAGATGGAGACCTCCAGAGGAACATACATCAAATAATAGGGTCGATGTGATGCATTCAGGAGCACGTCGATATCTTTCAAAGACTGGATAATTTGATACCATGAAGGCCCGATAAGTAGTTGCTTTATCTCCTCCAACCGAATCCATTTTCGAGAGAGAGCCACCGCAGTGAGGTACCCCCATTTACTCCTGTAACCTTTTGACTATTTGCATTGTCCACAGCGGCCACAATTCGCAGAATATTCGTGTCTATCACCATTCCACCCTGGACAATTTCTTCAAGCACAGTTTGTAGAACTTGCCATCCAAAGACCAAGTCAAGTTCACAAACATTCGGAAAGCACTTGTCCAAACATTCGACAAAGACCTGGATCAAGTCAAGAATACCCAATTCGGATTCTTGGTCGTCCACGATGAAAACAAAATATAAGGTGGCATAATGCCTATATATGACTTTGATATCATCCAAGCCCTCTAAAAGTCTAGGTGGAGTGATGAAAGAACATTCTTGTGAGGTTCTTTTGGATATGAGCAGGTGTACTTGCAGAAGAAGCGTTCTTTGGGTTTGCACATCAACGGCCGTGTAGAATTTAATAAGGCGAGGCACGCCATCGTAGTTGACTGAGGTTAGCTTAGAAATCAGTAGCGGTGACTTATCAATTACTTACATATAAGAACTGAATGGATCATGGTAATATCCTCTGGGTTACACAGCCGTGAGCGATAGATAGCACAATGCTTGGTGTACGGGTGTAAGTCAATTATCTGCTTTGAAGAACCTGAAGTACTACCCCACGTGTTTTAAGAAGTTTTATCTCATACTGAAGAGTTATTCAGAGTTATGGTCCTTAATCCCCTAGGATAATAGTTGATTAGGGCATATTTTCGGCCGAAGCGATTCAAACTTCCATAGCTCACAAGACTCGTTCTCAAACGTTGTAAGCCAAGCTTTGCCAAAAAAAAAAACAAAAAAAAAAAAAAAAAAAAAAAAAAAAAACAGCCTAGATGGATAGTTTTATCTTTAACATCAATATTTCTTACAGATCACCAATGGGAACATCTCATGACGTTGTTGCAACGGGTTTCAACAACCCGCCTGCATGCACTACAAGCAGTATAGAACCGGAGATCTTTGTATCTGCCCACTTATGTCTAAAACTACTGAACTTCCGACCTTCAAAGAAAAATTTCAAATCCCCACCTTCAAAAGCTTGGGTATTAAAGCTCCTGCTGGCTTGAGTGATGATTCACCCTCCGTTTATCTCGCTGGTAACTCCCTAGGCCTTATGCCTAAAGCCACTAGAAAGGCTCTCTCGGATGAGCTCGATGCTTGGGGAGCTCGTGGAGTCGAGGGTCATTTCAATCATCCTGGTGAGAGTGAGGGTAAAACCTCCTGGGTTGATATTGATCTTCCGCTTGTTCGCCCGTTGGCCAATTTGGTTGGTGCTACTCCAAAGGAAGTTGCAGCCATGGGCACTTTGACATCTAACTTGAACGCCTTGCTTGTATCATTTTACAAGCCTCAAGGCAAAAAAACCAAGATCATGTTTGAGAAGAATGCATTTCCCTCTGACTACTATGCTTTTCTCAACATGGTCAAATTGCATGGCCTCGATGAGACTCATTTGGTGCAATTGGAGGTTGCACCAGGCCAAAAGCACCTAGATTTGGCCGATATCCTTGCTGCTATAGAAACTCACAAGGATGAGCTTGCATTGATTTGCTTCCCTGGAATTCAATACTACACTGGTCAATTTTTCAACATTGAAGAGATCACTCAGGCCGGTCAGAAACATGGTATAGTCGTTGGATGGGACTTGGCACATGCCGTTGGCAACGTTCCATTGAAACTTCATGATTGGAACGTGGACTTTGCAGTTTGGTGCTCCTATAAGTATCTCAATTCGGGACCTGGCGGCATTGCCGGTATTTTTGTGCATGAGCGTCATACCAAGGACAATTCTAAAGATCGTTATCCTCCAAGGCTTGCGGGCTGGTGGGGCAATAACTCGGCCGAAAGATTTAAAATGCTTGAGCTTTTTGACCCAATCAATTCCGCACTCTCCTACCGTCAATCCAACCCGCTGGTGATAGACTGTGTTGCCTTGAAGACCTCGCTTGATATATTCGAGGAAGCAGGTGGCATTGAGGCCCTCAGAAAAACCAGTTTTGCATTAACAGGCCATTTGAGAAACCGCCTCGAAGACAGCAAGTACTACATCAGTGATTCCTCTGATTCCAGTCTGCTTGGTTACAAGATTCTTACTCCAGAGGATGAAAAGGAAAGGGGCTGTCAATTATCCGTCCATTTCCAACCTCACAATGACAACAAGGAGTCAAACGTTATGGAGAGGGTTAACGGATACCTTCATGATCATGGCATCATATGTGACGAAAGACGTCCTGATGTCATCCGAATCGCTCCAACGCCTTTATACAACACCCTTTCGGATGTGGAGGTGGTTGTTTCCAGAATTCAAGAAGCTTTGAATTCCCTTGAATAGCTATACAGCTAATATTGTATCAATAATATATTTTAATTCGATAATTGTCTAAATCAGCTAATTAGCGACTTACAAGTTCTGGGCAGCCTTGAAGTTCTTACCGGCGTAGATAGCCTTGTCACCCAACTCCTCCTCGATTCTCAAGATCTGGTTGAGCTTGGCCAATCTCTCGGATCTGGCAGGAGCACCAGTCTTAATCTGGCCAGATCTCAAACCGACAGCCAAGTCAGCAATGGTGGTGTCCTCGGACTCACCGGATCTGTGGGAGACCATGACACCCCAGTCAGCGGCGTAAGAGTCCTTGGCAGCCTGGATGGACTCAGTCAAAGAACCAATCTGGTTGACCTTCAACAACAAGGCGTTGGCGGCCTTCTTCTCAATGGCGGTCTTGATTCTGATAGGGTTGGTAACAGTCAAGTCGTCACCAACAATCTGGATCTTGTCAGCAACTCTTGGGAAGAAGTGGGACCAGGACTCCCAGTCGTCCTCACCGAATGGGTCCTCGATGGAGACAATTGGGTACTTCTCGATCAAAGAGACGTACAAGTCAGCCAACTGTGGACCAGTCAACCACTTAGAGGAGTCAGACTCTGGGTTCTTGAAGTCCAAGTCGTACTTGCCGTCCTTGAAGAACTCGGAAGAGGCAACATCCAAAGCGATGCTGACCTGACCCTTGTAGCCGGCCTTGTCAATGGCGTCGACGATAAGGTCCAAGGCCTCCTCGGCGGTCTGGATGTTAGGAGCAACACCACCCTCGTCACCGACGTTACCAGCGGACAAACCGTACTTCTTCTTGGTCAAGGACTTCAAGGTGTGGTAAACCTCAGAACCGACTCTCATGGCCTCAGAGAAGGTTGGAGCACCGGTTGGGACAATCATGAACTCCTGGAAAGCCAAAGAGCCACCAGCGTGGGAACCACCGTTCAAGACGTTCTGGAAAGGAACTGGCAAGACGAACTTGTCCTGCTTGGTGCCGGCAATGTCAGCAATGTGCTTGTAAAGGGAGACACCCTTCTCAGCAGCAGCAGCCTTAGCAGCAGCCAAGGAGACACCCAAGATGGCGTTGGCACCCAACTTAGACTTGTTAGGAGTACCGTCCAAGGAGTTCAAGAACTCGTCAACCTTTGGCTGGTCCTTGATGTCCAAGTTCTCCTTGATGAAAGCAGGAGCAATGACGTTGTTGACGTTGGCAACAGCCTTGGTGACACCCTTGCCCAACCACTTGGACTTGTCGCCGTCTCTCAACTCCAAGGCCTCGTGGACACCGGTGGAGGCACCAGAAGGAACAATGGCTCTGAAGAGACCCTTGTCGGTGGTCAAGTCGACCTCGACGGTTGGGTTACCTCTGGAGTCGTAGACAGAACGGGCGAAGATTTTGGAAACAGCCATTTTACGATAAATGTGTGTGGATGGAAAAAGAAGGAATCAATTGGTGGGCGCGGGCGGCTTGGGTATTTATACGCATCGTCGACTAACGGTGGACCACACCTGGCCGGGTTTGCACAGGATATCACAACCTCAGGAGACTGAGCAAGTCCAGGTGACACCCATGCTCATAAGAGGTTCCACCATGTTTGGCGCATCCAATTTACAAGATTTTACAGAAATCGAAAACCAACGCAATTGGGGTGTGTTGATCATGAAAATTTCGTCAATTCCTCAAATTTCTCTCTTTTCACCCGCTTCCCTGGCCACTGGATCCTTTCGGGCTCGGACTTGAAAAATGCGCATAGGTGCTCGGGTGGCCCGGGGAATAGCGGTTCGCACCACGGGCCAAAGGACGTACCCATGTGATCCACACCGTCTGGTGAGCTACCTGCCTGGCGTACCATGGCTTTTTCAGGTATGGCTTTGTTGGTGGATTTTGTGAGCCATGCGGCCCGAGGGCGCGTTCCATCGCGTTCTATGGCTTTCGACGTCCCGTGGGGCTGTCATCGGCTGAGCGGGACGTTGAGATCAGAGCGTTGGTACGATTTGTGTCCCGGGTCTACTAGGTGGGGTCCAATATGCGTAGTCAGCTGGTGAGCCAAAGGGGAGTACGTAGAGTTTCATGACTCGCCGGGTGTCATAGCAAAGGCCGGGCTTCTGAGGCATTTGATGGCCCGGCTCGGACAAAAGTATCAATTGATCTGTGTTTCGGGAAGAATGCGCCCGTGAGTCAATTGAGCTCCGTAGGTCTCAATGGGTGGTGATATGGCGTGAATTGGATCCGTGGTGGCATGGATCGTGATATGGATCGTAATATGGACTCGCCTAATGGTGCAATTACTCAGAGCTCATAGAATCAAATGAGGCACAATCGCTAATTCCGGACCACCTTTATTTTTCAATGATTTGAATCACCTCTAGCCCTTGTGACTCGATCTACATCTTTACTCTCAGATCCGGTGAACCAGGGTCCTAGAGACTTGACATTCGTCGGTGAAAATACTGTAGGACGAAATTTTCAAAAAGCCTTTTGGGGTGTTATTGAGTTGTCCCTCAGATCTGAGTCAATTGGTTTAAGTTCTCAAACCAGCTGTATTTTTCGCAGCCACTGGAAAAAGTAGGAACAAAGCACCAAAAATGGAATCCAATTGAAAATCCAAGCTAAAAAAGCCTGCCAGAGGTATAACTAATAAAAAGTACCGATTTCAACGAAAAACTCCCAAATAATGTACCAAGCGTTGAAGACACGCAACTAAATTCAAATTGTGTATACACAGCGGACTGGTCCCAGCTCTAGGAACCAATGAAACTCGATCAGGATCACAATGATTTCAAACTTTTCAGACTGGACAGCACATTACAACGATTAATTGCCCTCCATGCTCCATTCATTCGATATTACCATTCCAACCTTGGGGACTTCCTGCACCTCTCCACTAGCTACTCGCACAGCACAGTTAACAGTGGCAATATAATCGGATCTTTCAACATTAACTATGTTTAGAAATAACTACGACAACGACTCTGTCACCTACTCTCCAACGGGTCGTCTTTTTCAAGTCGAGTATGCCTTGGAGGCTATCAAGCAAGGCAGTGCTGCCGTGGGAATTGCTTCTTCTTCTCACGTTGTTCTAGTGGCCTTGAAGAGAAATGTCGAGGAATTGGGCAGCTATCAGAAAAAAATCATCAAAGTAGATGACCACATGGGTATCGCTTTGGCTGGATTGGCCCCAGACGCCCGTGTTTTGTCCAATTACTTGAGAAAACAAGCCATGAACTCAAAACTCGTCTTCAACAGACCTTTGCCCACCTCCAAGGCCGTTTTGCTGATCGCCGACAAAGCTCAAGAAAACACACAGCTGTACGGCTCTAGACCTTACGGTGTTGGTTTACTCGTGGCCGGCTGGGATGAGACTGGTGCTCACCTATATGAATTTCAGCCCTCTGGCTCCGTTTTGGAGTACTTCGGTACCGCTATCGGTGCCCGCTCGCAGGCCGCCAGAACATACTTGGAACGCAATTTAGATAGTATTCGTTCTTGTGACCAAATTGAAGACCTCATTGTTCACGGCTTGAGTGCTTTGAGGGATACGTTGTCCCAGGATATGGAATTGACCATCCGCAACACCACAGTCAGTGTTGTGGGCAAGGACAAGTCCTTCACAGTTTACGACGATGAAGATGTACAGCAGTGGTTGAACAAGCTTGACTCCACATCCAACACGAGGAATAACGAGGACGACGACAATGATGACAATAACGCAGAAGGCGCTGACACGAACGAGACTGCTGCCGCTGAGGGCGAAGGTGAAGGTGCTGGTGAACAACCTCCTGCTGATGAAGATAGAATGGAAACTGATTGAATGCATTATATTTACAAGTAATATACAATTGAAAAGACTCATGTCTTACTGTGACTGCTCCTTCTTCTGTTGTTGCTGTCTGACTGCAACCTTTTTCACAGCTGCCATTGTCACCTGTTGCATTTGGTTTACCTCTTCCGTCATTTTTGCAACATCGTGAAGGATGCCCTTTTCTCGGACATCACTCACCTTGGCCTTGAGCGAGTCGATAATCTCATTGATAGCTTTAGTGTCCTCCTCATCCATGAGCTTTCCAAACTGGGTGACAGCGTTTTCAGCATCCGTACACAAGATGTCCACACGAGTGGCATTCTCAACATGTTGCTTGTATTCGGCATCCTTCTTGGCATTGTCTGCGCTCTGCTTCAAGACCTCCTTAATCTCTTCTTCAGACATGCTGGTCTGACCCGTAACCTGGATACTGACGGTATTAGGCTTACCGTAGTGAGGGGAGTCTTCTGGGTATGGAGTCTTGTCAGTAGCAGAAACGTTGATGATACCGTCGGCATCGATATCGAACGAAACCACAATTTGTGGTGTGCCCTTTGGACCTGAAGGGATATTAGCGAGCTTGAAGTTGCCGATTAGCTTATTGTCCTTCACAAGAGGTCTTTCGCCTTGGTAGACTCTCACCTCCACACCTGTCTGGCCATCCACTGCAGTCGAGAAAGCCTGCTCCTTCTTTAGAGGCACAGCAGAATTGCGAGGAATGAGTGGACTGAAAATACCACCGTAAGTCTCGATGCCCAAAGTCAAAGGGGTAACATCTAGAAGGACCACATTCTTGATTTGTCCGGAAAGGACGGCACCCTGGATAGCAGCACCCAACGCCACAGCTTCATCTGGGTTAATTGATGTGTTTGGAGCTTTCTTGAACAAATCTTCAACGACTTTTCTGATCTTAGGCATTCTTGTCATTCCACCGACCAAAATGACCTCGTCAATATCTTTGGCATTCAACTCTGCATCACGAAGACATCTTTTGACCGGATCTATAGTTTTGTTGATATATGGAAGACTCATCTCGTCCAATTCATCTTCTGTGAGCTTCAATTTGATGTGTTTGTCTTTAGTGATAAAGGGTATGTTGATCTCGGTCTCTTTGACATGCGACAATTCTATTTTGCATTTTTCAGCTGCCTCCCTTATTCTTTGAATTGCCATTCTGTCGCTCAGTAGGTCGACACCATGTTCAGCTTTGAACTTGTCCAAGATAAAGTTGAGAAGCATCAAATCAACATCCTCTCCACCCAAGTGGGTGTTACCATTGGTTGCCCTGACCTCAAAGACTTTGTCCTCAATATCCAAAATTGAAACATCGAAAGTTCCTCCTCCAAAGTCAAAGACTGCCACTATACCATCTGGCTTCTTTTGATCGATACCGTATGCCAAGGCAGCTGCAGTAGGTTCGTTGATAACTCTCAAAACCTCAAGACCAGCCAATTGGCCAGCACTCTTGGTGGCCTGCCTTTGAGAGTCATTGAAGTATGCGGGAACAGTCACGACGGCGTGCTTCACATCCTCAGGAAGGTGTGACTCCGCAATGTGTTTCATCTTCTGGAGCACCACGGAACTGATCTGAGATGGGGAGAATTGGCGACCATCTGATGTTTCCAACCAAGCATCTCCATTTTGATGCTCAACGATCTTAAACAGGGTGTTTTTGATGTCTTTCTGGACTTCCTCGTCTTCGAATTTACGCCCAATGAGTCGTTTGGTTGCGAAAAACGTATTTCTGGAGTTCACGAGAGCTTGTCTTTTGGCTGGTAAGCCTACCAAGGTATCTTTATCGTTGAACGCAACAATTGAAGGTGTTGTCCTGCCACCTTCCTCGTTCTCGAGGATCCTGGCTTGGTCCCCCTCTACCAATGCTACTGCAGAATTGGTAGTTCCGAGATCTATGCCAATAACATTGTGAGCCAACCGTGCGTGATTGAGAAAGTTGTGTCCCCTTGATCTCAAACTCAGATGTAGAACTTTAGCTAAATTAGCTCTTTTAGTGAACATACTTGACATGTACGCTTCTCCTGGATCATATCGCTTATATAGCTAGTTGCGCCTTACAGCAAACGGAGTCACGTGAGTACATATGGTCAGGCCTGCTTGGATGCCGTAATGGTAAACTGATTTAAACGATTGAAAATAAATCATTGAATAAATTTACAAGAAATAGGCCGAGGATTATGTTTTACCAACCACGAAGTACGCAGTCTTGTGGGATCTACTTTAAATCATGTTTCAGGGCTCTCGAAGTCGTAGACTAATACCTGTTCCTACTGCATGGTCAAGCTTACACCTTTATAAAGGATGCAATGTTTTATTTATAGAATTTTGATAATTGTTTGGTCCGAAAAGTCCATGTTGGGGTGTGCGGGAATAAAAGGCATAAGCGGTGTACATGCTCACTAATTTCTTGCCATAACGGCGTTAGTATGCAAGGGATCTCGTCTCAGAGTTTTTGAAAACAAGCCGGAAAAAGCCGTCCTCTAGAACCAAATGAGTGAAGCTTGTTCCAACGAATTGGGTAAACAGATCGCTCAGCATAAGCCATGTCAAAAAACTTTGTAGTGTCTCGTCATTGACACTCACGTCTCCAGGGCCAATTTGCCTGAAGTCTCCGATCTTAAATTGCTTTATATCGCCAGAATCAATACCTTGTACATCAATCACGGGACTATCAAAAACAGTGTCCTCGATTACGATGCCGATTAGATCCTGAAAATCACTAGTAACGATCTGACCCCTTTTAAAAGTCATTGGTACTTCATCTGAACTGACTTTTTGAAATGGCTCACATCCTTTCAATATACTAAACTCTTCAATGTCCATTTGATGAAGAGAGCAAAGGGACCTGATCTTATCCACCGTTATTGTATTGTAAGGGATATCGTTCCAGTTGACTGTGGGGCCAACACCTTGAATTCGGATCGGGCCACCAAACAACTGCTCAGAAAAAACCGATTCTAAACTTGCCCCGTTTCTAAGAATTCCGAAATTATGTAACAGACTTGAGTTCACGAGCTTTACTTTTCTGTTATTGACAAAGATTGCGTACCGACCAATAAGTATGAGGTCATTTTTGACAACAGGCTCTGAATTCAACAGCTGTTCTCCCACATAAAGCTTGTAGCGATTGAAAACGCGCTCCTTCAAGAATTTTACGAGCACATGTAAAGTGTAAACCTTTTGAAGCCCAGTTTGATCACCACATGATCTCCCAGAATAAAAAGCTGTGATTGTGGACCACTGCTTATCATTTGAGTCAGCTGGAAGGTGACGGAGAACTATGGAGCATATATTTTTCAAGAAGTGTTCATAAGCTTTCATATCTGGAAAATTAAGCCTCTTGGTCCTTTGGGGTAGACCAGATCGATCTATAGCACTGTGTATCTGATGTAGCATCTTCAGCCGATATGCTGCATGATGAAAGAAGTTGGAGAAATACCGAGAGAGCTGGAAAAAGCCCTCTTCACTCAACCGGTCACCATTCAATTCGAAGTACCAATTTGCTATGACAAAATTGTGCAAATCAAGAATCCTTTTAAGAAAGACGTATGCGGATATTGCGATACTCTTCGAGGTTATGAAAGTTTTCATTTGCAGTTGCAACTCAACAAACAGCTGCTCAAACTTGTCAATGATAGCAAAGTACGCATCGGGGTGCTTGAGAAGCTTCATCAAAGAAGAATCATTTGAGCAGTCTATAGGGCGTTCCATGTTTTTGATAACCCCATATACTTTGTGAGGGATCAATTTGGAGCATGCATTGGGATAGTGACAGTATGATTCCATATATTTGCCAAAAGATTGGTGGTATATGAATTGTGAAAACATGGGAGCGTCTAGCACCAGTCGTAGTTTGCGATTGACTTGAGTTAATGCAACCCAGTCTTCGAAGTTGAGGTGTCGTAGAATTTGAAGGTATACCTCATCCGGGAGATTTGTCAAGGAAGGTGCTGGTGAAGATTCAGACATCCTCTTGGTAAATGCCTAAACCTTAGAATATGAGGAACTGGAATCAAAGCGTTGATATGTATGCAAGTTATATGCAAACCAGAGTTTGCTTCGAAGACGTCAAACACATTGATGACGCAGCAAACTCGAAGGAGGATAGAATCTTGTTATTTTTCTTGATAAGAGAGACAAGATAACCCAGCTTTTTGCTTTTCGATGAAGCATGCTATTAATTGAAACTTTATTGTTGCAATTGGGGTCTTACGATAATCATCGGCACAACAGCATTCTGTACTTGAAGAAAAGCTATACAAGCAAGCCAAGATTCAAGGTAGCTGAAATTGACTCTTATTAGTAGTACGGAGAAAGAAGCATGTATGCTTTACAGAAATCTACAACCATAAGTACGTTTATATACAGTACATTCACTTTGGGACTATATCATCATAGCCACTAGCGTATTTTCAACCTAGATATCCTGATTATTAGAATCTCTTACTTGGATCGTGCTTTAAATTTCCATATCGAGATCGATGACACATTACATTGACAGGTCTCCAGTTTCTTATGTGGACTCCTGCACGGACAGTCTACCTACTGCTGCATTTTCAGGCATCTTGCATCACTAGCTAAACAGAGATGGGCAAGAGAGGCGGAGAATCCCAAGGCGGCAACAGAAATAAAAAATATAAGCAAAGCGGCTTCATAGATCCAAATACTGCCGGTGTGTATGCCACATGCAATAGAGGCAGAGAGCTTGGATGCCGCAAAGAGTTGCTAAACCTTCTTTCTGAAAAATGTGAGCAATGGTATCCTGACTGGGAGCTGAAGGCTGAGGTTGACGATGAAGATGACAAGGACCTTTCGGTAGAGGAGCAGGTGCAAAAAGAATTGGCCTCTATGAAGAAGGAGAAGACCGCCAAAAGCACCATATTTCTGCCCATCGACCTCAGCTGTGAGTGTACAGTCTTTGTCAAGATCAGGAAGCCAGTGGAGCCAGCCGAATTCATTCATAGAATATGCCAGGAAGCAAAAGATCTGGGAGTGAAGAAATCCAGGTTTATTCAGAAACTCACACCAGTGACATTCTCAGTTTCCGCATCTCTCGAGGAGATCAAGAAGCTTGCAGCCATTGTGCTCAAACCTCATTTCCATAAAGAAGAAGGCCAAGAACCCCTCAAGTTTGCCATCCAGGTAACGAGAAGAAACTTCAATCAAATTCCTAAAGAGGAGATCATCCAAACTGTCGCTGGATGCGTTGGAAAGGACCACGGCCATACCGTAGACTTGAAGAAGTACGACAAGCTCATCTTAGTGGATTGTTTCAAGAGTAACATTGGCATGAGTGTGGTGAGCGATTACCTTCAGTTGGAGAAGTTTAACTTGCAACAAATTTTTGAAAAGAACATGAAGGATAGCAAATCTTCGAGGGTCAACCCGGAGAGTAACTCTGACAAGAAGGACATCAAGGAGGAGAGTGACGACAAGAAGGACATAAAGAAGGAGGACGATGCAACAAAAGCAACATGATATAGCTGTATAATAATAGATTCATGAGTTCTATTTATATTCTCAATCTTTCCACCACCTGGGTGACTGGCTTCCAAGCTAGCCAGTCGGCTTCGCCATTGGGGATCAAACCCATGGTCCAGAGCTTGAACAAGCCGATACCAGCATTTGCTAGCTGGAACACAACAAACATCGCTTTAGGCATGAGCAAATCGTTCGGGTTTCTGGTCTCCAAAGAAGCGAATACCTTGTTTGTTTCTAAAAAGATGGCCTTGATCGGGTTTATAAGAAGCATGACAGTCATCATGATGGGAATCATTTGTAACGAGTTACCCGTCATGTAGCTCATGATACAGTTCATGGGCACCGATTTAGCAGGGCCCGAGGCAACGTCCCATGCTTTCTTGAGTTTGAGTCTGTCGAGTTCTTCTGGTGTGGGTTTCTTGACAGGTTCGGAAGTTTTTAATTTGGTGTTTTGCAGGCCAAATCCTGGAGGTGACGCTATATTATTCAGGCTCCGGGCCTTAATTTCCGGATTGAGGATCTCTGCGTAGGACATTGTGAAAGGAGTAGGTGAGTGCTTGATAAACCGACTGTTAGATACGAGTGCGCTTCCCTACAGGTCCAAGTTGGTTTCGCCTACAACTCTTACAATAGAATATTGCAAATTCTATGAATCCATCAAGTGTGCTATTCGCAAAGTATGGTAGAATCGTATCAAAAGCATTTGTTGAATACTTTCAAATGTGAAGATAAAGTGGGGTCCAATAAATGCCGAAGTACGTGTATTTCATTTCGCAGCCGTTTCACAATTGAGCAGGCTTGACAACTCATTGCAAATCAACACTACTTACATTAGAAGACTGAAATTGATATTATTCTTTTTTCTGATTGAAATGATAGATCTGACCTTTGCCTCATTAAAAATCTATCAGCTATGTGTATTTTCACCCAGAATACAACCCAGCTTTACATGTGCTCGATCTGATCACTCTCATAACCAGGTACAGCCCCACCGATTCAATTCAAAATCTGACAGCCTATGTCACATCTCCAGACTCTACAAAAGATGCCAATTCAATGAAAACCCACCGTTTACTCATATGTAGATAGCAAGTTCTCCACGTGACTCTGGGGCGACTAAATCCACTCGCGGGAGGTTATCTGTAGTCATCCGGATTTCGTACTCCATCATGAACCTGACCACCGAATTTCGAAATAACCCATTGAACAAGATTGTCGGTTTGTCCGTCGTCCTCTCAATGGGATTCCTTCTTGTCATTCTTGCCGGCGTAAATGGGAACTGGTTTCCTATCATCAATGGTATCATCTTTGCTGTGGCTTACCTTCCAGCTATAATTACAAAAGCTGCTTTTGACAAGAGCGATTACGACTTCAACTTTGATCCACAAACCTCGTCACAAACCCTGGCGATACAGGAAGCCGGGAAGTTCCTTACTGGTTTCCTCGTTCTCACAGGCGTTTCATTGCCCATTCTCTTGCACCACTCGTCGATTTTGACGAAAACGGCACTGATCTTGACGCTTCTTGGAGGAGGATTGATTTTTGGTACTGTCTTTACCTTTAGCCAAGCGTTCGATCAGCCCGAAGACGACAACGATGAACTTGGTGGGGGTGTGATATAGAGCATGGCCTGATTGTAAGCTTACACGAATTGCTTAAGGGTCATGCCATTGCTTTGGAAGCTACCTCACAAAATCAATCAAAGCCGAGTCAGGCCAGTTGTGGGTGAACTTATGAGGCACGCAGTGTGCTATGCTCGAAGTCAGCAACCCATGGCGCACCAATTGATACGGTGCTCGATATTCAAGCACCAATTCTTTTACTTAATGAATAGAGAAACGTATAAATGTCATGTGTAATAAATTGTAAAGCCAATCGGACATTCCAAGAGGTTTGAGGTGTACAGGTGTAGATTGCCTGTGTATGTCGCTTCGATAAAAGTTTCATATAAATAGAGTCCTTATCCAGTCATGGAATCCGTCATTGCAGCTGAAAGACAGATTCTCGCTGAACATCAGCTCCGTGAGCAGGTTGTGAACGAGGAGTTCAAGATATGGAAAAAAACCGTTCCGCTTTTATATGATACCATTTACACCCAAGCCTTGCAACATGCACTGTTATCAGTGGAATTCCTTCCAAAGTACACTTGGAGCAGCGATAAAAACCGCATAACTGTTAAACTAGTTGTGGGAACAAATTCATTCACCAAGGGCCAGGACTTTGTGCGCCTAGCCTCGTTAGACTTGCCAGCCACGTTGGCTCCAGATTTCAACAACGAGTCTGTCCAATTGGCAGAAGGAGAGGAAAGTAGTTTCAAGATACTTCACTCATGGAGCCACCCAGGTGAGGTCAACAAGCTCAAAGTATCGCCTGACGGTACCAACATTGTGAGTTTCGATAATGTCGGCGTGGTGCACTTGTACAAGTTGGATAGCGATACCCAGTTGGACTACAAATTCCACACCAGCGAGGGATACGCGTTGGAGTGGACCTCCAATAAAGAATTTTTGTCGGGCGCTAACGATGCCAACATTGCTCTTTGGGACATTTCCTCCCCTGCTGAACCCATCAAACAATTCAACACCCATTCCGCGGTCATCAACGACATCAGCTACAGCAAACCCTCGGAAAATTTGTTTGCCTCTGTTTCAGATGATTTCTACACACATATCCACGACATCCGGAACCCAGGCAATTCTCCTGCGATTTCTATCGAGAACAGCCACATCCAGAACGCTGTGGCAGCTCACCCGCAGATTCCTCTGCTTGTAGCAACGGGTGGAAAGGATAATGTGGTGAACTTATATGATTTGAGAAATACCAAGGAGCCTGTCAGACAACTCTTTGGCCATAACGATTCTGTGGTCGGCCTCAGGTGGGACCCAGAGTTCAACCCATCTCAGTTGTACTCCTGGGGTCTCGATAAGAGGGTTCTTACGTGGGACCTCAACAATATGAGTGAAGAGTTCACGTATCCTACGACAGAGTCTGACTCGAGAAGAAAGAATAAAAACACCGAGGACCCTTGCCTCAAGTTTGTTCACGGTGGCCATACAAACAGAGTGAACGAGTTGGCGGTGCACCCCACAATCCCCAATCTCTTCGCCTCAGTTGGTGACGACACACTTGTTGAAATTTTCAAGCCTAAAACAATAATAGAAGAGGAGGAGGCCGAGCTGGAGGAAGCAGAGGAGGAGGAAGATAACGATGCCAAGGAGGAGAAGAAGGACGAAGCGGAGCAGGACAAGATGGAAGTTGACGAGAGCAGCAAGGATGAAGAGAGTAAGGATCTCGAAAGCGGCGAAAACAAGGGACAGCAGTCGTCCTAAAATATGTAATTTTATTGAGTCCAAAAATGTACTACGAACGATCATGGTGTATTTTGCACCCAGCGCGTAACCATATTTTCTGCACACCGTTATCAACTTTCATCATATGGCCGATATCATAGTCAAACACGAAGCACTGGATCTTCATGATCTAGATATAGATAGAAAGAGAAAGTCAAAGTCTCCAGCACTAGGCGATTTCAAGAAAGCTCGTTTTGATCACGACGAGCAGGAGACCTCCGAGGACATCGCCAAACAATACAAGAAGTATCAGAATGCCCCAAGTTCAATCTAAATTCCGAGGAGCTCTTCTGTATCTGCAGAAGGCCAGATCATGGCGGTGAGCTTATGATCGGCTGCGATGGCTGTGAAGAATGGTTTCACTTCACGTGTATGAAAATGAGCCAAAGCTATCAACTGTTGATCGATAAATTCTACTGCAAGTTTTGCCAATGGCAAGGCAAGGGACGCACTCGTTATAATAAAGTTTGCCGACTTCCGGGCTGCATGAAACCTATACGATCGGATCAGAGGTCGAAGTACTGCCTGGAGGAGTGTGGACTCAAGTATATGAAGCGATTCCTCGAGGAGCTGGAGTCCTTGAGCAAGGAGGGGATGAAGTTTGCATTGACGCACTGCAAGTCAAGAGAGGAGCTCGCTAAGTTGGGCTCAACTTTCCCTGAACTCCCTGAGATAGCTAATAAGAATGTTGAGAAGTTACCCGAGGAGATACAAAACCAGCTTCGAACAATCGAACGGAAGATGAAAGACATCGAGAACGACATTGAGTATGTTACGGCACAACAAAAGTATCTCGGCTTGCGAAAAGATATAATCAAGCGCATCAACGAGCAGCTCAAGGATACGTCAGGCAACGAGGAAGAGGAGACTCAAGCGAAGAAAAAGAAGAAGAAGTCTAAGGGTGCAAGATTTGACCTTTGTTGTTTTGATTCTTCCTTATACGACCAGAAACCTCTCGAAGTGTACACGTCGGCTGTGGATAAAGCAGAAGAGACGTCTACTCAAACTGTCAACGATGTCGTCCAGATGTATAATAACCAAGATGACGAAAACAAAACAAGTACAGTCTGTCTCAACGATAGAAGAAAGTGTCTCAGACATAACGGTTGGTGGAATCTCATTGCGGACGAACTCTGGAAGCGTTTGAGTGAACTTCAAGAATCGCTCGCTGTGTTGGAAAACGAAAAGCAAGATACAGTGAGAGAGTACAGTATTCAGGTCTACGAAAAAGATTCATGAGCATAAGTGATTGGCCTATTTGCATTTCCTATAGACGGCGTTACTTCTTTTCGCCTTGAATCGTGGCCACGATCTTTCTGCTGTGTTTGTATCTTCTGAACTCACATAACCAAATACCCTGCCACGTGCCGGTAGCCAATCTACCGTTCAGAATCGGGATTGTGAGGGAAACACCGACAGTGCTGCTCTTAACGTGCCCAGGCATGTCGTCTGGACCTTCATCAGCGTGAATGTAGAAGTCACCCTCAGGCGCCATTCTATCAAGCGAGGTTGTCATATCCTCTCTCACATCTGGATCGCAGTTCTCGTTGAGAGTCAAACCAGCGGAGGTGTGCTGAAGAAAGAGGTTCAAGAGACCCACCTTATAGTTCTTGATCTCCGGAACGTTTCTCACCACTTCATCGGTGACGAGGTAGCACCCCTTTGAGCGAGGTGAAAGTGCAAAAGAAGTCTGATCCCAAGACATTGATTGCTGATTCTTATTTGATAAAAGGCTGATAGCGATAAAGACTTGAGCAATCGCAAAGATTGTCGCAGCAAAATGCATGTCTGATATACTCGCAGCGTAATCTGCACTAATTTGATTGGTGTTTGGGTGCACTACATTGGTTGCAAAGGGAAGCTTAACCAAGCATTCATGAAATCAAATAACATCAACATATTTAAACCAGGCGATAAAGAAAAAGTAGCTGCTCTTCGTCCCAGCCCCCTTCTACCTCGGGGTTCAGCTCGAGTTCTTTTGCCAACCTTGCATGCGAGACAATAAATTTATCTGAATCAACCATTTTGAAGACACTGTTGTGCCAGGGCGTCGGGATGTGGAGCAATCTGTCCTCCTCATTTTGATTATGTCCAGACATGGAACATACCTCGGGGTCAAGCAAGCGCACACCATATTTCGGACCAGCATTGTGGTGAGCATGGATGGAGAATCGAATGTGGAAGGGGAAAATGAGCTCCACCAAATTGGAGTACGCGTCATTTCTCCTAATCATCTCAAAAGCAACCTGAGAAATCATCTTCTTGTATTTCTTTCTGGAAATGCTTTTAGCAAATTCGGTTTGAGAAAGGTCCTCGCACATGAACTTATTGAAACCCCGGTAGAGGTAAAGTCTTGGGTGATTAGGCGTCTGAATTTGTTTTCTCAACACATCGGCGTTATCATCACAACCAAGCATTAAGACTTTTCGGTTTATCTCCGTCTCCTCATCCAATCTAGTGGGAATAGGATGCTCTACTTCGACTGAGTGCAAGAGCTCGGCAACAAGTCCCCTTTCATCAGACTCAAAACAGTCATTGAGGCCTCTAAATATAATGCCGTCAAAATCGGCAGGCTTCACACGTTGGTACATTGCTTCGAGTTTGGCGAAGTAAACGTCAACCATGTCATCATCCACATGGATACAATCGCTAAAGACATGGCCATCACTGACGAGGTAGAATTTCATTCCTGGTGGATAGACATCTTGGACTGCGGTAACAAAATCAATTATGCGTCTGATGGCAAGTTCCTCTCCCATATCAGGGAAGCAGGATGCTACCTTGTCGTAATTGGAGGACTTGCACGGAAATGCTGGAAGCACTGACAATATAGGAGCATTTCTTGAGGTGAAAAATAAAACATTCCTCTCGAAGTCCAGCTTTCCTTCACTCCATCTATCGACCCGAGCGACGTTTCTAAGCTTATGTTCGAATAGCTCCGTCACAGCTCGAGCGGCTTCCACACCCTTTGTTTCAGAAGCCTTGCCCTTGTGCTCAATGGAGCCATTTTTCAACACAGTCAGAATGAACCACAAGTCGAAGTGAGAGGGATTAAAGTGTTCTGTGACGACACCAACGATACAATCACCAGAACAGGTTTCAAAGGCGAGGTAATCCCCAAGATCTGCAATGTTCAAACCAGGGCTCGAGTTGAACTTGTTGGAGGACATTGAATTCCAAATAGTCTCCGGACTTGCATCAGCAAATTTCTGCTTACGCAATGTCAAGAAACGCTTCTCATTTCTGCTATAAATGTAGTGGATGCGCTCAAAGGTTGTTTTGTTAGCGAGTGTCATGTTTGAAGGATGTATGATACGAATCTGTACTTGGAAAAGTGCCCATTTATATGATACACCTCCACAATATCATGAGGAAAGTACACTCACACTGCCTACCTTGTCGTCACGGATTTTCGATGCAAGTGAAAGTTCGTATTGCTCTCACGGCATTATGGACTTTTGTTGAGGCAAATCTCAAAAAGCCGTATCTGTGCTTAGAACTGGGGTTGATAATGCCGATTGTCTTGTTATTTCTTTTTATTTCTTTCATCAAATAATTATCATGGAAAATCTTAAATGCCTGTTGATAAATGCAGATCGCCGTTTGATGAAGTATTATTTTAATACGCCTATATGAAAAACTCCGCCAGTCCCAGTTGTGAAGAGCCACCATTTGACTTAGGAAGTGTAGGCCCCGGGGATATTTTTAAATTGGACTGTGAATGAGCCGGAGAAACCTTTGCTGATATGAGAGGGGTGCAGAAACGAGATACAAGCTCTGGGGAGTAACATCTGTCACCTAAGAGGCGATGGCTGCTACTTGATGCAATTAAAGAGGATGAGGATTCGTTCAACGAAAGCCTCGACAGAAGTGAGGAGTGGCCGCTTACGCCATTCAGAAGCTGAGCTAATCTCGTTGATGAGGAAAGCGACTGAATACTGTGTAATCTCCATACGGCTGCTTGGAGTTGCGAGATTGAAAAGTTGGATGCGGATCGTTTGAGAGGGGTGTTCAAGATGAATGGGTGAGATAAGGCATCAACAGCTGTGATTCTTGCGTCCGCATCCAAGACAAAGCATTGTGAAATGAAGTCTTTTGCAGGGTCAGGAATACTCTCCCAATATTCTATTGGCTCAAAGATGAAGTCAGCGGTGGAAATAAGCTGTTTAGTTTCCTTGTCAGTGTCACAGTCAAACGGCATGTATCCACAGAGCATGAAGTATGTAAGAACACCCACAGCCCACATGTCCACAGGATAGCTGTAAGGTGCATCTGAAAGGCATTCGGGAGCCATGTAACTCAATGTTCCGCCATGCTCTAGTAAGCCGTTCTCGCTATCCTTGACAATTTTGGCAAGTCCAAAGTCGGCTAGAAGTAAATGCAGAGGTTTTGCCGTGCGTGATTTAAATAATATATTTTCTGCCTTGACGTCTCTGTGGATGATCTGGTTGGAATGCAAATATGCCAATGCCGAAAGCACCAGAAGCAATATTTCTCGTGCTTCATTGGGCTGTAGCCTGCCTTCGCAGGAGCTTGTGATTCTTTCAAACAAGTCGCCCCCGAGGGCCAAATCCGTAACCAAATAGAAATGGTCTTCCGTTTCAAAGTAGTCTATGAGTGAAAGTATGTTCTTGTGTCCAAAAGACACACGCTTAAGAATTTTGAATTCAGATTGAAGCAGCGACTCCATTCCGTAAAAAAGTCTCTTGGCATACTGCTTTGCAGCATAATGAGCTCCATTGCTTGTGTTCTTGCATTCAAAGACAGCTGAGTACGAACCTGTGCCCAAGATTTTCCGAGAAAGCAAGTATGGACAAGCCTGATTATCGTCCTGCGAAGAGGAGCGGATGATTCTCTGTGACAAGAATGGCGGCCAAACTTTCGGCTCTCCAGTCATGGCTTATGACGAAAACTGAGCCATGAACAAAAGAATCGTACTTATAAAGCAAGTGTTTTCTTGCGGTTGCAACACCAGTCTCGACATGCACCTGCAGCGCCATAGTGAGGAGATTCTCCGAAATCCTTGTACGACAACATGGGCAGGGATACGATATATATACTGCTTTTTCATATCAGAAATCTTCATTTCCCTTAACGCTGAATCAAGAATTTAAAATTGCTCGTTTATCTTCATTCCATTTTTTGGGACTACGATCGAATGTGTCTTCTCAAGGTGAGACCCTGCAATGCATGTAATTTTCCGGGGCAGGTACAGGTGATTCGTAACCGAGGCCTCTGTCATGCAACGCCAAGTCCTGTAATCTCTATTCCGTGATTTTTTCTCATTCGATTCTTTGCATCTATATTTAGAATGAAATATTTTTTGGTGTTGTGCCATCATCCAATTGGTGGCTATTGCAGCATATTCGAGAAAATGCACACTCAAGTCAAGAGCACATGCTAAAAGGTTGTGTTGAAGGAAATTTTGTCGTTTAACATGAACCATATCATGACTCAGAATTGGGTTTAATTAGTGGGGATCCATCAGACCACCCTGTGACTTACAAAGTCATTCACAGGCAAGCCGCAACTTTTCCTTCTTCAACTAACCAAACCCTCTCAAAAATCAGAGGACTAGTCAATCTTGAAGCTTACAATTCTTCGACTCTAGATAATGACAAATATCTCCTTTGGATCGAAACATTCCCAGCGTCCTAGCTCATCGTGCACGTGACCAAGATGCTACTCATCGCGGACATACTTTTTCAGATTGGTCTACCTGAATATTTGATTTAAGGGCGATGGAAGCAGCAAAGCTCAATTTGTCCTCCTTGAAGGACAAAATCTCGTCGAAACTCAGTCTGGGGAGTACTAAAAAGGAAAAGAAGTCCAAACTCCCGAAAAAAGATACCCAAAATTCAGCCAAAAAGGATAAGAAGGACAAGAAGTCAAAGCATGGGAACGATAAGAGTACCGAGAAGTCCGAAAAAGGAAACGCTGACACTGAAGAAGACATTTTGAAGCGTGAGGCTTTGGCGCTTGGTGCATCTAAGGATGACATTGCTCTCATTGCAGGCCTTAAAGAAGATCAAAGCGATGAGGAGTTCGCAGATGCTGGTAACGATAAATCACTCAATGCTGACTTAGCCACCTTCATGAAGGGTCTTGGACTCCCCGGCAAAGTCGATGTCGTGCAAGATGAGGACTTATCTGAGCCAGAGGATGTACCTGACTTGGTCGATGGTGAGCTTGAAGAAGAAGAAGACGAGGAGAGTGAGGAGGAGGAGGAAGAAGAAAAAGAAGAAATAGTCGAGGAGAAGCCGAAACCAAAACCTGTGGAGGAAAAGAAGCCACCAGCACAGGAAGCGGAAGTTGGCGAACTTATCAAGCCCAAAAGCTACAAGGTTGACGATGTCAGATCTGTCAAGAGCGCCAAACTCAAAATCGAAAACAGAGTTGACTGGTACAATATCGATGTCGAACAAGCAGAGCCAGAAAAGCTCGATAGATTTGCCCTCGAGAGACTCAACGACAAAGCCAAGGCGATTATTGATTCCGAGAATAAAACATACTTGGAGGAATTCTCCTCCGATAACTCTCAGAGGAAGTTTTTGTCGCAGATACTTTCTGACGGTACATTAAACGATAAAATTTCCGCATTGACTTTGTTGGTTCAAGAGGCCCCTTTGCATAACATCAAGCCATTTGAGACCCTTCTAAATTACTGCGAGAAGAAGTCCAGAAACGCAGCTTTGCAGGCAGTGAATTCCATGAAGGATTTGTTCATCAACAGTCTTCTCCCTGATAGAAAGCTCGTTGCATTTAACAAGGCCTCGCTCACCCAAACAGCCAGTGAACAAAAATTGGCATTAGCATACTACGAAGATTTCCTCAAGAAGTGTTACTTCAAGTTCATTCAGGTGCTCGAGTACTTGAGTCATGACCCTATTTTGCATGTTCGTATGACTGTCGTTACGCATATCTTTGACTTGTTGAAGGCTAAGCCTGAGCAAGAGGTGAATTTGCTTAGGCTTGGTGTCAACAAGCTTGGTGACATCGATAACAAAGTCGCCGCTAAAACATCATACCAGATTCTTCAGTTGGAGCAGGCCCATCCCGCAATGAAAAAGATCATCGTTGATGCTGTCACGGATATGGTATTGCAGAAGCAGAGTGAGTACCACTCCCAGTACTACACCATTCTCACTCTCAATCAGACCATTCTTTCTAAGAAGGAAACTGATCTTGCAGACTCCCTTGTGAAGACATACTTTTCTTTGTTCGAAAAGCTTTTAGTGGAATCAGACCCTGCCCTCAAGGATGCCAAAGAAGACAGAACTTTGGGTAAGAGTGAGAAGGGTAGAAAGAATAACAGGAAACAGTTCAAGAAGGGTAAGAAAGGTGGAAAGTCTGTCAAGGTCGAGGAAAAGACCGAAGAAGAGGTTATTGAGGAGAGATCATCTAAAATGTTCTCGGCTCTTCTTACCGGTTTGAACCGTGCTTTGCCATTCTCTCAGCTTCCTTCTGATATCTACACCAAGCATATGGAGACTCTTTACAAGATCACCCACTCCACCAATTTCAACACTTCTGTTCAGGCTTTGGTTTTGGTGTACCATATTATCACCGAGCAAGGCTTGGACTCTGACAGATACTACAGAACTCTTTATGAGTCGCTCATGGACCCTAGATTGGTCAACTCGTCAAAGCAAGGAATCTATTTGAACTTGCTTTTCAAGTCATTGAAGCACGACATCCATAATATGCCTCGTATTCTCGCCTTTGTGAAGAGAATTTTGCAAGTTTCTTCTCATTGGCTCAACGTTGCTATCATCACTGGTATGATGTTTTTACTCATGGAGTTGAGTAAGACTTATCCCCAGATTGTTGAGCTCATGGAGGCTGTCAAGGACAGACCAGACTTCCCTACCAACGAGATCAATGATTCCAAAGAGACAAAGGCAGAAGTCAAGAGTGAAGATAAGGAGTACGATCCTAAAAAGAGAAACCCATCATTTGCCAACGCTCAGAACTCTTGTCTCTGGGAAATGAACCATTTCATTCTGCATTACCACCCCACAGTGGCCATCTACGCTGATTCCTTCCTCAATGGCAAGCCACAGCCCAAGCCTGATTTGGGTCTCTACACCTTGGCTCACTTCTTGGACAGATTCGTCTACAAGAACGCTAAAGCCAAATCCACCACTAAGGGTTCTTCTATTATGCAGCCTTTGGGTGGTGCCCACACAGGGTCGCTTTTGGTCAAAGCTACAAACAGTCAATCTGACGATGTGCCAGTGAACACAATCAACTGGTTGGCCAAGAAGGCAGAGGATGTCAGACCCGACGAGAGATTCTTCCACCAGTACTTTACTGGAAACACAAGCAAAATCAGAAACAATGAAGCCAAAGGTGCCGAAGACGAGGATGACGAAGAGCACGAGAAGATGCACGATGACGAAGTGTGGGAAGCGTTGGTCAAGTCCCAGCCGGACGTTGAAGGCGGATTGTCCGATGATGACGATATGTCTGATTTTGACGAAGAGGACTTTGCCGACATGAGTGACGGCGACGATGACGATGCTGAAGGAGCACCTTCTACACTTGCTGAAGCATTTGGCGACGACGACGACGACGACTTTTCAGAGAGCGAAATGCCCCAGTTTGACGAGGAGTTCGAGACCAACCAAGGCTCCGACGAAGAAGAGAAGTTGGACGAAGGTCTGGATGCAGAGGATGCTGAGGACGCCGAGGATATGTTTGGCGTGAACGACGAGGATGAGTATGACAGTGACGAGGCTGTCAGTGCGGAGAACACCAAAAAGAGAAGTAACGAAGAAGGCGGCAAGAAGCTGAAGAAAGCTAAGCTACTGAGCTTGCCCATGTTCGCAGACGCAAGCGACTATGCCAAGTACTTGGAGTCGGACGAGGAGTGAAGCAATGTATAGTATAAAGAAGAAAAATCGAGATAGGCACCACGTTCTGATTTCTACGCAAGTCATTGTGAGCGGTTCCAGCCCTAACCTGTAGAATGGCGCAAGCTTGGCGGGTGAGGCCAGCGGCCCAGAGAAGAACGGCGAGATAAGTCGAGGTGCTTGAAACCGAAAAAGTTGCTACTGCGACGCCCTCGTGTCGAAGGTACGGCCGCTACACGGCCATTGTTTGGGGACACACTCAAACGAGACAATTGCATTTTTTTTTTTATTTCTTTGTTGGTGAAAAGCGACCTACTGCCGGCCGGACCCTGGGACCGGTTGATTTCTTGCATCGCTTAGGCACGCCCATTGGACTCGCATACGGCTAATGTGAGACAAGGCATAGGCAGGACGCACCGTTAGGGCCAGACCCAAGCAACTACCCCATACTTGAGCAGTTGATTACCGCCGAAAACCCCAGCTGAATACCACTAGCGGCATTAAAAAGCTTATTACCGGGAGCGTCTGATCCATGCGGCGTTTGTAAATTAACTTTGCAAATCAACGTTCCACCATCTTGGGTAGTGAGCAGTGGGGCAACTTTAGACGATCACCGAAGAACGGTCGCGAATCGTTAGGGCTAACAGAAACAGGAGAAACGCATCTCATCACTGTGCCAGTATTCCGCAGAACCGACCCAATTGCTCGTTTTATGTCATCGTGTTTAAAAAATCAGACTTTCTGCAAGGGTCTTCAAGCTTGGGTCTATGTATGGAGTACCAGAGTCCAGGGCATTCTCAGTGTATCACCCGATCATGCAGCATCTCGTTAACGCCATAGTCGCAGCAAGTTAACGTTTTTTTTCGTGTGGTTGCGCAACCGTTTTTCTTTCTTTTTCTGCACTTGATTTAACTCACCTGGCGTCACCGTTTCCAGAATCTTGCTACTGCCTAAAAGCGCCTTTAAAAAGCTGCGTGGCCCTCGTTGACAACACAATCCCCATTTTTCGGCTTCATCTTTTTAACTGATTTGAATAGTGCATCGCCTCCGATTGCATACCTAGCCTTCCTGTCGCACTTGCATGATTATACATTTGGCGTGAGAGCTCATCAATTTTTCTAGATCCACTTCTTGCACTTCACAAACCCCACAGTTGATGAACCGTATTCTCGATGGCCTCAGCTCCCTCAATAGCCAATATGACATTCTTGTCATGGGCGAGTCCGGAGTGGGCAAGACGTCCTTGGTTCAGCGCTATGTGAACGGAACCTTCTCGGAAGGTCCTCACGATCAGGCAGAACAGCTCTACATTAAGGCTGTTGAGAACGAACAGGCGGAAACTATAGTATCGTCATCTTCCCACAACTCCCTGATCACAGAAATCTCCATCCTAGACTCCTCTCCGCTAGCAGATGTCTATGGCGCTTCCAGAAAGCAACAGGTGAAGAACACATCCACCATTTTGTTCGTCTACGCCATGGATGACAGACAGTCGTTTGAAGCCTTGGAATACTTGATAGGCACAGTCAAGACTTTCTGCGATGGAGAGCTTCCCCCTTTTGTCGTTGTTGCTGCAAAGCTGGACATGTATGAAAGCTGCCAAGTCTGGTACGACGATGGTGAAGCTATGGCTAACCGCTTTGGCGCCTGTGGCTTTTTCCTGGTTTCGGCTCTTTCAGATATCAACGTCAACGACTGTTTCGTGCCTTTGGTTGAAGCTGCACTTGATGCCAGGGAAAACAAAACCTTGATGGCTGCTCGTTCTGAAGCTTTTTCTCTTTCAGAAGCCGTCACAGCGTCTCCCGACAGTTCATTACACGAATTCAAGAACGAAAAAGGCTTCCATTTCCGTCGTCCTTCAAAAATCCCCGCTTCCAACTCGCAAAACTTCGATAGCCATCTTCTGGCCTCAACAGGCCCAGGAATAGAATCTTTTTCTAGTGAGTTTCCCCAAATACCCGAGTCTGGATCAGAGGCTACTCCAGTTGAGAGTTCACTAGCTCAGAGTAGATTGGCCAAAAAGGAAAACCTACAGTCTACTTCCTCCATTTCCACCGGATCATATCCTTCTAAACCAAGGGCTTACCAAAAAGATGAAAAGCCTAAGAAGGAGAAATCCGGCTGTTGCATTATCGTGTGAGCTCTCAAGCTCCCTTGCATGGTTACGACTTTCATGAGATTATCATTAACCCCTTAGCATTCTTATATATACATCACCAATAGCATCTTATCATAAAAAATCGTACTATACTTTTACACTGGAGCATCATCTGCAATGTGAGAGAAGCCACGGAATTGTTCTTGCATCTCAGACGTCAAGACAGTCTCCACTGGAGTCAATCTTGGAGTCTCGGAGGTAAACTCCTGGTCGAAGTTGGAGTAGTCGTGTTCGCTTGAGATCTCAGGCAAATAGGGTGGCTGAATTCTCATGTTGAGCACATCGTCGAAGTTCACATCCTGGAAATAAGGGTGTTCCATAATCTCCAAGGCGTCTCTTTCGCTGCTACCGAGTCTCTGCGTGGATTCCTTGGTCAACAAAGCTTGCAAGACAAGAACGGTTTGACGAGGCATGCTGATAGGGTATCTCACATCATCGTGCTCGATAGCATTGAAAATGTCATCCTCATCATCACCCTTGAAAGGACTCTGACACAACAACATTTGAAACATCAACACACCGAATGCCCACCAATCGACGGAACGGTCATATTGTTTGCCAGCAATAATTTCCGGAGCCATGAATTCCGGTGTACCACAGAAAGTCCCTGTCGTGTTCTTATGCCACATGTTTTCTTTACACAAACCGTAGTCACCAATCTTGATATGTCCTTGAGTTGTCAACAAGATGTTATCCAACTTCAAGTCACGGTAAATGATACCGTTATCATGGAAGTATTTTAAAGCCAATAAGACCTCACAGGCATAGAATTTAGCTCTTTTGGCGGAGAATCTCGACTTTTGAATATGCCACATCAAATCACCACCAGAGACATACTCCATGACAAAGTAAATTCTGTTCTCGGTTTGGAAGCAGCAATGTAAGTTAAGCAAGAAGGGATGTCTCTCCCTGTTGGCAGTCAAGAAAACCTGTTTCTCTGACTTAACGCTCTCAGCTTCCTCATTTTCCACAATGAAGTCCTTCTTCAATACCTTGATGGCGCACAAGTTCAGCGTGTGTCTTGACTCAGCCAACATGACCTTACCAAAATTACCTTTTCCTAAAACAGCAAGAAATTGGAAGTCATCAAGACCAACCTTTCTCCTTCTGCGCTTGGACTTGTGAGGTTTTTGCACGGGTTCATTGCTGTGAGTGGCTTGCACTGGTTCAACCTGCATTGGTTCAGGCTCATTAATTGGCACCTGGGCTGCATCACCTTGCAAATTCGAGTTCACGTTGTTGTAATCAAATGAGTCAAAAAGAGCTGCCGTCTGATTCTGTGTTGGGTGTTCCTCCACTTGCTCAAATGGATTCTGTGCTGAAGCACCATTTGTATCTTGAGCGCGTTCGTTATAGTAGCTTCCCTGAGGCGTGTACTGAGACAGAGTGTCCAGGGAAGAAGAATACGACGACTCCACTGGAGGGGGACGCCGAGGCGGTGCGTGTCTGTGCTGCGGAGGTTCAACAGAAGGTTGAAATTGCAGTGTGTTATTAGTAGGCAATCTCGATGAATAGGGTGGGTCAATATCCTCGGCGTAATCTCCTGGATTCTTTGATAGCCTGCCTGCGAGGACCTTGGGTATGTGGGTTGAAACTGTGGCTGTTGCGGTGGAGGGGAAGTGGGGCTTGTTGCTTCTTGTGATGAAGATGCAAGGGGGATGCCACTGGCAGGTCATCGACGGCAGATTTCTGAGGAGACCCCGAGAATGCTTTTGGTGGAAGCTGTGGTGGTGCTTCTTCAATCTGTTTCTGAACTGCTTGGGCAACCTTGGCAGGACTTTTCGAGGATGGCTTTGTGGATTTAATGGTTGTCAATATCTGGTTTGCCATCTCCATAGACATACCACAGAAGTCTGGAACCAAATGGGTACAGTGAGCGTGGGACATGACTCCACACTCAGAACATTTACGGACGTTCTTCTTACCCCAAGGCAAGATGTGGCCACAGTGACAACACCATTTAGTACCACGGTTTGAAACTGGTTCAAAACGATGGGGATACGGTGATTCAATTTCTCCTCGTCGTCATTCATGTCGCCACTCTTAGAAATACATTTTGTGACCACCTTCTGGTAACATTTCTTGTGACATAAGAAGCGGCAGTCTTGACACTGGTAGCCAGTGTAACGTAAAAACTCTCCACAAAGAGCGCAGCACATAATATTGTAGAATTGTTTTTGAACAAACTGATGGCCATATTGCTCAAAGACTTCTTCCTTCTTTTGACGAATGGCACCGTGACGACCCAAAGCACCCATGAAGTTAGGCTTGGAGCCACCCTTAGACTTTTCAAACGACAAACTCACAAGAATCTGTCCCACAGGCTCAAGATTAACCCAGGCAGAAATCAGCACATTCCTAGAAGTCTCCAGTGATGGCCTTGCACTTTCGACGATAGTGTCGCCGTCAAAGTTAGAGTTCAGGCCGTTATTGCCGAGATAGTTCGATGAACCAAACAGATCAGTTCCACCAACATTTGGTCTGAAGGGGCCATTATTATTTGTTGGTAGACTAGATGCGGGAATCCATCCGTCGTTGCCTGATTCAGCAGCAACCTTCTTCTTACGGATTTCCTCTGAGATATCTGAAAGGAGAATCCATGCGAGGGCGACAGGGACGTTGTGCGAGCCATTCCTGTCATACACTGCGATTTCCATCTCATTGGACTTGTCAACATCGACGATCAAATCTTCGTTGAATTTGCCAGAACGGGAAGCATTAGAGCGTGCTTTCTCGACATCATCAATCTTGATGCAAACGAACGATTCAGGCTTCTTTTTGAGTTTGGGTGACGCGATGTGGTCGATGTCCCTGATACAAGTAATGCTCATCGTCAAACGACCCGAGAATGGTTTTCTTGCATATTTTGGCAAGTTCATTATTTCCATATCCCTGTTGACCAGCTCCACGCTGACATGCATTCCCTGGTATTTTTTCAATGCCTTGTTCAACAACTGGATGCGTTGATCTGACTCCAACTTCCCGCCTTCAGCTGCACTTGAGGACAGCTTGTCGCCATCCATCAAGTACAAGTGAGAAATCTTTTCATTAGCCTCACGGTACTGGTTCTCCACTTGCAATTTGAACTGGAGTTGCTGGAGCATGTGTTGGATCTTGTGCCCCAAGGATGGGCAGTCGTACTTGATCAAATCAAACCTGGAGTAGAGCGGGCGCTGGAAGCTGGAAACACGTTGCCTGTTCTGTTCCTCGGGTTCTTCCGAGGTTTGTTGTGTTTCCTGCTGTTGCATCAGGAGCTTCTCCATGGTTTCCTGAAGGTAATCGATGTTTGACTGTGTTTCTCTGATTTGATTATTACATCTCTGGATGACTTCAGAATTGCCCGTGTTCCTTTTCACGGCCTGGAAGCCCAGGATGAGCTTTTGCTCACGTTCGATCTTCCCCCTGATGTCAGAAATGATCTTTTCCTTCGGTTCACTCATGGCTGATCCAAAATAGAAAATATATTAAAACTGTCGCCTTGTTGAGGACCAAATAAAATCCGTGTATCTAGTCCCACTCTGGCGTCTGGTGTGGCGTAGCGCTTGGGATCAAGAGATCAGAAGATGTATCTTTGGATCTGTCTCAACGTGTTGACTAGTTTCCAAAAAAGACAAAAATGCACTGGGCTTTTTCCTGCAAACAGGCCCTGGAACAAACTGCTTGCCAAACTCCGCCTTGAATGCACCGGGCTACTTATCAGCCCATTTGACGGCTAAAAAAAAAAAAAATCCGAATTGAAGCTCTGGATTCGAATTGAAATTCTGGAATCGTTCGAGACAATTTATGATTTTAGGTTTTGTGGAGTTGATGGTGTGAAACAATTATACGGAGTATTGTTTTTGCCGTGCGAATGGGGTCTAACGGTAGATCTACTCATGAAAACAATTGAGGAGACGGATTGCTTAAAAGACAGAGAATGTAAAGCTCAAGTAGATAGTTGTAGTGTTGCCGAAAATTATATTCGAGACTATGCGGAATTTATTTACTGTTACATAGGCAATTGCAATCGGGAACGGGGCAGACGTAATGCTTAGAGAACCATTCTTCAGCATGGTGAGCGTGATATCCATGGTGGCATGTGAGACAAAAACTTAACTTATTGTCAAAACTTTCATTTATCTGCTGCTTCGTTGGATCATCGCCAGTATGGTCTGATCTTGTGGGAATACGCGTAGCCAAGCTTAACAAGCAAATAGCGCAGCGTGGAAGAGGAGCTCCACAGTGCGGACACAGCTTAGTGTCACCTGAGGGCTGTTTCAAAGAAAGGCGATTGAACTGTTTCATCATTGAGGGGTTGTTGCCCTTCATGGTTTTGGAGCCCGGTGCACCCATGTTTTTGCTGCACCGAGGACATTGAAGGTATACTTGCCGAGGAGGAGGCCGAATTGTCGGAGACCCATTGTGTGTTTTTGACAGCTTGGTTCTTGCAACGTCAAAGAGGGCACGGAGTTTGAATTGACCCCAGGAGTTGAGTAGGTTTCTGTAACTATCAATCCAGTGATCCACTCGGTGGTCTCTGAAGTACCGAGGAACAGCAAATTGTGCAATCAACGAGGCAGTTTGGACATCAGAGGTACGGTCCACAAAAGACTGCAAAAGGTCTATACCTCTTGGCGTGAGACCCGTGAGAATCAAGCCTTCAAGTTCACCTCTGAGTGTCACTGTGTCGGCAACCCTGTTCAAATATAGATTCAAGTCCTTGTCAGACAAGAATCTCAAAGCAATACCGATTCTCTCTCGTAAAGGCAAAGCATGCTCGTCTAGAACATCCCACCAATCGTTATCTGCGATGAATGCAAAGATGGCTCTGAGGTAAGGGTGATCAAGCTCCAGAGCTAGCTTTCTGCACTGGTCATTCCAAGGCAGATTAGTGTTTGAGTCTTTATAAGCCAAGTAGCCTGCAACCGCTGTTGACATTAACTGGAGACGCTCCTTCTTGGACAGAGCCAAAATTTCGACTGCTCTGGCTACATTTCCATGGAACACTGCCCAGCCAGCTGCTTTCTCGACTTCCCCAGATTTTATAAGTAGGTCAAGCTTCTCATCGAACTCATTTTCAGTGAGGTACCACCCACTGACAATTAAACAAAGCTTTCGTTGAATCTTGCGATCACTCGTGCTGAATATACTGATTCCTGACGACTTCTCGCCCTTCTTTGAGACGATTGACTTCACTGCGTTGTTAAATTGTTGGTCCGTCACACTTTGCTTCAAAGTAGCTCGCCTCTGTCCCTCAATTTCTTCGATTCCTTTCCAAACTCCCAAAACGCCGATGTAGCCCAAGTCAACGCCCTCGCTGACCATTGTGCCTTTGTCAAGAGACTTTTTGGCCAAGTTCAACCATTTCCACGTGTTCATTATCAGAAGAGGCGTTTGTACTCCTCTTACCTGCTCCAAAATTTTAGGGTTCTGTTCTGTGTCCACGCCGTAGCCTAGGAGTGCTCGTTGTCTTATCAAGCCACAGACATCGTTTGCAAGTACGCTGGAAAGATCAAGCATTTTTTTCAAAGGTATGATCTCATCTTCCTCGAACTTCACAATGTCTAGAGGCAGGGAGCTTGGAGCAGGTGTGGTAGTTGTGGTTGCAGGTTCTGTGCTCTCTTCATCGCCAATTGTTGATGTCACCTCTGCCAACGAATCGTTCTTCAGATCAAACTTTGAGTCTTTCCTTTGGACCTCGGTCGCGGCAACACCTGCTGGCATGACTTGTTCTCGATCTTCCCAGAACTTCGTTGCAGTTCCCTCTGGGCCGGCCATTGAGAACTCATTGTACGAGTTGAAGTCGAGTGACTCAATACTCTCCACTACTGGCATCCTAAAGACGGAGCCCTTCTCTCTCATGCAAACGAAATAAGTCGATGTAGACGACTCAATGTCAGGTGAGTAGTCGAAAGAAATGACCCTGGGCGAGTCGGTTTTTGAATCAAGCACAAGTGCCACAAATAGCGACTCGTCATTTGGATCGTATAATTGAACAGATTGAGATTTCAAGGATGATAGTGTGTCGTTGGAAGTGAATGTTGTCACATTTGGGGAATCTTTCATCGGCGGAACGACACCGGTATTCCATCTTCGAATCAAGTTCCCATTGAATACAGAGGCAAACTCGCCTCGTCTTATGGTGGAGTAGCGGAAGCATGGAGAGCTATTTCTTCGCAGCAGATCACTCAAGAGCTTTGTGAACTGAAGCACCGGGGTTTCGGATGACACAGATCCTCTTGATTTGCCAACAAGCTTTCTTCTATCCCAGATAGAAACAGAGCCATCCTCACTCAAGGATGAGAACATGTGCGGTTGAAATGGATCTAAGGTGATGTCCATTGTCAGCTTCGTGGCAACCTGATATACCGGGGACATGCTGGAGTCTCTCAAATCAAATTCTCGAAGAAGCTTATAACCACCTGCCATAAGGTTCGTTCCAGAGCCTTCATTACCGACAAAGACAGTAGATAAGGTCGCCTCGTTGGCCAAGTAGGAGTAGTGGGGTCTAATGACTTGATCGTCATCAACTGAATTGGCAAATACTTGGGAATGCTTTGCAATGTCCCAGACTTGAAGGGAGTTGTCTTGTCGACTTTTGTCAAAAGAGGCTGCCACAAGCGCGTTGTTGTTGAAGGATAACGAATTGCATGGTCTATGTTGCTTCAGCCGAAGTTTCAATGTGGACGTATCGTTCTTGGTTACATCAAAGATGTGTACAATTCCGTCCATTGTACCCACACCTGTCCAACCGGGATGGATCTTTGAGTAACCAAGACATTGGATGTGTTCAATGCCCGAATGGGAATGCACTTTGAGTAGATTCTCCGAATTCTCGGCTGGGTCCTCATTTTCGGTTTGATATAGAATCACCTCATCACCCAACGGATTCACAGCTAAGAACCGTTGCTCATAGCCGATGTCCCAGTTAAGAGCACGGACAATCATTCCACTCATGATAGTTGAGGTGGTGAGGTTGATGTATTTTTCGCACCCAGATACAACATCATGGCTCTAGTGCAGACTCAACGTCTATATGTATATTATGCATTACTAAAAGTAGTTTAATGAGTGGCTTGTTTGGATTTGGGGTTCGTTTCCTCCTCCTTCTTGATGACGAAGTCCACAACATCGACAAGGTTTTTGAAGCCCGTCTTGGAACCCTTCACCTTGAGAAGGTGCAAGGATGAGGAGTTAACCAAATCGATCACCTCTATCTTGAAAACCAATTTTCTTCCCCTAGCGAATCGGGATGGTACAACACCGCTGATCAATGCGAATTCGTCGTCAATATCGACATTTGTCACGGATCCCTCCACTTCCTTGATCTTCAACTGGTTCTTGATGATACGCATGAGATCACCGGAATCCAAGAAGGTGTCGATAATGTGAACATTCTTTTTTGCCTTCTGCTCCTCCTCAACATGTTCATCTTTGCTGTTGCCCTTAGATAATGACATGAAGAAGCGCTTGAACCAGCCAGCGCCGGAAGGTGATTTAGGCGATTCGTCTGATCTGGGTGCAACGAACCTTTTAGCATTGGACACAAGGGAAATACCCGAGAATCGGTTGTGACCTCTAGTTTTTGATTCCTCTTTTATGTCATCACCAGGCGCATTTGGAGCCTTCCTCCTTGGTTTGATACTCCACTTCTTCAGACTTCTCTCAGGTTTCAGCGACACTCCAAGCGGCAACTGGCCAAACAGTGGCGTTGTGGACTCTTGTTGGGGAACTTGAGCAACGGGCTCAGTGTCCATTGGCGGCGTGCCCTGCGTGGCTGCTTCCTTCATGTGCATAGTGCTGAATATTTGAGTCGATGCTGCTGACCGGCGGAGTGACCCATTTGTCTGGCGGCGAGGGCGGTTAGGTGATCTCTGTGGAATCTCATCCTCATCGTTGACTTCATGTCTCGTGGCGACATCGATTCGCTCCTCCTCGCCACCGTAACTTTGGTCGTCTCTATCGGCTGCGTTCTCCACTTCATAAGAAGCGTTTGTGTTCTCGACAAGAGAAGAAGTGTCCAAGACATTTGCACGAACTCCCTCATCTCTGAATTCAGAGTGATTCGAGATGTTTGACTTGGCGGAGAAGCTCTTGCTTCTACCATGCGAAGAGAGCTCCTCTGGAAGCAAGGTGTTATGAGATTTATGAGACCAGCTTCTTTCCTCATTAACGCCCACCAAAGTCTCCTTGGAATTCTTGTGTTCTGTATTGCCTTGGACATCATCTTCGATAACTTGTGATGCACTTCGCTGAGAGGCCTTAAGCAGCAACCTTCTCTGTTCCTCCTCAGTTCTGTTCATATCGACAATATGATGCGATAAATTGTACTCCTCTCCTCCACTGGACTCTGAATCCTCATTTATACTGATGGCTTCTTTTTGAAGTGTAGTACAGTTTGCACTATAATCGTCATCAGAAGCATTTATGGAAACAAAGTTGTGTTCGCCAGAGGTCTTGGATGCGTTTCTCGAATGCTCGTTACTGTTGTCCATAATGATCCCCAAACCTTGTAGGTCTTGTGTTGGCGACTTTTTGATGAGGCCATTACCTTGCTTCGTGTTAAGGGTTTGTCTAGATGAACGCTTCACGGTGCCCGAGCTTCGAGTTTCCTCAAGAATGGTAGCATCGGCTTGATCAGTCTTGGGCTTAAGGATGTCATTGAACGAGAACTTAGAAAATCTTGGATTTGGAATCAAGTCAGGATGTGTGCGGACGCTCATACGGGTGAGATCGGAGTCACGGCCAGCTGCCTTGTTGGTGTTACCAGACCCGGAAGCAATGGTCTCCAGCAAAGGTTTGAAGCTATCTCTTCTGGTCTGCTGAGGCTGCTCCATAGATTTTCGAAGTGTAGATTGACTGTCCCTCGAGGATTGTTTGGAATGAACCAACTTAGACTCATCTTCACCATTCAAAGTTTTCTGTGATTTCTGCGACTTGATGCTTGGAAGGGTTTTGTTGAGGTCAATGGAGTAGTCAGCTGCGTTTTCGGTACTGGGCTCATCCTCTTCCTTGAGCACAGATGCCAAATCCTTTGAAGTGGAGGTTTTCATGAAGGAGGCCTGACGACTAGGTGCTTGAGGCTGCTTAACTTCAATGCCCAACCTCTGTAACACAAAGGCATTCTTATCCCTTCTGGGTTAGCAGAGAGTGAAGGCGTTCTGGATGCAAGAGTTTTGGACCGGAGTAAGGAAGATTTTGGATCCAACGAAGTCGGGTGAAAGGGCTCTGAGGAGATCCTCTGGGATGCATTTCTGTTGATAATTCTAGAGGCCTCGATCAGCTTGGCTTGTAAAAGTTGAGACTGCTTCTTACGTTCCGTTTCTGCCTGAGCAAGATGTTCCTCATTCTTCTTGTATCGGAGTTCACGTTCGTCGTTCTTCCTTTGAACTGATGCGGCGAGGTCCTTCTCTCTTTGCCTAATTCCAAGAAGCTTTTTCTGGCGCAGATCATTTTCATGTTGAGGCTCAGTTAGCGTCTTTATATTGCGTGATGACGACTCGGGAGTTTTTGGAAGTTTTGGAAGCACCAAGGAAGCCTTGCTCATACGGTTGTTCAAAACATCAAGCTTGTGAATAGTATCCTTAGTAAGGTTCCTTTTATCCAGCGTGAGAGTCATGTCATACACAGATTTGTGATCAACATCTGAACCAAATACCTCCTGACAAATCCTCTGAAATCGATCGATGGTTCCATTTCTCGTGACACCCCGAGGATTACTTTTTGATATAGTTGAGACCTCATCAACAAATGCATTTTCCTTGTCCTCCTCCAATGCAGCAATTTGATTTAACTGATTTGCGTGCGGAGTCACTGTTCTTGAAATCGGTTTCGAGGATTCCACTTTCACGTTTTGATTTTGAGCCAGAAGAACACGGTGCTTGCTTTGAAGAGATCGGCTAGAAGCATTTCGTGAGGCCGGTCTGCTGTTAGCACGCTTGTTTCTAGCATTCGAAGCAGTGAAGGTTTTGTTTGTGACGTTTGCCAAGGGACGCTTGCGACTTCTAGAGGAAGCTGTGGAGGTGGTAGATGAAGAACGGGGAAGTTTCTTCATGGACGTCTTGGAACTGGAATCACCATCTGCTATCGTTGCTTTCATGGTCGACGCAGAACGAGGAGGCTCGTCGGCATGGTTAGCATCCTCGTCATCGTCTGCGGCGTAGTTGGAAGGGGAGTTCAGCAAGTGCTCGTTTCTGTACTTCATTAAGAGGTAATAGAACATCTTTTCCGGTGAACGTTCTTCAGCCAACAAGCACTTGACAATGTATTCCTCGTTGCAGTTATGAAACAAAATACTCAAGTTTCGCAAGATCTCATTGTCGATCTTGTCTCTCAGCTGGATTGGCCTTATATTTGAATGAAGAATCAAGTCATTGTCTGATTTGCAGCTGATCGACTGTGGATCAGGGTATTTTGTTAAGAGTGGGTGTTTCAAGATTGAGCCAATCAGGATTCTCTCGTTTGGATTGACGCGTAACATTCTAGAAATGAGGTCCTTCGCCTCCCAGGAAAGAGCACTTGGCATGATGAACTTACCGTTCTGGACCTTCATGAGAAGTTTTCTAATGTTCTCGTCGTCGAATGGTAAATGCCCTGTCAACAAGGCGAAAAGGATGATACCACAGGACCAAATGTCCGAGGGAGCACCGTGATAGTTCTTACCTGCGACGATTTCAGGCGATGCGTAGTGAGGAGAGCCACAAGATGTTTCTAAAAGTTTCTCGTTGACCTGAAGCGCAGCCATGCCAAAGTCTGCGATTTTGATGTTTTTGTTGAAGTCAAGGAGCAAGTTCTCCGGCTTCAAGTCACGGTGACAAATGTTGAACTGATGCAAGTAGCCTATGCCGTGGATGATCTGCTTGAAGTAGTTGATGGCCTCGTATTCCAGCAAGCGGCCACGTTTGATCAAGTAGTCGAAAAGCTCGCCGCCTTCGATGTACTCGAGAATGAGGTACAAGTCTGACTTGTTTTCCCAGACATCGTATAATCCCATGATGTTTGGGTGTGAGATGAGCTTCATGATGATGATTTCACGTTCAATGCCATACGGGAGCTTTGTGGCGTCCAGATTCTTGTACTTGGGGTTTTCAAGTTTTTTGAAGTTCAGCTTGGGCACGATCTTGACGGCAGCTAGGCGGCCGGTGTCGACGTTTTTGGCAAGACGGACCCGACCAGTGGATCCCCTGCCGAGAGTCCGACCGAGCTTCCAGGGCCCAATACGGTTCTGCGTTTTCTTTTTCTTGCTGGAGTTGTTCGTCGTGGTGGAGATCTGGGACAAGCGCTTGGTAGCGTTTGTCACGGACTCAACCACCTTGTCGACGTTGGCCGTCGACGCGTGGGACGAGAACTCCATGGATTTGTGGACGATGGAGGCCATGGACCGAAAGAATGACTAGGGTGGGATGTTAGGGCAGTGGTGTAGTAAACAGGTTTTGGGTTAGTGCGCATTTGTAGCACGATCTGGCGCCAGGAATTCACGTTTTCGCAGTAAACAAACAGACACGGTACGAGTGCAGGGGCGGCCTCGCGATCTCTTCGACTTCTCCAGAGAGCAGTGGGAGAGATAGTGATGGAGAGGGTGGAGAGAAGAAAAATTTTTTAGCTGAATTAAAATATCAATTGTCATTGCAATCGAAAGATCCTATACAAATGTCCAATTCCCGGGTGTCACAGAATACACGTGGTATTCCTGGTGGCTGCCACACTCCAGTATATCGGGTCGCAGTGGGGCAGTCGAGGGAGGCTAGGCTGCGACACTTAATTCATGGAGCCCTGGCTCTGCTTAGTAACGGTGGGCGGCATGCGGCGGTTGCGAGGACAACACAGAAAAAAATAAGAAATTTTCAATGTCAAAGTTTCGAGGGCAAGGGTCTTTGCAAAAATTCTTGATTGCCTTTCTTTGAACGTTCTTTTCGAGGTACGTAATGTCACTGCCCTGGGGCCCGAGTGGCTGGGGAATGTGGCCGTGTTTCGCGGAGTCTGAGCGTTCCTTGTCTACCCGTGTTCTGATGGTCCGAATGCTCAAATGCTGATTACAAAAGCTAAAACTGGCAAAGAGAATAAGGTTGGAAAAGAGAAAGAACTTTCTGAGAAAAACAAGGTTGATGAGAAAAACGGTTGGGTGATTGTGCCTGGTCTTCCGTCTGTCGGTAGGAGCTGAAAAATCTCCCTCTCTCCTAATGTGCCACCACAGCCGATAGAAATGAGGATCAGAGAAGTGCCAGTAATGAAAAAAGGGACATTCTCTTCGGATTATCTCATGAAATGAACGAAAACCCCACCTGGGGAATCTCCCAATCCGATTCGGTAATGCGGGTTGAACTGCCTCTGAGAAGCCATTTCGCAGCCATTTTGGGCCCGAGGCCTGTCGCGGCTAGATCTATCTGAGATTCTTTCTAGATCCGAGATCCCCGGTGACTACATCACTTTGCTGTGGAGCCTCGATAATATTTCTTCTTATAGAGGCCCCCTCTGCCCCTATTTTGCGATTTTTTCTGCAAAACCGCCAATGCCTATTTTCCCGACGCCCCTGTCTCACTCTGTCCTCACGAGCCTTTCTGCGCCATCGAAGCCCAAATTTGAGGAAAATGTTCAGTTCGATAATGCCTAGCTCCAGAAAAGTAATCGTATACGTATTCTACCCAAGAATTTTTTTTTTTTGCTCATGCCAGGCCCCTATTACTCTTGCTGTTGACGACCGACTCCTGCATACGCATGCTATCTCTATCACAATACCAGCCTTCATCAAGCCTCCCCATCAACTACTCCTTTATGCTCAGATTCAAGAACAAATTCAGATTCGGCTCATCCGAAAAGGAGACGCCGCAGCAGTCCAACTCTCCTCGCAACTCAAGTGAGTCTCGCTCTACTCTAGTGCAAAACTCCTCGGTTCCAGACATGCTGAAGCTTTCTCTCAACGAAAGAGACACACCTTCTCCATCGCTGCATGCCTCCAAACAGAAAGACCAGCTGTCAGACTCCTCAAGGAGCTCACCACATAATCCTACTGCTACGTCAAATCCGGGCTTGCTTACAGTGAAGTGTTACCGCTCTCAAAATATTGAGCTCCCAATCAAGATCGTCAACAATAAGCAAATTTTACATGCTTTGGCTTCAAATACGAATGATTCCAACACAGGCTCAACCCTTTCCAAGCGACTCAATGATTTAATTCAGAAGGAGCAGGCTAACTCTAGTACCTCGGACCTTATCGAGGGCTCCGCTGCTGCCTCCTACTTACCGTCCAATATCAACATCCCCAATGCCACCGGAGACAGAGTCACTAAGGCCTTGTTGTACATGACAATGGAATTTGACAATAACGTGCTTATGATTGAACCCAGAGGCGGAACTGTTGACAGCTCTCAGTGGGATAGAGTGGTGTCTTTCGATGTCACGAAAACGGTAGGAGGCGGCTCCACAGGATCGAACTTCCTCAACATCAGTTTATTTATAAGGTTGCCTAGAAACTTGATCCCAGAGCAAGAGAATGGTACCAAGAAGCAGTTCTTCGCTAAGGACGGCTCCAATATCGGTGATTTACTCGTGGGGCAGATCAAGTTGCCTTTGAACTTGCGCTGCCACAACAAAACCATTCGTTTGATCGATCACGAAAACCTCAAATTCAAAAAGAGCTTCGAGCTGGTCGCTGACGACATGGCCATTGGTGAAATCAACGTGAGCATTGACTTCAAGCCGCTCCTCAAAAACCACTTGTCAATTGAAGAATTTGACTTGCTCAAGGTCATCGGTAAAGGCTCTTTCGGAAAGGTCATGCAAGTGATGAAGAAGGACACTAGACAGATCTACGCATTGAAGACCCTCAGAAAGCAGCATATTATCTCTAGAATGGAGGTTACCCATACACTTGCTGAGAGAACTGTGTTGGCTCGCATTACCAATCCATTTATTGTTCCACTTAAGTTCTCATTCCAATCTCCAGAAAAGTTATACTTGGTGTTGTCTTTCATCAATGGTGGTGAATTGTTCTACCATTTGCAGAAGTCGGGTAAGTTTTCTATGAACAGATCAAGATTCTATATTGCCGAGCTTCTTACAGCGTTAGAAAGTTTGCACAACCTCAACGTCATCTATAGAGACTTGAAGCCCGAGAATATCTTGCTTGATTACCAGGGACATATCGCCTTGTGTGACTTCGGCTTGTGCAAGCTCAACATGTCCAATGAAGATAAAACTAACACCTTTTGTGGAACTCCTGAATACCTTGCTCCTGAGCTTCTTTTGAATCAAGGCTACACTCGTAGTGTGGACTGGTGGACGCTCGGTACATTATTATATGAGATGTTAACAGGTTTGCCGCCATTCTACGACGACGATGTGCCAACGATGTACAAGAAAATCATGCAGAATGAATTGAAGTTCCCAAGCTTCCTCGAGGAGACAGAGGCTAAGGACCTTTTGACCAAGCTTTTACAGAAAGATCCTGCCAACAGAATGGATGACGCTCAGGAGATCAAGAATCATCCATTTTTCCAAGACATAGACTGGAACAAACTTTTAGACAAGGCCTACTTGCCGCCCTTTAAACCTCAAGTTGAGAGTTTGCTAGACACATCCAATTTCGATCACAGTTTCACCAATGAACGCCCGCAGGACTCCGTTGTTGATGACTTCTTGAGTGAGTCCGTTCAGAAGCAGTTTGGTGGCTGGACCTACAATGGTGATGCTGTGTTCTGATTATCATAATGTTTAACGTCAAAAGTATTTGTACCTAATTAATGTTACCTATTTGCGGCATTGTAGTACGAAGTACCTGAGCTGCCGGGAAATCCTCCTGAGGACTTGCCTTGACTCTTGTTGCTTGGTTCTAATGGAGCACCATGCTTGAATGCCTCTCTAGGTTTTGGAAAGTCGCCATAGGCCATCCGTTGTTGATCCCTTGCCTTATACTGCTGGTACTCCGGTCTAGTGTACTGCCCATTGTCTGTGGCGATATTGACAGTTCTTGGAGGAATCACGTAGGCATTAGGAGGCATGGAAGCATTGCCTTGTTGGTAGCCCTGTGGCTGCTGTGGAGCTCCACCCCACCCTGGTGCCTCCCATCCAGATCCTTGGTTCTGTGGAGGTGGTGGAGCCTGAAAGTACTGGCCTTGTTGTGGAGGAGGCTGTTCAAAACCATCTCCCTTCTTATCAATTGGGTATCCATTGGGGCCTGTTTGCTTCTCTGGAGGATAATCGCTGGGGCCGTACGTGTTGTCATTATACTGGGGCGTCTCATCGTTACCAGTGTGAATCTGCTGCAGCTGGTCGTAAGATGGAGGTGCATCAGATGGAGCACCAGATGCACCTTGGTCTGTTGGAAGAGGGGCTGGTGGCCTGTTTTCTGGCAGTTTCTTGTCGTCTTTGCTAAACAAACCCATTGTTGATAAAACTAAAATAAATAACGGATATGTGACGTCAGGTAGGGTAGTTGCTCCAGCCTTGGATCACGTGCGCGGCTTAGTATTACAGCCAAGAATCGCCACATGTTAGAACCAGCCCCCTACAGAAGCTCTGGATGTGGATAATTTGAATGCTCTTGACCTTTTAGATATCTACTATAATTGTATGTTGAGTGTATGTTTCAGTAGATGTGAATTTCGATGGGGTTTTCTCTGTCCAGCAGACCAACAACTCCTCTTAACTGAAAAGAATGCCGATGGATGAAATCATATGAAGAATTTTCAAAAAAGACAGCATCATCTGATTTGGAATCGTCTTCTTACTGTTACTCCCGAATCTACCCAGCTATTTGATCTTAGCGGTGTACGGGTGCGACAGCTACTTCTCAAAATTTTCATGCATTCGTAGTCTCACTATCCAACGGTCACTATGCTTACAAGAAACATTGGGTCGATCAGCAGGCTTGCTGTCCGTAACAAGGTCACGACAGTTTCTCCAGAGACGCAGAGAGTTGTCAACCAGCTTTCTGTCTTGTCTGCCTCCAAAAAGCAGCCCAAAGTGCTTAGGCTTTGCAAAGAAGATTTGATCAAACACCAGACAATCACAAACGCTTGGAAGTTGTTCAAGCGGAAGAACGAGGAAAAGAGACACAGACAACTCGTCAAGCAGTATGAAAGCATAAAAACTGCCATGAACGAATTGAAAGAGGTGAGTCCTGAGTTATTCGAGGCCGCCAACAAGAAGGAGTCTGTGAGATTCCCAGTTGACATGAGGATACCCACAGATTACCCACCAAACAAGCCATGGGTTTCGTATTACTCCAAACCAGAATCCCAAAAATAATCCTTGACTCCATGGAATGGATCAAGGGACGTTGCATACCTGTAAATATAATACACCATTCGTAATGAATCGCTGTTGATTCGGACGGTAGATAGAAGTCTTCGAGGCCCCGCTTTCATTATCTCTTGCTTCAACATGATCCCTCTATGTGTTCATCAACAAACTCATTTGGTCTCTTCTAGACGGTTTTTTCTTTTTCTGCCCGGTGTTCCAGGTTGCTCCTTGTTGCCATTTGGTACATTACTCGCAGGCGTCTCGACAGAATCCTCAAAATCGTCGTAGTCTGGGCCTCCAGTTCCTTGTCTCTTCATCAATGTCCTCACAAACGTAGCTGACAGAAGACTGAAAATATGGTCATCATCGGTGTACACCATCTTGCGTTTGCTTGAGCCACCAGAAGATGACTTGGCGAAGCTATCAAATCCCTTGACGATATTGCCATAAGTGCTCTCGTTGAAATAGTCGTTTTCTTTCTCATAGATGCTACTCTCTAGCGCTTGTAGCTGTGCATCTAGTTCCTGCTTCTTCACTATTTGCTGCGAGAGCTGGTTTTTGAGCTGTGTGTACTGATCAACAGAGCTTTGAGGTTTAGACATGTCAGGTTTTTGTCAAATCTGATATCCAGATGTTTATTCTGGGGCGTATACTGATATCGTGGGCTACCTTACACCCGTGCACCTCGATACATAGTACATTTGATCCCGGACACCAACAGTAGTATTCAATAGAATAATGGTGTTATCTTGGTGTTTGGTTCTATTGGGGTGAAGATGATTCCTAAGTCAATATTTTTCTTTTGTTTCTTCTTTTGAGAGATTATCGTGATACTTCATGAAACTTCAATGGGTGCGAAATAGTATTAAATCTCAGTATTATCATCAACAATGCAAAATCGTCGAAGACTTGTATTTTATTACATATCTGAATTCATTAGCTTCGAACACATGAAATCCATAAATTGAACCAGATATCCTTGATTAGTGTTCTATGATCTCGTAGATCCCATTTATTTTGAGGTGTCTGACTATCGCGTAAGACTAACGGTACTGATATTTCGCACAGGAAATCTTCCATCTACTACCATCACATCATCATGATCAGGACTTCACTTCGAGGGATTCGAGCAGCTAGACAATCCCGAACTTATGCCGCGATCAAGTTTAATGAAAACTTTGATAATCCAAAGTTGAGCCCAAAGCCAAAGCTTTCTCAATTCAAATATCCTTTGTTTCACACCTTCTTGATTGCATCGACAGCTTACATGGCACTCAATACCCTCTGGTACGGCTTAGAATATAATGAAGTTGAGAAGAAGCTCAGAGAAAAGTCTGCGAAGCTAGAAGAAGAGATGAATGTTGCATTAGAGGAGGCCAAGGTCGAACTTGTGGACCAAAAGCCAAAGAGAAGTTGGATTTTCTTTTGGAGGAAATCGTGAATTGTCTATTGTTGATGATTATCGTTTCTTCTCATCAGTCTCCACTGCTGGAATTTTGCCGCAGAGTTTCCGAAGACTGAGTTCTCTCGTTCGAGTCCAGAGCTTATGCTACCAACTGTGTCGTTTCCAACGGCAGCTTCATCATCATCAGCGTCAACATCCCGTTTCATTTTCTTTACCAAGCCCACAGCAGTTTCATACTTCAATCTGTCGAATCTGCGCATTCTAAAGGAAGCATTCTTCTTGAACTCCTCATAGTCATCCAAGAGCAACATGTCAATAGTTTGCCTCAACTCTGCAAAAGTGGATTGTAACGCAACAGAGCCACCTTGTTCGTCAGTATTGCCTGAATCAGCTAGTCTCGCCATGGACAGCTCGAGATGCCTGACGTCAAGATCGAAGTTCTGAATTGCGATCTTGTTGAAGCCTCTGGCGTTCACGAGAATATTGAGGAAATGCTCAGAAATAAAGTCATAACTTCTGAATAACCCCAAGGTTTTAAATGAGCTCGGCAAATTGGAAAAGATCGAGTTGAACATGTTCTCCAAGAAAAGCGAAAAGTCAAGGATGAAGAAGTTGGGATCGGAGTTTGGTGTAGCAGGATACCAATCGTCGTATTCAACAGAATCAACAAGTTCTGCTAATTTTTGATCGACCATGCTGAAAATAGTGTCCTCAGAGAACTTTCTGACGCTTGTAAATAGTTCAATTGCACGTAATTTGAAAATCGAGTTGGTATCAATGTTCATGATGCCGATACCATTATACCTGCGCAACTTAGAATCGAGAAGCTTTCCAATCTCATACAAACTGTACACGTAGTACTCCAAGTTTGAGAAACTCTGAACAACTATCTCCTTGTTTCCTGAGTTCTTGCTGATGAATTCCTTTATGTCGTTACAAATACCAACACCAGGCTCGTCACCCAACACTCTTTCGAAAATCTCTTCCACGATAATTCTGTTGATTTCATTGAGGTCGTAGTTGTATTGGCGGGAAACGAAGTCCAAGATATCTTGCATCAATGTTCTGATGCCTAAGCAGTAATGAACGTAATCTTCGCTGAATGGAAAGGAGATGGGCATTGACTTGACATTTTTTGGAGCGAAACTTGCGTCTCTGCGGTACCAGCAAAGCTTCATGACATTGTCGTAGTCCTCTCTTTCTGATACACCAAGGGGCATGTAATGGTCAGATTGAATAGAAGTCATAAACTCAAGTCTGAAGTCTTCAATCAAAATAGGACCGAAGTAGTCCCTGAAAATGATGATCATGATTTCGTAGAGCTCAGTTATCTTGAACTGACTATTCTCCATGACTTGAAGAAAGTGACCTAGACACTCCTTGAAGTTGGAGAGAAGATCTAAGTCGTCTCTCAGCCACTTTCTTGTGTTTAGGAAGTTCAAGAGGACCGGTTTAAGCTTAAGCACGTAGGATTCCCAAAGATCGTCCGATGTAGCATTAGAACGAAGCTCGAACTTTGTTCTCGTGTTTAGTTCCTTGTCAGCAACAAAGAACGCAGAGATTTTGCGCAAGTAAGTTTCCAAACTGTTGAGATCTGGGAACAGTACAGATGGTTCTTGGCTGTACGGCAGTCTGTCATAAGACTTGGTGGCAGAAAGAGTAATTGGATGGATAATCTTCCTGTATTTTTCCATCCATTCTTTATGATACATCCCGGAAAGCGTTGAAGAGTCTTTCAAGGAATTGTAGACTAGAATACAATCGTAGATTGGATTCAAAGAGATTCCGAGCTCTTCAGGTTCAAATACATGGAATGCCAATTCGGGGTCTCTCATGGAGACTTCGATAGGTGAATTGAGTCGGTGAGGTAGGAGGAAGCCACTGCGGGAGTCATTTCGTAGTGATTCCCAGTGTTCATCAAGTTTGTATAGGTTCTCGTAAAGCAGGTCACCTATTCTATCGATCTTCCTCTCCAAATGGGTGGTCAACCACATCTTGAGACTTTCGAATGACTCCTCCTTGATCATGTTGGTCATATGAGGAATGGAATTGACTATCTTGACCGAGAATGAGAAGTCCCTGACCTTAGGCAAATGAATTGTCTGAAGCTCGTCAATCAACTTCAATGCGCTGAATGACTTTTGCTGCTTGATTAGCTCCAAAATTTTGTTGTTGATTTCCAACACCTGGTTGCATAGATTCAACGTCATTATGGTTTCGTTAACCTTTCCGGTGGTCTCCTTGCTCTTTATAAGAGCCTTTTTCCGAGCCACAAGTTCGAAAGCGGATTTGTTCAAGTAGTTATTCACATGCTGCATTGTTTTGCTGAGACTGGCCGATTCCTGAGACACCCCGTCAATCGACTTGATGCATTTGTTGATGTCTCGAGCAGAGCCTAGCGAAATGTCATTGAGCTCACTGTCTTTTTGCTTGACTATATCATTGAGCTTGCCGATAAACTCCGACAACGCATTGGCCTTCAAGGCATCCTTGATGAGTGGAGCCAAACTGTCCAAGTAGTCCTCAGAGTCGAGGGTGGTCTGGAAGACGTCGGCATCTCGAATAAACAATTTTTCAAGCTGTACACTATCAATGTCAAGTTTACCCTTAGCTGAACCATTGGTCTGGCCTGCATTGGGCACCTTAGAGGGAGCCATGGTATCAGTTGTAGGTGTTTGGTGATACTTGTCGAGTGCGCGCAGTACTAGCATTATTACCGGGGAAGCTGATCCAGAGCATTACAGCTTGTTCATATAAAAAATTACTATATTGTGGGACATTTGATAGTCTCGACGAATCTATTGAGCTTTATACCGTACGGAAGCGTACGTAAGTTCGATCCTCCAATTGCATCCCACCTCCTACCAGAGAAGCCATGATACCGAATAATGTGCTTATACTAGGGCCGCCTGAGTCGGGAAAGATCAGGCTAGCTCAGCATATAACCAAAGACTTGGACACATCTACAATCTCAGAAAAGTCACACTCGGGTCTCATATACAACCACAGTCTCAAGACGAAGTATTTCTCTACAGATTTGAATCTCTTGATCGAAGAGTTTCCGGAAGAAAGGCCAGTCGAGGCAGAGAAGTTCCTCGATAGCTTGCGAGAGTGGAAAACTGCCTTTGAGTCAGAGGAGTACGAGGAGCTCAGAGATGCACTAGACGGGATCATATTCACCATCAACCCAGACCAGACATCGAAGAGGGATTGGAAAGAGATCATGCTTTGCTATTACGAGATTAAGAATAGCATAGATGAAGGGTGTTTTAGTACTGTTATTGCTGCTACAACTCAAAACACTGAATGCTTGGAAGAGCTCGAGGATGAGTGTATCCAATATGGGATTGAGTTTATCTACGAGGGAGAGACAGGCACCAATGAGTTCAAGGAAAAACTCGGCAAAGAAAGAGTTCAGGAGATTTTGGAGAGTCATGAATGGTCCCATATTTCCCCTTCAGAACCACAAGAGTATGTCAAGCATAAGGAGGAGAAGATAGATAGCATGACGAGAGGTCTTCTAGAGCCCGAGACCGAGTCAATTGCACTCGACCAGCTTGTTGAAAAGCTACGCCTCGAAAGGTCCAAGGCCACTGGCATGAAGCCCGAAGAGAAGGAGCACTACGTGAAACTGGTTATTGAAGAGCTCATAGATTACATATAGATGCGCCAGCAAAGTCTATAATCTATAAAGCTAGCCGGTATCTTAGAGTCTGGCAGCGTACGGGTCTTGATACTCAATGGAATAGCCTGGCTCGAAGGAGCATTCCTGGCAGTCTTCTCCGGCAACGCCATTCTCGTGAATGAACACGCCAAAGTCAATGTGTGGGATCTTCTCGTCGATGACAACCATGGGAGCATGCCAGGTGCCAGCACCGTAAGTGACAGATTGGTTGCCTCTGCACAAGAAGGCCTTGATCTTGTTTGGGTTCGGAAGTTTATCGGCCAGCAGTTCGTCTGTATCGGCCACGACAACAAGGTATGAAACCTTTTCCAAATCCTGGCCCATAGGCACAAAAGTCTGGGAGCTGTATGGGTGTCTCTCGAGAACAGTTGCCTTGTAGGCCTTGGTCTTTGATCCAGAGATCAAGTGCTTTGGAGCAGAGCACCTGAAAATGTTCCAGTTTGCTTGAGCTGGCTTGCCGCTCTTGCATTTGCTAAAATTATTCGTCACAGGTGCAACTTTGTGCAATTTGATTGCAGTTCCATAGTTGGCACTGGAGGCCTGAGCGTTCTTGATCTGTTCATCTGCGCTGAGCACCCCGCCGTACGGCTGAAAGTTTTCTGGAGTGAGCAACTCAGCTTTGACGGGGCCCAATGATGTTTGAAAAGTGTGCAAGTACATGGTTGGGTTGAGAGGTGTGTCTCGAGTCCCGTACTTATAGTTTTGAAGACGGAATTTTGGCAGACCTATCTGAAACGGGGAAGTCCGGCTTCAATCGCGCGCATGCAGCCTTGATGGCTGCGAATCTCTTGACAGGTCGTCACCACCAAGCCAATGACAGTATAGCTGATTGTTATCAAGAAAGGTGAAAAAAAAAAGTCTTACAACTGAATCAATTGTCATTGAAATCTATGGTCTATTAGCGATTTTGGATTGTTAATTGGCCTTTCCAAGTTTACCCCTCCACGTTGACTCGGGTCCGCTGTTTCCTCCGTTCAACAGCTATAGACACAACTCAGCTGAAAGTGCTTTTACACGCTACTCTAGAACTACGGAATTCCCGATGAGTTGGAAAGGGGGAGATCTCACATATGGATTATCATGGTGTGTATTACTGCCACTGACCGTTCCTCCATGATGCTCCGTTCATCACACTTTGTGCCACATTCTGAGAAAACCGACATTACACGCTCTGACACAGAGTGAGCAAGCTTTCTTAAGGCTCAGAATCTCTTTCATCTGCTTTCTAAAGAGGCTCTCTGTGCTTCATGCCACTACATAACCGTCCTTTTTCGCAGCCATATCTTCGCAGAAAGATGAGTTCCCAGTTTATAGTCTTTACCACCATCAACAAAAAAACTCATCCAGAAACCGCCAGAACATCCCCCATCAAAAAATTAGTCCCTCCAATACGACCATCAATCAACCAGAATTAGACGCCTAGCAGGGCAACACCCGTGCCCCAGCGTAAACATACGATTCTGGGGTGCGAAGTTGCCTCTGGATCAACATCATGTCGAAGAGCTTCAAAGACCTAGTGAACAATAGGCAGGAGGGTTCGGATGACGGTACTCTTCATGACGATGAAGAGCCCTCTGTTATGATGTATATGCCCTCCGACGGCACCTTTGCCGAGGAGTCTTCCACTCTTTTCGAAGGGGAGGGCTCATCTGCAAAGAGAAACAAACCTAGACAGACAAGCATGTCTGATCTGGCAATGACTGCATCATTAAAACAAATCCACTATAACGAGAATAGGGTTGCCTTGGATCGTGCTATCAACTCAACGATCGAACTCTTGCATGAGCTTTCTGCTGAAAACAGACTGAGGCCGATCTTCTTCCCTACCGAGGAAAGTGCCTCCGAGAATGCCTTGCTTAACTCGCCTCGAGCTCATCTTGCGCTTGTGCGTAGGAAAACTGACCTCGAGGCTAAGACCTTGGGAAAGGCTAAAGTTGGCGATCTAGATGGCGTTGACTTGGCGGGTGATGAAGATCTCAAGGAAGTAAAGATGGCTGACTTCAAGGTGCTCAAATTGAATTTAAAGATGGGCCACTCGGGTGCCCACCTCATGGATAATCTTGACAAAAAGTCTGTCTCGATGCTTCTTGACCAGAAGTTTTCTCAGCAGATAAAGTACTTGCTCAACCTCAAGGATCGTGTTGATGACACCTCCTCAAAAGTGTTTGTTACCGGAGATTTAAATGCTGGCAAGTCTACTTTTTGCAATGCTCTTCTCAAAAGAAGAGTCCTTCCCGAGGATCAACAGCCTTGCACGTCCGTGTTCTGTGAAGTGATTGATGCTGCAAAAGTGAACAGGAGCATAGAGGAAGTCCACGCCGTGCCAATTGGTAAAGATTACGATAGATCCGATGAATTCACCTATGAAAGACATCCACTCAACAAGCTTGAGGACCTTGTTTACGAATGTGACCAGTACAGTCTTTTGAAAGTATACGTGCTTGATTATAGAAAGGCAGAAGAGAGCCTTTTGGGCAATGGTGTCATCGACGTCAAACTCATAGATGCCCAGGCTTAAACATGGACTCATATCAAACAACTCAAGTCTTCTCTAGACAAGAAGAGATTGACTTGGTCGTGTTTGTCGTGAACTCGGAAAACCATTTCACACTTTCTGCAAAGGAGTTCATCGCTACTGCTGCTGCTGAGAAGCGCTATGTTTTCATTGTCGTCAACCGCTTTGACAACATCAAAGACAAGAACAAGTGTATGTCTCGTATCTTGGACCAGGTGAAGAACTTGTCCCCCTACACTCACAAGGATGCGAAAGACTTTGTTCATTTTGTGAGCTCTTCAGAGGTCCTCAAAGGAATTCCTGATGATGGCGGTGATGGTGGAGACGACGGTCCAGGTGACAATGGTGGTCCCGATTTTGATGACCCCAACTTCGACCACCTTGAGAACTCGCTCAGAAAGTTCCTCCTCGACAAAAGATCTATTTCAAAGTTACTTCCTGCCAAGAGCTACATTCTTAATATTCTCGCGGACCTTAAGACGCTCTCGGATATCAACGGCGATATCTACCGCAAAGAAATTGAGAGGAAACAAAATGAACTACGCACTAAGGTGGCTCCCAAGTATGATCAGATGATACAAGATTCTGTTCAGATGAATGATAAGATCACTAAGCTAATCGAAAAGACTTGTACCGCGGTCTACAACGCCACTAAAGGTGAAATCTTATCAACAGTGGACAATTTCGGCTCATCTCAAATAGTTCCCTATGGGGGCTTGCAATTCGTCTACGATTACGCTAAAGAGACTCAGCGTCGTATGATTGACACTATTGTTTCCTCCGTCCAGGCCAGTGAGGGTAAAGCTAGAGCCTTGACTGAAAAAAGTGTTCAGGAGATTGTGACGATTGGACAAAGCACCCTTGGCGACGAATTCTTATCAGATAAGGTCTTTAAGGCAGATTTGATGTTTACCAGGAGACGTGATACCATTAAAAGGCAGTTGGATGATCAGATTGAAATTTCCGACTTCTTCGACCCGTCATTTAACTCAGTTCTCACCTGGATTGGAATACCAAGCGAAATCATCTCAACAACGAAGCAGCAAGTGGAGATTCTATCTCCTACTCATATCTTGACCACCATACCCACATCTGTTAACTCATTGAAAAGGCAATTGCCCACTCAGCTCACATTACAGACATTGTACTCTTCCACAAAGTTGCTTACAACTGGTGCCCTTCTTAGAAAGGCATACAGCTTGTCTGGATTGCTCAAACCATCCGTGGCAAAGAAGGTCATCTTACCTTTGGCTATTTTCGTTGGTGGTTTTACTGTCGTGTATCTCATCAATGATATCCCAAACGCTTTCCCAAGAAAACAAGCCAAGAAACTCAAGAAGCAGGTTCTCGAGATGGACTATGCTCATGTTAATGCTGATAGGGTCTCCAAGGAATGCAGGCAGGTGTTGAATTTCCCATCAAGGCAAGTGATGAACAACTTCCAAACTAGCATTGATAGAAGAAGCGGAGAAAAGGAGAAGCTCGAGAAAGAAATCAGGAACGCAGAGATCAGCTCTGGTTACTTCAGAGATTTGCTCGTGAAAATCGAAAAGGAGTCCAAGTTTGTGTACGACATCGATCTTGAAAAGATTCATTCAGTCGACTAAACTCCATGGATTTTATTAATTATCTTGTGAATAGTGTATTTTATGTGTCATGATAATTTAGTGTTTTCTATGGCGGTAAATTAGTGCTGAGGTGATCGCAAAAGTTATCAAACTCAAAAGTATACTAGTTTGAAATGCTCCTTTATAACAATCTTTGCCTTGATAGCATTTGCCGTTCTCCATCGCGTGTGAATCGTAAATCCAGCCAAAGTATAGCTGAAGGGGATAGAGGAGTATGATCGGGCCGGAACAAGATAATCCCCACGCTGTAGTAAAATGCTTTGTTCCGAATGTATCTGCAAAGATCGAGGGATAGTTTCCGTTGAGCATTCCATAAGCACTGCCCATAATGACGGATACCAATGTCAATAGGTGCACGCTATTGGTATAACTGAGCAACGTTTGTGCAACTGTCATGAAAACGATGGATACTAAGACCAACCATTGCCTTTGAGCCTTGAGTTTCTTCTTGACAATATCAGATAGCATACCAGCTGCTATCCGGCCGAAGAATTGCGAGATTGATATCACCGACACTTGCAATGCTTGAAGGGACGCGGGGCTTGTGAACAGACCAGGATCGTAGAAGAACTGTGCCCGTACGATAAATCCCACGGTGTAAATATACATTTGGCCCATCCCACTACATAAAGATAAGATGAGGAAGTGGGTGAGGTACAATCTGTTTGTGAGCAATGCAGTGACAATGTCTTTTGGGGAGTCCAACCTTTTCAACGATTTGATTAGTTCTGTGTCCGCTGATATTGTCGAAGTGGTTACTGGGGCTCTCAGCGGTGCTTTCCGAGGGCTAGGCTGATTCTGTAAAAGAGGGCGCTGCTCTGAGTTCAAGCTAGAGTCCGACTTGTTGAGACCCCAAAAAGCAAGCTTTCCCAAGAACGACGACAGACGGTGAAGCTCTGGTGGCTCGCGCCTGTTGGATTCTTCGTCCACAGTAGTACCATCTGGATCGTAGACATGAATGAACCAGGATCCACAAAATGCCACTGCTCCACAAACAAGCGACAAGAACAAAAGCAATTGGCCTGTGTCGTCGGCAAAGAATGTAGCTGCTACCAACAGGAACACTGTAGCCGAAAGACCGTATGCACCTATTGGCATAGCGCTAGCAGAGCCTCTGTGATGAGGAAAGTTGGCCTGCGCTGCTTTCAAGCACGAAAAGAATGTAGTTCCTGATCCGAAACCCACCAAGCACATGGCGATACAGATCAATGGAAGACTTGGGATTTGGAGAGCGTATATGCGGTTGGAGATGAAGTAACCCAGGAAAATACATGAGGAACCAATGATGATCAGCAAACTTGGACCGAAGTTGTCAATTAAAAGCCCAGCTGGAAGACCACCACATCCCGTGCCAACAGTCACAGCTAATGAAATGGAGGCTGCTTTGGAGGTGGAAAGGCCCACCCGACGGACTAATTGTGGAGCATAGATGCCATACAAGTATGGAGTTCCAGCCACCAAGGCCACAAATACAGACACGATAAGTGCCGTGAACCTGGCAAATGTATGACTAGCCATAGTAAACGAGCGATTTGTTAGTATTGCATCGAATGCAGTAGCTAGGGTGGTGGAAGATGTGGTTGATGTGAGATCAAGTTGCGCAATATCGGTGCATTATCTCACTAGGGAAGAATGGGGATGTGAAGGTGTGAAAATTTCAAGGCAAGATACAAAGACATGAGATTTCACTGTCGATTAAGAGCATTTTGGCAGGTATTCGGATTTGCAATGAGCTAGTCACTTTTTAATGAATATGGTCCCTTATGTATACTGTGGCTATGGTGACGGAATTAGTCTCTTCGGGTTTTTCTGAGGAAGAATAAACCAATTGGGTATCAGATCTTTACTCTTATTCAGTAGCAAAAGCCGAGATTGTAATTGAAAATAGTAGTGGTGCCTGTTTCACGCTTCTAGCTGAATTTGAGTACGAGTTCATGGTTTTCGCAACCATTTACCTGATCTCATACTTATTGCGTAGTGAACCACTCAACCCGAAATCTGCAAAACACATAGCACTTTGCTTTTATAGCCATCAAATATGTGCTCAAGTGGTATTTGAAGCCTTTCAGAAATCCTTGTTGGGAAAATAGAGGGTGTGAAGGTCCACTCAAAGTCATTTTCTTCGTTAATGTCCCTTACTTCTACAGTATCATTTATTGAAAAGCGGTTCAAACAAACGCATTAGCTCTCGCCGATGACAGTTTATAAAGAATGGATTCGCCTTGTTGCATTTGGCATGATGTTCGTAGGCTCTTATCACGCTGGTGGAGCCTCACCTGTATACCATTGAGCGGTGGAAAAAAGAAGCAGAGAAACCACATAGAGGAACCAAGATATAGTTCACCATGGGCAGATTGAACAATGCAGAATTTATATCGAAAGTGGAGGCTATACTAGCGTCCAATGAGGGCAAGAGCTCTGTCTACTTCACACAGAAAAGATTGTCGACGCCGTTAGAAAAGGAATCCATTGATCTGGTTAAAGACCTTTCCTCCAACGTCGTGGAACACCCTACAGCATACCCCACCAACACACAGAGTTACCCAGTGCTCATTCGTGCCACATTGGGAAAGAAAGATTCCAAGATATCGACTGTGGTGGAGCCAGCCAACTTGGATGCATTCTGGCTGGAATACGCCCAGGTGCTCAAAACAGGTTTCGTCGGCTTGAAGAAGAAGGAGAAGAAGAAGGCAAAGAAAAGCAAGGTCACAAAACCTTAGGCGGAATTTTCATTTGTAACGTTATACACTTAATTCATGAGATGCAAGAATCAGAGCCTCTCAACCATGAGAAGGCCGCTGGGGTAGATAAATCCAACGTCCTTGACTGGCGTGCTCTTGTCGTAGTCACTAAGCAGAGGCAAAGGCGGAACCGGAGAAACAAGGCGAAATTGGTAGGGATAAGAGAAATCCCGGAACTTCTCCTCCGCTTCGACTTGTGAAAGGGTGAAGTTCGACTCTTCCTCCAAAAGGCTTTTCTGATGTAGCTCGACGAATAAAAAGATATCCTCTATCGGTGAGTTTTCCGGGAAATAGAATGTCTCACGGTTTCCCCCGGCCATCTTAATTGCGATTCTGGCTTTCCCTTCACGATCATCCTGTTGCAGTCTAAGCTCAAGAATGTGAGATTGCTTCCAACGAAGATAGTCAGCCGCGAGTCTTTTTTGAGCCTTTTGAGCCTTCTTTTGTCTATCCTTGAGGAGTGACTGTTGGTAGTCTGCATTCTGTTGCTTCCGTACCATTTCAGACATGTATTTATCTTTTAGTTCAGCTCTAATGAGCGCTAGTTCAGGTTCGTATTTGAGAGCACGCTTGATGAATTTGCTTTGAATTAGCTTGTCTGGATCACCTTCACCTATGCCTCCTTGGATCTTCAGGATCAATGATATCTTGGGTGGAGTCTTTGACGGACCCTGTGGTGTCATTGTAGACGTCCTTGTGAGGCAAAGAACGCCCAAAAATGGAAATTTAGTGACATTCAAACTGTTAGCCAACTGATATGCTTCCAGGTTTGTGAGATCCCCGCCCCATATTATGTTTTGATTGTTTCTATTTTCTGAGGTGAAGATGGAGATGAACTTTGGGTTGGTGACAATATGATCGAAGATCGAGCTCGAGCTCTCATTACTTGGGTTCGTCAAGTAGACATACAAGAACTTGCCTCGATTGATTGCCATGTAAAGTGCTTGAGTGTAGCTGCCTTGGAAAAAAGGAGGCAAAGCAGCCACATTGCGGTCAGGATTATTTGAAGAGTATAGCTGTTCCGGCAGCAAATTCTCCTCTAGAGCCCTGACAAACCTTTCAACCTTGCTGATAGGGTCATTCACTAGGGCGTTACAGCTAGTTGTCGCTGTCTCCGATGCGGATCTGCGTCGCTGAGCTTCGCTGTCATCCAAATATAAGAAGGAAAAGAACTTGGAAAGAAGTGAAAGGGCGACCACTGCTGCAACTGTGATGGGTGCAATGAACAAGAAGATCAACCACTTGGCTATGCGATTTCCAATTGAAGGGGTACTGGGTGATGCATCCCCACTTTCTTCCGCCGGATAAGTACCAGGGAGGTGTTGAGGCGGATCATTTGTCGTAGGAAGCAGCTCATACTGCCGCCTTCCGAAAAAGTTGGACCATGAGCTCATGTAATGGAGTGGCGTGTAGTAGAGATATGGGAGTAGGATGCGTATATATATGATGCGCACGTGACACAAAACTTTGAGTTGGTATAACTCACAAACCCCGGGGCTATGAAGCTGAAAATTTGTGTGCAGCTTATTTTTGGCTTCAAACATACTTTCATAGACTTTGAAAGCACAAGCCCGCATGACAAAAGGTCTGCTTGATAAGTTTTCAGCGGGGTGCCACAAGTTTCAGAACTCGCCTGCGTGGCGTAATGGTTAGCGCATTTGACTTCTAATCAAAAGATTCCGGGTTCGAGTCCCGGCGTGGGTTCTTGGAAGCGGTTTTAGCTCAGTTGGGAGAGCGTCAGACTGAAGATCTGGAGGTCCTGTGTTCGATCCACAGAAATCGCATTCTTTTTGCTTTTGAACGGTTATTTTTTTATTCCGAGTCAATTATATTCTATGAAAATGCTTGTATGCTTTGTCGATGCAGCGAAGTGGTACCCCAAAAGCTGGGTTCACTGGAATGGTGTAGCTCGAGCCTGCGATTCTCTCTTCAGCCAGAAAAGAGTAGGCATCTCCTTTATCATTCTTGAAGCGGTACTCTGCCATGCTTAAGCCACAAAGAGCATAGTTGGTATGATAAAAGTCTGGTGATTTGCCAGGTTTGTCTTTCAACCCACCACGCTTGAGATCCTGGCAGCAATTGGAAATGTAACTGATGAGGGCCTCCTTATTGAACACATCTGTCCCAATGGAAGACTCAAGCAAAGCAAATGCACCGCCGACCCAGTAACTGTAACAAACATCCACAAGTTTGTTGCTTCTCCCGGAAAAGCCACCTTCCAAGCTCAATTGTCTGTCAGCAAGCCAACGTAGTAACAGGGCTTCATTGAAGTCACCTTCTTGGCGGCCCATCAAATAGAATGCAGCAACGGCGCAATATGTGTATCCACCATGTGCCTCGGTATCGGGAACCCCAGAGAAGCCACCCTCATATGTTTGACACGACGAGAGCCATTGACGGGTTCCAGCCCAAAGCTCAGTGGTGTCCATATTGGAAAGTGAACTTATAACAAGAGCACAGTAGGTAGAACGGGTATCGCTTTCGCCGCCTTTGTGCATTGCAAACGAGCCATCGTCGTTCTTCAATGAAAGAAGCCAACCATGCAAATTGTCCTTGATTCTATCCACGCTTGCAAAATCTTCTGCTAGCACGAGCAGAAGCAAAAGCACATAGGTTGACGCCATATGACCCATATGCATGTTGGGTCCACCAGCAATGCCACCTCTGCCTTCGTCGATCACCAACGAATTGACCTTCTCCGAAACCAACTTTTTCAAATCGTCCAGAAGATCCTCTCCGCTAAGGGTAACATGTGCATTTGTGAGCCAGTAGGTCACCCACAGTTGAGAAGCATCTAGCACGTAATAAGGATCAGGCAACGGTTCGTCCAAGTACAGCTCCACGTACTTCAAGTGAAGGTCGACATTGATCTCGTTGTCAAATACCTCATCTCGGTTGCTTTCATTGAGCAACTTTTCGTAGATCTCTTTGATGGTATCCAGGACCTTTTGCTGCTCCACTGTCGTCTCACATAAATAATCGTCCTCTGCTATGGGTGGGGCTGTTAACATGCTTGTCATGGAAGCTGAGATGTTTGGACGCGTTAGAGATTCAAAGCTTTCGGATCGCTTGGATTTACCTAGTATATTGAGAAGGTAAGAGATTTGCCGGATATTTGTATCATCGTCGGGCATCAGTGGTGTTTCATGAAGTTGCCAGTATGGTCCATCGCAATGGGATTCCTGTGTGAATGGCTGCGACTGGAGGTCGGTCTGGAGAGGCCTAGAGTGAGATTGAAACCAAACATTTGGTCAATGTGATTTTATTTAAAAAATTTCACAGTTCAATGTTCATCCAAAAAGCAGTAGATTAGAAATTTGCAGTCAAAAGCAAGTTGTGGGTAAATCAGTTCGGCCCGCCTTTTATCGCCCTGATGCAACACCATTGACATAAGACCAATTAGGCGATGAACAAAGATTGGTAATCCTACATCTTCTCTAACGTACTTCCTCAAACACTGAAAGTTTAGAGAGATCCAAAAGTTCTGGATATTTAAAGCCCCCGTCGGGGAAAGCTTGGTAGTGCTGGGGTAAACAAGTCTGAAACTCTACGATGCACACTGGAAGATACCAAAACAGACCAATTGGCCCCTGCGTTTCTGAAGACCAAAACAAGGGAGTTTTGTCACCAGCAGTGTTACATAAGTTAGGACCCAATGACTTTGAGATATTTTGGTGTTTACATTATAATTTGCCCATTTGGGTTGACAATTTTTCATAACCGTGCAGCCAGGCACTAGATCGTGACCGTATACTCTTTGGGATGCGCAACGAGTAGTTAAGTCATTGTGCGTCTGACTTTGAAGCCCTCGCACTGTTCTAGACTTTGCTGGCAGTGTGAAGACCATGGGGAAATTTAAAGTAAACTATAGCTTGGGGCCTTGTGTACAATATGGTAAAGCTAGTTGGACTTAGCTTGCCGAATTAAGCCTCGCTTGCACCTAGCAAACAAGTTACGTCATCATGCTGCACACCAGCAGGAAAAGCCTACTTCTCTACCTTGTAGATACTTCTATATCTTGCATTATTCATTAATTCGTACGTCTCGTTACTCACATATAGTTGTCGAAGATCTCATGCAAAATGCTCTCATAGCAGTAGATGAACTGGTCAAGTGTCTGAACCATGGCAATACGCTGCTGGCGTTGAAGCTGCACCGCCTTGTAGACGAGGTCTTTTGTTCCCCACGGGTCATACTTCCCATTGCTTTTGCCTTTGAAGCAATCTTTAACCATATCGAGCGTGATGAAACATCCAGTACGTCCACACCCTGCTGAGCAATGGACAAGTAAATCAAGCGAGCGAGTAATTTTAGATGTGGGAGGTTGTTGGTTCTTGAGCAACTCGATGCATTCGTTCTTGCTTTCCAAAAGACGTGAAACAGTCTTGAAGTTGTCAGGAACACCAAAGTCAGGCCAGTCGGCATAGGCAAAGTGGTAAGCAATACGGGTCTTGCCGTGTTTTTGCAATTCCATCTTGCGCACCGTGAACCCCTCTTTGTCTTCCGTAGACTTGATGGTCACAGAGAGGTCACTCTTCTCAAAGTGCTGGTTCACTTCGTAGTATGCCTGTGGAGCAAAGACGGATGGCTTGTTGAGACACACAATGCCCTTGATACCATTGTACCACACAGTGTTCCAGAAATCTTCTTTCGTGGATTCCAATGGACTTTGTGTAGCAATGTATTCAGTAAGAGAGAGCTGCTTGCACTTGATGTAATTGGCATTGAAGTAGTCATCCGCAGACTCCTTCTTGGCGCTGGAGCAAGAGGGAGACGACACAAGCTTCACACGAGAGTGCTCATATGGCCAGATGTTATTGTAGCGGTTCTTGTAGCCGTACTCTACACCCTTTGGAATGGTGTAGTGAATCTTGTCACAATGTGGGCATGGTGCAAGTGGGGAGCAATACCCACTACTAAGACCCGAATGAAGCTTGCCCGGAGTGAGGGCGACTTTCTCGGTTTGGGTCACCTTGTCTGACTTTTCATCATTGGTGTTTGAAATGGCCATGCTTAGACGGACTTGCTCTGAACGCTCAAGCTTGTTGAACTTGTCGCTCAATACGTTGACAACCTTCTCATTGTGACCCTCGGTACCATAGCCGTCGGCAAAGAAAGCCAACCAACGAGGGAGCTTATCCTTCTTTTCTTCAAAGCCTTCGGGGAACCGGAGCTTGTAGCTATATGTGGTTGTAGTATCTATCCGCGGTAGTGTTTTCTTGATTGACATCAACATTTTTTGGTTTGACGCTGTGGCCGAAGGAAGTGTGAACCCCGAAAGGAAAGGCGAAGACTCACGACTCGAGTCACCTGGCGATTGGGCGAATCCGTCTTTGGCAGATTCCGGCCTAGCAGCGTCTAAGACGGGATGCAGAGGAGTCTCGGGTGAGACTGGAGTTTGGTCTGACAGAAGGGCTGACTCATCTCGAAGCAGCGTGTCTAGATTCTGAAAACCGCCATCGAGATACCCGACAGTAAACCTGTCATGCTTGAGAAACTTTTGTATCGTTTGAAACAAACTAAACGAGATGTGACCGGTGCCGCTGTTAGCGTCGTATACCAAAACCCTTGTAGGCTCTGAGCTTGCAGTGAGCTGATCCTTCACATCTTTGGGTAAAGCAGCGGAGTTCGAAACATGGGCAAGGTCGTAATTTGGCCGCTTCAAGAGCGTAGTAGGAATGCAGATGTTGTATGCGTTTTCAAGGCGAGAAGCCAGATAATTATTGAAGGGGCGGATGTCAATCGCCAAGGAATTGCCTTCTAAAAAAGATTTGATCGCTTTGGGCTCGTCACTACGGACCGCCACAACGTCGTCAGGCAAGTCCTTGAAGTGTGATCTGGTGGTGGGGCTAGTGGACTGAGGCAGTTTAACGTATAGGTATGGGAGCCCCGAGGTGACCTTCATTGGATTTGCGATGTTTTGGTCTCGAGGAGGCTCTGTGACAATGGAAGGGACATTTTTCATCATCGCAGCGTGATAGCTGAGGAAGGAAGCAAGGTGGAAAACCGGTGCTTATAAAGAATGCAAGCTATGCGCGATAACTGGCGCAGGGCGACTATGCCGCAGGGAGGAAGGTCTAGAGGCGGCGAAGGTCTAGTGTATGGGGGAGCGTTCCTGTGTACAGTATGGAGGCGACGCAGTGTGCTATTTTTGACCAGCGTCTGTTCCGCAACCCAGCCCAAGCCTGCCGAGCCAACATAACCGCCTTACTTGGCCTGTCATGCTCTGTTGTAAAGCGTAGCAGAATGAATGGTTTTTAAAATGGCTCGCGGTATAATGGTTGTCGCTTGCAGTTCGAGGAATCCGCGATTTCTGTGACGCTCGGCCCGGAATGAGTGAGTGACCTCGCCTGATGGGCGCAAGGTTATTTTTTTGTGGTTGCAAAACAAACAAATAATGAAGCACCGCCCGGGCTTCCAGAAGCATCGCCGTTTGGAAGATGTTTCTGTTCTTTGGCCGTCAAGCCGCTGCCGTCGATTCACCGCTTTTGACGAAGTGCATTAGCGTAACCTCCATGTGCTTGCCTCATTTGAAGTAAGGTTACCTGTGGTGCTGCCACCTTATATTATTAGACTTGACATATCCCTCAACACCACATTACGTGCACAAGACATGACAATTCGACAGGCCAATTTCACCTCGTGTGGTTGAGTGGGTGCTGAAAATTGCCCCATGGTGTTTTAACTTTTTTTTTTTTTTCCGCCCACTCCGCCCCAGATTTTTCCATTGTGGTTGATGGCCCCTTGCCAGTCGCTTGGCCCGCACTTACCTCAATAGGTCGGACGCAGCGCTCGCCTTAGACCTCACTGATAAAGCAAAAACCGCTAAACCCGTCAAAACTTGTTGCTTTTTTTTTTTTCGCCTTAAATTAGTCTCTCCCTGCGTGCCTTCTGAACGGCCCGCCTTGCTCTCACCGTGAAAAGTACCGCAAGTGCAGCTGCCTTGAATCGGCTGTGGCCTTGGCCTAGATGGTCGTAGGGGCTTCCGCTCGGGCGCCCAAGAATCAACTGGGTGGTGTCTGCGCGATCGTCGCTAGAGTCAATTTCGCAGCCATTGAGAAGCTGCTCTGTGAGGTCCGAAGGTTGCTGAGATCCTTGGCCCAATTTCGCCTTAAGATCCAAAATTACTCTTTCTTGAAAAGCACTCACTGCCACGCTCGCCTCCCACTTTCGCTTGGCTTCCTCGTACCGCTCGTCCACTAGAGCCAAGCCAGTGCGTAACTGATCGATTGTGTTTTCCTGGCGGTGTATTTTCGCGATTTGGGCTGCATCGGCCTGAGGCACAAATTGCACTTTCGCTGCAGACTCTCGAGGTCTGCTCTGGGCCTTGACTGGCTTTTGACTCTCTCTTTCAAGACGTTCTCTCATTTCTTTCTCTCTCTCTGCTCGTTCTTTCAAACCGTAGTTAGTCTCTCGTAATTGTTGATTCTGGAGCCGAAGTTTTCTGATTTCAGCCTCAAGCGTCTCGATACTGATACTTTGTCGTTCGAGCTTCGACAATAGCATATCCTTACTTCGGCCCGCTCGCGTCTCGTTTTCTGTGATTTTATCGTTCGTGGTATCCTCCTTCGGTATTCTTGAGTTCTCTTTGTCGTTTTTCGTAACTTTCGCCTCGGGCGTGTAATGGTTCTTCTTGATCGCCTCGATGTTACTCTTGAACTCCTCGAAAAATGTCCGATTCTCCTCCTTATGAGGTCTAAGTTCTGTTCTGTCATTCATAAGCAGCTTAAGCAGCTGGTGCAATGCCTCGTTGCCCTTTCTGGCACGGGATAGTGTGTCCTCCATTGACGAGTAGTAGATGTGTTGATACAACTGCCTTGCAGTATCGCGAAAACAAACAAACACGTTCTTCCATGGCAAAACGTCTACTGCGCAGGGTATCTATCCTGGAGCGTATAAAGGCGTATCCGTTGGACCTAATCCTCGGGTTGAATGAGGCTGTGGTCTCGATCGATTGGGATGATTACGTTCATTCCACTTTACCCATTGGTATAGTGCTCACTACGGTGTTTGCTCTACTTTGCAAGATTGGTGATCGCCACAACACAGTGAGGCTGCGGCGCCTGAACGACTTGTTCCGGGCTGATGCCAGTGTCTATAAGCAGGTTAGAAACCGTGCAATTACTGGGTCTCTGGACCCAATTCACTATCCCTCAGTGAGCAATGAAGCCAGTGGCAACCGCTGGGTATGGCTAGTGAACGCCTTGGTGGTGATCCTTGCCTTGGCTTCCATCATAAATGCTATCACTGTGGTTTGGATTTCAAACAGAGAGTACACCTTGCTCAATTCGTCTACAAATGCCGCCAGACCCAAGGCATCCAATGTATCCAAACTGACTGTCTCGAGCTCTGATGACAGGGGGTTCTTTGGCAAGATACTTTCCTACTTTGAGGATCACCTGCGCTATCTTTCTGATGACGAATCAGATGGCGAAACCACCTACGAGCTGGAGTTCGACCAGAAGGACGTTTGGGTGTTGAAGGTTTGGGACCCTTCCCTCTTCCAAATCCATCTTGCGGTCACCTTCTGCCCAATTACACTCTTTGTGATCAAGCTAGCTTCGCTGATATCCTTATGGAAAACGCTTTTAATTATCGTGGCTTACGACATTGCTCTCTACGGCCTCGTCTCCAAGTTCCTACTGCTAATAGGCGACAAGCAGATCATATACCAGGAAACGTTCAACGAATACAACCGGAAGTACGTTATTCCAAAGACTTCCGTGCTCAAGAAGAATGCAATTGTCGACGCCACCTACGGCCCTATGGCCGCATCATCCATGGTGGCCTACGATGATCGTAAGGGTCATTTGCAGAATGAAAATGCCTTCTATACGCACGATATTCATGGTAACAGAATAAAGAGTGTCCGTGCCGAAAAGCAGTATGCCTCAAGATCCGCCTCCCCTGCGAGGGATACCCTCCCTGCTAGTGCTTACTCTAGGCATAGAGATACGTCCTTCGCTGACTTGTATACATCCACCAGAGGAGATGACAATCATCAAAGCTGGATCACGCTGTCTACACCTTTCGTCACACGTACTGGCCACGACTCCTTCATTCGTCCCCAATCGCCCCGACATTCCCCCTTGAAAACTCCTACACGACTTTCTTTCAGTCAGAGGACGCAACTATCACCTTCACGAGCGTCACCAACACGAAACTACTACACTCCTTCCCATCGGGGCTCACCTTCACCGACCCACTTGTCGAGATCAAGCTCCCCACAAAGAAGTTCTTCGCCTTCAAAAAGGCCATGGCAATAATGAGATCTATATGGACCAGGTTTAATATACAATGCAAATAAGTTCCATCACAAATCGTGAAAGCCGAAGAGGTAATTTGATATCGTTCCGACAAAGCCTAATTTCTGTTCTGGCTTCTTCAGTTCGCTAGGATTTTGTGGGTCTCCCTTGGGCGCCTTCAAAAACATCTCGGAGCCATCTTTTACCTCGAGTCTTTTGATGTAAGATGCTTGAATATCATTAGAGTCTCCAATGACCCCTTTGTCAACTTTGCTGGAGAAGTCGCCAAGCTGTAGACCCTGGAGGCCTCCTCCGATATCTTCCGTGCTGGTCAATTTGCGGTTCTGCAACTTCTCCACGGCATTCTTTGTGTATGGCACAACTCCAATAAGAGCACCATTGAACACTGAACCGGACTCTTGTAGCGCGTCCGCTGCTGAAGACGGGTTGTCGTATGTGAGCTTCACCCACGATTTTCCACAAAAAATAGGTGGTTTAAGTTGGTTTTCATGCTGCTTTTCGTCTGACTTTGAGGAGAAAAATGCACCAGTCGTTGGACCCTGAAAGATTTCCTCTGGAGAGGATGAGGCTGTAGATTTTGCGGCCTCAAAGTCCTCAAGGATAGTGCCGAATTCCAGGAAGTGTGCAATGACTTGGTTGGCCATGCTTTCGGGGTAGCCAAAGACAAGCACAGCAGCCTCACTGTGACGCAATGGGTTCTTCAATATTTTCTTATCATCCGCTTTGGAGTCATCTGGCGAAGTGTTTCTTGCAAATGCGTTCAGGAAGCTGCGGGGGTCCTTGGTGATGAACGATTCGGTTTGTTGGATGGGCTTATTAACAGCATTCGAGGAGTCATCATTCAAGTCATAAAGTGAGCGTGGTGGAGGAAGATCTTCGTTGTAGTTGTACAATGGCAAGTCTTCGTTGTTGTTGTTACCTTCGAAGGACTGGTCTTTTATAGCAAGAAGGGACGAGTCTTGAAAGCTGGCATTGCTATTTCTATGAGTCTTGTTACCAAAACTTATAACATTGAAGTCAGTAGATTTGAATGCTTCATCGTCTTTCCCTGTGCTTCTCTTGTTCTGGTCTCTCTTATTATTCGACACAGCGGAAAGCTGGAATCCTATCTTCTTCTTAGGAACAAGATGATTTGGAATCACCTTTTTACTGGACTTTTGATACCAGGCTGAATCTTTAGAATCAGATGAAGCCATTACGCTACCTGAGCTATTGGAGAACAAGGACATCTGCACTGGTTGATTGTGAGGTTTTGATGTTTGGCTGCGTATGTTTTCAATGCGGGCGTGTGCAGATCATTTTTGGCAAAGCAAGATAGCCGTGATAATTTGGTACTCCAAGAAGGTTGAAAAATGAAAAAAATCAAAAGTGGTAACGGATCGATAGGAAAATTCTCGTTCTGTGTATCTTTGGTCATTTCCATCGCTATGACGTACTCTCCTAATTGGCTATTAGTCAACGTGAGATATGTGTACTGTCTGCCTCACTGAATGATATTGCAAGGACAAGACCAACTTTACCCAAATGAAGATTTATATATCCAAATTCAATCGACCTTTCACTCCTCTGCTCTAGATTGGTTCTTCTTCAGTGAAGCCAGTGTTTTCATGAGTTCTGATCACCATTCAATCCAACTGTTACAATACGTTTGATCGGGCGGATTTTAGATTAATCGGATAAGGAGTAAATCAGGCTCCTTTCTGCTCTCTTATCCCACCCAATTCCAAGCTGAACTTCCCATTTGCCGTGGGGTATCTGTTTTGCAACCAGTACTTTTCTGCAGTACCTACACATTTAGCGGTGCTCATCTTCTCAGTTTAGCTCCAACCTCAAAGTCCCATCGCAATGATTTTGTCACCGGCAGAGAGGGCATACCTCTTCGACTCATTGGCGATGGCGCCTCCTGTTCGTCCAGACGGCAGGAAAGCTTTCCAATTTAGACCTTTAGAGGCAAAGACCGCATTTCTACCGAGCTCCAACGGTTCTGCAAGAATCAGAATGGCAGATGGATCCGAGTGCATTGTTAGTGTGAAGGCCAAGGTGGTTTTGATCGCTAAAGAGCCAAATTTAATAGAATGTGACGTTGACATAGCCGGTTTCCGTGACGACTCCAACTTTGTGCTGAACTTGAAGTTCAATATGACGAATCTCTTCGAGAAGAACTTCCCAGTCAAGAACTTGCATCTCACGTCAAAATACAGTTACAAACTTTTCATCGATTGCATTGTCATTTCACATCAGTCCTACCCATTGACATTGATCAGCATGGCTTCCTACTTGGCGCTCAGCTCTACCAGATTGCCTCTCTTGGTTTCCGAGACAGACGATGCTGAGATTGAGGAGCAACCGACATTTTCTGACGACTGGGAAAACTCGCAGTTTCTTTCCGAGGTTTTCAAGATAGAGAAGTTCCAGCCACCTTTGTTCCTCACCTTCGGTGTTGCTGGCGAAAATGTTGTTATAGAACCCTCTGTGGAGGAAGAGCAGGTTCTCGAAAGCGGTATTCTTGTGGGCTGGTATAACAACAAGGTCATTTCTCCGATTACAAACATCAATTTGGCCACGAATTCCAATAACCTGAACTTGAAGGGGATCCAGCCAGCCCTTCTTCTCAAGGCGGTCAGTTTAGCGAAGAAGTTCAGCTCACAAGTTGTCGCTGCTCTTGATGCTGTGGTCGAAGAGGATCTACAAGATCAGGACGGCGCAATTTTCTAAGTAGATCTAAAATATAATGTACATTAGCAATGCTGCAGCGAGTAGGCATGGCAGATGACAGCCGTGGCCGTTTGAATGTTCATGGATCTGACGACCCCAACTTGCTTGATCTCCACACAAAGATCCAATTCCGCTAGAAGCTCACCTGGAATGCCTTCCTTCTCTCTTCCAAGAAGAATTAACGATTTTTTGGGAAACTGGAGATCACCGTTCAAGACAACCGACTTGTCTGTCTGCTCGAGACCAATCAATGTGTAGCCTTCAACCTTCTTTTCCCTGAGGTAGTCACGAATATTCCAAGGAAGCACCTCCTTCATGGGCATCCAGAAGTCAGCAGTAACGGCGACATTTTTAAAAGTGGCATTCTTTGTCATCTTCATGTCGAACACAGTCATGAGGCCCGCGCCTAGAACATCACAAAGTCTGCAAATACCTCCAAGGTTGGGCGCTTTGGTGACCAAAGACGCAACAACAATTAGGTCACTGCGTTTGACATCATTTCCGTCACTACCGTCAACATCCATGACGGTACTCCAGGCATGACTCTTTGTCTGCAATGGCATCGACGCGGTTCCACTTGCTTCTTGCAAATCTCTCTTTTCCTGTTGATCGGCCTTGATTTTAGATACCCACAACTCAACACGGTCTTCACCAACTGGATGATTCAAAATTGCCTTTTGCTCTGCTGTAAGGTACCTATTAAACTGCTCACTAGTGAAGAACTCAACCTCTCTGTCACTGAGTCTCAACAACAAGCCACCTGATATGCTCACCAAGTCCAAATCGTTGATAATGTCCCACAAAAGCGCATCACCACTTCTATATTGCCCAAAGGCGCTGGATGCCACTGCGCTCTTATACATATTTTCAACCAAAGCAATGAGGTTCGTATCCAAAGGCAAGTTCTTCCTTTCAATCTCCTCGTGCACTGAGGTAGCCAATGACATGGAAAAGTGACGGGTGATTGCCTTGTTTGTAGACGCTGCTGGAATAATGATAGTCAAGAGTCTGGTCAAATACTCGACCTCCTCTTTTTCCTCCAATGACAGGATCATCAAATATAGTATTCTCTCGTAAATTGTAACCACGGTCGGCTTCACCTCGTGTGACTCTAACGAATTGGCCACCTTTTGGAAGTAGACCTCGGCAAGATCATGGCTTTTTGCTAACTGAAGAGCAATTATCCACTCGAAGTAGATTCTCACGAGTGGACTTGGATCGTTCTCGATGAAGTAGTTAAACTGGTCAAACACAGATGATGTCACTTTATCCACAGACACCTTGTCGATGACGGAAAGAATGGCTTTGGCTAACTGGCACCTCACATATTCTTCTGCGCCATCAGTTTGCTTTGTGATATTTACCATGCGGTAGGTGTCCTCTTCATTCAAGATAGCGTTGATCACCGACAAGGCAAATGACTCGGTCTTGATGGAGTTGAGAATTGCAAACAGCCATATCTTGCCCAGAATCTCTTCAGGTCCGTAGAGTTCCTTGTATATCTCAGATTTCGATGGAGCAATCTTTTCATCATAGAGGGTACCAATCACTATCTCCATCTTAAATGCATGAGATGACACTTGGCGATGACAAACAGTTTGCACCAAAATGTTAGGTATAAATTTGATCTCCTCAAAACCTTGTGGGTCTAAAACCTGAAAGTTTGAAAGTCCCTTGATCACCCTTGGAATCAAACCACGTCTACCAAAAGAATTTTCAAGGATAGATTGCGTGAAAGCATAAATGGCGTCATTGATAAACTCTTCTGAAAGAGCTTTTCGCATGACAGTTGGATGAAGAAGCAAATCAATGATCGCCCAGTGCAAGTCTTTATCCGACAACTTGAGTCGCTCATTACAAAGCTCCTCCCATGATTCACAGAGCCCAAAAATAGCTGCAGTGAGACTTTTTTCATCACAGACACCTTCGTCAACAAGCTTGAAGATAATCGAGACAATGGCATGCAATGTGGTCGAGTTCGTAGTACCTAAGTGAAGGAGAGACACAATGTGAGATGCCGGTGTTTCCCGAGGAGCTCTTTCGACTATTCTCTGTAATTGAATGTGGAGCTGACTGAATCCATCTTCCTTGAGTTTGTAAAAGTCGTTACGTGACCTCAAGGCGTCGGACCCCAAGAACATCTTGGATTGGAGGTCCTCGATATCGGCCACCTTCAAATGATCCTTAGATGAGGCAGCGACTTTATTAACAAATTTAAGTTTGTTCACTGCCAATTCAAGCTCTCCAAAATCTTCAGACTGAAAGTTAGTGACAATCAGCGCCCAAATATCTTTAATGGTAAGGCTCTCTGGTAAAGGAAGCGTTGCGATTGGAATTGAGGACAAAGCTTTGTATGTGCTTAATGAGTCGTAACCTTGGAGGGAGCTTTTTAATATGGCTCCTAAACGGTTCTCAAGGCACTGGAATTTAGCTGAGCTTACTCCAAACTCAGTCAATGTGAGCAAGGTTTCATCATTAGCGCTCTTCAATGTATTTTCAAAATCCAGCTGTGAGAATTGCATTTCCAGAGCAAGATATAAGAGAACACAATTTCCTGTGTTGACGCCCAATGAATTGAGGTGCCCCAAGAGCTCCACCAGGCTGCAGCCCGATGCTTCCAAGTAGGCAACAATCAGCTGCACGTTTTCGATAACAATCTTGGTACCATTGTAGTTCACGAATTTGGTAAGAAGAGCCGAGAAATCATTTATGTTCTCAAGCTTCAAACACAAAATCATTCTGAGCACGAGGGTCTGCAAAGATCTTCTGAAGAGGTCGCCTTCAGAAAAATTGTCAAAGAGCTTGGCCACCATCTGGTCATGTACACCGTACCTTAAGGCGTTTTTTCCCTCAAGACCTCTAACAATACCCCAAGCGGTGTAGATCTTGACAGCGTCAAAGGTCTCTCTTACACCGACAAGAACTTCTAACACCGACAGGCTCACGCTTACAAATTCTTCTTGCGACGTCAAGCTGTTGAACAAGTTTGCCAAAAAGTCAGCGACTTTCTCGCCATACTGACATGCCAATTCATTTGTGAACGGTCCCTTTTTTCTAACAGTAAAATGCGAGGATTGAAGCATGTAAGGCAAGAAGGTGTTTTTCAAAAAAGGTAATCCATATTTGAAAAGAAAAAGATTCTCAGATTTGATAGATAAGAGAAGCTGAGTTGAAAACTTCCTAACCGAATCCATCGAAGACTGGAAGCCTGTGCAAAGAAGACAGAACCCCCATGACGAGTGAATGCGAGATTCCGGAGTGAAAAGATCCAATATCTCATTTTCAGCTCCCTGAGTCTGATGCAATGAAGTGTCGATTCCGACAATCTCGTAAAGAGTAGTGTAAACTCTCCACTCCTCCAATGCGTCTTCCACGTCATTGGCATCCCATTGGAAGAGTTCGGTTTTAAATGAATGATTTATGAGCTTGATGGAGAGCTGAAGGATAGACAAGCAGAACTTTCTTATCTCATGAGAAGCTCCAGCAAGACCCGACTGAAGAGTTTCCCAGTAGTAGTTTTGGGACACAATTGACTTTTGGAAATACTCGTCTTCCCCTAAGCGACCGGTTTTGGCACTGAGCACTCGAAGCCACAAAATGAATGAATTATGCGCATGCTGCTTGGTTCCTAACGGTTTGAGTAGATCAAAAATGGTACTCCACAAGTATTTTGCAAACCCCACGTCTGTAAATGCCCGATCTACTAGCGTTTCCACCCTCCATCTGACGACTTTAGAGCATTCACGAGAAATCTCGTCGTCTACATGGCCAAGGAAGAGTAGAAATACCAGGTCCACTCTGTACGCCAATTCGCTATTCAGGAGATCGACATTGACGTAGAAAGACGATAAAAATGTCATCATATGCAAGAGCTCCTCTTTCTCAAGGGATTCCTCTAAATTGGCCAACTTGGTGGTGTTTAGAACATAGATACCCTCGAGAGAGGCCTTGAGAAGCAGTAATACCTTCTCAAGAATGGCTGTACGAGCATCCTCTGAAAAATTGGCAAATCTGATGGCTATTTCAATCTTCTCTGTGTCTCCACTGCAAAGCACGTCCAAGCAGTATGCTTTGATTTGGGGTATAATCTTTTCCAGAGTCAGCTCATCAACCTCTCCGACGAGCTCTCCCAACGCAGCCGCATTTTGTGAGTTTTGCAAATTTTCGGCTAGCTCCGATGCAATAGCTGACTTTTGGTCGGCACTCAAAATCCCGGCCACGAGTTTGAGTGACGACAACATTGACTATACCGATTTCTTTCTTTGGGTGCAAAGTCTGTGGGGCATCTCTAGGCTGGTGCACGGATGTGTTCCAGATGCTCCAGGATTTGGTCCATTTACGAGAATTACGAGGTGGTAAAAGTTATCTACGAATTTTGACAATTCCATAGTTTTTCCCTCAATCCACATTGGCTCGAAAGTCAGGTGTGTTCTTTGGTTGCGCCCCGCTGGCATACATAAGGCGGGACTGCTGGCACGATATGTCCTGGACTTAGACACCCCTAGTCAAAAACAAGTACTGAAGTCCCCTCAAAACGGTAACCTAAAACGCATTGATAGCCCCACCTGCCTTGGTATATCCAGGTTGTTCGGGAACATCTTTCCGTCAGGTACTCCAGCACGCCATAACCTTCCCAACAATCAAAAAGAAGGTATGCTTTGCAAACTGAAAAACGGAAAAAGCTGCCGCTTATTACCAATTTGCGAAGTTACGGTTTTCGGAAAATCTGTTTCTTTCAGTTTGCATTGGCTTTAGTGTAGCTGTTCTGGCCTGGTCTCGCTGCTGTATGCAGCCAACGGTCTCCACATAGTGACTCAGTTGGAGGTCGCTAGGAATTTCCTTATCGCACTCCAGATGAAGCACCCTGCTGTAGATTCCGCATTATAAAGCCGCTATCATTTCTGCCTCTCCAACCTCAACAATCGACTTTTAAACGTCCTTCTATGGAACCCAAGTTATCTCTTCACATCTACCTTGCCGCTGCTGTTGTGTTATTCGTATTATGGTGGGTGAAGAGGAAGGGTTCCAAGGTCAAGCCGGTGGCTGCAAGACCTAGCAAGACTCCAAACTCTTATGTGGTAGCTCCGGTGGCTGCTGATTTTGACTGGCGCAAAGAAGAGCCTTTGAAGTCGTATCCTTACAAGGATAAGCCTTACCGTTTGACGATGGGTATCACGAAGTTGGACGCCCAGGACTGGCTTTTGTTGGAAGATTCGTACTTGACGGAATTGGAGGAAAAGTCAAAGATCCTCACCAACACCAACACCAAGTACCCAGCGGATAAAGATTTGCGTGGTAGCACCTTCTTTGAGTCTCCGGAGGCGGATCATGCTATCCGGGAATTTTACGATGTCACCATGACTTACATGTGCACCAAGTACCCAATGTACTTTAAGAAAGGCGAAAAGGGCATCCACAATACCATAACCGGTGAGCATGTCCCTTTGAGTTCTGCAAACCATTCCAGAACCGAGCTTCAGGAAGCATTGGCTCGTGTCATCCAGGAAGATTTTATCATTCTCTTGAAGGACCCCTCTCGTGGAGACGAAAAGTATGGTGATGAATACTTTTTCAAGGCAGGCGTTTTTGCTTTTGCTGCTGGCTTTGATCCTAAGGATAAATTTGATAAGGCTCTTACCAGTGTTCACGCCCCTATCCCTGGATATGAGGAAAAGTTGAAGAAATTGATGAACCGCTTCTTCGACCGTCTCAACCCATATGAGATGGTTACAAGATCCAACTTCTCCGTTCAGACTCATGACAAGTACTATGTGGATAACGACAACAAAGGCTATCATAACGACTACAGCACAGAGGTGCCCACATTTGACGAAAATGAATTACACTACCGCAGTGAGCGTCAAGTCCTCACAAAATTGCCTGAATCTGGAGCAATTGTTTTCACCATCAGAACATACCTTCACCCATTCAAAATGTTTGCCGACAGATTTCCAGAGGATGGCCGTCGTCTTGCAAGTGCCATTCGCTATTTACCACAGGACATGGCCAATTACAAGGGTGCCGAAAAATGGGGTGACTCTGCTAAATTGTACCTTGATCGCTTATAAGAAAGTTATAGATTTTCGATTTCTTCCTTGATCTCCTCCCAGATATCAATGGTTTTCTTGGCCCATGACATGAGTATGCTGTTGTAGCTGAGCAAAATTTGGAAGATCGTTTTGAGTTCTCTGTTTTGAAACCGCTTCGTGTTCTTCTCCAACTCAGTGGTGATATAAGCGATATCCTGAAGCATGATTGTCTGACAGTTCTCTAACACACTGATCTTCTTCTGTAAATAGTCAATGCGATTTTTCTTCGTCTCCTCTGGGTTTTGGTCAATGATGCCAGACACATACTTCGTCAACTTTTTGAGTGATCCCATATTTGGAAATAAGCCCAGTCTCTCGCGAGCAACGCCAGCTGAAGACGTTTCTTCATTGCTCGAGCTAACAGGCTGCGGTATATTGTTACCATTCTGGCCATTCTCCCCATGCTTCGAAAGCTGTAACAACTCTTTTCTTTTGTCATGTAATTCTTGATCTATCACCTCCTTTTGATTTGCTTTACGGGCTTGAAAGCGGTTAACAGAGCTAAGAATTGCATCATATCTCACTGCCTCCCCTAGTGGTTCTGAAAATTTCGTTTCCAGTTCGCTGACAAGAGCATTAATCGCAATGTAGGATCTGTCAAACGCCACGCCAATTTTATCGACAAGAACGTCAAGTTTTGCATCGTCCTCCTCTGGACTCTTACCAACTCTTGCTTTCAGCGAGTCCGCCAACATCAACGAAAACGAATTTAGAGCACTTCCGAGCTCCACATAGTCATTTGACAATCCAATGAAGCTCTCCATGATTTTCTTGTTGATGTTATCCAAGCTAGAAGTCTTGAATTTTATCGGACGAGACTCCGGAGATTCTGTCGGCAGACCTTGTTCTTGTGCGCCATTCGGCTGTGGTTCCTGTGTCGTCTCGGGTCCACTACCGAGGAAACGGCTTGTTGTATGCGTTAGGAATTTGCTGTTATTCTTGAGCGGTTTGAGAAATTGGAAGCTCAAACCATGCTGAGTTGAGGGTAGTGGTAGGGAGGAATAAACTTCAGATGTCTTCAAGCCATTTTCAGGGTTCAGCTGATAAATTGACTTCGGTAGCTGACTCGAGATTAGATCAATCTCATCGGACCAGTTGGCTGAGGGATCAAGGAATTTGGCGAAGAACTCGAGGTTCCTGACCTGCGGAATGCCGAGACAATTGTTCAAGAAATTTGAAAGAAGTCGCTTGCGGTGCTCAACGAGCTTATTCTTGTTGAGATGTTTCGAATTGATGTATGTGTATGAGGTGACGTTGCTGTTCTCGTTCGGAGACTCGGAAGGGCTGGATGCTTGTGCGTTACCATTTCCGTTCCCCACAAGTCCATTGAACATGTTCAATGAGAAGTAATTCTTCGGCGGAATTGGCGGAATAAGTAGTAGCGGGTACACCCGGGTAAGGACATCGCGTAAGCTCTCGAAGTCAGAGTACCGTCTCCTCGTCTGTACCTCTTCTTTCGTATTGTCCTTGTTGACTAGCTTGATGGTGTAAACCACATATTTCTTCGACGAATTGGGCATACCCTCATTGGATTTACCGGCCTCGCTTATCAAGATCTTGGCGTTGCTTTCAGGACTGAGGAGCTTCGTTACCCTGCTCTCATAGTTGATATGCACCGTGTTGAACTGCTCACCTTCACTTCTGTAGAGCAACATGGACTCATCCTCCATATCTTCCTCGGCAATTTCATTATCAGTAGCTTCGTGGCTTTTAAAAGCGTTGTTCTGTGCCTTTTTGCCATTGCTTTTGCCACTTCTCTTATCGGGCCCCTGGGACTGGATAAGGCTTGCAAGTGCCAGCAGATGCTGGAAGGGGCTATTGTCCTCATCGCTGAATACAGATGCATCAACGTGTTCTGACATCTTGGTAATTGATATCAATTAATAATCGTGCTTCTTATAACTTGGAAGCTGCAGATTGAAGTGATGGTAGTTAACCTGGGGGTGCACCGAGGTGGGGGATCCGTACACCTGGTCGATAAGCCTTGGTCGGAGCAGATGGAGCAGGAGGACTAAATTGGATTTTACCGGAGATGTGGGAAGAAGCCTAAAAGAGGTCCTCTTGAATTTCGATTCAGTGAAAATGGAGTATCTTCTGGTGATTCTCGTTTTGGAGCGGGGGTCTCGAGAATCTGGGGTCAGGGTCTTACTCCACAGGTAAGTTCAGGTACCTTGTCCGAAGGTCATGCGGGGTAAGAAATTATCTTTTTGCGAGGCATTTCAAGAGTGTCTGTATTTTGATAAATTAAATAGGTGCTGTTGTGTAGTGCATTTCCAGGTTGTCAAAGCCTCAACTAGGTAAGTTCTACCGGCGTTCTCTTGCATCGAGGCACCGAATAACACCGGGATAATAACCGGGCAATCAAATCGCATTTCATTCTGATGGCATTTGTTTGAGCCTCGGAGTATGAGTTCATAAAACTTGCCAGTTCTCGAGTGGTAAAATTTTTTTCCTTCCTTGCCATGAAATTATCAGTTTGTTAATTGTTCCATGCGTTATTGTTCTCGCTCTCCATTTCGCAGCCAATACTAAAAACACCCAATCCGCCTTCAACTTCACCATATACCACCGGCCGTCAGCTATCGCATAGCATCGCTTGAAGTCAAGATAAAATCACATTTTGAAAAAAAAATTCGTCTCTCATGCGACGCTGCAACAAACTCATCACACATTTAGGCGCCGAGCATACACCTTTCCCTCTAAAACACATTCCCTTTCACCACCTTGCTATTCCTAGAACAAAACTATCGAAAAAGTGGAAATTCTATCATTTTCGTAATACCACTTGCAAAACACGGAACTGGAAATCTTCTACACGTGACTTGTCACACACCTTGTGTAGATCGCGAATGCCGACTGTCGACAGTCTTTTCACCAGAGCCGATCCTCTTCCAAGTCCAGGATGGCTATTACAGAACTCAATAGTACAAGCAACGCCAGCGTTGCTTCTCAAGAGAAAGCATCCAAAACGAAAATCATCTATGTGGGTTTGCTTTTCCTTCTTTCATTATTATCTTTCTTGTGCCAGACCGAGTTCACCTCCCAGGCATACAAGCTCGGATTCAAGGAGCCTATCATCCTTTTACTTGTTACCCACGGCTCATGGTGGACTTTGTGGCCTCTTCAGGCTTTTTTCGTTTCCGTGGGTAGAACCATCGGCAAGGCTAAAAATAGCAGAGGCGTACGCTATGAAAGACTAAATTCTAATGCTTTCCTTTTGGAAAACGAGGCCGGTGCTCCACAGGAGCCCAACTCGCCTGTCTCAAAGTTCCACCCATGGGGCTACTTCAAAAGATGTATCGTGAAGCAAGTGCATAACGTCTACCATTCCTCTATCTTGGTGTATGAGCCTAATGTCAATGGAGACAGAAGTACTAGCAACTTGGGCGCTTTGGTGGAGAAGAACCCTCACATCTCGTCATCCAGTTCAGTTTCTGCGTGTATTCGTTCCTTTGTTGCAACTCCGTCATTCAAATATGTTGCCATCAAGGTGGGTTTGATCTCCTTGGTTCTCAACTTCGCAGGTTTCACTTGGTATGGTGCTATGTCCATGACCTACGCGTCTGACGTGACGGCCATCTACAACTGTTCTGCTTTCACAGCATATGCCTTTGCCATCCCAATGTTGAATGAAAAATTTTCGTGGCTTAAAGCCCTGTCTGTGATTATCGCAATTGCAGGTGTCTTCGTAGTGGCTTATTCAGGCTCGGACTCTTCGTCGGATGCGGAGGAACAATACCCTTACAGATTCTGGGGTAACCTAATTATCTCTGTGGGCGCCGTCTTGTACGGTTACTACGAAGTTTTGTACAAGAAGTACGTGTGTGTTCCTCACCACTTGTCTGTCGTTGTTACACCTAGACGCCAGCTGACTTTCTCCAACTTTGTCATGTCACTCTTGGGCGTATTCACTGTGCTATTCTTGCTCGCGTTGGTGCTCGTGATTGAACTCTTCCACATTCACCACTTCAACGTTTTCGACTACGGTGAGAAGACGGGTATTATTTGGTTGTATATTTCTGGTTCCATCGTCTCCAACTTACTATTCAGTGCTGCATTCCTTTCCTTGATGGCCTTAACCTCGCCCGTGTTGTCATCAGTGAGTTCGTTAGTGACCATCTTTTTGATTGGTGTGGTTGAATGGGTCATGTTTGGTAATGCGCTTAGCGTCATGCAATTGATTGGTGATGCGTTAGTCATTGTGGGTTTCGTCATTCTTACCATTGCGTCCTGGAAGGAAATTAGCGAGGGTAATGATGATGACGAAATCGAATCTGCTTCGCTATACTCGTTTGCTGCCAGCGAGGATACTAGCAACTAGACGAACTAATTGGCGAGCTTCATGGTCCTGATGTCATTCACAAGACCATCGTTTTGTTCGTGAGGTGTCGTAAGTTCGTTATGGCCTCCGCCCTGGTGGCTCGAGGCATGCATCATAAAATTTGCATCGGTAGCATCATTCGTTTTGCGTTTCTTAGACGAGGCTGGGTCCGCCTGTCGTGGACCGTGTGTTTCGTGTGAAGTGGACTCGCCAAAAAGGGCATCTAGTTTTCCGTAGGCATCGGAATCTAAGAAATCGAAATGGGGTATCACACCTGTAAGGCTTGAACAGAAGCAAAGTCTCTTCTCGTTGCTATCGCTGAGCTTATATATGACGACAGTGCCGTCAATAGTGGTGGATACCAAATAGACAGGTAAAAACCTCGATAATCTGCTGAGCCGGGATACCTTCGAGGTAGTCTCACTGCAAGTGTAAATCTGTGAAGATAGAGTCGGACCAATGCGAAGATAATCAAAGAAGTTCACCACTTCAAAAGTTCCAATATCGATGACGCCCGCTTTGGACATCGCATCTGTGTAGAATAAGTATTGTCCACAATTGAAAACTTTCAACTGATTGATGCAAAACTGAGATAGTTGCAAAACTCTCTTGGGTCGCAGTTCAAACTTATAAGGCTTGGACATATCGTAAACAAACAAGTCGCCAAACTGAGTTCCTGCAAACGCCAAGCGGCTGGAGCCTTGCTTCCAAAAAGCTACACTCAGCACCCAGTAGGCACAAGTTTCTCCTTTTGTCAGGTGAGGGTTCACCGAGGTATCAGAAACAGGCACAAGTCTTCGAACATCCACAAATGAATGACGTATCAGGGTGCTTCTCCTGAGCAAGGAGTGACCCTCTGGTACCGACGAGACAAGGCCCATTCTTGTCAAGTGTCCACCTAAATTGGCAAAGTCCTCAAAATTGGACTTGAAGTCACTCGCAGCAAAATCGAAATCGTAAATCTTCAAGCTGTTTCCCTTCCCGCCTGCGGCAACAACAATATGTGTAGAACGAGGAATGACCTCGATGTTGATGCACGATAACGGGCCGTCGATGACAAACAGCTTCACCGAGTCATCCGCATCGTCATTGATCAAATCCCGTATCACCAACTTTCCTTCTCCAGAGCAGGTATACATATACTGATTTCGGAATGCACCGACCCCGATAATGGGGTCCCTTGGTCCTGTGGTAGAGTTCTTCCACTCCTTGACAAGCTTGTAGGTACAACTTCCGGAGTTGTCTGACCCTGAGGGCTTCAGCATCCTCTCATACAACTGAACAAGCCCTGCACTTCTAGCGACAGCAATATACTGCTTATTTAATATTGGGAACACATGGATTCTCTGGACAAAGTTGGAGCGGCCACCTATGCCAAACTCACCCTTGTGACTTACTCTAATCCGGTCTTTTCCTTGCTTGACACGCAAGACTGATGTTAGAAGTTGAAAACACGATGGGCTATAATCTCACATACCTCGAAGACTGCCACTGCTTTGCAGTGACAAGAGCAAATACATGGGTGGTGGAATAGCAAAAGCGGTACAAAGGTTATGAGGTCTTGGTGGCAGTGAAGAGTGCATTTTGTGGGGTGCGATCTTGTGCCGCAGTAGGGAGTCCGAGATTTGGACACTCAAAGAAGGTTGAAGAAGACATGCATATTTTGAATCCAGACCATTTGGCGTAAATTCCGTGTAAATATTATGTGGATGAGTAAGATCTTGGTGACACAAATGAGTGACCCTATATTGCTCGCTATGGCAATCTTCCATATTTGGCTGCGAAACGGAACCCAGACAATGAAGGGTATCCTGAATCAAGTGGAGAGATGGCCTTTACCACGTACTGGTTTGACAATGCGTAAATTCAATCCAAACTTGGGCGATTTTGGCGAGTCCTGCTCGTGCTCTTCGTTTGGTGAAGTCACATTGTCGTGGTGTATAACTGTAGCTTCGGCATTAGCTGCGGCGTGCAAACTCTCAAGCACATTGCTTCCTGTTCCGTCTTGCATTCGTCCTTCCAGAAGTCTTTGCGTCTCGAGCTTATCTTGAAGCTTTTGAAGCTTGCTTTCGAAATGTTGGCTTTCCAGCTGCACGTGTGCTTGTTGTTCGCCCAAAAGGGCTCGGAGTTTGTCAATCTTCACATCTCGCGACTCTATAATCTTTTCGCTAATAAGAAGATGCTTCCGTAGATTCTCATTTATGAGCTCAACGTCGCTTAGCTTGTCGTTGAGTCTGTGTAGGGCGGTCTCCAATTTGAAAAGCTTCAGGTCTTCCTCGTGCTGCTTTTTCACTTGGCTCATCTTCATGTCTAAAAGCTGCTTTTCAAGACTCTCGATCTTCTTGTTCTTCCTTTGAATATCGTCTGCCAGTGACGCTGGGCGATCAGAAGCCATCGAGATGGTGGTGCTTCCTCGCGGGCTTAGTAGACTGACATTCGGACTGAAGCCTGGCGTCGACTTCTTCGTGAGTTGGTCTTCTAGTGTTCTATTCATCTGCTCAAGCATCTTCACCCGCGCCTTGAGCCAGTCAACTGACGGTTCAGTGTTGATGTGGGCGGTGTTCTTGATCTTCTTTGCACGGGAGCCGAATCTTAGTGTAGAGAGTGTTTCGGCTGCATCTGCTAACCCTGGTGCTATATTAATGACGAGAGTTGTTCTGGAGTTGCCGCCAAGAGATTCTTGCAAGATTCGAGTCAACTTGGAGTCTCTGTAAGGAACGTGGGTGGCGGATGGGTCTGTTAAAGAGTTTATCACTTGACCGAGGGAAGAAAGAGACAAATTGATTTTCTTCGCCTCTTCAAGCCCCTGACCAGTGGCCCCTGTGCGGTCGATCTTCTCGGATCCGGCCAAGTCGACCAAGAATAAATTGGATCGTGTGAGCTCTCCTTCAACAGACTTTTGCGAAAGTACTATTCTGAAAATGACATGCGAGCGTGACAGGTCTGTGTTCATATGCGTTCTGGAGACACAACGATTGTCGTTGCCTAGTTTAACAACCTCTTCGAGCTCCTTCTCTGTGGACACGAACGCATGAGAGAGCCCCTTAACGTAAACACCGTTTTCCTTATCTTCGTGGATTGCAAACTCTGTCGCCTGCGGATTCAAGAGGTCTTTTATTTGTTCCATGTGAAGCTCCATGCACGAGACCTCCACGGTGTGCTCAATGTCTGGCGAGGCTCCCTCGATCTGGGAAAATAGGTGATGACTGACCCTGGGAATTATACCAGGCGAATGGCGTGGACCAAACATCGTATGTGTTTTTCCAGCGCCTGTTTGTCCATAGGCAAAAATCGTACCGTTGAACCCCTTCAACATGTCTTCAACAGCCTGAGCAGCCACCAATTGGTAAAAGTCCTCCTGCGAGGTTGTGGCATCACAGACCCTGTCGAATGAAAACACATTCAGCGCTTCCTTGTGGTTTATACACAAAGTCTGCTCGTCAATGATCTCCACGGGAGAATCACTAGCTCTTTGGAATCGTACATCATCAGGGGGCCGAAGTCGGCACACTACCTGAACATGGTTCACAGAGTCCCTCAGTGATGTTCGTGTCATCGGAGTCATTGCAGTAGATGACGGTCCCGTTGGCGTCCGTGGCGGAGGCGAGGTGACCGACATAGTGGAGGATGAATATGTAGAAGGCTAGGAGCCTCAGGTTCAGAATTCAAGGCTTCTGTCACGATAAACGGGGCAGATCAATATTGATCTGGGAGTGCAGAGACCTCGGGCACCCCCCCAGCGCGGCTCTAAAATGGCCATAATGCGCTGACCGTGTGGAATTGGGGAATGTATTTACTTGATTGGCGTAGAAGAATGGTTTGTTAAAGGTTTTTGTGGAATTTGGGCAAAACTCGTATCGTAGTCTGCTTGGTCGATACATTCGTGTAAGAAGTTGACGGTGCTTGTACCGGTGCGCAGAGATAAAGCCAAAAGCTAAAAGTAGGGCTTCGAGATGCTGATTGCGTCACAATTTTATGGCATGGGCCTACTGTAGTTCCAGTGCTACATTTGGTTTCGAAAAGAAAAAAAAAAAAAAAGAAAAAAAAAGAAAAACACTCCCTAAGGGTCTGTACTTGAGGTTTTCTGCCCTTCAAGAAACAGATACGATAGGAGACCTGATTTTTCAGAGATTGCTGAATAATTACAATAACATGATTGGGCTATGCTGGGGTTCATGCCGTTTGAGGCTTTGCAGGTGTGCCCCGCAGACCATGATCCACCTCCTCCATCGATTTCGCAGCCACACAAGGTACGCTCCTGCCAACCAAGAAGTAAAGCACGCTAGCCAGAGAAGGAAGCAAATGAAAACTCCGCACGCCCATCAGGTCAAAATGCAGTTTAGTTATATGAATGGAACAAGCGTAAAAAAGAAAGCCCGATGCGGGGCTCGAACCCGCAACCTTTTGATTGACCTTAGAAGATTAAGAGTCAAATGCTCTACCGATTGAGCTAACCAGGCTTATTGAAATCCATGGCATTGCGCCTAAAATATGTGCACCAATCTCAAGTTTATTTTAGAACTCGCAGTCTCTCAAGACCCATTTTTTTTACAGACCTAGCCAATTTCCTACACAGTCAGTCTCAAAAAAACGTCCAGGACGACGTTCCTCAAATAAAGGGCAATGAATTCAGTTTCGCCGAAGGGTCGATGACATAATATGATTTGAAAAACCAACAAAGATACATTGTCGCTCGCTATCCACCCCAACTGCTAAGAACAAGGTGTGAAGTCATAGCCACTCTGGTATCTGGTAACTTGAGAGATGGTTTTCACTATATAATTTCGGTTTATAGCTTTTAAAGCTGAGGAGTAGGTGAGTGAGACACCGATCCCGAAGCGACCTTCAATCAACGTCTTCAGCAAAAAAAAAAAAAAAAAAAAAAAAAAAAATCTTTCACAAAGATCAGAAGAAACATATCAAATTCAGTAGCGGATTGTACTGGGAGGAGTTTTTATTCCAAGAAGACAATCGCTCTTTGGAACAACTAGAATGGTCCT